CAATTTGGCCTTTGTGTTGGAGCGCCAAGGCAAGTACGAGGAGGCGGAATCGATGAACCAGGAGACGCTGGCGTTGCGAGAGAAGGTGCTTGGGCCGGAGCATCCCTCTACGCTAACGAGCATGTACTGCCTCGCTCATCTCCTCGCCAATCAACATCGCTACACTGAATCTCGCGCTCTATATGAGCGGGCATGCGCTGCATACACCACTCTCCTAGGAGAAAACCATCCAACTACCCACGCGTGTCGCCAACATTATCGAGAAATGATTACGTTGCAAGAGCGGGACCGGTCGACCCTTTCTTCTGCGATGCTAACTGCTGACGTCGCAGACATACCTAAGAAGTCAAAGCTATCACGTGGGCTAATGAAGATAGGAATTAGAAGCTCGAAGTTCTCTCTTTAGTATCATGTCCGATGTGTATATAGAACTGTTTATGTGAAATGGTGTCATGTAGTAACGAATTCGGTAACCAATTATTCATTGTTGCTATGCGCGCCCTTACCAAGGGTAGCTAGCGCCATGTTTCGACCAATCAGCTAGCAGAAGGGTCAACCTTGTGCTGTTCTATTGGCTGGCTGCCAGCGCGCGATACCTCTGAGATATAATATTGCCAGCAGTATATCCATGCTTGTCAGGTAGCCTGGGATTACCGTGACAGCTGTCTATCGCCCCATTCATAGTGACTTTTCGCGTCTCAAGTCAAAGTCCCGTCTAGGCAACATGTCAAAGAGATACTCGATTTCAGAGGCATAGTAAGGAATATAAACTTAAAAAGTCTATCCTTATAAAGTTTGTAGAGCAGAACGCGCAAGGTCGCAAAGTCCAAAAGCTCTAAAGGGGAGGAGTAGTTTCAAGCGTAAGGGATCAGCGGTAGGGCCTACATTATGTTATGTATCTGTTAAATCAAGAAGGGTAGTTAGTCCGAAAGGGTTAAGGTTGGTTCTCAGGCAAGACAACGGAGGGGAAGGGAAGGGGTCTTGTTGATACGGTAGTATCTTGCGAAGTGTTACGAGTCAACAATATGGCCTGAGTGTAATCCGAGCGATAGATTGATAAACAGGTTGAACACGAGTATGGAAGTCCATCCTCGGGTTCCTATATAGTTGGTCTGCTCAGTTGCTCAGTCAGACTGAGCAGCTGATCATGTCACGTGATCGGTTTATCGCTAGTGGCTCGGCGTCTGTCGTGACCTCAATCCTGGCCTTCCACCTGCATTAAGCGCCTATCCCCCCATCTCATATTCTGGTTCGTAACAGTATCTTAATATGACGCTATGCTCAATTCACTGGCGTCTTAGCAGACCAGGACATAAGCTATTAATGTAATGCCTTTCTATTTAGTTCCATCCTATTATAGGAGGACTGTTAGGATCCCAAGAAGCGGGCGAGGACAGAGGTCGCTTATGACGGCATACGACCTCGGGCCCCACAAGGATTAGGTAATGTCTCACGATTGTCCCAAGCGCCAAGCCATGGGACAACAGGATCACATGACAAACGTCACGTGACTGTACCATGGGATCCCACATGTACCAAGCATGGGATTTCATGGGAGCGTGGGATATCATGGGATCGCTCAAGTATATAGGAACGTGAGTATGAACCCTCATACTCGTGTTCAACCTGTTTATCAATCTATCATTTGGATTACACTCAGGCTATATTGTTGACTCGTTATATCCTCCTCCGATACTATCGTCTCGACAAACCCCTTCCTTCCCTCAGTTGTCTTGCCCGAGAACCAACCCTAACCCTTTAGGACTAGCTACCCTTCTGGATTTAACAAGGACATCAGTGGCTGTGCGTAAGATCTTGGTCCTTCTCCAAGCATCACCAACATATGTAAGTGATGGAGCCCGCCAGCCCTACGCAGGCATAGAGACTTTCATTAAATGTATGTAAGCCCTATACTACTCGAGTATAAAGCGAAAAGACCTCTTACTCCACACTATGGCATTACGACCATGGACGGCCCTCATGAAAGGCCAAAAGCCAAAGCCAGCAATACCTTATCCCGCCTAAAGAGAAAGCTCTCGTGCAGTACCTCCTACAAATGGCTGCCCTTGGAACCCCCATCCGGGTTAAGTACCTACCCTTACTAGCCTTCAGCATCGCCTACTAGCGGCCTATAACGAATGCGTTGATGCCCGCGACGAAACCGCCGTGTAAGAACTGGCCTTAGGCATTTACTAAGCGTAGTGGAAGTTAGATAAGCTGTCGCCTTACCTCAGCCATGCGCAACTCGTGTTGGCGGCTAGGCTGTCAGACCATCTGTACTTAGCCGTGTGTTCACGACCACGCCTGCACAGCGACACCGTAGATTAAGTTACCTGCCTGGGTATAGCGTGCTGACAGAATGTTGCGGTAGCATCCTACAACTCACCATCTACCAGCCTGCCTCCATAGCACCGCAGCGACCGTAGCTATAGTCGACGTACGCAATTCACTCGACCTTCGCCCCGAAGCCGTCCCGCGCAAGCACGCCGTGGATTGGCACATTGCTCTTCTGGGCACCCGGTCTGCAGTAGGTGCGACTATTTTGAAAAGTACCAGAATTTGATCTATATAGGCTGGCTTGCTGCCAGAAGCTTCCTGTCATGGTATCGGCGCGCGACGGTCCGCGCGATCGTCGACTTGCCCGTGCCCACCAGGCCGCGCAGCCAGGGGATGCATCGCTCGTCTTGTCCCTCAACCCAGCGGTATATCTCGTCGAGGAGGCCAACGCGCGTGTCGGGGAGGCAAGCAGGCCCGTTGATGGTGTGAGCTTGGACACTATAGCGGGCGTCGCTGAAGTCTATGTTGGATGTGGAGGTCACGGCATCGCAGCAGAGCATTGCGCCAGCGATGGCGTCTATGGGGATGATGTCCGTAGCCTGGTTGGAGTCTGCGGCGCAGCGCCTGCTGGCCTTCAGCCTAGCGGCCTTCAGCCTAGCGGCCTTCAGCCTGCAGCCCGGCGGCTTCGAGCAAGCACTCGCGAGGCCTGCGGTCAAGCGTGCATGCGCCCGATCGTCAAACCGCTCGACTCGCTATCTTCGTCGGAGCGTCTAATCCGACCTACAGTTGCACTTTCATGGGGCGGTATGTAGAGTTGTTCTGATTTTCTTTTCTATCCTTGACTCACTAACAACAATAACTGATACCTCAGCAACGTCCAAACTGTACATTGCCGTGGAAGTCCCGGGCCTGAATTCCACCTGTATTATTGCCAAACGTCATGTTCGTTATGTTTGCGGAGTGCTGAGACGAAGACTGTTCTGCAGATTGCGCACTACAGGTAGCGTCTACCGTGGGGATCATAGCCAACAGCCCTTTAGCGTACGCTGCCGCGGTAGCTGCCGCGTAGTTCTGCCAGCCCTTGTTCTTATGAGAGTCTGCATAATCGCAGATGCCTCGAACGACTACACACGGATACTCGTCCATCACGCCTGCTGCTTCCATCTCAAAGCAGATCACGTCGTGCTCTTGTTGGACCCTGTTTCGTTCGATGGCGGATATCTGCAGCTGATTGCTTGATGCGATGTTGCCGAAATGGACGGAGGGCTTGTCAACTTGCCGTGTGGCTCCGCTTCCTCGATCGGCACGTGACTCAACGTAGTCCGCGTCGCAGCACACTCTGCAATCGTCCAGTTCAGTGCCCTGATGCTCATAAATGTCTTTGAAGAGCCGGTCGCGGCCGGGTCCCGGGTCGTCATACTGGTGCTGTCGATCGTTGTCAAGCCTAAGACGCATCTGCTCTAACACTTCGGTGATGTTCGTCTGGGACGAACCTTCCGCACGGAAGTTGTTGACTGCGGCCATTAGGTCGCCAGGAACGCCGTTGGTGTGTCCGCGAAAGTTCAGTCGCCCTTCACCCTCCCACGCGCCCTTGTCGTACTGCAACACCCCGCCATGGTTGCCTCGTGGAGAGCTGACAACCACGTCCCCAAGCACGATCTCCGAAGTCGCACCAGCTGGTCCGTAGCGGGGCACCCCTCCCGCAATACCGACCAGGAGAAAGTATCTGATGTTAGGGAAACCAGCGCGCATCTTTTCCGCAAGGATGGCAGCCTGGCTGAGTCCTATTCTTCGCTGCACTCCAATGACAACCTGATGTTTTCCGATCCGACCGCCTAGATAGTATGCGTTCTGGTACTGGACTTCCTCTTGCGGGTACTCTTCGTCCAGCACCAGCCTCGCAGCCTCCTTTTCGAGAGGGAGAGGGCAGATCCATCCTATGGTGAACTGACGATTCTTAGCCATGGGAGACCAATGTGTCTTAAACGAACTGTTAGCGGCAAAGAGCGATGTATGATGGTGGGTGTTGGTGATTATGGTATCTGGCAGCGAATAACTACGGGATCTAGGCAGCAGGGCTGGGCTACTTTTCAGCCTCGTCACAATCGCTGATCGGCACTGCTAAAATTAGATTGACATCTAACTCGTACTACAAGATTTTCTTATTTAGCAGCATATGCAGTAAACCTCCACACATTTCATGTTTGTTCTATGGTGCAACAGCTCTGGATCCAGAGAGTTGTAAGTGCTCCGCCCACCCTGCTCCACCAGAACCACAGAGCAAGCGTTACAGCAGTCAACGGAATAGAGAGAGCTTAGTATATCTAGAATTGATGCGATACGATGAAGGATAGTTGTCCCGCGCCTCCATCGGGTTCAAACGAGAAGAAGTTAGATAATATTGTCTATCCAATAAGTTCTCTTACAGTCGATACGTGGCTCGAGAAACTCACAGAAACAAATGTAGCCGGCAAGAAAGTCATCGCGACTACAGCGATTGCCTTCATCGCCGACGCTTCTCTCTTCGCTTCTTCTCCTATCTGCAGCTGAATCCTACTGTCTCTCTGGGCTGCCGCATGGAAAGCCTATCATCATAAGTTTGGGAGGCCTCTGCGTACCGTCTGTCGTACACTGCGCTTACAAGAGTGATTTCGCTCTGGATTCGAGCATTGTTCGCTTCAGACCGCTGGAGCAAGCCCTGGAGTAAGCGAAGCTGCAACTCAAAGCGAACCCCAACTCTATCCTAGTTTTCGCGTCCCTTTTCACTGCGGACAAGATCGTTGTGTGTATGAAACCTTACGTGATGGTGCTGCATGGCATCGAGAGACCGTATAGCCACGATAAGAGTCTCGCTGACATGTATCCCTTGTCTCGCAATCTCGTGCAAAAGGAAGTAATCGGCCTCTTGTGACCTCCTCTGTCGCGAATGAGCATCACTGCCGCTAGCTATCCAGGACGTAGAACGACACTTACAGCTTCCCACTGACTGATATGGTTTCTGAGTGTCCAGACCGAGTCATCATACAATCGAAGCAGCGCATCCGAGATGAGCGAAAGCACGGCGTATGGACACCAACGAGAGACATCCTGCGAAGAAAACGTTGACTGGATATCCTTTTCCAACTTCGCAGGCAAATCGAAGCGCAGGAGCGTGATCGACCCAGACGGTGTCCAGCTAGCGAAGAATCCCATCTCGTACCATTCCCACCCATGCCGCACACTCTGGGGCCCATGTATTGCAACATCAGCATTCCAGTCGTCAGCGCTTGTGGTGTGTACGTCCTTTTGGGCTGGAGCTTATCGTAGATCTGCTTGACGGTGAAGCGGGACCAATACGCTGGGGTTCGATGAGCAACCACTGACAACCCTCTGGATTATTTGGTGCTACGTACTATAACACTCGACCTTTTCGTCATTATCAGGCCAGACTTCGTATCCGCAATAGCCGTTTGATTGAAGATAGATCCTATCGAAAAAGAACCGGGGGATCTTTAAAGTACTTTTGAGGTCCTTCTGAAACCCTGGCACGGTGCTCAAGAACGAGTTGGTAGACGTGAATGTATTGTGTCAGATTACGAGCAAAGATCCCCCGTCAATGGCTTAAGTTACATAACTTGAATCTGGGCAATGCGGAGACCCTGTGCCCATTAGCCCTATACTCGCACACCTGATGCTTCCCTTGCTTGCAACAGCTTATCCCATGTTATCTCCTGAGACTGGATGACTGAGATGTTGTGATGTCTTATCGATCGACTTAGTCAGTATATTCATTTAGGCTTATAGAATGGAACACCTGCCTGGCCGGATTACCTTGCCCATCTCCATCATGGCGCGTAGAAGTCATCGATGGAGGTATAAGTCCATCGAGCACGCTGACGAGGTTGGCGGGCCGAGCGGTTCGCGCTTGGGCCCAGCCACAGGCCTCGCGAGTGATTGCTTGAAGCCGCCAGGCTGCAGGCTGAAGGCTGCCAGGCTGAAGCCCAGCAGCGCTACGCCGCAGACTCCGATCTCCCCGCGGACACGATCACCGTAGCCACACTATCGGTGCAGCATTAATGCATGCTCTCCTGACGCAGCCATGTCCTCTACAACATCTAACCTAGCATTCGGCAACGCATACTCCAGCGTTCAGGCTAACAACTTCACCGGCTCTGTCCATTGGGGTACGTTGCAGGGCCGCTCGAGGGCCGTCAAGCTCTTGAGAGAGAGCAGAACGCTAAATCGATCCTTCAAACAGGACATGAGGACACCTTCGCTCGTCTACCGTACGCCGAGGACGCGCCCTTCAACTCGTACGCAAAGCGGCACGACCTGCCCTGCCTTGCCAACACGCGCATCGACCTCCTCGAGGAGATACGCAGCTGGGCGGACGGACCGAACCAGCGATGCATCTTCTGGCTGCGTGGCCTGGCGGGCACGGGCAAATCGACGATCGCGCGGACCGTCGCGCGCCGATACCATGACAGGAAGCTTCTGGCGGCTAGCTTCTTCTTCTCGCGCGGCGGCGGCGACGTCGGCCACGCAGGCAAGTTTGTGACGAGCATCGCGGTGCAGCTTGCAGACAATATCACAACATGTCGACAGCATATCCGCGATGCTGTTGCCGAGCGCAGCAATATATCCAAACAATCTTTACAAGACCAGTGGCAGCACCTCATTCTTGGTCCGCTGTCGAAGCTGCACGAGCCAGGGCCATTTATTATAGTTGTTGATGCTCTCGACGAGTGCGACAACGACAACGATGTCCAGATTATTGTGCGACTGCTGGCCGAGGCCCAGTCGCTGGAGAGGGTTCGAGTGCGCGTGTTCCTGACGAGCCGGCCAGAAGTGCCAATTCGACAAGCATTTGGGCAGATGGCGGATGTAGAGCACAGGGACTTTGTGCTGCACGAAATATCGCCGTCGACCGTCAATAACGATATAAAACTTTTCATAGAAACCGAGCTTCAGGCCGTTGGGCAGATATGGTATTCACGCGCTGGCTGGCCGGACGCAGAAACCGTCATGCAGCTGGTCCAGGGCGCTAGTGGACTGTTCATCTGGGCAGCTACTGCCTGCCGCTTCATCCGCGAAGGGAGGCACTTTGCAGCTAGAAGACTGGAGACGATCCTACGTAACGACAGCAACAATTCTACAGCTCCAGAGAAGCATCTAGACCAGATCTATGTAACTGTGCTACAGAGCTCAGTACCTGCACATTATACAGACAAAGAGCGAGACGAGCAGTGCAGAATGCTACGGCACGTTCTTGGGAGCATGGTAGTTCTGCTCTCTACTCTATCTTTACTGTCGTTGAGCAAGCTGCTCCACTGTACAGGCGAAGAGGCCAGGCGAGCACTAGAGGATCTGCACGCTATCCTCAGCATCCCAGAAGGTCCTGTCCAACCGCTTCGTCTACACCATCCTTCATTCCGCGACTTCCTAGTTGATAGAAAGAGATGCGACGACGACAAATTTTGGGTAGACGAGAAGAGCACACACGAGAAGCTGGCGTCCTGCTGTCTCCAGCTTATGTCTGCACCTGACGGCCTTCGGCAAGGTATGTGCAAGCTTTCTAACCGTGGGAAGCTCAGAAGCGAAATAGACAAGAGAGATGAGAGATACGAGACATACGAAAGCAGAATTACGACGTGCCTGTCTCCGGAGCTGCAGTATGCTTGTTGCTACTGGGCGGATCATCTAGAGCGCGGTCAAGGGGGCATCCAGGATGGAGACAAAGTGCACGACTTCCTTCGCAAGCATTTTCTTCACTGGCTTGAAGCTATGAGCCTAATTAAGCAAATGGGTCTATGCATGCGCTTGATAGCAATACTACAATCGCTAGTAACGGTAGGGCTTTTTGACCGAACTTAGTGTCGTTGCGCGCTAACTCAGACGCAGACGTCTAGTACGTCTGTCGCGAGTTTTCTCCGCGATGCAAGTCGATTTGCGCTGCAGTCCGTGTCTATTCTTGCAAAGGCCCCCCTCCAAATATACTCGTCTGCCCTTCTTTTCTCTCCCGAGGCTAGCATTGTGCGAAAGGCATTTATAGGACATATGACACAGGGGGTGGATGTACTTTCTGGAAGAGATGCCGACTGGGACGCATGCCGCAACGTGTTAGAGGGCCATTCAGAGAGGGTCAGGGCGGTAGTGTTCTCACCAGACGGACAGCTCATCGCCTCAGCATCCAACGACAGGACAGTGCGGGTGTGGGAGACAGCAACCGGCCAATGTCGCATCGTAATGCAGGGCCATCTATTTCCAGTCAAGGTGGTCATGTTCTCACCAGATGGACAGCTACTCGCCTCAGCATCCTGGGACAAGACAGTGCGGGTATGGGAGACAGCGACGGGCCAGTGTCGCAGCGTGCTGCAGGGCCATTCAGACTGGGTCACGGCGGTAGTGTTCTCACCAGACGGACAGCTAGTCGCCTCAGCATCCGACGACAGGACAGTGCGGGTGTGGGAGACAGCAACGGGCCAGTGTCTCAGCGTGCTGGAAGGCCATTTGAGCTGGGTTAGGGCGGTAGTGTTCTCCCCAGACGGGGAGCTAGTCGCCTCAGCATCCGCTGACAGCACAGTGCGGTTGTGGGAGACAGCAACGGGCCAGTGTCGCAGCGTGCTGAAGGGCCACTTAAGCGGGGTCAGGGCGGTGATATTCTCTCCAGACGGACAGCTACTCGCCTCAGCATCCTACGATGAGACAGTGCGGGTATGGGAGACAGCAACGGGCCATTGTCGCAGCGTGCTAGTGGGCCATTTAGAGAGAATTAACGCAGTAGTGTTCTCGCCAGACGGAGAGCTACTCGCCTCAGCATCCTATGATGAGACAGTGCGGGTGTGGGAGTTAGCGACGGGACATTGTCGCAGCGTCCTGGAGGGCCATTCAGAGAAGGTTAGGGCGGTGGTGTTCTCCCCAGACGGGCAGCTACTCGCCTCAGCATCCGCCGACAGGACAGTGCGGGTGTGGGAGACAGCGACGGGCCAGTGTCATAGCGTGCTGCAGGGCCATTCAGATTACGTTAGGGCGGTAGTGTTCTCACCACACGGGAAGCTTGTCGCCTCAGCATCCGACGACAGGACAATACGGGTGTGGGAGACAGCGATGAGACACTGTCGTAGCATGCTGGAAGGCCATTCAGACCGGGTCACGGCGGTGGTGTTCTCGCCGGACGGCCAGTTGGTCGCCTCAGCATCCTGTGACAAAACAGTGCGGGTGTGGGAGGCAGTGACGGGACAGTGTCACATCGTGCTGGAGGGACATTTAGATAGTGTTAGTACAGTGGTGTTCTCGCCAGATGGACAGCTAGTCGCTTCAGTATCGCGGGACAGGACAGTGCGGGTGTGGGAGACAGCAACCGGACACTGTCCTACCGTGCTGCAGGGCCATTCAGGCTGGGTTAGGGCGGTAGTGTTCTCGCCTGACGGACAGCTGGTCGCCTCAGCATCCGACGACAAGACAGTGCGGGTGTGGGATTTAGCGACGAACCAATGTCGCAGCGTGATACAGGGCCATCTAGACTCGATTACGACGTTAGCGTTCTCCCCAGACGGGCAGCTGGTCGCCTCAGCATCCAACGACAGCACCACAGTGCAGGTGTCGGAGACAGAAACAGGACAGTGTCGCAGCGTTCTGCAGGGCCGTTCAAGCTGGAGTAGGCTAATGGTTTTCTCGCCAGACGGGCAGCTCGTCGCCTCAGCATCCTATGAGAAGAAAGTGCATGTGTGGAAGGCAGCGACGGGCCAGTGTCTCAGTGTGCTACAGGACTATCTAAAAGACGCCAGGGCCGCAGCGTTCTCATCAGATGGGCAGCTACTCGCCTTAGCATCCGACGACAGCACAGTGCGGTTGTGGGAGACAGCAACGGGCCAGTGTCGCAGCGTGCTGAAGGGCCACTTAAGCTGGGTCAAGGCGGTGGTATTCTCTCCAGACGGACAGCTACTCGCCTCAGCATCCGCTGACAGGACAGTGCGGGTGTGGGAGACAGCGACGGGCCAGTGTCATAGCGTGCTGCAGGGCCATTCAGATTACGTTAGGGCGATAGTGTTCTCACCACACGGGCAGCTGGTCACCTCAGCATCCTATGACGGGACAGTGCGAGTGTGGGAGACAGTGACAGGACACTGTCGCAGCGTGCTGAAGGGCCATTTAAGCGGGGTCAGGGCCGTGGTATTCTCGCCAGACGGGCAGCTACTCGCCTCAGCATCCTACGATGAGACAGTGCGGGTGTGGGAGACAGCAACGGGCCAGTGTCGCAGCGTGCTGCAGGGCCATTTAGAATGTGTTAGGGCGGTAGTGTTCTCCCCAGACGGACAGCTACTCGCCTCAGCATCCTGGGACAAGACAGTGCGGGTGTGGGAGACAGCAATGGGCCAGTGTCGCAGCGTGCTGCAGGGCCATTCAGACTGGGTCAGGGCGCTAGTATTCTCCCCAGACGGGCAGCTACTCGCCTCAGCATCCGACGACAGGACAGTGCGGGTGTGGGAGACAGCAACAGGCCAGTGTCGCAGCGTGCTGCAGGGCCATTCAGAATGGGTCAGTCCGGTAGTATTCTCGCCGGACGGTCAGCTGGTCACCTTAGCATCCTGTGACAGGACAGTGCGAGTGTGGGAGACAGTGACAGGACACTGTCGCAGCGTGATTCAGGGCGATTCAAGCTGGGTCTGGGCGGTGATGTTCCCGCCAGATGACCAGACACGTCAGACTAACAGAGATGACATTTCTCTACCGTCGAGCTCCATCACTGCTTCAGCTGTCCTACCTACTGAAGAACCATCTTGGACTACAGTAAACAATGAGTGGATCCTACGTCAAAATCGTCGCTTTCTTTGGCTTCCTCCTGAGTATCGGAACTGTAGGACGGCGGTGCACAAGAACATGGTGTGTCTAGGGTGTAATTCTGGACGTGTGACCCTACTTAGCTTACAGTAAGATAATTAGCATGGTCTCGAGACATCATTAAGTAATGGGCACCCACGTCTACCGGAACACCCAGCGTACCGGAACAAAATTCTCTAATTTACTAAAGAGTTTGTGAGAGACTCTACGCTCTAGTAGAAGTTTAGTTTATTTCGATCTATTAGAGAGCTCGCACCTTCTACTCTACACTAGTTAGTATAGGAAAAGATGATGTTCTAAGCACGCAATTAATCATCCTGTTCATAGTAACTTTTTGCATCTTAACTTTCAACTCTTACTTAGGCAGCTGAACAATGGAATACTATAATCTAGAGGTAATAGCTTAAGTCACGACCTCAAAGCTATATCCTAATAGATATTAAAGAGCTAAATATGAACTATAGTAAAGTCCAAATACTCTAAAGGACGGGGGTCTTCTTAAACCTAAGGGACTAGTGGTAGTAGCTATATTATATTATATATTTTAAAACCGCGCTATGCTTAATCTACTAGCGTTTTAGCAGACGGAGTCTACTTTCTTTGGGCTGGTGACCTCGGCTGCGGAGGCTGCCTTGGAAGTGAATAAGGCGTCCAATATGGGATCGATAGTCTCGACATCTACTTCGGAAGACATTTGGCTATTTTTACTGCTGTAGAGTGTTTCGCGGCGACTGCCTTATATCCAGCGGCCTTGCGCTTTGTGTCCTTGTCCTTGGTCTGTCCTTTCTTTGATGCCATGCCTGGAATAGAGACAATGTGTGCATTTTCTTTGATCTGATGACCCCGGGGCGGTACATCCTGGCGCAACTTGCAAGTTGGTGAGAGCTCCTTCGACGTTTTCTTTGCTCCAACTGATGAAGGCTTGAGAGAGCTGGTCGAGCCCAAGGCTACCGCTGATGAACACAAATGATGGGGACGCGGGTGTTGAGTATACTTTCGGTTGAAGTATTGGATTTGAGAATTGGAGGAGTCAAGGGTGTGTCTGAAGAGATCCCGGAGTGTGTGTAAGTGGATGCAGTGCAGGATAAATCAAGTCTTGAGACAAGGAGTGCAGGCTGCCGTGAGGAAGGACCAGGCGAAAATAGATTCAGTTCGAAAGGGTATTTTGTGCAAAATTCCTTAAAGTGCTCTTTGTGAGGAGCAGCGAAAAGCCTCGAGGAGTGAACAATAGCTTACGGTGTATTGTGTCTACGAGGCAAAATAGGTGAATCATGGCCCAAGCACTCCGCGCCCCACCAGAACACCCAGAGCGTACAATACGTGGGTGATAGGAGGAAACAACCGATAAAAGATTACTGTTACATATCTCTCATGTGGCTGATGCGAAACGTTACTACTGTGTGCTGGTAAGCAGTCGAGAGACGATGCAAGTTTCCTCGTCTACATACAACCTAGGCTAAGTTGGCTGCACAGTTGCATTTCTACAACGTTTTCACATCAATGAACTAAGACCCTGCATCTACATCTCTTCTGGCGTCGTTGAGTCCCTAGTAGTGCACAGAATAGCCAACCTGATATAGGCCATGGAGGCGCACGGTACGAACAAGTCGATTGGGGCGTAAAGAGCTTGTATGAGGGTGCGCGTCACTCGTACGGCGATTGAAACCTTCTGTATTTAGCTAAAGTATTTTCCAGCTATGCGTATCTCCGATGAAGGATGATTTTTGATCTCCGTTGCAGATGTCGGAGTAGTAGTGGTGTGAGACATCAAGTTGTGAGTCGGATGCTCGCAAAGTTGAGCTCAGACATTCTCATATGTCGGAATACTGAGCAGATTATTCCGTCATAGTTTGAACCTACGTCACCCCAGAGCATGTACACGTTGGAGGCGGGATACGTGATACTGGAAGTCACGTGACCAGCTCTTGTACATGGTAGGGGAATGTATACCGGACGTAGTAGCCTAGATAGCGCCACCCGCTCCTAGTACCGAATGCGCCTACAATTCCCGTTCGCTTTGTTGTTTTACTGTTTCTTTGTTGCTTTGTGCCCTTGCTGTCTCGGAAATATTGTTTCATATGCGGCGGCCTCACAACGTAATCAGCAGAGCCATGGTAGCCTCTTCTTTCTCGTTCACATTGCAGGCAGAGCATAAAGGTCGCACTGGAGATAGCGAGGACAGGACTGGTGCACTGTCTTTGCGTGCAAGACGAGATAACAGGGATGTTGCGGCCAGATCTCGAGAATAGGCGGGGGGCTTGGCGGTTCCCCACGTCCTAGACGTACCCCAACAAAGGCCACCATACCCATTGCACGCCTCCCACGAGTCAATTGCTCACGAAAACACCCCCAATACACCTCCCGGACACCTCCCAGTCATCATGAAGGTCGCCGTCATTCTCGCCCTGGCAACTGCCGCTGTCGCCGACATCATTAACAACGAGGTACCCCCACCATGCCGCCACACATCTACCATCCAGCTAACGTTTGGACGTAGCACCTCAAGACGGAAGTCACCAACAAGGTCGAGTGCAACCGCCCCACCAAGGCCGGCGACGGCATCCAAGTGCACTACCGCGGCACCCTCGAGAGCGACGGAAGCGAGTTCGACGCCTCGTACAACCGTGGCCAGCCGCTGGGCTTCACCGTCGGCAAGGGCCAGGTCATCAAGGGCTGGGACCAGGGCCTGCTCGACATGTGCCCCGGCGAGAAGCGCAAGCTTACCATCCAGCCTGACTGGGCGTACGGCAGCCGTGGCGCTGGCCCTATCCCCGCGAACAGCGTGTTGAGTACGTACATTGAGAGAGCCAAGTGGGTCGCACACGCACTAATGCTAAGCAGTCTTCGAGACGGAGCTTGTATCGATCGACGGTGTCAGCAAGGACGAGTTGTAGATACGGAACGTGGTGAGGCGTGAAGAGGGCACGATACCCGGATATAGCCGTGGGACGTTGGAAAACATACGGCATATGCATACGACTGATGATATGGACAAAAGAAAATGATATGAACTCGGGAGTGTGTGTGCATGACTAGTACATAACTACATACAACTTACTGGACGATACCAGTGTGCTTTTGCGCGCCCTAGGCCTTGTCCCACTTTCGTGCTGACCGATGGGTAACTCACGTCGCTAGGACGACTCTACTGATTCCCGTCGCAGCAGCTGCACACCTTTTGTCGCCATCTGTATGATTCAACTGAATGCTGTTTTGGTCTTGAGTTGCTCAACGAGTATAACAGAGGCCATTTCAATTACGAAAGAAGCATGAAAGAGCTCAGGGAAGCAGGTGGTGTCACGTGGTCCTCACACAACCTTGGAAGGTTCCGTTCTATGCAACCAGCAACTCTTCCCACCGTTACGCCTTAGTCATTCGTTGGCCGTTTCCATACTTCTCGATGACATTCTACCCTAAGAGATATGAAAGCACTCACCAAATTCTCTGCCTGTGGGGCTTGGTCTCAAAGAGCACCGATCGCAAGCCTTGATATGAAAAATAGCTGAGGACAGGCGTTTCAAGACGGCGACATTGGACGCGTTCCCGATTAATTTTCGAGTGCACATTACTTCTTGACGTAATAGAAGCTTCCTATTGTCGGTGGGGATGAATCTGTCCGCTATTATATTTTTCAACTTTCACTGGAGGTACTGTTCACCGAGTTCTTCACCCCAACCACCTCCCGAGCCGGACGACAATAGATGGGTGAGTTGATTTCGAGGCAAGAACCAGGCACAATAGCGAGCCCTCGATATATTTCCTGCGCAATGCTTGTCGTCGTCACCCAAAACCTTTCTCTCCACACACTTGCTCGTCAACTTTTCGAGCTGCATTTCTGCACTAAGAACACCGCTGCCTCAGCACACATCAATCTACGAAGCTCTTATTTCAAGCATATCCATAGAATCGCCTCCGCCGTCCATTCTCCGTCCGTTTAGCCCGTGATAACCGACAATTGGAAACGCACATCTTGTACAAATTTAGCAAACACGTCCGTCAACATCCTCAATCTTCTTTCCGAGGCGAAGGGCGAGGCTCCCGTAAATTTCACGACGACCTTCGCCGAATTCAGAATGGTATCCCCTTCCGCCGAGAAGCGTGCTGCTCAGCCTAAGCCAGAGCCTACCACCGCAGAGTCCGTCACCGAGAAGCAGGCCCCAAATAAGGGTAATCTCGAGGATTGCGACATCCCGAAGCCTCCGCATGAGACTCTGGCTGCATCCGAGTAACAGACCACACTGAAGCATGCAGACAAGAAGGATCCTTCTGAGAGTACTGATGCATACCGCAAGTTTGTGGCCGCCAATGCTGTCATTACGAAGAACAAGCAGCTCGCCAAAGCGCCGGCCAAAGCCGAAGCCGAACCGAAGACTCGTCTGGAGGTGCTTTACGCGCAACATATACGGGCTCCAAAGCGCGCGAAGGCACCTCAGGTTACTCGCAAGCCAGTCCTCGAGTTGCCGAAGAAGGTGGGTACTAAGGCTGAAGATTTGTTCAAGCAGCAGACCGATAACGTCGACGCGGAGGACTCCGACGCCTTCACAGACGCCGTGCACCTCGCGCTTATTTTCGAGCATACCACCACGGACTAGGATGCACAAGCCAAAGAAGAGGCGAGCAAGCTCACCGCATGCATTTCGAAGGGCGATCGCGACGCTCAGCTGCTCACCATCGGCATCGACAATAGTGCTGGTGGCGCGAGCAAGAAGCGCAACTACAAGAAATTCGAGATCGATGAGGACACTGACTCCGCGAAGCTGGCTAAGAAGGTGATGGCATCGTTCGTGTTTGTGGACCTGGATTTCAAGCCAAAGCCCGTCCCGCACCCGCATCCTCATGCCAAGAAAATGAAGATGGCCTGGGGCAAAGCTGCCTCTCCGCGCATGACGAAGGAGAAGGGTGACATGAAGCCAGAACATTCAGACGAGAGGACCGAGCACAGGGCCCGCAAGAAGCCGGCCAGGAAGACGGTCCCGCGTACCGCCTTGGACTACGCCTGCGGAGGCGAAGATGGAGAAGAATGTGGCGGAGGAGAAGAAGCCGGTAATGAACAAGAACCTGACGGAGGTTCTTGACAAGTCAAACGGGGAGAATCTGCCGGGTATGCGGACAAAAATTACGGCGGCGCAGAAGGACTCGCAAGGCTGCCAAGGCAGCGAAGAAGTAGGGTTTGAGGTGTAGCTGCTGGAGTTTTGGCTCGAAAGTGTGCATACGATGACATACTGAGGTACATTATCTCGGATGGATTTGTGATTGATGTGGAATTGCGCTGGACTTCGTGCTTAGTATGTGCGATAGGGACTGTAGAATTCACAGCCTCAAAAATAGTTATTACAAATACGCTCTGTTCGCATACCTTGTGGTGATTGTTCATTCACAATTAAAGGGCTTCCACAATGAGTTCCTCGCTACAACCAGCACCATTGTACGCAAACCACAGACCTAATGGAAGGTTCTCTGCGTCAACTAACAGCTATTCTGGTCTCCCAAGACCTTGCCGGAATCACAGTTTCTGAGCTGAGCACGGCTACGTGCCTCACAGCCACACTTCGTCATGACCTGTGGCTGTAATACGGTTTTGTTCCTTGGGTTTTTGTTAAATGATGAGGGGTTACAACTACCGGATGTGGCTGGTTCTGGATTCTGTTCTGCATTCCCATATTGTATTCCGATTCTGTATTTTCATTCTGTAACCCCATTCCGTATATCCGTTCTGTATAACCATTTGCATTTTCATTTGCATTATGCATCCCAGTTCTATATCCCCGTTTTATTACAGTATTTCGTACATTTTCTTTGTTAATTTATTCCTGGCAAAGGATTCCTGGTGGAAATCGTTTCAATTGTAGTGTCAAGGACCAAATAGGGGCTCCTTCTGACAATAACATAGAATTAATGAAACTAAATGATGCAAGGAACGAGTCTGATCTTGCTGCAGAGTTCGTATGAAGTTGCCTAGATGATATCACTTGCGATAAAAACAATGAACAACGACATACGCCCAGGCGAAACCTGTAGCGTGGGATCTTCACTTGATCTCAAGACTGAGTCTTGTAGTTTACGGAGCATTGTTTACAGATTCAGTAGCGCACAAAAGGTATTTTCAAGTTGTTGATCTGCACGTGGATATTGTTCGGTAGACTATCTACCAGCGCAAGGTATTCTCCTGATAGTCTTCTGCCTCTAGTCTTTGGTTCATTGTCCTTTATGTTAGCTTCATCAAAATAGCGGCTCCAGATTATTCTAAACTTGGCTTTATTCGTTATCATATACCTCAGCGACAAGGCGTCGTATACCTTTCGAACTAAGTCTTGATAACTAATGAGGGGCATTTACCTCTAGCACATCAAATCGATAGCTACAAACTTCCCCAAAGCATACAGTTCCCTTGACGTTGCCCGTTTCCGCCGGCGGTTCTGGAAATGTTCTCGTGGCACATGTGCCTCACATTCACCTCGATTTCACTAGCGCCAGGGGTCTTGGCACCGTCATTGTTCACCGCGTGCGATAGCTCTCACGCACAGCTCTGACAAGCCCCTCACCTGATTAATCTTCTCCATCTGCAAACTCTAAACGAAACACCATTTTTGCCCGGTATATCGCTGGCCCATCGTGCGACCATACCTACTTTCGAATCAACACCCACCGAGTTTTTTTTTTTAAAAAGTGCAAGCGATTGACCTGAAGATGTCTACTCGTAGAACATTCTCTTTGTCTCCGCGCCGCAGCAGCTATGTAAGTATCCGAACATCCCGTTCTTGCATGTGTTTCCAATCACATATCTAATATCAGAGCAGCCGTCGTACATGCAGCCGACGCAGGCTTCCGAGGCGCGCGCCCAAAGCGTCGTATCGCTGAAGCGCTCAAGCTCAACTCCAGCGTCAATTGAAGTGACGCCCGGCTCCATCGTATTAGCGCAAGCATCTACGGTCGCGATTGCCGTTGCCGAAGGTCCGCAGGTTCAGCAGGAGGTTGTAGTCGAGACGCTCCAGTCGTCGAAATTGTCCAATAATTACAATAGCAAGGTATATTTCCCACACATGATCCTAGAATCTCAGCTAATCTTTGATCAGGACACTTCCCACGAGTCTACCGCTCAAGTGACTGAGAAGTCCACCGTCCAACTTACTGAAGATGTCGTCCCTATTGCACCTATTGGCCCAATGGCACGCTTCGGCTCCAAATTATCTGCCACACCAATCGCTCCTACCATCGAGGTACTTCCTTCGAGTTTGAGCAGCAGCAACTCATCTAACAGTACGCAGGCTACGGACCCAACGCAGATCCCCGTGCCTCGCGCCACCGGCCAGGCCGTGAATACCATGCCTAAGAGCGTCAAGGTGACGAAGGAGGTATCCAAGAAGCGCAAGCGTCTTGAAGGCGTCGTGAAGAAGTCTTCCAAGATCCCAAACACCATCGAGCCTACGGTCGACGACGCGGACAAGAACGATACAGACAAGGAGCTAGTTACAAAGAAGCGCAAAACCCGCTCACAGGCTCCCAGCCCCGATGAGCTCCTGGAGCTGGACGCTGACGGCGACGACGAGGACGACGTAATCGTTCCTCAGCGGAAGCGCAAGGCCACGACTGTCGCCAAAGCGCGCGCAAGCAAGGCTGTCGTCGAGAAGCCGGTGTCTTCTACAAAGTCTTTGGACCCCGAGATTAACCGCATGATCAAGGCGGAGGAGAAGCGTAAGGCAGCAGCCGCGAGCGGAAACGTTTTCGCTCGCAACCCGAAGCTGCGTCGCTCTCTTGCTGATGTGACGGCGGCCTCGGCCAGGAGCCGTCCCATTTTGGGCCGCCCGACAAAGGTGGAGATGGTAGCTGCCCCAAAGAGCGCTAAGAAGATCGTCGCGGTCCCGCTCATGAAAGCCAGCTCCTCCGCCAGAATCAAGGAAGGCGCAGTCACTCATGACGGCGATGTCACCATTGCCGACCTCCGATCCATCAAGTACCTCAATGTCACGGCCAACATCCGCATGGTGCACATCGATCGCATTGTCCAATGCCCTTTGAACTACCCAAACATTCACATTGAGACCGACGAAAGCGAGCGTCCTGTCAAGGCTTACATCACCAAGATGACGGACAACGAGTTCAAGCTTGCGTTTGAGGCAGCGATTGGCCGTGATAAGGAGAAGCGCAAGCTTGACGCTAAGCTTGAGCGCCAGAACAAGGGCAAGGCCGCCGGTAGCAAGACAGCTCAGGCATCTTCAGTGCGCAAGGTTGTAGCGGGCAAAGCCACCGCTAGCAAGGTCCCAATTGCCACGAGTGCAACGAAGAAGGGAACAGCTACCAAAATCACGCCTGGCATAGGCACGGAGAAATCCCCGCTGAGCAAGGTTTTGAGGGGTCGGATCACTCGCCAGCCTCCCAAGTCTGGCCCTCGCTCATCGTGATTGGTCTGCTCTTCTTTGCATGTGTACTTGTCTTCTAATCTGTATGGCCGCTTATCCACGGATATTCTGTCTTGAGAACCTTAATATGTCATAAAAGCATTAGATTCAACTGATTTGGACGCTCAGCTCTCAGAATTCTCATGGTCGCAAGTTGCGATAGCACTTCTTCGCAGTTGTAACGACTAGTCTGTATCTTTGCCAGCAATGGTGGCTTTGTATTCAGAGAAATGGTTTCTTATAGTTTTGAATTCGAGAGTAATACTCTTATGAAATTGCTTACTCATACATACGGTTCTGACTGCAAGTGACGTAAAGTATGTTGTATTCATTTCCTGGGCGATATGATTTCTTACCACGTCTGAAGGCAGGCGTTGCAGAAATTTACAGTGGCTGAAACCTCCACAAGATCTACATACAGGTCTATCGCATGTACCAAGTTAATAATGTGTAAACTATGAAGGATATCCGTTGGGTTCCGACGGAGATGGAAGCCAGAGTCACCGCACCCACGCGGCCCGTAGCCCTTGTGAGTGCACAATCTTCATGAATGAGCGTGCACTGATGTACTTGCTCTGGGTAGCTACAGCAATCTAGATGAAACAGCCCGTAAGCACATTGTTTGGCTAGGCGTTGTGGCCGCGGCGTGTGCCTATTGTTCTCCTTGCGTGGTGACTAAGCGAGCATTCACCTCGCTTTCACCATACCCCCAAACCTCAACTTTCCGCGCCAAGACAGCTGCGGCGGCTGTCACACGCGCAGCGAGCGTCATAGCTCGCAGAGGGCGAGCCTTCAGCCTTTCTAATGCGGTCTCTCTCTGTGTCGCGCAATTGACACGCACTCAACAGTCAACCACTCAACACCCACTCAACACCTTAATTGCACGTGTGTATCGATCACACCGCTTGCTTACTACCACTTCCACATATCCCTTAATCTTCCGCACGTCTCTGTGCCCGGAAAGACAACATGTCTTTCCCGCAGCAGGAGACGCCCACCGGCTCGCGAAAGCGCGCCCGTGACGAGGCCAGCGAGCCGGGCGACGAGGAGCTCGACCATCATATTCTCAAGTACCAAGCCGCATGCTCTCCACCATCTTACTATCGCTCTGGCGGCGTCAGCATTGGCAGCAATTCAGCGGCCGCTCAGGTACGTTTTCGCTCCTCAACCTGCACGTCGTACATGAACGAAATTTGACATTGTGAAGGGCAAGTGGCGCATCCCCCCGGTCCCTCAGTCCGCCCACACAGGCTTCGCGAACTTCATATCCTCCTTCCCCAACACCATTCAACCTGCCCAGTTAGGTCACGGTGTGGGTACTACTCCAGATCGCCCTGTAGTCTTCCAAGGAGACAACGTCGTGCAGGGCGCAATCCCTCCCCTTCAGCCAATATCATCCAACACCCGATCTTTCGAGCGATTGGACGGGCAGCATTCCAGCCGGCAATGCCAAAAGTCTCACTGCCTCGTACGGTCGAGCGCTGGAGGCTTTGTTAACCATAACGCAGGAGCGGCAGCAGATCTACGGCAGCGCGCAGCACAAATATCACGTATCCCAGCAGCTGACCATCCTCACCCATTTCCAAATCGGCCTCCCTCTAGCGTAAGCTACCAACAGCTGGATAGGAGTGGAGGACATCCAGCACATACGGCATTCGGTTCCAATGGCCTACCTCCTGTCCAGCAACAAAAGTACCAGGCTAGCAATTTAGTTCCGAACCAGCCATACCAGCAGGCGCTACCAAACCAGGCCTCGACTCCAGCCCAGCCTCAGATGTATCAACCTACAAGAGCAGAGGCAGACTGGTATAACACAGCGTCACACCAGCTTGCCCACCCGATCTCTTACGTACCCCGCATACCCTACCGCTATGCTATGAAACGCAGTGATTGTAATACACTGCTCTTCCCGTACGATGTCTTGAACCTTCGACACCTTGAGCCTAAAGAGCGATACATTGCGTACGCCAGGTATAGCAATGCCCTCAAAGCCATTTATGGCCAGGCCCCGGTTAGACTAGAGACGAAAGTTGCTTTCCAACAGTGGTTGACGAACGAGTCACGCGTCCTACGGGACAACGAAGGCCTAAACTACCAATACCGTCAGGAGCAAGGGGATTTAGTAGCGTGGAAGCAGGCTCGCACTCATGAGTACAGTCTTGCACAGTTAGGCCTGAGCCATGCCAATGTCCCCATCACTATCGCTGACCCTCAACTTATGGGTCACCAATTGTCATATGCTCAATGCGTCCCTCTTCCCTCGCAAGTCCCACCGGGAGCCGATCCTGGCACTTCCCCAAACATCATCATGCCAAATGTCAACAAAGTCTCATACCAAGCTGCAGCTGGTCCTGAAAACAGGTACTCATCTCCTGAACCATCTCGAGGCAAAGCCAGGCAGGAGTTGGCGCCTCCAAATACCGATTACAGTCCTCCAGCGGCAGCAGGCGCCAATCAGCAATCTGCAACCTCACGCGGCACCCTGCCCAATGGTTCGCCTGCTTCCATGGGCTACCAGACATCGACAGCAGCTCTGCCTACCACAGTCACACCCGAGCAGCGACAGCAGTCATCGGTCCAGAACCACGAGCAAGGCGGATCCGCCTACGGGATCACATCGTCTACTCCAATTGTGATCGACGACGATGAGCCAGATCAACTCACTTCTAGCTACGCTCAATATTCAATGATCCTGAATGCAGCAATAAAGCGACGTCGCTCAGATGAGCAAGGTAGAGTGGCCAAGGTTGCTCGAACCGCCTCGTACACCAAGCCGATCGACCTCACCAACGATAGCGACGAGGCTGCGACCTCACCTTCACTTCATGCACCGTCTGCTGCACCTGAAGCTTCATCTATCGCGTCAATTGCTCTTGCTCCAGTTCGCCAGACCTTTGCGAATTCTGAGAACATGAAGGAGTTTGAGTCGTTCAAGAGAGTCTGGGACCAGGAGAAGCAGCAGGTAATTAGCGTTGGGAAACGTATTAATAGCCTTCCTGAGACGCTCCGCAATCGCGTTACCAATCGCGAGTTCGATCACAAGGACGCCTGGCTGGCCTTCACTGCAAAACTTCAGACAGAAGAGCGAACGAGACGCAAAATCGAAAGTGCTAGGCGTGATAAGCAGGAGAGGGATGAGAAGCGGATTGCACAGCAAGAAAGGGACGCTCAGATTAAGAAGGACGAGAAAGCGAAAACAAAAGCAGAGAAAGAGCGTCAGAAGCGGAAGGAAGCTGAACAGAAAGCACGACAAGAGCAGCGCCGCTTGCAACGCGAGGCGAAGCACAAGGAGGAAGAAGAAAGGGCTGCACAAGCTCAAAAGGAGCAAGAAGAGCGTAAGGCTTCTGCCAAAGAGAAAGAGACACGAGAATTGGCTGAGCTTTTGGAATCGGGTCTCGACGACGAGACCCAGGATGTAGTCTCTTCGAACGGTCATTCCACCGAAGTCATCTCTGTTGGCGACGATGAGCCTGGAGAGCAGGGCAGTCTTGCCAGTGACGATAAAATGAGTGAGCAGGGAACCTCGGTCTATCTACACGGCACCTCAACAGAGACCACTTCTCGTGGTGATGAATACGAGGCCGACCTAGACTCGCTGTTTGAGGAAGAGGACAATATCGAGCTTGAAAGTCTTTTCGATGAGGAAGAGGGTGGTGTTAATACGCCTGGTACCTCCCTTGAAGACGACGAAATGACTTCAGCGATAGCCGCCGCCGGGACCTCCGAAACAGTGGGCTTGAAAAAATCGAGGACTGGTTTGTCAACCGAGCAGGAGTCTGTCCAGGACGAGTATTCCGACACTGAGATCCCCATCAAAGAGGTCTTGGAAGAGCCAATCGCAGAAGACCGCGATGGCGAAGAGGACGACAGTGATGACGAAGAGGAAGACCCGGAGATGATGGGCATCAAAGCCCAGTTGCGAGCTCTGGACGAAGAGATCGCAAGAATTGCCATCCACCTCTCGTCAGCCAATAAAATGTTTAAGGCCAGAGCTCAGAAGACGATCGACAGCCTGCTCGAGAAAAAGCGCTCTTTAGAAAACGAGATCGCCAGGCTTATGGAGAACAAGAAGATGGCCCAAGTCGAGGACGAAGGCGGATTGTAATTTCTCTGTGGTTTTATCAGAAACCCAACGAAAATGCGCAAATTCGCAGTAGCCAACCACATTTGGTAAGTAAAACATGTAGCATTTTCTTTAAAACGGTTACTAATAAAAGAAAGGTTCCCCGCACTCCGCATTACGCTCGATATATTTGCAAAAGATTTGTTGCGGCGACGTCGGAATCCGATTGTCACACCTTCTGTTCTTATTCGTCCAATTGACATAACTGCGATTAAAGGGCGCCCTACCAAGTTGCTCAAATCCATTGCGGGGCATGCGCATGGAACAGAACGCACCCCAAGCGCTCGACCAACTTTCCGTGTGAGCCATTTCTGGATTGAATTCCGTATCTGATCTCGGTATTGGAGATTTCTGTACTTATAGAATGTGTGTATTTGGTTTCTGTATTGGGATTGTATGTGGCTTCTGTACTTGGGGTGGATGGATTTGGCTTTTGTACTGGGGGATGGGTGGATTTGACCTATGTATTGGGGATGTCAGTAGATTTTTGTATGTATCTGAAATTTGCAGGACATAGGTGAGCTATCAGAGCGTTGGATGGCGTTATGGCAGAAATTCTCTGAAGGCGAATACTCTGAATTTCCTTGGCTTCAGAGAATCGAGGGTGCAGTCTTGGACACCGAACTCCTTATCCATCAGCCGTTTGGCAAACTGTGGATTGGTAAATGCTGAACAGTTGCCATATTCACACGGCCGACTTTACACTAGTGATTACGTTTCGTCCGTCGCACAATAATTCCAGCCTAAGAAATTTCCTGGCAATTATGATGGGAGATGCTCATTGTAAGAAAGGTCATTCAGGTTCTTGCACCAGGCGTCGCTGCATCATGGACCAGACCTCCGTATCAGCGGCGCATCACACTCGCTGGTGCCATTTGTCTGTCACTGCACCTCATGGTGGTCTAACCCCAGAGCTACGGCCATCTCGGGAGGCTTCTTGGTGCTCCTCGTACCTACCGTGCCGGAGGCACGATTTTCCAAGATCTAGAAAATAAATCACAACGGGTCCACAAGCAGATGGCAAAGGAAGGTCGCGCCGTTGCGAAGAACGTTAGAGAATAATGAGAATGGTGTGCCGGAGGCCAGGGTGTAGATGGCGCGCTATGGCGCGCTGCTCATCCCCATCAGCTTGGTCTGGTTCGCCTGGTCGAGCCATTTTATGGTGCTTTGGATTGTGCCCATCATCGCATCTTTGTTGTTTGGGACTGGCATTCACATCATCATCTTGAGTATCCCGAACTACTTGATTGATGCCTACCAAGTTCATTCTGGTTCGGCATTTGCCAGTACGATTCAAGTTGGAAACCTGATTGGAGGAGGAGTTTCTATGTTTGTTACACAATTGTATACGAAATTGGGGAATGAGTGGGCTTCAAGTCTGCTGGGGTTCATTGCGATGCTGTTGGTGCTAATTCCATGGATTCTCTTCTATACACGATATGTCATCAGGAAGCGCATCCCATGAGCCTCAGAATATCTAGACCAGGAAAAAGATGTTCCTCATTGGTGTCAAATTTCAAATTGCATCCGACAGTAGAAAAGCTCATGACCACATAAGACATGGCCTGCCAAGGAACAGATAAGCAAGAATGATGCAGATGCGTACATGCATTACAGTCCAGTGATCCATCAAAAATGTATGTGTAGTCAGGTCACCTTGATAAAAGCCATAAAAATACATGTAGGTCGTTGCGCCTTGGATCTCGATACCCTCATGCACATATATGTATCAGCGTCCTGGCGTGGATAGATTGGCCAAGTTTCAGGGTCGCAAGCGGACTGAGTGACGCTCGATGGGATTGCCCGGGTGACGTTCTTAAGTAGTCCAGAACGTAATCATAGAACTATCGGGCCAGCCGTAGAATATGAAGATTGACTCGTTGAGATTACTCTACACGTAGAGCTGGGTGTAGGTACAAGTGAATTTGGAGGTTCCTGGATAGGACGAAGATTTTTCTCACGAAGATATGTCAGTAAAGTTTATCCCACTGAGATTTCCACATCATCGATACAGTGAAGACATGCGAATTGATCCAAAAGTTAATGCTCAAATACAGAAAACCCAACAACGCTTGGAATGCTGATTCTGGCAACTCGTTCCGATTGACTTCCTTCTACGCAAAAAATCTCCAGATATCTTGCAGAAACACACAATTACCTTCATGCCTTTACGTTCGTTACTGTTGCGCCGCTGCACCTATAATACAGAGAAGCGGACGCATATCTAGCGTTACAAACGCATCGAGCGGCGAGAGCCATTGAAGCTAGGGAGTTACGGATGTCAAGTCCAGAATGTGAGTTATTGGACAGGATATATACAGTCCGTATCCCGTGTGTTCATAGGGCATGAAAAATGCTTTGCCTTCCTCAATGGCCAATCGATGGAGTCGGGAAGCCCTGGCGTGACTCGGCAGATGAGGTTTCTCGAAGTCAAAGTCGGAGAGCGTTTGGAACCTACTCTTGTAGTCTAGTTTCACTGTGCTTGCATTCTGTGTGTAGGCTGCGGGTCTCTCTCAGTCAAGGTCCAAGGATCGTACTTGTCGAGAGTTTCGTATCCACTGGTATGTAAATTAGTCTAGTGATAGGCTATGGTCATTGCTAGACGTGTTGACGATGCATCTGTCATCAGGACTTGTTCTGAGAGGGTTCCGCTAGCTTGCTTATACGGTTCATTGGACTGATTTACAGAACTGATATACAATTGGTGCAGGATGGGGAATCGAGCATTTATTCTAGACGGACTACGTCTGTATGTATTTATAATAAGCAATCTGTCGCACCATCGATACCCCGTTGCAGACACTGCCACTAGGGCCTGTGACGAAGGACTTCAAGGGCGACCGTTGAAATTAAGAGATTATAGATCAGGGCAATGAGGTTGTGAATGCGAGTCATCTCACTATCGTTACACACATTCTTAGGAGAAGGTACTATTCCTGGGATAGAGAAATGAGGGGCAATAGTAACAAAAAGGCAAATGTAGTTGACACCTCCACGGTGATGAACGTCCTATTGGCACTAACCCCACAACAGCTAGCCTCCCTCCTCCGAGTTTCGGCATCCAATCACCCCATCTATCCCAAATTTCCCCAGTCACAACTCCACCCTCCATCCATTGCAGAAATGGCAGCCCGCACCCTCCGCATAGGTACCCCGCCTCAACTGCGGACTCATGAAATTATATGCTAACAAATGACCAGGCCTCATTCCCGGCGATGGCATCGGCCGTGAAGTTATTCCCGCAGGACGCCGCATCCTCGAAGCTCTGCCCTCGTCGTTCGGCCTGAAGTTCAGCTTCTCGCACCATGAAGCTGGTTTCGAGACGTTTCAGAAGCGGGGAAAGGCACTGCCTGACGAGACTGTTGAGGCGCTCAAGAGCGACTGCGATGGCGCGCTGTTCGGTGCTGTGTCGTATGTTGCCCATCTCCACCTACAACCCGCAATTGAGTCTGCACGCGACACATGTTGCATTGTTTGGAAGGTCTTAGAGGCTAATTGATAGCTCAGATCCCCCTCAACCAAAGTAGAAGGCTACTCCTCCCCCATTGTTGCCCTCCGCAAGCGTCTCGCCCTCTACGCCAATGTGCGCCCCGTCAAGAGCACACGCTCCGCCGCCCGCCCCGTTGACCTAGTCATTGTGCGCGAAAACACCGAAGACCTTTACGTCAAGGAGGAAAAGACGTACAACGCGCCCGACGGCTCGCGCATCGCCGAGGCCATCAAGCGCATCTCGGAAACGGCGTCCTCCAACATCGCCGCCATGGCTGGCGACATTGCGCTGCGCCGCCAGCGCGTACGCGAGAGCGGCCTCGCCAGCATACACAACCGCGGCATGGTCACTATCACGCACAAGTCGAATGTGCTGTCCCAGACCGACGGCCTGTTCAGGGAGGTCAGCAGGAAGGTGCTCGGCGCAGATAAGTACCAGATGCTGGAGATTGAGGAGCAAATTGTGGATTCTATGGTATACAAGCTGTTCCGCCAGCCGGGAGACTACGATGTCATTGTCGCGCCGAATCTGTACGGAGACATCCTGTCCGACGGTGCTGCCGCGTTGGTCGGTTCCCTGGGCCTGGTGCCCTCCGCGAACGTGGGCAAGGATTTCGTTATCGGCGAGCCGTGCCACGGTAGCGCGCCTGACATCGAGGGCCGGGGCATCGCGAATCCCATCGCAACGATCCGGTCTACGGCGCTCATGCTGGAGTTTCAGGGTGAGGAGCGCGCCGCAGCAAAGATCTACGAGGCCGTCGACGCGAACCTCGAGGAGGGCCGTCTCCTGACGCCCGACATGGGCGGCACAGCTACCACCGAGGAGGTCATCGAGGACGTGTGCAGGAGGTTGTAAATCTATGTTGGATATTATAGAAAGAGAGGAGATACTTGTACCAGGCTAGATACCATGCATGTAAAAGCGTCGTCTAATGCGGTCTGATGTTACCGTATGCACATTGAAGCAACGCAACCCACCGTGTCCGTCCGTACCCAAATCTAGAGTGCAATGCAACTCCGCTGCCAGACCCTATAGTAAACGCCGTGCTATGATTAGACTGCGGCCAACGCCTAGTCCAGCTCGTCGTCGTTCTCCGCAGCCTTCGCTTCGGTTCTATCTCCGCCATGCACCTTCTTCACCAAATCCTCCGCGCTTTCTATGCCAATCTCCTTCTTCGCCTCCTCAGTCGGGATGAGCTGGAAGATGACGACAAACAGCTCGGTATTCGTGCTTCGGTCCTTGAGGACGTATCTAAGAGAGTGCGTACTACGTTAGTCAGACCGCGAACCACCCTAATCAAAGTGCCTCATGTATGGCCGAGGCGAGTAGCGGAGAGGAGTATTGTATTACTCACCGAAGCGGCTGGCCATCCCAGTGTCCGATAATCGATATCGCAGGCAGTCCGTACCCAATCTTAAGCGCGAACTCATTGAAGTCGACGTATGGGTTGAAGAAATCGCACTTGTATTCGCGCCCCTCTTCGAAAGTGAAGTCGGTCCGCTTTGTCTCGTTGAGGAAGTGCTTCTGGCGCTGCGCGGTTGCGGCGGGGATACTGTGCTTGGAGCGCACCTCGACGCCGTCGCCTTCAGCGCCTTCCTCGTATACCACTACTTTGCCCTCTGTCTCCTCGCCTGCGTCAGGCGCATGTGGAGGGTTGTTGCCTATCCGCAGGACGTTGATCGAGGAGAGCAGTGCGCCGTAGAGGTACGGGTTGTCGCCGTACACATCACCATCAAGCCCAGGGTCTATCCACCACTTCACGATGCCGAAAGCCTTGTCGAAGAGCGGCGGCAGGCGGTCGCGGATTGGGTGTTCGAAGTCGTTTCCAAAGACAAGGTCTTTGCCCGTTATGGAGCGTTTAGGTGTGAAGGCGAAAGAGATGGAGTAGCGGTCGTAGGGATGTTGCGGGGTGGAGAAATATGGCGATGTTGAGGGCGAGCCTTCTGGCAAACCTATAAGGTACGTCTTAGTATGTTCGGTAAGACGTTGTGTGTACGCGCGAATTGGGATGCCTGAGTACCATGCGCGAGCTGGTTAAATCCTGTCGCGTGCTGCGATGGGATCTTAGAAAGTACGTACCCCGGTAGTCCTTGATGCGCACATGTATGCGCGCATCAATATGCTCTGATGAGATATTCACATGCTTCTCTGTGTTCACGTGTACATCCTCGTGTTTGGACGTGTCGTATGTCGCGCCCGCGGTAACCTTCAATATGTATTGTTCGTGGTGGGCCATCGTGGGGCGAAAGATCTTTCCTTGTCGCCGAATAGTATGGGACAGACTATTTAGGACGTTTGAAAAGGGGGGCTTAGTATGTTTGTGACTGAAACACAGGCCGACAATGCGGTTGTTTGCCCCTCTACAAATTTGTTGACGATCACGATGACGTTCGGAGGGTCTGTCGGCGGAAGGAGCGCTCAAAGCGCAGGGTTCTCCACACGCTAAGCCTGTTCGGGCATTATAGCAAAAAAAGATGGAAGGTGCTATTGACCAATACAAAAACAGTGAAGCTACAAATCTGCCTATATTTTTCAATCGGGTATTACAACCGTGACCTCATATCGTCGTGAACTCATCCAGATCTACGCGCTGATAAAACGAAACATGACCGAAAGTCTCCCAGTACTGCGCGAGACGATCGTGTGAAATCATGATGAGCTGAGATGTCATGTAGTCGTCTGGATATTATTAGCACCGTTTACTTGCATTAGGAAAACTCATTCGCCTCACCATCTCTGAATCCTCTTGCAGCGATGTGGCCAACACTTTTGACGATACGAGCTCCCTTGAACAGCTCCTCTTCTGCAACTCGAATCAACCCGCTAGGACCAATTTCTGGCGCAATGAAGGTGTATTCTCCTCGTGGTATGTTCGGGTCTCCGGTGAGTTTTACGGCCTCAAGTCGACCTCGGTAGATGACCTCGTCGCTGTCGTTGTGTTGATCCTCCATCAATTGGGCTGGTGCATGTATTGGCGACGCATGTAAAGTGGAAATGCTATCACCCATGCTCGTAGCTTCTTGGCCAGCAGCCATGTTTTCCTCTGGAACGGCATCATTATCATCCCAACCGTCTGCATCCCACTCTTCTTGGACGCTTGGTGCTGTACTCCACGAGTCGCCACTGCTGACACTACCCTCACGTTCTGCTGCTCGCAAGACCAACTCTGCACGTTCTGGCAGGGGTCTGGGTTCGTCTGGTTGCATTACCACCAGGAATTCGCATCCATGACCCGCGTAGTCCCCGCACCATATTCCTTGCCAAGGCTTCTGTGGAGTGGGCGTGTAACTCTCCGCAGGCAGCGTGCCCCATGTGGTTACGTCTTCTCCCACACGCATGCTAATCCCATGCGGCCGTGACGAGAACTCCATCCATCTTCTCAACCTAAAGCTCGCGGAAGACATTTCCGAGATACGTGACGGCCGGTGGGCGACATCGCGAAAGTGGCTCGGCGATTCATTCAGCGTGCGGACCGGACTCGGTATCGTAAGCGGCGGCCAAACAGGCGTATTCCGTGTGGTAGCTTGGTTGGGCCATGCCCTCGTCAGTATAAGCTGAGAGTGTATTCCAGAGTTAGGTCGGGGTAAATCATCAACAAAGTTCATAGGAACTTCTTGCGTCAGGCGATGGCCAGCGTCTCCAACCGCCACCTCATAACTTCGAGCATCCAAGCGAATCACTGGGGCATTGAGATCCAGCCTGATGCGGGGATTGAAGGTGTGTATAATCGCGTGTGGGTTCCAAGACCACGTCTTGAAGGTAGGTTGACGCCGCTCCGCAACGAGTGCATATCCTTCGATGGCATTTAGTCGATGATCATATCTGGCTACTATGAGCTTTCCTGTATGTAGCGTGTCTGAAAACCAGATCTGATTCTGTGCGATGAACCAGTAGGGGTGGTGTAGCTTGAACAGCTCGCGCCAAGTCAAGCCATTAGGCTTAGGCACTTCATAACCCGGTACGTGGCTCTGAACAAACGGCTGGTACAGCGTGTCCTGCCGGGAGTGTTCAAGAAAAGCATGGTTTACCAATCCCACTCTCACCAAATCAGTTAATGGTAAGAAAGTAAGGATGTGGTGGATGAGCTCTGATGGGAGTGTGGAGATCGAAGGAGGTGCGTGTTCAGCCATGGCGAAAGAGAGTGGTTCTGGTCGGGTATTTATCGAAAGCCACCGGTTGTGTGTAGATGTACTTCGAAACAGGAGGTTCAGCGCGGGATCGTGAGTAGCAGTACAAAGCGCTCTTCAGCCGTCAACCCCGCAAAGCGCGACCTATTACCGACTTGTCCACGAGGACAAACAAACCCCAAGCATGTGGAGAAGCGCTTGTCAGGTGAAAGCGAACCTTGGCTGTTGATGCTATCTGCTGGGAGGCTGTGGCACCTTCCAGATAACGCCTAGCAAAAACACGCCTGGTACTCAAGATAGACGACCGACCACAATTTCGGAGCTCGACGCTCTGGAAGTGAACTGCACCTGCTGTTTTTGATATTGGAAGTCCTGCCGTTTGGGACAGATTGCCAGCCGATTGCGATATCGGGACGATTATAATGATGTGAAGCAGGGTTGTTATGCAACTAAATATATCTCCGAACCCAGGACTGGGTCGATGCAGGCTTTTGTATTGCGGATGGTGAATGGAGGAGGGTCGACGGACGGCTCGGCATGCGACGAGGATGTTGAGTGAGGTTGGTGAGCTGATGTCCTCGGTCTTGGTGTTGATGTCGCCTCCATTGTTGCACGGGCCATGACCGACGCCGGCGCTAGGAACTGTGGGGAAGAGCAAAGGACATAACATCACATCTTGGTGAGCATTTTATTGCCAGACCTAAGATCGTTGTTTCCCAGAATCGTTTCCCCTTATCAGTATCACGGGCTGTACACTGAAGCACGCAATTATCCTGTCGACGATGATACGACGATAGTCGGATGTGGAGCCGACCGAGACGCGTGACCCACGCAAGTAGACACCGTCTGCATCAGGCAACTGGGGTTTGGTCCGATCACACCGTCTCCAATAATCACTATCATAACGCTGTCGCCGCGTTTCATACACACACATAAATGGCACCTGCCAACAAAGGACAACACCCGCGGGCCTGGCCGTCAAGAGGTTCGGGTCGTGGTCTCCACATGTCAGTTACAGCTCCCAGTGCCCTCGCACCGATAGGACCAAGGGCTTCATAGCGATACTCCAGGGGAAATTATCTATCGGACTCAGGCGATAACTTTCGAGCTGGGATTTTGAACTGCTATCACGTTCACTCCAGCACTCTATTCACCTGGCAGGTGCGGCATGTTACCTGGTTTGAAGTCAAGATAGGCTGCTGCACGGGTATTTTCAGGCGACATGCAGCCCTTTCTACTCTAACTTCAGGCCAAATGTAAACTAGAATGACGATTAGATGGTAGTAGTCATTGATCCCCTTTTTCCTCGACCTCAGTCTTTCTGGGTCCCGAAATCTGGGCAGCTGGCGCCAGTGCTCATTTCTGCCACATTCTTGACAGAAATCGGCCAAGAGCACGCCCATATAGATGATTTACTGGAGGCAAGGCGATGTGCGTGTTGGTTTCCAATGAGTCTTTCGTGGTTCTCGACAACGTATCGTGGATCCGTTTGCAACACAACTGCGTGTCAAACCCGTGGCGTTATACGGGCTCTTCTGACATATACAAACTACTCAAGCAGCAATGCAGGGTTCGTGCTGGTGTGTTCAGAGCAAGAGAAGGAAGCCCCGCGACATTCACCTCAGGAAGCACTTAGAGCACGTGCCTTCGGCCGTATTCGACGCTGACCCATATCCCACTATACAATCTACAAAACACACTGTGTGTCTTCTTCAGTCGCTCTCACAACCTAGTCAACTGATACCACCTCGTATATCCAAGCCGGAACAATCGTCAGCACAATGTTACTCTCCAAAATATTCCGACTCGCCGTTATGGCCGCGACGGCAGTGGGTGTTTCCGCACACACGCAGCGCACACCCGCGGAGATGATCGAGTATCACCAAAAAGTCGCGCGTGACGCCAAAGCGCTGACCAAATGCCTTGACACCCCGGGTCTGAAGGAGCTCAACACTCGCTTCATCGCACAGCGTCGCGAGTCTTTCCACCGTCTGCGCAAGGCTCGCGGTATCGATTTCCAGCCCCGTGGTAAGCAAAGCTATGCTGTTATCCCGCGAAACCTACTTATCGCATCGCAGACAAAGCAGCTCTCGAGAAGTGGCACAACATCAACCATGACCAGACCGCTAGCGGTAAAGGCAATGACTACAAGAATGACGGCAAGCTCTTTGAGGTCGATGGGAACGACCCAGACAATAAAGTGAAGCCTTCCGTGTGCATTCTTACTCCCGAGAACGTTTGGGTCCGTTCTGGACCGACCGTGAGGCCTACCGTCAAGATATTCGTGGGGACCAGAAGGGTATCTACCAGCGCCTGGCACTTCAGATCATCGACGTTACCACGTGCAAGCCTCTCAGCGGCGCCCGTGTCGATGTCTGGCAGGTCAACGCCGATGGGAAATACGCGAAGCAGGTCCGAGACGATGGTGGGGGCGATGTACACTGGTTGACTGGAGCTCAATCGACTTCTTCGTGGGGCACAGTAGCCTTCGATACCATCTTCCCTGGCCACTACACCGACCGCGCTGTTCATACCCATCTTGCCGTCCGGGCCAATGAGAAGTTCAATGATCCCGACGGCTTCGTGCACACGGGCCATATCTTCTACGATGAGTACCCGCGCGAGGAGATCGAGGTATGTAAATCTCGCGGTATATTGCACTTTTCTAACCCAGAACAGAAAACCGCACCCTATAAGAGCAACACGCAGAAGCTGGTCCTCACCATAGACGATGCGTGGGCTCGGGCAGTAGCCACTGAGAAGGTTGATCCGTTCGCACATTGGGCCTGGCTCGATGATGGAAATCATCAGGGTATGTATTGACTGGTGTGCACTTGGATGCGTTCTAACATCATGCAGCGGGGATCGTAACTTGGACGACTGTAGGTGTGAACTCATCTGCTCACATCTCAACTTGAATGGAAACGCTTGGGCTCTGGTTAACTAATTGGTTCATCGTTACCTCAATATCCGCTAACTATATGTGGACGAATACATAGATGGGACCAAGATGAGCGAAGTCGTCAGCCGACTACTTTGTCGTGCTCGGCTATAAACTGGCGGCTGTTCAGCTAGGTATGTATGCATCGAAGCGAATACACCAGAGGCCCGTGGATCCAGCCGTGCAACAAATGAGGTAACATGAACCTCGGGTTTTACGTTACTTCTCGATACAGCGATCATGCGTGCTCATATAAGAAGGTGAGAAAGGCGATATAACGATGTGCAGAAGACTGTGATCGGTGTATCCAGGCTTGTCTGTTCTTCTATGCTGTGGAGCGATCTGCACATAATGCACCCGCTGTGTGGCTGAGCATGACCGGTCAGATAGGCACAATCCTTCCCTGCTCATTCCGCCGCCCATCACTCATTAGTGTGTGTAGATTGTCTTGAATCAAGTCGATTTGTGCATAGTTGTGAGGAATTGGGGTGGACGGCGGTGTTAAAACAGCGGATGTCAAAGCGACAAAACTATAACAGGAGACCGTATAGAAATGGCTTGGACCTACCGTCACAAGTCACTCATAGTTCCAGCAGGGAGATCCTCAGCTGTAATTTTTGATATTTTTTCACCTGTCTAACACCCTCTTCCAGCCAACAAGTGTCTTCTAGCCTCTATGCCTCTCCAGATCAGGCCCATGTATACATATACCGCTCCCGTTTAGCCCGTGTCCCTCTCCATTTCTGGGTCTTAGAAGCTGCGCAGTCCGCACGCCTACAATTTCTCACACTACAATCCATCTTCATCCTTTTCCGCCACCAGTGTCGTTGTACCGATTTGCACATGGCTAGCTGCGATGCTTCCTTGCGAAATTGAAGCCCTTGTCGGGGTCATCGTCAGCCCACTTGACGCCCTTGAGTATTTCAAGCACCTTCCCATTGTCCACCGACTCCGCCAATGCCAACATAACGCTATCCTTCGCGTTCGCTGTGGCCACCTGAGCTCTTCCGTCCTGACCTATGTAATCAGCGCCCGGACCCCAACCAGCACAATGGCCGTTCCAGAGAGGCGGAATTAGTGATAGCAATTGTCGATGTTGGGATAACCTCCACCGCCGGTAACGTTGAAGAGGGTGTCATAAATCTCTGTACTACATGACAATGCTGCCGAAATTCAAAGCTGGGGCGCACGCGACAATGCCATCGAAGGGTTCGGGGTCAGCCTGGGCGACGCGGATGCCTCGACGAGCGCCGGTGGCACAACCGATGTGATAAGACTTCAGAAGATTGGATCCGTAGTATGCCTCGACTACCGCCTCGCCCGCTACTGCAGCTTACTGAACACCACACCAAGAATATTCAATGAGGACTTCAGACTGATCGAGCAACGCGCGGACTGAGGTGCCGCTATGCCCTCCTTTGGAGCTGATAGTCACGAAGCCTAGGGATATGCCGTACGCCATCGGAGTAGTCAATGCCTACAGTCTTCGGGAGGTTGGGCTATCACCAACACCCATCGAATTTCCTGTTACCGACAGATAGAAGGCCAACCCTCGACTCATCTGGCAGCCATGCCTCCACCATGATCGAGCTCGACAATGACGCTATAACGTTAAGAGGAGCGCAGCACAAGGCGACAGACATCGGAGAAGCTGAGGTGAGCTGGTACATCACATCCAAACCCTCGCCTGTGTGATCGATGTGAGATCCCTGTGTAAGGTACTGCGTGGACACAACATGAACAGTGGCTGATCCAATCTTGTCGGCAAGGTTGGCACAGTCGTCCACTCTGGACGCAATGCTGACGGCCGAAAGTAAGGCTACGAATGCCGGGAACAGCATGGCTTGAGTTGTTTCTGGTCGCCTTAGAAAAACGTGGTGGAGAAAGCGAAGAGAGAAGGCGAGTCGTAGGGAGCCTCAGGTGTCTCTCGAAGCTCACTGTTTGCCCTCCACGAATAGAAAGAGCTACAGGGTGGGCTTGGCACAACGTGAGCGAGTGCAACTTCGCAGTAGCAACCACCATCGAATCACCCCTGGAGGCCACCACAGACCTGTTCGTTCATTAGATATCCACCTCTTGAGCGTCGGTCTTTTTCCTGGTGATGTTTGTGCTCGTGCATGTTAGACGCTCTTCCCGCAGGCAGTACTCAGACAGCATCTCGACGATTTCGTCGCCTGTGTATTACCAGTCCTAGGCACGCCATCTCATCGTTATCGTGTCACAACGACTCTCCATATTCTTAGAGTAATTGACTTTGCATCACAGCGCCCTGAGCAGCTTCAGTGCGTACTACAGTCTGCTCCGACTGATCCACATCCTCCTGCTTGCGGGAAATGCTTCGAGCGACTTCCAGGTTTCCCTCTACACCAATCACCAGACTTTCCAGCGCTCCAAATATATCGCCTTGACTTCGGTCTCTGGCTTCCCCGAGCTTCGTCTCCCCGGGCTGCGCTTTGGCTTTGGCTTTGTTCTTTCTGGGTAGCTCGACGCCCTCGATCTGTAGCATGTGTCCGGAATCTGGTGACGATTCGTCAAATGAAGGTGCGATACGAGTGGACGCATTTGTAATCTGCCAGTCTGGTGACATGGACTGCGCATCGACGATAGTCTGACCGTCTGCTGCAACGTCAATAATGATAAAGCGCTCCTGAGTTGCAGGTAGTGGAGGAGGCAGCGGCGACTCGACTGGAGGTTCATTTTCCTCGTCATCAACTAGCTCCTGGTCTTGCAGCTTGTCTCCTCCTTCTGGACGTGGCAGATACTGAGTGTCGTCTAGGCCAAGGCTCCGCATCGCTGCAGCAGTGACGATGACCGGGTCGTCGTCAGCGAAGACGTAGTGGACAAAGGGATGATAGTGTTCGCCTGTCGTGGTGTCATCCACGACAGTGAAGAAAGGTTTGAAGTTCGGCGGCGGCAGCAGCGTCTGCTCGGAGGTGGGCTCCGGGTAAGGAATGCCATCCTCGTCTTCGTAAACACCATCATGTGCCTCGTACCCGTGCGGTGGTTCATCCAGGCCTTCTGGAGGTTCTTCGAACTGTTCAACAGGTGGCGAGCGTGGCGAATGGGCTTTCGGCAGCACAGGCGATGCCCTCGACGGCCTCGGACTCGCAGGCATTGTGGATGTGAGATGATGTGGATGCAGGCAGGGCTGGAGCTTGGACTTGCGGAGCTCAGGAAGCTGCCGCCTTATCGATAAGACTCATCACAACGCGTCTTCCAGGGCTACGCGTATCACGCGCGATGCCTTGGTACTTGCCAGAAGCCTGAGTTTGTTCATAATACAACATTTTATTGCTCTGAAAAGCACAACGCGTAAACCAAAGCTACACGTGCAGAAAACAACCAATAAAGGGGTATCTTCCAACGCCAGTATACCAAACGCCAACCATGAAGCTTTCGCTACCCTGCCGCAAGTGCTACTACGGCGCCCAATAAAAGGCAGCAGATTCCAGACAACGTGCCATGCTCCGTATATATCCAAAGCCCCGGTGTGGATCCAGTGGTCCATGGTACGAACTTGTGCGAAACAGCTCTGGGTCCGAAGGGTAGTCTACGGTGCTCTAGCAACGCTGAAGGACAACGAGGACGTCAGGACACTCGAAGGCGCGGTGCGAGGGTACGATGTGTCACATAGGACTCGTGTCTGCGTTCGTTGCTGGCGTCTCTGCTTCGGTGGCGCCAGCCTCTTGGTTCTTGCTCTTGAAAGCTATTGCTATCAGCTAGATCGTCATTGTGTGAAGAATTAAAAGCTTACGCTGGCGACACATGGGGCACTTTTCCTGTGCTGCGTCTTGTCGCAGCCAAGAGAAGATGCAGTGCTGTCTCGGTCAGATCAAGTTTGTCCCTGCGATCTCGAGGTGCGTACCATGTGGAAGGAGTGATTGCACTCGCCGAGCACTGTTTCACGTCAGTACAAGCAACATTTAGCAGGAAAACATGGCTTACACAGCGGACAGTCGTCGCCTGGGTACTTGCACTTGGAGCACGTGCTGTCGTACGGATTGCGACAAATGCCACACACGTCATCGTCCGGCATATCCCACCGCCAGGCCGCGACGGCATTCCATTCCTTGATTGTCACCTTCATAGTGCCTTTCAAGCTGTCTTTGGTTGCAGAGGTCAGTAGGCGGGGCGGGTTAGGATGGGACCGAAACAAACATACAGGGATCCGCGGGGAAACCACCGTGCCAAGCTTTGTACCCTGGAGCTTCTGGTGTGCCTTCCCCACTTTTCCGAATGACGGAATCCGCGCTAATGTTATCAACGTTCACACATCGCCCGTTATCGGGCATGTTTCTCCTCGAGCAAACCCAGAATATTATGACCAATTCGATTCTGTGTAGCTGAGCAGCTAGGTAAGCCACCGTATTACTTTTCGAGTCTCCACAGCCAAACGGGGGGATCAAACGAAGGCCAGTGCTTCAGCTGCAAGCTCGAGCTACCTGAACGCATATAGAGAGCTATTTGCTCCGGTTCTTATAGCTCCGATCCTCCCACACACTACCACCAGACCATTAACGACCCACTCCAGCTTCTGAGATGCTTGTCTCGAGCTTCCGCTTCACCCTCCGCCCGCTCTCCTCTCTCTCCTCCGTCCGGTCACTGGCGGGAGGCAGACGCGCCATGTCCCAATACACCCTCACCTCCTACATCGTCACGCCGGCCGAGCTTGATTCCGCACTCAAAAAGAATGTCTTCAGCAAGCTCTCGACGGCGCCACGAATCATACCCCTTTGCGCATCGTGGTTCCTCCCAAACGATGACCGAACCGGAATCGACACCTTCAATGAGGCTCGCATTCCGCACGCACGATTCTTCGATTTGGATGAGGTGAAAGACCAACACTCATCCTACCCCCACATGCTACCATCCGCCAAAGACTTTGCGAATGCCATGGGCCGCTTGGGCATCAGAAAGGACGACAGCGTAGTGGTGTATGATTCGAAGGAGCTGGGCATCTTCTCCGCGCCGCGTGTGGCATGGACTCTGCAGATATTTGGCCACCCGAACGTACACATCTTGAACAACTTTCGGACATGGGTCAGGGACGGCTTTCCCACAGAGAGCGGAGAGCCGGCCGTCCACGAGAGGGTCGAATACCCGGTTCCGGAATTGGACAAGAGCAAAGTCATTGCCTTCGAGGAGGTGAAGGAGATCGTGAAGGATGCGGGTAAGGAGGGCGCTGAGGAAGTGCAAGTGCTGGATGCGAGACCTGCTGGGCGCTGGGCTGGAACCGATCCTGAGCCTAGAGAAGGTGGGTGTCTGCCCACACCTGGATAAGCGTACGCTGACATTGCCAGGTATCTCTTCTGGACACATGCCTGGATCGACAAATATCGCGACGAACTATCTACTCCACGCTGAGGATAAAACGCTTCTGCCTGCCGCAGAGCTGAGACAAGTGTTTGAGAGTTTAGGTGTTGATCCTGCGAAGCCTATCATCAGTAGCTGCGGGACTGGCGTTACCGCTGCTATTGTAGATACTGCTCTGACTGAGGCCGGATATCCACAAACGAACAGACGCATTTACGACGGCAGCTGGACTGAATGGGCGCAGCGCGTGAAGCCTACGGAAGGCCTGATTCGAAAGTCACTTTGAACTTGTCATTGGAGGTAAAGATGAGCAACACCAAATTGATGCCCGGGGGTGGGTAATGGAACTGGCGGTCTTTCATCATGGTCGAGCAATGACCTGGCGCCGGCGTGGTTCAGCGCGACTGTCGATATATCCACGGCCGCGTATACCACATTCATCCGGGCACGGCTATGAGACAGTGAGCCCCCACCTCAGAAGTCTCTCCGTCGTGCACTGGAGCCTTCTTTGTCAATATTACGCAAGAGCTCTGTAATTGCATTCGAGCGAAAATTGTCTAGTATCGAACATCACGCTCGGCAACAGCTATGTATTTCAAACTCAAACAAATTCAAACTCTAGTCAATTCTTGTCCATTTCAGTCTCATCACTACCACGCAATATCCACCCCAAAACGATCCACAAAACCCCCACTTCCCTCTATACCCACCCCTTCAATAACCCGCACACACGCCCCCAGACTCTCCTCTGGTGAAATTGCCCCCTCCTCCTTCCATCCAACCAGCCCCGTCTCCACCCGGCCCGGATGCATCGCCAGCACCACGAGCCCCGGCACATCGATGCTTAGACTCTTGATCACGGCGTTCAGTGCAGCCTTGGACGCGCGGTACGCATAGCCTCCGCCGGCTACGTTGGCGGATATGCTGCCCATGCGGGAGGACATGATTATAACTTTTGGAGGGGCCAATGCGGGTGAGAGCGGTGAGGGAGAAGCAGATGGGGCAGTGGCTGGGGAAGGTGAAGGTGAGGCGGCGAGCTGCAGGGAGGGCAGAAAGGACCGGACTGTAGCGAAGGCGCCCCAAGTGTTTATCTCGAGGGTGCGGAGAAAGGTGGTGCGATCCATGGCTTTTAATGTTTCTAAGGCGGCGACATTTTGTTCTTGGGGGTCGGGGGAGGGTACGAGGCCGCGGATGCCGGCAGAGTGGATGACTTGGGTTAGGTTAGTAATGGTAGGGCTCGTGGGAGGAAGTCTATATGATGGGTAGTGAGGCAGCTAGACGAGCTTACGAAGGTGTATGGGTCGTCCTGACAAGTCGTTGGTGGCTTTCGCTAGGGACTCTTCGGACGTGACGTCTATTTCGTAGGACAACACGTTATCCAGTGATTGTATCGACGCTGGTAAAGGCGATATGTCTAATCCGATGACCCTCGTTAATGGTTGTACAGCGTAGTGCTTTAGGAAGGCGAGACCGAGGCCTGATGACGCGCCCGTTACTACCACTGTACGCTCCATGGTCCTGTCTTCTAATTCTAGCTCTTCGATCTTCACGTTTCCCAATGCGTTGTTGTATTGTGTATCCGTATCATGTTATCTTTTGTAAAGCGCAATGGCGGAAACGCTAGCCAACGTCAGCATGTATGTCGGAAACGATACTGAAATCAAATATAACTAGCGCTCAAATCGATCCCAACCGACTGTGGATACGTGCATTAGCGCGAAACTTGCGGTTCGGATCCAAAGTCCGGAGTTGAGCTGCCGGTCGGCTTGTATGGTGGGGTGTGGGGTAGGCCGAGCTGACCAGCATAAATATTTTGTGTACTTTTTGGAACCGATTGCCTTCATCACGATACTGTTCAGTGGTCTTTGGAGTCCATCGTGTCTTGGATCCTAAATCATTCAAAAGGAAGGGACATTGAAAACTAGTTGGAAAGATGTTTTATGAGCCTGGGAAGACGGATCATGGCCTCCCGCATGATCCTTTTAAGGTACGTTGCGTGATTTCCAGGTACGTCTTCCGTTGCAGCAGTTTCTGCAGTTTGTATACGGCTATTTTTTAATATCTCGGTACAACTACCTTTTTCCATGTCAGACAAGCTTTCTCTAAGAACAGTCCCGAAGCCGAGCTTTATATTTAGTCAATCTCGAATATCCTCACCACTGCACTGTTTCCCGTGCTCATCTCCCTTAAAAGCGAGAGCACCCTCTAACCATCCTTAGGCTTGCGTGATCCCTCGCCCCATCGGCTGGATCTCAACGCTCTCTCCCTCCGGCACTGCCAACCTCGCTCCCTACTCCCAGTTCAACAATCTCACTTTCGACCCACCCTACGTGATGTTCAGCGCAAATCAGACCCCCTCAGCCGCGCAGAAGGACACCGTCGTCAACGTCGAAGCCACCGGCGTTTTTTGCTGGAACCTTGCCACCTACGCCCTTAAAGACGCCGTAAACGCTACCTCTGAGCAGACACCCCCGGAGGTCGATGAGTTTGAAAAGGCAGGATTAAGTAAAGAAGATAGCTCGTTGAGTAGCGTCTTAGTCAAGGGCAAGCAAGTAAAAGTACCCATGGTGAAGGCATCGCCGATCAAATTTGAGTGCACGCATTACACTACTCTCCGCTTGCCGGGTAATCCGCCGATGGGAGCGGTGGACGTTATTATAGGACGGGTGATTGGGATTCATATCGATGAGGATGTGTTAACGGATGGAAGGATCGATGTTAGCAAAACGGTGCCGATTGCGAGGTGTGGGTACTTTGAGTATACGGCGGTCAGGGAAGTATTTGAGATGAAGATCCCGGGAGATGATCCCAATCGTTATGCGGGTTTGGAAGGAAGCGTCAAGGGAAATAGAGAGATTCAGATGAAGAGGGTAGAGGAGGCAGAAAAGGAGAAGACAGGTGGTCCATGAAGCGAGAAACGATCATCTGTAGGGAGAGGTAGCTTAGTACGTATGGGCAATTGTTGGGGATGGTCTATGCAGCTTACTTAATTGCAGGATCATGAAACCGCATGAGGGCTCTAGTCTAGACATGGCATGTGATGTCAACTACCTTAGGTCTTTAATTTTGCAACCTGAAGATGTGCCCCACCTATCTAAATGCACCTCTGATTAGATTTACATACGTTTCCGGGTATTCGACTGTAGCTTCTCTGGCCAGATTCTTCGCAGTAGATTAACTGACACAAAGACTTGGATCCTAAAGCACACTTGATTCTGTAGCAACACTAAATTACAATTCCATGAACCTTTCGTAAAGTACTTTAGTGTGGTCATATCCTGCAAGACCGACCGAAAGAGTCTAGTCCTATGGACACTCTGTCCTCGTACTGAGGCAGTGCTATTTTCTTGGTCCCCGTGGCCTGCAATTAATGGAGCCTAGAGCCCTTCGTATTGAACTTCACATGACAACATTGAACTCTCAGTGTACCTTTGTCCAAGACTTAATGCAGAGAATCTATGGCTTGCCAAAGCACAAAGCACCTCATTGATATGAACAGTGTTTGTTCTGTCTGTTCGTCGTCGGAAACGATTAGCCTTGCACGATAACCAGCACGCTAGAAATAAGCCCACCTTTGTAGAGTACGAAGACAGGGCTCTGGCTACAATCAAAATCCGCAATGCCGAACCTAAGATGACAAGATATATTCAGTCTCATTGAGTCAGACATTATATCAGCCCCACTAGAGTGACACCCTATAGTTGAATTTATGTTGTTGCTGTGATTGTTGTAAGGGCTCCAAACAGCGTGGATTGAAATTATAGAATTTTTACGATAGAACTTGAAAATTTGAAGTGAACCACGGAATCGAAATCTACAGGTGCCTCACGATCCAACCCATGCATGTGGGCTTCTTGCTCATATGATTTGTGATGTGCAGTCAATGTGTGTTAGGTTAGTTCATGACATTCCTAAATGCGGACTTCAAGGAATACCCTTTCCAGCTTCCTTTATCACAGGAATACGCTCAATCCAAGCCTGTATCTTCTCGTGAGGTAGATCTCGCCAGCACTGCTCCCATGCATGGACAGCCTCTGCTCTGCTCTTTGGCGCGCCTTTCTTTGTAGTAACTCTTCTCATCCATGGCCAGCAAGGCTCAATAGCGTTTAATTTAGGACAGTTGCCACACCAGAGCAGCTTCGCAACATAATGGATGTTATATATATAGCTCTGGACCTGATGATCGTGAGAAGGCGCCTTATCTTCTTGTATAACTATGTCTGGCCGCTCTACTTTGCACTCCTTTGCAAAAGGTATTAGCTTTGGCAGTAGGACTGATGTCTGGTACCAATACCAGTCAATACCTAATCCTCTACCTCGGCTGACCTTTCCTATCTTCTTGCTCCATATCCATTGAGGTTGTCGTCCAGGCTTATTACGTAGATCAAGGCGACATATTCCAGTTTCAAGCTCCTACTGCGCGGTCATAATAGGCTCTAGCTCTTGATTTAGCTCCTTAATTTGAGTAGTAGCAGCCTCCTTCTCTTTCTTTGTTTCTGGTGCTTAATAGTGTCATGGGCCTTTCTTATCGTACGAAAAGCATCCCTAGAACATAAACTTAGAGTATCCTTTCCACCTCTTATGGATATAACTTCGAATAAACACTTTATTAGCCTTCCACTATATCCTATATCCTCTACGCCTATGAAGGAGAACTAAAGACCTTTCGTCAGACTAGATAACATTCTTCCAGTCCTTAATTGTCTAGTGTTCATGCTGTAAGCACTAATTATACTGAGCCTCCTTCATCTTCTTCGTCAACCCAGGCTTCCTCGTTGGTTTCGTCTTCTTGAAGCCTGCCTTCCTCAGGATGCGCTAGACAGTTGAGGCAGAGATATTGAATCCTTCTTGGCTGAGCGCGTCAGCGACGTCAGCGCAAGACTTTTCTCGTCCATAGTGATCAGTGCGTACGCTGTTGACTACCTTCTGTGCAACATTATCCTGCTTTGAGGGCCTACCAGATCGATGGCTATCTTCAAGGTATTTATTTAGAAGCTTAAGTGGCCGCTGGCATGGATCAAAGCCTCGTTCAATAGCTCGCGCAAATATTGAGTTAATCGTTCGCTTTGAAATCCCCGTCAGACCGGTGATCTCGTCATTTGGCTTGCCAGTAGCCTTAAGAGTGATTATTAAAGCTCGAGTAGCAAGATCGTGAGGAGCCATAGCAAAGATAGTATTACATAGAGAACAAGTAGCACAGAGGAGTATTATGAGCTTGAGAAGCAAAGGCCACGTCAGCTCGGAAATGCTTCTGAATTCGGAACACCCCTGCTCGCCAAGTGGGCAAGGACTTTTGAAAGGCACCTCCGTACTTGGTGCTGAACGACTGAAAGCTTGTGATAGGTTCAGCGTATTTTTGGATAGTCCCTGCCATCTCCTCAAGAACTGCTATCATCGTGATACAGCCAGGCAGACACGTCACTTCCCTGATGAAGCTCTCTGCTCGTCGGCGAACTGTTCGAGACAATGACCATCAGCAGACGTTCGTATCAGTCAAACGGTTGGAAGCATCTGAGCATCAGGGAACAATACAGCAGTCTACAGCTGGCGTGACCTATAAAGTGCTAGAGACAGGTTGTGAAGCCTTCTCCTTCAGTCAACACAGGTAGGATCTTGGTCCATATCTCCTCTCTCAGAAGCCTCGTATAGAGAGGAATGTTCTTCCGAGGCACATTGAATAGATCATGGCATAGAACAAGAGAGTCCTTCTTCCCTTTGCCTCTATCAGCACGAGTCGCAGGTTAGGTTGACTGGGTTTCTCTTTACCGCTGTTTCTCATTTTCTCAATAACAATTACAGGTACATCTTCTGCGAATCCCGCGGTGATCTTTAGGGCCCCACGCTTGTGCTTTAGGGAGATGTATGTTCTCTTGTAATCGCGAATGATACGCGTCATATGGCTGCGTATATCCCGAGGCCGGCCGTCGAGCAATACAACCATGACTTGGCGATGTTTCCCAACGTCATTGTCGCGAAGCAAGTAGATTATCTTGACAATTTGCTCTTCGCTCTCCGAATATGCGGGTATCAGTGTCAAGATCCATTGCCGAGAGACTGGACTTAATGGTCTGAACACGCGGTAGATACGCCTTATCAACAATCCAAAGACGGAGACCAGACAGGAGAGGAAGTCCTTGCTCTTGATAAAAAGGATGAACACAAAGAAGACCAGACCTGTGTGTGCAAATACTTCAATCATGGCCATACCAATGTTGAGGACGGCGATGATCCCCCAAAATAGCGGACGTTGTTTCCGAAGATCGCTGCGACTCAGAATGCGAGCTGGATCCCGGAGACTGGGTATGTCTGGGTACCCACACCCACGAACAGTATCCTCTAGTTTGGCAAATGAATCTTCCCATGTAAATTTGCTGAGTGATTCCAGGTAGGTCGTATGGTCGTTGATCGATATGTTGTTGTCATCAGTGTCTGACTCACGGTTCGCCTCATCTCCATCATCCCGCACTATGTTCTCTACCGTACTGTCGCGGAACAACTGAGGTCTCCCTAAGTTGTTACTGAAAGCTCCTCTCTCGTACTGTTGATTCTGGTCAGGTGATCTTTCCCTGTGTCGATCTGTTTCATCCGAAGGTTCGCTCCCCTTCTCAGCATCTCTCGGCGTATTCATCACGATTTCCCCGCAATTTTTTATCCCAGTGCCTGGAATTGATGACTTGCTCAAAAGCCTAACGTTCAGAGCGGCGTATCACTAAACTTTCCACCGGGAATGTCCACAATACCACTCAAGACCAGACACCACGAAAATAAAGGGCTAATTAACTACATACAGCTCTCACTCCCCACAATTGGCTGATAATTCCGCGAGTGCCAAGTATTCGCTAAAAAGGTGCGCCCTACACCCCTCGCCTATCTGAAGGACGTAAAGGACGCTCGCCAACAAAGGATTTGATTCGTAGTATCAGAAGGACAGTTGACTAACCAACTATATCTGTGGGACGATCCAGGAACTTTTTTCCTGATGCACTTCATTCTTCAATCTGCGAGGACGGTCGGAAGGCAATTCGTGAGGATCCAACCAACCTGTGAAGTCTGGCTATATCGCGGCCAAGGTTGCGCCTTGATACCCTCTATTGTGCCTTGGTATATGTTTCTATTTTGAGGATCACAGCGAGGAACATCTTTGCAAAACCCAAATATAGCAAGAGGTACTTTCTCATGTCTTTCGTTCGCGTAGCCAGACGGATCAAAAGCACAGTCTGCAGACAATCCTTGGCAGGGACCATACTGTGAAGAACTACGCTGATCCTTAGTACTATGGGTTTACGACCGTAAATTAAAGCGAGTTAATACAGAAGAAGCGCTTTCCATTCTTCGTATGAGCCGCCGTGATGGGACCGTATCCGGAACGCAAATAATGAGATGATTCATCTAGGACGATCGGTGAATTATTTTATTCCGGCAAACTTTGGAGTCCATACCGATAAAGTCAATCAATGCCAATTATCCAAGCCATGCGTTGTTGCGGCCCTTTTGGGCTCTTGACACCCCTTGCTGCCTACTTTCTCTACTGCCCCTTGTCATCTAGCTCGTTGAAGTGTGCATATTTCAGTGTTACCCGGACTTGACATTTCCAGTAGCATTGCAGTCTGCTTATTCTCCTTGCCAGTTGATGTAACGAACCTATGTCCTTCGTCCGGAATCATTTTATCTTGTCGCACCCGCATTTTACCACCCCTACTTGCACTGTTTTCCCAGTCCTATCTTTCTCATATCATGCACAGCACAATAACACAGGCAATTGCTAACCTATTGTTTGACATGCTAATTTAGACAGGCAGTTGTTTCATCCTCTCGACCGGCGGGCAGCGCCGTAACGGTGACAACTACGACTACGACTTCGGCTACGACTGCAAATACGAATACATCGACCACTTTTACCGCAGCTCTGACCGTTACGTGAGTATTCCCAGCTTGCATTAGGCCTTTTCGCGCCATTACAAATGGCTTGATGATCCAGACTTCATACAAACCTAAGATCTGAAGACTTCAGCAACTAGCCTATGACAAGCTCGCAATCAATCCGCCGTGGGCCAGCATAATATCTTCTGCTGACAATTCTCTGTTACTAGAATCACTTCAGCTTATACAGTTGCTGCATCTCCAATCATAACAACAACAACGAGTACAACCACAACGACTTTGCCAGCAGTGACGTAAGTAAAGCTTAAGGCTTCACTTGGTGAACCCATACTTCTCAGGTCACTTCAATCTTCTTGAAACTACTCTGACTTTCTCCCAGGGTTACGTTGGCCTATACCGTGGCTGCATCAGCTATTACAGTGAGCACCACGTCTACCAGCACCACAACGAGCACAACAACAAGTACGGCGACATTGCCAGCAGTGACGTAAGTACTAAGACTTGAATATTTGCTCTCCAGCCTGATAGGAATGGCGGCCAAGATGGCTCGAGATGAATTATACAAGCACCGCTTGTATGTTCATCATCCGTCAAATTCAGTCAGCAATCCACGAGAACTGAGAGATTGATACTGCGATTGCACACCTCGAAATATCCCTTCCAATATCAGTGATCAATGCACTCACAATCTACACAGCGTTACATCGGCATATACGGTTGCCGCTTCTTCAGTATACATCAGTACAACCTCGACCACCACAACGACCACGACATCTACAGCGACACTGCCAGCCGTCACTATTACTTCAGCATACACAATCGCAGCGTCTACGGTTAGTAAGCCACTAGGCTTAAAATAGATGCGCCTTTCCTTTTGCATTTAGATAAGATATAATTTACCCTATCTAAACTTGCGCTGACTTTATATACGCACCTTAGGTAGCAATCAGCACTACATCTACTACCACGACCACTTTGCCGGCGGTGACAATCACAACCACCTCCACGACTACTTCTACTTTGCCTGCGGCGACCATCACGTCGGCTTGCACTGTGGCCGGATCCGCAATAACCTCGACAATCACTTCAACCTCTTTTAATATTTCGAGGACAACTGGTGAGTCCTCCCTTATCTCTAGGTCGGTCATCAGTGAGCCTCCTCAAAGAGCTGCTCTGCTCGAAGAAGTGCCCCGAAACATTCCTTAATCAAAACCAAACGAGACTCATATACTGAGGCGTACGTATAGCCTCGACCACGATCACTTCTACCAGCGTTCCCGACGCCGTGACTGTCACGCAGCAAGGCCCTGCAGAAGCGACTAGCACGGTCACTATAGCACGAGAGACGACGACCAAGGAGGTCACGACCACTCGCTCGCTGACAGTATGCTAGAAAAGTCATCTGCTGGCTTGGAACCTGGCTCCTTTCACATCGAAAGATGCTAATACCTTCTAGTTCCGAGAAACTTTGATAAGACTTGTTCCAACCACCGCAACTCAAACGGTACGTCAAGACCTCAATAACTAGTTGCAGTCAACGAGATTTATCGTTGCACGTCCCACAGACCTCAGCTAACGTTCCATTCAAAATAGGAACGAACAACGTCGACGAGGGTCATCAACTCCATCTCAACCATCGTCACCACTCTCCCACGTGTTACCACCACACGCCTGTCCACCATCACCCCAGCCTCAACAACCCTGACCTACCGCACAACTCTCACAGCAGCAGCTACGCGCTTCACCACACAGACAGCACGCGAGACCTCAAGTACTTGCCCTCTCCCTACCCTCTCTCCCACCGACTAACGCCCATCAGCGTCCATCCGCTATATCGACCGCACCAGTACGCTCACAATCCGCACGACCGAGACCTCCTTCGCGACGCGCATCAGCACCCTGCGCACAACATCCACCCTCTTCACAACCAGGGCTGGTCCACGCAGACGACGCGCACCACGCTGACGTTCAACAAGACGAGTTTTACGACGCAGACGGCGCGCACGACTACGATGAGCACCAAGACGGCGAATACGACACTAACGGCGCGGACGACGAGAACATTATACTCCACGAAGCCGACGACGACATTTTATACGACCAGGCTGGGTGAGTAGATGGTTGTGCTATATATGTCTGGGGAAGTGCTTATGCTGGGTGTAGGGCAGCCGCCGGCTCCAATGAGCACGGATGTTTGGGTGAAGGCCTAGGGGGGCGAGGTAGGTAGGTGGATTGAGAAGAGGATTAGGTGGGCGAGTTGAAGCATGCTGGGGCTGGGATGCAGAAGCAGGTGGAATGAGGTGATGGAAAGGGGAGGGGCCAGACTGTTCAGAGGCGTGCAATGGGAGACGCGTTGCTTTCCCTTGCTCTATTGTCACGATCAATCGTTACTTCCCCTTTCCCCTGATGTGTTCGTACGATCGATAAGATTGGGTCATTGCGCTGTGGGACTTTTCAAATTTGCTTCTGCGACTGTTATTTGGGATCTTGTGCTGGTCTAGTTCTTTCCGGATACGTGACTACAGCTTCTTAATCTGCTTCCTCACCCTCCCAATCTCAATTTCCTGCTGCCTCAACTCTCTCAGTAGATTCGAGAGTTCAGTGACCGGTCCCTCAACGGCGGTCACAAACGATGCTTGAGCTGATCGTAGCGCAGGTGGTACAAGAACGCCGAACCACCTGAGGGGGTCATTTGTGGGTGTCTTTTTCGTCTCAGGCACCGCAGAATTAGTCTTCTCCTCGAATGGGCCCTGCGCATCTGCTTCTGGCACTTCTTCTGCCTCTCTGGCAGTTGCAGAGCTATCCGCAGGAGATGAAGTGTCTTTGGTTTTGTCGGTTGGGTCTTCCGCATTTTGAGACGCTACAGAGATTGTGGTTGTCCCTTCATCTTCACATATTACACTGATAACGTAAGTATCAGAAGGTCGCGAATTCTACATATACATACAATTTCCTTGAAGCCTGCATCCGTTCATCAAAGTAGTCCTGGCCATATCGGGTATGTGCGTTGTTATTGAAATTGGCTTGTGCCAAGGAAAGATAACCCTATAACACGGACATCAGACTATATTCAGCTGGAGTCATGTTTTTAATCGTACTTACAGAGGATAAATGTTTGGTCAGCTGCTGCTGTGCTTTCTGGTAGGCATCCAGGGTGTGAAGATATCGTTCCAGCAGATCATCGAGCCTCAAAAGCAATTCATCTTTTCCTGGGACCGAGGATTGTATCTCAGAGGCAGACACTGGCAATGCAACGTCTGCCATTGTGCAGTCAAACAGCAAGTGTTGTTAGGCTGTGAGAGTGCGTGGTAGTTAACGCGCACCACCGCGCCCAAAGTTCATAGCTCCGCCACTAACCCCATCCAGCCCCACTAACGCCATCTCTTCGACCTCACCACCGCACCGCACCCATCTCACTCGTACATACCGCAATGTCGAAACCAAACCCCTTCCTGAACCTCTTCAGGCGGTACTACTCCCACCAGCCCGTCAGACCACCCACCAACACACGCACGCGCCCCTCCCTCCACCCACAATGCCTCCGCGCCCGCTTCCGCACGCAATTCCTCCTCCTCCGCCGCAACCTCGGCGGCGCGCCGAATAGCAGCCATACCCCCCTCGACCCCAGCTTCGTCTCGATTCTCGACCGACCGGCCAAAATGGCGCGCGTGGGAAAGCAACACGGCCCCGGGTTGATCATCCTCGCTATCATCCCGATCACCGCCTTCGCGCTGGGATGCTGGCAAGTCCAGCGGCTGGGGTGGAAAACCGAGCTCGTCGCGCGGTTTGAAGACCGCCTTACGTTCCCGCCGCTGGAGCTTCCGCTAAGAATTGATCCGGATGCGATTGCGGACTTTGACTACAGGCGGGTTTATGCAAAGGGCAAACTGCGGCATGACCAGGAGATGCTGATCGGGCCGCGGATGCTCGAGGGCGAGGAGGGTTACACTGTTGTTACGCCTTTGGAGCGGGAAGACGCGCAGGGAAATAAGAGTAAGATATTGTGCTGTCGAGGGTGGATCAGGAAGGATGCAGCGAAACACTGGTTCCGGAAGAAGAACGGTGCGCTGCCCGAGGGGGACGTTACTGTGGAGGGGTTGCTGAGGATCCCGCCAAAGGGCAATATGTTTACGCCGAGGAATATTCCAGAGGAGGGAAAGTGGTTTTTCCCGAATGTGGAGGAGATGGCGAAGTGGAGTGGGAGTCAGGCGGTTTGGGTTGAGGAGACGATGAGTAGGTGATGGAAGAGAGAAAGACTGATTGATGGGTATCTAACGGAATACAGCGCCGGATTTGCTCGAGAGCTACGCGCGTGAGCCCAAGGGTATACCGGTTGGTCGCGCGCCCACGGTGAACCTGCGCAACAACCACACACAGTACATCTTCACATGGTAAGCCCTCTCAGCTTCTCTACATCATATGGCGCTGACAAAGCAGGTACGCGCTGAGTTTCGCGACCTCAATCATGTTCTGGATGGTCGTCAAGAAGCCCATCTCCGGGCAAGCTAAGCGCGTGCGCCATAGCGTCGACTGGTCATAACCTCATTAAACTGATTCTTCCGTTCCCATCACTCATCATCCCCATCCTCTTCGGGGATAGCCTCCATCCGTTTCCTTTTTTGCCGCTTCAGCTTCGGCAGCGGCTGCATGCGCAGCTGCTGGAGCAGCTCCCTGGGCAGCAGCTTCTGCGCGAGGAAGAAATATGTACTACTATCTGTAACCTGGCGCGTCCTGTGCGGGCGTAAGCAACTGTAACTATCGCCGTGTAGCAAGTATCTGAAGGGAGGTTGTGTTGGAGCGTACTATGCAACCCTTGCGGTGCAGCGAGACGTAGAACGAAAAATTGTTTGTAGGAATGTTGTTGGGACATGCACATACCTCTTGAGCAATGCAATAACATCGCTTTCCTCAATCATCTTCCGCCCCGCATGCCCTGCATACGCAGCGAGATCCTCGCCGACCTGCTCGAAGAAGAAATCACTCGTCTGCACCAGCGCCTCCAGCGTGTCTTTGCTAATCTTGCTCTTGCTGCCCTGTCCCTTGACAAAACCATTCGCTAGCATCTTGACAGTAGCAGCCGGAAACGAAGGATACTCATGCCCAAAGCGCGAGATGTTCAGTGCTCTACGCTGCCGGCCTGCGCGCCTCTTGGCCGGAGTCTCAGGCGCGGGCGTCTGTAGACTGCGGTCTATGGCAGATACTTCGCCGCGGTACGCGGCCAGGTCTTCGTCATCCAAGTTCTCAGGCTCAGACTCCCAGCCTGCGATTTCGAGGGGACCATTTTCGTTGTCGGAGGCGAGGACGGGTGCGGTGTCGTCATTGTCGTAAACTAGATTAAGAGCGGGTTGCTCGTCGTCGTCTTCGAGCATGGTCTCTTCTAACTCCCCCGGGGTATTATCATCGACTTCGCCGTCCCCGTGTTCTTCTTCTTCGCCACTTTCCTCATCCTCTCCCGGCTTTTCGATACGCGGCCTAATCTCAAATCTGAACGTCGGCTCCTCCTCCTCGCCCTCCACCTCCCCAAACACGCCCAAATCCCCCGTATCACTTGCCCTCGCCCTACCTGTCAACGCCCGAATCTCCGCCTCTGTATTCCCCTCTTCGAACTCCTCTTCCACTTGCTCTAGAAGCTCATTCGGCAACAACGTCCCCCGCCTGTTGATGAAGTTCCCATCGAGCTCGTACTCCTCCCCATTAATCGTCAAGTCGTGCAAATCGCCAAACTGCTCGCTGATCCGGCGCCCAAACAAGCGGTCGAGACGGGGATCCTCGCTACGCGCTCGCCGCCCAAACTCAACTGACTGCACGGTGCCGTTGTCGTAGTCGTAGTCCGGCAAGGGCGCTAGTAGCGACGGGCGCGGCGGCTCCTCGTTGAAGCTGTCGTCGTCGTACATATCGTCCAGCGGCATCGAGAGGCGCGGGGCGGTGGGCTCGTCATCTTCAATATCGGGGAGGTCGAGCGCGGAGTGTCTATTTCGCTGCTGTGCTTTGGGCGTGGGCTCGATGGGCTGCGTGTTGCGGGCGAGCACTCTGCTCAGGTTGCGTAGGAGGTCACGGGGCGTTTCTCGTTGGACTCTTCCGCTTCGCCGGCGCACGTGGCCTGGTGTCCGCGCCGCATTTGCACGTTCCCTCAGGGCTCGAATGGCATGTGGTGTGGTGGGAGCTGCTCTGCGTGCGGGGAGAGGCCGCGTAGCTGGTCCGCCGCGGGGTGTTCGGGCTGTGCCAGGGGTTCGGATTGTTGCGCTTCGAGGCGTGATGCCGGCGCTGGCTGCACGGCGGAAAGGAGTGACGGGCTTGGGCGCAATGCTTGCGAGGCGGTGGAGCTGCGGCGTGTCAGTATAACAAATGTCCTCAGCTACATGGATTCGCATACATCATTGTACAGCGTCGACGAATGGTCCGTGGCATCGCCCGAGATCCGTGGGCTCACGCGCTGCTTCTTCCTTGCAGATTCCGACATTATGGCCGTGGAGATGTAACTCGTCTCATGCACCAACTCCAACGTTGTTGTCGCAAACGCGTCGCGTCCTCACTAGCGCCGTCCCTCCCGTCTTATCGATACGCCACACCCGCGCCACTCCTCCAAAAAAGTTTCGCCTGCATCACCAACACATCCTTCCACTTTACAACACTCCGCCGCAATGTCCGACTCTGAAGCCGAAGCCGGCGTTCCCCTCATCGAGGCTGAATTTGACTCCCTCTCGACCTCCAAAAAGCGCAAGCGTGAAGCCGAATCCGGCGCAACCCCAGAGGACAAGAAAGCCGCCAAAAAGGCCAAGCGCAAGCAGAAGAAGAAGCTCAAAGTCAAGGAAATCGACGAGGATGATTTGGACCAGGCGCTGGGCGTGAACAGGGCGTTTGAAAAGATGGACAGCCAATTGCTGGCGGATTATGTGAATGCGAGAACGAGGTTGTATGGGAAGGAGCTTAGCAGCGTGGAGCTGGAGGATAGATTTGTGCCGACACGTACGCTCAGGGATACGACCAGCTACACCGAGCCACGGACGCTGGAGAACCTCTCTGCGTTTCTGAAGCAGCAGTGCAAGCACATCCAAGCCACGCCCAAGGAGTCTAGAGGCGCACCGCACACGCTCGTCATATCTGCTTCGGGCCAACGCGCTGCGGATGTGTTCAAGTCGCTCAGAACTGGGCTGCCGAAACAGGGCATTAGGAACCCGAATGTCGCGAAACTGTTCGCCAAGCACATGAAGATTGCCGAGCAGGTGGAGAATCTCAAGCAGTACAAGTAAGTTGGCATGCGTTTCGCATCGAAGCACTTTCTAATGTGGTGAAAGGGTCGACTTTGGCGTGGGAACACCCGACCGACTGTCCGCGCTACTGGACCAGAACGCCCTATCAACAACAAATCTCAAACGAGTTGTGGTTGATGTGTCGTACATTGACCAGAAGAAACGCGGCATCCTCGATATGAAGGAGCTTCACGAGCCTCTGATCCGGCTGCTGCTCCGCAAAGAATTCGTCGGTGAGGGTGATAAAGGTGCCGCTCTGTTCATGTTTTATTAGTCGGCGAGGGACTTCTCGAGGTGGTATGAAAACCCATAATGATACCCGATGGCGCGGAAAGTGTCACTCAAAATTTTCAACGGGAGCTAGGATAGGTAACTTGATGATATTGCTTCATCCATCCGGCAGGTGGAGCCTTTCTCTTGATCTTGTATCATCAATCCTCCAAGAATCCGTGACTCTCCGCATTGAGAATGAAACGATCTCCAAATTTGGCTACCGATTTGAGTCTTCATCCCTCGGCTCAAAGTTTAGCTTCAGTGGGTCAGCTATACGCAAATGAAAGAGTGGAGACAGCACCGATCCCAACTTACCTGATTCCCGTTATACAACTGCTCATTCCTTGGCTCCCTCGACCGCTGATCTGCGAGCGTCCGCACACGAATCCCCGTCGAGCCTGGCGGTTCCTGCGGTGTATTGCCCAGTGAGCGTCCTTCACCCGTCTGCTCTTGCTGCTGCTGATTATCTTGCGGTGCACTCCCTCCACCTCCCAATACCGAAGAAAGAGTGTTGCTCACGTAGCCCACGGCGGAACCCGCAAGATTGAAAGCCCCGCCAACAATATTGAACACGCTGCCTGCTGGCCCTGAGACAATGCCCCGAGAGCCTCCAGCATAGGCATCAGTGTAACCCTTGACAGGCACGAGGACGAGCGTCGCTGAGGGCGCAAGATCAATGTCGCCTAATGTCTGGCATTCGTCACCAGCGGATAGCTCGCGACTAGGTAGCGGTGCGAGTATCTGCTTGAAGTAGTATGGCGGATGTCGCTCATTCGGGTTCTCTGCTCGCGCCACAAACTCCTGGTCTATCCACGGCCGCACGTCGTCTTGGAGTTTCGCCGAGCGAGGAAACGAAGAGCGGACGGTTGCGCCATCAAACATGCGGACATTGAGATGGACTTCCTTGGCATTTGACCCTCTTGAACTTGTCGCGGAGAACTGCGATGTTGTTGGTCCTGACTCGGTCAACTTCTCTCGCTCGGCCTTCCGTGCTTCTGCCTGTGCCTTGCGCTCCGCCTTATCCGCCTCGATGCGTGCTTTTATGCGCTCAAGTGCTGCCCGTTCCTCCTCCTTCTTCTTCCGCAACGCTTCTCTCGCAGCTTGTTGTGCTTTTGAAGTTGCCGGCTCGGGCTTTGTGGCTGGTGCTGTGGCTTTCTGCTTGCCTTTGGCTACTGAGGAAAGCGGCGGTGTTGGCGCGGCTGGTGTACGGGTAGGTGGTGAAGGCTGAGGCGGTGTAGCTGTACGTGTTGCTTCTGGGGCGGATACCACGGGTGTGCTAGCTGCGGGCTCTGCCGTGCCTGGGATCGGAGACGCGCCCAGGACTTTCCGTATACGATTGACGAAGTCGGTTTGGCTTATCCCACTGCTAAGCTGCTCTTGCAACTGCCCGTTCCTGCTTGTGTTACCCAAAGCTACCCCAAGCATGTAACTGACATACTGTATCACGATAAATGTAGGCGTCTCTGATATAGAGCAGAAGGCTGCGAGAAAGCCGGCCTCTGTAGATCCGGCTTGGAGGCGCAATAGGACTGCTTTCTGTTCGAGCAGGCTCGATAGCTGACTTGTAGTTAGCCTGGAAGCCTGGACAGCTACGAGTTCAGAAAGCGCTCACCCAGCCGCTCTTCAGCCACTCATCCTCCCAGGTCGTACTCTCTGCGCTGCCGTCTATAGTCGCGTGTTGGTCGTCGCTAGTACTTCCCATCTGCGCGACTTACCTTGGATGAAGCAGCCAACAAGCTTCTGTTCCTGTATGGCGCGAGCTATGCCGCTCTGTAAATTGCCTTCGTGGAACATAATGTCATGTAGCTCTGGTTGCGTCGTCGCGCGATGCTGTGGCCAGTTGGTTGGTCGCGGGGTTAAGACGGGAAGCTGCGACAGGGATGCGGAGCTAATATCGTGGGGCTAGTGATACCGTGCTTCAACCGCGCGCTGAACCATAGTTTACTGCCTACGTCAATTCGCATGCACAAGCACTCAACAATCAAGAAGAAGTTATGTAGAAATCACAACGCAATGCAATGCTGATCGAGATGCTGGATCTATGGGAATAAAAAGCCGTAATCCAATGTCTTCCATGCCAAAGAGAGAAGCAGCCCAGAACCACACATGCTCCGTTATCTACGCACAACTCATTAATCTGCGGATTTGGTGCAGTCATAGAGTAGACTAAATTCAAACGATAGAGCTACTCGCCCGCTCAAATGCGCCCTCGCACTCGCCTCGCCGTGTATGCGTCAAAACTGGCGTCCCGCGTGGTTGTTCGTGGCCTGCCGTGGTTTGCATGTTGCTTCGACTCTGGTCCAAGTCGCCTGTTCGTTCGTCATGTCGCCGGATGGTATTCAAACCCCATGTACCCTGTATACACAACGCAACCTCGCCGGTACTTCTAGTGCATGCGCCTCTACAAGATGGTGCAGCCCTTGCTCTTCTTGACCTTGCCGGAAGCTTGTGGACGAGGGCTGAGAACGGCGCTGCAATTCATGTTAGCTTGCTATGAGTGCAATGCCATGCACCGCTCACCGGATCGCTTCGTCGAAAACGCTCTTCAAATTCCGCTGTGTCAGCGCAGAGCACTCCAAGTACTTCTGAGCCTTGATCTCCTTCGCGACCATGACAGCCTGCTCGTATTGTATGGGCGCCATCTTCTTCTGTCTCAGGCTCTCCTTGGTCGCCTCGTCGTCCCTCAAATCGAGCTTAGTGCCGACGAGGATAATAGGTACACCGGGTGCGTGGTGATCGATCTCGGGGTACCACTGGCTGTTGTCAGTGGGACATTGAGCAATTGTGCAGACTGCAGGTGTACCTTTGCCTTGACGTTGTCAAACGAGGGCGGGCTGACGATGGAAAAGCAAATTAAGAAGACATCAGTCTGGGGGTATGAAAGCGGCCGCAAGCGGTCGTAATCTTCCTGACCGGCTGTATCCCAAAGACCGAGACTTATGGGCTTTCCATCGACCATGACATTTGCGGAATAGTTATCGAAGCTTGTGGGCGTCAGCTGGTGAGTGCGCACTTGCAAACGCGGGCTACTCACACAGTGGGGATGTACTCTCCGGGGAACGCATTCGTAGTGTACGAAATCAACAGACATGTCTGGAACCGATGTTAGCTCTTGAACAGCTTGCAACGCTCGATAGTACATGCCTTGCCTACAGCACCGTCGCCGGTCACGACACACTGGATCCGATTAGCACCATTTCTGGGTTGGGAGCGGTATTGCGAATAGGCACACCTTCAGGGACTGGGTTGTGGGTGCAGCCATCTTGCGGGGGCTGGATGCGCGCTGGGGAGGGCGTGCTGGCGGTACTTGTAAGGTCGAGAGCGGCGCCTGGGGTTCGGGCGGGCTTTAGGGGTCTGCAACGGACTCGGTCAGCGTGCAATGCTCGAGTATCTCGGGCGGGCGGCGCAGACGGACAGTGTAGATTATGGCAGAGACTGACGGGCGGACGCGCAGTATGCAGTGAGAGAAGGGGCGGTCTATGGCGAGGCGGGAGAAGCGAAGCTTGGAAGATGCTCGCAGCGCGGGCCACTGGTTAGGCGGGGGGTCGGGAGGGCGAGCAGACGCGCTTCGCTACGGGCGATCGTGGTGCTTCGGCTTGGGCAGATGGGGGCAGGCAGCGGTGCTGGGTGTGCAGACGGGCAGTGTGATGGGGAGAGCAGATGCGGGCGACGGCGGGTTTTGGCAACAGGCAAAAAGGCAGGCGCGTCTGGACGACTGCGCTGTGAAACTCTTTCGAGACAGCAGCAGGCCAAGGGCTCGACGGCAGCACCAGAGCAGGCCCACTCACCGCCCGGCTCTCAAACCCTGTTGTGGCCTCTCCACCACCATGCCCGTTGCGGATGGCTGATAGGGCCGCCCGCGAGCGCCCGCATCCACACGGCAGCCAGAGCGCCGCTCGCCCAACCGTCCTCGCTCCCGAACACCGCGCGACGGCCACGCGCGCGCCGTCACACACCCAGCGCGTCCACGGCAGCCGTCTGCGCTGCCGCGCCTGGTGGACGCAGTGAGATGCACACCAATCCTGTCCGTGGTCCTGTCCTGCGACCCCGACTCTACGCGAAACGCCATGAGGACCCTGCAAGCGACTACTGCACCGTAGCGATTCAAGCACGCAACCCTCATCCACCGCCATCACCTGCGTATCACTCCATCGCCGCTGCCGTGGTAATACGGACATTTAATCTACATTTCTGCGCCCACGCACCCCCATTCGCTAGCCCGCCTGCTTTTTGTGTTTGTCGGGACGCGCCCGCCCGTCCACTGATCCTGCAGCCTGCCGATTACCCCTACTGAAACGGGCGGTGATAGAGACCTTGGAGACACCTTGACGACCATGTCTGGTGGTGGGACGGGCCTCGGAGCAATCGAGACGTGTACATAGTTGTCCGTAGAGCGTGCGACGAGGTGATGCGGCATGAGCCTTGTAGGAATGGACCCAAATCCTGGCACATGGTAACATGTTCCCAGATCAGAACATTATCATTTTGCAGTGTTGACTTCGCGCCCCTCAAAGCTACTATGGATGTATCAGACTGGAGCAATCACCGCCTCAGCCTGTGGTTCGTATTTGTCCTTCAAACCTGTATATTTCTAGTACAATCAAGAGCAGCTCGATTCTAGGGGCTAGCGCCCGATACATGAACACGTGATCCACACGATATAAGCGCCTTGGGCAATGTGACGAGGACCAACGATGTTGCATAGCACAGACGCTGAGATGCGCGTCGCGCCTGCCAATTTCAATTTCCAGTCGCATTGCACCACGAATCTCTCTTGAGGGACGTATAGGACGCGGGAACAAACGAACCTTGGAATTCGCCTGCGACTCGACCATTTGGACCATCAAGCCTTGTTCGCTGATCCAAGAATTTACCTTTCACATTAGATTTGGCTTTCGTTGACTTTGCCGTTCCCCATAACCATCCCTGTTTATCGATTACGCTGCGTCTGGCTTTCCACGTCACGGGGCACAGTGACATCCGTGAGCGTGGACCCTCGGACCCACCACTTGTTGAACGCTAGACGGCGCAACCGACTTGTCTCAATTTCCACCGGGCTGCGTGTACGAACAAATGCGCCGACTAAATTGAACTGTCTGGAAATTGTTATCACTCCTTTGAAAAATCTATCGCTACGGCTAACATCGGCCCTTTTCCAGTGGAATTATGGAACAACCTGTTGAGGGAAACCACCCATCTCTCAGGGTCGAAGTCACAAATGATTAAGGCAACTCTCCCCAGGGTCAAAATCACAAATGATAAAGACGACGTAGAACACACCTGTGGCATAGGCGGAAAAACTATCGTCAAGGTCGCCTGCACCAGCCGTGCAATTGCTAGCATCGCATTGCCCACTTTGTACAGATATCTAACAAATTACATGCCGTACGAAGAGTACGTTCGATGTGCGGGGGCTATTATATGAATCTCATATGCATAAGGACATCGGAGATTCTTGGACGCGGGACCAATACTGCGTACCCATCCTGTACTCTATGCTCGGCCCCACCAAACATCCGTACTTTCGTTTCACTCCAAGACTTTGTTTCCGGCGACTGGAGGAATTTATCGGGAGGGAGAATGTGACTTGAAACCTTTCAGGCAGTACTCTGGGTTCAGCAAGACAAGGGAATCAGAGATGGCGATCTACAAGAAGGAAAGACCATACTACTCAGATCATCGAACAGGCGCTTGAGAAAGGATCACATCTCCTTAAACAGGAAGTTGCGAACGGCCCCCGAATTCAATCCACTATCGTCGACGCCGTGAGTTTGGAAAGTGTTAAACAGACGAACCTAGTATGCTTCGGTCATTTAAAGAGTATTCTACTTTCCAAGGCTTGCGTACAGACCGGAAAGGTAATCTCGGATAACCGCCCGCACTAGACTGCGAGTCTTTCCATGACACCTAACAGTACCGCCGGGAGAACGTCAGCAAAGATATATACTTGCGGTGTCATATTGATGCGCAACGCAATGTTGGATCTGTGCAACACACCATGTGGTTGGCGGTCATGTTATTCTCCAGCTGTGGCAAGCCCTGGAACGAATACAAGAAACTGACAAAACTAGTCACTTACCGTCTGCGAGGGTTCCAATACGCCGAGCATCTGCTGGATTCTTCAACAGCTTGGCGAATCTTAGTTTCAAGAGCCTCGAACTACGGGAAGCAAGATCAGATCTGGGTTATGAGCCACAGCGATCCGGCGCTATATTGCGGACTATCCGCACAACACAACCGGGATTGAGAAAGCCAGTATTACATTGTCATGCAGAAGGCTTTATTACGTTGGAGCTGAGTCTCCCTCGAACAGCGCAAACTCTTCCAAAGATTCAATTGCTGAAGCTTTCATGGCGGCCTCGGTCTTCCCAACCTCCCACTGCTCGAAAAGCTTTTCATCAGCACTCGCCCTAAAGACGCCCCGTAAAGCTTTCTGAAGAGCGCGGCAAACTTCTCGGGCAATAGCTAGCAATTTGTAAGTCGCTCAAAGAGCTGGCAAGAACCTATTTCGATAGCTTTAAAAGAGGCTTGGAGTCACTACTCCGGTCTGAGGTTCGCTTGCACGATCTATTCTCCGAAGAATTTTATCCAGCCCGCGAGCTGTTCGAGAGCTTGTCAGCGCAGACAGATTTGAAGAGATTGACAATGCGTTCTAGTCCAGACCCAGGACGACCAGCAGTCGTACCAATTGAACGCCTCGCAGCATTCCTAGGCTGCTTCCGAAAGATCGAGTAAATTTTGATCTACGACATATCGTTTACAACTCACGAGATGGGTGTCATCACATAGTCGTTACAGGCTTTTTCTACGCTTCCTAAGATTTCTTATCCCATCGGGCGGGTACAGAAATAGAATCAGCAGATGAAGCACGGATTTGCATGACAAAGCTTGGCCAGCTCCATGACCTTGAATCCACAACCAATTCGCTTAAATCCTTCACTGCTGCCACCGTCCAAAAGTTTTCCAGGTCCATTCTCGTGGCAGTCTGTTCAGAATGAACAAGCAGAAGTCCTGGAAAGAACGGGAAGAGGCTCACTCATGAGAAAAATGGTATAACATTTGAATGGCTGAATGGGTGCTCACACCAGAAGGGAATTTAACAAGGGGAATCCGGTTCGCTCCTCGAAACACCGACGTATGAAAGAGCTGAGTGATTAAATTCATACCCAGGAAATCCACGCAGCTATCAGTACACTACGAAGGACATAATTACATTAGAACCCGAGTGCCGACGAGATACAGCGCAGATTTTACATGTGTCATGACCGATGTTGGAGCGACGACCCGAAAAGGACAATGTGACGGCAAAAGTAGCTAATGGAAGAAAGTGAGTATAACGGCAGCCCTCTACGTGTTCACGTGCAACATTTGAACCCTGGTGGAGAGTCCTTGTCATGTGTATTCTCTATGCAGCTTGCCAAGTACCCTACTTCCAAACAGCTATAACACCATCAACATTCCCCAACAATTTTGTACTTCCAACAAGCATCTATCAACGCCCAATTTCCTGAGTCGCAGACCCGTTGCCTCGGCGTTCCCTTGATATGTGGCCTTGGCGTTCCTACCTAGTGCAGCCGATGATGCCTACCTAATAGCACCTCATCCGCTTCGGTTTCCCGTGCATACGTCACGGCATCTTGGCTGTAGAAATGAATTTTACAAACAGGTACAACCCGCACTGAAGTACTGTTATGACGGGCAAATGCTCTCTCATCATTGATGGGTGGAGCGCTATGGCCGTAGCTTTGATTACTAGTAGAGTACGCTCTATCAAGAGCTCAATAGACTTGAACATGGATCCTATAACAAATTGGTAGATAGTAACTTCAACACAGGTACCTTCCCTGATATAGAAAACCTTGATGCAAGATCACTCAGGATTTCCCGCAGCAGACTGTTATCAAGAATGGAAAGACTATCAAGAGCAGCTATTTGGGATCCCCTGCCCCCTTTACTGGAACTGCACACACCTGTAAGCATATGTTGTCTTTGTAATTGGACTTTTCTAACCTCGGATCAACCCTAGCTGTTGCGTCATGGTGAGGTACCTGCGATCGTCGAAGTCTAAGTGAACCCATACTGCTTATTGGAGACACGAGGATTCATTCTGGAGGAATTCTAGCACACGCCGTCTGATTACGCATCCGGGACGATTGATACTTCGATACAAGCATACAAAACGTCAAAAATATATCTATGAGGGCACTGCTCTTTTTAACACATGCACCGCCCTATCAAAGAGGGAATCCTTTCGCATTTTCTCTTCTTCCTCGCCACCATCCCTCTGCTCATACAAGAGCATGACCGGCCCACTGTGGTCACAAGCCCAGTCTCTCCCAATTGCATGACCATCGTTCAAGTCAAGGCACCCCTCGCCTCCTCCTTGCTTTGCTTGAAAATATGTTTCATGTGTCACCTCCTCACTGTTCTTGCGCTTCGCAAGCCCCTGTGGCTGTGGAACACGCGTATACAAGCTCTCTCCTCTAGTCACACTCACGAGCTCCTTCGCCTCAGCGGGGAAACTCCCACCCCACTCCTCTATCCCCTCATCCCAAGGTAGCACCGTGACCTTCTGCGTACTCCCCTTTCTCTTCTTCATCTGCCGCATCATGACCTGCATGCTGTTCAGCTGCTGCTTATGCATGTACTTCGCCCACGAACTTAGTGCACAAGCCCTGAACATCATCGGTAGGCGGAGTATTGTTGCGGGAATGAAAGCCTCGATTTCTGCGCGCTGAGTGGGGGATAAGGGGTTGGAGGAGGAGGAGGAGGAGGATGAGGAAGGGTAGGGTGAGAGATAGGATCTGATGGCTGTGCAGGCGGTGATTTCGAGGGGCTCGTCGAAGGGCTCGTCGTGGGTTGGCGATGGTGGCCGTGGCAGTGGTTGTGAAGACGAAGAAGGCCAGTATGAGGGATCTTGGCTTGGGGGCACCGACGCGGATGGCTCTGGAGACGAAGACTTGACCGACAGATGTTGAGGCGCTGCTATTGCAACCAAGCCGCCTACTTGGTGGATCGGGCACCATTCGCCGCTGTGCTCGTGGTCAGCCCGGAAGTGATCCATGTCGTCGTCGTAATTGCAAATTTTATTGCGAATATCGTCGTCTATATATTCGCACAGCGATCTGAAGGAGGAGGGGTGCGGGTATACCCCTGGGGTCGGATTTGGATTTGGATGTTTCGGCATCTTGGTCTTGCCTTTTCCCCTGTACTTCGATTTCCTACTGCGGGTGGAGCGCTGGCTGAGCGCTATGCTCGGTATTCCTCCCATCGTGGGTGGGTTGGCGGCGGCCGGTCTGGCTACGCAAGTTCGTCCAGCGTGAGCACTGAAAGATGGTGTGGGTCGTTCTGCGTTGTAGAGCGGGATTCTACATGTCAATTCCGGGATCCATGGGCGACAATTTCGAAGGGATCTGTTTTGTTGGGTGCTAATATTGAACGGACCCCGTGAAAATCGCGGTATCTGGGCAGCTATCCAGTGAGCTACGAGATAATATAATCGGCGAAATCCCCTCTGCAATTCGCACCCGTCTATTAGAGCGCTGCATTTTGTCGGGAACTAGAATTTGCGGTCATTGTATTTAATTTCTGAATTGCTTTGGGGATTGGAAAGATCGTGCCTATCGTTCGCGGGCCCAACACTGACCAGCGCCGGCACTTCGAAACCCCACTCCTCAACATTGCACTGAGTAACTTTAGCATTTCTATCCGGTGTTTTTTCATGTTTTTTGCATGATTCTGAGTCCTCATTCACATTAACCAGCATTTTCAGGACATACAACGCTCCCGCAGTGAAGTAGACGCCGCTACGTGCTCATGAATCCCACCTACACTAGCCGCGTTGATAGCCAGGGTCGCAGCTTTACCTGCACGATCTTCGATTTTGGAACAGAAGATTTGAGAGCCGTTTCTAGCAGAAGAGGATCCATTGCCAGTCTTGCAGATGACGACCCAATCAAAGACTGGGTGAATTGACCAACGCATTGGAAACTGAGAACTCAATGTGCTGATCGCCTCTTAGGATCTTTACTCGCAGCTTTCAGAGCCAGAAGAGCGTTACGAACCTTCCAAGATTCCATCAGAAAAAAGTAAATTTCCCAAAACACGGTTGAACTCAACCACTCCGACACATGCGTCTTCAAAAAATCAAATCCAACAACACACACACGAAACTACTACAACCGCGACCACCCACAGGAGGGAGAATTTCCGGTACAGTGTCTCCTTAACCCCTACCGACCCCACCTCAGCCGCTCCTGACGCAACAAGCAGAAGCACTGCCAGTCCCACTTCCTCCACTACCCGGTGCCGAGATTCTGGCCAGGTTAAACGCCCGACCTGAGCTCGTGTACTACCTCAACCGTCCCGGGCTCTGCTCGAGAGAGTTTATTGACCAGCCTCGCCAGCCCATCATCAACTTTCGCGACCCGAAAAGGTCGTACGGAGACTCAGCAGGGTTGCTGAACGAAATCCTGCAAACGAACGACTCCGTCCGGACTGATGGTTTGTTGCTTCCTGGGATTTCCAAGGAGCAGGAAGAGAAGTTGGGAACAGAGAACAACGCAATGGATACACTGCTAGCTCCTGTTAGTTCGCATGCAGGCAAGAAGCAGGGGATTGGCGTTGCGGCTGACCGTGCCCTAGTTGCGAGCAATCCTATAATGTATTATAAACATTCAAGATGTGGAGGTGCGACTACGTTGGGTACTTTTGCAGTATCAGAGATTTGGACAGCTGCGGAGGATGAGACGGATCACGGGTTGCATCTTACGTGCTAAACTCGCGGTAATAAAAAGAAGATAGAAAGCCCCTCAATTGCCACGAAGCCAACGCAGGGTTTGGTCAAATGCCGAAGGGACTTGATGCAGAAGGCTTTTGCGGATGAGAGGACTGAGAAAGCGGGTGCTCGATCGTCGTTGAGTGCAGTTAGGAAAGATAAGTTGGTTGTACTACTATGGTCGCGCTTGCATCGCTAGAAAGGTCAAACTATGCCATTCAGATTGGAGGAGTTATCGATTTAAAACTGTGTATTCAACCACATTTCTCAAGCATTTCATTATCAATGCACATTTACAACTTGCTCTTCTCCAATCCCTCCCTCTCCGTCTGCTTGCCCATGTTCGTCTCACTCGTCTCCGCCTTCAAGCTCGTGGGGTCGCCCAACTGCGTCTTGTTGACTTTCTTTCCATCCGTGTTCGCTAGCGTTCCTCTGACTTTCTTGGAGTGGGGAAGGTCATCGCTATCCTTGAACTTGGAGAGGTCGTCATCATTCGTGTCTGAAGACGAGTTAGGGACCAGCGACTGAGCAACTTTCCGGTTGTCGGGCGTGTTATCATATGTCTCTGGCTTTAACGAGGTAGGGTCGCCTATTTGGGGTGGGTTGTCGCCTGCCTTGATGGCGGCTTTTGTTTTGGGGTTATCAAATGTTCCGCGGACGGTCTTGGAGTGCGGCTTTGACATGATGATGTGTTTGTAGAATGGTAACCTGTTTTGATTGGGAATATATTGGTTATAAGGTGTTCATGTAACGGATACGTATAGAGTGTAAATAGAAGAGTGATGTCTTGTAGCTGAGGTATTGCACGCGAGCCTCGGTAACGCATCATCGATACTACATTCACGGCAAGTGCGCTTTGACGGCTAAGAGTCGATTAGCGTGTATAGATGACGTCTGCATTTTCTTCACATGTAGCAGCCGCAAATGCGGACACCCATGGTAGCAGGATAACCTTCTATGAAGCAATATGTTGGTGGTTTCACCATGGGCTTTTTGCAGAATGATACTGCTTCCGTCATGAAGGATTTCGTTCTGTCTTTCCAGCTGAACTTTACCAGTAACATTTCGGGCGTGTAGTGTTAGATCTGCGACATGTAGATAGGACGCAGAGCAAGACGCAAGATCAGAGCTACGACAGACTTTCAGATGGTAAGAGATCGTAGTACTATGAGCTTTCGTTGGGGTCTTCGCTGTGGTAATAGAAGCGGTGCACTAGTGCGGTCACCGCCGTCTCACGTCACTACCTTGCCGGAGACGAAACCCACAACCGCGACACGACTAGGACCACACACCAACATCACCATAGCATATCTTGAACCGTGATACTATAAAATTGACAAGATAAGGTCAACGCCGAAATACATCGCAGCTTTCGTCACCCTCTTGACTTGTGTATGCATTGCTCTCGTTCGGCTAACATGATGTAATGCAATCTCTATGGAGATGTATCTTCTTGTTTGAGATTATTGTACAGGTAATATTACAACCAAGGTTGTACAGTCGAGTGTAAGAAAGAGTTTGAGATCAGACCAAGTTTCCAACCACTGAGTGAAGGGCTGCGAACCTTGTCAGGCTACCGTTGGCCTTTCGTATGGGGCAGCTACGCCTCCATGATGATCTGTTTTCCTTTCACAGACTTCCACTCTACAAACCACGAAGCCACAAACGCAAAAGCCGACACTCCAAGCGCGCAGTACCACACGTTAACAATGCCTTGGTTGTACACAGCATGGAAGACCGGTAACTTGTCCGTCGGTATCAACTTCGCCAAGTCTGTCGCTCCAGCATGCATGATCGACGACACGTCCAGTCCAGGGATCTTCTGGGCGAGTTGTGACTGGAGCGTGCTAGTCAAAATGGTCTGGCAGATGCTAACGAAGATGGTTCCTCCAACAAAATTGCCAAAATTGATGATTGTGATGCCAATAGGAAGATCTTCTCGCGATAGAACGGTTTGAGCTGCATTGTTACACTGCGCGAGGCTCATGCCCATACCGGCACCCACCAGAACCTAATGCGGATCAGATACATCACTCAACCATTTCGAGGTCGGAAAAAGTACTTACCTGGTAGCCGATTGACTCGGCCGTGCTTGTGTCAACTCGAAACGTGGTGAGAAGACCACAGCCGATCGTTAGCAGAGCTGTCCCAGCTATCAGCCAGGGAGTGTAGTAACCTTGCCACGAAACGAAGCCACCAGAGCCGATGACGAAGAACACGGTAACGAGAAAGTACGGAAGCATGCGTACGCCCGCATCAACCGCAGAGAGTCCTTTAATAGCCTGGTACCAGATGGGCAGGTAGAAGGTCACCACAATCAGCGTGGAACCGAAGCCTAGTGACACCGCGGTCCCGGCCGCAATACTTCTCTTACCCAGGATCCTTGGTGGCAATGTTCCATTGTCCCCAACCCAGAACTGCCAAGCGATGAAGGTAATTATGAGCATGATGCCGATGATAAGCGTGCTGAGAACTCGGGGAGAACCCCAGCTCAAATCGGTGCTACCCAACTGCAGTGCGAGCAGAAGCAATATAAGCCCTGGTGTCAGGAGCGCCGTCCCGACAGGGTCGTATGCCTTCAGTCTGTCCAGGAGCGGTTTGTCCGAATGATCCTGCGCCGGTGGGTTGTTGGGCACAAGCATAATCAACACAACAAGTGCTAGTCCTCCGATGGGTCCATTTATCCAGAAACACCATCGCCACGATACCTTGGATGCAAAGACGCCTCCAAGAAGAGGCCCGGCAATGGAAGCAAGACCAAAAGTTGCGCCAATGAAGCCCATATATTTCGGTCTTTTCGCCAACGGTAAGAGGTCAGAAAGGATCACATTCGCACCCGTGGTATTTCCTGCGCTGCCAATGCCGGCGATGGCTCGCCCGATTATGAATGCGGTGGAGTTAGGAGCTGCGGCGCAGATGATGGAACCGATCTCGAATATGAATATGAGTGTGATGAAAGCCCATTTGGCGGGAAAGAAGGTCTGTTGTAGTCACTGTCAGCTAGCTACGTGTGGAAAGGGAGACACACTCACATATATCTTGCCAATGGGCAGCTGCAGTGCAGAAAAGGTAAGCAGATACGCGCTCTCGTACCACGAAATGTCATTGAAGGACTGGAAATCGTTAGAAATCGCAGGTATTGCGACTCCAATAATGGTTCGATCCTAATGAAGGCATGGTCAGTTAATTTATTGTGCTTTGGAAGAGAAACCTACCAGAGCCGTGAGAAAGACTGCTAGACATAATGAAAAGACGACAGGCAAAACAACCTTGGATTCGGATTTATGGGCCTTCTCGTGTGTCGTTTTGGACCCAGTCTCGAGTTCGAACTCCTCAAGCTTTAACGGGAAACTGCTGGCCTCGGAGGCTGTTGTGCCTGGACTCTGGGATTGATTAGACCTGAACAAAGGCATCTTGGGGTTTGTGTGTTCGTGAAATTACTCAATCTAGCTTGGGGCTCAAGATCATTAAGTAGATGATCCTTTTCTGTTTGTCGTTATGTCATGTATGCCAGAAAGGGTGGCACTGAGTGAATAGTGCCGATCGCTTCGGTTCGGTACCGAACTAAGCTCGGCTTGAACCCGAACTACGCTAAATGTTACCACGACCTTCACTTGCACTTCAGCACCTCATCATACCTCAACCGTAGGAGCACCAGTCAGGATCACAGATACGTTTTTAGCCGCCTGAACCTTCCGCGCTACCGCCATGCCTTCGGGCAAGAAGTCAGTTAGCTGCATACCATGCGCAAAGCGTAAAGTAAAGTGCGATAAGATCCAACCATGTTGCCATTGCAGACGAAGAAGGCAGGACACCTGCGTATTCCCAGATCTGATTGGAGCCGTTAATCAGCCTTCCCGTGCAAATATTGAGCGAATTGCGAAACTAGAGCAGTATATCCGAAGCCTTGGTGGTGACCCCCAGTACGCTGATGAAGCACGGAGCTGGAAAGGCTCCGAAGATCGAACGCCTGGCCAGTCCAGAGGAACAGCTGGGAACAGTCCAAACGACTTGACGTCTACTTCTGTGTCTCTCAATGAAGAATCATCTCCGGGAAGAAAAGTCCTTCGAGGCGTTCCGGGTGAATCTGAACTATTGTCACAAGGTGATGGTGTAACCTACATTGAAACGCAAGTACATTTCTAAGCCCATCGCCCTGGGCCACTGCTGATGTTGTAATTTAGGCCAATGTGGTACAGCTGGAAAGGTCAAGATAACCCAACGAGTCATCATCGACCGAGCACCGAGGCTTCCAATTCCCACAACCTGCCAACTATACTGAACCAAAGGCATACGTTGTACGCTGATGGTTCTTTCTCCCCTCTACCTCCATCAATCCACCTAGGCGAACTATGGCCAGTTTTTCTAAAGAATGTTCATCCACTGATAAAGATTTTCTTCGACTGGGAAATAGCACCTGCCATCCTGAAGGCCCAGGAACCTACATCTGTCTTATCCATTGAGGAGGAAGCACTTCTAAATGGAATCCGGTTCGTTGCTGCGTTGACACTTACCCACGAAGAATGTCAAAGCACCCTTTCCGAATCAAGGCATGAGCTTCTGCAACAATGCCAGAAGAGCACGGAATATGCCTTGACGACTGCTGATTATTCAGAAACGGCCGACAAGCGAGTATTACAGGGGTTTATACTGTACATTGTGAGTCCCTTCAGATGCTGTATTCGTGCGCTGCCTCCTAAATATGTCGCACAGTTAGCCATGAGAGACCGCACACGGCCGTCCGCTATATATCCACTCATGGGCATTGCCACTCGTGTTGCCGAACGAATGGGCCTTCACCGCGATGGGACGACGTTCGGTCTGAGTGCTTTACGAAGCGAAGAACGTCGGCGCATTTGGTGGGCACTACAGTTTATGGAACTAGCTACCGCGCGACTGGTAGGCACCCTCAGCTTGACCATCTTCGCTACCTGGGATACCAAAACACCGTCGAACCTGGAAGACGACGACTTCAACCCAGCAACGGAAGTCATGCCAGTCGAAAGAAAAGGTCTCACAAGCATATCACCTTGTTTGTGGAGATACAGCATCCTGCAGCGACGGCGCGACCTGCTAGGCAAGAACAATTCTGGAGACTTGTCATGGATGCTCTCGCCGCATCTGTCACTCGTAGAGAAGGACGCCAAGATCGATGAGCTCGAGGACATTCTGGCAGACAAGTTTCTGCGGCATTGCGAGCTTGTCAATCCGTTACACATCCACATACAGATCGGGATCCGACAATTTGTTTTTGCAGCCCGCAGCAACGTTCGCCAACCGACATTGGTGAATGCGAAGATTTCCGAATTACTTCCCCATGTGCGTGATGATCTTCTGGAGATCTCCAAAAAGAGCTTGGAATACTTCGTTTTCAGTCAAACAACCCCAACTATAGCTGGGTTCAAATGGGGGAATTCCATCTGGTTCCAGACACCATCTTGTCAGTACTCTGGCACCGCACCCTGAGGCAAACTAACGAATCAGTCGTATATATAATCCTCGAAGCGCACCAAAGATCTGGCGAGCCTGATGTGGCTACCCTTTGGGACCTTATCCGCCGCGTGTACGAAAACCATCCTGACTTGATGACGGCTGTCACTCGGCCTGAGGTCGACTTTCTTGCACGCATTACCGTGGCAGCGTGGCAGAAGTATATTCTTGAGATGCGACAGCAGCAAAGGTCGGACGCAGTGGGGATGCAGACTCCTGAGTGGATTCAGCATTTGTGCCACAACTTCAACTTGCCAGTAATTGACCCATCCAGGGCAACCGAAGAGTATGCGCAGTCTCTCAACGGTGATCTATTACCGCCGGATTTCGACTTTGACATTATTGACTGGTCGGCTTGGGATGCTTTGCATTAAGCCCGGCGTAAGGCTTTACTGGCTCTCGACCTATTAGTTTTGAGATGCAGTGGAGGCTGCCTTGAAACGATCTTTATCGTTCAAGTAGCGTAGATGAGCTTGATAGTGCGGGTTAGCGCTATAGATGCAAAAGATCGTTGATATCCGACTTTGCATGCCTCGACTATAGTTCAACTCGAAAAAGAAGGTGGACTTCACGACGTATGACGTCAGGATGAGTTCGCATCGACGCTAATGCAGACTAGAGGGTCGCTAGGATTAGCTCGTCAGTTGCCCAATAATGTCTACTCCCCTGGTGGAATAAGCTCAGCCAATGATCACGCAGCTTGCCCCCACAGCGAATTGGCTGCGCTGCGATCGACGCCCCTCAGAGATGCCGTTCCCGGAAGGTTGGGTCTCACATCTCGGAACGCCTCGGCCGGCCCACGTGCGAAGCTGAAGTCCTGCCTCTTCGAGAGCTGTCCCGCTGTGCTGCGACTGCGTGCTTCCCCTCAGCGGGGAAAGTGGAGCACTATGGGAGGAGCTGCTGTCCCGAAACTCGGCCAACTGTTCTAGGAATCCCTCTGCAGCGCGGTGCGCAATCACCTCCCTCGTCTGGCACATGTACTCCGCACTGTTGAACGTCCCTGCATCGTCGGCGCTTGCATGCAAGGTTTTTGCCTGACGAGCCTATCGATACTGGTTCTCGAGTTCCCAGATTGAGTGGACTGGGGGCCGATGCCAGGGCAACAATTGATTGATCTACAAGGCCGGCTGCGCACTAACGATATCGTCAGCGGCTCTTTCGGTAGAGATGGTTTATTGATGACTATGAACTACCCCTCGTATTGCCTGCACGCATGTATCGTGCAGTCAGATGGCGGCATAGTCATCGTTGCAAATGGTTACTGTTGGCACCCACGACGTAAGCGACGTGCGCATTGCCGTGAGCCTGAGGACGACGCAGTTGCATTGTCGAGTGTGCGACTGCGGCTGGGTGCCAGGGAAGTGGCAAGAGCATGACGAGAGGACTAGGAACTGTTTCTCATGCGGCGGCTTGAGCTTGGGAGAAACAACAACGGCCGGTGACAGGCTGTCACCGGTCGCCCCTGCCCATGCCGCAGCCCAAGACCTTCGCTACGACGTGTGCTACCGTCGGCCTGCAGACGACGAGAATGCGAGCAGAGACACACAGCTTGCAAGCGACGAGGCTGTACGCGCCCAGATGCAGCCATCGCGGCGTGCGGTCTTTATCTGCTCGGCGCATCGTCGTGGCCGCGAGGCTTGTCAGCATTGGCCGGGGCAGGCAGTGCTCCGCGCTTGCCCAGTTCCCTGCCGCCCCCAGCATCAAACTATCCAGAGCGCCCACATGCCCCCGTCACGCTGCTCGCTGCTTTCCTTCCTTTGTAGCTGTGCTGCTCGCCCCGCGCCGTCCTCGCCGTGCGACTTTCATCTGCCCCCGATGCGCGTCTGTTGAGAGAACGTCGGGCTACTTTCTTCGCCTGCATCGCTTTCGTCACTCCTTTGTCCGCCTGCAGCCACCGGCTAGCTCCGCCCAAAGCATCCGGTCCAGCTAGACCCTCACCACACGTCAGGCATGGCTGAGTACGTAGTCCCACAGCGCCCGCAATGAAACTCTGCATTCTGCGGAGAACAAGGCCAACCCGCATGGCTGTTTTCGCAGCCCCGTAGCCAGCGCACCGCTCACACTTTGCTTTGTTAGGTTTATCCACGTTGCCCCGTGGGTGCACGCGGGAGCCAACTCTGGTACCGTAACGCCCTCCCGCCTCCAGTCCCAGATGCGGACCCTGAGCCCGCCGGCAAATAAAACCGTTACAAAATCTATTTCCTCGCCTCAACTGAAGAAATTCGCCCATCCCATGCTGGAGCGCTCCGACAGCGAAGCCCTCAACACGATTCCAGACCCTCGGGCAGCTACGCCACAGCCCACCTTCACGCGCAACAACTCGACCGACTCCACCATGCATCCCGACCTAAGCCAGGAAGTCGCAACCCTCAGCACGAAGCTGATTGATGCCATCAACCATCAGACCAAGCTGGACGACAGCCTGCAGCAAACGCGCCATGAGCTAGAGACGGCACGGACAAGGCTGGCGCAGTTGGAGTTGCAGGTCAAGGTTCACGAGCAAAAGGTTGCCCAAGGCCTCCTGGTCGAGAAGGAGGTGTACGACAAGATGGAGAAGCAATTATCCAGCGACCTGAATGAGGAGAGGCGGAGACGGATAGATGCGGAAAAGGCGAAGAAGAAGACCGACAACGAGGTTGAGACCTTGACCACGGCGCTCTTCGAGGAAGCCAATGGGGTATGTTTGGACATGTAATCCTCGTCTTGAAGGGAAGCTAACCTTCCGTGTAGATGGTAGCAGCCGCGCGAAAGGAAACCGAGGCGTCCGAGAAACGCAACGACCAGCTCAAGCAGCAGCTCAACGATGCGGAAACGCTCCAAGCCAACATGCAGGAGCAACTGCAGGATCTCAAGGGTGTCTTGGAGAAGATGAGCGCGCATGGCGACGACGAGAGCAACACACTGCCGACGACCACGGCGCCTTCAACACCTGGAATCACCCCCGCCGACAAGATGAGCAAAATGTTCGAGACAAACGGCCAAGCACCAAACACGCCTGGTTCCGACGAAATCTCCCCCAACCATCCTCTGCATTTCACGCACCTCGTCCACCCTATTCTCCGATCCGATCTTACATCCATCAAAGAATTCGAGGAGATGCTCAAGGTCAGCTCTCGATCTGCACCCAACAGCCGTGTCTCAAGTGGCAATTACGGCAGTCTCAACGTTTTAGGGTTAGGAAATTTCACCAACAGCTCTACCAGTTCTCTACCCATAGCAAAGTCGCCCAACTCTGTAGGCACAAACTCACCGCGTGAGTCTCTTAGCGGAGCAGCCAATCTCAAGGACGAGCGATTCTACAAGCGATCTTTGTCTGAGGACATTGAGCCAACCCTGCGTCTGGATATTGCACCTGGACTCTCTTGGATGGCTCGCCGCACGGTGCTGAATAGTATTACATCTGGTTCGCTTGTGGTCGAGCCGGCTCCTCCACCACCCAAATTCCGGGGCGCAATCTTCCCTTGCTCACTTTGTGGAGAGGTCAGAAAAGGCGACGAATATGCTAGGAAATTCAGATTCAAGTCCTCCGAGACTGACGACACGCGGCATCCGCTGTGCGATTGGTGTCTCGGAAGGGTTCGGAGCACCTGTGACTACATCAGCTTCCTGCGAATGGTCGCTGCGGGACACTGGAGAGCAGAGAGCGAGGACGAAAAGAAAGCAGCTTGGGAGGAGAGCGTCCGTCTACGAGAGCGTATGTTCTGGTCACGGATTGGCGGCGGTGTGATACCAGCGTTCGTCGCGAGTCGGGACAGTCCGCGGAGCCCAACATTTGCGAACGGAACCAGCAACCGGGATGCAACTAGAACAAGCGAGGAGAGCCAGCTTTCCAACAAGCCTTTGGACTCTGCAGTCGACATGACGGAACCAACAGACGTAATGCGAAAGAGTGAGGACGACCCATTCCTTCAGTCAACAGGCGAAGAGAAGGTGAAAAGGGTGTCAATCGGCAAGACGATCATCTCCACCGAGCCCGCGCCGATTGAGTCTTTGACGGAGGACGAAGAGAAGAAAATCGAAGATGAGGCAGAGGCCCAGCTCCACGAGGAAGTACTCAAGTCTATGGATGCCAAAGCAGCAGAGAGCGAGCCGCAACAACAGCAACGGCCATTTTCGATGCCACCCTCCTCTGAACCCTCGTCGAAGAAGAAGGATGAGCGACTCAGCTTGACCATTCCCGGGTCGTTCGATTAGACTCCATCGGACTCGCGCCACTTCTCGCCCGATTCTAGCCACGACTTGGAAACTCGTCCATCCATTTTTCACAGCACAATCGTCGGCGAAGCACGACTATTACGTTAATATCCATCTCTACCAGCATTCCAGCACACGTCACGGAGAGGCATCATTCATATTCGACAGTTTCCACGACTCATAGCATCATTACTTTCCGATTATCTGCATATATTCAAAAGGGTCTTGGGTTTCTTTTTCGCCTTTGGTTTGCGATTTGTACACTACGATACCAGGCGTCCTTTGGATTGATTCAACATTGGGTCGCTGCGCGCACTTTCTTTTTACTGTAAGATATTGATTGCGGGGTTTGGATGAAGTGAGCTTTGGGTTGCAGTTCTTTACGGGGAGGAACCTAGGAGGGGCATCTTTTGGGATTGGATGGACGCTTTGGTTGGACCCATGGATAGAGGGGCTTGGATCGAAGTGCGAGTAGCACAGCTTGTTATGCTATATTCTGCTACCGGCTGGTAATACATACGCTTAATGACGACCGAATGTGCGTTCATGTCGCTGTGCATGCTGTGCGCCAAACTTTTGAAATCATTATCGGGGTATCAACGTTCAACTACCACATCCAAAACATGCTTGTAATGCTTCACTGCCACCGTAGACTCACGTCTTCTTTCCCTTTTTGCTCTTCTTTCTCTCCTTCTTCTGCTCCGCGAAGCTGCCGGCCAGAAGCGCGTTGAACGTCTCGCTGCGGGTCCGTGGCTCCTCACCGCGCTCGGGAAGGATGAGCTCCTGGGGTCTGTCGTCCTTTGCAGATTTTCTGGCGACATTGACGCCGCTCCTTCTGCGCTTGCTCGACTTCTTGTCCTTCTTTTCCTTCTTGGCCTTTTTGCTGGGAGTGTCGGTCGGAGCGGCGTCCTCGCCGTAGAACTCTGCGTTTTCGCTATCGACGTGGTCCTCTGAGCTGCCGCCCGCCTGCAGCTCTGCCGGCTCCGCAGGCTCCTCCATGTCCTCGTCTTCATCGTCGCTGCTGTCGCTCTCCACAGCCTTCTTCCTCTTCTTCCCCAGCTCCTCCTGTACCTGGTCCTCTACGTCGTCGTCGAATTTCTTGTTCACCCTCTCCGCCATCTGTTTGGCCTTCAGCGCCGCCCGCGCCCGCTCCTTGGCCAGCCTCTCCGCGCGCTCCTTGTCGTACCTCTCGTTGCCACTCAGCCCATGCCGGATGAACCGCGCCGCGGCATCCTTGTCCAGCTTCGTACTGGGTCCTTGCACGCCCTTGCCCTCGCCAGCGGCCTCCGCTGCAGTCACTTTCCCAAAGTAGGTCTTCAAGCGTGCGAGCTCAGGGAATATGCGGTGCGCTTTTGCGTCTGCGCCCGAGGCTTGAAGTGCGCTGAAGAGGAGGGATTCGAGGGTGTAGGCCGTGAGGATGTGGAGTTTGGCTTTGTCGAGGGTGGGGAGAGTGGAGGTTAGAGTTGGGAGGGGGGAGGCGAGGACGGGTGCGAGGGCGGCTTCGAGGTCGTCGATTGTGGTCTCGAAGTCGTCGGTCAGATCGGGGAGGTTGGTTTCGGGGTCCATGGTTGCGGTGTCGGTGTGTTTGGCTGACGGTGGTGCGATGTGGGCTGCGCGTTCTGGCGCAAGGGCTTCGGGCTGCGAGTGCGGCAGCGTCTCAGTCAAGCGTGTGCAATCCCTCGTCGTGTGGGATCGTTTGCTATGGCGAGAACTGGCGTTTGCGTGAGCGAGAGACGCAGCGCAAGAGTGAACTTTCTTTGAGCGGGCGGGCCGAGCTTTTCTCCGCTCCGCGCGGCGAGCTAGAGCTTCGATCGGGAACAGGACGACATTACTATTTCTCCCTGCGCCTTTTTTCGAGTAATCGCATTCGCCTGACAAGCTTGTACATAGCGTCGCCTTCTTCATATATGTAACTTGGTTTCAATCTGCCAACCTGTCTTCCTTTTCGCCGCTTCAATTCCTCCCAAGGCTGCGGCCGCGGATACGCCACATACGAGCGCCATGCAGACCCGGTAGCTATACGTTCGGCCGGGTGGCCTGTTACCAGACGAGCGGACGCATGAGAAGCTGGCTTGGGCCCGAGAGTACGGAGCCGCAGGCCAAGCAGGGGATCAAGTACGTCGACCATTCTTGTCCGAACATTGCATAGACTAATGTACCACAGCGCTGAGAAAGACGCTGTCTCACTCCCAGACGATACGCCGACAATGCCTCGAAATCCTGCAGAGTTTTACCGCGCGCAGCCTGTGCGAGACCGGCGCATTCACATCATGGGGTTGGGGAACGTGGGATACTTCGTCGCGCATTCGCTCAAGGGGATACCGAATGCGCCGCCCATCGCATTGGTTTTCCACAGCCGAGAAAAGCTAAAAGCATGGGAGGAGTCATCCAAGAGACTGCAGTGTATTACGGACGGGGATACCGAGCGACGCGAAGGCTATGATGCGGAATTGGCGCTGCCGCGACCAAGATCCCACGGCAAATTGGTTGGGAGCAATACGGGTGATCCCTTCCCGGATGCCTCTGATGCCAACGAGAGAATTTCGGAAGGATCGATAATGTTTGGAGAGTCTACAGAGCCCATTAGTTCGCTCATCCTGTGCATGAAGGCGACGCAAGTTTTGTCAGCACTCTCCTCTGTGAAGCACCGCCTGCACAGGGACTCGGTGATATGCTTTCTCCAGAATGGCATGGGAACAGTGGAGGAAGTGAACAAAGAGATATTTCCAGACATTGCGACCAGACCGCACTACATGGTGGGCATCAACTCCCACGGCATGAAGAAAACCGATGATCCATTCACGGTCGTACATGCAGGCTTTGGAACCATATCGCTTGGAATCTTGCCCAACGAACGGGACCGAGCGCCCGCACCGTACGCTCCTATCTCTAAATTTACGCCCCATTCATCCCCGCAGCCGATAGAGCCAGTCCACCCCGCGAATCCGGATCCTTCAGCTCCTCCAGCCACGGACCCTAGCGCTACATTCACCCCGAATTCGCGGTATCTTTTGCGAACCCTTCTGCGCACACCTGTCCTTTGCGCCGCAGGATTTTCACCGCCCGACCTTCTTCAGCTGCAGCTTGAGAAGCTTGCTGTCAACTGCATTGTTAACCCGCTCACCGTAATGCTCGACGCGCGAAACGGCTCTATCCTATACAACTACTCCCTCACACGCGTCATGCGGTTGCTCCTTTCTGAGATATCCCTCGTCATCCGCTCTCTTCCTGAGTTACAGTACATACCCAACGTCCAACAACGCTTTGATCCCGGGCGATTGGAGACTGTGGTCGTAGGCGTGGCGAATCGCACCAGTGACAACATCTCCAGCATGCTGGCAGATGTGCGAGCGGGCAGACAGACGGAGATGGACTACATTAACGGATGGATTGTGAATAAAGGAGAGGAGATGGGCATCAAGTGCTTCATGAATTTTATGCTGATGCACATGGTCAAGGGCAAGAGCGGGATGATACAGGCGGAGCTTGGGGAGGGCATTCCATTTGTGGAGCCTAGGCCTGGAGAGGAGGCGGTGATGACTAGGGATGCGTTTGGAGATATTCCCTTCGCGGATGTTATCTCTAGGGACATGTCCACGTCGGAGGAGGCCAAGACCAAGAATGCGTCGGGAGATATCCCCCCAGCGGATAGTGTCGCTGGGAAGACGTCCAACCCGGAGTGGACTGAGAAGTCTCGGTGAGATGACATAAAGCCATGCATATAAGTCTAACCGTGTCCAACGCCACGGCAATTTCAATCGGTGCTCCACACCCCTCCTAGATGCTTCTCCCATGAATGCAGTGTAGTCTATACAAACTTTTGACGATACCCGATAGGTGAGGTTCCAGTGCAGCCAATGGCAAGCGATGTGGTCCTCGAACGGACCGTTGCTCGGCTTAACCCCGACGCCGATCCTTCTCGAAGCCGAGCTCCCTCTACTTTTGCCATCGTTGCGCAAACACCCAACATACCCTCAACCTTCATCACCTCCGCCCAATCCCCACCCAACACCACCACCACACACATCATCCAAAATGCCTCGTCAACGCGGTGGAGCTGCCCCCCCTCGCCGTCCCACGGCTGCCCCGGCCAGGCCTGCTGCCCCAGCACCTGCGCCCGCCCGCCACTCGTCCACCGCCGCTGCTCCCCCGGCCCAGCATGCACCTCCTGCGCAGGCCGCTCCTGCTCCCCAGGCCAGCCAGGGCCCCGGCCTTTTCGGACAGATGGCCAGCACTGCTGCGTAAGTCGCATACCTGATCCTGGCTTCCTGAAGCCATGGCGCATCACTTCCGTGTGGTGCGTGGATGCGCTTGCCATCCCTACATTACCATAGAAGAATGCAAAGCTAACAGTCCCCCAGCGGTGTCGCAGTCGGCTCCTCCATCGGCCACGCCATCGGCGGCTTCTTCGGCGGCGGCTCCTCTGCACCAGCCGAGGCCGCGCCCCAGAACACCGACTTTGCGCAGCAGCACCAGCAGGCGTCCATGTCGCAGAGCCAGCCGACTGGCCCCTGCGCCGGCGACATCAAGACCTTTAACAACTGCATGACGGAGAACCAGGGCAACCTCAACATCTGCGGGTGGTACTTGGACCAGCTGAAGGCGTGCCAGCAGGCCGCGAGCCAGTACTAGAGAGTTAGGAGGATGGAGACCGTGTAGGGAAGGACGATGTGGAGCGTTATACTTGCATTTGCATCGGTTAGCTTGATATGTACAGTATCGGCAATGGCATACAGTCACCACTTTCCACAGACCAAGCACTTTGGGTTTGTAAGCTCTGGATGTGAAGATTTATCCTTGCGCCTCGCTCGGGTGATTCAAGCATGTAGATGGACACTGTCAGCGGGATGGGAGGCTATCGCCTGCGCTGAACTCAGAGCATCCTATCTCCTAACCTCTCAGAGGCCCATCAGATTACTCATTTTCTTCGCCACCACGGAAGACCTCCACTGATTCAGAGTATTTTCTGTTTATTTGGGATGATGCCCTGTGCCGAAACGGGAATCCCGTACTCTGTTGTCTTGCATTGTCCTGTGGCTGACATGTATGCAACCCTAGAGCCCTAGAGCGGAGCATTCAATCAAATGTGCCTCATGACCTCTCGCGCCATGTCTGGACCCAGCACCATGGATAGCTCCAAGGTTGTGATCGACATCTGGCATCGAGGTTGCATCTATGATGCAAGAGATTCCGAACGAGACCCCCATCGAATCACTCCATCCTCCACGGTGCTGATCCACCATTAGCTGCCTGGATCACGTGCGAACAGGCTGGAAAGAAGTTGCGATCAGATTGCTGAAGCAATTGCTCGTCTCGCCTGGACCGTTCTGATCACCCGTCACCCGCTAGACAAGCTTCGCCTAGAAGAGCTTGAGTCGACTACGTAACTGATTCCCCCGGGAGGCTATACTATTCTGTTTGGTTATAAATGTATTCGATTACTGCCCTACCCAGAATACAACTTGCATCCGAATCTGAGACTTCCTTGTCGGCTCTAATCAGACCTGTGGCCCTGGACGACCACCAACCCAGTATGTATCAGAGTTACCACCCTTCATCTTGAAGTGAATGAGCTTCTAGGGGCGAAGCAGACTATATGGTGGATTCCTCAGGACTTTGGATCTTGATGTTTGAACTCGCAGAGCTAAGCACGTACCATACAAGTTTGGAGGACGGAACCCTTGCGGATCACATCTTCCAGCTCTCAGGAAATTTATCTAGAATCTAGCGTCGCTCAATAGCATCATTCAGTGCATCTGAGTATAGTCTTTGAGCTGCAAGGTTGGAATGGACACAGTGTGCCGCAAATCGACCTTCAACACCAGCCATAGGGACGACCCAGTTCGAAAGCGGAGAGAGAGCTTCCGTTGTGGTGTCCTCGTTGCTTACATTCCAGCCTTCTTCCTTGAGCTCACAAGTCCAGTGTGTCTAAAAATGCAGTTCGATGTCTGACACAAGATGATCATGTCCCGGCCGCAAGGTGCATTGTTCGTTCCTGTACATGCAAATAAGCATCATGCAGTAGCAACAGCAGCTTTTCCACCTCCGATAATGATATCAGATAGAGACGTCCAGGTCGCCTCTACGTTCAAGAATTATTAACAATGACTCTTCAGTCTCCTGATCACTTATCCATCTTTACAACACTTCCACAATTTATTATCCCCGCACGTCATAATTCATCATGGGTCTTTGTCAAGTCGGCGAATCGTACGAGAACGATGGCAACTTCACTCAGATCAGCCTTGTCGACAAACAAAAGGGCGGTGATGTCCTGCGTCTGGAGAACTTCCGCTGCAGCCACCCCTACGGTACATGACCCAGGAGCGGCACGTCTGTCAAGCCCATTATTGGAGACGAGCACTTCGTCCTCGACAGCAACCGTATATTTCGTATGATCTACTCAACGGGAAACGCAAGCCAGATCCTGTCTCGCTTGGAGATGCGTGGGTTGTATGACGAAGACGGCTCCTACATCTGCACTATCTGTGACCTCAACGGCAACGACCCAGCGTTTGGCACTGCCCTGGTTTTTACTGCCACTCCTGTTGACCAGGCCATCATCGTCAACTGCAAGATTGTGGTCCCCGGACCAGTCCGCAAGCAGTACATCTACTCACCCAACACCATCCCCATCCAAGAGCAAGCCAAGGGCCTTGTCGACCTCGCAAAGTCGGCGAGTTGGACACCGACACATCACTCGACTTCCAGCTCTCTCCTGACGGCGACGTCATCAAGCCCAATGGGCTTCCACTGTCCACGACAAATGCTCTCTGTGGTGCAAGAGCGTAGTCTACTACCTCCACATGGGCGACTTCCGCGACAAACGCATCCACAACGGCACCAACCTCACCGGCGATCACACCCTGCTCGCCTCGGAATTCGTCCCGCTCAGCAACTACCGCGTCCTCCCCATCACCATCGGCAAGATCTATGACTCCGCCATGGCCGATGGCGCCCACGAAACCAACATTTAGACCCCGCTCCTAGTCGACAGCAAGTCTGGAAGCTATTCGCGTTACTGCCCACCTACCGACACAACATTGTCCTCACCTCACTCAACTGGGCATCGACAAGGTTCACAGTGACTATGTAGACACAGCCTTTCAAATAGTTAGTAACCTGCTTTTTTGTGAACCCTTTCATAAATACATATCATTTTGAACTGTTAGCTAGATCGAACACTTTTACGTTATCATTTTCTGTATACCTTGCAACTCCACCTTTTTGGTAAATTCCCCTCTTCTGATGCTCAGTAATAAACAAATGCTAACTTTCTGTATTTCGGCTCAATGAATTAAAGGGAAAACTTACAACATCAGCTTCCGTGCTAGAATCTACATCGTTGCTTGGTGACGTTCAAGGACGAACACAATTGTATAGTTCATTAGTCTGATTTGCACAGAATTGTCTTCTCGACAAGGCAGCACCTTCTAAGTCAGCCTCGTAACTGCAGGTTCCCTGTCTCTGTGTAATCACGTCAGCAATGACGCCAAGGGAACAAGGCTACGACTTCAACTGCCTAAACCTCTTCAGCCTAACTCACCACATTTTCCTTAACGCTCGACCATGGCGGACCCTTTGTCGGTAGTCGCTAGTTCGTTTGCGGTTGTAGGTGTTGCCGACGTCGTACTGCGCGCTTGTCTCAAATGCCACAAGCTCCTCGCCGACATCGAGGATGCGCCAGCATCCATCGAAGGCCTAAAGACCAGCTTGAGAAATAACACTTCTCTGGTCGAAGCTCTGAAAAAGCACGTACAGGACATAGAGGCTACTGCCTCTCCCGAGGACCGAGCCGAGCTAGGACCGGCAGTCGAGCAATTCGGCATCGCCGTCAAGTCGTTGCGTCGCGAAACGGATAAACTGCTAGTTCGATGTCTGAAGTATAGCAAAATGAAGAAAACCTGGGCAAACGTGAGGCATGTACTTGCGGAGAAAGACATACGCAAGACAACAGAGCAAGTAGAGCACGCCAAGGCTACACTCTCAGTCGTATCCTCTCTTGTCGAAGGGTGCGTATGATAAATTTTTGAGCCTTCTGGGTCCAGGTTGGAAAAACATTGACTTTCTGTTTTGAGTGCCACTTTTTTCTTCAAGGAAAGATTGCTTTGGACTGCTCTTCTGGTACAATACCCGGGCTACTTGCACGAAGCTCGCCCTTCATACTATTGCCGTGGTTGGTTCGCTATGCTTTAGACGCTGACTCAATTTGACCAGGAGACGGTCTGCAATTAGCCACAAAAATACCGAAACTGCTATCAGTCGGACGTCTAGTCAATTGATTTCGACCGTCAGACGAATAGAGAATGAACAAACGAAATTAGGCTCTCAGAATAGCATAATGATCTCACACGCAATGCAACAGAAGCAAGCCACGACTGAGACCCAGCGAGAAATACGACGATTTCGACACGTAAGCCAAAAGCAGCACGATAGTCTCCGGAGACAAATAGGAAGAGACACCGGTTTGATCATGAAGAAGTTGGAAGATATCCACTTCTCGACGTCTCATCACCTTACCAAAAGAGAAAGCAATCGTAGAATCCTCCTGAGGGGCGCAGATAGGGAAACCGCATTGACTTCACTCCTACTAATGAAGGAACATGTTAGACAGGCGGCTGTAAATCACAATACTTATGCCAGGCGTGGGATTTCGCAGCAGGAGATGAACATGGTTTTGTCAGAGTTCAATCACCTTGTTTCTTCGGCATTGCAGGAGACGGCTGCCCAACATTCGGAGTCGACAGCTACATCATTGGATCGATGGTATTATTCTGATTCACTGGGCGGGTCCTTACTTGCAGACTCGATATCATATACCACGTGCATAGACGGTGGCAAAGCTCTCTTGTCAACAGGACTACCAGATGGGAGAGTAAATCTGGCGAAATTTTCCAGGTTTTGGGTGCACGGAACGTCTATGGGGAGATTGGTCTTCAGTATTGCTGAAATTTTGAACGAAGATACTCAAGACCGCTATGCTGTCGAGAGTCAGGTCACATTCATTCCCAGGATTGCGATACAACCTGTTGTGGCGAGTATTCGGTTCTCACACGTGAGAACACCAAACCTCGACCTAGAGCTCTGCATACAGCTCAACTTGTTCAGAATCGTCGAAGATGAGCGAATCCACGAAATTTTATTCACTTATGGGTTAGTGGAGGATATCGACACTGCATTTCGAGAAAACCTAATCACGCCGTATGACACCAATGCAAGTGGTACAATACTATCTCTATTTGTGAGTGCGATTTCTAAAGGACCAAGTTGCCAGCTTGACTGATGTGCTATCTAGTATGCAGGTTCCGGAGTTCGCGCTGACATATTGAGATATCTTGACAGTCAAGGGATTGGGAAAGTGGCGTTGAAGTAAGTGGATCACATTTGCACTGTGTCATAGCTGAAGAAGGCAGTGGTGATGGTGATATCCTGCATGCAATCTGGTGTAGCGTCAGCGTCGGGCTTCACAAGGATTTTACCGACCATCATAGAGACATGCAGTCGTATCTTGATGGCCGTATCAATTCTTTCACAATGAGTGATGGGACAAATGCGGCACATTTTTTTGCTTGGCACAGACATGTATTCGGAGAGCCAGACCCGAATACAGAAGAGCAATGGCGAGTTTTCTTCTCACAAAATGGTATGACGCAAGAACTCCAAGGCGACAGGATCATAGAGGTGTCTTTGGATATTTGTGCTCGTCCATACCAAGAAAGCCTGAGGAACATTAGCTGGCTTCTGGAACTAGGAATGGATCCCAGCACGATTGGTTCGATCGACCTCACGGGTGAAAATGGCTTACACTCTTCGATACGTGTTCGCGCACGTCGCTGGGAGTGGAATGGTCGACCAGATCCCATTTCTGAAAGAAAAGTCCTCGAAGAGAAGCTTGTTCTGCTGATCAAAGCCGGGATATCGATACATCATCGCGATCGTAAGGGGAAAACACCCTCGGTCTACGCCAGAGGGTGCAATTGTTGGGATATGTGGTGTCGAGCACTGGAAAGAGCCGGCTTCAAAGTCGATGAAGTACTTCAGGAAGAAAACAACGAGTGGTTACAAGAAGCTGGATGGGAAGAACGATTGATAGACTTGGGGTACTCGAGGAAACTGATCAGCGTTGGATGGAACTATGATACGGACGAGGATACAGACAGTGATTTAGATGGAGACCTCGAATCGCAAGTGAACGAAGACTTGTACGAGAGTTCAGGCGAGAACTTGCCTGAAAGAACTGAGGATGCAAGTGACAGGACACGTGAAAACACTTGTGAAGGATTCTAAGAAGATACTGTAGAGGAATATTGTTTGAGGGCCTATGTAAGATAGTTGCAATGCAACATCCGAGATTTCCCCTTGCTCTTCGCTGTACAATTGAGTATAGTACATAGGATAGTACATAGGATACCAAGTAAATCCACACAATTGCACGTTTGTTCCAGTTGCAAATTATAGTGTGATCACGTGTGGCAGTAGCTTTTAACTAATTCGCGATAGAATAAGAGATCTGCAAGATTGTGGACGTTGAAACATATAGTTAGTTGTTTGCATGGCAGCTTGTATCCATTCGGTAACGGATCGCAAATCAGTAACGCTGGGACATTTTCAATTTAACGACGTTCTAGTTGGGCAATTCGTCGCCAACTAGTCGTAAAGAACAGTACTCAAACGATGCAAGAATCATTGAGCTACATGTTCAATGTAGTTGTAGTTGATTCGGCATCCGCAATAACAATTTAGTAACATCTTTCGCGACTTTCAAAGGTCCGCGCATACGAAGCACACGCTGTCAGACGAATACTTTGGTGGGGAAGAGACGTGTCGTAGAAGCTCGATGGAGAGCACTGGGGATAGTACGGCCCCAATGAATGACTACCCTTATCCATTCCAGCCTCCAATTCCAGCCTCCAAAGATTATGTTGCGCTTCTTACTGCTGTCAGCGACGGTTCAGTAGTGTTTTTCTCCAAAATCTCACGACTAATGTCCAAGAACAATCAACACCTCAGGCGCACGCGCATGGCTTCGATCCACGGATGTGTGAACCCAACTTCAACCGTCTAGTTTCCTCGCGAAAGACTGGCCGTGGATTCTCTTATGCGCAACATTCGTAGTATGAGCCTAAATCTGGTGCTCGCAACGTATGACTGAGCTTCTCGCCCGTATCACGTGATGATGTGGATCCTAGGCGGAGGCCCACTTGACATGCGAGACATGGCGTCGGAGATGATTTATCAAGTACTGGCCAATGAGAAAAGTCATCCACGGTGATTGGCCGATGGCTTCGAAGAACGTGAAACAGTCGCTTCATGTGCAACACAGGAGGTAGCATTCCTTCGAGAGCAATCTGTTCTGTTCTTTCGGTAATCTGATCACTATGCGTGCGAGTCGCGTGGCAGTGTGACCAAACTGCTACCGAAATGCGCGTTGGCCCGGATGCGCAGAGTGCGTGTGGTCGGGAGTGCTGTCGAGTTGACTGTCGACTGCACGCAGCCGTTGGCGGTTCTCAATGTTCGTGATGTGCTGAGAATCGCGGGCGTGCCACCCCTGCAACGCGCCCGCCCCTGAGCTGTTGTTTTCGTCCCTTCCAAGGTTCTCCAGCCTTCTCGTGCCACGAAGCGCGCAGCGTCGTCGCATCCATAGTACAGGCGGATCGCCTCCTCAATCGTTCGTTTCAGAGAGTTCTGGCAGCCCTCGGTGTAGACTCGCCTCATCGATTCACTCAAGCTTCCACTCCCCAGAACCCCAGCCCTACGAGCAGCTGCGGAGCTTCACGTTCGCCCGCACATCCACCGGCGCCTGTCCCTGCAGTAGCGGTCCCCGAACTTGTTAATTTCACGAGCCCAATATCGCCGCAGTCGTCCAACCCCTTCAATCTCTTGCTGCAATCTTGCAATCGCGCCCGTCCGCTTGCTGGTGAAGCCACTGCAACCGGCCACACAGCCTCCCACGCCTCCTTTCCCGTACAGTAATTAATTACACGCGCGCGTACCCGTCGGCCGCTCATATTGCGACGCCGCCCACCTGCCATGGCAGCACCGATCAAGGAAGGCTCTCCCGACACCACCGCGCTCCCACAACCCGCTGTACAACCCAGCAACGGCGACGCGCAGAACGGACCTCGCCGCACCAGCTTCAACTTCCTGCGCCGCAAGAGCTCCAGCGAGAACCGTGGCCGCAGCGTGTCCGGCGGCAAGATGAGCAAGAAACAGAAGGCGCTCGCCCAGGAGGAGGCCCTCCGCAGACAGCGGGAAGCCGCGATGCGACAGCCTCCTCCGCGCCTGCCCAACCACTCGCCGCTACCCCAGATCGACCACTTTGGTGGAGACGACGCACGACCCGATTCCATTGCCATTGTCTCCAACCGAGCGGGCAACTACGGCCACAACTTCAGCCGGCCCTCGATGGACCAGAAGATGGTGCCGTCCAGCAACTTTAACGTGCCCGCACCGCCCATGCCCAGCGCCTCGCCGGCCTACATCGACTATGACCCGTACCCGCGCACCGAGAGCATGACCCACCGCGGCCGCTACAGCTACGCCAGCAGCGCCGTCAGTACCATTGGCGTCAACAGCCCTCGTCGCGTGCGCAGGAGGAAGGACCCGACTCCCTTCAAGTGAGCATCACCAGTTATATCCTTGAATTCTGCCTAACTTGAACAGCATCCTCGTCATCGGCGCCAAGAGCTCCGGCAAATCTTCCTTCATCGAGTTCCTCCGTACCGCTCTCGCCTTGCCCGCGAAAAAGCGCCCGCACACCCCTTCTCCTCCGCCCTCGGCAGTTGCGCCCGATTCGCCCTTCACCTCGCAGTATCTCGAGACCGAAGTAGACAATGAGCGCGTCGGCGTTACTCTGTGGGACTCTGAAGGCTTGGAAAAGAGCATAGTCGACTTCCAGCTCCCAGTCATCACCTCATTCCTGGAGTCCAAGTTCGAGGACACCTTCGGCGAGGAGCAGAAAGTCGTTCGCGCGCCTGGTGTCAAGGACACTCACATCCACTGTGTTTTCCTCATCCTTGATCCCGCTCGTCTTGACGCTAATATCGCTGAGTCGAAGAAGCCCAACAGTAACGTCATTGGTGGTTTGAGCGAGACGCTCGATATCAATGTACTCCGTGAGCTAAAGGGCAAGACGACGGTCATTCCCGTCATCAGCAAAGCCGACACGATCACTACCGCGCACATGCGCCACCTGAAGAAGCTGGTATGGGATACCCTCAAGCGCGCAAAGTTAGATCCGCTTGAGGCGCTCCACCTGGACGAGGATGACGAGGATGGCGAGTTTGACGAACGTGACGAAGACGCGTACGTTCGCTCAGGTGACGACGGAGACTCGGATATTCTTAACAAGATCATCGACAAGTCATCTTCAGACGATGGCTCTGACGCCTCGTCGCACCGCTCTGGCTCACAGTCACCTCCGACGTCACCACCGAGCGCAAGGAAGAATCACAGCAGGAAAGCGTCTACCATGTCTGCCACGATCGAGAAGGAAGACCCCGAAGGCCCATTTCTGCCTTTGAGTATCATTTCCCCAGATCTTTACGAGCCTGAAGTCATCGGGCGCAAATTTCCGTGGGGTTTCGCCGATCCATACAACGAAGAGCATTGCGACTTTGTCCGCTTGAGGGAAAGCGTTTTCAGCGAATGGCGCGCGGAGCTCCGCGAGGCAAGCAAGGAGCAGTGGTATGAGGGCTGGAGGACGCAACGACTACAGAAAGTACCCGCTGGGCGCAGAGTCACGACGTCGGACGGACTAGCAAGCAAGCAACTCTCCGTACCTGGACAGAATGGTCGTGCAGTCAGCGCCGGCCGAGAAGTCCGCCAACACCGCAGCACACCTTACTAGTCACGTTTCCCCCTAACACGTTTGGAGGTACGGCGCCGACCAAACAATAACATTGCCGAGACGAGGGAGTGCACCCGCACTCTCTTACCGCACGATGTCACCACCGCTTCCGAAAATCTTTCATGTGTACGTTGTTCCTTTACTTGATATACCTCATACCCCCTATACTTCTTCTTGTATGTCATCGGCAAGACTGGGACAGAATTTTTCTTTGGTTGGAACTACTTTGCATCACTTCTCCTTGTATCCGAGTATGCGCATACCCCTTCTGTTTCGAGTTGATGCCTTCACATGGCTGGTCTAGAGGGCGCCGCACAGGTGGACCTGGACCTGGACCAGTCACGATTGCGCTGCGCGTATAATGCGTCCTGCGGCCCTGCAATGGTGGCGCGAGCATGCCCAAGAGGGGAGGAAGTCGATTCTTGTGTGGAGGCTTTTTGTGAGAGGGGTTGGCATGTCAGAACAGTAGATATATACCTTTGTACTTCGTACTCTTCTTTTCTGCTGCCTGCCGCGATGTTCAAGTATCAGTGAGATTGTGATCACCGCTCTTCTGAACGGGGTGACTGCACGCCATCTGTTCGGTGGAATCTCGAGTCAAATCCCCCAACCCGCTTCTTGGCGCCGTTGCACATCATTCGGCACGCGCGATTGCGATCGGCGGACCTGAAACGCAACGCAAATCCTCCTACCCCCTGCTTCGTGTTCGTGTCCAACGCTCGCGCGTCCAGGGTCCGCGACCCGCCCACGCGAGACGCGGTTGCGCGGTGTCACGTGGTCTTTCATCATCCCGGCCCACGATCCTCGTACAGAGGTGGGCAGGACAAACGTCATCTTCTAGTGACTCTTTACTGCAAGTTCTCTTCGCAAGAGGTAGCGCGGCTTAACTGCGATTGAAGGAGCGAGGAGAAGACGGCAGGATCCGCCGGGAGCGGAGCGGTGCGGGCGGTTCGGGCTGGCGCTGGCGTTGGTGTTGGTGCTGGTGCTGGTGCTGGCGTTGGCGCGAGAGGGGAAGGGTGCGTCAGACGTGTGTAGTGCTAGTTGCGTACCGTGGGTTGCATATAGATGATCGCGGAGTCGGATCTGGCGGGATGTGGAGCATGGACGGTTGCGGAAAGGCGGGTCAGTCTCGACGAGGTAGGAGGGGAAGGGCAGCAAAGGCAATCAGGTAGTGAATGTGTGCGATGCTTCGCAGTGTTCATTATATGTGTATCTACTGCACTCCCTATTACTGTGAGCTATCCAGTCGCTCCAGAGGACCTCTATATTCAAGCTCCCGCCTTGATATCCCTCTTTCTCGCTTCCTCCCTTCCTAAAACAGCAAACAGGGTCGACACGCAGGTCGGGGTATATAAAATAGGAAACGTGTGTGCGCACGAGAAAGACTGCTTGCTTGCTTGCTTGCTTGCGGGTATTGGTATCGATCATGCGGTGCTGTGCTGTATGGATGCGAGACGGTAGAAATGTGGACAGCCGAGCCGCCGACCCGATAAACGCCATTCTATGCTTGGAGTAAAGATGTTCGCTAGCAAGATTGGAAAAGTTGAGCTGAGTGGTGATCGCCGAGTTGTATTAAATGGAGGCATGCCTGGCCGTGGTATCGTCACTGATAGTGGTCATGCGCAAGGTATGATAATTCGTCAAGCGATGCTCTGTATGTATATCGCGAGAGAGCTCGAAGGGTCGATGTGAATGTTCGTGTCTGTTGGTTCTGGCCAGTTTCCGTGCGGTAGTGTACCATAGAGCTTGGATTCGTTTTCTTTCTCCCAGTTCCTCCTCCATACTTCGAATTTTAGATCCCACTGGCGCATTATCTTGCTCCTCCTCGTCTGAATGGTGAGATCCAGATGGCTCAAGTCTTTGCCGTACTGCAATTCTTGCGCACTCTTCTCTTTCTCATAGTCGGCATGCAGTTGCTCAAGCTCCAACTCCTGCTTCTGGATCCTCAGTCTCGTGTCCCTTTCTTGCTTAGCTCTCAACACATTAATAGCGCTTTCATGCTTTGCAGGTAGCTTGTCCTGGGTGACGCGCTGGCGCTCCAACTTCATTCGGTCATCCTCCGTCACTACGTACACCACACCCTCATACGCAGGGTTTGGTCCCGAGCAGTAACCCTCGATGTACTTGAGAGCCGTTGCAACGTTCTGCGTCTCCATCGCTTGTGCATTGCGAAGATCATGCTCCATCATGAGTTGGAACTCGTCCAGCCGTTCGAGCTGTTGAATATGCTGTGATAGGTCAGTACTTGCACACCAGATTGGAAACGACATGACGCACCTGTTTTGCTTTTTCAATCTTCGACGTCTCCAGCTGCGCCGTGAGGCGCTTCAGGCGACGTTGGTGATTGGCTGACAGAGCCGCGCGTTGGTTTGACTCGAATACCGAGACCCGTCGAAACTGTTCTTTTTGTTCCGCTAGCAAGTTCTGGAATGTCTCACTTTCGAGCGCGGAGCTAAGCCGGGCTTCATCCATCTCGCTTGGCTCATAGGTCGGCGTTGCTGATACGGTTGATGGTTCGCTCACGAGTACGTCCGTGTATAGCGCATTAGAAAGGTCAACATTGGATATACCATTCTCGCTGTATCCAGAGTCTCGTAGTGACGCTGCCTTGGGCGATGGCAGATTGTTGTCAGTTACAAGGTCGATTTCTGCACTGGTCAAAACAATTGACAGCACTTCGCGGGGTATTAGCTGGCCACAACAGGCTGGTGCAGCACCATCTTTTCTCTCCAAAGCTTCTTGTACGTGGACCCGGATCGCATACTTGGAAAGTGAGTGACCGCATTCGAGCTTGGGACTTTGCGGCTTGAAGTGATGACCATTGTGAGACCTAGAGGGACAGGCGCTGCGCGGGTAGTGAGACACAGACTCAAAATGATTTATAGCATTCAACAAACCTTGGCTCTTTCCTGAACATGGAGAACAATGCTGATGCGCGCTTTTGCTTTCTGGCGCTCTGCCCTTGTGCCGAAGAAGCACTGGAATGGAGTGACCGAGAGGCTGAGAAACCAGAGGTGGAGTGTCTATGCCGCACAGACGATCGCGGACTTTCTGGAATGGCATCGTTCCTGTCTACCGAGAATGAGGCCCGGACTAGCGGGGGAGGCATGCGCGACATGGGCGACTTGTCTCGAGAGCTGCGGGACGGAAGCGAAGTGAAGGCGGTTGACTGGGTTTCACGGGAATGCACAGAAACGGAGCTCCTCTGTTCACTCTGCAGTGACATGGTGGATAGCGCGGTCGATATGTCGAGCACGGCGGGGCGTGGGATTAGGAAGAGATCCGGGTCCTCGATGCCGCTTTCCTTTGCAGCGAGGGTGAGTTGCGAGTCGACCAGCTCGTCGGTCTCGCCATCATGGAGCAAGAGTGCTTCGGTGAAGTAGAGGCGGTCGTCGAAGATTGGCGCAGTGGTGAGCTCGGCGAAACCATCGCCGTCGGCATCTGTCATGGCGCTTTCGCGGGCATAAGAATGGCTGGGGGGAAGTCGGGACGGGTAGGCGCGCGCAAGCGGAGGTACAGTGGTGGGCGATTTGGCGATACCACCGCGCACCGCACCGTGGCGAGAGTGTTGGAGCTGGTTTTGGGTTGCAAGTGTGGGATTCGAGAGATCAGAAGGCGGGTAGGGTAGGAAGACGCAAGTGGGTGGGCCAACTAGACCCTGGCTCCGCAAGCGACCAGGGCGCATCCGCGGCTGCCCTCCAGATAGACTGGCCATGATATGTAGACTCGCAATGATGATGTGCACCGTGCCACCGCCGGCGCCGGCTGCCGCGCCATCGATGGTTCATGCCTGCCAACGCTCTCTGTACGCGCCCGCCACAGCGCACTACCCGCAGCCTGACCGTGGTCGCGCGCAGACGACCGTCGAAGGGGCCTGTCAACGGCTGCTCGTGACCTGCATCCTCTGTGATGCATCTGCACTAGGCGCGCGCCGGCGCAACTGTCAACCCAGACACCACAACCGTGTGGAGCCAGCAGCGCCCTCACCGCTCTGCCGTGCGTAAGCATCCCTCTTCTGGAGACCCCAGACGCTCTCGGACAGACTCGCCCTGGCGCGCACAAAGACGGCCGCGCAAGTCCGCCGTAGCCAGAAAACACACACCGACGCCCGCCCCTGAGTCGTGAACCAGCAGCCATGGAAATGATCAGAGGGGCGCCCGGAGATGAAATGAGGTCACGCAAAAGCTGCCATGGGCCCAGCCGCTTGGGCACAAGCTCCCGCTGCCGCTAGAGCTCGGCTGCTCTACGCCAAACGACCGTCGACAAGGACCAGTCTTGATGCGGTGCTGTATGTCAGACGTCCGTTTGAACAAGAAACATCGCCCGGTGCTTGATGTCGTCGAGCATGTCCCTCTTATTCAGCTCGCAGCACGGCTTTGCGCGGCAAGATATTCGACGTAAGGAGGGGCGGTCCGCGGGGTTGGTCCGACAGCGCCCCCGACCTGCAGCCGAGACATCGATATAAATTCTACATCGAGATGTGCTGTGCTGTGTACTCCCGCATCCAATGGTACCTCTTGTGATAGTGCCATGGAAAGACGTGGCCCAATAGCGCACCCAAGGGCTACTCGCTCTTCGTTGGATGGATCAGCCGGCACCCCTCAACCTGCTCTGGCTTCGGATGGGATCATGGATATCGTTCTTGGCCATGTACCTGAAAAGGTCGTCGAGCAGGTTGCTGCATGCGACAGGTGACAAAGCGAAGGCGGTCTGTTCCCTGCCAACGCTCTCCTGCAGGCGCGCGAACCTGCACGCAAGACCATGTCCGTGAAGAGCCCAGGCCCACGTTTAGCGAACTCGATGCTTCTTCCGGTATGTCGTACAGTACTACAGACGCAATGCAGCCAAGGGGCGGCCCTCGCCTTCCCAAAGCGGCTCGCGACCGCATTTGAAATCTCGTGTAACCAGTTTGCAAGCATCAGAGTGGAGCTCACCGTGCGCGTAGCCGTACGGAGGGAAAGCGTCTATTAAATCGGATAAGTGCTCGGCTCTGAGGCCTCGCGCGTAGGATTTGATACATGCAAACAAACAAGAAGATAGTACAACTGAATATACGCAACTGCCTGGCTTGCCCCCAAGCCAGGACGATGTATGAGAAAGGCCAGTGTTGCCGATGACATCCCTCTTGCCTAACGCCGTACACCAAATGACTGATACGACCAGAAAGAAAGGAGAATGCAAGCGTCTACCCGGCAATAAGAACCCACAATAGGAAGACTGCACTCTATTAGCTTTGCTCCGCATCTAAGGTCATGTGTGAACGTACATATCATCAAAACACCAAACATCTTGGCGACAAGCCATCTGTTGCCCTGCACACGGTTCCAGTACTTCATCAACTCGCGCTGTGCACCCTCAACGTTGTCTACAACGTCTTCGGTGTTGGCGTCAATGCGCTGGATCTGCTCTCCCTGTTCGGACACCATCTGCGCCAATTGGCCGAATATGCTTCCAAGTTCGGATATTGTGCTTTCGATGGACTCTATCGCATGTCCACGTTGCTGAATATACTGGTTCGGCGCTTGCGCTTCTTCCATCAGCATGAGCTGGGCATCCGATTGAGGGCCACCGCGAGTCAGCGCTGATGATCCCGAAGGATCAAGCGACAGAAGATCCTGTTGTGCAGCGTTCGTATTCCGGTAGCCACCTGGTGATCTCCCTCGCTGTGGTGTTTGGTAAAGCGGCGAGTCTGTTCTACTGGGATCAAGGCTCGTCTGCGAATGTGACGCAGCTGTGGAGAGGAACTGTTCCGTCCGCGATCGCGACGCCTGCATGTTCTTGGTCCGAACTTCAAGCACATCCTTGAAGCTTCCGCCCACGTTTTGAAGTTTGTCTTTGAGCATAACGACCACCTGATGATTATGTTCGCCCTCCTGGTCGGCACCAGGTTTCGCCTTCGGATGTTGTTTGCTTGTGAGAGCCTGGAGGTCCTGGATCTGCCGTGACAGCTGTGCCATGTCTTGTTTGATGACGAAAGTCAATTCATCAATCTCCACGGGCCGGTCGTCGAACAGTGTCTTGCGTCTTGCTAGTTGAGAGAGGCGCTCTAGTTTTGCCATGGTGCCCGAGATGGCGCGGGCAACATCGCGAGCACTACGCTGGAACTCGGAGTGCTTGCGCTGTGCCGACGTGCCATTTGCTTCCGCTTTCTGCTGAGCAGTCAGGAGAGACTGCCGCTGCGCCCCCGTTTTTGACTGTGCCTGTTTTCGTTGCGCCTGCGCGAGGATCGAGCGGAACTCGTCCGTGCGGTCTTGTATGGAGACGGCCATTGTGATTTATAAGAGCGCAAAAGCGGCAAAGGAGGCGAAGGCGAGGCGGCGTCACCCCTACGCAGGAACGGAGTGCCTCTGCTGGTGTAGTCGGATGTTTTCACTTAGCCCCCGGGTATCGTATATATCGCGGATAGTCGGCAGGAGAGCGGGGATGTAGGTGTGTTGCTTTCCGTTGTCTGCAATCGACGACGCTGCGTGTTCACAAAGCCACGGGTCGTTGCACCTGCAATCTGCTACGAGTATCGCGGGTCCCAAGGGCTCGGTCTATGACGGGCGCGGGCACTGTGGCAAGTACGCGTGGCTGGTCGTGGAGTATGTGCGGCTGGTCGGGCGTGTAAGTGTGGTTGTGGAGTAAGAGATGGATTGCAGCGATCCCCGGGCGCGGTTCTCTTCGAATGCAGGTGCAGTGGCTAGTCCGTGACGAGCATTGGCGCTGGGGCCCTAGCCTGCCGCGCCGTACGAGTTGGCAGCTCAGGCAAATTGCGCCTTGTTGCTGTTGTCTGCTTCACGCTTCTACATACAAGAGGCAGACTCTCCTTTGGCCAGTTCGTGTGTTCTTGCGTCGCGCGCAATTCCGCAATCTGCTACTTGCCTCCTCGTGGCAGCCCGAACCCCTCGTCATCCCCTGTCGCCTCACGTCCCCGCTGCGCCCGAGTATCACCCTTCACCCTCGTTACCTCATCCAACTTGGCAGTCGCAACACCCACTTCCTCTTTCCTCATAGTAATACCGTCGCTTCCCAGTGGCACCCGTTTGCGCCGTCCTGAGCCGTCTGCGACCGCCTGCCATACGTCATCTCGCAATCTGGGAGCTGGAGTTCGCAGGCCATGCTGCTGGCGTAGCTCTGCGCGGTGATCCTGCATCGTAATAACAGACGCCATGTCTGGGCCTTATCGCTTCCAGGCGGACGCGTCCAGGTCGCCTCTGTAAGTTGTTTAGTTCCATGTGGCCACGGGTTGAAGCGCTTGCTGCGCGCTTCAGAACTCTTCCTGCATCCGACTTGTGCCTTCAAAAGGATGATTTCTCCTGGAAGGAGCGCACGAGTGCACAGGCATACTTGGGCAGTGTAACGAGTACAACTCTCGAGTAGTTTGGTGTCAACTCGCATTCAGCCATACCCTACCAAGGTCACGATTGTGTTGCGAAGTAGCCTGTATGCTAACAGCCCCCAGCGACCGCCGACCTCAAAACCCGCTCCCCGCCCAGCCCGTGTCGTTTAAGACTAATGTTAATCGCATGAAGACAAAGAAATGGGTCGAGGCAAAGAAGAACGCATACGATGGTGACGACTGGGGAGAGTATGACGAGTACGACGAATATGGCGCGTCAGAGCCAGACCCGCCGCCTGCATCAGCCCAATATGCCGCACCGCAAGCGCAAGCATACGGCCAGGGGCTGGAGCAGCCTGGCAGGAGCTTCACAGATCCACAGCGCCAAGGACAACCGCAGCTGGGGCGAAGGTATGATGCTGCGAAAGCTCGGTAGTCGGCCGCCTCACTGATCCGTTTACAGGAACTCATTCGAAGCTGGCGAGGAACAGCGAGCCTTCTCCGCGTCTACAGGCCAACCACTGCCGGGCTTCTATGAACAACATGCGCATCAACCGCAGCAACCCCCGCCGACGCAATATGTACATCCGGCACTGAGGCAAGCGAGCGGTGCCCAATCCGATACTAGCGACACGCCAGAGCACCGACGAGACTTTAGTCCATCCGCGATGCCTCCTCCTCTCCAGACGCGCATGTCGCCACCTCCTGGTAGTACATCTGGCTCGCCTAGCACTCGGTATCCTCCGCGCAAGAGCAGCATAGGCCAGACAGACTCACCGGTCGCTACATCCCCTCGTGATCGCGCTCCGAGTAATCCAGGGAAGCCTCTTCCCTTTATTAGGCCCGCAGACATATACAAAAGGTACGAGGAGGAAAAGGAAAGGGAGCGTGCATCTCTCGACGAGCAACGCCCACGTGTGGAAACCGCGCCCGGCCAGAACTCCGCTATTGCTCAGCAGCCGGCACTACCGCCGGTAGAGGAAGGCGCGTCCACGTTTAACAGCGACCTGCGCTCTGTAGTAGACAATGCGTTCACACGTGCTGACGATCAGCGCTCTGTACCGCCGACCCCCATTTCCAAGTCGGATTCCGGGGTCTCCAGAAGCAATACTGACAGCACGTCCGGGATCAGCCCGATTATGAGTCGAGTTCCCAGCTCGGCTGCTTCAGCTGTCAAGGCCAGGAATCTTGCGGGTGGTGACGGTACTACACCCGTGATCGCTGAGGAAGCTAGTGAAAGCGGCACTCCGGTCTCCCGGCCAACATCTGCAGCACTGCTTGGTAGCACACACCAGATCCCCCGTAAAGCTTCACCCGGCCACTCGCGAAATGTTTCTAATAGTAGCGATTTGACCACGCCCAACGCGACAGGAAGCCCGGCGCGATCCCCTGCGATCACACCTCAGGCTCATTTTCCGGAGCCAGAGACTGCTGAGATCTCGTCTTTAAGCCAGCCGTCCGATGACATGAAGGTGTCTTCACCAACTGATGCCACCACGCGCGAAGCAGACATTGCAGCAGCAATGAAGACGAGTCCGATTGAAGTACATGCGGGGCTTAGCGCGGCCGAGAAGGAGTCCCAAGACGCTTTCCTCGAGTCCCATCAAGCTTCCACCTCCGTTGCAGAAGCGTTTCCACGTTCACGCTCAGAATCTCCAAGCAAGGGTCGGGTGCAGGAATTGGCTGGCAAATTCGGCGATGTGTCTCAGTCACGACGTGGCTCTACACAATCCAATGCATCCCGCACGAGCTTACAGTCTTGGGAGAGAAGCCAAGACAATTCACGCCCAAGTTCTCCAACAAAGTCTGCCAGTCCATCCAGGGACAATCTTGCCACAAGACCCCTGGCTGAGCGTGAGGCAAGCTTTCGACCCAAACTACCTGGGCAGTGGGAGTCCTATGCTACAAGTGCAGAAACTCCAAGCAAGGAACTCAGCACGGATAATCTTCCCGCTACGAACAGCAGCTTGAAATCACCCCTCGAAGAAGCTGACCTGACGCCGACCACGGCAAAACATTTGGTCGCGTCAGTGGAGCCCTCCAAATCGGATGCAAATGCTCCCTCGATTCAGAATTTCGGCGGTATACTACCACGGCCCCTTCACTTGTTTCGTGAAGAGTCGTCCTCCTCAATACCGCCAACACCACCTGCGAAGGATACCCCTGAGTCGGAGGAACTGCCGCCTCCGCCGCCCCTGAAGGAGAAGAGCCCGGAAGCGCGTTCAGCCACTACATCTAGCGTGCTCCCCGAAAGACCCATCATGTTGCCCCAGTTGAGCACGGACGATGCTGTCGACGACCAAGAGAGCGACAGGCTGCGAAAAGAGATTGTCGCTAGCTTGAGCCCACAGCAAACGATGACAGGATCCACACCAGAGCAGAACCCAGCTTCACTACATGTTGGAACTGCGCCTGTGAATCGTGAAAGTTCGCTGTTTCCCAGCGAGTATGAAAGTTACTGGGCAGATGGCGACCGTACGTCTCCACGGCCATCGCATGAACAAGGTCACGATCGCGATGTACAAGCGCCCTCCAACGCCAACAATTCTATAACGGCAAACCCCCTCACCCAATCACCAGTGGATGCCACGAAACCAGCGATCATTACTCGTTTTAGTTGGGAGGATGGTGGTTCGGGCCTCTTCTCTGACAGACTTCAACAGACTTCCCCCCCAGCTCCTGAACCTACAACCCAGGTCGACAGCGAAGAGAAGATTTCATCACCTGCAGTTGAAAGGGCTGCAGAGGAGCAAGGAATAAGCCAGTTCCCGGAGCCTTACTTTGGCCCAACCCACGGTGTTGCTGTTGTGAAGCCGGAACCGGTCAGTGACGCCGATCTGAATGCTCGCTCGCCTGTCGTAGACGTCCCAAGCCCGTCTACCAACATATCGCCACCCGAGACTGAGCGTGCAACATCTCCCGCCCCAGGCCTCCACGTCGTAAACTCTGCTCTAAACCCTGAAGCAGTCGATTTGCCGCCTCGTCTCAGTCGTGAGGTCTCACCAATGTCTGACCTGCTTCCCTCTGGTCCAGATGCATATACGAATGAATCACATGATCAAAGTCACGATCACGCACAAACCCCGGTTGTCAATCCGGCTATAAGTGCACCACTCCATGGCGTTCAGGAGCCTACGGCAAGCTCCCCTATTGCAACGACATCTCCCATCTCGGATAAACCTCTTGGATTTAAAGAAATTTTACAGATCAGTTCTCCAGCGGAGAGGATAAGCGGATACAACAAGACACGTAACTATTGGGCGCATGCTGATCATGGACTCGGCGATTGGGTGAGCACAGCTCTGAGCACAAACCCCGACCTTGCCACGCAGCCATACCCGCAACCTCGGCCTACTTTGAACACATCAGGGACGTTGCGCCATAGACCCACTGGATCCATATCGTTGTTCGGAAAACACCACGGTGCGGCCAGCGCCCAGGGAGAGCCAGCCGGGCCATCCACTGCCCAAACTCCAGTCACGCCAACCTCTGCGCCAAGCTTTCCCGGAGGTGGCAGGAGTGCAAGTCATCAGATGCAAGTCAAAGGAAAAGATCTCCTGCATACAGCTGGCGCGTTGAGCGGGAAAGGGTTGACAGGTGCGAAGGGCCTCTTTGCGAAGGGCAAAAGCCGCTTCAAGAGCGACAAGGTAGATAAATGATTTCCTGTTTTGTTTTTTTCTTGTTTCCTTACGATATGATCGGACGATGCAACTCACGATTTCTCTTCTGATGGCGGGTGGATGGGACGACAACAGACGCTCGGATTTTTGGCTCGGCTGATCCCCAATTCTGTGGGCGTCTTATCTCCTCGCCAATCTTTCCATTCAGGCCCTAATTTTCCATCTCATGTTGACGCATTCTTTGTATGATTAGGGCCAATATAATCTTTCCATAACCATGTGATCCCGCCTCGTTGAGTATACGTGTTGATTGTGATGTAGGCCTCGGAATCACCATCTTCGTCGCGCGAAGCGTCAGAGGAGCCATCGGACATCGGCAGCACGACCTCTGACTTTGACACCCTCGGACGTCCTTCGTTGGAGATGACGGACAGTTTGAAGGAGGAAACAAAGCATAGACGTCGTTTCTCGTCACCGTTCCATCGTTCTGGTCGCTCAAGGTCACGACCCGGCAGCATCGTTCTACCAAGCATCGGGTCGACTCCACGCTCAACACCGGGACATAGTCGTCCACAATCGTACCATCCACCAGAGGCATGGGGCACAGGGCCCTGCGCGCTCTCGACTACGCCGGAGCGCGAGACACCTGAGCAGCTTGGTGTGTTGCCGTCGCCCGCTAAGAGCATGTTTTCGCTTCTCCCGCAGGACGGCGATGTTCCTCCAGTGCCGCCGATTCCAGAGACTATGGATCATGTCCTGTCAGAACATGTGACACATAGACTGCTGCAGTCTGTGATTCGGAACTCGACGCCGCCGGCAATAGAGACGCAGAAGCTGGCAGAGAGTCCTGGCATTGCGGAACCGCTTGCGGGCATGACTGACAGGCTTGATAATGATGCCGGCGCGGGGCACCAGCAGCTGCTTGTTGATAAATCTGGACTGCTGGACGAAGGCGGTATCGTGGAGAGCGTGGGAAAGATCGTTCCGGTAGAACCTGCGATGGAAGTTGGACGAGACGAGAACAACCACGACGCTCTCCCTCGGCAACTGCACCATGACGATTTTGGACATACGGGCACCGGCCGCCAAGAGGTGCTGCATGACGACGATTGGGTACAAGTTCAGGCTGTTTCGCGCTCAGAGTCAGAGAGCGAAGAAGACATGGCTCCACAGCCTCACCACGAACCCGTCTCACATCCAGGTACTGGGCAGCAAACACCACAAAAGGATCAACGACTAGATGGGGACTCGACGATTACAGATAGTCAACTTGAGGAAAGACCGGGCCAATTGCTACGCTACAGATCTGCTTCGCTTGAGGATGCTTCGGTAAAACCGGATGAGCACCCTGTAGAAAGCGTAAAACGACCCATTAACTACGAGAGCGACGATGACCTACCCCCGCAGCTTCACCATGATCCGCTTCCCGCCAAAAGCCCTCAAGTTTTGTTAGAACGAGCAGCGGATATTGTGGCTGGAGCCGCGTTCACTGATCTGGAGATCTCGCCTACTTTGTCACCCATAAAGCCTCATCGCTTAAGCAGCCACGAGAATGACGGGCGACCTCATCTTCAACAGCCTTCTAGTGCGCATCCGCAACGACCCGCCCTGGACGTGAGCCCGATGCTCCCACCAGCCAAGCTTGTTCCAGACATCTCAGACAGCTCTGATGATGAACAAGCAACACCTCTCGCTTCTGTGATGAACGCAAATGGTGATGGTCGCTTTTCGTATGAAACAGAGCTCATCGGTGGCGATCTCTCTCCCATTTCCTCGCATGCATCCAGCGACGAAGAGAGAACGCCGACGAAACCAGACGCGCATTCATTGCATATAACCGATACGACTGCAACACCAGTAGTCGTCACGGTGGTAGACACGGCGCAGTCGCCGCGCGACAAGGCTGTGTCCGGCGAGGATGCACTAAAAACTACCCCGCGGCCCAAGCCACAACAGCAACTCAGCGCATATCGTGTAGTTCACGCCGTGGAGTATCTGCATTCGCAATCGTCATTCGAGTCATGGGAGCACGAGAGCACTGCTGCATTGTCGCAATCGGACGACAGCCCGCATCTTGATGTGCACGACGAGGCCGAGCCTCTTGCGTCTGACCTGAGCTTGGACAACGTGAAGGCGGAGGAGGCAGAAAAGGCAGAAAAGGCATCAATAGAAGAGAAGCCAACACTCATGGCGGGTCGAGATTCGCCAAACCCAGTGGTTCCGATCCAGTCCGATACGCCCCAGGAGGGCCCGCAACAATCTCCGCAATTTGGGCGCGCAGGGGCTCACAAACGCTCCGAGTCGCTCATATCAAAGATATCATCTATGGTGTCGGCAGAGGACGCGTCTCTCTCTCCTGTCTCGAGCTACGGCCCTCGTTCGCGTCCTCCAAGCAGTGCGGCAGGTCGTCAACGGCAGATTCCGTCCGCTAAGGCCTCCCCAATCCCTGTGCAGATCGAGGAAGAACCTACTGCACCCGACCACGCCGCCAACAGTTCAATAGACAACGATGATTTTGACTTGTATGCCGACCAGAACGGGGTGGTAAAAGACGAGGAAGGCCGACCCTTGCGTGTTACGACTGACCAACCGCGCAAACCCGCTGCCTCTGCGCGACCTCCTACGTCCGGCGCACCGAAACCTACTTCTCTTCCCGCGCCAATGGAAGAGGCGCCGGGGCGGTATAGCGATGAACGCCCAATGAGTTTTGTTTGGGGTCCTCGAGATGCGAATGGCCGGCCGCAGGATGAAATCAATCGTCCTGGTGGAGGCAACCAGGATCAATCCCCGCCGCGCGTCCCTAACACGCGGGTCCAACGATCCAGCCAGCTCCGCATCGCTCCCATCGTGAAGCAAAAAGCTCAAGATACCGGAACTCAATCGAACGGGCGACTGCTGGAGCAACCTTCTCAGGGCGAATTGGGGAGTAAAAATGTCTCACCATTAAGCAGCTATCGCGAGAGCAACAAGTCCTCGCCACATAACAATGTCCCGATCTCCCCACCTCCTGTCGCCGTCGCCAAGGCATCTTCTCCTCCGCCATCTACAATATCTGAGCGACCACATCTTGAAAGTCCGAAGACTTCCAATCGCCAGCCATCGCCACCAAAGTCACCTGATCCGCGATTGATCCAGGATCCACGCGTGATGATGGAGGCACAGATGCAGATGCGGGGGTGGACACCTGGTCAACCAATTTCACAGGACCCTCGACTACGACCAAGTAATCCTGCTCAGGTTCACATGCACGGTCTTCCTCAAAGCCCGCCTACAGCCCCAAGGAACCAGTATGAATATCAACAGATGATGGCACGCCAAGCCATGCAAGCACCCGAGCTCAAGTCATCGACACCACCTGGCATGCACTCGAGCAAGAGAGAGGATAAATTCTCGATACCCAAGTTTTCGTCAGTCTTCAAAGGTCTAGGCAAATCCAGCGCGAACCTCTCGCAGGCCTCGAAACCGCCACCGCTACGGCAGCAACCTATGCAGCCGGTTCCGCAACAGATGCAACAGGTCCAAAGCAAAATGCACCCGCACCCGAACACTGCAGCCGATAATGCGAGGCGGAGCGCTTCCCTTCAGTCCGGCGTGAGCGATATGACTCCCCCGCAGATGCCTCCGACGAAAGAGCGCAGATCGAGCGCTTTCGGTCTCAATCGACCTCCGAGCTTTGGGCAAGAGTCACATAACAGTCAGGACAGCACTAGGGTCCAGGCTACTGGCTCCAGGCTGGATTTGAGATATCCTGCGAGTCCTCCGCCTTCTCAAGGCATACCTCCGCAACAACCCCCTCAGCATGTCCTGCAAAACGTGCAGAATGTTCCCAGGCCACAGGACTATCAAGATTCTAGTTCGGGTGTGTCGGAGACCAGCGGCAAGAAGAAAAGGTTCTCGTCTCTCGGCAACATCTTCAATCGCAGCGCAACGAGTGGTCCTTCGTTCCCGACCAAGCAGAAAATAAGCAAAGAAGAGAAGAAGGCGCAAAAGGCTCAAAAACATTCCAGTGCGATGCCTCTCCAGTCAATTCCACATGATCAACCATGGCCGCCTCAGCAGCCTGTGGACCCACGTCAACACGGTGCTATTCAATATGGTCCACCTCCTATCGCAAGACCATTCCCAGGAATGCAAGGCGTGCCACTACAGCCTATGCAGATGCAATTCATGCAGCAGCACGCTGTGTCGCCGGTTTCTCCGCAAAGTATGCAAATGCAGTCACCTATGACGCCGCAGAGCATGCATCCTCACGGGATGCTTCAATCATACACCCAGGTTCCTCCAGGATTCCAGCATCCGGTCCAAGGACCGCCATCACAGTTTGCACCACAATTACAGAGCCCCCCTGGTGCTCTGGAGGGTTCTGCCTATATGAACACTCGACAAATCGCCCAGATGATGCAGGCGCAACGCTTGCAAGAACAAAGCAGACCAACGACCCACCATTCATCTCATACCGCGCATCCAAGTATCCCTACAGCATCGAGCTTACCGCATCCTGCACCGAGACCTGAGGAAGCTATTCCTCCTGCTTTCAACGAGTATTTCAAGCCGGATCTCAAGATGATCAAACCTCTTCCACCTATTCAGCCGCAACCTGAACAACATACTTCATATCATCAACATCCGCCACAGCCACAGTCCCATTCAGTAGTTCAGCAGCCGCCCTACAACTCTCGCAGTGTGTCTGCTCCAACCACTGTTCCCTCTGTCGATCAAACATCCCACGTTTCACAGCGGCAGGTAAGCTCACCTTTGCATGAACCGCAATACGACACTCCACAGATCCCGGCAGCGTATACACAAGTCACGGGTGCCTTTGTTTCGCCTAGCTTGGAGCAGGGACCTTCTCGCGCGGAAGAGTCGGCTGATGCTCGATCTTACAGTCGGCAATATTCGGACCCACTTATGCAACCCATCTCACCCCAGGTCTCCGCTATGGCGACGTCACCCCCTAATCTCCGCCAGAACTCTAGTGACTCTGTTGTCTCCCCAATCTCAGATCCCTCGCCTGGTCCCATGACTGGTCCTTCACCACCACCGAACTTAAGGCCTCAGAAGCAAAGGATGACTAGTATTACGGAGCAGGTCCAGTCGGAGCGGCCTTGGAATTTGGATCTACCCCACGGAGCCACAGAGCAGGAGATTGTGCGCGCACGCCAGCGACAGTATATGGAACAGCAGCTTGCTGCACAGGAGCAATTGCATGCTGAACGCACTGGTCGGTCACCGTCGCCTCGTTCAGGGCAAAGCCAACGGTCGGCCAGTCCTCCACCACCAGCACCAACTCAAGCGCAGCCTCCACACAGGGAAAGCGGAGGATTTCGCGAACTACTTCCTCGCAGTTCGCCCCAGCCTTACCCTATCACGGACGAGCCGGAAACTCAGAGGTCGCAGTCTCAAGAACAACAACTGCCTAGTCCTCCGATTGCTCCTGCGCCCGTTCATCCAGGACAGTCTCCATTTTTCAGTCCAGCAGGTTACCCTCTGCCGATGTCACCTGACCCACCCAACATCAGGAGCCCGGTGAACCCCGCGGCAAGCATGATGCCGCCTCCGCCCCTTCCCGCGAAAACACCCCACACCCCCTTGAACGCCTCCTTCCCAGACTTCCATACAACACGGCCAATCTCGCAAGACGCAGCCTCAGACCACACTCACGACTCCCTCTATGACCCACCCCCACCCGCACCCGCACCCGCAACCTCATATCAGCTCCCCGCCCACCGCGGCCAGCCAGACTACGACGACCTCGCCCCCGCAGACGAGCCCCCGCCCTACTCCGGCCCCGGCGTCCCGCACGAAGGCATGGACAAGGATGGGGTCCGCCCCCGCCCACCCGACATCGTAACTGATCGCGGCCGTCTTCTCGAACCGCGCCTGCGTCAAACCTCGCTGGGGATCCTGCAGCACCCTCAGCCCGCGTCCATGGCCGCCTCGCCCCAGCGCTCCTCCGCCGATATGGGCGCCGACATTCTCCGGCGGCAGCTTCTCGAAGTCGAGGAGCGCGAGCGCGCCGACCGCATGCAACAGGCTGAGGCGCGGCGCGTGGAGTCGGAGCGCGAGCGCGCGGAGCGTGAACGCGCCCGAGCCCGAGCGCGCGAACTCGAGCGCAGTGTTTCTGGCGGGGGGCGAGTGGGCAGCTTGCGCAGCGCGCAGGGCAGCACGCGGAACAGCACGGGTGGGTTTGAACGCGGTGGAAGCACGAGGAGAGCGGTGTATGAATTGCCGGCTGAGGAGGACGACGAGCCTGTCATGCGGGCGACGAGTTTTCCCGGTCAGGAGTGGGTGCCTACATGGACTGAAGACTAAGCCAGGCACGTTGGGTTGGATTGGGCTTTTCGCACCGCACAATGTTCTTTCCTGTGTTGCTTGGAAAAATTTCTCGCATTGTACTTTTTACTGTCTGATTTATCTGTAGCATCATCTGGCATTTCTTTTGTCTATTCTGAGAGCGGTTGGATGACGACGGAAGAACGTCGTCCTGGCCGTTCTGGTTTTCTTGGTTGGAGCTGGATACCCCATGTTTCGATTCGATTCGTTAACTCTCTGTCTGGCATTCTTCCTTCATCGCGCGTCAGTGGAGCGTTCGCGCGGACATTGTAACCGCACATATAATCTATACATAATGTTTCAATTCATTGCTCGCGTCTGCACGTCATATCGGATCTTTGAGTCGGCGGAAGCGCGTTCTCGCGTGTGGAGATGTTCGATGTGTTTCGACCGTTAGCCGTCAAGAGTGTTGGGTCGAGGCGTCCATGGAACAGGACATCCAGCACCGATTCCAAGAGACGGTACCGCGGGGTCCTCAAGGCCCATGTGCGCGCACTTACAGAACTTACACGTGAGATACTGTAGAAGCATGCACCCGAGACACTGTGGAAGCAGGAGCCGCATACCGAATGAAAGAATGGCACATTCTCAGCCACTATCAACTTCACCCAGGTGAGAGGTTCCAACGGCTGAAAATGTAACAGGCAACGGGCGACGACCCACAGCGCGAGCCAAGATCGCTGGGGAAAACGTGGATCACATTGCTCCCACACTCAGGGGGTAAGAGTGAAATCTTGCTCACACGTACCAGGCATTTTGGCTCAACGAATTGAACCCGCTTGTATATAGGGCTCGAGTTCATACCTCTCCCTCAAGTTTCTTCAATACATTGTTCTGCACGCACATACTCATCCCTCAGCCTGATACAACTAGGCCCCTGAACAGGCGGAAATATAACAGCACAGTCAAGAATCACCACCACCATGTTGCGTACGACTTTCTCCCGGGTGCGCGCCGCCTTCAAGTCCTACAAGTCCATCCAAGACCCCCTCGCGCGTACCAAGCTCGACACGCTGGCAACGACGTCGTTCTCCCCCATGAATCCCGGCGTCACTATCTTCCGTCCTTTCCCTGGCGACCCTGAGTCTACCCAGGGTACCCCCAAGCCCGCGCCCAACATCGCGGCGCTGACCACGGCGTCGACGTCCTGTTCGCCTATCAATCCTGGCGCTACGCTGTCGCTCATGTCGGCGCTGATCCACATGGACACGGGCGGTCATCAACTGGGCAGTCGTTCCCGCGTGCTGGAGGACATCCCGAGCACCTTGAAGCGCTTCGAGGTCCCCAATGCGATCGTGCTCACGCGCTTGCCTCCACAGCACCCTGCGTCCAGCCAGGCTCCCTCAACCCACCAGCTCGTCAAGACGCCCGAGCCAGGCACCAAGATGGTGTCGAGGACGCAGCCCACCGCCGCTGTCATTCCCGCCCCGCGCCCTTGGTTCTTCAAGCTGCCCACGTTCCTGCGCCCGCGCGAGCGCACCACGTACTACTCCGCCTTCGCTTGGGAGCACGAGGCTGAGACCAAGGTCGTCGGCAAGCCAAACCTCATCCAGTATATCATGTACGGCAGCCCCAACCCGGATGGCAAGATGGCCACGGCAATGGTGCAGAAGCGCACGCTGTGGCAGTCGATTCTGTACGGTGTGCCTGAGGAGGAGGGTGAGAAGACGGTGCATGTGGCCGTCGCCGAGACGGAGACGGTGAAGGATGTCAAGGTTGCTGAGGAGGATGAGAAGAAGGCGGAGAGGAACAAGACAGTCGATATGCACCAGGGTACGGGCTATGGTGTGATGGCGAAGTAGATGCGGCGATATGGAAGGGAAGGAGCGATGGATAAGGGTGATTTCCTGGTCCTTCAAAACGGATACTGAGTTGGATTTGACGACTTGTCTGCGACACAGGCTTCTGATTTTTCGATACCCCATCATCATTTTGGCGTTTTGACTGGAGATACCCCGAATGCGTGGCACTTTGACGCTCCTTAAAGTTTTACCTCGTAGGCGGGAGCGGTCTAGAGTTTGCATGTTACAACAGTTCCCATCCAGCGGGAATCAATACACATCTAGATCTCAATACATTATCGATTACTGAACATATCTATGTGGAGTGACGCTCTTGCTTGATCTCAAAGCTATGTGCCCAGTACGGAAGTGCTCCTTTGGACTTTCATCAGACTTGGTAATGCTATGCTTTTCTGACGATAGCAAAGTGATCGATTCTTGAAAAGTATTCCGACGGACCATGGGTAAGCATATCTCTTGTACAGAAGCACTTTACAACGATGCACGATAACTACATGCCTACAGGGAAACTAAGGCTGAGCTGAGATGTGAATGGGTATCCTTTGTCTGCAGCTAGAACGCCATCCAATAAGCGAGATCCATGCGAGCTGTTAGCGCGGTAGACGCGCGAAAAGTGGGCTCACCCGATTTCGACGGCTTTCCAGTCTGCCGTTTCTGGAAGGTTGACCTCAGCGCCTTGCCCGTGTGCTCGTAAGTGAAAGTAGGATGTAAGCAATGCCTTTGCTTCGACGTAAAGTGCCCTTCAGAGAGCCCCATTCCACATTGTTGCTCTTACTACTTTATAGGTGCTCAAGCAACTTTCTATTCACATTTGATCATTTTCAGAGTAAGTATGGATGAGCAATGGAGACAGAGAGGTGTAAAATGGTCCATGCTACTTTCGCCTTCACTGTGCCTTGTTCGACGGTTTCCGCAAACTTGCCGCTTCGGGAAGGTTGAGCTTCCACCCAAGCTCCAGTCTTCCTCTGGCCACACTGTGGCTTCCTCGGCTGCTGCGACCTTGACAGCAATTCATATCGTCTCAAATATTGCTAGACATGTAATCTGTGCATTTTTTGCGTGCATCGAGCCACCGTCCCTCGAGGCACCACAGCCTAGTCCTCGTGCCCCGCAACACCAAACACCCCGACCGCCCAACTTCTCGCGCACGCAACCAAAACACCCCCACACCCACCCCGACACCCACACGCGATCATGGCCGACGACGACCTCGAGCAGGTACGCCCGACCCCCTCCCCCGCGCTTGCACGCCCACTAACCCCCCCCCAGATCCGCCGCGCGCGCCTCCAACAGCTCCGCGAACAAGGCGGCGCCGGCGGCGAAGGCTCAGAGCAAGATGCAAAGCAGCAGCGCGAATCCGACCAACGCACCTCCATCCTCACGCAGATCCTCACCCCCGACGCCGCCGACCGCCTCGGCCGCATCCGCCTCGTCAAAGAATCTCGCGCAACCGACATCGAGAACCGGCTGATTATGCTGGCGAAAACGGGCCAGCTGCGCGCCAAGGTTACCGAGGAGCAGCTCAAGGAGCTGCTGGGCGCGGTGGCCGAGCAGCAGGAGAAGGAGGAGGCAAAGATTGTGGTGAATCGGAGGGGGGGTGGGGGGTGGGATGATGATGATTTGGATGATTTGTTGAAGGATGTGTAGGCGCGCGTGTGGAGGAAGGGGTGGGGAGAGTGTGCGCTGCGGAAGAGACGGGTGGGTTGGCGTGCATTGCGAGGCGTTTATGGCATATTTCCCCGTTTGTGGATCTTGGGCATGCAACATGACTTGGGCGGCAGATGCTCGACCGGGACCATGCAAATGCACAAGCAATCTTATTCGAAAGCTACTTACTGGGCTTGCTTGCGCCATTGTCCAACGGACATGGGACCAAGGTCGCCAGCAAGTGGGCGTGTCTTGCGGATGGTGACTTAAAGGAGACGTCACCCGGACTTCACTCGTAATGACCCAAGGGCCGCTTATCACTCCTCATCCTCCTCGAGCTCTAGTTTGGCCAGCTCCTCCTCCACCCTGCCCAAGCACCCGGCGCTTGCAACCATGTTGCTGTCCGCCTGTACTCCCGCAAAGGGTATCGGCGCTCCGCGCTTCATCTCCTTCCACTCCACACCGTCCGTCGGCACGCTCCACTTGTCCCGCACGTCCTTCGCATCACCAAGACCCAGTGCACCCGCCGCAAGCACCTTCTCCTCAAGCTCCCTGAGCGCCCTGTGTTTCATGATGATACGCCTGTGGAGACGTTGATGTCCAGGTCTAAGATCAGGATTGTCCTCTGGGACTGCATTGAAAGCCACCTCAAGTTGACGGAGCTCCTCTTGAGCGGCAAGCAACTCTTTCTTCTCAGGATTGAGCATCTCGTCGGGAATTGGGTCGAAGCGGGAGTCAACGTTGCTGAGTGGAGGATCGAGGGTGAAGTTGGGGTTGTAGTAACCTTTGGGATCTGGAGGTGGTGAGTATACTCCAGATACATTATGACCTGATCATAACTCACCTCGCGCGACTTCTTCGAAGAAGCCGAGAACGGCCTCCTGCACAATAGACTGCGTAAAGACGCATTCGCCGACCCAGGTGTTTCCGCCACCGAAAGTTGGACAGAGCGGAGTTGCATCGATAAAGCCATCATCTGAAGCGGGCTCTTCCGTCACTGCTATCGTCACCTTGGCTTCTCGGATATTGGCGAACGGGGTATCAGCGCGATGTCCGCTTCCTCTCTCCACAGTCTCCAGCCAGTCGATGGGCTTTGTAGAGGTTGACTTGTTGGAGATAGCCTTGGAGATATAATCTGATGAAGATGCCTTGCATTGGGCCGGATCGCCACTCGTATGCTGTGAGGTCTCCCAGTGCCTGGCACGCGTAAGGAGGAAAGTCTTCACATCTGGATTGTGGATCTGGTGGGCGCCGACCGGCGACTGCATAGCAGCCAGAGCCGTGATGCGATCGGCGTAACGATAAACTACCATGTATCAATACAGGATACCACTAGGGAGTTTCATACCTACAGTCCTTGTCCAGAACTTCCAAGAGGCTCTCCACACCATTCTCAATTGCAATCACGTAGACCTCTGCCTCGGGAGAGACAAAGTTCGGATTCTTGATCACCGTGTCGAAGACAGTCTTGATGTGCTCAGCCGCTGTCCTGTGGCCCTCAACCCGGTTCTCGATTTCATGGATCTTCACGGGGTCGTGTGTGATAGACTTTCGCGCCAGGGCGGTCCAGCTGCGATTCGAGAGCGCCTGGTTTAGCTTGTGTGAATAGAGAAGCTGGCCAGCATTGAAGACAATCAATCCAGGAATGTGCTTCTCTTTCTCAATTCGCGCACCATCTTTGGCTAGCTTTTCTCCGAGGGGTACATTCATGTTCGCCTGTGCGCGGTTGACAAGCCCTACAAAGTCAGAATGAAATAAGTCCCGATGTTGTAATAAAAAGAAGTCCACTTGTACCCGGTGCCTACCTTTGGTAAAGTTGATCACCGAACCGCCGTTCACACCGCCCTCACGCTGTAGTTCACGATACGCTAGGACCCCAAGGTCTTGGTATGTATCATCGTTGATGATGACGATGACGCGCTTCCGTGTCTTCAACACTGAGGCAACGGGTGCAAGAATGGGAATGTGCGGTCCTTTGGGCTTGTTGTTGGACAAAGTAGGCAGATATAACTCCTTGAGGCCTAGGGCTGATAGACGGCTCATGACCTCTCGGCGTTGGCAGACTGCATGGGGTTAAAATACGTCCATACACGTCTCGGAATGTACGCTCGCACACAGCTTGTCCATGTACTCACCGCGCATTGCCTCGCCGCGAACCTCGTTGTGGCGGTCGTTGTTGGTGTAGAAGAAGTCGAAGAAAAGCTCGGGAGCATCGATTCTCCGAAAGCAGCCATTCTTGTCAACAAAGTATCCAAGCTTCTTGAGGTCGGCCTGGTAATTGCTAAGTATGCAGTCCATTTGGTGCACATGGCAGGATTGGGGAAACTCACGGGATACTGCGCATCAGGGTCCAGCGTACTCTCCTGTCGACGGAACATATTGGCGGCGTGCGCTTCTTAGTTGATATTAAGGCCTTGTAGACTGACGTGGGAGCGAAAAAGAAAGCCGGTGCAGAAGAGTAAGGACCGCTCGGGTCGTAGATTTATATGTGACGATGGCCGTTTGCTTCTTCACGTCTGTTTGCACGCGTATAGGATTGGGCGAGACGGCTTGGAGTGGGGGTCGGGTGAGCGCAGGTGAGAGTCGACAGAGTCGACAGAGAGGGCAGGAGCGTTTGCGGGTCAGGCGCGGTATCCCATGATGACGCTTCGCGGGCGACCGATATTGGTACAATGTTGTATTTACATCCTTTGAACGCCACCCAATTCCAGCAGATCTTGCTACTATACACATATCCCGACAAAGTTTGCCTGCAGCCCCTAGTTCCCTCCGCTCCTTTACCAGCTCGCCTTCTTCACACCGGGTATGTTTCCAGCCAGCGCGTTGATTCGGAATTGGTACTGTTACTTGTCAGCACATATGTCTTGTGTCACATCTGAGTGCCCGCGTACTCGGCCCATCCGGAAGTCGCTGAAGACACCTCTGCCCTTGCCTCCCATGATACACCTGTTCTTGATCTGCGTGAACCGCGTGTAGCAGTGCATCTGCGAGAGCTGGAGCTGGGCCTGGGCGCGCACGCGCTGCGGGAGCGTCGTGTTTCGTATTATGTATCGGAGCGCTTGTCTACAAGATTGTCGGTCAGCTACGGCCGCTTTGCGCAATGCTGGTCAAGGAAGCGTACCGTTCTGGCTCGTTCGCTTCGAAGACCTTCCGCTTGGTGTGGTCGCGAATGTTGCGGATCTTGGAAAAGCAGCCGATGTCGAGCGTCTTCGCGCGGAACTGAGACATGATGGCTGTGGTGGGCGGCGTCAATTGCTTGAGATGGCTGTCGTGCAGAAGTTGAGATGCGGATGCGAGGTCAGCCTGCTCCGAATCCTCCAACTTCAGGCCGCTTCGGAGTGGGGCTTACTGCTCTCGCTTACACTTGCCTGTCTTGCGCCCAAAGCAGCAAACAACGCATCGTCGGCTTGACCAAGCACGAGAATGAAGAAGCCTCAGCGACAGCCTTGAGATTCTCCTGTGACATACCGCTGTGGTTGGATGACCACCGTATTTCCCGCCCGTCACATTGCGCCGGCGCGACTTCTGCCCTATCGCACTGCTGACCTTTCCATCTCCAAAATCCGAACGCCAACATGTTTTCTCGGGACGATATTCTGGAAATTTACGACTCATTACCTCCGGAAAAGGACCCCCAATCACAAAATGACGAAGACCTCGCCCTGCTCATCCGAACCGTCAGCGGGCACAGTTTCATCACAGCACATGATTTGCGCCAAGACTTCGAAAGAATTGTGATCACAAAAGCTACACGGACTGCCGTAAAATCTGCCAGCAGCGACCTCGATGTTGAAGTCGATGTCGTATTACAGCTTATCCAAGGAAACCCTGCCCTAGCTCTGCTGAGCCAAGACGGCAGTACCATCATTTCAAGTGCAGAGCGAGATACGATTGTCAAGAACTTGGAGGACATGCTAAACAAAAAACTCGTCTCCAAGGCCGACTTTATCCAGTCGCACGATGTCCATGAAGAATGTCTCGCCAGCCTTCTCCGGATCCCGAGTATTAGAGAGAATCTTGCAGATGAAGGGGAAGATCATCTGTTGGGTAAAGTATACTCAAGGATAATATCGGAGGAGATGAACAGAAAGCTCATACGGGCCCTCGAAAAGAATGAGTATGCGGCGGATCCGTTTCACTGATGATGGCTAACTTCTTCAGAACAGTTGTGTTCAACTCACAGTCACTTCCCGGGACGCCTCCAATGTGGCTCGTACAGCTAAACTTTGTGCAAGTTTCAAGCAACACCGTGAACGGGGATGCGCTTTCGTCACAGTTTCACATCGAACAGGAGGTCGACGTCATTCGGTGCACGCCAAAGCAATCCCTCCTGAGTCAACGAGATGAACTTGTTGCCAAGCTGCGGTCAGGAAATATATTTGCTATTGACCTGGGACACTTCGGTCAAACTTTCAGAGACCTGTATACATCTTCTGCAGCCCTACAACAACATCTCCTCGAATCTCCCTATATCATCACCTTGAATGGTAGCCTAAGTGCATACGCAGTCTCTACGGAAAGGCTCTCCAAATTAGCCGATGATGCACAACGTAAACTTGGGCAGGATTATGTTGACCTGAACGTAAGCACACCGAACCAATCTCTGTGCGATAATATGTGAAGTGGGTTGTGAAGCTATGCAAAGTTGTGCTTACTCTCTTACAGACCATAATAACAACGGATGTGCCTGGCGACATCAAGGAATTGGTGCTCGACAATGTTACCCAGAGGATCCTGACCACGGTGTCAAATCATGGTGAAGGCACTCGCCGCGTGAAGAACTACCTCATGAAGAATGAATGGTACAGCCTTATGCAAGAAGAGGTGACGGGACTTGCGAAAACGCGCGCCAGCACCCAGTGGTGGGACTCGCTCAAGGACACATCAGACAAGGACCCTAAATTCCAAATGGCGGATGTTTTGACCGCCACTGTACAGCAAAAAAATTCCAACTTCAGCGAACACATGCATGTGTTACATGCCGTCGCACAGCAGAAAGATTCTGAAGTCGCTGCTGCTGAACAATTCTCAATCACTATATCTGATCTTGAGTCTAAGAACGAAAATGACTTCTCTATGTTCTGGGCTGAGAAAGTCTCACAGCGAGTCCACAACTACCGTGAGGCCTTGAAGGCTATCGACGAAACGAAGCTGAGTGAGCAACTTACCGATTTACTTTCAAGCTATCTACATAAGGACCTGCTGCCGGAAGCGATCTCAAAAGCCCGTACACAAGGACTAGTACGCAGCAGGAAGACGCGAAAGAATGTCACCAAATTCGAGGCAACTTTGAAAGCGAGCAAATCCGATCTCGCCAGCATACTCTCGACATTTGAAAAGTTTGGCAGGAAGCAAGGCCTCGTAGAAACTGATGGGGAGGCTGCGGAAGCAGCCAAGAAGGCATCAATCCAGGATATGGTTCGGCGGATGCAGAAGCCTAAAACTGACGCCCCTTCGATGTTTCTCAGCTTAGTAGTCATCCTCTTCGCAAAACATCATCCAGGCGTGGTCTATGCTACTGGAAAATTCGCGCCCAAGCTACTGAAGCAGCTGAAGACGAAGCTCGACGATGAGTCGTATGAGCAGGCGGAGAAATGGAAGGAGCTTGCAAAGGCAGGCTCATTGACCACGGATGACAGAGCATTCATGGTGCAAATGGCAGAGGCAGCGACTTGATAATGGAATACTTGGTCTGGGATGTTATGGTATGGTTCATGACAAGTCCCTAATTCAAGAGCGCTATGAAGTCGATGTAATCGCAGATTGTCAGCAACGATATGGCCATCCAGTCTGAAGATTAATATGGTGAGATACCGACATGAAAGTAAACAGCTGACTCAACTATCCGGATGAGGCTTAGGGTTGGCTGACGTAACGAGCACGCCTTCAACAATCCATCAAGGAGCACGGCCCACCGCCACTATTGCACCATCGCCGGCCGATAAACCTCAAACCCCGACGATCCGAAGCCGTCTCCGAAAATGCCCCAACTGGGGGTTCCGCGCCCTTCTGGGTCGTAAAGAGTTGTTCCGTGATGTAGGAGCATCGTTTAATATAGCGATGGTGATAGATCTCGGTCTGGCCGACATCCCGCATCTCGTCCTGTGCCCGGTTGATCACAACACCGTCACGGCATCGATATAATATCTGGGTATATGCGGGGTGCAGGGTGACCGTGCCTTGATGCCTGCCGCCGGCCAACTGTTCCTTCAATCGCTTGCCGTACTTGCACGATGCCAGGCCCAGGTCTAGGCTGAACCCGGGTCTTCCGCACGTGTATCTTAACGTTGAGGAGCAGGGGCGAATATCCGGACGTTCTGATTATACGCCTCAAAGCGATCAATTGCAGCTGCTCAGCTCGTACAATTCGTGGATTATGGGGTTCAAGATGCTCGTTTGCGGAGTTCTCGTTCCCCAGATCATCACCGCCTTTTGCCACGGATGACAAAATCACTACACAAGGCAGCTTAGGAAGCCACAACGCAAGAGACGTGAGACCTCAGGGGAAGATAGTCAGGGACACTGACGAAGCTGGATTTCGAAGCCTCGATTGCACCATCGCTGTTTCATTATTGGGCGAGACCACGTCGTTGTTCGAAGAATTTTCCGACCACAGTGGTTAGCGCGGATTGCGCCATACTTCTTGACTATGAGACCTTCGCGCCATTGTATTTGTACGGCAGCCGATGACGGAGCTCATATGTATTCCCTCGCGCAATTGACTCTCTGCCCTCCCTTCTCGATCACTGTGCTTGACTGTATCCCGCCTTGCACTTGTACCGGTTCAGAAAGCTCCTGTAAACGCTCAAGACTACTCGAACTCTCCACTCCATAATTTCATCTGTGGTGTCTTTCTAGCTGTTGTCTCGCACCCCCAGAACAATGTCTTCTACCTCGTATTACGAAGAAGCAAACATGATCCGCGACGACGAATCTGGTTATGCCTCTGGGGAGTCCAGCCACGAGAGCCTGCCCGAGATCGTATTCTCCAAGGCTCATCTCAAGTTCCTCAACCACCAGCTGGCCCAGCTCGAGCCCCAAGGTTCGTAGCACTCACATGATACATATGAATGATCCGTTCTAATACTGTTCCAGATATCCTCCGTTGGTGCATCACTTCCCTGCCTGGCCTCTACCAATCCACAGCCTTTGGTTTGACCGGTTTAGTTACGGTGGATATGCTGTCTAAGCTGGATGGTCCCTTGAAGTCCAACGTCGATCTCATCTTCTACGATACCCTCTACCAGTTCCAGGAGACTCTTGACCTTGTCGAGAAGGTTCGACAACGCTATGGCAACACCATCCACGTCTACAAGCCCCGCGGATGCAACACGACTGAAGACTTCGAGGCCAAGTACGGCAAGAACTTTTGGGATGTCAACGACGAGAAGTACGACTACGTTGCCAAAGTGGAACCCGCCGCTCGGGCCAATGCTGAGCTCAATGTCAAGGCCCTCTTAACTGGAAGACGAAAGAGCCAAGGTGGCAAGCGTGGTGACCTCGATATCATCGAAGTGACTGACAGCGGTGTCATCAAAATCAACCCTCTCGCCAACTGGTCCTTCGCCCAAGTAAAGGAGTATGTCGACGCGAACAAGGTTCCCTACAATGACCTTCTTGACCGCGGATACAAGAGCGTTGGTGACTGGCACTCAACACAGCCTGTCGCCGCTGGCGAGGACGAGCGCGCCGGTCGCTGGAAGGGAAAGAACAAGACCGAGTGCGGCATTCACAACCCCCAGTCGCGATATGCCCAGTTTCTGGCGCAACAACAACAGCAACAAGAAGCCGAGGCGTTGGCGCAGCAGCTGGAGAAGACTGTGGTTGCATGATCGACATGTCGTCATCGGGAAAGATTCTGAGTGGTTACTTTTATAGCATTTTAGCATCGGCGTTTTGGGCATGAGCGAATTGCATCCGGGTTAGGACGGGTCACGAACATTACTCCCTTGAGATCAAAACAGAAAGATCCAAGGTTGAGTCTCTGCATTAGCCCAGATATCTTCTGGATGAATTCAGACTGAATGAAAAGTTCGATATTCTAAATAATTAAAATCAATTGCTCCTCCGTGTGATGTGTGATTGTTCCGCTTTCGCTGCAACTACTTCAGAGCCAAGAACGGGGAAGAAACCCAGCCCAGTCTCCCCACGCATCAGACAAAAGAACGCAAATCTCGTGCAATTGCGCAATCGACCTAAGCCATAGCCGACCCAAAAGTCGCACCGATTGTAGCTAGTCCAGCACGCCCGCCGACGGGAGAGTGCCGTGGAGAAAGCACGCCCGCCATAGGCCATGCAGTATATACTGCCGTCATTTGCGGACCACCCTCCACAGCAGAAATTTCGGGGCCCTGCATTCCACTTATTTATAAACAAGTCTCCTTTCGTGTACACACTGAACCCTTGAACTTCCAGTCGCTCTGTGAAACTGCAACTACATCCACGAGCCGGTGCCGCCCACGACAGCTCCAAACGAAAGAGCCGATTGCGCAATTGTCCCCGCGACTGCCATTGTTCACACCCGTCGCTATACATCGCGGGATCTACCTCTCACAACCTCACATCACTCTTTCAGCATGGCTAACGCACCCCATGGTAAGCTGACGCTGTTCCTGCGTCGAGGAGTGCAAGCCGCTGACAATGCCAGGCGGCGTCCTCAAGGACTTGATCGCGCGCGATGCGCCGCGGCGCGAGGAGCTCTCCGCGGAGGCAGAGAAGCTGCAGGCTATTGTCCTCACCGAGAGGCAACTGTGCGACTTGGAGCTCATCCTGAACGGAGGTTTCTCGCCGCTAGAAGGTGCGTTGAGGTCTGGGTTTTCTAGTGAGGTTACGGCTGCTGCCCCTCGTGTTTACCGGGTTTGCAGCCGGACATGACTCGGGGACGGATGACGGCATACCGCTGCGCGCCCCACTGAACACCATAACTGATGTACTGCGGACAGGCTTCTTGAGCGAGAAGGACTACAATGGGTAAGGAGTTGTGAAGATTTTGGGAGAATTGCAAGCTGACTTTGCTCAAGTGTCGTCTCGGACAACCGCCTCGCAGATGGAGCTCTGTTCTCCATGCCCATCACGCTCGACGTGTCGCAACAGACGATAGATAACCTTGGCATCAAGGCCGGCGCCAGAGTCGCACTGCGCGACTTCCGTGATGACCGGAACCTGGCCATCATCACTGTTGAGGATGTCTACAAGCCGAACAAGTAGGTGATACGGAACGCCTTCATCGGAACAACACTGACGGCTCTGTAGGGAGAAGGAGGCCAAGGAAGTCTTCGGCGGCGACCCAGAGCACCCCGCTGTCAAGTACCTCTACGAGACTGTCCAGGAATTCTACGTCGGCGGCAAGCTCGATGCGATTGACCGCTTAGAACACTACGACTACGTTGGTTTGCGATGTATGTATGCGAAAACTCCTCTCCCCAGACTTTGCTAACAATATGCAAAGACACTCCCGCAGAGCTCCGACTCCATTTCGACAAGCTTGGCTGGTCCAAGGTCGTCGCTTTCCAGACCCGTAACCCCATGCACCGCGCTCACCGTGAGCTTACCGTCCGCGCTGCCCGCGCCCGCCAGGCCAACGTCTTGATTCACCCAGTCGTTGGTCTTACCAAGCCTGGTGACATCGATCACTTCACCCGCGTCCGCGTCTACCAGGCGCTCCTTCCCCGATACCCCAACGGCATGGCTGTCCTGGGTCTGCTGCCTCTAGCTATGCGTATGGGTGGTCCTCGCGAGGCCATCTGGCACGCCATCATCCGCAAGAATCACGGTGCGACCCACTTCATTGTCGGTCGTGACCATGCTGGCCCTGGAAAGAACTCCAAGGGCGAGGAGTTCTACGGCCCGTACGACGCACAGTACGCCGTCGAGAAGTACAAGGACGAGCTCGGGATCGAGGTCGTGCCCTTCCAGATGATGACCTACCTCCCTGACTCGGACGAGTACAAGCCCAAGGACGAGGTCAAGGAGGGCATCCGCACCCTGGATATCTCTGGAACTGAGCTCCGGAAGCGCCTCCGCACTGGCGCGGAGATCCCCGAATGGTTCTCCTACCCGGAGGTTGTCAGGGTTCTCCGCGAATCCCACCCGCCGCGCAGCAAGCAGGGTTTCACTGTGTTCCTGACCGGTCTCACCAACTCAGGCAAAGATGCCATTGCCCGCGCTCTGAATGTCACCCTCAACCAGCAGGGCGGCCGCTCCGTGTCGCTCCTCCTCGGCGAGAACGTCCGTTCGGAGCTCTCCGGCGAGCTCGGCTTCTCCCGCGAAGACCGCGACCGCAACATCGGACGCATTGCCTTTGTGGCCTCGGAACTGACCAAGGCGGGTGCCGCCGTCATCGCCGCGCCCATCGCGCCCTTCGAGGATGCCCGCAAGCACGCCCGCGAGCTCGTGGAGAAGTACGGCTCCTTCTACCTCATCCACGTCGCGACCCCGCTCGAGTATGCCGAGAAGACGGACCGCCGCGGCATCTACGCCAAGGCGCGCAACGGCGAGATCAAGGGCTTCACCGGCGTTGATGATCCTTATGAGACGCCCAAGAAGGCCGACCTCACGGTTGATATCTCCCAGAGCAATGTGCGCACCGCAGTGCACCAGATTGTCCTTCTGCTTGAGGCGGAGGGTCTGCTTGACCAGTTGTAAGCGTGTGCTGGGTTGTGAGTTATTACTTTGAATGATGGCATGACACACAAACGAACGTTGTTATTTCTTTTCGGCTTGGGTACTGCGCATAGACTGGGTGTGATGTGATGGCATTCGACTTGGCTCTTGGCGCACAAGACACATTTGCGGATGGACTGGACGTCTAGATAAGGTTCCTGCATTAGAGGGTGCCCCGTGGGGGATTGCCCTTCCACGCGAGCTAATATAAAGCGAAATCTATGGACGAGACATGTTCCCTGCGTGCATCTATACGTGATGTGTGGGCGGTGGACGCTGGGCTGTGGGGTTGGCGTGAGCACGTCAGGGACACCGGGATGGCGACATGAGTGGGTGGGGTGGTTGGGGGCTGGGCGAAGTTGCGCGGTTGGAGGGGAGAGAGGTTGAGGCTTGATTGAAGGTTTGATGGTGGGGAGGGTCTTGGGATGCTTGCTTGGGGTGTGGGAGGTAGCGTGTGGGTGCTGGCAGTGATGCTGGATAGGGATCTCACGACCTGGATCCTGCGGTCGGGCCTTGGGTAGAAGAACGGTACGGGTTTGTTCATCATTCTTAACGTACATGCGTTCGGACATTGATCACAGCCGTGAAAGCAAGGAAGACGTGCAATGCGGTGGCAAGCCTGAAGCAAGCAAGCAATGTTTTAGAGAAGCTGAAAGTTGCAAGTACCTTGAAGACAACAGCTTCCCACTCGTTCTTTCGGTTTTCTAGACCAAGGCGGTAGCAGCCTGTTGCTTTCGCAGCTTGGGCGTGGATCTTGTAGAGCGAATCGAATCGTTAGGTACGCCTGAATAATGATCCGTGGTGAAAAGGGATTTTTACAGGGCGGATAGATCTGCGGTCGCTTTGGGTCCCATGAGGGCAAGAGTGATACTAAGAAGTAGGGAAAGCAGTAAGGATATGTGTATGCCAATCTTGAATATGCAGCTGCGCTGCGGCTCTCGTGCATGCATTTGTGGAATTTGGTATTTTTGGATTTGTGGATATGTACGTAAAAGCTTTATTTGGGAAAAGTGATGGTAATCCAGGTGCTGCGTCTATCTGAGAAGAGGCAAATGAGGGAGGTAAGATAAAGACAGAGATTATGAGCTGGGAGACCAGTACAGTGACAAATTGAAGGTGTTTAGAAGAGCAGGAGAGCCCTCCAACTATTGAAGGTCACATTTCCCCCATAGTTTCAATTGTTCGAGCGTTCGGGTCAGAGGTTGTCGTGGATGCTCCTGCAGGTCCTTACACTGGAGAGTATTCTATTTGATCTCGAACTTCTTGTGGGGTGCTGCAACGACTGCTTGGCCCCTTGTACGTTCGTTATACCCCAGGAAGGACGCATTGCGATCGTGCTACTTTCATCAGATCATGCCTTAATTGGACAAAGTGCGACTCACGTGTGCCGTCGCAGCCATGCTGGGCCACAAAGGCCCAAAAGGGGCGACCTATGCCTTCTAGAAGAGCAATAGCGTGTGCCAGCACTTGTCGGTCGTTATTGCGACGTTCCTGGTGGACGGGCCCTCGGCTCAGAGGACGCGGCTGTCGCTGGTACGCCCGACTATTAATTAATCTAGTGCTCTTACCCCAGTACTGTGCCGCAACAAACGACGAGCGCAGCAAGCTGCTGCAGAATAACATTCGGCGAGGTAGAAAGGTTAATCGTATGTATGCTGCGTGCATACTTCCACGCGACGTCTCCCCACGGTTGAACGGAGTCCGTATTGATCGAGTGATAGATGTGTTCAGATGCGTAAAAACGTTCCGAAGGAAATATAGCTGTATTCGGAGTATACTATGCTCCAATGTGGAATAGAAGCAATTGGTCCAATATGAAATGGGCAGCCTGGACTGTGTCAGTACGAGATGACGTCGCCGAACGTTCACCCGGAGCCTTGGGTTTATAGTATTGTTTGGGATGGCATGCGTACTCAGTGCATTGCAGCATGGCGTTAAGCATGCAATTTCTTGGCCGCGTCGATATCGTGCAGCGACTTGTATGTAGTTCATGAGGCCTTGCAAGAATCCTTCGATCCGGGCAGGGTCGACTCTGATTTGAGGAGGGTCACGCCCATAGGATACCAGCAGTTTTCGAGTTGTAGGAACATATATGAGCTCAATATCGCCGTTCGTAGTTTGTGGAGCATGGACAGATGTAGGCCCAGCATTTTGTCGTGGTTTGCGGCGTGGGTGCGACTATCCGCCAGCATCCTGGTATGGTACATGGATCGGGTAAATGATCGCTGAGTATCAGCCAAAATGGATGAAGGCGTCGCAAGAAACATATATTATCACGCTAATCAGGACAGGTAAAGGACACGACTCCAGACTTTTTCAATTAGCCCAAGGCCGTATGTTGCGAAGGTGGAAGCGAAGAGGCTCGAGTTCTAGATCCTGCGTCGTATACCCCGGAGACCATACTATGGCTCCTGGGTCGAGTATATTGCGACCCGGGGATCACACGTGGTGCTGGTGGAGATGTTTAAATAGAGATTGAAATGCAGTTCCCTTGCTTCATTAGACAATCGCGTGCTTTGCCCTACTGGAAGGTGCCTTCGAATATCTGTACTTGCGACATTGATGTTACAAACATAACGAAGTACTCTTTTGGCACCGATATCTACTAGTGACCAACATTCACCGGCCAGAATCGTGCAAATTGCTAGCCGCTAGCCGCCGCACAGAATCATGAAGTTCTTCGCGATGGTTGCATTGGCTATGGCCTCGGTCGCGGCCGCCTCGCCTGCAGCGGTATGTTTTTGCTCTGCTGCCAAAATTGCTCGTATTGATACAACAATCAGGCGAACCTGGAACGCTCGATGAAGGCCAGCCGAACCGCGGACGGAGCCACGACTCTCACACCATGTATTGAATGTCCCTGCACAGGCTGGGCGGTCACTGATTGCAGATGCGTAAGAGCGGCTAGTCCCCCCGCTCAAATCGTAGCTGACAGATCATAGATCCCCAATGGGTGCTGTTGCACTTGAGTCGATACGGTAGAAGGGGAAGATAGATGTAGCCGGTTTCCTGTTGTACGTGACGAATCTCACTCAGGGCCAAGGCAGGGGATACGCGAGAAATGTACTAAAGATCATTAAATTTATTTCAGTTTACACTTCATTATGCATAACTTCCCAGAGGTCCACGATAGAGCATCGAGTGAGTGTAGCTGATAGGATGGTAGTCTCACATCGGTAATCACCGCAAAAGGGCAGGCGCCTTGGCATTTCAGCAACGCGTCTGTCGTCATCCTTCTACGAAGCGCGCAATCGGCCAGCTCACCACCAGAATGCCGAACGCCGGAATGAATTAATTCCGACGATCTCTCGTCGAGTCCTCGTGCGCAATAGTTGAGCTGCAACGCGTGCAGTTTGCCGTGCATTCGCTTCTTGTTCTTATCTTCTGATCATGCGGACGTGCAGCTGAACACTGTCACTCGTCTTTGCACGGCCAATCCACCAATATAAGTTGCTGCTGAGACTACAGCCTCTTACACATGGGCGCACTGTATATAGCTCGACTACCGACACCTACGCCGTAACTCGGTATGCCTGAGGCCGACTCTGAGCTTGTTATGTTTCTTCACGCCCTATCGCGAATACTGGGGTGGGCGTACTTCTTGAGCTGGTCAGTCTTACGATGATGTTGATGAGCATCTTTGAAGCTGATTGCGGTAAAGGTCTGCGTCATTCTATCCTCAGGCTTTCAACAACTATAGACGGAAGTCGACTCTGGGGCTCGCTGTTGGTAAGGAGACTTGCAACTAGATTCGCCCTCCAACGGAAGCTAAGTTGCGTGTAGATTTTCCTACGCTCAACATTCTCGGGTTTACATGGTACATCCCCCAACGTGTGGAAGATGATTGCATGCTGACGAATACTTTTAGCTATGCCATCAACACAGCCACTTTTATGTACTCTCCAACGATACGATCGCAATATGCCTACCGCCATCCTACTGCTCCCGAGAACACCGTACAGTTTAACGATTTCCTGTTCGCCGCCCACGGCGCGTTCATGTGCGTGGTACTATACAGCCAGTTCTATACGTGGATATGGGGATTCAAAGTGGGAGCGAGGCAGAAGGCATCCAAAGGAGCCCTTGGCATATTCTGGGGTTGCGTATTGGCAATACTTGTCACGGTCTTCCTTGCGCAAGCAGCAGGGAAGGATTCAGGATACGATCCCAGTAGTTGGGCCTGGATCGATGTGGTAAGTTAGATATCCGGATAGACGGCTGCTTGCTGACTGGACTAGATCTACGCACTGGGCTATGTCAAACTCATCACGGTCGTGGTCAAGTACATACCGCAAGCATGGGTGAACTTTAAGCGAAAGTCAACAGATGGATGGAGCATATACCCAATGCTACTCGATTTCGCAGGCGGGTGGCTTTCCCTGGCGCAATTGGTGCTTGATTCCTCGCTACAGAATGATTGGAGCGGCATCACAGGAAACCCGGTCAAGTTTGGCCTTGGGAATATTACGATCGTCTTTGATATCGTCTTTTTCGTCCAGCATTACATACTTTACAAGCATTCTGCGAAAAGCGCAGACGAGGAAGAAGAGTGGAACGATGAGCGAGAGGGTCTGCTCACATAGCTATCGCGCGCATGATCTCGATCCTTCGATAAGCACAACAACAAATTTACTCAATAGGCTTACTGGGCTCAATCACAACTATCTTCAACTAGCTCCGGCTACCAACTCCGCAAGCTATTGAACAGTCACTACGACCATCAAGCGAAGCTAGCGGAGAGTTCCACGCATGAGTCGTCCTGACCGACGACACGAATCTCATTGTGATCACTGACACTGCGCCTTGCCGCATTGAATCCGCCCAAGACCAGAACAAGCACTGGCCGCCGATAACTGCACGCATCCGGCATTGTACCTGCATCGATGGCGTAGCGTCTGTGCTATGGAGCGGCACGCGCACACGTTGTGGTTAGCCCGCCACCAAAACGTGACGATCGTGTCGTCGAGACAGGGATCACGCAAGGGTTGCTAACTATGAATCCTTGCGCAACCATCGTGATTCCTTCGACCCTTACGCGTGCGCTCGGCGAGTTAGAACCTTATGCAACGTGCGTATCGCTGTCAATGGAGCACTGTGATCTACACAGGGTTGGCACGGGCGCTTCTCATCGGAACGATCGGTGGCTGAATCTGTATTTTTGCATTCCACCTCTGGCACGTCCTGCTTTACCTCCAACACTAGGCAGCACAGCTTATCTGCTGTGCGACATCTAGACTATTTCACTCGAGCGACTAGGAGATTTCGTGATTGCGCCTCAAAGACGCGATCTGATTGTATCTGCCGTACATCGCCGGCTAAGATTCCCCTCTGCGCATCTAATCTCAACATCGACGGTAGGCGATTGGGCCAAACAAAGACCGATCTGCTCTTAGGGTCTCTCGCTGCAGGTTGTCATCATTGACCATTGGATTGGTGCGGCGCTAAAGGTTTCGGTCCGGGGGTCTTCCAAAAGTCTGTTTGGACGTCTTGGGCCGAGCCGGTGTCAGTTGAGACCTTTTTGGTACGGTATGTCCAGCCATGCGTCATGAATGCACACGGATGCAGCACACTCCATTAATTGCAGTCAACATCCCGCTCCTACCATTGCAGGGACCCGAACGCAGTCTCTAGCCTAGAGGCCCCTCGGAGCCGCTGACATGCCCATGTTGACCAAAAAGAAAAGGCACAGGCTCTCTGGCCACGGCTTCTTCTCTTCCTCGCCGCCCGTGATCTCTTCGCCAACCAGCTTCGTTAAAATTTCCGGCGCCGGCATGGGCCACCCGCTTCCAACTACTGGGGGTGGAGATCATGATAGCGCCGCAGATGACAGCATGCAAGCTACCAGGGCTGCAGAACCGCTTGTGGAGGATTTAGATCAGGTTCATGCCGACGAGGAACACGCGCCGGTACAACAGTTCCAGCCCTCGCTAAGCAAGACGGTCGACTACTCTCCTGGGAGACAACACTCCCCAACCCCATCAGAAGAAGACGCTGCCGCCCCTCCGCCTGATTTTACACGGAGAGGCATTCATATCCCTACGAGGACTAGGTAAGATCGTCACTATGTCGGCATCATATAAACCTTGTTGATGAGTCTGTAGCAGCAACACCGCTACGCTCAAGAAGCGTTTCTTTCGCTCCTCAAGCCTGCCACCGACTACACCAACTGAAACTGCTCCTATGCCTACCACAATTGACTCTTCCTCCATGCGTGAACGAAGCTTGCGAAGCTCGGCCGACTCTGTCCAATCATTCGACACTCAAGCTTCTTCAATCGCAACACATCAACTCGGTCCTCTCCAAACAAAAGGCCCACTCGAGGATGTCGACCGCCTGTCCCCCCTTCTGGAAGATGACCCCCAGTCCTTTGAGCTCGTCGCCCCAACCTCAAACCACAGCAAAGGCTTCGATCTTGAAACCCGATCGGAGCAATTGTTCTCGAGAGATCACCTCCAAGCCATCTTCCGCGACACACCTTCTCTCCTCCGTTTCACCGCATTCCTCAGCACAGCCAGGCCGAAGTCGGTCCCGGTCCTAATCTATTACCTCGATGCGCTCAAGGCTATGCGCGCGATACAGTACGCCAATGCCGTCGCGGAAGCGCTCGAGCCAATCGATGGGCAGGAGTTTACGGAACATCCCCCACGGTCTACGCTTAATGCTGTGCTGGAGGACAAGGCGCAGCAGGCGTTTGATATCCTCGTTAGAGACGAGCTGCCTGCTTTCATCACACACGTCTTCATCCAGCACGTAAGCGTCAGCATTCAGAAGCGCGTGACAGGCAATATGCCCCCGATGCTGCGCGAAGCAAGCGAAGGTCTAGCCGAAGTATTTTGCGTCTCAGACCCGTCGCGATCGGATAACCCCATCATCTTCGCGTCGGAAGAATTCCACCGCACAACCCAATACGGCGTCAACTTCGCCATCGGCCGCAACTGCCGCTTCCTCCAGGGCCCGATGACGAACCGCAGCAGCGTGACGCGCCTCCACAACGCCGTCAGCGAGGGCAAGGAAACCAGCGAGGTCTTCCTCAACTAGTACGTCTCTCCCTGCTCCACCCACAGCCCACATAGATCTAACCTCCACGCAGCCGCCGCGACGGCTCCCCCTTCATGAACCTCCTTATGATGGCCCCGCTCCTCGACTCCCGCGGTAACCTGCGCTACTTCATCGGCGCGCAAGTTGACGTCTCGGGCCTCGTGAAGGATTGCACCGACCTCGATGCGTTCCAGCATTACCTCGACGTCAAGGAGGGCCGCGCGCCGCCGGATGATAATAAAGACGAATTCCAGGAGCTCAGCGAGATGTTCAATATTCAGGAGCTCGAGACAGTGCGGCGGTGCGGTGGGAACATGCACAGGGAGACGCTAGATGAGGATGACCGGATGAGTATGAGGGGTGGACAGCAGCCACGGCCGCGGGTCGTCATTAAGGATATGAGTGCCTACGGGGATGAGGGGCTGAAGAGCAATAATCTGCCGCTCAAGACGGAAGGGAAGCTGCAGGGCGTGTACAAACACGTAGGTTTGGGTTAGCGATATGGTGTTGACATTGCTGACTATGGCGTAGTATCTGCTTATTCGGCCGGCGCCGTCGCTGCGCATCCTCTTCGTGTCGCCGTCGCTGCGCGTCCCGGGGATCTTGCAGTCCCGCTTCCTCGATCGCATTGGAGGAAATACCCGCGTGCGCAATTCCGTCGCTGAGGCCCTCACCGATAGCTCGCGTGGTGTCACCGCGAAGATCCGCTGGCTGAGCACCGCGACCGCGGACCTCGACGAGGGCCAGCACGAAGAAGGACGGCCGCGTTGGATACATTGCACACCGTTGTTAGGCCAATCTGGCGCGGTAGGCGTGTGGATGGTTGTCTTGGTGGACGACGAGAAACAGACGGGTCCTGCACGGCGCTTTAGGCAGGCGCCGCCAGTCCCAAACGACGTGCGGAGACTGCAGCAACAACGCTCCAAGCACCTGTCGCCGGAGCCGTCGGCGTATGATATGGACAGCGAGAGAGAGCGCCACAGCGAGCGCGAGCGCGAGGGCAGAACGCCGATGTACAACATGGGCCACATGAGCGGCAGCCAACCGCGGCTTAACAGGAACGGAGGTTATAGCCGACCTGAGAGCGCGATGAGCGAGCAGAGGGCAGAGCCAAGTATCGCCTCTTTTGCACTATGAGGTGCCGGCGACGTGTGATACGACACTGACGTAGTCAGGGAGCAGCAATGAAAGCAGCGTAGCATCGGATCGCAACCGGCGCCCGGTTCGCGACGGGGGCATGACGAAGACGACAACGCTCCAGCGGGAGAGCGTGGACCCGGCGCAGGCGGAGCAGCGGGCGGGCGCGTCGCACAATGGCTCCGTCTCGAGCAGTGTGTCGGCGCAGGAGGTGTTGCCTGTTATGACGAGGCCGAGGACGTCGTCGGGCGCGAGGTAGCAGTTTGGAGGACCGTTTTTCTCTTCGTGAGCGAGGTAATTGGGCGGCATGGGTGATTCGGCGCGGAGTTTGGGTTGCAATATACCCTCTGTGTATGGGTTCGTTTTGCGGTGGTACTCTTCTGGACTGTAATTGGGATGGTAATCGGGATGCTGCAAGCAGTACATATAGACTGTGACGCGTTAGTAGAGGACCAGAAGGTCTGGACCAGGACATGGAAGCCACTCACTCTACACCACATCACCGATTTGTTCACACCTAGTCCCTTGGATCAATCGATCTCAGCATGCATGAATGCGTAGATGCGTCGTAGCCATTCCCGCCCAGCTCAGAATCTGCGCAACTCTCTTCTCTTTCACCCCATACTCACCATACATCTTGCGGTAGCACCTCAAAGGTCTCTCCATCCTCCCTCACATGCGCCCTGTCCTTATCCCTGCTCAGCGGCATCCGCATATCCAGCGCATCCTCCCCATCATTATAGTACTCCTTGACCTTGCGATACACGCTGTAGCCCATCTTGCGGTACAGCTCCTTGGCCACGACATTGCTTTCGCGCACGAACAGATCGACGAACCACGCATCCGCCGCGTCGCAGGCTTTGGCCAGGCTGTCGGACAGCGCGGTCGCGTGGCCGAGGCGGCGGGCGCGCGGGGCCACAGTCAAAGCGGTGATGTGGCCGTGCCAGGGGAGGTAGTTGGGGTCTGGATTGGTGTGTGGGGAGTAGGGGTGGACTTGGGGCGGGAAGGGGGAGGACTCGAGTTTGCCGAGGACTGGAGGGCGTCAGGGTTAGTTGCTGGAGACGGCTACTGCATGGGAGCGGGGGAAGGAGAGGTGGGGAAGGGACGGGCAGGCGCACTGTAGCCTTCGATCTCGCCGTCGACGCCCTCGATCACCCGGCATAGATCGGGCCATTTGGTCAGGTACTCGAGGTAGAAGCCGATGTTGTAGGTTTCGGTGAAGGGGTCGAGGTTGGTCGTGGTGAGGCGCAGGAGGTCCGACATGCGCATTGTGCGGATGGACGACATGGCGGCGGTATGCAGGCAGCGGGCGTGGAGCGGGCGACGTCGTCAATCGCAGGCTTGTGCTGGCGGCAGATTTTGGTGTTGACAGCACTTGGTGGGGAAGCCGCGGGGGTCTCTGCCTCGCCTAAAGCTGCCCTCTGCGCATCCCACCCGGCTCTACTTTCAGCACAGCACAGCACCTGTCCACCTCCTTGTCCGAATGGACCGGAGGTCTGCTCCGGGCCCGCTCCCCGTCGACGTCTTCCCACGCCCATTACATCAGCGCGCCCTCGCTCTCCACGTCGTTGCTGACCACTGGGAAATTATGTTGCGCGTGTATGACGTCCTCACATGCGCCTTCGTTTGGCTCTCTCCAATCCTATTGATTGGCGGTGCTTCCCGCTACAATCGACACCTCCTCTACTTGCCCGTCCGAGTAACTTGAGCAAGCTGTTCGGCGGCGCCCAGTTCAACTAGACCTGGAGCGCCACCCCTGGACCTATGTACCCGGTGGCACCTTCCACGCGATCACCATGACATACTGACTGTGTTCCCACCCATTGGTTATTGCTGGCGGATAGCAGTGCCGCTGCAATCGTCTCCTTTGACCATGTTGCCTTTTCGAGCGACATGCTCGCGGTAATGTTGGCCGCGAAGGTTTTGGAGGTTAGTGCTGTATCTGAATATACTTGGCTACGCAGGCCGGGCAGTGGCTGCGATTCATAGCGGCAGTGTATACCGGGTGGCATGCTACGTGGTGAAACGTCATCTGCAAGTAGTTCGGGCAGCTTTACGGGCACCTTCGCCGCTGCAATCGTCTGGCTTCACAGTACTGCCTCTTTCGGCCATGTAATTACGTTACAGTCAGCTATGAGGGGTTGAGATTGTAGGGCTGAGGCTGCAATTCGTACCGGAGAAGGATTCCGCTGGCCCAACCTCCATCGTACCCGCAAGTATGCAAGGCAGTATCACGGGCAGAAACACCGCTGCAATCGTCTGCCTTGACCATACTGCCTCCTTGGGCGATACAATCACGTTACGGTTATCCACGAAAGCCCAAGCTCACAGGGCCAAGACTGCGATTCCGCTAAACTTCTTCGCAGGCACGAGGCCCCAAAACACTACACTCATCATGAAGTCAACAAGGACACAACATCACGGACAACATCTACACATCATGTACTTGGTAGAAGGGTAATGCAGCTGAGACAGCTGCTGGGTATCAAATTCTCTGTTGCTACAAATCTGTATACAAAGATGCTACATGGTCTCCCAAAGCATCAAAACCTCTTGTTGCCCTGATCAGGATCCGTCTGATTTGCAGATACAAGCCCCGCTGAGTGCACGTAATCCGACCTCAGATGCCTCCTCACACCGCTATGCTCTTCCTCGGCCGGCCCGTCACTTTCTTCTTATCCGTGCCGAAATGCGACGTCCCGCCCATCAAAACATCGTTCTCGGCCGCGCGAACCACGGGCGTAGCGTCGCCACTCTTCGCCTTCTTCTCCTCGTTTTCAGCCTCCGCGCCTCCTTCCTTGGGTAACCTGAATGCTAAGAATGTCTCTTCCGCCCTCCTGCACGTGTCAAACACCTGGTTCATGTATTTTTCTACGGCATCCGGCGGGCGGATGGCGCGTGGCAGCGACTGCAGTATGTCTGGGTGGCCGCTCATGACAAGCACGGTGACAGGCTGGTAGAAATCGATATCCTTGATATCGGCCTTCTCGTCGAAATCTTCGATCCTCGGGGGTGGTACGTAGGGGGTCGCGGGTGGGAGCGAGATGGGCGCCGGCGTTGTGGTCGCTGCAGGGGTCGCTTGGGTAGGTCCAGGAGTTGCGACGTTCTGCAGAGCGCTACTTGGAGTCGCTGTGCTAGTGGCATCACCTGCTGGAGTGGGTGTTGGCACCGTGCTAGCAGCAGCAGCAGCAGCGGGAGAGGGAGCAGCTTTCGGCGCTGGTGTGGCGGGTGGCTTCATGTCTGCAGCAGGTGGCGGCTTTGGTTTCATCTTCGTAACTAAGAACGAGAACTTGGCACCAGAGTTGTTGGGCAGCCACTCCATGAAACTGTAAGTTGGAAAGTAGAACTTGTCACCGTTGCCCTCCTTAAAGTCAAACACTAGCGGGCGATAGGTTACCCGTGGCGCCTGGTATGCAGGATACTGTTGAGCATGGTGCTGATGGTACTGCGGTGGCTGATTGTACGGTGGCTTGTGGTTGTAGTTGGGAGGATGCGATAGGTGCGGCGGCCCTGGAGGTGGTGGGGGCCGTGGAGCCATCTGCGGCTGGTGGACGTGTGGAGGATTAGGAGTAGGGGTAGGCGGAGGCTGTTTAGGTGGTATCAGTTGCTGCTGCTGCTGAGGTGGTGGTGGAGGCGTCGGTGCAACGGGTTGTGGAGGTGGCGCGATTGGCTGCGGGCGTGGTGCGGCGGCTGGTTTCGGCGGCGGAGGTGCAGGGCCAGGCTGGTGCGGAGCTTGCTGTATTCCCGCCTCTTTCTGCTTCTGTAATATATTGGTGAGTTCGCTAATGTGGCCCTGGAAGAACTCCAGCTGTTCCTTCGTCGCTTGCCCCGCGGCGACAATCTTCATGACGGCCTTCAGTTCAGGATCTTGTCCCGCTCGTTGCGCCAGCATGTGAATGACAGGGTCCGGTGCAGGCGCCTGCGGAGGTGGCGGTGCCTTCTGCGGCTGCGGCTTGGGCTGTGGCGGGCGCGGAGGAGGCGGCGGTTGGTGTTGAGGTGGGGGGTGGTTGTACTGGTATGGGCTCTGCTGGTTGTGATTCGGCCATTGTCCATACGTCGGCGCCTTCTTCTGCACTTGTCTGACAGCCTCTCGCGGCCCGTAGAGACGTATGGGAAATGTGTGCGGCTCTATCACCAGCTGTGCCTCGCCCACTTGGGGGAAGTTACGCACAATCTCCTTCTGGCGCTGTATGTTCTGCTTGTCCTCCTCGGTGCGGTCGGCGACCTTCTTCGGCGGCGTGAAGAAGGCGTGGAAGAGCCTGAAGTTGGTGCCCGAGACCCATATTGCCCGGGACCGCTGGAGGGAGGCACTGAGCACGCCGCTGTGCTGGATGTCCTGGTACTCTTGCGACGAGAGATCGAGCGACTGCGGTTCGGAGAGCGTCGGCAGGGGCTGGCCGTCTACGACTCGGAGGGGGAGCATGGGCTGCGATGGCTGCTGGGGGCCCTCGGCGACGGGCGTGCCTCTGCCTGGAGTTGCATCTTTCGAGGGTGCGATGCTCGGCCGTTTGCGCTTCAGAGACTTGGAGGGCGGCTTGGTGGGTGTATCCTTGGGCGTGCTGGGGGGCGGAGGGGCGGCCTCCTCTCGTGCGCGCGCCCTCGTCGACCGTCGCGGCTCCGACATGATGGCGCTGTCGAGTGTTGGATGCTGGAAGAATATCGGGACCGGCGTGTCGGCGCGACTCAGACGCGCTCGGGGGAAATCACGTGCGCGGGAGGGCCCGCGCTAGCCTCTGCGACTTGTGGAGCGCCTAACAAACAACTTCGGGAACAAAAGGGAAGTGCCCAACACAGCTAGCCCCATGTCCAAACGCGCTTCGGACTCGTCTTGTCTTGTCGCTCGCATAGTACTGCGTCGCCGTTGCCGTGTACAGATGCTACAACAATGAGCTTCAATGTGGCAACGACACCAGGGGCAGACTCAAAACGTCGGCAGCATCGTCAAGCAAAGAACGTGCACTTCCATCTATTCCCGTGCAGACACCGGTGCGCAGGATAGGCTGACACAGGAATGGGGAAATACATACTCATGCCCAGCTTAGCGTAGTCCTCACAGCCATTAGCCTACGGCATGGCGTGCCAGTGTACTCCGGGATGTGCACTGATCCGCCTTTAAGGCATGCATGCCCGTCCATGGGCCACTGCTTTCCTTCCTTTCGAACCATCGCTTTGCTTTTGTGTGCTCACGGCTTGCTCAAAATGCGCTCCTTACGACAATTCCTTTGTATCGCGTCACTATCGTCTCACGCTCTCGCTACATGCTTCTTCCCCAATGGGAACGAATCGCCCGCTGACACTCGTTCGTAACGCTGGCTAAGAGTTGGCGAACCAAGTACTAATTCTTGCAGCTTGTAACCCAGACGCAGAAGTCAGCCATTGCTGCTACAAGGCATGACGCGCGTATCACTTCCACCCCAACCTACTAACACCACCCAGAACCAAGCTTGTCTAAGTAACGGTCTCTGTGTGAGCGACCCACACAGCCCCATCAAAGCGCGACTCCATCGAGGAACCTGCTCCGACAAGACCTGGAATTCCCCCGACTGCCCGAACCACTGCACCAGCATCGCCGACAACGGCGTCCCCGTCTACGCCTGCAACCAAACCAACGTGGACTCGTACTGCTGCTTTGACGGCTGCGAGTGCAATGCGTCCTTTGAGACCTTCCGCTTCCCCACGGACGACGTGTACACCCTCACCATCGTCAGCGAGGCGTACACAAACACGCACATCTCGACTGCGAGCTCCGCATCAAAAGCCTCACAGACAGAGTCAACGTCGAAGAGCAAGACCGCATCCGCAGCGTCGGCGCCTGCCAGCACAACACCCACCGAGTCACCGTCAACGCACAACAACACCCAGACCGAAGGCAAGGATGAAAAGCTATCGTCCAATTCCACCGCTATTGGCGCTGGCGTAGGGGTCGGAGTTGGCGTCGCCATCCTCATCGCTGGCCTGGTAGCCTTCCTCTTCTGGCGCCGTAGCAAGAAGCGCCAGCAAGGCGAGACCAATCCATACACAGACAACGGCTTTCCACTTGATCGCAAGGCCGTCGAGGTGGACAACACGACGGACATGTACCATACACCGGGCGCAACATCGCACAACCAAGGCGGGGCGACTATCTATGCGCATTACGCTGAGGCGGAGCCAAAGTACGTCTTTTCATCGGATCTATTGTGGATGAAGCTGACATAGAGAAGTGCGAATCCCTTCGTCTCTCCGCACGAGTTGCCAGTTGACACTGCGCCTGCCGAGCTTCCTGCGATGGCGAGTCCCAAGCAGGTTCCTGATTTCAAGCAGCGCCTTTGATCTTGGGAGGAAAGCAAGAATCGCACAAATTGTGCAGGGTCAAGGATATTGAAGGATGCGGGCCGGGGGTATACGAGGCAGGAAGATTGTGTGTCTTCCTCATTCCGGCATTACCCAGTCGCGCAAAGTACTTCCCACGAGCTGTCTACAATACTGCGCATGGACAATCCTCTATTGTGTCACTATGTGGCAGTTTGCAGGGTCGGGGATGTGCTGAGAGGTGAATACATACCTATTTGTAATGCTACGAATGATAATGAGCTTGAATCGTCTGGGTGTTGCAGCTGTGAGACGCGTCGACTAAAAGCAAGCTCTTGGTGACTGATTGTTGATGAGGCTAAAGCGAGTTTCACGTTGTTTCTCACCGATGTTCTGGGTGTTGCAGCACCATTGAAGGATATCTTCAATCGCATTGAGCTCTGATGGACAAGCACTGCGTTGCCAAGCGAAGATTGATACATTCGTGGAAAATCTCGTTGGGTAGCTGATTACAGCTTGCCAAAGGACTTGCCTGAGAATTCTGAGTAGCGACCCTGCTGGCATGTACAGTCTTGTACAATACATCTTCTGAGAAGATAGAAATTAAATCTTATTTTGAATTGCGAGATACCTTCACAACAAGCCATATAATCATCAGCACAACAGTATTCTAGATTGTGTGCCTCGATAGCTGAAAATGAGTCTCTCACGCCGAAATGAAGATGCTGCGCATAAGCTTATCTTTATTCACCGCCAGTCTAGGGTGTTTGATGTCGCCCCCAAACCCCTCGGCCTCGAAAGGTCTCACGTGACAGCCCGCCTTGCCGGACTTCGCGGTCTGATACACGGCCTCTCCAAATAACCGCACCTCACTTCTCGGCATTGAGTGACCCCGAAAAAAGCAGCGAAGCGACGGCCCGATGCAGCACAGTGCGATGTGAGCGAAATGGCTTCGAGGGTAGGGGGCCGGGTGAAGGACGGGCCTTGTAGAGTGGGTGAGGTACGTACCTATGGCACGACGCAATGCAGAGGACAAATCAATACGGCTGGAACAGCGCAAGATGCCTCGATATCGACAGGGGGAAATTGCGGTGCCTAGCCATCAACCATCACCCGAAGCAAAGCCTTGCAGTAATTCCAGACGTGAATGGTATTCACTACATGAACCGCCCATGCTCGCACGAACCTCTACGTTCCTCCGTCAGCACCGTAATGTTTCCATTACGCCCCGCCATATCGATACGACAACTCTAACTCAATCTCAAACAAATCTCCATCTTACTCATACTTCCCTCCTTCCCTGGCCATCCTTAATGCTCCCGCGCCACACAGCGCAACCTTACTCCTACGCCTCAGCGTCGCACGAATCTTCTCCGCTTTTTCTTTTTGGGTGGAGACTTCAGCTATACGCGGTCAGCACAGTGGCCCATGGTGGCGATGGCGACGGCGACGGCGATGGCGACAACAGTGGCCGGCACCCGCGATGTGGATTCCGCCACGCGCCTTCCTCCTCGCACATCCTGTGGCTGTGCGATACATTGCGCAGCAAAGGCCCACCCTCGATGGGGGCCGCCTGTTTCACACCTACCCTTCCCAAACGCCCCTGATTGGTTGGATGGCCCCAGCATGATCACAGCGGGAAACATCGAGTATGAAACGCGCGTGTCCGAACGTAGAAGGTGGTAGACGGAAGGGCAGTCTATTGTGAGAGCGTAAATGGTAGGGTGCAGTAGGACGGTCTTAGCGCTAATTTCAGAAACACTGTCGGGTGGACTGGGCGATCTGCAAAGTGTGGGGGAGTGACATCCAGGTCCGCGCGTTTCAAGGCGTGGACGTCGGAGTGTCCGGGCTGGGGTGTACCATGGACACTGGACAACCAAGGCAGGCGAAGTCCAGAGCATCTATCGCAGTCATGGCAAGATCCGCATCTGGTCGGCGGGCAAGCACTTAAATACAATTAGGATTCACGTGAAGCTGTACACACGATGATGTTGATGAGATATCTCGATTTGCTCTATACTTTTTCTCAAGCCCTTTGAGAACGAACACTTCGGCTCTACAGTAGAGTCCAAACGCTGGCTAGCTTTGCAGTGCGATGCCGAAAAGAAACAACGCGAAAAGAAACCAAACAATCCCCAAGCCTCAGGTCTCAGACCCCCCCAAAACTGAATCTTGAACAAGTGAAGTGAAAACAGAACGTAGATACATCAAAACCATCCCCTAAAAATGTCTTCAAGTCAAAGAGCGCGGTAGCTCGTAGTCGTGAACAGGAAGCGAGTCTAGCTTTTAGACGCGGCGAGCGTGAAGAGCAGGGCGGCCGTAGTACATGCTGCGTTTCTGGATGTTGCCGTTGGAGCAGGTGGTGCCAGGGGCAACGGCCTGCCAGACGACGGAGCCGCCGTTGCAGATGCCGAACTGGTTAGCGCCGTTGCAGACGATGGCGCCCTCGGATGAGCAGGTGCCCGCTGAGCCTGAACCAGTCGAGCCGCCAGTCTCGCTGCCGCTTCCAGGGTTGGCCGGGGCGGTGCTGGATGGAATGGTGGCAGAGACGGGAGACGAAGCGACAGGGGCAGAGGCAGCCGGGGCTGAAGTAGCGATGGTGGCGAGAGTGGATTGAATTGGAGCACCAGTGGCAGAGGCGGCGGGGGCAGACTCGACGGGAGCGGACGCGGGAGCGGATTCAGCCGGCGAGCTCTCGACCGGGGCACCAGACGAGGGAGTGACAGGAGTAGTACCCTTTGCGCCGCAGTCGCCGGTAGGGTCCTCAACATCGTTCGTGCCGCCATCCTCGAGGTTTTCTCCAGGGTTAGGGAACTTGACAGCGTGGTTCAGAGGGCTCGTGCAAGTGGTGGATGCGATGTTGGCGATGAACATATCAGGAAGAGCATCGAGGCCGGAGGCATCGCTGGCACCACCGGTAACATCGATCGGAGCGCAGTTCATGTAGAACTCAGGAGCCCCACTCATCTTGGCAAACCAGGACCAAGCGAAAGTTCCCTTGCCGTTCGGAATCGACTCGGGGAGGGTGTATTCGAAGCTCTTAGTACCGTCCACTCCAGGGCAGCCGCCTTCGATGGACTTGATGACCTTGAACACGGAGTCCTTGGTAGGCTCGGTATCAGTGGTGTAGGAGAGCTGGCAAGAACCTCCTCCGTGAACAGCACTGCCGTCGAATTCGAGCTTCTGTGACTCGCCGACCTTCATCGAGTTCATCTGAGTGACCTTGAAGCCATACTGGCTCTTGCAGGGGAACTGATCAGCCGTGATGGCGGCCTTGTCGATCTTGACTTGATCGGCAGAGTAAGGGACCGGGTTGGAGATGGTGATATGGGCGTTGGTAGCCGCAATGAAGGCAGAAGCCGCGAAAAGAGCAGATCGGAAAGACATGTTGATGGTGTTGGAATCGTGTAACGACTGAAGTCTGATTGAAGGAGTGTGGTTGGAATGGAAGTGAAAAACTAGCCCGGCTAGTGAAGAAGAAAGGATGCAAAGCTGAAGGAATGTGAAGCGTTGGAAAGACTGTGATGAGATGAGTCGTGTAGAGTCGGTTGTGCCAGACCTTTATATGCATCTGCCATCCACTTCATCCCTCGTTGTCCGCCACACAGCCTACCCATCATCGGAGTCCTATGGCGATCCCTAATTACCAGCAGTTTCGAGAATGGTAGTCCGGAAACAAAACATCAGCCGGCTAGGCATCACGTACTCCACTATGCCAGCGCCTACGAGGGTTCGTGCGAAACTGGGGCTGATCGCCATCAGGCTACCAGCCAAAGAAACCGCATTGCTTAGGGTGTCTGGCTCAGGTAAATTCATGCGATATCCGAGAACGGAAGGCCGATTCAGGGCCACGGCTGCCCATGTTGGTCGCCTTCGCGAGGAGGTTTTGTTTCGAGGTCTCTACTGGGTAGGTCATTGGTCGTCGCGGAGTCGCTAAGCGGGCCGCAGGAAATTCCGGCTGACTGGCTAGTCAGGGTGTTTTAAGCTTGTTTGAGCCGTAGCCCAGCCATCCTGGTTTAAACTGGCCGATTGGCGAGCCCTTCTGTCCTGCTTTGGCCGAATTCCTTCTTTACTGCGTGCTGACAGGCCGATCCTTCTGGTAGTTAGAGATATTTGCAGCTGTCAAACCTGCGCGCGATGCGAAGAACAACGATCATCCAACAAGAGCGAGTCGGGAGGCAGGTCGAGAAGTGGACCTGGTCGTGCGGATGACAGCCTCGTCTCGTCTGTCTCGTAGGTCCGAAGGCGTCTTCCTAGTTGATCCTTCATGAGGCCGCCAGAATGCAACCCCAGAAAGTGCATCCTTCCTTTTCGGTTACATTTCCTCCGGACCTATGATGCGTATCGTTCGTAGCCCAATCCCATAGAAGTCTGGTCTGCTAGCCTGGTCAGTCGTAAATGTCCGTTGTGTTTCGGTTAGTGCTGCGCCTCGAGCGAGGACACGGTCATTTCCATAACACTGGAAACACTGGGCGAGATCTCGCCCCCAAAAACTACTGTACCACTCCCGCTTCTCATAGCCGAGCAAGCATTGGTGTATGATGCAGTAACTCCACCAAGCCGCGGAGGCAATTTCAAGAATGTAACCTGCTTTCCGGCGGCACGGCACAGCCACTGCTCCGTTGCTCCTTTCACACGCAGTCCAAGCAAAATATAGTCTCGGACACAATGCTGTATACAACCTTTGTACGATGTATCCGATGACGGTTCAGTTCATGACGTGAATCGGGTTCCAGCCGCAGTATGGAGAGCCCGTCATTCGTACGTTCTGCCACGTCCCAGCTTTTGAAGCGGCACACCAGCAGCAAAAGCGACGTGACCAACATCCTTTTCGCCTACCGCATCAGCCAAATGCACTTCGACGTCTTGCATGATCTTTGCTCGTTCCGTGGCGTCCAGTGTACTCTCTTCGTTGGGAATCTTGACGAACGGACTTTCATATGTCATGCTCGTGACTGGACCAAAGAACTCAGGGTCGAGGGTCAATCGCTTCTTTACCAACGCAACGACATCCGTGATCAATGTAACATTCGAGGCAGCGAGCAGGGGCGTAACTTAGCCATAATCGCAAATGTACACCTCTTTTGTCATTACGTTCACAGTCGTTGCGGCACCAATGAATGGAGCTTGATTATTCTGGATCCAAGCCTCTCAGAGCCTCAGATTCCTTCGAATGTCGTGTTAGTGCACGACAGTTTCTTTGGCAAATAAGCATTAACGGCATCAACGACGGTAGCTGCTAGGACACCTGGTCCATACAGCGAGAGATTGCAGACAACCCCCAAAGTATCCCAGAGGCTGTGTACTCAACTGATAGTATGTGCTTAGCGCTAGGCCCTGCCTACTCCAAGAATACTTCCACCGGGATTGTGGTAAGATTGACGTAAGGTTTCCTAGCCGTTACGAAGGAGACTCTGGATAGAATAATACGACCAGCTGTTGGCCAGAAAGCGTTCAGTGGCGCTCGAGGCTTGATGGCCAGTTGCAGCAGCAAGCAGAAAGTTCTGACCCAGTCCATAGATTATTACTTGGTGCTCCAGCTCAGTATAGTTGTTGGGCCGACTATCGGAAAGGGAATGTCTTGCTCGGTCTGCGGAACACGAAATTCCTTGACAGTGTATACTAACTTCCACATGTGATCGAGAGACCGCAAACGCTCCGAAATTTGAGGTCGAACTGGCCATTGTCCGTGCCACCTCTTGGATAATCGATTGGGCTGATGTTAGCATACAATTCATCCTAATAGGAAGACCCTTCAGCAGAGATATGGTTTATGGTGTTCGGATGACCAAGGCTTGGAAATGCACTCACGGCAAAGCGGAGCCTTCAAGACTCGCGGGCGATGCTGTTCCCGTTCTCCAGAACTGGAAGTTTCTGTTTACTAGGGAGGCATCCGTGCGCGCAAGTGAGATGTACCACCATACGTGGGTCGATCGATGTCGATGAAGAATGACGCAATGCTTTCTTACGTTTTGAAAGGGTTATTGCCAATGGAACTCCCTGGCCATACTTTATCGGAAACAAATTTCTCTAATTAGGTATGATTGAGCCTTTGTAACACCGTCGAAACGGATACATTTGGGTAGATCTACAGTTTACCACACGATAGTTGATTTCCATGGTGAAATTTGTGCTCGCATTGAGAGTATGACCGATCACGGATAGATGCACTAAAGGGCTGTAATGTGACGGAACTGAAGCTGTTTGAGGTTGATAGGGTGTACGCCAGCTGCTGAGGCGTACAAGCCTCTCGGGCCGATAAGCTTGAGCATACAAACCATCTCATGTATCAGCTCTCATAGGAATTAATACAGTCCTTCATAGCTTCCTGCTACCGCCACATGTAAGCCTCGGGCACCAAGAACGTTCATAGTATCTTGTTTCCCTCTAGGATATTCATTCACTAAGGAATGGAGTAGACTGGCAAGAGGGACAAGATGACATCTCGAACTATCAAGAGATAGGATATCCGAGTATGCGTCTTCGGTGTCTCTGGCTTTCGTGGCCATGTCGAAGTTGGGGTTACGGTAGTTTCATGTTTTCGAAGTCGCCATTTTCGCCGTGGGAGAAGCAGGTGTGCCTGATACGTGACTCCTTCGTAACAGCAAACATCTTCCTTTCACGAAAGTCACGTCAAAGCCCACATTACTTCAATATCTATTTCATAGAAACTCCTGGGGTTCTGCACGCTCCCTGCTTGAACCTGCAGGGGCCCAATGCACCGAAGTGTAGGTAAAAAGGGCGAACAGAGGATCTGAATGCGCCAGCTACTGTAGCGGCGGCTTAAGCAAATCTTTAAGTCGATATGGCGGCGAACCACGATTATTGTAAGTGTGATACAACTCGGACCGTGGCCCTGGTCCTTAGCAGCATCCTCAAATCTTCTCGGTGGTTTAAAAAGAAGGACGATTTCATAAAGAATTCGCCATGTGCGTCTAAATCCTGAAGGACCTGTGACGAGGTTGAGGTCAGTTAGTCACGTGTGTCTCAAGACGAGTTGAAGCACTAGGGAATCGACTGGATGTGGGGGGTGGGGGTATGGGCTGAATTAGTACTGATACGCCGCTTTCTTGCAGGCGCATTCCTAACAACTATGGCTGTGCAGGGTAGACGACTGGAAGCTCAACATGGCTAAGCCGCAAAATGGTATCTATCCTTCTAGACATGAGGGTCGAATATACCAACGCTTGGCTCGCTATGCCACACAATCTATATTGCTAACAAATATAACATCGTACATTCCCTTTTATCTATCCTTACCTTCTAGATCTGTCATAACTCGTATCTTCTTTGTAGAAACCCGGAAAGTATTCCACCTCCCTGTTCCCCTCTTCCTGCAGCAACCTCCCATGACTATCCTGCCTCACTACTCTCCCCGCCTGCAGCACTTCATCCGCATCGAACGGCGTCGCAGGGATATCCACATCGACCTCCTCAAAGTGGTCGCGCAGCGGCGTGCGTTGGTACCCTGGTCCGTACAAGACACCTTCCTCATGATCCCTCGACGGCTCGTCATCGCTGCCGCGCTTCGTAGCACTCGACGCCCGCGTCGACGATTCACCCGTCACCTTCTGTGGGAAGAAGCCAGATCCGTTTAGCGTGGCGAACGTGCTCGGTGTCCCTGGGCGACTGATGAGGTCCTCGGGTCTGCCATAGAGCTCGCCGTCCCCGCCGAATTGTTCTCGGAACTCGGCTCTCTTCTTGAAGTTCTCAAAGTCCAGATCTTCTTCCGCAACGAGCTCTACACTGGGAAGATCTTGAGCGACAGGGACGGGCTTGCCTGGCTCGGCGGAATCCATCTCTGCCATGAAGACGTCACTGTAGCCGTAAGGCGTCGTCGGCATAGCGCGGTCCGTGGACCGGCGGTGTGGCGCTTCGAAGATGTTCCGGTCGCCGATGCTGGAGCGGTGGCCGTATATTTCTTTCAGGAGGTGCTGCGACTTGGCGTGCACCATAGGCGTGATCAACTTCTTGTATAGTGCAGGATGCCCGAAGCGCACGGCGACGCGGTCGTTGCGCTTCATTTTCTTGCCATCTGGCGACGCGGCGTCTTCAGCGTCGGAGAAGGGCTGGGTGGAGTAGTAAATGAGCTTGTCGTCGAAGGCACGCTTGCAGTACCATTTGAAGGCGAGGAGTAGCAAAGGGAGGGGTATCATGGCGTATAGCATATTACCGTTGCGCACTGAATTTATGCTTCCAACGCCCTGCGCGCCGACAACGAGGGCAATGACGGCATTTCCGAGGGCGACGCTGATGAGCATTCTGTTGACGAGAAGGCGCCAGAAGCGGCCACCGGATTCTGTCTTGGTGATGAGAACGTATTGGACCATGTATTTCTTGAACCAGCACTCGATGGCGAGATAGAAAGCTGTGACAGGGAGGATAATTGGTTGTAAGGTGCCGAACGTAAGACCGACTACTGCGACTTGCAGGTAACTGTTGTAGTACTCGGCGTACATGAACGGTTGAGGGGCGCTCAGCTCGATGAGCTGGCGAGGTGTAGGGGTGAAGAGCTTGCGCTGAATATAGCTCCGTACCAACGGCCATGCTTGAGCAAGATCCGTAGCTGCTGAAAGGTTCTTTTGCATCTGCCAAGTCAACCAAAAAGTGGACATATTGCAGAGCCCCGTCATGACTTTGGAGAAGACGTGCGCTGATTTAATTGCTTCCCAGATGCCTTGATCTTTCGCGGCAATGACAGTGGCGACGAAACGCCATGCTGAACCAAAGATGGAAAAGACAATCAGGTTGTTGAAGACGAAGAAGATGTACAAACGGGCCGTGACGTGACGCTCTCTGGAAGTCTTTGAGACGTCACCTGAATGAGTGTACAGGCGACGGAACATGACCGGTATGCCCATATAGATCAAAGTTTGTACGGTCGGGGCTAGAATTCCTTGAGCAATACCCCAGCCAGTGGGATGGGCCACCAAATTAGTCTGGAAAGCAGGCCAAACAAGCCCCAAATGCGAGAAGTCCGAAAGGAAAACTGAAGTGGCAATGTTAGGAACGATGTAAGCGGCCGTGAAAAGAATCATCCAAAGGCCGTCCCAAAACATGCGAGCCCGCCGAGTCCTCCTAGTCATGGGAAGGTTCTGCCAAAGAAGATCATGAGGCTTAGGAGCGAGGTAAACGTCGCAGCCTTTGGGTCCCTTCTTCTTCGATGCGTATGCCACAGCGTGGGCATCTTCGATACGCGGATAGCTGGCAAAGCCGTAGGGTGTAGGGTTCCTCTTGTCGACGGTCTCGCGCACTTCTTTGATTTGTATTTCGAGCCTTGAAATGCGATCCGTCAGGTAATCTATAGCATCGACCTTGTGTTTACCATAAATTGATCGGTCGTCTTTCTCAGGCTCGCACATCGGCCGCTTCTCCGGCAACCTCTCCGGATTGTTCAAGTACTTGGCTAGGACAGCTTCGAGCTCACGAACAGCTTCACCGTGCGCTTCGATCAATTTGGGGAGATCTTTGACGTTGCGACCAATCGCGGTTCGTGGAAGAGTTTGCGTCGGCTTGGCTATGTTAACGAGCTCAGCGATTCCGTCGTCTGTCCTCGACGACTCGGGGATGTGAGTGAGCTATCGCAATATCAGTATGTAAATTTAAGGGTAACATCAATTATCTTACCAGCAGCGTTCTGGAATGGAGCGACTGTTGGTAGTCGGCACTCTCAAAATACGCCCTCTTCAACCGGTATACGGCCCGATAGTTCCACCACAAGAAACCACAAATGGTCCCCTGGAATAGATATGAGCAAATGACGAAAGCCCAGAACTTGGGCCCAAAAATATACTGGGGCGTGAACTTCATCAGCGTCGCAACATTGTCCCATTGCTCGTAAAAAGCACTGCCTCCGACTACATTGATTGGTATCAAGATGCCGCAGCCGAACACAGACAGGACGAGGAAGATATTCCGCAGCATCCGCAGAAAGCGCAAGAAGACCACGGCATCCAGGCCAATCTTTTCTACCAGCTCTTGTTCCTTGACACCGCGTATTGCTGCGATCCACCCGAGGGGCTTGCGGTCGAGTTGTCGCGGCGCGTGTTTCTCATCGGCATGTTTTGCACGCGGAGCGTAGACGCGGGAGTTGCGGGGCCGAAGGATGCAGAAGAGGAGGAAAAGAGCGCCGGAGATGGCGAAGGCGTAGACAATGGCGGCGTAGATGGAGTTTTGTTGGACCTGGGAAGGTTAGCCATGTATGGGAGAGGCAATTGAATGGTTCTGTCCATACCTCTGCTTGAAACGGATCCGCTATTAAGTTCAGAAACTGGTCAGTACTGTCGGATCCTGAGCCAGACGACTGCCGCGGGTAGACATTCATAGTTGCATTGATGTTTGAAGAAGCGAGTGAGAAGAAAGATAGCACAGTGGACAAGTATCAAAGAAAGAACGACCCTGGAGGTTTGATTGAGATGAAAATAAGAACAACGCGTCAAGTGTCGTCTCAAGCAATGATCCAGACCATTCTATCTCCATCCCTCGTCGAGCCCGCGTCTGTTGGGAGCCACTTTTGCACCCTTTCAGCGCAACGATCGCCACGCGACGTCATTCTAGTGCCCGGGGCCCCACCAGCGTAGCAATCGATAGCGATCGACGGCAATCGATAACGTGGCCTTCGCGAAACCAACAACGTGCCGTAGGCACTATGCAGAACGACTGTTTCACGATCGCGAACTTATCAGTCCATATGTAGGCAAAGTATGGTTCGTGACAGACGCCAGGGTATGCAGTTCGTTGGGTCGCGTGGCGCTTGGCAGGCACATCAATCCAAGAAAGCAGGATTTTCGCATCTAAAAAAGGTCCGAGCCAATCAGATATGCACGTCGTCGAAGACGTTTGGAAATGCGGGTGAACGGTCGCGAGACGAGGGGCAAGTCACCCATGGTTGAGAGGCGGTAGTCCACGTTTCGTATGCAGGGTCGGAGATTACATACTGCAGGTTGTCAGGCTCCCATCGATATTTTCCCTATCAACTAAAGTGCTGTGTATACACATAGCTCAACGGCTTCGCTTGTCCAAGATCCGGCCTGGCTGCTCGACGTTGTTCATACGTCCTTCTTCGTAAATCCAATCGTAACGTGCAAGTCCCAGCGCAAATAAGCCCCAGAGGTCCTGTCCTCGAGCGCCTTCTGCTTCGCCTCACTGACCTCTTGCTCATTCCAGTAACCTTCCTCCTTGATCTTGGCCAGATTAGCTAGCGCGCCGAACACCGCGCCAATGCCGATCTCCGTAAAGTCAGGCCGTTGCTCGATAAGTCGATCCGTGCTCAGCACGTCCTCCTCGATCCTCTCCAGACCTGCATCGGCGTACATCTTCTGCCACTCCGGTGGAAAACACCATCGGAAGCGTTTGACAAGTGTACCGTTGAACTGTTTCTGTCCCTGGGTGAGGAAGTGTCCTGGCGTAGATGAAGGCGACGCCCCACGGAAGCCCCGCGCTTCGAGGAAGTTGCCTTCCGTCCACTGAATAGCACCGCCGGGCTTGAGGAGCGTGAGGATGTTCTGTAGGGTGGGCTCCCACACGCCTACGCCCATCGAGATGATGATCAATCGAATGTTCACCAGGTCGAACTTGCCCCTCAGCTCTTCTGGGATTGGCTTCTTGAAGTCGCCTAGTTCGAGTGTGACATTGGAGGGGAGAGAGTCAGTTGGCAAGAATTGGTCCGGGGAGATGTCGTAGCCATTGAATGTGTAAGTGGACGGGACGACTTTCGCGAGTTCAGTCATCCATATTCCAGTGCCAGTACCGATATCTGCTATCCGTGCGTTCTCTGGCAGGACCGCGGCGATGGAGGGATGGAGAAGGTAGCCAATGGCTCTATCAGCTTGTCAGCTCTCTGTCTCTAAATCACAGACTGTACCTATGGTAGGTTGCAACAACTCACTTGGTCCAGATGTGGTGCTGCTTGATCAACCGCTGCTGCTCCTCGGTTGCTCGTCCCAGCCAATAAGGCTATGGCACTCTATATCAGCCATCAATTCAGCACATGTTGGGGATCCCAGACATACCTCATCGTGGCCGTTGGTCTGTGCCATGTCTTGTCCTACTCGTTCCTGCAGGTGCTGTTGAACTTGAGAGTGCCCTGTGCTTGGGCTCACGCCACGTATGAACGGCGGCAAGTCAGATGTCTTTAGAGTCGCGGCCACCAATGACCTCGTGCGAGTCCTTCTTGGCTAACAAGAAAGTGGGTTAGAAGTAGAAGCCGGCGATGCGGTGTGGCCGAATCGGTTAGCGTTAGTCTTGGTACTTAGCCGATCACACCCTGGTGCATTGGAAGTGAGTTGTCTGAGAAGTGAAGATAAGCTGATTGTTTTAAATTGGTGTGGTGTTTTTCAAACAGTCGAGAACAACCTGCTAGTGTTGGCATAATCAAAGATTTCACTTTACGGGTCCGTACTTAAGTGCATTAAACCAGTCAGCTCAATCACATGACAGTGCACCTACCCAATATCGTACTGATAAAGTCCCCATGTGGTGAGAGAACCTAGTATGAGTTGAATCAACACGGCCAATAGGTGGACTGTGTAATCTGTCGGGGCCGTGTATAGTCCAGAAGCCCAACGGAAAGTCTGATTGCAGCCTCCATCAATGAATTGACCGCTGGGAAATCAGTCGGGCTTTTTTGGCTACACTACACGAACACCCACATGCATGAAATGAAAAGCGACTATATGTCTTGGCAGCTGTTAAGCCGTGCCGCACCGTACACCAGTTATCCATTTGGTACTCTCGATATCCCTCTGCCCGTGTGCATCATCTGACCAAGCGTTCCGCACCGCGCACCCATCGACCTCATCACATGCAACTATATCCTTGAACACAGGATAGTCGAAAAGATTGCTCAAGGCGGATGCTGCCACGTATGTGATACACCTGTGACCAGCTTACATGTGCATATAAGCCGGGCGTTCGCAAGGAGGTGGATAGCTATGTCAGCAACAAAGGCTACCCGCGGCAAGGGTGAGCATACATGATACCAGCGCTTCCGCAGTATTATTTTCTGGGCATGTAGAAGTGTCTGCCATTCTGCTTAAGAGTGGCGATTAAGATATCTTTGGGTAATTTGTGCTTGGATCCAAATTACTCATTCCAGAGCGAAACATCTCTCAACATTATCCGTATTATTTCCCCACCAAGCCGGCATCTTAATCTGCTTCCCACTCCCAAAGAACAGAAATATCAGCAGCATGTTGAAATTGAACGCCGCATCGAACGCTGCAGCAACAATGTAATTGTACCGCTTCCAGATCTTGAAGTGGTGCCGAAAGATCCAGTACATGGCTACAAATCCGCCAATCCAAGCGCTGAAGTAACCCGTCGACAGGTTGCCGTAAAATACAGTAATTCCAGAGAAGAATATCGTAGTGTTCCAGAGATGGAACTTGAGCTTCGACTTTGGAAACGCGCGATACAAGGCGTATACAGCGAGTGGCGCTACAGCGCCGATGAGAAAGCCGTATGGCAGGACTTTCAGCTCGCTGGCGCCGAACATACGCTTGGGGCCTATGACGGCGTATTGCACGCCGATAGTATTACTGCTCACCAGACTTTGTCCGGTCCATTGATGTAGAGGGTCTGTCTTTGCGCCAGATAGGTAGTCGAATTTCGTATTGAGGACCCAGCGAATCACACCGTAATTGATCGGTATGCCCAGGATGCTTCCAAAAACTTGGCTGAAGAAGACGGTCCGTGGTGGAATGTGCATGTAATGCCCGATGCGTTGATCTTGCAACATGTACTGTGCTCTGTACCACGCATCGCCTGCAATGGCTCCGTAAACGGAAGGCCCGCAAGGATGATGGTGACCGGCTCCCGCAGCGGTGTGTACCATATAGCCGTAGATTAGCTCGTTGAAGTCGCCGATTGCGACTTGATAGTTGGAAATTGCGTAAAGGTAGCCCAGAGGGACGACAACGATGAAACCGGTCGCGACACCAACGATCACTGTCCACCAAGGGATGAAGAGTTGGCCGGATCCGACAATAGCAAGCAAGATGACAAAGCCAGCTAGGAACAACGCTGCGAACCACCATCCAGGGACTTCTTTGTACGACCGCTGGAGAATGTTCAGGCGATCAGTGTACTGGTGGTGGATGTTCGGTTCCTCAGCACCGGCAGAAGTTTGCCCCTTTTTGGCTTCGCTGCGAGCTTTCCGCGCGGCCATGTTCTTTCCAAGTGTTGCTAGAATGGCTGGTCCTCCGAAGGTAGCCAGCCAGACAAAAGCTGATGGCAGCTTGGCATAGTTGAAAAAAGTGGCCCAGGCGAACTGCAGCCCCATGTAGGCCGGACCATACTCCTCCCAGGCAGTCTCGTTCAGACTAAAGTCGCTGGTGGAAATCTTGGCGGTTGGATACTTAGTGCCATTTGCCAAGAGCAGTGAGTTGGACATCAATCCATGTTTGTAGGAGCCTAGACTTCCCCACTTAGCGGCTGGAAGTAGAACCCAGCAATTGAATGCGAAGGCAAGGAAGAGAACTGTCTGTGTCCAAAATGGTGTGATCAAGATAGAGGTACCATTCCAGTTTATGTTGGACCAATCGAGACTTAGGTTCATGAAACCCATACCTCCGAGGCCAGATCCGATGAAGTTGGCGACAGGATTCCTTGGGGCGACCCAGCACAGAAATGCAAGCGAGGAAGTCATTGGGAAGACGTATTCCGGTAGGAACTGCCAGAGCGTCATTCCAACAAGGCACAGAAAAAAGATGTGCATCTGTCGTTTGGCCAATGGACTGTTGCGGTCCTGCTTGCGGAAGGTCTCGAACAGAGTGGTTTGCATAAGCGCTTGAGGCCATACATACTCAGGCTCCCATAACAGCAGGGAACGAGCGATTGCAGCGATAGCGTAGCCCACCCAGACAATGGCTAACATGAAGAAGATAGCCACGGCGGGATTGATCCTGGTGTCGTACCACAACTCGGCCATGGAGATTGGCTCCAGAGAAGTTAGCACGCGAATAATTGTAAGGTCTTTCAACGGAGGTAACTTACCGTGTATCCCAGGTTGTAAGTCGCACCCGATGCCGCAGTTAGAGTAACAAGAACATGTTCCTTGATGCTCCACGGTGCCGGATTCAAGTTGAAACCGTAGCCAAAAGGCAGGTTGATCTGCCAGGCTGGCAAGACCTTCGCAAGCCCATGACCGACGTAATGACAAGCGATTTGTACGAAGAAGACTGAGTATGGCGCTTGGGTCGTACGGTAGTGGCTCATCTGCGACAGGAAGGCTCCAGGAACGATGAACAAGATGCAGAGAACGAAGTAGCGGAAGGTGATTGTTGGGAGAGTGGGATCATCTTCCAAAGAAACGGTTTGGCGCACGATGAGTGGAAGTTGGGCGATCTCAGGGTCATCGTGAGCTTCCTCTTCGACAATCGCAGTGTCATCTAGTGCATCGAGTCCAGATGGCGATTGGGCTTCCGAGGTGCTAATGTCGGTGCCCTTGTTGTCGGCTGTTGACCCGAAGTGGCTTGGGACTGGGCTAAGCTCAGCGCTTGACATCTTGGCCGTCGCCTTGTCAGCATTAGTCTCAGCCATCGCAAGTGGCTTGTCGTTCTTCCATCTTTGTCGACTTCAAGATCCTTAAGGACTACATCTTCGAAATTTTAGTCGATTGCGCCATTCGAAGTCTGCATTGTGTCATCTCAAGGTTAGCCAGCAAAAGCTGCACGCCCGACCCGCTTGCGCGGCCACCTAACGACGGCGCGCCGATTCAATGCCGAAGCCTTGCATTTTCTCCACTGTAGGTCGTTAGCTCGATTGGCAATCAAAACCTGCCATTATCTGCGACCCAGAGTGGTAACCTGCCCGATGCGCTATATGGCATTCGTACAACAGGTCAAATGGATGGAAGGCCTCGTACTGAGATTGCAATCGTATCTCATTCTAGCGCGTTGGCGACTCAGCTGTAGCAACTTGAGTGCATGTTGCGCAGTCCGCATATTCGGAAAACAGCAGACAGTTTGTATGAATCGATTAAAACTTTTGACCTGATGTTCTCTATCTTGCGCGAGAGTCAGACATTTGAGGTGGCATTGCACGTATTCAATAACAGGTGTGTAGTATGCCGAAACATGCTTTCAGAAAGACAACTTTTGGCCACCATCCGTGCACATCAACGTAACTTAAGCCTGCTCGACTTTAGGTGTAGGAGTTCCTGTATGAGGACAATGCTACACAAGTCCACAGTATGTCCCTCGCTAGACAAGTCGGATCTGCTGCACACTACCTAAAGCGTGGGGATCCGGAACACCAAGCCGGAGCTGCCGGCGCGACTACATCGCAACGACATCCGTCAAATACATATATTCTTTCGCGCAAACAAACCTCCAAACACTGACCTCACAGATTCCTTCCTCCCATATATGCCTGCTGCCTGACAGGAATGGCCACGACCGACAACAACCGCCAACACCGCCACAATGAACATTCCCACCACAATGCGCGCCTGGCAGTGGACCACCTGCCCAACAACTCTCGAATCGGCACTGTCCCTCAATACTGACGCTCCTGTCCCTTCCCGCCCCCTCGCCCCAGGCGAATCCCTCGTCCGCGTCCACGCCGCCGCCCTCAACCCAGTCGACTACAAGCTCGCCGAGCTGCCCCTCATAGGCCGCCTCGCGATCCCCAAGCCCGCAACCCCTGGTCTCGACTTTGCAGGCGTCGTCGCACGCACCGGCCCCGACTCACCGCTCAAGATTGGCCAGCGCGTCTTCGGGAAACTAGAGCCAAAACAGCAATTTGGCACGCTGGAAGAGTATATTATCGGCTCGCGAGAGGGCACAGTGCCGCTGCCGGAGGGTGTATCATTTGAGGCGGGCGCGGCGCTGGGCGTGTGCGGGTTGGTTACGTATCAAGCTCTCACGAAGCATTTGAGGGGTGGGGAGCGGGTGGTTGTGAACGGAGGGAGTGGGGGGACGGGCGTGTTTGCGGTACAGATTGCGAGGGCGTTAGGGTGCGAGGTTGTGGCTACGTGTTCGGGTGAGCCTACTTGCACTGCTTTGGAGATAAGTTCGAAGGGTTGTGCTAATCTGTGGACGGTGTAGGTGCGAATGTGCAGCTGTGCAAGGATATGGGTGCTGACGAGGTGATTGATTACCGCACCCAGAGTGTTACAGATGTGCTCGAGAAGAGCGGGAAGAAAGTCGATTTTGTGCTCGATAATGTGGGTGAGCCCGCTGCATTATACTGGCGAGCATCAAAGTTCACCAAGCCGGGGGCGAAGTACGTACAGATAGGGTCGCAGGTCAGTTTGGGGTTCATATACGACCTTACTTTTAGGTTCGTCGTACCTACGTGGCTGGGAGGTGGGCGGAGGCCGTTCTCCTTTGCTATGGCGTCGACGAATTTGAAGGACTATGAGGGTTTAGCGGGCTTGGTGGCAGAGGGCAAGGTCAAGCCGGTGATTGATGAGGTGTTTGAGATGAAGGATGTTCCACAGGGATACAAGAAGTTGAGGACTGGGCGAGCGAGGGGAAAGATTGTTGTAAGAGTTGTGGATGAGTCTTAAAGAAGAAAGCAGACGAAGTTACGAAGCGATGATTGCATGGGTGTTTCAGCGATGCATTGGCGTAATGAAAGTCCGGTATGTTTCTTTAGATCGATTAATGTTTCCAAATTATCACTATACACCCAACGTCAAGTTCATGTAGCTGATGCGTACCCAGTCCAGCTCCTCCCCCCCCGCTAAAATTGCAGTGCATTTGTCTTTCGCAACCACACGAATGCTCAAGGACAACAACAAGATGTCTGTGTAAGTGTTGGTCATGGCGTACCCTCATAAATCGCTCAAGATGACATCATTCAGGTAATTCTATTCAAACCCTCAAGCCTATGCCTAAAATCTTCCTCCCGAATCCTGTCCACCCTGACTGTCCTCTTCAACTCCAACCCCACCCTCCTCTCCCACCCCCTAATCGCCTCCGTGTGATCCGCACACTTTTCCACAACACCCAAAGCGTCCCTCAGATGCCCCCTCAGCACTCCAGGCAGCTCCGTCTCAAAACCCACCTCGCGCATAAACTCCTGCGTAATCCCTAGATCGTTCACCAACAGCGCCAGCGCAAACCCGCTGCGAAACTCCCGCGTAAGCATGTCCCTGCGCACCGTATCCAGCGAGCAGAAATTCACTGCAGTCCCGACATTCAGCACGTCGACGATGGTCTGTGGTTCGAGACCCCATTTTTTACCCGCGACGAGGGACTCGTAAAGCGCGCAGAGGCCGGACGCTATGACGTAGTTGTTTATCGTCTTCATAGCATGACCGGATCCCAGGGGGCCCATGTGAAAGATGTAGCGGCCCATGGACTCGAGGACAGGGAGGGCGCGCTGGTAGATGTCCGGGAATGAGGAACCGACCATCAGCGTGCATTCACCGGCATCGGTGGCATGCATGTAGGTTTGGGTTATAGGTGCATCAAGGAGGGTCAGGGACTGCGCTTCCAGGTCTTTGCCGAGGGGACGGTGGAGAGGGGTGAAGAGGAAGATATGTCGATGATGATTGTATTTGGTTTGAGGGATGGCGCGATACCGTTCTTGCCCAACATGACTTCGCGGACGACACCGCCATTAGGGAGCATGGTGACGATGAGGTCGTAGTCCTTGAAGGAGTCTGGGCTACCGTTTGATGCGGTGGTGGCTTTCTATTGGTGTGCTGCCCTTTCGACTTTCGTGGTGTCGGTGTCATAGACGACGAGATTGAAACCGCGTCGCGGGAGGTTGGATGCTATGGAAAAGCTGGTAGGGGGATTAGTGGTTGAGATGCTCCCAGCTTGACTGGAGAAGACGAACCCCGCATTCCCTAAACCAATATACCCTACGGTCTTGACCTCTGTGGTTGAAGTTGCCCTGTTTATGATGTTTGTGCAACGAAGCTTCTAACTGTCCGCCTGCGGAACGAGCATGTGGATAATTTATGGCATTTCGCAACGCCGACGCTGTGCCTTGCATCGGAGAGAATTCCATATAGGCTTTTTGCACTACCCGATGACATTCGAGTCGTCTTTTCCCAAATGCTTGCGCTGGGGTGACGTTGGAACGCGGGGTAGATCGACAATGTGTTGTCGGATACCTCTCCGTGACACGCTAGCTCCACAATGTTCCTCTACCATTCCAATGTATGCCGCACTCGCAGCTGCTACATTGGATTTGGTTCAGCTCATGCCTCAGCCCACGTGCGACACGCGGATCGAGTATGGTAGCTTGTTTGCACAAGCACACAAAGCGGCCTTCCCCTTACACACTGTTGCGTAACTCATCAAATGCTGATAGCGCTTCAGTGCCTTCCCAAGGCCGCTTATATTGCCGTGTGTTTTCGCCATTCGTAGATCGTGTCGTTAAATTGCCAGAGTGGAGTCGCCGTAAATTCGTCGTAGTGGAGATGCTTAAGACGCTCCCGTCTTCCTCACATGCCGTCCAGATACAGCCTTGGATCCATGTGCCCCCTACAAGCGACAAGCAACAGTCTTTGAAACTCCGTCAATCCCCCCACATCATCTTCTCCCGGCTTCCAGCTCAGCGAAAAGTCACCGTACGCAACCAGCTGGTCTCTTCCATCCACCCTGGCAACCCGCCTATCAAATTCTTCTTCCCTAATATCCCAAAACCCATCGCCTTTTGACAGTGGTAACCGCGCGAGCACAGGCACCTGGTCACACAATCCGCCTTGCGTAAGTGCGTTCCAGCTTCCGCGCATGAATACAGATATCATGACGGTGCGGCGGAGCGACTCGTAGAATACCCAGGCATCCCACGGCTTGGAGAAGGCGATCGGTTCGGCGAAGGAGCGCTTCCAGAGGTGTGCCGTCCAGAGCTCCAGCAGGTGGTTCTGTCTTGCCGCCGTTCCTGCTTGGCCTAGATCGCCGTCGAACAGTCTTATTATTTGGTATAGAATGAGAGCCTGAACGGCAGCAAGATGCTCCTGTAGCGACCAGCCGTTCGATCTGGCTATCAGCCCGTTTATTTTCTCATCAATAGACCTTATCAATATTGGTGCGTTTTGTTTCGTCTTCGCGAGGTACAGCGCGGAGAGACTGATGCTGTCCTGGAAGGCCGTAGGCTGGTGCGATTTGTACAGTGCAGTGTGGATGAAGGTATTGGCACCCGTGAACGCCAACGTCGGCACAAAACTCCGCATCCTGCTCACCATGAACAGAAGCTGATCTTCATTCAACCAGCTCGGCGCCCATATCTTCGGTAACATTTGTCTACTAACCGCAGGCTCCTTACTGCTCTTCCAATACAGCGCCTGCCTGTTCGTAGCATCTTGCTCCTCTCTGTCTTCGGCGATATTGCTCCGGCTCTCAGGACTGCTCGACGATTTTGAGTCCGACGTCGACACCTGCAAGATCGCGAGATCGAAGTCGCAGCCAACGGGCTGGAGACCGATGAGGTCGTTGTCACCGACGTGGTCTAGCGGAGCGAGATCCGGAGTTCGCTGCCTAATAACGACCTCCGCTTCGCGCACCGAATTAGGGTATGCACAATCGAGCGACTTGGAGAAGCAGCGCTTGCAGCAAGGGTACCCCAAATCGCATCTCCGTTTCGCTTTCACGCATTGCTTGCAGGATTTCTTGCGCGTCGAGGATATGTATCCGAGCATTGTTGTTGAAACATGGGCTGCCGAGGAAGCCGGGCCAGGCTGGGTAGATACAAGACCGACCCATGGACTATGTCAGCGCACGTGTGTTGGTACGTGACATGGAGTCAACGGCCCGTTGTCGTCGCGTCAATTGCCTGACTCAGCGCCTGCAATTAGGCGGAGTTCCACTATCGTTTAATGATCCTCCTCACCAGTTGACGGACTTAACCGTCTGTAATCCTGGCCTTGGCAACTGCAAGCCCCCAAGATCTCCGTCCAAAGGGCATTTGAATGTGGCTGTCAGCACCGGGCCGAACGACGGGGAATTTCAGCTGGGTCACCGTCAAACATTACTCGTCTGACTCCGGCGTGCACATCCCAGGCTGGAGATGCTTCGGAGGATGCTTGGTCAGTCTACTTGGCGACCGGCATAGGGCTATAATTGGCTAAATCTGGACGTCATAGTGCCCGGTGCACTTTCACATGCTAGACACAAAGACAAGACGCCGGCCCCACCGCGCGCTTGGTTCTGGGGCTTGCACGCCTCACATCACATGCACATGTGCTAGCAGGTTGCGCGACCTCAAGCTTCTTCCTCCACCGCACAGTACTGGTTACTGACCCCATAGGCCCGGATTGTGCTAGAAAACGTTCGTTGATCGGTACCAGCAATTGACCCTGGGTAAATACATTGCGTCGCCTACCGACCTGCTGCATGTGCCATTGCTCCACGGCGGACGAGCTGAGACAAAAACTTCAACACACACTGAGATGGCGGTAACAGGCAATTCAGGCGCCGACAGAGCACGCGGTCTGCTCAATGGAATTCCCGATCGCTTTCAAGAGTTCTGCAAGATGGATCAGCTCACCTTCGTCGACTTGGCGGACTGGCTCGTGGAGCACGCCGACCGGAGAGACCCCATCCCCAAGGAGATCAGCGTAGAGGAGTGCATGTTTGTTTTCCTCGATATCGCAGCGCAAGGGAGCAGTTTTCGGATGGCGTCCTACAACTGGGACCACGACGTCAAGCTCACGCAACTGTAAGTCCAGCCTGGTCTTCTGTCATCCCGAATCCATCTGACCTATTGACATAGCATATTCCTGAACATGCTTGAAGAGCTCTGCAAGCTGCGTGAGAAAGAGCTGTGGTCCCCAGCGTGTCCAGACTTCAAACAGAGCCGGAATCGATGGCGAGTGCTCCGCGGATCTCGCGCTGGCAAGTCGAGAATGGACGGGCTCATCAAGATCGGCGATGACCGCGAAACGGGCGACGGCCTCGAAGTCAACCAGGAGGACCTCATCTCTGCGCTGACAGCGATCAACAACTTCATTTACGAGCACCACGAGTTCTACTCCTAGGGACGGGACCGAGGGCCGGAACTTTTATGAGACACGGGCGTTATGGTATGGGGGGATTTTGCATAGGCCAGGAGCATTGCCAACGGATATGGCTGGGTTGGGTATTTTTCCGAGGGTGTTTCGGTGTTGTTGGGGTTGACTTCGTAACTGACCCGAAGATGGTCACCGCTAGCGTCACCGAACCAGCGGTTGGAGTTTCGGTTGTATCGTATCGTATTCTTTCGATATTCGCACTGTCTGTATTTCGAAGAATTGTTCAGACCGAGGTAACCATCCCCTTTTTAAGTGCACTCAGCCGCCCCTTCTTGATGCTGAGCGCTTCCTCTATCCGCGCATCTGGTTCGCCGCGCTGCCGTCGCATCAAGGCTAGCGCTATGGTGCTTGCGTCCAAGTACTTCCTTCCTTTGAAGCTTTTCCTGCCGACGTTCTCTAGTTCCTGTTCAGCCTCCTGTTGTATTCGTTGGCGAGCGTCGAGGATACGCAATGCCGGGTTGCTGCCGGGGTCGGGAAATGCCGATTGAGGCAGCTCGGCCATCATTCCATAAGAGTCTGACGGTTGTGTGGTCGAGGAATTGCGCTGCGGGTCGAATGACGAGGTAGACGAAGGTGAGAAGTGAGGGTTTGGTTGCACAGCGCCGATTGTACTCAGGCGGGAGGCCAACCCGGGATCGCGGGCGTCGAGATCAATCGCTTGGAAATGTTAGCTTTGAACAGGTAGTGAATGGTCTGCAGGCTTACCCTCTGTCCTAGAACCGCTCGCCTGCGGTGGCGGGTGCACTGTTGGTCCAGCATTTTCGGAATGCGGCAGAGGGGCGGGTGCAGGAGCACGAGTCGCCCCAGGTGCTGGACGAGAGGGATATTTACGAAGGTTTGCACCTGCCGCGCGCGCTCCTTTGGATGCTGAAGAGCCCATATCGTTTGTGTGTGATTGGTTAAATGTGGAGTTGTTGAGATGTAAGGCGATAAAACGTCAGAGCTAGAATTCTGGGAGCTTGGGCCAGAACGATAAGTTGTACCACGTGACAACGAAAACAAAATCGGCAATGATATCACCAAACTCAGTTCAATCACTTTTGTTGGTATCAAACGCACTGTATAAGTGCAGCTCCTATGCTATGCTTCCAGCTCATAGAGCGTTGTCCTCGCGATAGTGACCCGCAACCAGGAACGCTAGTTCCAGAGCTTGTTTCTCGTTGAGCCTGGGGTCGCAGTACGTTGTGTAATTCAAGCTAAGGTCCTCCTCCTCTATACCTTCACTTCCACCGGTGCACTCTGTCACTGCATCACCCGTCAACTCGAGATGCATTCCTCCGAGGAAAGAGTCATGTTCTTTGTGAACTTTGAGGGCGGAGGACAACTCGGAGAAAATGCTGTTGAACGATCGGGTCTTGATCCCCTCTGGCGTGCTGTGCGTGTTGCTACGAGCTTCGTCAGCATCGAATTACTTCAACTACTCCATGATTGACTTACCCGTGCATCGGATCGCACTGCCAAACGACAACATGGCCACTCTTCTTCACAGCTTCAATGTGCGGCCCGAGCATAGATTCAACTTTGTCCTTTCCATAACGAGTGATCAAAGTGACCTTGCCAACCTCTTTATTCGGGTTCACAATATCAAGTAGTTCCACCAACTCGTCGTTCTTCATCGATGGCCCGACCTTGATACCGATGGGATTCTCAATGCCACGGAAGTACTCCACATGGCCTCCATCGATTTGTCGTGTGCGGTCGCCAATCCAGATAAAGTGAGCAGACGTATTGTACCAGCCCTTGCCGTCATCTGAAAGGGAAGACTGGTAGCCCGCGGGGTGCTTGAGTTTACGTGTCAAGCTTTGCTCGTACTCGAGCACAAGACCTTCGTGGCTGGTGTAGAGATCGACCGTCTGGAGCTGGCCCGAAGTGTCGGCGCCGATCGTCCTCATGAAACGCAGCGACTCAGAAATGTTTGATACGATCTGCGAGTACTTCTTTTGTAATCCTTCGTCCTGTACATGGCCTAGGTCCCAGTCGAGGGGGTTGTGCAAGTCGGCGATGCCGCTCGTCAGTTGCCCTCGGATGTAGTTCAGAGTTGTAGCAGAGTGGAAGTACGCAGTGACCAGTCTCTCGGGGTCTACATGTCGCTGCGCAGGATCGAAACCATTCAATATGTCACCACGGAAGCTTGGAATCTCTTTCCCGTCGACCATCTCAGTGGGACTTGACCGTGGCTTGGCATATTGACCTGCCATGCGACCAATGCGGATAACGGGCTTATTCGAACCCCAAATGAGGACCAAGCTCATCTGTAGCAAGAGCTTGATTTTGGCATTAATTGGGTCATCAGCACAGTAAGAGAAGAGCTCTGCACAGTCGCCTCCTTGGAGCAGGAAAGCTTTCCCAAGAGCAGCATCTCGAAGACTAGACTTCAGCTTGATAATTTCGTGTGGCGTGACAATTGGTGGTAGGCTTGAAAGTTTCGACAGCGCTGCTAAGGCGGCCTCTTTATCTTCGTAAGTGACTACTTGCTTGATGGGCTTGGATTGCCAGGCTAGATAATTCAGTAAATGTATGTGTTGTTTCAGAGCTGACGCACAGTCTGGCGACCATTCCGTTGCTGAGCCCATGTTGAGCAACTAAGCAAAGGTTGAGAGCTCGTGATGTCTAGTCGCAGAAGAATAGTTTTTCTCTTTTGATCTATGGAAGATACGTTAGCAAGATGTAAATGAAGTTTCAAGATTCTCCAAACGTCTGAAGTTCGCGTATTTCCAACTTTCGTAGCGCTGAACAAATGTCATGACTCAAGGGGCTTTCGGTGTGGCAGGGTGCCCTTGAAGTTAATGCCATAGGCCTATGTAAAAGCGGCAAGAACTGTAGATACGTACCTCGTTGGATTTCTATTTCTCGATGTTTTATAGAATATCCAATGACGGTGGTGAGAGATTCCAGCTGTGGAATAAAAGGCCACACATGGCCAGGCTAGCCTAACCGAGCCGTTGCACATGCCCCGCTGGTGGATCTCTTGGCATTCCAGAGCTCCCACTGCTCTTGCTCCGTCACTCGAGTCTCAAACCACCGGCCTTGAACAATTACTCTCCTTCAGCCAGTCACGCCCAGCATGGCCGAACCGCAACCCTCCAACATTCAGGAAGGCGCCTCGGAAGCGCCTCCTCCCACGACTGGCAGCGCCGAAGATCGCAAAGCTGCCGCTGCGCTTTCCGCTTTGGATGAACAGGGCGATGATGAGGCGGGAAAGAAAGAGGTGGATTCCAAGGCTGTGGAGAAAGCTATGAAGAACCTGAGTGTGAAGGACGGCAAGGGCGATGCGCAGAAAAAGGCAGTCAAGATTGAGGCAAGCGATGTGAATTTGCTGGTAGGTCATAACCGCCTTCACGGGGGAAAGAGGAACTTGCGAGTGCTAATTCGTTCTTAGGTTACGGAGCTTGAGCTACCGAAACCCAAAGCAACCGAGCTTCTACGCGCCAACGATGGAAACGTCCTGAAGGCTATCTCGAGCTTTGTCACACCCGCTTTTGCATGAAAATTGTAGGCCATAGGACACTCAAGGACGGCTGAAAAGGCGAAATAGAGATCTTAGAGGCGATATCACTCGGCAGTGAAGCTCTGATGCTTTGTACCTTCGCGAAAGCCTTCCAAGCCCTATTCATGGACTATCGCCATTGAACTTCTCGCGGATAGCGAAAGCACAAGATGCTTCGAACCCTGTGCATAATGACGGGCGACCAGGAGATAGTGGAACCGGCTTAGGCCAGCTTTGCATGTTAGGTGCGTGGGAAGGCAGGGGGTCAAAGAGTGCTGTAAATGTGCATAGCCACTGCCGGCTACGAACAAGTTCATAAATGCGAACACGTTTCACGGCAGTCATTTTCTGCGATATTCAACATGCCAGTGTCCAATGCGGAGCGCCTATGTGAATATCCTTGCATCAATGCTTTATTTGCATTGGCGAGTTACGCGAACGAGCCTGGGGCATACATACTGCGAGGCTGAGTGATTCAACCTCAGCCGGGTCGGTTCCGCCTACAACATTATTCTTATCTCTTCATCTTCGGGAAGGCATCCATAGATCATGGACAGAGCCCTTACAATATCACAAAATGATACGCCTTCGTCTGCTCTGGATGACTCATCTACGGGCACTGGAACAGAAAGCTTCAGGGCGGAAGACCGTAGACCATCACCGAGTATACGACGTCCATCTTTGAGATCAAACGCGGTTGTAATGTCTTCTCACTCGTCTACTTGTCCCCACCCAGACATACGAAAGTTCGACGGCATCAGAGGCTGCCTAGCTTGCGGTGAAACATTCACTACAATTGGCTCAAAGAAAGACACGGAGTTGAGGTACCCACGCGCGAAGTCGTCCAAAAGGTCTGAGATCGCCGTTGATACACATGGTTCAGACCTTGACCAGAGCTGCGAGGATGTACCACAGAAACCACTGGCAATCAGGAGCGACCATCCTCCGACTGATGAAGATCCTAACGATCTGGTACGGCACAATTTCGGAAAGTTCATCAGCGAAGACAACTTTGTAAGAGGAGAATTGGCATTCAGGGACTCTACTCCCAATGGCCCATCTACTGGGAACTCACCCAAGGAAGATGCAGGTCTCAAGATGCGGCAGCAGGCCAAACAGTCAAAGCCCGTCCCCCTCATCATAACCACCTCCAACGCGGCGACTCCAGCACTCTCTCCACGCACTACCGGTCGCAACATGCTCCAAACAGAGCTAAGAGCGTCATTACGCTCAATGCTTCTTTGGGAGAGACAGCAAAAAACCTCAACCACTAATGCAGTGAGCAAGCGATTTGGATCGCAGCCTCAAGATTTTGATCCTTATTTTGTTGGAGAAACCAAGCCTGCAAGATTTGGCCCGATGTCCACCTTAGACGAACGAGGAAGCAGCGGCGAAGATAGACGTGTAGCCCGTACCGAATATGTCGATAGTCGTGTGGCAGAGCTCACCGGAGACAACGACCAGTCACGAGCGCCTGCGGGTTGGACTTCGCAAATACTCCAGCCTAACCCATACGCACATGTTGATCCCTCACGCAGTAACTCGCAGCCTTCAGCTCTCATTGGCATCCGATCCAGCCCCATTCTCCATACCAACTATGCAGAGGGTGCGCTGGGAACGAATGCCGTTTCTCGCGTAGACTCACATACGACAGACTTTGTTCTGAAGACCCCGGAAATCTCCGATGTTGGTCCCTTTCCGACAACAGATTCGAACAATCTTGGACTCCATCTTGAAGACGGAAATTGGCGGACGGGAGATATGGCTGGTCTCAAAGAAGCGGTCCAAGCCGCCCTGAGAGCTCTCGATGCAACGCCAGAAGACCACCCTGACCGTGCAAGATGCCTGAGAAATCTTGGAATTCATCTTGGCAACAAATACGCGAGGACAAGAGTAATGGCCGATCCCGAAGGAGCGGTCCAGGTCACTCAACAGGCTGTCGATGCAGCTCCAGATGAGATAACTACAGCCACCAGAAAAATGATTCAAATATTCCACAAAGACGAGTCGCAAGAATGTTTGTATGTACGTGCTGTGGAAGACCCGGCTATAGGGCCTGCGAAATTGGAACACAATTTAAGGCGTTTGTTCAAGCAGTGTGCTGAAGATCTCAAGAACGAAGCAAGAGATCAATTGGACTACCTAGGTGCACGACTTGTATTGCACCAAGCCACAGTTATGGCTGAAACCGTTGTATTACGATATAGGGCACCCATGCATGTTCACGTTCTAAAGGAAGAGGGCTCTGATGAAGAGGGAACCAAGGAAGTGTTGGGCGAGACTATATTTGCCGACGTGCTCGTATTTATCCCGTTCCTCGACAATAGCGAAGCACTCCAGAGGTTCCAAGACAATCTCGAAAGATTCGTCTCTTCCGATTCAGCATCATCTCGAGATCTGACTGCCACAGTAGATCCAGGAATCTTCGATACTCAGTCCATACCTGGATCCGATCAGAAACCTGCAGCAGTGTCCCATGATACATTTGTGACAGACAACATACAGTCACGCAATTCTACGGGTCTAGGCGGTCGACATAGAGTTGCCGAGATGCTGCAGAAGGCTGGCAACAAATTCGGGTCTACCGCTCACAACCAATACGATGCGAAACAATACAACAACAGCAGGTCTGGGGTGAAACACTCAGAAGGCGAAAGCCCCGTGGGGCTGAGTATAGATGACCCGCACAAGAACGACAATCTCGGCGACACACTCCAAGTGGAAGGCTCTTCCAGTCATTTACAGCAAAAGTTCGATATCTTGGTAAGCCCTCTAGAGCCAAACGATGCTTCCCGAGAAGTTCGGACTGTGCAATTGAGGTGGCAATGTGTAAGTTGGCTCGCCTCATTGAGCGTTCCATGTTTCTAACGTATGAAAGCGGTGCAAAAAGAGCTTTGAGGGCAATGTGACCGAATTAAGAGACGACGGCATTCTGGATCTTGTAAAGCGCATGGAAAGATCCATCGGATCCAGGGTCACCGTTACTACTGCTCCTGCCAATCCGAGCCAAGCGAAACTTTTGTACCGACGAATGACCTTGCAGCTCAATGACACCTGGTCGAAGTTCACGTCAAGGTTTAAGGAGCAGAGCCCAGGTTCACTGCCACGACACAACACAGGCCCAGCAGTGACATCAATGTCGCCTCCACCTTGCGGTTCTGCCCAACAAAGAATACTACATCTTTTGGCCTGCATGCGCACCAATCGCTTCCAAAAGTCACTGTCGCAGGATCGCGTTGAGAGCATCACTTGCGATCGTACCTTGTTCACCTTTATTCGTGATAAGCACTCACGCCGTAGACTTCGCAGTAGGCTCGTCATTTCGCTTAACGAAGTAAGAGGTATATTCTTCGTCAAATTCAGGCTTCCACTGGGTAAGTTGTGAACAGAACATGTGTGCCGGAAACTTGCTAAGTAGATATCCCTTTTAGGCGGAAACGTCGAGGTGCGACACCACAACCCATGCTGCCAACTATCGACATGTGAATGCATCCCTCCAAAAGATCGCGTCATACCTTCCACTCAAGCCGAATATCAATGCATCCCGGGACCTCCATCAGTATGGCCACCAGTCGATCCACAGTATTTAGCCCATCTTTTTAATGACCCTTCGTGCGTCAACGAGAACGACACTTGGATCCTTGACCAACTTCCTCGACGCATTTGTGGAGAACTGCATGGGAGAGCCGGTCAGCCTGCTGAAGGTTGGGGGATTTACTACCAAGAAGGACTGGATTGGAGGCTGATCACTCTTATTATGGTAGTTATATTCTTTCTGATCAGCTTATTTGGGATACTATGGGCGTACTGCAAGCAGGACATCCAGGGGGCTTTCGGTGTGAGCTCATACATCTTTGCCGCATGTGGAATTTTCCTTTCCCTTGTGGCTGTAAATTCTGATAGGCCTTGAACGCGAACCCTTTGAAGACAGGACCTTTTGCAAAAGCATCGTATGATGGGGTTCAAAATATGTGGCATTCCTCCATCCAAGGAAAAGGTCGGCTTTCGTCGCTAGTTGCAAGTGATACCAATGCCTAGTCTACCGAAAAGTATTTTTTAAAGCATTGATTGTGAGCCGCTAGTAGCAATTAGGTAAAAAGCTTCGTTCCACTGCTTGCATGTCTAATGCTACGACTCGATCTCCTTCAACCATGGTTCCAAGGCCACCATAACACGCTTGCCTGCCCCTATATCGACAACACAGTTTTGCCAACTACAAGTCACGCACATGTCTCTGCCCTTGACCGTCATTATTGATATAACAAGGCAGCGGACGGCACATCAGCGCTCAGTACTAGTTGAGCTCGACGTAACGACCAGGCTTCTTGACTTTCAACGACACCAGTTTGTCCATCAAATACACCGAGGACGAGCCAAGACAAACGTCTTGTCCTACGTGCCTCTCTCTGTTGCTGTGTGTGCCAATTCGAATTCATCGGAGCCCAAGTGGCATGCTTGCTGCCTCCTACGACTTTCCAAGCTGGCTTCAACTCGGTGCAAAGGGATCTCGCCGCGAAAGATGGTGACATGGGCAAAGACGATAGGAGTTCAGGTTCGGGGGCAAGCTATTCGTTGGGTCTGAGAGATTGAGAATCGAACGGTCTGAACCTTCGACAAAACGAAGTCCAGCATTGGCTCCTTTTCCTGGAGGAAAACATCTTTTAGATTACGCAGCAGCTGTCCATGAAATATCTATCCACTTATTCCATCGTGGTGCGCGCGATTCCGTACGTAAATGGCCTCAACGAGGAATTCTGTCATCATCGCCGCTCATGTTGTGTTCGGTGTGTAGCTGACCTACCGCATCATGTTCCATGAAATGTATAGCAAGGTCTCACGGCGTTAGATGCCCTTTCCTATCTGGGCACTAGCGCTCCCCCCGTCATAATCAGCATCTTATTACATTGCAGCTCTTTGGACTCTCAGCAAGTTACTATGGGCGCTCCAACGTCCAGCCTCTCAGCGTAACCGAAAAATATACCATCACCGGCAGTATGCCACGGGCCCAGAGTAACCACAACGAGATACCCGCCTGCTACCGCATCTTCTTCACTTCCATCGACCCTCTGATCGCTCTGAGTGGCGCGTACATGGACTATTTCGACCCGGAAACTATCCTGGCATCTGCTTTTCCACGGTCTGGATCCTATGCGAAACCCACGCCGCCCGTCACATTCCTGTTAATGCAGGCCGGCGGATCCTTCATTATGATGGCGTTCCTCATGGTCTTCATGCTGCGCTATACAAGTGACGTGAAGATCTGGAAGATGTTCCAGTTTGGAGTCCTTGTGACGGATTTCACCCTGTTCTTCAGCCTGTTTGGTGCTCTGGAGGGGACAGGAAGGCTGAACGTGGGTGCGGTCAGGTGGGAGGAATGGGGTACAATTATTATTACCGGGTTTCTGACTCTGTTGAGGTTAGCATTTCTAGGAGGATTTGGATTTGGTAAGACAGGTCGCAATGGGGAGAAGAAGGAGTAGATGGTTTTGGTGGTCAAGAGAATGACGTCATTGGTTACATCTGTAGGAATTATGACGGAAAGCGAAGTCGACCTTCATGAGAGATAGCAAGAGATGGCTCCATTTTGAACATCGACGAAAAGAATGCTACAATCTCTTACGCTCGCGTTTCTCCAGCCTATTCCCAGCTAGCGTATTCGCGTATCTCCACGCGCCGGAAGAATTGCACCAGCAGCAGCGATCCTGTCGTCCGAACGCCGCGTTCCTAACCTATCTTCATCTCAACTAGCTTCGTATGGCTCGGTAAGAAATACACCGAACCCAGGAAATCGCAACTGTCACGTCGCTTTCGCTCTCCAGGATGTCTGCCCCACGACCCCGGACTGTAGATCAGTATGCGGAGAAAGAGGCTAAAGAAGCATAGCTCCAATCGCTATATAATATGCTTAACACCATTCATCCCAAAATTTTCCAGCAAGCAGTAGGTCGTGATTCTTGCAATCGCAATGGCGTTCTCACCTATCGCTCGTGTTCTCTTCTTACTCTCGTCAATCCAACTCATCATCGCGTCACCGGTATCAGTCTCTGCTCCCACCGTGAAGCTCCACTACGGCACATTCAGCGGCTCATACAGCAGTACATACAACCTCACATACTACCGCAAAATCCCCTTCGCCGCTTCAACAGCGGGTAACAATCGTTTCCGCGCACCCCAACCACCCCTCCCCATCACCAATGGCACCTACAATACCGACCAAGCCTTCGACATGTGCCCGCAACGCACCGTCAACGGCTCCGAAGACTGCTTGTACCTAGGGGTCTACTCGCGGCCTTGGGCTTCCTCCCAGAAAGGACCCAAGAAGTCTCTCCGTCCCGTCCTCCTGACCTTCTACGGCGGCGGCTTCATCCAAGGCAGCGCCTCCTTCAGCATCCCGCCGCCCGGCTTCCCTGTCCTTAACGTCTCCCAACAGAACGACTACGTAGTCGTGTACAGCAACTACCGCACCAACGTGTTTGGGTTTCTCTCCGGGAAGAAGATCGCGAAACACGGGGATACGGATCTCAACACTGGTTTGCTCGACCAGCGCGCCGCGCTCGAGTGGATCCAGCAGAACATCCACGTCTTCGGCGGCGACCCTAGGAACGTCACTATTTGGGGTCAGTCCGCCGGCGGGGGAAGCGTCGTTGCGCAGACCATTGCCACAGGGAATCGCGGGCGCAAGCTCTTCGTAAAAGCAATGGCCAGCTCGCCGTACTGGCCCAAAACGTACCGCTACGACAGCGCTGAGAACGAGGCGCTGTACGCCGCCGTGGTTGCGGGCGTAGGCTGCGCCGGCGCGGAAGATGAAGTCGCATGCCTCAAGAGCGTGGACGTGCAGACGCTTAGGGACGTTAGTCTGAAGCTGACGACCAGCTTGCAGTACACGACGAGCAGTTTCGCGTGGGGACCCGTCATCGACGAGGCGTTTCTCACGGTCCCGCTGTCCACCGCCGTGAAGCGGAAAGCGCTGAACGCAGAGCTGCTACTGACATCGTATAACTTGCACGAGGGCGAAAATTTCATCCCGCCAGGGCTGAACAGCGTGGCTGGGGCTGGAGGCTTCAATTCCTCGGGCGCCTCCTTCGATGCCTGGCTGCGCGGCTACCTGCCCAATCTGCGGACCACTGATCTTCAGGAATTGAAAACATTGTACCCAGCGGAGGGCTCCGCAGAAGAAATAGTGTACAACACCACCTACACACGCGCCGGCCTTGTCTACCGCGACTTGCAACTTGCATGCCCGGCATACTGGCTATCGGCCTCCGCAAAGAAAGGCTCACTGATAGAGTACACGATTTCGCCGGCGAAGCACGCTTCGGACACGATTTACTGGAACCAGGTCAATGCGGTGCAGAAGTCTGATCCACGAACGTATGAAGCGTATGCGGGAGCTATGGCGAGTTTCTTACAGACTGGGGATCCCAACGCGCACAAAGTCACTAACGAGAGTGTGGTTGGTGTGCCGTCAATAAAGAGCGGGGAGCAGTTCTTGATTCGCAGTGCGGGAATAGCGACTGCGAAGGTCAATCAATTAGAGAAGAGGTGCACGTTCTGGCTATCAGTGGCGGATCGAATACCAACATGATAATTTTTTTGATAGATAACGGGGAATGTTCATGGTTATAATATCCAAAAGTAATTCAGCGCCTGAATTATCCTCACAACAATAACGCCGATCATCAAACATTCATAATCGTAACTCATTAAAGCGATGGCGCAAACTCGGAACGGGGATCCTAAACCCTCTCTCCCTTACGTCCTGTGGCTCTAAGCCTTTCGACCAAATCCAGGCAAGCATCCGCCCAGATCGACATCTCCTTCTCCTCCTTGACCTTGGAGCCGCAGTGGTGCTCCAAGAACGTACCCATCTTCTCTGTCTTGAACTTCTCACCGTAGACCAGTTCGGCCTTGGCGGTGACTTCTGTCTCCGCGCCTTCAGGCCCGAGGCTGACGCCGATCTCGAAGGTGACTCTGACCTTCGTCTGCAATGTAGGAAGGAGCATGTTTGAAGACACGGCCATGCGCTCGTCCGATAGGATGGTCTCGTCGGTGATATAGCTGTGTTCCAGCCACCGCACGCCCTCCGCTACGGCTGATGCGGTCGCCCATCCATTTTTGATAACGTCGAGAAGGTCTTTCACACGGGTCTGTGATTGCGGAATGCAATGCAGATGGGCGCGGATGAGCTGGAGGAAGAACCGCTTGCTGGTGGTCAATGGTCGCGGATGAGGAGTGGCCGAATTGCCGACATAAGTGAGCGAGATCGAAGCATTGGGGGTATCGGCGCCAGTCGCGAAAGCGGAAGGCTGAAAGTAGAGTTCGAGGTCGTTCTTGTAGGTCATGGTGATCGTGCTTCCTGAAGCCGAAGTGATGCTCCATCCGTGCTTCTGCTCGAGGGCACATACCTTAGCTACAAGATAGTTAGTAGGCCGAGCTTGGTGATTTGAGCGACGTACTCACCATGCAGTTCGCTGACTTCAGTAGTCGACCATCCGCGACACTCCTCTCGTACACGCTCAGCCGCCTTGATCTCCGCCACGTATTCGACTTTGCGCTCCTTTACTGCCTCGATACGCGCTTCTTTCTCCTCGAGTTCTTGCTGCATTCGAGCGACAAGCTGGCGTTTCTCTTCTAACTCGGTATCTACTGCAACAAGTCGCTCGCGTACCTGTTCAAGCTCTTCACGATTGCAATTGTTTAACTCATCATGTCGCTGCTGCAATTGTCCGCACTCCTTCGACAATCGCTCCTGCGTCTGCTGTAGAGGAGGTAAAATCTTCTCTAGGAGCAGCTCTTGGTTTCGTATGACTGACTCGTCTAGCTTAAATTCGTCCAGGGTAGGCAAAAGCATTGACTTCAGATCTCGAAGCAGATTGGTCCTCCATGTGTACCACTCTCCGCGAGTTTCAAGGCGGGCATTGGTCTTCAGATTCTTGAATTGATTATCCATGATCGCACGTTGATCTGGCGGGGCTGTTAGATACTCAGAGAAGAGCAGAGGGTTCTCTTCTTCCACATTCTCCTCCAGAGTACGAACGTAGTCTCGGCCACTTGAGATGAACTGCTTCAATTCGTGACAGGCGTGCGAATAACACTCATACTCAGGGACAATACACGCACCAGCGACGACATATTGATCAAGAGATTGTTCCTGCTCCTCGACTTCTTTGTCATGGAACGACGCAGGTGCAGCAGTATGTCGACGCTTGGTCGCGCTCACCTCCATGAACCGAATCCTAGTCAGGTCCAGGAAGTCTTGTAATGAGATCCGCTCGGCGTCGTCAACCTCTTCATCGATACTTTGCTCGGGTACGTCGTCTTCAATCTCGGGTTCGGCGCCGAATGCTACCTTCTTCTTGGGGCTCATACTCTTCCTTGGGGTTCGTTTCTTCGGAGTCGGAGTCTTCTGTTTCGGTGTTGGCTCTTTCTGTGGGGTCTGCGACTTTTTCGGGGTCATTCCTCGCTTGACGGGAGAAGAAAGTGTTTGCTTTCTAGGTGTCGAGAGCAGTTTGATGTTGTTCGAAAGTATAGCGGCGCTCCGCAGCGTTGGCTCTTCTGCTACTTTGGCGAGTGGACTAAACTGAACGTTTGACAGAGATGAGCGTCGTCGATTGAGTATAGGCGCTTCAATGGGATCGTCCGGTACGATCAACGGGGCATTTCGCGGTTGTGACTTAGGTGTAGAAACAATATCTGTGGGCTTTGACGAACTCTGCGGCGTACTGTGTACAAATGGTGAAGCCTCAAAGTCTTCGATGCGCTGCTTTGCAGGCTTAGTCTCAGGAGTAGCAAAATTGAGGCTACGACGAGGCTGACGAGGCGACTTGGACGGCGGTATCTTCAGTGCCTTCTGTGGGGTCGCTGACAGGACTGCGGTTAGGTCTGGATAGAGTAGCCGACCTGGCGACTTCTTAGGTGATTTTTGGGGTGTGAGAGCGTTCCTCTTGTTTGGAGTTGGGCTGGTCACAGGCTCTCCCGCGACCTGTTCTGGAGCCTTAACGATGCGTTTGATGCCGGGGCCTACTACTGTCGTAAATTCCATCGACATATCCATGTCGTCTTCATCTTCTTCTTCCGGCTCCGGCTGTTTCGAAGCGCCTTCTTCAGGAGTTACTTTCACATCCTTGATGCTGCCTACGGCAATAGTGAAATCCATTGTTTCGTCCCCAAATGAGCTGTCCCCACTTGCGCGAGTCCTCTTGGAAGGCGGTCGAGTATCCGGCACAGGCTCGCTCTTGATGGCTCCAATAGCTACGGTGAAGTCCATGGTCTGGTCATCCGCTGGGATTTCCTCAGGAACGGCTTGAGCGCGAAGACTAGTTCTGCGGCTTGATGAACGCTTTGCTGGGCTGCCCTGCGAGGGCTCAAGCATCGACACGCGGCGCTTGAGGCTCTTCCTACGGCTAGGTAGCTCTTTAGCGGGAGCTTGCTTGATGCTGCCGATGGCTGTTGTCAGGTCCATGCTCATATCATCTGACCCGGGGCTTTCGGTCTCTTGTTGGGCAACAATCTTGCCCACGGCGCGTGTTATGTCCATGCTCATATCTTCGTCTTCACTCTCATCTGACTTGAAAAACGGATCCTCCTTTTCCTGGTCCTCAAAATCCATCTGCTGGTTCTTCTTGGCCCACGGCTTGAAAGACGCTGTAACATCGTCCTCTGCTATGACCATAGACATGTCTTCGTCACTGTCCAAGTTCAGTCTTTGGGTGCCTGCAAGCTCAGAAGCCTGTCGAAGCGCAGCATCTAGGCGCGCGCTGCTCTGCGAGTCGTTCTCTCCATGCGTATCGTCGCCTTGGTCCTGAAATGCATCCTTCACCGGAGACGTATTCTCGATCAATGGACTCGAGGAAAGGATATCATCCGGGTTATTGAAGTTCAGGGGCGGGATGCCCGAGCTGCGGCGGCGATTTTTCTTCCTGTGTGCATCACGCTGATTGCCAGGGGAGGATCCGGATTCGGGTTCAGGCTCCTCAACGCGCTCTGGTGGCGTAGAGGGCGGCTCTTCGGCGTCGGAAGATGGCTGAGCAGGCTCCTTCGCCACAGCAGAGGCTCGTCGCGTCGCATCGGATACTGTGGAAGACGTCTCGTCGTGCGCATAGGCTACTATATCCCAACTGTGCAGTGTCGCTTCCGGGTTGAAAGACACGCGTCGCCGTGCTGTGGTCATGTCAGCATATGTCTTCCCCTCCATAATGTGCGCGGTTTACCCAGCGATTTGCGACGCGCCTCGCGGCGCTTTTTCTCGTCGATATCGTTGGTTACAAGGATCGATTTGACGGCAGGGAACGCAGACTGCGCGCTGTCAGTAAGCTGCGCATATTATGACGCGAATATTCGCGCATACCTTGCGCCTGTTCCCATTGCTCTCCTTGAGCGCGGAGGGCTTCTCTTCGAGCGTCGAGAGCCCACTAGGCCCGATGCTCTTGCTGCGCGTCTTGCTCTTGCGCGACTTCTTTGGCGAGGGTGCCGAGGGCGTTTGGAAAGACAAACCAGCACCCAGCCCGTCTGCAATGTTCTCTTTGGCGTCCTGGGTCGCCATGCTGTGCTGTTGCGCGGGGTCGAGGTGGTAGTGTTGTTGCAGTCGTGGCTCGCTTCGGATCGCAAGCGCATCGTAAACAAACACGAAGGTCCGTGCACAACATTCGCCCTGTCACCTGACTCACTAAAAGTACATACTCGTTCTCTCAGTGCAAGGGTCCTGCTTGTGATACATACCGAACCTAAGCATACAGGTGCCGAAGACGTGGACGCGGAACAAGCAGCAAATATCCCTTCAAGACTTACTTGCTCACATGCTCTTTCCCTACCTAGCATAGTTAGAGAGTTTGGACCCTATATGAGCAGTAACCAGGACACTTATTGAGCATACAAAACTGGAATGAGATGTAGTTGTTTGATATTTTCGATGGGTATCTAAAACAAAATATAAGAATGGGTATCTGACTCCTGTGAACCCCTAAATTTGCACGCTTTCTCCATTTCGAGTCCATCATCGCCTCGAAGAAGGCGCTAATTCCGGCAGTTCATGCACATTTGCCGCCATCTGGGGTTGTACCTGCGGGTTCGGCTGTGGCATCTGCACCGTCCCGACGCCTGGTGGTGGACCACCATACTGCTGTGCTGCGTACCCTCCGTACATTGTATTATCCTGCGGCTTGGCCGTCTGCGCATCATAGGCGCCCATATTCGGAGACACAGGCTGAAGATATGGACTCGGTCCATTTCCATATGCTTGTTGCGGTGGATAGTATGCTGCCTGCTGGGGTGGGTACCCGGACTGCATGTGTGCTTGCGGTTGGCCTGTCGGTGGACCTTGTGGCGCAGGACCATATCCTTGCGAGTTGCGTCGACGCCAAAGATAGAATCCCATTCCTGCCACGGCGAGAAGGCCGACTATTCCAATGACCACGCCTGCGATCCAGGCTTTGCTTGGTTCTTTCTCTTTCACAGGTTCTGTTGAAGATGTGGGTGTGGGTGAGCTCGTGGAGTCTGAAGTCTGCGAGGCAAGACTTGTTCCTGGCGATGCCGGACTTGCGGTTGTCTCGGTAGTAGAGGAGTCCGAGGAACTCTCAGAGGAGCTTTCGGTCGAGGTAGCGTCAGTGCTAGTGACATCTTCAATCAAAGTGCCCGGTGGCACATCTCGATAAAACTGGAGATACGTGCGATCTATGCAGTGGTACCACCGCAGCGAACTTGTTGTGTCGATTTCGCTTCCGGTGTATATGATATCGTAGTCGCATGTTGATGTTCCAGTGCAAGGTGAACTTCCACCCTCCGACATCAGTGTAGATCCATCGCATGATGTCCAATATGCAGAAGGACAAGTCGCGGAAAGGTATTCCGAGCCTTCATTGCACCAATCTACCAATGTGCTACCACGGAAGGTTGCGACGGAGCCTGGCTTTTCAGAGGAAGTGACTTTCAAAATGTATTAGCGCGTTCCTGGATGTTACCGTGAAGGATTGACCTACTCCATACATTGCCGTCCGCATCTGTGATTGTATAATAACCAACTAAACTCAAGGGTGCCTCGCGAACAAACAACTCAGCGCGCTGTGTGATCGTCGGATGCGCCGCGTCAAATGTCGCGTCCACAGGAGAAGCGCCAACACGCGCGAACACTTCTAGGAACAACGCGAACTGAAGTAACTTAAGCATGGTGCAGCAATTAGCGAGCGTAGGTAGCAAGCGGCATTCAAGATGTAGCAAGAAGTCCAGAGTGCAAACGTCGTGCACTTGAATGACAACAGAAGCCTGCAGCCCCCCAAAATAGAACCCCTAGGCCCAATGTCGAGAACCAGGAATCGCATCCATGTCCAGGCGAAAGGCAGTGTATGGATCGCGAAAAGGGCACCGCCCACGCAGGGGGTTTATCGCGCGACTTGGTACCCGGCCGGCGAGGCTCAGGCCTGAAGCAACGCTGAGATAAGTCAGGCCGCTGACCGCAAGCGTATGTGTTTTGATCCTACTTCTAAAGCCTTGCGATCTTCTTGGAGATGCCTCGACGGAAGGGAAAAGCAGCGCTGCGCAACTGCGCTTTCTTCTGGTGACAAATTCAGAGTCCTGCAATGGAGAGTGTCCAAGGAACTCCAGCCACCTCGGCTCGAGTGGGCGTACGCGTGAGAGCGTGGTTTGACGAATCGTTTGCGTAGGCAGGGGCTTAGATGTTGTGGAGCATGCCTTAGTGAACGCCCGCTTGGCATATCCGGCATAAGAGGCCTGCTTCACGGTGTACGCATAAGAGATGAAACGCCGAGTCCATGGGCTTATCTGAGCCACATGCGGGTGCCCGAGATCTCGCTGAAAAGAGCAGCGCTAGAGGTAGAGCGCGAAGAGGCGCGTGTGGAACCTCTGATCTCGCCGCTCCTCAGCTTTCTTGGCTGAACTGGTAGCCTTGTCCCGTTGTGGGCAGCGTTGGTCAACGGGGTTGAAAAGTGTTGCTAGGTGGTCAACGCAGCAAATTCCTTCAAGGCTCGAGGTGCATGACATGTGAGGCTTCCCTCCGTACACTCTCCAATTTCATTTGATCGAGATCGTCGGTTTTGCCGATGGTATGGCTCGGATGCAGAAAGAAGGCTGAAATGAGGTTGGGGTCCAACTGCGAATAAGGTTCTCGCCAACACGGCGTCCGTGCGTCCCATTATATCTAAGCACAGCCTCACAAAACAATCACGACGCGTTGTCGACTACCTCACCTACTCGAACATCACTCTGAAATATCTCAGCGCGTTAGACATGAAAGATTGTTGGGTACGAGTCTATTCCAGGTTTGGACGGACGAGGCGGCCAATATAGCGCCTCAATTATCTACAACGAACTACAATTATGTATCAGGAGATCGTATCTACATATATATCATCAAGTCCACATCTACCACTTGGTCTTCTGGGCACGGGTGAACTCAGACTCGGGATGCAGACCATCAGGAACCTCAAGCGCAGTGGTGTAAGCAGAGTCCTTCTCCAACGAGCCCCAGGTCTTCTTGACAACATCGGCGACCTTGCGTCCGTTGTGCTTCAACTTGGTAGCAGGGATCGGCCACGGGACGGAGGTGTTCTTGTTGTTGAGCTTGCCAGCGTACGACACGTTCCAGTACATCTGCGACAGAGGCGTCTTGCCGGACCATTGCCTGACATCATCACCGGTTTTCTTCGCCACGAAATCGAACACGTTGGCGCCAACATCCCAGCGACCGAGGGTATCGAGGCCCCAGTTAGCCTGGACGGTGGCAATCTCGCTGTAGTGGTTGTAAAAGTTGCTGTCCGAGGTGCCGACTAGCTCCTTAGGGACGGCATCGCCGAGAAGAATACCGACGATACGGTTCTGCTGGGTGTAGGTGTGGTTCTCGTCGAAGGTGAGGATGACAAGGGTATTCTTCATGAACTTCTTGTCATTCAGGAGCGGCTCAAGGAAGTTCTTAGACCACGTGCCGGCAACGGTTACGGTCGAGTCATGGCCATCGGAGGTCATGTTGGGAGTGATGAACATCCACTGGGGCAGAGCATCCGCCTTGAGATCCTCGTAGAAGAGGGTCAAATTCTTGATCTGGTTCAGGCGGCTGGTCTGTTCCACAACAGAGTTGTACAGAACCGGAGGGTTGTGCTTGCGGACATAATCGTTCGCACCGGTCTTTTGGTTCTTGTAGTCGAAACCCTGGAAGCCAGTGTAAGGCATGTCTTCCTGGTACGCTCCCCACGAGATTTTCTTGGCTTCCAACAGGTCCACGATGGTCGAAACGTTGGAAGGAATTGCGGTCATGTCATCGTGGTTGATGCCGTAGTAGTCACCGGAGATGGCAGCGGCATAGTTGGGCAATGACGGGTGCGTCACCGCAAAGTGGTTGGTGAGCGTAATGCCCTTCTTGGCCAGCGACTTCAAGCTTGGGTCGCCAATCGCAAGGTCGTAATCGGTGTTCTCGAGCCAGATGATTGCCACACGGTCGAAAGCCTTGCCCGTGACCCAGTCCGAGGTCTTGTACCCGCCGGATGGCTGCTTGGGCGCAGCAACGGCAGCGCTGGCGAGCAGCGACACCGAGAGGAGCAACGACGAAACCATTTTGACGTGTTTTGCCTCAACGCAGAATGCGCAAAAGGACAGGCCGCGAAGTAATAACGAAAGATTGAAGTGCAGTCGACGGTGCCAGTGCTGCAGATGCAGGGCCAAGGGCCATAATGTATACCCTAATATAGTTTTCCAGCACAGCGGTTACCCCTCCGAGGAGAGTCGCTTGCAAGCCGTCAATCATCTCCGGGGTGGCGGCGCAAGACCTGCGCGACCGCGAATCAGGCCGTTTGTATATAGCACATGCGCAGTGTGGCCTGTTGGGCGCCCTGGCGGGTGCATCGAAGTTAAGCTTTTGTGGGAAGGTGTTGTGGGTGCTTGGTTCTCGTAGTGGAAGGCGTGCGATGGCATCCTTCCCTTATTGGACACTGCCAAGGGTCTCGGCATGATCTTCTTTCAGCCACCGTTCTCTCTCGACACCCCGGCAAAAAACGAAGATTGCGCCGCATGTGCGCTATTGCCAAGTCCCTATGGCAATTGCCATCAATCAATCCTGTCTTGGAACAACGTGGTCTCGCGAGAATCTTCCAGCTCAAGGACTTACGATCTTGAATCCACATCGCGGTCGCGCCTGGATGTATGCGCTAGGACACGCGCTTCGCCGATGTGAAGTCCGCGGAACATAGCGTCGTTGGCTGCTTAAAGAGAAGAGAGGCACCAGAACTACCTTACTATGGCTCGCCACGAGGCGTTCCAGTTAAGCGAAAGAAAGGATGCAGAGCACGAAGAAGAGCGTGCTGGGCTTCTCGAGGATGCAGTGTTTTCAGAGGACAGCAGTGAGGTTTCCGACGTGGAAAAGCCGGAGGGGAAAGAAGACCTCGGGAGTAGACCGGCGGATTCGACAACTCAATTGCTGAGAAGGAACTGGCTGAGGTGAGCAAATGGCCTATACTTGCTTGGATGTCTCTAACCCATCAGGTTACTCGTTGTCGCACTTCTTGCAGCCTGGACAATTGGGTTTCTGATTCATTCATTCCTATCGCGAAGCAGTGGTTCCTCAAACATCACCCTTGCTGCTCAAGTGCGTCCAGAGGAAGAGTATATCCTCGACTCCAAGTGGAACTTTGACGCGGAACCAACGACTAGGGAGTATGACTGGACAATCTCCGAACACGACCTGAATCCAGATGGCGTATACAGGCCCATGACCTTGATCAACAGCATGTTTCCTGGTCCTTTAGTCGAATGTAATGAGGGCGACGAAATCGTTGTTCACGTGCACAACAAGGCTTCAAACGCCACCTCTATTCATTGGCATGGAATGTTCCAAAACGGAACAAATTGGATGGATGGCACCGTAGGTATCTCGCAGTGCCCCATTGCACCCGGACAGTCGTTCACGTATCGATTCAATGTGAGTGGTCAGACTGGCACGTACTGGTACCATAGCCACATGGCCATGCAAGCCGCGGACGGACTCGTGGGACCTATAGTTATCCATGCGCGGGGCGATGAGGAAAGCAGGCTGCAAAAAGTACCGTATGGTCAGGATAGAGTAGTAATGGTATCGGACCACTACTACGACCTCTCCTCAAAACTGCTCATGCAATACCTCCAGCCTGGAAATGAGAACGAAGAGCCAGTGCCGCAGTCCGCACTGATCAACGGCCGCGGTACTCGCAACTGCGCAGACTTGCCGAGCCGCAACTGTTCGTCAGTAGATCGGTCGAACGCCCTCTTTGACCTGTCGACCGAATACAACACCAGAATCCGCTTCATCAATGTCGGAGCCTTTGCCGAGTTTCAAATCCAAATCGACGAGCACGAGTTCTTTCTCACAGAAGTAGATGGGACAGATGTATACCCACAGTCGATCCACCGTCTGAATATCAACCCTGCGCAGCGCTACAGCATCGTGGTACCTCCGCCTAAGGAGAACAAAGATTTGTACTGGATGAGAGCGCGCATGGTCAGCCACTGTTTCGCATACGAAGAGCCCGAGCTGAAAGAAGAGGTCCGCGCAGTCATCCGATATCAAGCACCCAGCGTGGCAGTCGATCCCGCGAGCAAAGACTGGCCCGAAATTATCGAGCTCGAATGCCGCGATCTCAACGTCAGCGCCCTGAAACCCGTCCAAGCAATCGCCGCGCCCGAGCAAGCAGACGACCAAGTATACCTGCGCTCAAGTTTCCAGATCAAAGACTGGCGCCTCAGCAGAGGTTTCCTAAACGACAGCTCCTACCGCACCAACATGTCCCACCCAACCCTGAACACGCTCATATCAGCGTACGAGCAGAAGCAGGAGCCGCACATGTACTACCTCTCGTACCCCTTTGGCATCAACGCTGGCTTTGACGCTAAGCACACGCTCGTCTACCAGACAACCGGCATCCGCACAATCGACATCCTCATCCAGAACTTCGACGACGGCAATCATCCTTTTCACCTCCACGGGTACAAGTTTTTCGTGCTGGGTTCTGGCCATGGATATCCCGCCGATAACCTGTACGATACGCTTGACTTTACGAATCCGCTTCGCCGCGATACAGCTAGTGTGGAGGCATTCGGGTGGACGTTGATTAGATTCGTGGCCGATAATGCCGGCGTGTGGCCTTTCCACTGCCACTTGGCGTGGCATAATGAGGCGGGGCTGCTGATGCAGTTTGTCACACGGGCTGATGAGATTGCGAATTGGACGCTGCCGGATGATGTGAAGGGCTTGTGTGCTGCAGAAGGTATTGAGAAGGGCGCGGGGCCTGAGGATGAGATATGGTTCGGTTCGTTCGACTGAATGGGTGCCGTATTAGAGAGATGGAGGATACAAATCTGGCTTCGGGTTCTCAGGTCTTCCTTGAGGATGGTAATCGACAAACGGTCGGACTCTTGGGGACGAGAGTGCACCTGTAGCATTCAGCCATTCTGTTCTGGGGATCTGATCTCTGTGAATGGACTGCACCACCACGCCACTGAAGCTCTTCCATGTTTACCGAGGCACATCTTACGTGGAGTGGCATACGAGGTCGGAAGCCGTGCAGCGCTTACCTTGCAACGTACTCAGAGCACCGTTATTGCAGAGCGAGAATGCTCGGATATCTATGTAGTGAGCCTGATATCGCCCGAGGATGCCTCTCCTACACTTGTAGAACCTAGAATGTACTCTACAATTTGAACTGGAGCCGCAGCATAGACACCCAACACATGTATACCACACCGCTACCCGTTCCCATATCTAAAATGAGATCGAGGACAAATCACAGAATTGTATATCATCCCAGGTTCCTGCGCAATGTTCGATCGCGCACCTCGGGCGGACAGTCAGTATCCGACGGTAAAGAACAAGGTTCAGTGCAAGGGAGGAAGCGAGACCGCGTTTTGCGGGCCGTGGATCGTGCGACCACAGTGTGCATAGCAGAGGCAAACGAGGGCGCGCGCGGTATGACGTCGATGCAGGGATGAGGGGACATGAGGGAGAGTGAAAGGTCAGGTGAAGATGGAGAAGAATGCGAAGGGGGAGTAAAAGGGGATCTCGGATATTGTAGCCGGAGAGTTCGGGGTTGTCGGTATTTTGGATGATGGTGGTTTCTTGTGGAAAGAGCATAAAATTAAATTTCCTGAATAAAGTTGAGTCCTAGGGGTTGAGCTGTAGGTGATATTTGTTGTGTTTGATCTCCTAGAGAGACAGTTATGAACCCCGAGCCTTCGTAAGGCTGCAGCAGATCAGCGGCAGTTGCCTAATGTATTCCTGCAAGGCTTCGTACTGCCTGCCATCCAGAAAAGCTGCAGCGATGAGCAAGCAAATTAGAAAGATGTTAGATGCAGACAATATCATATCATTGTCGAATGTGGGTCGGTATTGCTGCGCACCCAATCACAATCAGCCGCATTAACGTTTCTCCGCTCCCGACAACGTCACCCAACCGCACTCTCCCAGCCATCCTCGGTTCCCAGCACAGACACCTCCTTAACACCCACCACCATCGTCCACTTCATCCTGAGCTGACTCGTAGCACGAGTATGCATCTCCGATGACCCCTTGACCAGACTCAAGGCCCCGTCGAAGCCGTCCGTAGCCCCTGAGAGCGCTCGCAGAGTCTACTACAAATTGAGTGCACGAAGCGCTGTGCACCAGGCGAAAGTGTCGAGAAATAAGGGTCCACAAGGTGCATACGTATATTCATGGAAACAGGGTCGTAGATGGCCTCTGCGTAAGGATCTTGAAGGGTCTTGTTGACGCGATGGGGGCCCAGGCTGCTGAAGGGTCTGCAGCGGTTTGGACACCTGGCTGCACTGTGCATGGAACACGTCGGGACACTTTCATATGCCGTGAAGCCCTCGATGCATTCACATCTTTGTGAATGCGCTAATGAGGCATTGATAAGCATGGAAAGGACACTTGCTTCAAACTAGAGGTGCGGTTGCTGCGGAACATCCTGCTCGCTCCCGGTTGCTGTGACGATGAAGGAATTTGTCGACGTATCCACTGCAAAAACTAAACGGCCGCCCCTCAGCGGTTCGCTGATCATCGGCAACGTGCAATAATTGAGTAATTGAAAGGAAGAGCGGAAGGTGGTTGCTACGGCGAAAAGTCAAAACCCACCTAACTGACGATCGTGAGATTCCAGCACCCGGGAATTGGAGGCATCGGCTAGCAATTCAGCTTAAGGTTTCGGCGACCGAGCTGATGTCACAGAACCGTGATCGAAATGCGCCCAGGGGAGTCGGCTAAGCTTCCACGGGCGCTGATGCCGCCAGTGTGGGGTTCGATATTGGCTACCACCCGGCTGCAGCGCCATCAGCAAGTGCATTTTGCCCAACGCGCATCCCAACGGCGAGACAGGAACGCGCATTTTTCGCGCGTTGGCTAGGCATCAAGACAGTCAGTCGTGTTTCCGAGCGGAGACTGACGTGCGTATGAGTGATAATCCGTAAGGCTCCATCCTCGGACATGGGCCGCTGTGGGTCCGGACCGGTCTGACTCTCAGGAGCCACCACGACATGCTTCGAAACAAGTGATTATCGTGTCTGCTACGCTCACTACTTGATTAAGCAGAAGCATCTGGCAAGGAGGCAAATGTCTGACCGCAGGGCCATAGTGTTGGGAACATCCCGCCAACTGATGCGGTGACATTCAATGTGCAGCGACAGCGACGGCGGCAGCCTCGCAGCGGGCGTAGCAGTGATTATCTGCAGTCAAAAGTTTGCTTGCGGCTGTGTGAGGATGAGCAGCGCTGTCGTGGCCGTGTTACGATCATGTAGGGTAAGCGACTGGAGCGCTAGGAAGGGAAGCCGCCGTGCGAATCGCCCGTGTTACGCAGCCCGCTTTTCGAGAGCTCGCTACCAGAGGTACCTTCTTGTTGCTCTGGGAGACGATTGACGTCCTGTCACACCGACGGCAGAATTGGTCAAGGACCCGCACGACGTTGAAAATTTCTGTACAGACAGCAGCGAGGCAAGGAGCGTCGACGGGTCGCATATTGGGTCCACTGCAGTCTGCACACGAGACGTGCGTCCTCCCCGGGCCCGGCGTGCACGGAGGCGGGATCCAAAATAGTAAGAGGGCATAGTTTTGTCGCGCTGTCGCGTGTGCTCTGACTGCAGCTCGACAGAGACGCGCTCGCGTTCGCGACTGTGACATAATCTGAGATCAGGCGAGACAAGATCGAGATGAGACGAGACGGGCTGCAGTCGGGTGGCTGGCAGGCAGTGCCGTACACATCGGACGGCGGCTGCTACGGGCTAGCTGCAGCAGCCATCAAGATGGAATTATTGAGACGCGGGGGCGAATCAAGGAAGTAGGACGCAGCGGCAGCGTTGGAGGACTGCTTGCGCGGTGCCATGTTGGGAGCGCGGGAGATGCGCTAACGCTTACCGATTTCTCGGATTCATAGGCGATGCGTGGCCGACCACCGAATCAACGCCGCCCCTCTACCTTTTGAGCCAACGAACCGCATCCTGCATGCAGCTGAAGACGCGTGCCGAGGGTAGAGTGCCCTACGACCGTGATGTGCATATGGCCTGGCGATGACAGGTGTGCCCGTGGAGGCCAGACTATGTAGGGCTCGTTTTCACGTCGGTCACAGACAATTGATGGTCCACATGGCAGCATGTTCGAACCGCGTGTGGGTTCGTCAAGCAGCACGCAGTACACACACCAACCCCCGCATATGGCGAGGCTCCGCAAGGGAGAGACGAGACGGTTTCTGGAACGGCTCAATAATCGCAATGCGGCTCGTTCGGAGAGGCCCCATGCACACGGAGTCGCCCATGTTTGGCATTGGCAATTTCGAGAAGCGAGCTAGAAGGACGCGCTGGCGACTCGACGTGTGAGATTGCGTGGGAAAGCAATTATACAGCGCGAGTGAGGCATGGTCAGCATGGACATTTGTCGATTCGCCGCCCGTCCCACAGAAGCAGAAATTGAGGGACGAGTGTCGGAAGATCTTGGGGCTGCTGCGGAAGGCCCGCGTAAGGAGTGGCTGTATTACGCCGGCTGAGGGGTCGGTAGCGAGGAGTTTCTGCTATAGTAGTTGCAACGCAGAAGCAACGTGAGCGAGCTGCACGCTACAGCGAGGCCAGCAAGCAGTGGGCAGCCAGCCAGCCACGGCGTGGTGCAAGATGGCGACGCGTTCTGATGCGATGGCGGTGCAGCAGCTGGCGGCGTCGGGCGGGATGGATGGCTATAAGCCGCCGCAGCTAAAAGGAGAGATGGCGGGCGGCGGTCGACACGAACAGCGTACAAATGACGACGGTCAGAGCCCAGGGGAACCTCGCAGTTTGCATGCATGTGCTGGGGGAGGGCCTGACGGCGGCACTGCCTAAAGGCAAAAGCAGGCCTTGGCGAGCTGGCTTCCAAGTTGTTTCGTGGGTCGCGTGTTCGCGCCAGCACCGATGCATGAGTGGCTGACCGGACGTCGCCATCCATGTACGTGTCGACGTGTAGAGAGCCGTGTCGCCGTGGTCCAGCCATCGCAAGATACTGCGAAGCTCTTGCAGTGGACGACGCGGGCGTTCACCGCGTCCGCTGTCCACTCCAGCCGGCACCGTGGTAGCCGCCCGCCCGTCGCACGCTGCCCCCGCGCACTGCTCGCAGTATTGGTGCGCCGTCCCACGCTGGAGCGACAAGCAGAGCGCACAGGATGCAGCCACGGCCCGGCCTGGCGCGCCGCGGATGGTGGGCAGGGCGACGCGTGAAGAGGGAACGTGTTCCTGGCCAGCTGCCAGATGCAACAAAGAAAGAAGCCCATCCTGCCCTCACGCCGCACGACACCGGAGCACTAGGGGGCGATTGGTTAGGGGCGGCCGGTGGTTCCTTGCTCGTGGGCGCCCATGCAGCCTAGCTCGACGCATCCACCCAGAGCTCCACCGCCTGATGCTGGGCGCTGCTGGCCTGTGATTTCAGCCTTGGCCCGTCTACTTCTCCTCATCCTCTCACCTCTCGCTCACCTCCTCCCTATCCGCCTTCTCACCACGGTCGGAGCAGTTAGTACAGGATCTGATGGAGTGCTGAACGTTTCACATCCATCTTTCCTTATAACTCCCAATCCTGCTCCTCGGTCTCCCCAAGCCGGCCGTACCCTCTCCCGAACAGGACTCGACGAAGCGTACAGACACCCTGTGCCTTCCGCCCCGTTCACTCTCTCCTCCACCACTGCGACCAAGAGCTGCACAAGACGGTGCATTCCCACCCTGCTCGTCAGCCTTCCAGCGCTCCCAACTTCGCCTCTCCCTCAGCCTCGTGCTTCGACAAGCGGTGCAGACGTGCAATCATCTGTTGTGTTGTATAGGGTACGTTTCTCTTTTCTTCTCGTGCCAATCCGCCGTGACGTTTCCTGGACTCGACCGCACGCCCCACCCCCTCCCCGCTCGGCAACTGTGGGACTGCCCCTGCCCGTTTGACATGAGCACGGAAGCTGCGACTCGATATCTCTTCTGGATCGAACAAACGCCCTCCACAAACGGCCTCGATGGCAACGACATGGACCTCAGTGGTGGCGGCATGGCTGAGAGGCGCACGGGCAGACGGGTCGTGTACGTGGTGTGGCGCGGGTACGGGTGGCGGCGGTCCAGTGCAGCGTTAAATTGGATGCGTGGGTGCTCGAGGGACGCTGCATACCAAGTGGCCGCCGGATTCTTGCGCGCTCGAGACGTGTCATGCTAGCCTCTCGTGTCTCTTGCTCTGGATCATCGCAATCTCCGCCTCGTAGCTCGCGCTCACGCTTCACCGATACCTCCCGCGCCTCTCGCCGTCTTGTTGAGCACGGGAAGCCTTGGATCTGACGCCGCTGCAAACGTGGTACAATGGCGGTGAATTGCACTTTTCCCAAGCGGTTTGCTTCCGCCCGCCACCACGAGCCTCGACTCTAGGGCGCCGTCTTACATTTTTTTCCCAATCAGGAGACACTTCCATTCCAACAATTTCCCACGCCCACGCACACATCATTGGATGCGACCCTGCCTTTCGAGACCCTGCCTTTCGAGACCCTACCTGTCGACACCCCTCGACGTTCTTGTTGTCTTCGAAGGTTCTGCAATACATGCTAACAGAATGGCTGCGTAGTCCTGTACCATCACGTCGTCACAACCAGCTGCTACCCGCCTCAACTCGACCCTATCCCCCAGGGCCGCTCCCAGCGTACGTACAGCCCCAACTACCACTCCACCCAGCACAGCTAACAACTCCGTCAAGTTCGTGATTGCCAGATCTGGAATCCGCGCATTCCCCGCTGTCTTGGCGATCCACTAACTCTACAACCCACCGGCGGACTCGTTAACTCGTGCTCTGCCCCATCTACGAGCTCTCCCTCTCGGGGATAGCAGCCGCCACCCATTCCAACCTTGCTGTCGGATGCTGCTAGCAAGGGACTCGATTTCTTGGACCTGTCTTGTATTCGTCACCTTGGATTTCTCGGTTCCTGTCCTTCGCTCTTTCACGTAATTATCTAATTCTTCAGGTATGGGCTCACGCGTTCTACCTTGCGTACCCTTTGGCTTACACCATGTCGCTCTAGGCTCTATTATACCAGCTCCCCGCTTCTCAATACCTGGGTTTTTTTACCAATATCCAACTAATTACAGTCTTTTCGCCCTGTGCCTACCCGGCTGCCGCTCTCTAATACAGCTCATCGAGCAAACACTCTCACACCAGAGCGTAATCCTACCAGTATATAGTCTATCCAGGAGACCGACGTCCACTCTTTCGAATACCAAACACTACAATGGCTTTCCGGCAACCCATGTCCCGCTATGGACAATGCACCTCGTACTTTGTTGAGACTCAAGATGATGGCTTATACGCCGCGCGCGCAGAAGAGAGGGATCGTGCCCGGGCCATCGCCCGCATGCAGCAGCGGGCCCTTGCAGAGGAACTGTCAAGATTAACTGCAGATGAATATCAGGACGATATCATGGACCACATGGAGTACATGGAGGTTTGTGACCAACATTGCTCAAACCTGCTTCCTTGCTGACCCCAAGTAGTCACAAACTCTGCCCGATGTTAATTCTATTGACATCCAGACCGAGATCCAGTGGTTCATGCGCCCCTACCTTCTTGACTTCCTCGTTGAAGCTCACGCTGCGTTCCAGCTGCTTCCAGAGACCCTGTTCCTCGCTGTCAATCTCCTCGACCGCTACTGCTCTCGCCGTGTCGTATACAAGCGTCATTATCAGCTAGTCGGCTGTGCTGCCCTGCTGATCGCTGCTAAGTACGGTGACAAGAAGGACCGTGTGCCTACGGTCCGCGAGCTCAAGTCGATGTGCTGCTCGCTATACGACGATGAGATGTTCACCCAGATGGAGTGGCATGTGCTACAGACCCTAAACTGGATCATTGGACACCCCACTGTTGACGCCTTCCTCCAGGTTGCTCTTGCAGAAGGACCTTACGATCCTGAGGTTGAGCACATGTCATTGTACATCGCCGAGATCGCCCTGTTCCACAAGGAGTTTGTCTCGACTAGACCTTCGATCCTCGCGAGGTCCTCGCTCGCTCTGGCCAGGTGCATACTCTCTCGCAATGACCACAAGGTGTCTGAGTGGGCTGCTACATACGACCCCCAGACCGTGATGAGCTTGTCCAACCACCTGTATCAGCCTTCGCAAGTACTATCTCGCAAGTATTCGTCCATGCACCTCTCGAACGTCTCCACGACTGTAGACGAGTTCCTTCAACGCCAGGCACAGATTGCGCGACGGGCTGCTGCGCCACCGACGCCGCCGGCGTCTGTTGGATTGGAAGAGCCGAAGTCGATGATCGATGCTTATGGACCTCAGACACCCCAGAAGACTCATTACTCTGCTTCTGTTATGCAACATGGATGCCTCACCCCACCTATCACACCGGAGAATGAGCAATACGTGGCCAAGTCGCATCCCATGCCGCCCACCACGTATCCTACCACCCCAACGCCCGAGCATCCAGCCAACATGCATCAAGCGCAGTACTACCAAAATACATACATACAGCCGCAGCCGCAGTACTGACGTCTTATGGTGGTACCGGCCGTAGCGACCTAAGATCAATAGGCCTCCTCTTGACCATTCTTCGCGTGCTCGGGCTTGCCTGGTTCACCCGTTTTAGCTGTATCAAAACTCGTTTGTATGAATGAGCATCATAGCATGGTCCATTTCATCGGCATTGCAAGCGTTTGCGTTTTCGTTCCCCGGAGTCCCAGAGATACTCTTCATTGGTTTTTAGCGATTTCCTTTGTCCCTGCGACCATCCCAGAAAAATAACGGTCGTAATCCCACTTTGGTGGAAGCAAAAAACATGTCAACTCAATTTGGTGCATCCCCAGCACGGCCCGAGGCGTAATCCCATGTGTATAGTGGACACGTAATTTGGGTCGCTGGGTGTGAGCGTGCTAGGGGCTGCGTGTCGGACCGATGGACAGGCTGAAATTGAATACGGAGATGGTGGTCTGGAGCTTTTGATGGATTTCCCAGCCAGCAACTCTCGAAGACAATCACGCTCTATCTCCCAATCATTTTCTTACTTCGGCGAGAAGAAATACCCCTTCATCACACACTTTCTTTTTTTATCTCAGCTTTCACGTTCTTGGCGTCTTTGCTTCCATGTTGAGGGAAGCGAAGGTGCGCATGCTGGTATCCCTAGCTATAGAGGGCCGGGATCAGGGGCTGAGCGTGCGTAGATTGCATGGCTCCTTCAGATTGTTTTTGGGCGGCGAGCAAGCGGAATGGCTGAAGCAAAAAAGCACATTGGCGAGCATTAGTTAGAGAAACCCCAATCGAAAACACTCATCATGATATCGCACCAGCACCAACACGATCTACTTGTGGCCCGCTGCATTGTTTGCAGCCAGATTGTCTGCTTGCCGTTTTCGGCTTTGGTGTTCGCGCGCGGTGCATGATGGCGTGCGGTTTCAGAGTGGCGCCGGCTGCTGATATGCGTGGTGTTTCATAGGCCCAGCGTCTTGCGGACAGGTAGCGGCGAGTAGGCAGAAGTGGAGGAGGCGTGCATCATACAGAGAGCGCCGCAGGGGTCGTTGTACTGACGTGCTACGTCTCACCGCCGCGCATGCTGTGAGCGCTCATAAAGGCGTAGTGGAGCGATGGATTCCGCGTGTACACCCATTTCACACTCCCACAACAAGTGAGCATGGCACCTGTGAGTCGTCAATGCCCAATCGATCCAATGCACAGAGGAAGAACCAAGGTGGGCTGAATGAGCACGTAGATATCCCTATCGCTGTCGCCCTCAAGGCCAAAGGCTGCTAGCTACACGCCCGTCCCGTTCTCCCCGTACTCAGACGACAACGCCGCAGTGTCGAATAACGTCCAGCCCCGTTACGCAGAGTCAATCGTATCCGACACACCAACGTCTCCCGCCTCGATCGAATCCTTTGACATCCTAGACTCGATTGCATGGCGGAGGGGTTACACATCATATGAGACACACGAAAGCCGGCAACGGGCCTACGAAGTGCTCCGCAAAAAATGGAGGAAGAACCGAGCGCTGATCATAGCTATACTTCTGCTCTTCACGCTGTTCGTAGCCGGCTGCGCCATAGGCGGATGGGCTGTTGTCCGGCACGAAAGCATGCGGGCCAAAGAGGCATGTCTAGCCCGTGAAGGTGGAGAACGCTGTAACGACCCCGCATGGTCGAAGTGCGTTGCCATCAACGGCACAGGTTATTGCTCGGGCGTCATGTGAGGCCTCCTCCACGCACACGCATCGATCGACCAATCTTGGGCATTAGCAGCGGCGAGCAAGCGACGCACACAACCACATGCTCTGCTCGCGGCACGAAGAACAAGTCCCCGCGGAATTGGGGTGCAAACGTGAGGAACGAGGTGTGCGCCCCTAGTGGGCAAACCCGCTTGGTATGGTGTGGTATGTTGAGCTTCCTAGTGTGGGTTGTAAGGGGCCTGGGCGAGCAGGTCTAGTGCACAACGTGCTGCGGTAGAAAGGGGGCCTCCTTCGGGTGAGGAACGAGGCTGTTGCGATATGTAGACCTTGACCTGGATGGCGCGCCGGGGAAGGGAATTGAGGGTTGGGACGCGCTTGCTGCGCTGGCAGCACTTGGGTCAGAAAGGGCTGGTATGCCTGGTGTTTGGAGACCGGTGGATCTTGGGGTGAGGAATTAGCGAAAGTAATGCATGTGGTGAAAAAGTTACACGAGGGACTTCCTGCAGGCACTAGATGTGGATTTGCGAGCGATGAGGTCCTCGAACGCCTATATGTGCAAAAAAGTCAATCTCGTTTTTGGTTCGAAGGGGCACGTGATCTCTTTAATATCGTCATGTCAATCGGTAGGGCAGTGGCGCCAACCATGTCGTTACTTCCCTCATCGTAAAGTCGTCTTACTACACCTTTTCTCCTATCGTAGGAACCCTAATTATATACTCGCACAGTGCCTATGCTCACGTCGTTGCTCTCGCCGTTACCCACGCCGTCCTCCGCAACCCGAAGTTATTTTCCTCAACTCCTCTACCTGAGTGGGGCCAGCTCATGCAACAATGGCACGTATCTTTAGCCTTGCGATGTTCTGCTCCATAAGCTGGAAATACCGACGTGGAGCCGCGGACGCATTATTGTGCTTCTGTAGGGTGCGAATCATAGAAAAAACTCCATAGTATCTCACATGTTACGGTAGTACTAAAGACGGCCGTAAAGAGCTCGCTTCGATGCAGCGAACTTCTGTTCACTGCCTCACCTTTTACTAGATTCGGCAGGTCCAATTCAATTAAACACATGACGACGCTGGCCCCGCTTTCTATCCCCACAGCATATACCCTGGTTTGCAGAATCCGGGGTCGAGACGTGTCCGCGGGTCGCATTGCCGATCGCTTGACGTGGAGATGCATTGATATTTCTTCGCTTTTTGTGTGCGAGGTAACCTAACCTGGGGGCGGTTTACACACGGATAAGCGCAACCTCAGATGCGACACAGCAAACGCAATTCACGGTCAAGCTAACAGACCTACGTAGCATTTAACATCGAATATGTCATGGATAGGGAGTGGGCGTAATGGTATTTGCACCGGTCCCCTTCTAAGCAAGGTCGGCTTTGTTGTCACCAAAAGCTCTTGAATACGCTAGGGATCGGTCGGTAGATCAGAGTCATCCCGGCACGGATGTTGCATCGAGCTTCGATGTTCATCTACTACCCTACGACTAACTCTAACCCCGCGGAAAGCTTAACATCCACGGCCAACGCATAATCTGCTCCAAGGGCATCTCGATCCTGAGCGCTTCTACACGTTTGAGGAAGGCTAGATGTCCAAAATGTATCACATGGTCCTTAAATGGACTTACTTAAGGAAAGACGCTGTCCCTTTTCGTGTATCTCCGGGCTCACAATGCTGCATCAGCAGCGCACGTTTTGATTTGCTGACGACCTCAATGGCTCACCTGTTCAGGTATAGGATGACAGCCTAGAACGAGACAATAAAAATCGTATTTATTTAGGCTCAGGGCTTCGCAAGGTTGATCACCAGCTCACTCGAAGGCCGCTCGATCTGCCATGGCTCACTCACATCTCTTGACCCGCATAGGATTGCTGTGCTGCCTCGCGCTGAGTGTTCTCGCCCAGAGTGACAAGCTGGTGTTTTGCCATTTCATGGTACGTCTTTTGTCTGCTTCCCATTTTACGACAATCTTTGACAGCTGTCATAGATCGGTATCGTGGGCGACCGAACCAGTGCCGCAGACTACGATGATGACATGAGACGTGCAAAGTCGCTCGGCATTGATGCCTTCGCTCTCAACATTGGCACAGATTCATACTCCGACACGCAACTCAACTACGCATACGAAAGCGCAGCCAATAATGGAATGAAAGTTTTCATCTCGTTCGACTTCAACTGGTACCACGACACGTCAGATGCTTCAGCCGTAGGTCAGAAGATTGCGCAGTATGGCAACAGGCCAGGGCAATTGATAGTAGATGGCAAAGTGTTTGCGAGTAGCTTCGCAGGCGACCAGCTTAATGTGCCTGCCATGCGCATTGCTGCTGGTATTTCGGTCTTCTGGGCACCGAACATCCATCCGGAGTATGGTACCAGCTTTGCTAATGTTGATGGAGCTCTTAACTGGATTGCATGGGATAACGATGGAAACAATAAAGCACCAAAGCCTGGTGCAAATGTCACGGTAGCCCAGGGCGATAGTCGTTATGTACAAGCCTTGGCTGGTAAGCCATATATCGCCCGTAAGTTTATACTAGGATCCAATCAGGTAGTAGTGATGCTAACCTCAGCTCAGCCGTATCACCATGGTTCTTCACTCATTTCGGACCCGAGGTTTCATACTCCAAGAACTGGGTTTTCCCTGGTGACCTACTCTGGTATCATCGTTGGAATGAGATCCTCTCTTTGAAACCTCGCTTTATCGAGATCATTACCTGGAACGATTACGGCGAATCGCATTACATTGGTCCACTGAAGTCGGAACATTACGATGACGGCAACTCCAAATGGACCAACGACATGCCTCACGCTGGTTGGCTCGACATGAGCAAGCCCTACATTGCCGCATATAAAGCTGGAGCCTCCGACGTAACACCATATATCACTGAAGACGAACTTGTGTATTGGTACCGTCCCACGCTTCGAGACATCAACTGTGATGCCACAGACACCACCATGCAGGACGCCAATAACGGCAGTGGGAACTACTTCAAAGGCAGACCAGACGGTTGGCAAACAATGAGCGACTCCGTCTTTGTGGTGTCGCTGCTCAAGTCTGCAGGCCAAGTATCGGTGTCTTCCGGAGGTAACACTCAAACTTTCAATGCATCGGCTGGTGCTGCCGCCTGGACCGTGCCGATGGGTGTTGGACAGCAAAAATTCGCACTTCAGAGGAATGGTGTGACGGTCATGAGTGCTACGTCATTGAAAGACGTTACCAATGTCTGCCCATGTGGGTTGTATAATTTCAATGCCTATGTGGGCACCTTGACCTGCTCCGGCAGCGGTGAAGCCGATCCACTCGGTGCAGATGGCCTAGCCTCTCTCACCGTCGGCTTGAAGGTATCGACTTGTCAGGCGAAGCCAACACTGGGGTCGCCACTGCCAAGCAGCTGCAACGGTGCTGCAGCGCCAACTGCGACATCCCAGGTTGCTTCACTATCAACTTCCGCTACTTCTACGAAGACGACAACTTCCAGTACTAAAATTCCCGTGACCAATACCCCGGTCACCACCACCTTCAGGACTACGAATACACCTGCGACTACGACCAAAGCTTGCGGGAGGACGATCACCGCGAGCAGTCAGATCTTCCCGACAAATTGCTTGCAGCCAGGTGATGTGTGGCAAGGACCAGCCGGACAGGGCAAGCCAGATAAATGTGACGGCGCTGCACCATGCACGGCTTAGGAGGGAAAAGCGATCTTGGGATATGATGTTGAGCAGCAGGGTACTGCTTTTTACGGTAAAGAACATCGACACGCAGTTCGAAGCAGTGCATTGCTATATCAAGTTTGGTGGCATCTCTGGCAACTCTACAGAGTTTTTTTTATACAAACCGTTTCCTCTTGATGGACATGAATATCTGTCACGCGGCTCTCGATGAATGACTTATATATCATTTGTATGTATCTCTGTTTCTTATCCACACCATACTATACCCAAGCCTGGACCGCACTCTTTCCTGTCTCAGAGTCTTCCTATCACTTGTCGATGCCAACCAGCTCAGGTGGATCGAGCACCCCCTCATGCTCAGCTTGCTGAATGACTCTCTTATTTTGGAGCCGTCTTCTCCGGCACACCACCGTGAACCCCACTATCGCAGTGAGAATTAGTAAGCCCAGACCGACAATTAAATCAATGACCATGTTCTGCAGAGATCGAATTCCAGCGGCGCGGTTCGACGGCAGATCCGAGTATGTGCTATAAGGTAGCCATGGACCGGGCGATGCGGATGACGAGCCAGCTGCCGTTGTGTCTGCACTTGTAGTCGTTCTGTCTGAGGGCATGACGACTGTGAAAGCACGGATAAGTAGATTATAATTTCCGTGGTTATTGTAGAAATCGTGCGTTGGGACAACATCTGAAGCAAGACTAGGAAAAATTTGGCATATTTCAGGCGTAATCTGCGGCTGAATATCCAACACGACAACGCGGAATGCGACTCAGATGTTGCAGATATTCCATGTTCAGATCGTGTGTACGCCAACTCCTCTGTCCAATTTGAACGATTCGTCAAAAGTTTTCGCTAACTCGCTGCTCCCATGCAGGACCGCCGCGTCGCTCCACGCCAAAGTACTTTTAGATGGCATCTTTTTATTTACCTAATACCATAGTGCTTTTTACTTTTGAACCCCAAAAAGAGCCTGCAAGGTGACGAACGCTTGACCGGCTGATCCCAAAAGGCAATTGTGGCGCTTTACTCGGTCGAAAAATACAGATATGCCGGTATGGGAGCAATCGAGCATAAGAAACTTACGCCAAAATGTAGCCACTTCCAGAACCACTGTTAGATCATCAATATACTGCTCACCAATCAACTCCTGTGCTCCTCACGACCCGAAGCACTTTCTCGTATCTTGACACGTCGTTGGCTTCCGGGGACGGCATGGTGGTCGTTGGGGCCGTCAACGATGCATACGGTGTGTAAAGAGTGCACTCTGCCTATAGGAGTCGAGAGGAGTGAAATTCTTCGTGTTACTGAGATTGTTGTATATGTTGATGAATGAGGCGGATTGGAACACCCAAGTACCGAAGTAGCCTGGGGCATTTAATTCAGTCTCAGCCGCAGACACTACGTCAGAGACGAAGGACAACATCTATTTGCAGCCACAGAAAGATCCTTGAATCTTCGTATGGCGCCCAGCTGATCGTATTCCCCAGAGCCAATCGAACTTGACCAACGATCCACTTTCAATCGCGTTTGTTCAGCATGGTGTTGGAGCAAGCAACCTTTAGAGACAAGCTCCACCAAAAACACCTCTTCTAGATCGAATTCCACCGTAAAGCCTACTTTAGATGGTTAATCTTTGGTATGGTATTATAGGCAAGAGGCCAATCGCGGCTTCCATCCTAAGCGCTACATATCTATGGTTTGTACTCCCACATCATCATCCTCACTTTCTGCTTGCGAATCTCGATTTGGGTGTCCCCATACTTGATTTCTCGTAATAGGTATGCAACGATGGCGAGGCTGCGTGTTGGTGAAGGTCAAACTGTGACGTAGCCATGACGCCAAGCTTCTTGCACACATACACTACTGGCACGCATTTACCTGGTACGGGCCTAGAGAAACAAGGGAAAAAGCTACAGAGCTCGATTATAAAAGCAAGCAAGACCAAGCTACAATTTCTAACTTGAACAAACATGGTTTTCCAAGACAGAGTAGACGATGTGCCCCAGGAGCACCAAGTGCATCGGTAGGCATTCTTGAATTCTCGAATACATCTAGGGCTCTCACTAATGTCTCTGAGGCAGGGACAATGGCTCCCAACAGACCACCGCATTCACAGGGACTGGATGAACAGCATTATCGAAAAAGTCGACGCCAATCCAAAGGATTATCACCCATTCATCAAAGAGTTCAAATCCCTCATTGAGAACAACACTTGCATCTATCTTCTTGTGTCCTCAATGTTCGAGGAAATCCCAACCAAGAAGCCGTATTCGCAAGACCCGGCAGGCCACAAGCAAGTTCGAGACTACGAGCACATGTTGATGCTCTTCAATCATATTCTCACGACAGCGCCCGAATGGAACGACCGATCCTATGGCGTCGGTATGGTGGGGACTCCAATGAACGCTATCCTAGACTGGCCAATGGGAACGCCAAGCGGCTTTGCCTTCTTCCTAGATCCTGATGTGAACAAGATGCTCAAAAAGCTGCTGAATGCCTGGGCAGAATTTCTCTCTAGTCCCGCCTCCGCCTATGTCCTCGGCAACGACTGCATCGGCTGGTTCAGCGAGCATGGCACGCAGGATCTCTGCGCGACTGCTAACGTTGGCAAGACATCATACGCTTTTGAAGAGTTGTTCAAGTGCGATCCTACCGCTAAGCACCATGGCTTCAAGTCCTGGGACGACTTCTTCACGCGGCACTTGCACGAGGACAAGCGGCCCGTTGCTTCGCCCGAGGACGATAACGTCATAGCAAATGCGTGCGAGTCGAAGCCTTACAACATCGCCCGCAATATCGCTGCACGTGATCGCTTCTGGATCAAGGGCCAGCCCTACAGTCTGCTTGACATGCTGGACCACGATCCATTGCATGAGCACTTCGTTGGCGGCACAATTTATCAGGCCTTTCTCTCCGCGCTAAGCTACCATCGCTGGCACGCACCTGTCTCAGGTACGGTCAAGAAAGCGTACGTGAAAGACGGAACGTATTTCTCCGAGCCGCTTTTCGAAGGGCTGGGCGATCCGACGACGAAGTCTAACGATATCAACAAAGCCGGTGAGGCAGATGGGCAGGGGTATCTGACCGCGACGGCTACGCGGGCGATCATCTACTTTGAAGCCGACAGCAAGGACATCGGATTAGTGTGCTTTTTGGGCATTGGAATGACGGAAGTGAGCACATGCGACATCACGGTCAAGGAGGCGCAACATGTCAAGAAGGGTGACGAGATTGGCATGTTCCATTATGGTGGTAGCACGCATTGTGTGATCTTCAGGAAGGGGCTGGAGTTGGAGGCATTCCCAGAGATTGGGGGCGAGGAGAATCTGCCTGTGAGGTCGAGGCTGGCAGCAATCAAGGGACATAGCTAAGTGGGCGCGGGTGTGAAAGACTTCATCACAAACTGATCGAAACCGCTCGACATTAAATGAAGAGTTGTGTAGGTAATGCTTGTCCACCCCGCACGAGGGAGCACGGTCTTGTGTTCCGTCCTCCACACCCATATGCTCCGTTTGCCCAACGCCTATTTCAAGAAGTCAAGGCTCTCTAACTGCTCCTTCCCACTCGTGCTACAACTAACTCCCATCAACACCTCCAATTCCTTCGCATTGCTCTCCGCGGCCGCCTTCAACAGCCCCCAAGCATCGCTCCCCAGCGGCAACCTCAGCGGCATCTCCCCGCCCTTTTTCACATAGCCATATAACACCTCCGCTACCCGCTCCGGCTCAGCCCAATTTTTCGCCGCCCCAGGACTCTCAATATACTTCAGCAGCTGATTCGTTGGCATGTTGGGATCCTTATACACCTCCAGACGGTTAGCCTCGTCGAAGGTGCTCATGCCCGTCTCGGCATACTTCGACTTGACGCCGCCGGGCTCCACACAGAGGAAGTGGATATCCCATTCTGTAGGTAGTTCTTTGGAGAGGCCCTCCGTGAAGCCTTCCAAAGCGAACTTGCTGGCGTGGTAGAATGTCGTGCCGGCAAACGCGACGCGGCCGCCCATGCTGGTGATCTGCATCACCAGACCGCCTCTCCGTCCAGTCTTAATGTTCTCCTCGCGCAAGATAGGGAGGGAGAGTTGGGTGACGCGGACGGCGCCCCAGAAGTTGGTGTCCATGACGCCGCGCGCCCGAGGGAGGTCCATGCTTTCGGTGTCGCCCATAACGCCGTAGCCGGCGTTGTTGACTACAACATCAATGCGGGCGAAACGTGAGAGCGTGGAGTTCAGTGCGGTTTGGATGGAGGCGTCAGAGGTGACGTCGAGGGCGAGCTTGAGGATGTTTGGACCGTCCGGTAGGCAAGCTAGGGTGGTGGGCTTGCGGGCTGTGGCGACCACGCGGGAAGACGTGTGCTTGATCAGATATTCGCAGAGGGCGTACCCGATGCCTGATGAACATCCGGTGACGAACCAGACTGCGTCTGCTGGGAGATTGTAGGGAGTCATTGAAGATAAGGTGATAGTTGGTGATAGGAGTCAGTGAATACTGCTGAAGGATGTCAGTAACTCTCGTTCCTCTCTCTTAACTCTTATACTGATTGCCCAGCTTCATGGACTCGCGTATGTCTCCACATTTGCGGTGTTGAAAAGATCTCATCCTAATTTCCTAATTCCGAGAGATCGTCCTTAGGACCACTAACTTACCAATTTCGCATGTCTCTTTACGTCCCTGTGGTGGTGAAGTGTCTTCGTCTTAACGCCGAGCAACCGCCCAAGCAGATGCTAAGATGCTAAGCTGGATTAGCTCCACCCTTACAAGCAACAGCCAGATTAGGGAATAGAAGACAGACTAGCTGCCATGTGCAACCTGTTGACACGTGTGAGAGTCCCCACGGTACGAATATGCGAGCATGAATAAGCGGCAAGGGTGGACCAATCGGAATGAGATGGACGATGCGGACGAACCACCGCACGCTCGAGCGGCGTTAACGGCCATCCTTGCTATACAGACGTGGCGACTCGAGCTAGGCGTCTCCAAGTCTTAAATGATAATATGTTGATTTTGGGCCTTAGGCGACTTCCTATCAAGCGACGCAGACTTCCCAGTCTCATGCACTGACCTTCCCACCAGCATTCTGCTCAGCATTATTATCCTGCCCCTTCTCCTCAATCGCCTTCTTCTCAACCTGATCGAAGCCCTTGAGTGCCTCACCATACCGCTCCCATACACCCTTCCTGTACCCATCGCAAACTTTCTTGACGAAATCCTTCTCGTTCCATCTCTTCTCAAGGTAATCCTCAAATTTCTCGTTTTGTTGCCTCTGGACGCCCCACGCCGCCTTATACGCCGCGCCCAGCGCACACGCATTACCGCCGATGTCGAGCTTGAACACGCCTTCTGAGCCTCCGAGGACCTGTCCCGCTAACTCTGCGATCGCGGAGTTGGCGGCTCCACCACCGACCATGTAGATTCTGCGTGGTTGTGGGGGAAGATCGCCCTGAGGGCCGACGAGGGATTGGGAGCGCAGACGGAGGCTGAGGAATTGAGATTCCAGGATCGCTCTCGCGTCTGCTGAGGGAATTGGCCATGTCTTGTCCTCAGTCTTACCTTGAGCTCCATGAGGTGGCACGGGCGACAGCGTATTGTCTTTATACAGGAAGCGCCACGTTCCTTCCTTGACATTGGGGACGATCTCTGGCCGTGGGAAATATAGCCCAAGACGCATGGGGTCAGTTTCGGGGTTTTGTTGCCCGAGAAGCGGAGTCTTGAGTGCAGTCTCGTTGAAGAGGTCCCAGGACTTGGCGGTCCCGTCTGCATGCTCATTGATGGCGTCGCGGATGTGTTCGCGTGCCAGACCACCGTTCTTGTAGCAGAGCATGAACATGTATAGACCTGCTGTTGTAGGGTGGTTCAGGAAGTGGTACGCAGGATCTGGTTTGTATTGCGGTGTGGACATGAGGAAGGTGGTTGAGGTGCCGAGCGAAACGATGGCGTCTGAGGAACGTAGGGGTAGAGCCAGGATGGTCGATGGGTTGTCGCCCGTGAATGGGATCACCTGGGCGGTCCCCGGGAAGCCGTAGCGCTTAACAAAGTAGGGCGAGACAGAGCCAAAGCTGCCGCCACCGTCCTCCGGTACATCTCCCAGCTTCGACCTCAGGTTGTCGACTCCTTCTTCACCAGCGGCAAGAGCGAGACATTCTTCGTTCCATCGTCCGCTCTTGATATCCCATAGGTTGGCGCCGCAGACATCGCTGATGTCGATGGGAGCCACCTTTCCGAGAAAGACGGATGCGAGGAATGACGATACGAGCGAGATACGGGCCGTCGCCTTGTATGCCTCAGGGTACTTTTGGTGGAAGCGAAGGATTTGCGGCCCGCTAAAGCGCTCCCAGTAAGTCAGTGTCGCTCTCTTATGTTGCTCGTTGCACATACATGGTGAGCTTTGCTGCCTGTGGCTTCTGCCAACTCCTCCGGCGTCCCCAGCTTCTTGTCGAACTCTTCGCACTGTTTCTGTGTGCTTGCATCTTGCCAGTTCGGGCTAAAGGGATGGCTGAAGGCACCCTTCCTCTCACCCTTTGCACCCCCTTCCAATTGCTCCAGCAGCGTTTTTCCTGGATCCAGGCTTCCCAGTATGCTCTCTGCATCCTTGCTCCAGAACACAGTTCCGTGCTGCATACCCGCGCCTGAGATGCCTTGCACTTTCGAAAAGTCGGCGCCTTGTTCCTTCAGTCGCTGCAGCACAAGCTCGATGGCGTCGAGGAACAGGGCGACAGGCGCAAACACCTCACCCTCACTTGGGTTAGTGAGCACGCCCTTTTCAATGCCATATTTCGCGAAGTCGGCGTCGAAGTCGACCTTGGCTTCGTGAATGAGCTTGAGATCTGACTTTACGATAATTCCTGGTGCGGAATGTCAGTTGCAAGCTATGGTGGGGTAGCTTTTGCGGGGCAGACGGACCTTTCAGCTGCTGCGTACTCAGGTCGAACCCCAAAAACTGGTCAGCCATAGTCGCAATGTGTCGGTGGCAGGGCGTGTAAAGTGACGGTGTAATTTGGAGGTAGACAAGACATGGAAAGGCCAAAGATTCTGAGGGTCCAGCTCGTCAGTCGCTGTCCTCCCGAGCCTATGCGACTAAGCTGCTAGCTCTATCGCGCCCCACGGTGACGCTTGTAAACGATCGTTTTTGCCGGTCGTCCCTACAGACGCGACGAAGTTCCATTGGATCCGGATAAAGTCCGGATCGATCTGTCTGAAAGGTTTTCGTGTTCTTCCGCATAGTAGAGCATGCCCAGGGGAAAGTCATGTCGTACAGAATCCATATGAAGCATACAGAGCATCAACTGAGGTAACAGATATATTCAACTGGTTTACCTAACCGCCATGGTCAAGTAAACGGGGGAATCGTTTGTATCCAAATGCAAAACGCCAATATTCAAGATGTACTCTCCTAACGCAGACCTCCAATGATACACGCTCAATTCTTCTTCTTCACGCTCCCGTTCTCTTTGTGATCGTGATCGTGATCGTGATCGTGCTCGTGGTCCGACTCTGACTCGGGAGACAAACTTGCGCCATCGCCAAGGTTGATGAACTCGTCCAGAAAGTCGGGTTGGTCTGCTGTGTTGGAGACAAATCGCACTCGGACTTTCTTCACTCCGCGCACCTTGGCTCCTACTCGTTCACGAATCAGGTTCTCGATTCCTCGTGTCTGCTCGACGCTGTATGTGCCGGGTACGCCAAGCTCCACATCCATAAGGTAGTTCTGGCCAGACTTGACACCTTGCACATGGCGTACGTTCACATCGCTGGATGATCCGACGTTGATGTCGTCGAGGGCTTTTGTGGCCGCTTTCCGCACCTTATCGCTCATCTCCTTCTCGATACCGACATCGGCGAGCTCAAAGAGCGCATCTCTGGTGTTGCCTACACCAGCTTGGATGACCATGAATGAAATGACGAGTCCGCCGACCGGGTCCAGCCAGGAGGCGTTGTTAAGCATGTTGGAGCCAAAGATCATGAGCAGGGCAACGAAGGCCGTGAGCGAGTCCACTCGGTGGTGATATGCGTTCGATGCGAGGACGGAGGATTTGCGCTCGTTGGCGATCTTGAGTGCTGCAGATGGCGTTAGCTTTGCGCGAAGCCATAGAATGCTGAAGCCTTACTTGCGCGGTATAGCCACTCCTTGATCAGGATCGACCCTCCCGCCAGCCATGCTGCGTTGATGTTGGGCCCGAGGGACCCAGCGCCGTGCGCGTGCCCGTGGCTGTGCGGGAGCAACCCCCACTCGGCCGCAAAGTGTGCAGCGTCTGGGAAGAACTGCTGGGCAAGTGCAACCAGGGCAGCCCATCCCATCATCATCCCTCCCCCGAGTAGGATACCACTGACGCCAAGAGAACCCAGGCTCTCGATCTTTCCGTATCCGCTCGGAAACCGTTCCGAAGGGGGCTTCAGCGACCATGATACCGTCGCCAGCGTCATGATGTCGCTGACAAGGTCGGTCAGGCTGTGGATGGCGTCGGCAACCAATGCTAGATATTGTCAGAAGCGTTGACACACGTTTGCGCACCGCAGTACTTGCCCTGACTGTGGAAGACGTAGCCTCCGACGCCCTTGCCGACGGCCATGCCTAGGTTGACGTACAGGCCGATGCGCGTGATGCGCACACCGGCATCGTTCTTGTTCTTGGACACGAGGTACGTGTTGTCGTGATGGTGGTGGTGCGAGTGGCCGCCGTGGCTGCGCGTCTGGGTCTGGGTCGCGCTCATGGTGGGAGTGGTGGCAGGGGATAGGTGCTGCTTGCGATGGGCGGTCGAAGACCAATTGAGGGCGGTCTTGTTATTAAAGGGAACGTCTCGTGCAGTCTGTGTGCGGAGGACACGCAATTGCCGGGCTATTGGGAGGCCCCAGCGCAGGGTGTGTGTAGGAGTGGCGCCAGCTGACGACGGGTGTTGGAAGGTGAAAGGTGGCCCGGACAAGCACACGCGACGCAACTGGCTAATAACAGGCAAGCCATTTCTGCGGTGGTGCAGAAACATCCGGTAGGCTTGAGGCGAGCGATGGGCGACGCGAATCCTTGAGCTGCAGAGTGCTTGGTCTTGCAGTTGACTCGACTTTTTGAGCCTCTTCGGGACCTGCCGGCGCCGTAGCTAGCCACAGATCAAGCATCATCGTCCCCGTTTCCACGCGGCCATGGCTTGGCCAATTGCGAGATACCTATTCAGGTACCGCACCGCCGAGTTCCCCTCTCGTTCATTTGTGCGCTGCGTGTAAATTGATGATGTCGTCTGCCTGTTGGCTCGACCTTCCTGTTCGCATCAAATCCTGGTGTTTGTTCGAAATGTGTCAACCGTTTTCTCCGTCAATCGCATGTTTCACCACGAGCCAAGACTGATGGAAACGCGCGTACAGCAAAAAACACAAACGGATTCGGGCGCATTTACGTCACGTCTTCACGATGCTGCACTCTCGGGCAAGCGATGTTCACCGACGAGGCTGTGCGTGTGGATGCATGCATACGTTAAAAGCACTCCGCCTCAAAGTTTCTGTTTCAAGTAGGGGTTTTGCGATGCACCGCATTTGACCAGGTACAGCTACTCTTGGCAACAATCTAGATGGGTTTGGGTGGTATCTATTCGCAACAAGAGCTCACAGCTTAGGCTTGGAATCCTCCACTTGCACTGGGTCTTCAGAGCGCGACAGTACCCAGTTGGCGACATCGTCTACAAACACCTCCTTATCGGGACTCGGCTCGTCATGCACTGGACCAGTCAGCGACGTGATGACTCGGTATGGATGACACTTACATCTATGGTAGCATCCGGCATATGTCTTGAACTCTTTGTCCTTCACTGGAAGCCGCTCTACGAGAGTTTTTGTTGCTTGGTAGTTGGTGATGCCATCTTTGTCACCGTGGCCTATCCACACCCTCGTAACACCGCCCTCGCCTGCATCATCGCCAATCTTAACCTTGCCACCGGCGAGGTCTGCGGTCCTGTCCAGCATTCCAGCGAGACCCTGAAGAGTGCCGGTGTCATGGCAAAGCTCGTCTTCAGTGAATTGTTTCTGCACTGCTGGGTCGCGCGTGATGAGTGTGACATCAAGTGGGTTGGTCAATTGATGATGCGGCAACACCTTTCCAGCCAGTCGGCCGAGGATTACGGTGATCGATGAAGGTTTTGACTTTGGGTCAAAGTCGATAAATGGCGATTCTAAGAGATAACCACGAATGTGCTTGCGTATCTCAGCTGGCCCGGTTGACATGTAAAGAAGCACTTCTCCACCGCCCATGGAGTGGCCCATGAGAAATAGAGGAATGGGGCATGGGATGACTGTTCTGAGGAAAGAAGTAATATCGTCAAGCACTTTGGAGGTTGGACCGGTGTGGCCCCTCTCGGACGGCTTTGCAACTGAGCGGCCCCATCCTCTGCGGGTTGTTAGCTGCTAACCCTGATAAGCATCGAATAGACTCACCTCTGGTCGAACGCATAGACTTCGATACCCTTCGAGGCCAACGTGGGAAAGAATTGGTTGTAGGCATTGCCTGTGCACGTGTCAACAAGCGGCACCTTCTTGGATAGGCCGGGTGCGGCCGCAACGTACAATGATCGCTGAAACCATGTATAAATACCAGGCGAGCTTTGGCAGGACCATTCGTCTGGAATATGTGTTAGCATGCCGCTATCTTTAAGCTTGTATACTCCTGTACCTTCCACGTCTTTGTGTACAGCTTCTTGCCGTCCTCCACCGTGTGCCAGCCTTCCTCTACGGACATTATGAAAACGGGCCACTAAACAGGCACGATGAGACAAAGGGGGTATTGCAGCTATGATACAAAGACAAGTGACAAATACACAAGACTTGGTATAAGAGCGCCGGGCGTCCGCCGCCTGCAGCTGAAGGAAGCTCACGGAACGAGCCGAGGATAGGCCCTAAAGCAGTTTAGGCAGATGGCCAAGAAGCGCGTCATCAGGGAATGCCCACCCCTGGAGCATCTCGTGCCCCTCAAAACCCCACCGCAGACTCTTCACTAACATCCCTGCCGCGCTTGCCAACTGTAATGCTCGCACGGGCATTTCGAACACTCTCGCGCCGTTGTAATCCCCTCCCTTCCACACTACGCGCGCCTTCACTGAGCAGCATGGTCCAGACGCGCTCCAGAGCGAAAGCAGCAAGCCTCAGCCATGAAGAGAGAACAGCAGCCGAGCCTCGCGACGAGGGCCTCTACTCGGTGACCATCGATACCGTCACGCCAGTCAATAACCGCATAAAAACGTTCAAGTTCGCTCTCCGGGGGCAAGACACATTCAACGTATCCGCGAACCCCCCCGCTGTTCTCGACGGTCACTGATGGGCGAAGTTCCAACCAGGCCAATGGCTCGACGTCCACGTTCCCGGTATCGAAAAAGCCGGTGGCTTCACCTTGACATCCACTCCCAGTCAGGCTAGAACAAGACCGGATGATGCAGAGCACAAACCTTTCCTTGAGCTAGCTGTGCAAAACAGTCCTAGCAACCCACCTGCAGCATGGCTATGGCAGCCACCCGAGGAAATAATAGGAAAGGAGGTCAAGGTCAGAGTCGGAGGTAGCTTTGTCTGGCCACCGCCCAAGATAGACTACGCGACTATCAAGCGCGCTGTATTCATTGCAGGTGGTGTGGGGATAAAGTAAGAATTCATCGGAGCATGCAGTGCTCGTCCGTCACGGTTGCACTAACTTTGACGGTAGTCCACTTGTGTCGATGCTGTCGCATATCAACGAGCAGGAAGTGGAACCTGAGGTTCGCATATTGTATTCGTCTAAAGTTCCCTCGAGCGACACTCAGCCCGAAGAAGTTCTCTTCCTCACTAGGCTGCTCGACCTGTTCCGCAAACCGCGAACACACTCTACCAAGAATTGTATAGAGCTTTTCCTTACGGGAACTTGGGACGGGGCGCCCTTGAATCGTCGCAACGACGAGCCTATCCATCCGCTAATGTCGCTCACACTGCCGCAAATACAGTCGGACACTGAAGTGCCTGTTACTGCCTGGACGCATCGTATTGATGATACTGCGTTAGCAAGCGCTGTAGGCAATGCGGATGAAGCACAAGGCACCGTATTCTACGTCTGCGGGCCGGCCGAGATGACTGATACGATTGTGGACTGGCTGCAAAAGCAACAACACGTAGATCCAGAGCGCGTTTTCTGTGAGAAGTGGTGGTGACGAACCAAAACCGCCGTACATATGTGTACTGGATATGAGAATGCCGTACATGCATATACATGACCATATATGAGTGGTCTTAATTCATAGGTAAAGCATATCTACGGGTAACATGAACCCTAATCAAAATTCAAAATGGAGTGCAATATTTTGGTACAATGTTTCTGCACTATCGGGAACTAAAAATGAATCGATGCCCTGCAGCCACCTCGTATTTCTTCCAATCGTACGCTATGAGAAACTGTGCGAACACCTTCTTGGCTAGATGCTTACGCTTCTGCAGGGCCTGATGATTATCCGGTGCTGGTTCGAGTAAGGCCAGCAACACAATGTCTTCGGTCTCGTCGCATTCGGCTGCCCAAATTTTGAAGGGCATCCTTGTTTTACAAAGTGAAGCAAAGGGTCCTGTCTCCTCAATCATCGCACTCCTGGCTTCTACTATTGTCAGAAGGCCTGTTGCTTTCCAGTAGCGATCGCGATTTCCACTCATGTTCCTTTGAGAGTCTTCGCCGTGCCACTCCACCCTTTCTCACCCTTTCCCTCACTAATCCTGTCGGCCTTGCACCTGTAGCCCGTCAATATGGCAGCTCCAGAAGCAACGCCCGTCCTCATCCCTGCACCGACTGGGCCATATGCTGTTGGCTACAGCACATCGAAACTCGTAGATGTGACAAGAACAGACCCCTTCAGCCCACCAGGTCATCGACGTGTTGTGATATCACTGTTCTACCCAATCGAGCGCGCCGCTGCTGCACCATCCTCTCCAGTCCCGTATATGCCACCCATGGCATCGATGATGTTGGACTTGTTTTTGTCTAGCAAGGGTTTACCGAAAGTGTGCAGCAGGATGCAACTCCAGGTATCGAGTGAACAGGCGATAGTCGACTTTGGAAAAGTTCCACTAGGTATGTGGTATCCGTTTGGACCAGTTACAGTTGCTCACGAGAATAAGTACTCGTCTCGCCAGGCCTGACATTTACACGACACCAATACAATTGCATGGCGCAGAATCTCGCCTCCGAAGGTTATGCAGTTGTCACGATGGACCACACGTGGGAAGCCATGGTCGTGGAATGGCCGGACGGTTCGCACACCCGAGGTACCGTCTCGCCCAACGTTAAGGAAGAAGACGCCGAAAAGCACGCACAGTTGCTTGATACTCGTGTCGGAGACGCTCGCTTCGTCCTCACACAGCTTGGAAACCTCGATGTGATCCAACAACTGGTTCCCAATGCCAAATGTCCATTTGATACGACGAATGCAGCTATTATCGGACACTCGTTCGGTGGTGCAACGGCTGTCTGCGCACTAATACAAGATACGCGATTCAAAGGTGCGATGAACATGGACGGTTCGCAATACGGGAAGCTGGCAAAGACAGAGCGACTGGTGGTCCTCTTCGGCCGAGGAGAGCCAGACGCGCGCAATCGCAGCAACAACGCTACTTGGGCTAACTTGTGCAAGCATCTCGGACACCTGAAGGAGATCAATCTGAAAGGAAGCGCGCACAATACCTTCAGCGACTTGCCACTGATCTTCAAGCTCGGTGGAATTGCGAACGAGGGCTTTGCAAAAGAAATGGCGGGGACGTTGGATGGCGAGCGTTCGTTCGGAACAGTCATGGCATATGTCAAGGAGTTCGCGGATCTGGTGTTGAAGGGCAGGAATGGGCTGCTGTACGAGGGACCCAGCGAACTGCACCCTGAAGTCGAGCTTATGTCGAAGGTGTAGTGGTCCATGTGCAACCACTGGCCTGGCACTGTGGTGTAGTCGGCGCGACGCAAACGCTATTGGGAGCGCATTCACATTGCATCATTACATGTAAGCGCCCAGACTACTTGCGATGCGCATCTCTCTCGACGCTCGTTCCATTCTCACCTTGCCATGGCACAATTTGCTCCACTTTGCGAGCGGGCGCGGGGCGGCACGGCGCGGGTAGCTTCCTACTCCACTCCCTTTACTCCATTTGAACCAACACTCTGTGCGACGACGCCATAAAACCCATCGCTGCCACGCCCAATAGCCTTCGCAACATATATTGCCCTTCCGCATCTGGACAGAGGACTGCCTGTGCCATCTGCACGCGAGCACGGCGGCGGGCAGGGATGCTGCAGGCTGGATAAGCCGGCTGCGGGGTCCCATTGGCCTGTTGACGCCACGCCGCGTTGTGATGGGCAGAAACGAACACCCACTCAGCGGCTGCAGGCGCGCTGTTGCTGGCTCGCCCCCGGCACGTAGGCGCGATGGTGGACTTCGGCTGAGGCCAGCTTTAAAGGTGCCGTGGCCCTGCGAGCCTTGTGCTGCCGTGCGATCCCTCTCTGGACGGTGCGACGAGCCCGGTGCGACACCATTGACGACAGCGACGAGCGGTGAACGAGCCCGCGCGCATGCTATAGCGACGGCACTGCGCTGCACCATATAGCCCCCATATTGCTTCGCCCCAGCATCTATCGCTCGCCCCGCGAGACCTGAGCTTCTAGCTCGACCTGCGTCGAGCCCATCCTCCCACCACATCTGTCGCAATGGGCCGCTTTTTTCTCCCCCGCAAATGGCGTATGCCAAAGCTCGTGCTCGGGCTTATCATCTTTGAATTCCCCTTCACAGTAGCGAATTTGGCCCTCTTTGGCATCGCCGCGCCCAACACATACCGCACAGTGCTATGGCGGGTGGGTGGAGAACTGGGATTCAACAGCGATCCTTCGGAGGTCGCGTATGCGGCGTACAACTACCAGAAGATGGAGATCCCGTTAGTGTGGAGCAGTCTGTCAGTACTACACCTCTCTGATATTCCTAAATGCCCGATGTACCAGGATTCGGAGAGCAGCAACTAAAAAGATCAATTCATGCATAAAAGTATGGGAAACATGCACTAACGGGCGTCTAGAAACACCAACTACAACATGTACATCGGCGTCGTATGCATGTTCTTCTACCTCATCAAATTCACTCTCTGGCTCCTGCACATCTTCTATCCCATAATCTCCCTTATCCTGCATGTTTGCCTCGCCGCGCTCTGGGCCGCTTCGCTGTACATCCAAACCGCGCCCGACACCGTCGATCCCGCGCACCAGAACAAGGGCGCCCCGTGGTACATCACCAAGAGCTGCAACATCGTGAGCGACCAGACCGAGCGCGGCTACTGCATGCAGGCCAAATCCGCCTTTGCCGTCTCCTTGATCATGCTGTAAGCATCTCACCACCCCCTCTCCCACACGCGAACAAAACACTGACATCCTCCATCCAGCATCACTTACGCCATCTTCATCGGCCTCTCCATCTGGTCTCTTATTCCCACCCCTGAAGCCCGCGCGGCCCACGACTCCAAAGTCGCCGAAAAGAAAGCCGAGAAGGAACTTTACGCGTCCTCGCCCTACGACCAGGAGATGACCGCCGAAGAACAGTGGCAGCACATGTGGGAGCTGCAACAACTCCCCCGCACGCCTGGCACCGCGACGGGACACGCGCCCTGGGCCAAAGTCCCCGCTACGCCGCGCACTACGGCGTTCAACCAGCTGCAGGGAGCTCCGATCCCGCAGGCCCACCAGGAGTACTACGCGCAGCCAGGGAGCCCCATGGTAGCGCCGCCCCAGCAGCAGCAGACTCACTCGCCGCCGCAACAGACGTACGACCCACCACAGCAGACATACTTCCCGCCACAGCAGACATACTCCCCACCACAGCAAACCTACTTCCCACCGCCAGGCCAGGTACCACACGAGAGCGTGGGGTACGCGGGGGTCGCGCCCCAGGGGCAGCAAGAGTACGATGAGTATCTGTATGATGGGAAGGGAAAGGGCACTGCGATGTGAAATAACTTTCTTACTCGGAATATTTGGTTGTCAAGGGCGTTCTAGCGTTTGCTTTCTGAGATACCATGTGCACTCACTCATTTTGGGAGGGAGGGGGAATTGATGTAGGCATATCTGAGTCTTCTCCTACGTATAGTAATGTTAACGTTATGGACAATGTTTGGCTGTACCGCGTGAGTGGCTGGATGTGGTGAGATGGTGTTGGGAATGGTGGATGGAGTAATGGTTTTGACTGTGAGGGGTAGAGACATGCTTGCCGATGGACTGTCAGATACTGTTTGTTTGTGCGATAACTCAGAGCTTGCCTGCAGAAGACGACATCGTCTGGCATCCAAATTCCTGCGGCTTCGTCACTGCCAAATGACAAGGTCACATTCCCTCCACAGGTAGTGGCCCTTAGGTGTCGCAATCAGCAGTCCGCCGTTTCCATACCCTCAGCCAGCTCAGCAAACCCATGTTCCCTCGAACAGGTACTCTGAGATGACTTAACCACTCACGCACGGGAGACCATGAATCACATCACCAGCTAGCTTCTCTTCCGCTCAGACACCCTGGACCGTTACTAGGCCATCCCGTATTTAGGGATCTGAAGATGCGTAATATTGGTGCAAGAGTGAACAAAGGAACTCGGTGATCCATGTGTTGCGGCAAACGTTTTCAGGTTTCTGTCGACCTCATCGTCGATGACCACCTTTTGTGAGGTGGGATGAAGGTCCGTGTCAACAAATATACCTGGCTCTTCTAGAAGGGAAAATCTTGAACTGCCGCGTAATCGACGTCATTGAAAGTGCCCTCGGCGGTGGTGGAGAAGAGCCCCAGGCTTGGGAAATTGCACGTGGATTCGTTCAGGAATCCATTTACGTCCATGCAATTGTAGATCGATAGACGCTTGATGTGAGCGAGGTTCGTATAGGAACCAAGTTGGTGAACGTCGAAGCCCTGGATGCCCGTTGCGTGTGTCAATATGACCCAAGCTAAAGTAAATGGAGGTGACGTTTTCGAGGAAGTTGTTGTTCGTGCTGAAGTAGTGGAGATTTGCCAAAAAGCACAGGAGGGAGCATTGCCTCCACGCGCTACGGTGCCCCACACCTCGACCGAGGAGGCCTTTGTGCCTTCATGGAGGGCCGGTTCAAGGGTGCGTCTCATGCTAGGTCTACCCCCCTCTACCATAACTAGCTCATCGCATGCCTGATGAGGCCCATGGTCGAAGCAAATGCCGTATGCAACGTGGTCATAGCGCGTTTCCTGGCTCAGATCTGATCGCTTTGGGCCTTCTGCAGAAGTGATTGTCGGCCGATGAACTTTGCTATTTCTGCATACATAGCAGGGTCCAGGCGGGAATGCTGTGTTCAGTAACGTACCCTGATCGTGTGACCGGGAATGGTTTCAAGCACTCGTATAACAGCTGTTTGTTGGACCTCATCAGGTATATAGTGTACCTAAAGCTTGCGCGTCGTTTTCCAGAGATCTTTGGCACACCATTGCGCGATAAGCCTGGAATAGGGATTAGCACCGTACTTATGCATAAAATTCATACGTTCTGAGTGTAAATCATGTCGGTCAACGGAGACTGGCGACATAGGCCAGCCGTTATGGATTCTGATTTAGCTACGGCCGCCGCTCTTCTTGTGGAATATATGGTAGATCCTTTGACATGACAATTTCCGGGCGGTAATATCACGCTTCTCGCTTGCAAAGACGCTACAATCGCGTGTTCCCTTGAATGGGGCGAGTGCCAATGCGAAGGGAGCTTGGTTATGTAACATGAGTCGTAACATCGCTACTGCTCCCTATCCTGGTAGTGTAAAGGTAGTTCGGAGCAGTGATCCGGGGGTAGACATGGACCTCGGTCCAATTCCCCACACGGGAAGGCTGCGCATGTACTTATCCATCTCAACACGCCGCGATGTGATATTCAATAACAAGCGGTCCATACGTTCCTCGAATTCCCAGATTAAACCTGCTTTTCCAGATCCCTCATCCCATACGTTAACGGCGAGCGCAACGTATCATCTATACCTCTACCATGGCGTCGACGATCCTCAAACCCGTAACGCAACCCCCGCCCACATCGCATGTTCTCCTCACCTATCCCGCCCCGTATGTCCTGCTAGTCACAATAAACCGCGAGCGCCAAATGAATAGTATACCTTTTGCCGGGCACACTGAAATGGGTCAAGTCTTCGATTGGTTTGACCGCGAGCCGAATCTCCGCGTAGCTATTATCACGGGCGCGGGCAAGAAGGCGTTCTGTGCAGGGCAGGACTTGATCGAGCTGGGAAAGATTAGGCAGGGTACGGTGGAGAAGGATGTTGCTAAGCAGAGACACCCGCTGAGCGGCTTTGGAGGGATCAGCAGGAGGGCGGGGAAGAAGCCGATTATTGCGGCCGTGAATGGGTTTGCGCTTGGTGGTGGATTTGAGATTGTGCTGGGCTGGTAAGTAGAGCAAAAACTCCTCTTGTGCACGGTTCAGATGAAGGGAGGAGCAACTGCAGTCTCCAGGATCAGAACACAGAACAGATGAAGACCGAGACCATGCTAACAGATACGAATAGTGACATGGTCGTCGCCTCCCCAACAGCGACCTTTGGCCTCCCCGAAGCCCTTCGTGGTATCTTTGCAGGCGCAGGCGGGCCACCCCGTCTTGTCCGCAACGTCGGATTGCCAATCGCCTCTGAGATGGCCCTTACCGGCCGCTCTATAACTGCGCAACGCGCAAAGGAACTCAATCTTGTCAACCGTATCTCGCCCTCTCCTGACACGGTTGTAGACGAAGCGCTCAGACTTGCCAATGATATCGCGGCTATCAGCCCCGACGCAGCGATCGTAACGAGAGCGGCGTTGAAGGAGGCATGGGAGCAGGGAAGCGTCGAAAGGGCGACACAGTTGGTCATTGAGAGGTTTGAGCGGGATTTGAACACGGGAGAGAATGCGCTTGAGGGGCTGAAGGCGTTTGCGGAGAAGAGGAAGCCTGAGTGGAAGGCTAGTAAGCTGTAGATAGCACGCTGATGTAGAGAAGACAAGCTTCATAGATCCTGCGATGATTGCTTGGGCTGTTTTGTCATCGTATGCAGCCACTTGAACCAATATGGTGCTAGTGTCTGGTTTACAAGAACTCTACTGTGGTCTACGCAGCCTTTGGAGTTCCAAGCAATTCCCAGGCAGGAACAATTCTTTGTCTGCGTCGAGCAACGCCCTCACGTATTCTTCTGTCATTTCTATGCTCCTTATCATTAGCTACAGCAATGAATTAACCTAAGCAAAACTATCGAATGCGCGGTGGCAACAGACCTCCAGGACGTTTGTTCACCATATCGTATACGAATGACAGTTCGGCCTTTCAGTCACCAAAGGCATGCATGACTCGCGCTCGAATCAATGATAGCGGACTGTTTCAATAGGGCCGCAAACAGGAACCAGTCTTGCGAGCATTTGCAACTCCTGCTGGAAAACCGTGATGGTCCTGATTCGTGAAGGCTGGCGGATACGGACGTGGTATACCCCAAATGGGCAACTCCGGACGCTTCGAGTGGGCTATGTGCAAAGCTCGCAGACATCCGATCAGATGGAACATCCCAAGAAACCTTGGGTTTTGTTGCACAAATTTCCGTGACCGTCGAACAATACCAGGACCCTTTCCAGCGTTCCGAACCACTCAATCGAATTCCCCGGGCTACAAGAACGCTCTCGCACATTCACATCCAGCGTCTGGCCCTCATCCCGCTGTTCCCGAAAATTACCGGTGATCCCCATCCGACACTATCTACGGATCTTCAAACCTTCGTCATCCCGCCATACCCGGCGCGCCTCGGTAACATGACTCGGTCCTTTTCTTTGAGCCTCTCACATTGCTCACACGAGTATGCTAGTACGAGGTTGGGCATGCAGCGTGACGATCAAGGTGGGGTTGTCTGTCCATTTCCCCGCATTTTGGCTATGGAACGGTCGAAGTTCCGGGGCCGCAGTGTGTCAAGGCAATACAGTACAGGGTAGGGGTCCTCGGCAGGTGGTCAAACGACATGCGGACGACGTTCGGATAGCTATTAATGTGGGCAGGCTCCGTGGTGTCGGGTCAGATAACGAGTCGACGTTTGCGACATTATTCGACCTTGTTCGAGACTCTTGTGATAGCGATTCAGTAGTATCGACTTGTCGTACATGTTTAAAACTGACCCCGGCTGTGTTTGGAAAGAGAGATGGTGAACCGACGGTCTAACAGTGACGCTGCGACCACGACTCCACTTCAGTCTGTTGCGCCTGTCATCAAGCGCAAACGGCGGGCATCATGCCTAGGCGAGCAGGAGAGGAAGGAAAGGAAACGAGCGATTGACCGCGAGGCGCAGAGATCGTTGAGAGAGAAGACGAAGACGCATATCGCGGAGCTAGAACGGACGATTGAAATATTGAGAAACCAAGACAGGAATGGCGCCACAGCAAGTCTCCTCAGCGAGATCGAAGGGCTAAGAGCAGAGAATGAGAGACTGAGGGATGTAATTGATGGGGTGAGGAGCGTTATAGGAGGGGAGGTGTTTGGTAGGATGGCACCAACCACTTCAGCTTCGGCAGGTGTATCAGGGCCAAGACTTGAGGAAACCACGCCCATGGACGAGAGTGCTGGTATGCACACTTACACGATGTTTTGGCGGGAATAGAATGACTGACGTCGATGGTAGGTCCGACCTCACCCAGATTCCGTAGAGACTCCATCTCATACTCACAAGCGGCGACCGATGCTAAACCACCGCCCTCCTTGCCATCGCCTGAAACCACACCACCCGACGCGCAATACCCTTCTGCTTCATTTGACTTCAACCCTCCCATGCCAGCATCGTCTAGAGCCGTCGATCTCGATGGCATGACGATGATGTCAATCGCTCTCCCGACCTCATCAGCCAACGATAGTGCACTAGATCTGAGTCTAACACTGGACGATGTCACAAACGAACCAACACACGAAGATGCTCTCATCCCAACCCCCGACTCGCCTGCAACTGCAGCCTTTGCTCCATTCATGCAAGAAATGGAATTATTCGGACGTGCCTGGCATTGCCCATCTCCAATGATCCTTCACATGAACGACCGAAACGACGATCGACCGCCATCATCACCACATGTACCATCGTCCGCCGTCTGCCCGATATGGCGCAAATCGAACGAACTCTTCGGCAAAATCTTTTCGAGCCGTGCACCTTCATCAACAGGTCCGTCTAGCCTTCCTCTCGGCGATGAGTTTGACTGGGGCATGGAGGCTGGACTGCTATTCAAGGGAATCAGAGACGGCTGGAAGACCTTTGACCACTGGAAACAGAGCCCGGTTCTGCAAATTCTCAAAGCGGTGGACCAGTTCTTGTTTGTGAAAAGCGGGAAGATGGAGCGGTTGGCGGCTGGTTACAAGAGTTTCAAACTTCTGAAGGTAGACCACATATTTCTGACGATACTCGATGGTTACTGAGTAAGTACGCAGTACTACATTAATCCCACCAAAGGGGAACTCGATAAAGTCCCAACGTGGCTGCGCCCTAGGTACTTCTCTCTCTCTCTCTCTCTCTCTTTCTCTCTCTCTTTTTCTCTCTCTTTTTCTACCCTCTAACCCTTGACAGTCCCTTACAATCGTCCACCTCCCATCCCATAGCCATCGACATGTTCGCATGGCCTTCCCTTCGCAACCGGCTTGTGCACCACCACCATACACTCTTCCGCAACAGCAAACTCTCCCACAACTACGCCAACTTCCTGCGCTTCGACTGGCCTTTCAGCTTCGAAGACACTTTCTACTACGACGACGCAATCGGAGGCTGGTATCCAAGTCCTCTGTTCGAGAGATATCACGGCGATGTGCGCAGTTGGACTGTTGAAGAGGGCTTTTGGGAAGGGCTGGAGGAACTCAGGGGTGACATCGAGGGGTGTAGCGCAACGTGACGTTTGGAGGGGAAAGTGACGTGGTGTGGACCAAGGCACTATGAGGCGGAAGTGAATGCAGGTCCCTGGATGTTCACAGGCGATCGAAAAATAGTCCATTTCACCGTTCCTCGTGAGCGTGATCGTGAACAGCTCCATGGGTCACGCAACCTCCAGCCTCCCCATGCTCGAACCCCATTTCGCTTGTGCATGCCTACTCATCGAGAGTACAGTCCTTGCATGCTGAAATGTGTAGAAGGCATTAGTCGTGTCGAAAACCTCTCTACCTAGATAGCACGATGAACATCACCCCCTCAGAGACCACCGCGCATATCTCGCACTTTAACCTCATTGCATAGAGAAGGATGCGTGCTGGACAAAGAGAGTGCAATCCCGCGTGCGGTTGACGCACTAGGTTTCTCCGCTTCGGTTCGTTCTTTCTGCAGAGAGTTCGGAAACAGATAACCGCGTGATTAAAAAAAAAACACCCGCCAGAGGAGTATATTATTGCGCACGACTGAGAAACATTCGAGACAAGAACATACTCGACGAGAGATGGTTTCAGCCCAGTGGATAGTTTAGAGGCTAGATACGAATGAACATGTTTCGATTGTTTGGAACAACGCTGTTTAGCACCACCGGGGTTTTGTACTGCATTCTGCCGAGGCTTGCCAAAACACGCAGACAGTACGCACCTGGATAATGAGCAATTGTTCTAGAACACGGCGAAGCTTGCTAACTCGCGGATAGCCAGCATTCCGACTTTAGATACAGTTCCATTGCCGGCCTGTGCGCATCGCTGTCATCGAAGGCGCTATGTACGTATGTCTCGCACGCGCGCAACCCACGTCCACGCCACAGCAGCACCCTCTGTAAATCATGCGCTTACACCAGCTTCCCAGACAAGCTAGACGCACCCAGGCAGGTGTACAATGACGTCTTTGCACCGTCACGTAAATAGCGCGGTGTCCTCCCAATGTAGGCTTATTGTGCCATCTCAACCAATCACAGCCCCTTAAGCCACCCACGTTTCCCAGGTCACCTCTTCACCCACGCCCCCACTCCACCCATGCGAGAAAGATTTTTTTTGCAACCCTTGACCCAGTTGCGCCAGTCCTTTCGAGTGCAATCTCAGGGCTGCCGACAGCCGAGCCACCGCCGCGGAGGCAGCGCGGGTATGCATGGAAATCAGTACAGGGTCCTGCTCCGACTCTCTCCGACTCGTTGTTGGGTGGTGTGGTACCTGAAATGACGATACAGGCAACGGGATCTTGCAAGATGCTCATAAAGCGTACCGATGGCGTTGCATGCTAGAATCAACAAACACTGCGGGAGTAATCTAAACCAAATTATTCTAGGCGTAGACGCTCTTCAGGTAGCATCCTCGGTTGACTGCAATGCTGTATCCGCGCTCGATACGGCTTCGGTTGAGCTCGAGCGTTTGAAGGTGGCTAGCTCTCTGCGTAGAGCTTCCAGTTCTTGGTCTTTCTGATCCAGCTGCCTGTCTTTTTCTGAGCACTGTTTCTGGAGAGCTTTGATGTAATCAATGGCGGATTCGACCTTTGCCGCTTTCGAATTGTTTGACTGCGCAGCAGTCATGCTCTCTGGGCTTTTGCTTTCTTTGGCACCGAGGTGCGGAGATGGTAGGAGGGCTTGCATCTCTTGCAGTGCCGTGTTAATGCGATTCCGGCGGCCTTGCTCGGCGATCTTATGTGAGGTACGTTTTGATGTCAAATTTGTGGACAGTGATGTTGGGTAGGAAACTCCAGGTACCACGGTGCCGTCAAGAATATTCTGATAGTTCGACTTGGAGGCCAGAAGAAGTGCATGAGTGTCGTCGGAGACAGCTGGACGTGTTAGTAAGCATTGAAGATGGTCAGACAGTGTGAACACTTACAGCCATCGGGAAGCAGCGGTTTGATGCTAGGGGAGATCTTAGGTCGTAGAGCAGGGCTGACCAGAGTTGTAGTGACGCTATTTCGTTTCTTAGACGAACGAGCAGACTTTGAATCAACCTTTCTATTGGTCCCTGGAAAGAATGCTGGACTTGTGGGCGAGGAAATAGCACTGAGCATGGGACTAGGGCTAGGCTTCCCTGACTGCGCAGATGCCCCAGAAGGGGTTGAGAGCGGCCCAAGCTTGGGTGTTTTTCGTGCAGTTATTCTCGGCGTATCTTGGTCATCGTCTCGGACTGCAGTGTCCAGCCGTGAGAGCGGAGGTTTATCTAATGAGGCTTCCGGTAATGTCAGATCGTCCAGTGCTGGTGGCGCATCTACATCACCAAAAGTAGGCGAGGGGTGGATGCGCATCAGAGAGGCTGGGGTGGCCGGGGCAACGCCTAGTTCCGTGGTTTGCGCGTTCATTGCAGGAGACGGGTGCACTGAATTCGGCTTAGGTGGAGGTCCCATCTCAGATAGGGGTCCCGGAGAGATGGAGTCAGACTCTGAGCTCTCGCGGCTGCGGCGTAGGTCCACTCCACTGGATGAGGGACGAATTGCGCGTTCTTCCTCTAACAGGTCCGTCACTTCCTTGGGAGGGATGAGAGAAGACACGGTAGCTTTCCGCCTGGCAGGTTTGACGATAGGTGACTGTCGTACACGTGCGGGCGCAGCCGAAAACCGCGTAGGGGCGCTTCTCTTAGCTGCGCTCCTAAGTTTCCGGCTCTGGCTTGTCTGGGAGATGGCAGGCTCTTCCAACATATCCATATCCACGTCCACCGGCGAAGCGCCTGTAGAACTCCCAGAGGTAGTGCCATATTGACTGGAGTGGGTCTGTGCATGGGGGTAATTTTGCGCATTCAGAGCGGGCGAAGTCAGTGGGCTGAAGTATGCGCCCGGCACCGTCGTCATGTCGTGCACTTGGAAGCGGGGCTCATGGGGCGTCACAGCGGGCGAGACCAGTGGGGTGAAGGACTGCGCGATGGTCAGCTCGAATGGTTCATGTAGCTGATTCTTCATACCTCGTCCTTGCGCATCTGGAATCGCTGGTCGAACATGGCGTGTTGCGCATCCAACTGCTGCAGGTAGCGCGCCGGGTCGCCGTGCAACTCCATGCTGTTTGGCGTGGGCGGCACCGGCGCGTGCGGCTGGTACACGTCTGGCGCCTGGGTGAAGGCAGGCACGCCGTGTTGCTGGAAGGGCATGCTGAACTGGAAGAAGCCGCTCTGGGTGGGCATGCTGTGGGGGTGCCCGCCATTGTGGGCGTCCATGTGCCTCTGCGGCTGCGGTGCGCCGGGCGTGCGGGCGCCATTGCGATGCTGCTGGTGGGAAAGCTGCGGACTGAAGGGGTTGTGCAGGTGCTGGACGTCGAGCTCGTCGGCCAGCTGTTCGAGCTGCTGCCCGCCGTGGCCGGCCGAGGAGCCGTTAGCGAACTCGGAAAAGTCCAGGTCGAAGTCTAGAAGATTGCTGAAGTCGTGCTCGGAGCCGGCCATGTCGAACTGCTCGGCGCCAGACCATGCTGGAGGCGCACCGGTGGTGCCGTTCATACAGGGCGATTCTGGGCGCACTCGACTGGAGACCCGAAGGGGATTTTCAGAATACTGAGGTAGTGGGGCGGCTGGTGTTAGCGGAATCCAGAGGAACCGTGGGTTGAGCCGTCGCGCAAAGACCCGACGTGAACACGGGACATCAATAGCGCAGGTGCGTCCGAGGCAGCGCGATAGGCCGCCTTCTCTGGTTGGAGAGAGCAAGAGGAGAGGAGGCCACGACGGGGAGCAGACGTCGCGACAGCCAGCGTCGTCGACACCCCTGCTCCACCACACCTGTACCCCACGGTTTTAGCAAACGATAAGCGTCCGAACGCCAGCACTGCCGCTTGGATGTTGAAATGATCACTCACGCGGTCGACGCGGTGGCTGCCTCGGGCTGTGTACACTCACTGATCGATACGAGCCCTGCCGTTTGCCAGAACATCCTGGGGTAACGCACAGCATGATGGCCTCGTTGCCCTCATACCCACCAGTTCGCTCGTGCCGCGACCTGGCTGTCACAGACGGAACTGATCCGCGCAGCTGGGACTAGCGAGGCTCCAAGAAAAAAAAAATCCATCTCGAGCCCACCAGCCTCAGGACGACGTAGTGTGCGTGCGTGTCGTCGAAATCAGTCATCGTCTATTTCCGAGGGCGTGACGCGCAGTCCGCGAAAATACAAGAAGCCCGCTGCTGACTCGCGTCCGTCAAGAGAACATTTGAAACTGACACTTGCAGCCGTCACGGGCCATCTGTGTCCCACGCCAAAGGCTGGGACAGCGTACGGCGACACTGCCTTGGTCTGTAGTTCGTCCTCGTCATCATGTGCTGCTCGCCATTAGACTACTTGCCAGTATTAAAGCTTAAACATGGTTATGCACGAGGACTCGATCCCCACGGCATCCCGCTGGGTCGCCGAGCCCTTGCATGAGCGTCGTCGCCTCGACCAACCAGCCCATTCCCCGCCCCGTAGCAGCCCAGGCCTCCTGTATTCCTGTGCGAGCGCCAAGGCTCGCAGACCGGGGCCTTTCGAAGGCCTTTGGCAGGCTGTTCGTGACGGAACAGCTATTCGTTCGGTGCAGTGCAAACCACCCTCTCTCGTCAGCATGTGTACTACCGCCTCCGCGCTTACCTGTGGAATGGCGTCTACACCGTCTGCTCCGCGCTTTGAGAATGGGTGTATGGTGTTTGAGGGGCGCGCCACTGAACCAATCTCGCCTAAGCTTGAATATTGCCGTTGACCAGGCGTACATGACCTTCCTGTCCTGGTCATCACAGAAGCCGAATGGAAACATCACCGAACCATGGCCTGCCAGGTTGCTGCACACCAACAGCGGGCGACACCGAAATGAGCACCTCTGCAAAGTTGTCATGATGCATGGCTTACAATTAGTTCAAAGGTATACATAATGCACGCATCGAGACGCGTCGAGTCCTATGAACTCTATGGTGCAGCTTCGTCTCCGCTTTGTTAGTTGTCAACCGTTCTCGCACCGAATGTAAAATGATAACCTTCATGGTGTTGGACTCGTCGCACCGCACAGCACAGACGTCAATTGAGATGAACACTGAGCGTGATGAATTAGAACTCTTGCTTTTCCTTGATACTGAAATACCTGGCAAGGCTGAATCGACTAAACACACCCAGAAGCTGGTCCCCGCTGCGCTGCAAGGGCAGGCAGTAACGCTTTCCCGTAATTTACACATTGCTGAAAGTACATGGTCGGTCCAAGAAGGCCGCGTTTTGACCACCATGGGTATTATCCACCGCCGTCCCCAAAAAGGTATATGAAAAGTGTGCCGTGAAAGGCTCCGCATGAACGCCGTTGCTGGACATGACACCCGCCATCTCGAGTCGTTTACATTACTATGCAGCAGCCGTTGCTCTGCTGGGGCGCGTAGGGATCGTCCCGCTTGTCGATCTGCCACAGTCAGTCGTACTTCAACAATAACGCGGCGGCCGTCACGCACCGTTCCCCATCGCGATGGTACCATCCAATCCTTGGGCTCCTTGTCCGTGAATGCAATAAGGCTGCGCACGCGGTCAGTACACAATCGGTGTTTATTCTGCCAATGGGCGGCGTCTTACTCAATGGCAGCCTCCGATACGGGTATCCGGCGGCGCTCGAGGTCCTCGCGCAAACGCTGGTTCAGCTCGGTAAGGCGGCGCAGCTTCAGCTCGGCCATGCTCTGCTTCTTGCTCTTTCCGTCGCCGCCAGTGCGGATTTCGTAGGGTGCAGCGGCCATCATGATGGGCGAGGTGCGGTTGCGGGGAGAGAGCGGCTAAGAATGGCAAGGAGAGGCGTAGGGCCGTGTGTTGGAGCGGTTGCGGGTGGAACGGCGTGCGCTGGTGATGCGTCGAGTGCTCGTGAGATGGTGCGACGTTCCTGCGTTGCGGCAGAGGACGTGCCAGAGACGGGTGAGCGGAGAGGCGGGTAAGGAGCGGCGGGGCGTGAGAGCGAGTTGGACTTGCGGGCCAGCGACCGTCACGGCAACGTTCTCAGACGGCGGCTGCGGAGGGCAGAGCTGAGGCGAGGGCAACGCTGTGCTGGGGAGAGCGTGGGCGCGGACGGGATAGGGGAGGGAATGAGAGCTCGGATGTTGGCTTGGTGCCCAGCCTAGGCCGCAAATGGCCCAGATGATCAAGGCGCGCGAGATTGGCTTCTCGCCGCGCACACTGTCGATAATGCGGTGGAAAGACAGCGCCGGCGCAGCGTGGCCGGGCTGCAGCCAGTCGATGGTCGCTCAGGCCCAGCAAACCGTGGCTCGCTGATAACTCTACGCAGCCAGCGGTTGTTGTCTGGATGCATTGCATGGCCTGCAGCCGCGCCGGGTCGTCCCCGTCCCAGTCCCAGCCCAGCGGCAACTGCTCTGGCAGTGCTCCCCAAGCTGCCACCGGATACGCAATGCATCGTTCGCCCACTGGCTGTATTTGCGCCAGCAAGGTATCGCAAACAATCATATTCTGTGACTCCTGCTTGAGAACTGCCGTTGTGCGCTCTCCGCACGTGACCGTGACGCCCCGCTAGCGCTAAACCAAAAGAGATCGCGCACACCAAAGCGAACGCTCATTTTCGAAGATTAGCCCACCGCAGCCGCGTGAACCTTTGCGCAACCCCTCGCTGAGCCCGCTTCGAAGCCTCAGAGCGATACCGCAGACGGATCTGTGATCCCCAGTCTGCCCAGCATGGCGCCGCCGCCGCACAGCAAGCCCGAGAATACTCTGTCCGTTGCCTTCGTGCCAAACCACGGTGACCTGCATCGTTGCTAACTGTTCTTCAGCAAACGCGCACAAGAACTTATCGGAGTGCAGCAGCCCCAGGCCGCCCTGTCGCTCCTCCACGAACATGTCATATCCAAGCGCACACGCAATAGCCCCATCGCCTCCCTCGAGCCGGTGATGATCCTGTTTGTCGAACTCTGTGTCGACCTCAGGAAAGGCAAACTTGCCAAGGACGGCCTCTACCAGTACAAGAACACCGCCCAGAACACGAACGTCGGAACTATTGAGGTATGGACGAGCAAAAGGCAAGGTCAAATGCTGAGCTAACAGTGGGCAGGTTGTGTTCAAGCGCTTCATTGAGCTCGCGGAGAAGAAGGTCACCGATGCTCAAGAAAAGGCAGCCGAGGTGCACAAGGCCACCGAGGGCCCCGCTGCTGATGGTGTAGAGGAAGAAGCAGGAGCGAAGGCCGTGGATGATCTCGAGGCTTCTGAAACTCCCGAATCCATTCTGCTGTCGACCGTTTCTGGCGAACAGTCCAAGGACCGTACCGACCGAGCCATCGTTACACCATGGCTCAAGTTCCTCTGGGAGACGTACCGCACAGTGCTGGACATCTTCAAGAACAACGCGCGTCTCGAGATCATGTATCAGTCGACCGCCCTCCAAGCCTTCCAGTTCTGCCAAAACTATACCCGCAAGACCGAATTCCGTCGCCTTTGTGAGCTTTTGCGCAACCATCTCCAGAATGCCGCCAAGTTCTCATCGCAGATGCACGCGATCAACCTGTCCGACCCAGACACCCTCCAGCGTCACCTCGACACCCGTTTCCAGCAGCTGGACGTTGCAGTCAAGCTCGAGCTTTGGCAGGAGGCTTTCCGCAGCGTAGAGGACATTCACACTCTTCTTACTCTGAGCAAGCGTCCCGCGAAGAACAATATGATGGCCAGCTACTTCAAGCATCTTACCGAGATCTTCCTTCGCAGCGAAAACTACCTTTTCCACGCTGCGGCATGGAGTCGTTACTACAACCTCCTGCGACAATCTGCCGCCGCAGTTGCTGCTGGCCAGTCAAAGAAGGACAACCCTCCGGTCACCGAAGCCGATATTGTGAACACCGCCTCTTTTGTCCTCCTCTCCGCGCTGTCTATTCCTGTGATCAGCACTACCCGTTCGCGAGGTGCTCTGGTTGATGTAGACGAGGCTAGGAAGAACAAGAACTCTCGTCTGACCAATCTCCTCGGCATGTCGCAAGCTCCTACTCGTGCTATCTTGTTCAAGGATGCGCTGTCCAAGGGACTTCTCAAACGCGCACGTCCTGAGATCCGGGATCTGTACAACATTCTTGAAGTGGACTTCCACCCTCTCTCCATCTGCAAGAAGATCTCGCCAATTCTGGAGCAGATCGGCGCTGACGAGGCTATGAAGATTTACATTGGACCTCTCCAACAAGTTATTCTCACTCGCTTGTTCCAGCAGCTGTCACAGGTTTACGATTCTGTTGAGATCAGTTTTGTGCTCAAACTCGCCCAATTTCCTGAGTCGTTTGAGGTTACCAGCGGCACTATCGAGAAGTTCATTATGAACGGTTGTAAGAAGGGTGACCTAGCCATCCGCATTGACCACGCCGCTGGTGTCCTAACATTCGACTCTGACGTCTTTTCTTCTGCCAAGGCCATGCACCCTGGCTCAGGCGCAGGTTCTGCTGAGAGCGAGGCACGGTCGGTTCAGCGTCTCCAGAGTACACCTGCTGAGATCGTTCGATCCCAGATCACCCGCTTGGCGAAGTCTCTCTTCGTCACCTGCCAATATGTCGATCCCAGTTTCAACGCCGAAAGGCAAAAGGCAAAGGAGGCTGCTCTCCTCCGGACCAAGGAGGGTGCCGAGAAGGAGCATCAGGCTACCCTTGCCCGTCGTGATATCATCTCACAGAAGAAGGAAGCTGCTCTCAAGGCCCAGCAGGCGAAGGAGACCGAGGAACAAACCAAGCGAGCCCTTCGCATTCAACAAGCCAAGGAGGAAGAGAGCCGCCGTCTTGCCGAGGAACAGCGCCAGCGTGCTGCAGCACGTATCCAGGCAGAACAAGCACGCGTCCAGCGTGAGGAGCTTGAGAAACAACTCAAGGAACTCAAGGAATCTGTGGCAGTTGATCTCGATCTCCCAGAAGACATCAGCGAGCTCGACTCTACCCGCATTCGTGCCATGAAATTGGCAGCTCTCGAGAAGGAGAAGACCCTACTCGGTGAGCAGCTACGCATTGCCGGTAAGCGAATCGATCACCTCGAACGTGCGTACCGCAAAGAAGAGATCAAGCATCTCAAGGACGATTATGAAAAACAGCAAAAGGATGATGAAGAAGCATACGAGAAGGCCAAGCAAGAAGAGCTCAAGGAGGCTGAGCAAAAGCACAAGGAAGATGTTGAGCTCAAGCACCGCCTGTCTAGGCTCGTACCAGCCTACCAGAGCTTTGTCAATGAAGTAAAGCAATCGCGCAGGGCAGAGTTTGAAAAGCGCAGCAAGATTGCACAAAAGGAGCTCGAACAGAAGAAGGCGAAGCGCGTCCAGGAAATCAAGGAGCGGATCGCAAAGGAGAAGCGCGAACGAGAAGAGGCAGAGCAAAGAGAGAGGGAAGAGCGCGAGAGAGAGGAAGCGGAGCGGGAAGCCAAGGAGCAGGCGGAAGCGGAGCGACGGGAGAAGCTTCTGGCCGAGAAGGCTGCTCGCGATGCAGAGAGAGCGTATGTACTTCCGTTTCAGTGTCATGTTGTAGCTGCTAACAAAAACCCTAGCGAACTTGCTGAGAAGGCACGTCTCCAGCGACAGCGAGAAGAGGAGGCCGAGGCAAGGCGCGCTGCGAAGAAGTCCGCGCCCTTCTCGCGCGACGTTCCGGTACGCGATGCACCGGTACGCGATGTGCCGGCACGCGAACAAGCCTCACCTGCTGCTGGCGGTCCACCCCGACTTGCGCTTGCAGGCAACAAGCCAACGTGGCGCGAACGTGAGGCCATGAAGGCCGCTGGTCAACTTCCGCCTACAGAATCTGCTGCCCCTGCCCCTGTAGCTGCAGCTCCGTCTCCAGCAGCCGAGGAGGCACCCAGGAGGAGCGGTTATGTTCCTCCTCACCTCCGTAACCGCGACGGTGGCGATGCACCTGCTGCTGGTGGATGGCGTGGGCGTGAAAGCAGCGGACGTGGACCCGAGGATCGCAACGAGTCTCCTGCTGCTTCCTCCGGTCGTTACGAGGCGCCAGTACGAGGTGGATTCAGGTCTCGCGAAGACTCAGGGAGGACAGGATCCCCCGCAACCGGCGGTGGTTACGCACCCCCGGGTCGACGTGGTACACCAGGAGATGCTCCTCCTGAGAGCTCGCGTCCTCCTCCACCAACGCAGGCCCCCAGCGATGGCAAGTACAGGCCTGGTATGTTCAAGAGGGGTGGACAGTAAGTTTGTGATGCATTCAACGACGGCAATGTTCAAGCTTATGAAAATGACTTCGGTCTGCTGTACATGATGTATCGGTACAGCAGAGCAATGGTTTGGGCAACACATGGACGAACGGGCAAACAGTGGGGAGATGGATGGTTGGAGTTGTGTTCCCGAAACCCGCTTTTCCAATTTCTTAGTATTAGGTGCATCAGACAGGCATCTTCTTGGACTCTCGTAGATAGATAAGACGTTGGGTGTGCAGCATTGTCATAATTCCATATGGGGTGTTTTAAAAAGTTCAACGTTGAGGATGGTCTTCCAGGACTTGGTGTGCGAGATGTTTCTTTTCGTGAACCTGACGAGGTCTGGTGTTCCCACTAGTAATGTTCATGTACATGAAGACTACACTTCTGGTGGGTGGTTCAGAACGTCGACCGACAACGAACAAGATTGGTCGCTCCATTCCTTCTTCTGTTCTGCATTTTAGGTCTTTTTAGGCATCAAAGCTCACTCGTTATTCCGGTCCAGCAATTTGATGTGAACTAGGAAGTTTGTCGTAGAGCTGTATGCGCAGAGGATATTGGAATTCTCTTGATAGAAATAATGTTACCACTGCAGATTGCTAATGTTAGGAGTCCCGAGACGTGTCATAAAGTTCTCGTGCTAGCCAAGTGGGTAAGACCATGGTATGTGATGAGGACCACCAAGTGTAGTTTGCAGTCTTCTGTTCACGATCTCTTCGCGGCACGGACATTGAGGGTCGACCTCTTGCAATCATGCAGAAACACTGGGAACTCTTCGACCACAATCCTTACGAATGTGTGCTGGGAGGGATGATACAACGCCCTTGAATCGATGAAACACTGTCGTTGACACCGTGATACCAGCCTGCGATCTTCCAACACCTACAGCTATGATCCATGGCATTCTGCTCGTATTGGGCAGTGTCAGCGATAGTCCACCAACCTTACAACACCAGAAAACCAGTGTCGCCATACAATGATGCGCACTAGTCCTATACCGAAGCCGAGAGCAGACAGCGATCTTATTGCCAGCAGCCCTATCTGAAACGCACTATTGGGAGCACGTGCAAAACGATCAAAACAGGGATACCAACATCACCTCATAGCGCAAGAACTGCGTTCCACCAAACACAGATTCATACTGCAGCTGTCGTACCTGTACAAAAGCAACTTTCGACCAAATCGTATTACTTTGACATTCTGGGGTGCAGCTATATGCACCCCGCCAATTTACCTATGGTATCGTATATTCCCATGTCGGCAAATGTAGTGGTTCCAACGCGAAATTCTCCGTCTGGGCCGGCAATTGGCATTGTTTCCACCATTCAGGGTTGTGAACGCTAAGAGCATTTCTCCACAGTTTCGAGATTTCGGGGGCCACGCCTTAAACGGCGACCCACCATGTTCCTACCATTTCCATCTTAGATCTATCATGGATCATGTATAGGTAGTAGCTGTGCGCCTGCCACGGCGCGTTCCTCCACCCTACCTTCAGGTCGTCGATCTTTCGTTTTTGTTCCCATTCTTGTTTTGGGTATTTTCTGACAGCACTTGCCGGCAAGATGAAGTCTTCTATCATTGCGTCCCTCATTGGACTCGCCGCTACCGTTATGGGTTACGCGGATCCTATGGCTTGCAGTGGTGTCTGCAACAACGCCCATGACCCTGCGCTTATCCGCCGCGACTCTGATGGGAGGTACTACCGTTTCTCGACTGGAGGCAAGATCGCCATTCACAGTGCGAAGACTATCAACGGACCGTGGACGTATCTTCGTGCTGCTATTCCCGCCGGGTCGAAGATCAACCTGGCTGGAAAAGACGACCTCTGGGTGAGTACTTTCACCAATTATTCTTATTAGGGGTTGTGGCTGATAGAAATGGGCATAGGCACCCGACGTGACCAAGTTTGGCGACACATACTATCTTTTCTACAGCGTCTCCTCCTTTGGCTCTCAGAATTCCGCCATTGGCGTGGCAACGTCCACCGACCTCGACAACTGGACCGATCATGGTGCTACTGGCATCTCCTCCAAGGCCGGGTCTCCCTACAATGCCATTGACGGCGCCGCCTACTACGATGGCTCGAACATCGTCATGTCGTTCGGCTCCTTCTGGGGCGACATCTACAGCGTCAAGATGAACAACCCGCCTCTCACCGTGGCCTCGGGGGCTACTTCCACTCGCATCGCGTACAAGCCGTCAGGCACACACGCCCAGGAAGGCGCGTTCATCGCTAAGAACGGCAATTACCACTATCTCTTCTTCTCGGTCGGCCAGTGCTGCGGTTTCGACACGAGCAAGCCCGCTGCCGGGGCCGAGTATAAGATCCAAGTGTGCAGGTCTACCTCTGCTACGGGTGGATTTGTCGACAAGAGCGGCGTGTCTTGCACGAATGGTGGTGGGACTACGGTGCTTGAGTCTCACGGGTGGGTTTACGGTCCGGGCGGTCAAGGTGTCTACTGGGATCCTACGCTTGGACCGGTGCTGTACTACCACTATGTCGACACGAGGATTGGGTATGCGGATGGACAGAAGAAGTTTGGCATCAACAAAATTGACTTTTCGAGCGGGTGGCCGGTTGTATAGGTCATGTGTGAGAGAGCGCTGGTGTTCCGTTCGTGTACATAGTTACCTTTATTGCTTGCCATATTCAAATCGATCTGTCCCGTGGCGGACACAATTCTTGATCATCACTCACGGGACTAATGCACGTGCAAGTGAGGACCCAAGTTCGTGTGTGCGAAGTGCATCGGCATGCACAGTGTTCGGTAGTGAGACGGAAGTAGACGGCGCTAGCCAGGGCAGCGGTGAATTCTCGGTAGCGGGCGCCAAGCACAAGAACTTCGGCGTCGACCTCGTACACGACAGCGCCGGCATCAGCAATTGCATCCCCACCACACCCGCATCCATCATGAGCTCCCTCCGCATTGCTCGCGCTGCCCTTCGCGCGCGGCCCCAGGCCATTGCTCGCCCCGTCATGCGCCGGGGCTACGCCGACGTCGCCTCGGACAAGATCAAGCTCTCCCTAGCTCTTCCGCACCAGGTACGCATTGCCAGCGACCGCGCCCATTGAAGCGTCGTCTCCTGCCCAGTCGGGCTCTGCACACGACCAATCCATGCTGACCGTACCGTGTCACAGTCTATCTACAAGTCCCAGGACGTGTACGTCTCCGCTGGCCCGCCCGAGCCCTGTCCTCCCCGAAGTCAACACTGACGGATTCACTGCAGCGTCCAGGTCAACCTCCCCGCCGAGACGGGCGAGATGGGTGTCCTGGCCAACCACGTTCCTTCCATCGAGCAATTGAAGCCCGGTCTCGTCGAGATCATCGAGGAGAGCGGCGGCAGCAAGCAGTTCTTCCTGTCGGGCGGCTTCGCGACCGTCCAGCCCGACTCGCAGCTCAGCATCAACGCCGTCGAGGGGTACGCATTGGAGGACTTCAGCGCAGAGGTACACAACGTGTGAGATGGGCGGTGCAACGTGAGACTGACGGGTGACCAGGCTGTCAGGAACCAGATCGCAGAGGCGCAGAAGATCGCTGGCGGAAATGGCAGCGAGCAGGACATTGCCGAGGCCAAGATCGAGCTCGAGGTGAGTCCTCCGGCATCCCCAGTGCATGCTTCACGTTTGCATCTACTTGCACGGAGAACCGCTGCTGACAATCGTACCAGGTCCTCGAGAGCCTGCAGGCGGCTCTGAAGTAATTGTGTAAATAGTGTGCTTTCCTGGGGCATTTCTTTGCGTGACGTGTACACTATTAGCAGGAGCGGGAGGCGCCTTCCACGGCGCCTCCCACGCGCGGCCAAAATATAGAAGGTGCTCGAGATAAGCAAAACACTTCCCTGGTCACCTCGCCTGTGCCTCTCTTCCTCTTGCATACCCGGTTGAGTGCACTCAATCACACCGTTCTCGTCTTACCTCTATTCCTAGTACCTCTTGCGTGACCCTGTCACGCTATATTCCCTACGTGCTTTTATTCTACACACGACGTCAACGCTACTGCTGCATTCACTTCATCTTACGCGTCTGTAAGTCTCCCGTCCCATTTTTCCTCACCACATGCGACGCGGCACTGGCCTATCTGCACCAAGCGCAGGACCCCCGGCAGCCTCTGGGCCTGGCAGCCAGCCTCCAGCACGAGGGAAGCGTCCTGTAGACGAGCCATCTGTTAGAGCGACGAAGGGGACCATTGAGCAACCACAACCGCCACCTCGACGAACTCTGGAATCACAGCTTCAGCCACTGCCACGACCTGACAATCTCACCGCTCCCCAGACGACTGCTTGGAGACCAAAGTCGCCATCCTACTTGACGGGGAAGAATCCCTATGGCAGGATCCTCGACAATGTCGAGCACCCCTACAGAGAGCGGGGAAAACCAGCGCCAGGCCCGCCTTCACAGCTCGGAAGCAACATGGGCGGACGCCGAAGAACATCTGGATCCTTCGAATTCGTCACACGACCTACACCCCCGCCTGCGCCCGAGCGAAAGGTCTCTGTTGATGGCCCTCCAACGCCACCTCCTCTCCCTCCAGCAAGACCGCCGCGAAAGATGTTTTCCGTCAAGGACGCGAAGACCTTTTTCGAGAGAAAAACCTCGGAGTCTCGGAAAGATCCTCTTTTTCCGTCTGCAGGATCCGCCGCTATCGCCAAAGGCGCCTCCGCTATTTCCAGGATTAAGCAGCAACCGCCCAAGGTAGGCTCTGTCATGCGCGCTACCGATGGCAACCAGGAAGCCCATCCTGCCAAAGAATCCTCAGCGAGGCGGGAGGTTTCTAACGCTGCCTTACCTATATCAAGACCACCGACGAAGGTTGCCGAGCGAAGACAGTCAATTCATCGCGCCGATCCGTTCACTCGAGCGAAGGCGGACGATGTCAAGCCAAAAGTCCTGGTGAGGACTACCTCACGAATCAGCACAGGCGAAAGGCCAGCTCGCAGACAGAACTCACCTTGGCGTTCGACGGAAGTCGCAGAGCGGTCCACCTCGGAATCTATGCATGCTGCAGAAACATCGGTGTCGGAGCGCAGTAGATCCACAAACGTGTTCACGCAGGCAAAAACGCAAGCGCAGCCACCGAGGGGTGTCCAGCGCTCGGTTGTACAGCGGGACCAGCTGAACGATTTCTCCGAAGCTCCTCGAACAGTCTCTATAAATCCAGAGCAACCGCCCGCCTCTGATGAAACAGTGAGGCGTCACTCGATCCGGAAGTCGTCCACTGCTGAGAGCTATAAAGCTAGTCCGTCGAGTGATCCAAAGCAGGCCGAACAAACCTATCGTTCGCAGACTAGTAACCCTGTACGAAGGTTGGCAGGTCAACTTGACCGCGGAGCCGCAACTGGTGACGAAGAAATCATTTCACGACGATACTTGCTCCCGGAGCGACAACCTAATACCAAAAGGAGATGGCGCCAGGGATCTCGCAGTGCCCTAAAAGATCAGGAAAGTGATGCTAACGAGTCCGTGCAACGATCAAGGCGAAGATCAACTATGTCTGAACCTGAGGATGTGGATGTCAACTTTGAGACACATGTTCATAACTTTGGCGAGCCCCAACCGACAACCGAGAAGCTTGAAGAGATTGCCGCGAAGAACCTCAGTCATGACGGGTCCACCTCCAACCACAGTCTTACACGACGGACATCTACCCAGGCCGTTAATACGAGTGCGGATGTTGGCGTAGAGGAGGGCTACTACTCTATTGAAGTTCCCGAACATGTTGATTGGCGAGGTGGATACGGCCGGCGCAAGACTCAGGATTTTGGGTTTCCCGGGGCACGTCTCAAGTCTCGCGCAACGTTCAGGGCATTCAAGGCGCCGCTACAGAACCCGAGCAATTGGATCAAACGCGCGTGTGGCCATTTCTCGACGGTATCCGCCATCGAACCACGTGAGGAAGCTGCAAAAATGCCCTGTAGCCAATGTCGCGCTATGCCACCTCCCATGCCTATGACGTCCAAGCATCATCGCTCAAGGAGACGAGTCGCCACCGACTCTTCTGCTGGCAGCTCCCAAAGCTCCCCGAGAGGCAACAGGTGCCGTCGGCAACATCATTCCGAATGCATATCAAGAGACAAATGCGGAGACACCTTTGCTCAAGATTTGGGATACATCATTGACTCTATACTGGAAGAGCATCAAAGTACTCTGCAGAATGTCATCAACAACATGAAGTTCAGCCAACCAAACCTTGTCCAACTTCGAAAAGTCTCTGCGGACCTTGTCAAACGCTGTAAATCTGGCGCTTCTTGCACTGGACCATGTCGCAATGTCTGCCAGCGTCCTGTGTGCAGCCACGTCTGTCAACCTTGTCAACTCTGCCAGCCTTGTCAGCCAGTCCAGCAGATTTGTGGTTAGCAGCCGCCATGCCCGTACGTACCGCCCAAAGCAGCCGAGAAGCTCAATGTCGGAGCGCCCGGCCAGCTAGGTCCCAACATGAACGATGCGCTGCCCTCACTGCGCGAAAGCGTGAAATCTGCGCCAGAACTTATTGAACTAGTCAAGTCTGTCGCGGACGATCTGGGCGTGGATCTGGATCAGAAGTACACCCCAAAAGACGATGCCAAATTTGAGGCAGCGCCGATCGAACGCTCACCGGAGCGATCCCCCGTTTCAAGGCACAGCTCTGCGTTAGAACCTGTGGTCGAGAAGCTTGAGGAGGAAGACTTCGAGGCACCGGTCATAAGGAAGGCAACTGGCATAGAGTCGGAGGAAACACAAGAGACTGAAGACGCATGGCTACAGAAGACCCGTAGGCAATTGATACAGCTATCTGAGACCCGGAGCCAACTCATGGACGAGCTTGATATAATCGCTGACGACCTGGGTGTTCACCTCGATGAGCGCCGTCGTTCCTCAACTTATATTGACCCCGTTGAGCGCGCTCTTAGCAAAAAGCATACAGGTATCTGGAGGAAGTCCACTCGCCTTCGCAACAAGTCCGTTGATTCCGTATTCGATGACATCCCAAGGATGATCGATCAGGAGATCAACGACAGACGTTTGAGCAGGGTCCTTACTCGCATCTCAACGCAGTCTCGGCGAATGTCGATGATCTCGCAAGGCATGCTAAAGGTTGAAGTCATACCGCCAGAAGAAATCCAGGCATGGCTAGAGTGTGCACAGACCGAGCTGCCCGCTGCTATCGACTCCATCACCGCCGTCATGGAGACATTACCAGCGGTTGATTTCGCGCCGGGACTGGAAACCGAAGAGGTCGAAGGGACTGATGAAGGTGATGAGTATGAACGGTCTGAAGATGCTGAAGGGCAATCAGATCAGTCAGAGTATGCGGCCGCCCCGGCTACGCAACGTCAGACCGACTATGCCGTGGAGCCGGAAGAGCAGCTGCAATATTCTCCACCGGAACCTGAGCGCAAAATGGTCGAATATCGTGAAGAGCAACCAGAGTCTCCAAGCAGTCTCGCATCGGAACTCGACGCCGATGAGGTCAAAGGAGTTATTCAGCTTGAAGAGCAGCCGGATTCTGAAGTCGATGTGGTGGCTGAACTTGGAACACTAGAACCTGAATTGCAGGATGTTGATTTCCAATCCCCAGTTGTCCGCAAAGTGACAACACGACGTCCGACCGAGAAGACACCAAGTCGGGAAGCCCAATCAGTGGAGGCTGACTTACGACCACCAGTCGTTCACAAAACGACGACATGGCGATCCACGGAGCAAATCTTGCGCACAGAACTTGAGCTGGAGGCTAAGGACTTGCAACCACCAGTTGTGCGCAAGGTGACATCGGGACATCAGATGGAACCTGAGGTCCAGGACGACGAGTTCCGACATTCTGTTGTTCGTAAAGTGACCACTAGGCGACCGACTGAGCGGGTTCCAACTCCAGGCCCTGAGATCAAGGATGATGGCTTCCAGCCTCCAGTGGTTCGCAAAATTACCACGAGACGGTCAACTGAACAGGTTGCTCCTGAACCCGAGGACGAGTTTCAGCCTCCACTCATGCGCAAGGTGAAAACGAGATGGCCAACTGAGCAGATCGTTCTGGAAGAGGAAGAGGGCGAGGACTTCCAACCCCCAGTTGTTCGCAAGGTCACAACAAGAAGGGCAACCGAACCTGTTATCCCTGAGCCTGAGGATGCTGACTTTCAGCCTCCGATTGTTCACAAGATCACCACTCGAAGGTCGAATGAGCGAGTCATTCCTGAGCCCGAATTTGATGACTTTGAACCCGTCGTTGTTCGTAAGGTCACTACAAGCAGGCCAATTGAACCTAGTGTTCCTGAAGTCGAGGATGAGCCTGACTTTGAACCTCCCCTTGCTCGCAAAGTCACCACGCGAAGACCAACTGAGCAATTTGTTCCTGATCCAGAGGAGGATGATTTCCACCGTCCCGTTCGCAAGACCACCACGAGAAGACCAACCGAGCTGGACCCAGTCATTCGCCGTACAACAACAACACGACGGCCGACTCAACGTGAGCGGACATTGTTGGTGGTGCAGGATCCTGTCCCGCAAGTTCTGTCTCGGACAGCCACTGAGGTAATCGGTCTCGGCGCTTCGAGAAGCTCTCCCATTCAGTCCCACCGTATTACTCCTGAAGAAACTGGTATGCTTCGACGACAAACAGCTACAGAAGCGGTGGACGAGCCCAAAATGCCGTCACGTCGCGGAACTACCACGAGGACTACCACTGGATTGACTGACTTGACGATGAACTCGATCGACCCGCTCGATTTCGCATCAACGGAGCAAGCCCAAGATCACCCAGCTAGTCGAGAACCTACCATAGAACGAGCACCAACTACTGAATTTACGCCTCCAGTCATGCGCGCTGCAATGACTTTTCCAACTCCAACTCGCGCGCCTACTCATGCACCTACCCGAGCGCCTACTCGCCAGCCCACGCTTCCTTCGCGGAGGTCTACCCTGGGTCCACAGATAACCTCTCAAGAGGCATCACCTGAGGTACATCCTTTGGAACGAATCGCGCGAGAGCCAACAGCTTTGGCCCGGGAGCCTACCATAAACCCGCCACCGCCTTCTCCGGAAGCATCACCTGTGATAAGTCCCGCGGAAGTTACCGCACGGGAACCGACGGTTTTGTCTCGTAAGTCAACTACGGTTCCGCCACGATCCTCCCCAGAAGAGTCGCCTGAGATTCATCCCTTGGAGAGGCTTGTCCGAGAGCCAGCTCTTCTCTCTGTGAAATCAACCATGGAGCCACGGCCGTCTTCTCCTGAGGAAACGTCCAATGCGACTCCTATCGAGAAGAATACGCGAAAACCATCAACATTATCACGCATGCCGACCGAGTTGCCACCTTTGCCAGACTCTTTGTCGCCTTCTCCACCCGCTACCGTTGAAGCCGGCCCAGAACCCACAGAAGCGTCCTCCCGTAAGTTGACAAGGAAACATACCATAATTTCTAGGCAGTCTACTGGACTCTCTTGCTCAGAGGAATCTTTGGAAGCCGAGCAGACACCTCCAATATCTCGAAAAGTGACCAGGGAGCGAACACATATCTCCAGGCAACCCACTGAAGTATCTCGTGTAATAGACTCTTTGGATGCAGAAGTAACACCCTCGGTCTCCCGGAAGGTAACCAGGGAACTCATACGTGTCTCCCGACAGCCTACCCAGCAGACGCAACTCTCAGAAACTCTGATACCAGATCACATACCTCCAGTCTCGCGGAAGGTAATCAGAGAACCCACACGCATATTCAGGCAGCCAACGGCGCCGGAGGAGGTACCCCTTATGCCTTCGAGACAGACGACAGCACAATCGCGTCGGCCGACCGCAAGGGACGAGAGTCCGTCATCAACGATGGCAGTGACACGCATGGCTCGCGCAGATCCCCGGCCTCCCGTTGAAAGCAACTTCAATCCTTCAAAAGCTTCAGAATCTGAAACTGAGCTTGTAATCACTGCTCCACCGAGTACGCAAGCTTCAGCACAAGTCTTGAGGAAGCTCATTAGGGCTCCTAGTGTTCTTATTTCGCGGAGAACGACTTCTACTGAGGTCGAAGCTGAGAGCGATTTCAATCCTTCTGAGCCCGATGAGTCTGAAATACCTGCCGTACCCAGTAGGACGGCTTCGTCCCAGGTCTCAAAGAAATTGACCAGAGCTCCTACTGTGCCCGTTTCGCGGAGGCCCACTTCAAATCTACCAGAAAAAGACCCTTCCTCTACTATGCCGGTGATGCGAATGGCACGGGCAGATACTGAGAAAGAGGCCAAAAGGGAATTCGACCCCTCTGGACCTGATGAGTCCGAGCCATTTATTCCTCCAAGCAGAAAAGCTTCAGCTCAAGTTTCGAGGAATCCAACGACGGTTCTTACTGCCTCTGTCTCGCGAAAGTCTACTGGAGCTCCCACTGCTCCAGTTGCGCGAAAGCCTACTAAAATTCCAACTTCATCGGTTCCACGCAAGCCCACTTCGACTTTGGGGGAGGAAGAACCATCTCCTAGTATGCCAGTCGTGCTAATGGCGTGGGAAGACCACGAAATAGACGAGGGAAGCGATTTTCATCACGAGGCCTCTGATCCTGAGGTCGATCCTCCAAGCCGAAAGCTTTCTACGCAGATTTTAAAGGCTCCAACTAGCGCTCTTAACTCAAGTCCCCTGAGCGGGGCTGCTACTATTCCGATTTCACGAAAGCCTACTGCCATTACGCGCGATGGAAGCCCCACTTCGAACATGCCAGTGAGGCGCATAGCAAGAGCGGGTACTGACCATAAAGATGACAATAACCTGAATCCTGGAATTCCTGAGCCTGACGTTTTTTTCCCGAGCCGAAGGACCTCCCTATATCTTTCTAGAAAGCCTACCAAAGCTGCCCCGTTTCCTCTTGAGCGCGGCGATACTGGAACCATGCAGCGCCAAAGGACCGCATCTACATATGACCCAGTAATTAGGCGAACCCCAAAAAACCAGCCTGCTGAGCTTCAAGAGGATGTGAGCGAAGATTATATGTCCGAACCTGTTCCAGCAAGGAGTGAAAGCCGGAGAGAATCGATGCTAATTTTAAGGGAGTCTACTGGGATTGCCACTGTTCCGCTCGAAAGGAAACTCACAGAAGTCCTCGAACGGCAGAAAAGCATGTCATTAGGGGATCTGGCTACCGAAGAGACACTAACACAGCAGCCTACGGAGCTCGAGGAGAAAGCGATTCGCGTGCCAACGCATCGAGAATCTTCTGAAGACGAAGAAGAAGTGCCAATACCGCGACGAGCTACGAAAGTGAGAAGGGCCACTGAAAAGGTCACTTTGCCCCCGGTAGACCTCACAGTCAAGCGAGCTGTATTACATCAGCCATCTGAGCTCGAAAGGAAGGTTCCTCGCAAGCCTACCGAGGAAGTGACCCCAGAAGAGGACGAGCCGATACCTAGACGGGCTTCAACCGGTTTTTCACGCCAGGGCACGTATGAAGACCCGTTTCAGGTCGAAAGGATGGCAGCCCGTGTACCGACCAAACGAGCGCCTTTGGAAGAAGAGAAGCCTGTTCAACGAAGTGTAACTGGCATCTCGCGTCAGGGAACAGCCGATCGCCCTCCCACTGGCCTTATCCAAAGAAATCTGGAGCTGGAAACAGAAGCGGATCGGTCCTTTTCTCCTTCTACCCAATCTTCAGTGCTTGACGAGCCGTTGGCAGTTTTGGATGTTTACCACGGTAGTCCGGCTCCATCAATCCCGGATCCACCCAAAGAGCCAAGTCGTGCTCCAACCCGCAAGGAAACGATTCGTTCCCGTCGTCGGTCTACCGTTGAAGATATCCCACCTGATGAGAAAACAGTGAGGATTCAAGACGATCCTACAGCATCCTACAGTCCCCCTGGACTTTATTCAAGACAGCGACGTATTGCCGCACCTGAGCAAGCGCCAACAGTACCTGTGATTGTGGCTGAGATCGTTCCAAACGAGACTCTAGCTGCACCAGTGACGCGCATTGCGGAACCACCCACCCTTCCTACTGAAGAAATCCCAGATCAGGAGCCTAGTAGGCTTGACAGGCCTCCTACTGCGGACCTATCTCGAGACCCGCAGTCACTTGCACCGCCATTAGAGCATGTAACAACTACTGCGCTAGAAAGGCGGCGAAGCACGATACCTCGCGTGCTCACTGTGCCTACGGAAAAGCAAAGGAAACCTAGTTCAGCAGCTCCAGGTATCGTTGCCCTTCCCACACAATTTGCACCGAAGAAGACGTTGCCTGCTGGTCGCAAGCGCAAGGCTAGAAAGTCCGTCTATGGTGTTAACCTCCCGCCAGATCAACAACGACCTCCGGCCCCTGAGTATCCAGTGCGAGACACCCCAACGTGGACCAGACCAGACACGCAGACGCCGCCTCCCAAGCCCAAAGAGCAGCCAGCACCCAAGCCAAAACGAAGCTTTTTTGGTTTTGGCAGTAAACCCAAAGCCGAACCCCAGCCAGTTTCGCATGTTCAACGTAAGTACTCACCTGAACCACCAGCACGAAGGGACCGGGAACCAGTCCGGCCCTTTCGACCCGCGGCACCAGGACACGCACCAGGATATCCTGGGGGAACGCTACAAAGGCCAAGAGGTTATGAAACCGCACCCACACGACAGCCCATCTTCCTCGCAAGAAAAGTTGATCCACCCGTCGCCGTCTACTCCCCTCCTCGAAGAGACGATCCTCCTCCCCGACAAGCGCCAGCATTTGCCAGGAAGGACGACTACTACCCCAGACTCCCACCTCCACTTCCCGAACGACGAGACTCCTACTCTAGACCACGAGCAGCGCCTGTTCGACGAGATGTCTACTCTCAGCCTCCACCTGCTCCAGCCAGAAGAGATGATTATCCAAGAGCCCCTCCAGCTCCCGCTCGAAGAGATTTCTACCCGCAACCCCCTCCAGTCCCAGCTCGACATGATGGCTACCAACCCCGTCCTACAGCCCCCGCTGGACGAGACAACTATTCCAGACCTCCAGCAGCCTGGTATGAGCCCTCTCCAGCTCACAGGCAGCCTCGTCCCCTGCAGCATTACCCCCCTCGCAACGAAGTTAGTGCGCGACCCCTTCGTAGCCAAGCGCCGGAACCCGTTCGCTATCAACCTCAAGCGCAACAAAACCTTCGTAACCAAGAGAAGGCCTTTTCTAAGCATGAAGCGCCTGCACCTGTTCGTCGGGCGCCGACTGACAAACAACCCACTCGCGCGCCGGCAGTTTCGCAAGCGACAGCTAAGTCAGGACCTGTCCGCCGCGACCCCCAAGACGGCTCGCAAAGGGACGACCCGCCGCAACGTGGTCGCACAAGGAGCAGAACTTCAAGGATGTGGGATCAGGAAGTTCCTTCAACGCAAAGGGCGCAAAGAAAAGGTGCAGAAGAGCGACGTAGGAGCTCAGCCGAGCGGGGTACTCAAGCGCCGCAAGCAGAAGAGAGCTCGCAAGAAGATTTTGGATCTGCCGCCTCCGAGTTTGGTGCCAGAAATGACGACGGTGATCTTGGACGCAACCACATCACAGACGGGACCAGTGAAGAGAGTAGTAGACCCTCCTTCGATAGAGCTCATACAGAGCGAGCTGTCCGCGTCAGAACCGCTATCCCCCGCGCGAGCACCTTCTCAGCCCTCGATGCAGCAAGAAGAATATCTGCAGCAGGTCTTGCCTTCAGGCCCAACCCCGATAGCACGTTCCTCAAGCCGCTCTCCCCAATTGAGGCAGCAAGAACAATCTCAGCGGCGGGACACCGCATCAAACGACACCAAAGTCCAAATGCAGAGGACTCGCGATCGCGCTCCGCAACGCCGCGAGCGGGAACCTCTCGGTTGGGCACATTACGGCCGGAGTCAGAAAGGGGCTCAGTCACGCCTACAGCGGGGAAGCTCCCTCGAGAGGCAAGTGATGGAAATTCGTCTCGAGAAACATCCACGCTCGGAGAGGAGGAGGGCAGAGCGCAGAGAAATTCCGGTAGACGTCCATCAACAGCGCACGGCATACGATCTCCAGGAGCTACATGGGATCCGCAAAACGGGGGTTCAAGAAGGGCAAGCGGTGCAACTCGACCTGATGACTTCCCAAGATTCCTCGGTGGTACAACCTTCGTTGCGTCAGGACCGGGCAGCTCACTCAGTGAGGCTTCGTCGGCGACGATCACCCCCGAATTACTCTCGCGGAACCGAGGTCTCGAGCAGGCCCTTCAGAGAATCCGAACAATACCAGAGGCAGCAACGGAAGCCTCACGATCGTTTGACTCGCGTGAGGGGTCGGGAGACGCTGGGTCGAGATTGGGACGTGAACAATTCCAATTACCAGTCTCAGCGCCAGCGCCAGCGCCAGCGCCAGCGCCAGCGCCAGTACAGCAGTATCGAGGACCAAGAATCCTCTCGGGAGAGGGCTCCAGACCAGAGGTACCGCGAAGTCGCCCAGTCACAAACTTCGAGTTACCCGTACCAGGAGCAGCAGCAGCGGATGATCCACGACTACAGTCCGCAACGCAGCAGCGTGCTGACCCCAAGCGAAGAGATTCCTTCCTCGCAACGAGCCCGCCCCCAGAGACTTTATCCACGACAGGACAGAAGGGCTTTTGGGGACGAAGAGACAAGTTGGAGCCGCCAAAACGGGATGGGAAGGATGCAGGAAGGGAGGAAGAGGAACGAGGAGGAGATGCTCAAGAGGGGACAACTGGTGGAACTCGACAGACAGGGCAGGATGGTGGAGGCCAGCAGAAGGGACTTCGAGAGAAGAAGAGGCTTGGAGCAAAGGTTGTGGAGGGCCAAGGAGTGAACTTGGGACTTGGGAAAAAGTTGTTTGGGAAATGGGCATGATTGTGTGAAGGAATACGTTACCGTTGATCCTGTTCAGTTTTGCACTGTAGTAAATTGACTGAAGCACTCAAACCTCTGCCTTGCTCCAAAACTGTACACAGTATATAATACAACCTGGAGGATGACGAAGTCCCAATCTTGACCCTGGAAGCACACACTGGGATAGTAGGTTAGATCACGCCTCTCGATGGTAGTCTGTGATCGTTTCCACGATCGTCGAAGCATGGAAGCAATGTATTCGATAAGACTCTAGAAAGAATGTACGAATCGTTCTATTACTACACATTATAATCTTGTATACGAACATGACAATGAAGAGCAATGCTATGCAGCCCCGTCTCGTACAACATGTGCGCCGCCATTCAGAAGAGCATGAAATGGTATCAGAAGCAGCAACGCCGTCCCATCTTTTCATTCAATAGCAACCTTCCACGTAGCGCAACGGAAAACCCATCCAAACTCTAAAATGCATGTATTCATACCACCCAAAGATAAAGACCTGCGGCATCCTACAGCCAAAGCAACCACTTGACGATGCGCCAGAAGAAGGCAACGCTGCGCGTGCCCACGCGGCTCAGCGTTACGACCAGCCACGCGCACCACATGAAGCCCAGCAGCGCCCACTCGAGCAGCGTCCACCCAACCCTGCGCACCCAGCGCGTGCGCCGCCGCCGCATGCGCACCATGTGCTCGATGTCGTCTGTGATCTGCTTGACGGCGAGCGGCGCGTCGGCAGACACCTGGCTCGACACCTTGAGCGCGTCATCCCCGCCTTCCCGGACGCGCGCGAAGAGCGAGGTCTCGACGTTGCTTTTGAGGTCTGCGATGCGAGACTGCAGGTCGACGACTGTGTCTTCGCGGAAGCTGCGGGCGAGGCTTTGCAGGGCGCTGATGCGGGATTCGAAGGCGGTCGTGAGGATGCGCGCGGCGAGTACGTGTTCTTCCTTGCGCGCGACGGGGTAGAGGTCCCTGTGCGCGGAGGCGGCAGCGCGGACGAGGAAGCTGGCAGGCGGGTTGCGGATTTCGAGGGCGCGGCGGTTTATCTCCTTGGCTTTGATGCCGGAGCAGAGGTAGAGGGCGCGGACCCGGGCGATTTCCGAAGGTGTGACCTCGATGGTGTCGCTGCTCTTAGATCGGGACAGGTCCTTCTGGGAGTCGGTGATGCTCCAGTGGCGCCTGCCTTCGAGGGTGGGGCGGGAGGGTCTGCGCTTGGGGCTGGCGTCTGCGCTGGAGGAGCGCAGGCGATCTTTTGCGAGGGAGGTTACGGGGAGGCCTGCGTGGCCGACGCCGCCGGGACGGGCGAGGAGCCGGTTGATGCGGTCTTGGCTTGCGGAGCGGGACGAGGAGGAGGATATGCGGGAGAGATCGAGGCCGGGAGGAGCTAACTTGTCGAAGCGGGGAGAGCGGTTCTTTGCTGTTTCGCGGGACTGGCGGCTGATGTGGTTGTCGGAGAGCTCCGAAGCGCTGTCTTCGTCGATCTTGGATTGAGGACGGAAGGAAGGGAGTTCGAGATGATAGCCAGTGGCCTTCTTTGACGTCTTGGACGTGACGCTACCCGCAGTCTCGGCAGTGCTGCTTCGCGCGAGCTTGGGAGTTTTTCTACGGCGGAGCGAGCCGTAATCTTCGTCTGTTTCTGATTCGAGGGCAAGGTGGCCGTCAGATGCTGCATCAGTATCTGATTCGTCTGCTGGTCCCTCTTTGCGGAATATAAAGCCTCCCATCTTTGAGCTCTCGTTCTTTACGCCTTTGATGAACCTCGTGACAGCAGACGGCGGTTCCTTGGCGTCTTTTCGATCTTTGTCTTTGATCGGGCTCGTCAGACTGTTGACACTGTCGTTCTTGCGGTGTCCCAGGAAGTTCTTGACCGCGCCTGGAGCTGCCCATATCGCGGAGCTAATACCATTGCCTTCTTCAGCCTCTTCGATAGCGTGGCGAGAGCTACGCTTCTTATCAGAGCCGGCCGAATCTGGCACGAGGTGATCCTGATCGTGCCTCGCTTTGGTCTCTTCAGATCGTAAAAAGTCCAATTTACTTTTCTTGGGCTTCTTGTGGGAACCCGCGCGACTCACCGAAGGTGAAGTATCGCCATCGATGTGTGGGTAGTGCCTCGGGTAGAGCGGGGTGCTTGGTGCCGTGCTATCGAACTCTTCGAACGACGATCTGTATTCTTTCGATGGGTCTTTCGACAACTCAGGATCGTTACGCTGCTTGGGGGGGAGCTTGGGCCCAGCCAGGTTGGCCTTGACAGACCCATTTGCAGAATCTGACACTTCAAATGAGCTTCGTACACCCTTCTCATCATGACCGTCAGTCGTCCCTTGGCCCCATTTGTTTGGAGTGTCGGGAGTGAACAACAGAGGGGTTTCCGCCCGCTGCGTCTCTTTGACTTCTGTCTCCATGAGATGTTTCATCCTAAGTTTTAGTGCACCAGTCTCGTTGTCTCCTTCTACCATCTTCTGGGTCTTCTTCGAGCGGCGTTTCTCCAGATCAGACTCGGAATCAGAAGAGTCCGTATTGCTCCCAGCCTGCTGTCTCGAACCGATCCAGTTATGCTTTTTATATTTGGGGCTCTCCGCACGGAACGTTGGCAGTAGCCTTCGCTTGCGGCCACGCTCGCTCAAAGCCTCGCTTTCATCTCCGGTAGTATTGTGGTTGTCTGCTACTATGCCCTCGACCCAGCTCCTTCTGCGTTTGTCGGGATACTCTTTGCTGGGACGGGCTGATAGGAGGTCTTGCTTTTGCGGTTCCTTTGCGGGGAAGATTTTGCGTCCGTAGCGATCCTCCACGATTGTCTTATTATCACTATGTTCAAGCCAATGCGCATCTGCAAGCAGCTCCTCGGACGAGAACATCCAGATTTTGCTTGGTCTAGCGGGTTTTGCATGGTCTGCGGCTGTCGCGTGGCTTTCATGAAGTCTGGGCAAGGCCACTCTGTCGAGCTGGCGGTACATGAATGATTGTGCCGCTTCCTCTACCCTGTCGACCCATTTGTGAACCTGTTCCACATCCGCAAACTCTTCCGGGGGGTGGTCGAAGCTCTTCCTTTCGCGTGCTCGGCTCCGGCGGTTACGCAAGACCTGTAGAGGGTTGTAAGGTCGACCAAGGTCATGGTGCTTGTTCGCATGAGACGGAATCCGTGTCAATTGCGCATGTGGACTGCCAGGGACATTGTTTGCCATGACGACGAAGTTTCCAGGCGCAGAGGAGTCAGGCTTGAGCGGAGGGAGGAATTCAAGGAGCCTCAGGTATTCTACCCTCAGCTCAATGAAGGCGCGAGCCTTGTCCACACGCTGCCAGGTGGCCGGGCTCGGCTCTTTGCCTTGCTGTCCCTGTATCAAGACCGACCCTCTGCGTTGCGCTGACATGGACATATGGCGCGCCGGAGACTTGTCGCCGAAAGGGGATATATTTCGGGATGCCCTCCGTTGCTCGTTCAGATATTGTCGCAGGTGGCCGCTGCCAGTGCTAGGACTATTGACGCTGCCGTCGCGCCGCCGCCCAGATGTGACATGCGCTTGTGGAGTGAGCAGCTGGCCAGCACTCATGTTGCGTCGGCGACTCTCATTGAGGCTCAGAGCCATGTGTACGATTTGGTTCGGATCGAAGGCGGGACGCGGCGTGGTAGCATCGGGCTGCTCTTGATGGGGCGCACTGGGAGGCACCGCGGATAGCCTGGCTCTCGTCTTTGCAACGAGTATACCATCGGACGCATGCTCCTCCGTGTTGACAGAGTCGACCCGGCGATCTGCTTGGGCAGGCACTCCCTCAGCCATGCTGACCTCCCGCGACAAAGGCGAGCCGCTCGCAATCCCAGTTGCTGCATGTCTTGCTGCGTTTGCGCTTCGATCGTTTGTCTGCTTGCGCTTTGCATCCTTCCCGCTCCCGCTCTGGTGTGCATGTCGGCTGCGCGGTCCGTTGGAGAAGGCCGAGTCGAGAAGAAAGCCTCCAGACCTACGGTTCCGCTTGCGCTGCGCGAAATCGCGCTCTCGTACCGCCTCATCGCGCAACGCATCCCCAAAATGCTGCGACTGCTCCTCCTGCACGTGGCTTCTCCCTCCGCTGTTCTGCCTTGAGCCTGCCAGGCTAGGCCGTTGTGACGAGCTACCCTCCCCATTGTCTGCGTACACGTCCGAGTATCTCGAATTCAGCGTCGGCGAGGATGTGACCGAGGGCATGGACGATGTGGAAAGCCGACCCTCGCTGGAGGGCGCCGACATGGTGGTGACGGCCAGTCGTATTGTTACCGTCGCCGGCGAGGATCACGCATGGTCAAATATGGTTGCTGCGTCAAACGACCGCGTGCAGGTTTGGTTTCTGGCAGCCAAAGAACAAGCGGAACGTGCTGGGAGCGGTAGACGAAAGGCGACACTGGCACATGCGGAGAGATGCAACGCGGCCCATGGCCCATGTTCAATCTGCGGTAACGGGGGTCGGACCGCCGCCATTCCATATCCCTGCCTGATCTACGTCAATATGCAAAGTCCGCACGCGCCACCCTTCACCAGCCACGCGTCCAGGGGGAGACAAGTGGCGCACCGTGAGCCCCATCATGGACGGCTTCTGGGGACTGCTGAAGAGTACATTACCACATCTCCGCGTGAAGTGAAGCCACCATACCAGGGCGTCGTTGTATAAATCCGGCCCAACACCAATATACAAAATCTGCCAGCTTACTGCCAGCGCTGAGAAGACAATCATCAACAGTTTGCTTACAACAAATTCCGTCCAAACATAAAAACGCCTGGGTCCCATGGCTCCAGTTATGCATAGTCGTTCAACGCGCTGTTTGGCATGCACACATGCACACCCACAAATGCTGAAATGCCCTATATTCTGAACACCCTCATCCTCCTGCTATACCTGCTGCGTCGTGGTCCCTACAGCATGGGCAGGCGGCGGCGCTGGCCCGCCTCTTGCTTCTGCGATATCTCCAGTCGTTCGGACCGGAGGAGGTGTTGGAGTGGGCGTAATACCCTGGGGAGGATGATATCCGGTATCTGTTAGGCGGCCGGCTACAGGGTCATAATTAGCCCCGCGCTGGCCTGCCAACGGTCGACCAGAAAGGGAATATGAGGGTTGCAATTCGATGTTGTCGTCGTCCTCGGAAGAAGAGTATTCGTAATTATCCTGTCTGCGTCGGCTGGCCTCTGTGAAGGGATTTGAGGCTGGAAGCTGTCCCTGGTATCCAGCGACTTTGGACGAGTATGTCGAGCTCATCGTGTCGCTCGGTTGTATTCCGCCAAACTCCTCCTCTCTCCGCCTCTGCGATTGAGATATCTGCTGTCGGAAGACATTGCCACTGTGCCCATCAGCTCCCGGAATAGCTGACGAGGTACCCCGCTCCTCGTCTGTTGCTGATCGCACAGGACGCAGCGGTTGTATATCATCTGCAATCACTGCAGTCGGTGGAGGCATGGCGGGGCCTTTACCCCAGGCTCGAATAGGATACGCCCGGCCCTTGCGCCATGTTTCCGAGACTGGAGGGAAGTATTGACGGTAAGAACCCCATGCTACCAGAATGCCCATCAAGCTACCAGATAGAACGTCGAACGGGTGGTGGCGGGCGTCCATGATGCGACTTCCGGCAATGAGCGCGGCCCCGAGCGTCGGCACGAGAACGATGAACGACTTCCACACCTCGCCCTTTGAGTCGAGTACGTGGAGCTTCGCGGCGAGATAGATGGAAAGGTAGAAGAGACCCCCGAACGAAACTACGAATGTGAGTGTTTGCGCATGGCGGAGTGTGGATACGATCATACCACTGCTGTGCGCTGACGGGAAGCTCTTAAAGCCATCCTGCAAGATGTAATTGTCCGATTGCATGCAATCCGCAACTGTAGCCATGACGACCCTGGGGTAGTTATCGTGGAACGCCTTCCATACTTCCTCCTTGACCTGGCACCTGTGCCAAATTAGCATCCGCTGTAGGCCTTTACGTGGGATGTACCATACCGGTCGACGATATCCGGGCGGGGCTTTCCGATCGCATTCTTCAATGCTCCTGCACGGCTTGTCAGCAATGGGCGCATTCCGGGTGGGAGCTCATCGTACCCGTGATAGTGAAAGCCGCGCCTACGCTGAGCATGAGGCCGAGCAGCCCACAGTTCAATTCCCAAAGTCTGTCCTTGAGCCTGTAGCGACCGGTGAGGCGCTTCAATCCTCCTCTGCCCGCTGGCATGGGTGTCTGGTGCGAGAATATGCCGTCGATCACCATGGTGTAGAAGGTGATGATGACAATAGGGAAGCCGATGGCGAAGACGGCCGCCATGGTGACGGTCACGCGCTCGTGCTTCGCATACGGATAGTGCAGGGTCCAGTTCTCGAGGGCGAAGGGCTGATGGAAGGGCTCGATCTTGTCGACAAGCATGAACACGGCGAGGAGGACGCTGCGATGATTAGGAAGGAGGTCGTGTGCAACGACATGGGCGGTGCAAGCTCACAAGATAACGACATAGTCGAGGATGTAACTGTGCCAATTAGTGGGTGGTTCTTTCCTCGGTCCCTGCCAGAGCAACGCACGAGAATATGACCCTCTTGGGCAGGCGCTTCTTGGAGAAGGGCAGGCGCTCAGGGAGCTTGTTCGTATTCCACTGGTCCATGATGGAGCTACCGCATCCAGCCGCGCAACAAAAACCTCCGAGGCTGCCTCAGGCTTGCACTGGGTACGGGCCCTCCGGGGATGCTGTCAGCCCTGTGGAAAAGTTGCTGCGGGCGAGGGCGGCGTGGTGTTTTGCGCAGAGACGGGCGTCAAGCAGGCGGCGCGCGCAGCAAAGAGCGGGAGAGCGAAAGGGAACCAAACGAGCGGCGGGTTGACGGACGTAAAAGAGCAGCGTGGTGCAGTTGCAGGCCAGGGTTGCTCTCCATCAGCGTCTCCACAGGAGCCAGGCAGTGTCAAGTTGTATTCAGCGTGGCTGAGGCTGCTGACAGGTGCAGCGCCAGCACCGCCTAGCGTTGGAGCAACTTGGCTGCGCGCATCCATACCCACTTGGGGCGCCAGGGGCACTCATCAGACGGGGCGCTCCTCGCAGAAAGGAGCGGCCTGCGAAATGGCCCGTCCACTCGAGGCGCCGCCTATGCCATCAAACGGAGCATTGGCGACGTGGGCCGCAGGTTTGCCGACCCTCGGCGTGGCGCTGATGGAGATCATCTCAGGCTAGCCTATTTGCTACACCATGCTGCCGCCCGATCAGTGTGCCGTTGCGAGCGTAACGCATTGTGAGGCGCGCTCTACGTGTCGCCCTACGTCGTTTCCACCATGACGCCCATCGTTCCAGACTTCGCTCGCCATTCGCGCACATACTTGTTTGTGGGCGCGGCAGCTCTTGGTACCTTGGTATTTCTCAAGTCAATAGGAACCTCTACCATTCCGACTGGACCGCATATAATCCCTTCGCCGAAAGACACTCTGTTGCCAAATCTTACGGCTGAAGAAGTAAATCAATTGCCATATCCACCAGACCCGTTGCCCGGACGAAGAGATGTCAGCTCAGCCTTGGGTGAGTACCCTGGCAGGAGATGATGGTGGTGTTACTGAGTCAAATTCTATCTCCCAGGTAGTACCCGCGTTTACGAGTGGGGTCCGGAAGATGGACGTAGGGTGATACTCATTCACGGCATCTCGACACCAAGCATAGCACTGGCCAACATTGCTCAAAAATTGGTCGACAGAGAATGCCGCGTGATGCTATTTGGTGAGTCAACATTGAATTTTCGTATCACTTTCGCCCATAATTTGATCTGCACTTTTTTAGTGGATGTATATCTTCGCAAGAAGCTTTTAGGATTCCTGTTATCGGGGAGGACGAATGGAGAGCACAATTTTATGACTAGTATCATGCCCGATCTCAATCTGTACAGTTTGGATATTTATATGTTCTCTACCTGGAACTGTACACCTAATATTCATACCCACATGTCGTCATTGTCATTATTTCCTAGAAGTTCCTACTATTCCCTCACTCTCGTCGATTGATTTTCCTCCAGTACCTATTGAAAAACTACACAAAGCGCTGGAGTATGACCTATTGCTAACATACATATACAGACCTCTTCGGCCGCGGCTACTCCTCCACCGTCACCCCCTACACCCACCCGCACACCACCCTCCTTTACCTCGCCCAACTCTCCAGCTGCATCGCCTCCTCGCCCCTCCCCTGGACCTCCTTCACCCTAATCGGCTACTCCCTCGGCGGTGCCCTCGCAGCAGACATCGCCTCCCGCATCCCCAGCTCCATCGAAAACCTCATTCTCATCGCCCCTGGTGGCCTCATCCGCTCCTCCCACATCAACTGGAGATCCCGCCTGCTGTACTCCTCGCATGGGATCCTCCCCGAGTGGCTCATCGAACAACTCGTAGCGCGCCGGCTGTGGACGGGGCCGGAGACGGTGGCGCATCCCGAGCCGGAAAAAGACGTCGCGCAGCTGAGCGGGGAGATTGAGGAGCCGCGAGGCGGGCTGAGGTCGGCCGCGGTGTACACGACGAGCCATCACCGGCTGCTGCCAGACTACGAAAATAGTACGGCGGCGAAGGTCGTGGACTGGCAGATTCTGCATCACAGGGGGTTTATCCCATCTTTTGTGTCGGCGATACGAAATGCGCCGATCCACGGGCAGCAGGCGCGGTGGGGGATTTTGAGGAGCAATATTGAGACGGAGGTGGGCGGGGTGAGGAAGGTGTTTTTGGTACTGGGCGAGACGGATCCGATTATTGTCGCGGAAGAGCTAGTAGAGGATGCGATAGATGTGCTAGGCAGGGAAAATGTGGAGGTGAGGATTGTCAAGGGGGTGGGGCATGAAGTTGCGATTTCGAATGCAGAGGATGTTGTTGGGGCGGTGGAAGAGGCCTTTGCGAGTCAAGGCTAGATGGACATTGCATGTAGGCGAGCATAGATGAGGTCTGCAAGATGTGTTTCGAAGAAACAAGGCATATCTGAGAGAAACTCAACTCAGGGCAACGCTACTGAAGTGGTCAAGGACAACTTGTCTAGCACCGACTCTACATACATCGTATTCTCAACACCTTCTAAGGTCACAGTACCTTCTTTCACCTTTTTCAAACCTAGACCCCTCCACTGAGCCCTCACCATCTACTTCCGCACCGCCACACACCCTTACCAAACCCGACCCATGCTCCGAACATTCCCCAAAGCAGCAAGCCCGCACGCGCCCGTCAGCAACACACTATTTCCCCGAGCTCCCCAGTTCCAACTCCAAGAAAAGCACCCTGCTTGGTCAGGGGTTCTAGAATCTGCTGACGTACGGGTCGTATCGTGCTTCTTTCGCACGGAAGAGGGAGTAAACGAGTCAAGGTAGCTTGCGAGGGAACGTCTTTTGCGATCCATGCACGTACGAGGTTGAATTTTGGGATCCATCAATTGTTTTGCGAGGGAGAAAGTGGCGGTAGTCATAGCACAAGAAACTCATCGGGGAACATTGCAGGGGAACAAACTTTTGCAGCACGTGTGCAATCCGCATTATCAGCCCATGAACAAGATGCAGTCCAGATCCCATCCTCTGTATGTAGCAAACATGTATCCAAAAACGCCCCCCTTGTGGTATAGCGACCAAAATATCAAAATCATGATAGTCATATAGACCGCCTCATTGTCCCTCGCGCACAATCTACAAACCGCAATCATTAACGATTACTATCCGCAGTACAGTCTCAGCTCCCTGCTCCTTCCTGCACGCGCCCAACTACAAGAATCTAGACATGCTGCTGCCTGAAGGGCTCGTATGTGTGACCAGTCTGGCCGTGGTGGCCGCTCATGTCGTGCATTTGGTGCGCGTTTCCGCTGGCACCCATGTATGGCGAGGCGACCCTCTCGTAGGTGTAAGGAGTCTTCTCGACAACAACCTTCTTGTGGGGGCTCTTGCCAGAGCAGCAGCACGTGCTGATGAGCCAGAAGAAGCCGCTGGCGATGGAGAAGGCGACGCCGATCCAGAGCACAGAGAGCATCTTGGCAGACCACGAGGCCTCGATGTTGTAGGGGTCGAGAACGGTGCGGAAGACGGAGATGAGGGTGCCGTAGAGAGCGGTGGAGGTCGAGGCTGCGGCGATCATGAAGAGAGTTTGTGCCTGGGTCGATGTTAGCTCAAAATAAGATAAAACCGGGGTTTTCGAGAAAGACGTACGGTAGAGACGATGGTAGTGACCAAGCTGCCCCACCTCGAGAAGATGGCCGAAATACCGACCAGAATCTCAGCAACGGTAAGAACAAGCGCAATCATGTAGCTGATGAACATCCATCGCGAGACCTTGTGGTATGTGTCGATGCCGCTCTGGAAGTCCTCGGGGAACCCGGCCTGAATGCTGGTGTTCGTGAGGTTCCACACCTCGAAGGGGTTGAACCAGAAGTAGTTCTGACGGTCGGTGCAGTGCCAGTTCTCCTCCTTGCCATCCTTCAGGTCTGCCTCGCAGTAGTTCCAAAGCCCGACCTGGTAGATATCCTTCATATTGCCAGCGGAGGCGGCAACCTGCATATCCTTGACGGCTTCAGGGGTCACGCCTTCGGGAAGGTTGTCGAGGACGTTTTCTGGATCATTCTTGAAGCCTGTGGTATTCGCCTGTACATAACTAGTCAATATGGAGTTTGTTGACAGCGGAAAGTAGCGTCGACGAGTAGACGAGGCTGAGTTGGATCAACGCACCTTGAAGAAATACAGTTCCTTCGACAGATCACTCTTCTGATATGCCTGACCCGACAACACGATGCCGAGACACAAAAGACTCGCAATCGTCAACGCCATTGGCGTGAAGATACACGCGAAACGCCCTGCCTTGCCCATGGTGTCTAGTTTTCAAACAATCGCGGATCGCGCAGAAACACAGCCGGGGTCTGTGACGTAGGAAGTGGAAAGCGACCGTGTGTCCAGAGAACCGATGCGGTATCCCAAGATATATCGATGAACGTAAATAAGGAAAAGGCGCGAGACACGAGAGCGATGGTAGGATAGTCTTAGCGGCGTAGGCTGGCGGCCAGCTTTTGTACGAGCGACGCCGCCTCAGCTCGCGGCCGTTTGGGTGCCCTCAGCCCCCTTGAGAAGCCCTGAACAGGGTCTGTGCCGGCGCACGACAGCCCACCCCATCCTTCTGGGACGGCGGGACCCAGCACCAGCCTCAACACGCTTTCGACAGTTCCAGTAAGAAGTGTGCAAGCCTGCTGACGGCTCTAAGCCTACTGTAGGAACGCGTCAACCATCTGGCATGGCGGTGCTGATGACTACAAGACCTCCACTTGATGTTCAGCTGCGCGTCAGTGACCGCTGGTTTGGACAGCCCGCGCTGATTGACTCTACCCTGTGAATATCTTCTTTGGGAGTCAAGTCTGCGAGTATGCAAGTCCGTCACCTGGATAATGGAGGGAAATTCGAATCCAATCGGTAATGTGTAGCCTTGCGTTGGGTCTTCGTTCTCGAAGGCGTGGCGACGCTAGGTGACGTGCCGCAATGCGACAAATCTCCACAATCAGCCCGGGCAAAAGTTGATCTCCATCCGCGCGAAACACGCACGCGTGAAGTCCTCCCCTTCTTCGTTCACACGCTGTTCAGCAGGTACTTCTCGTTGCGAGCAATGTACAACTAAGATGCGCAACGTACACAACCTCCGTCTTCGGCAACACCTTCATCCGCCTTACACACAAACACTCTCAGCCCAGCCAAGCGGCGAGTGCAATCTTAGCTCCATCTCATGCCCATGCAAGCAGTGCCCCAGCATTCACGCCCGCTGTTAAAATTAGACCGAACTCGCTTGGGGCTGGAGACCTGTGAATCTTTCCTCTTGCGGCGGATGCCAAGCCTGCTGTTGGCGGCGCAGTCTTGCGCGGCAGGGTGCTAGAGTACGTGTGCAAAGACGGCGCGGAGGCTCAACACCAGAGTGGAGTACGCGATGTGTTGATTCGTAAGTACTCGTGGGCTATATCTCGACCATGCCGTGTGGCACAGCGCGATGCGAGGTATTGCTGACAAGGTCGAGGTCGCTTTGGAAAGAGCGCTCGGCTGTCTATCCGAAGCGCGAGAACGAAACGCCTCAAGCGTACAGCATGTGGCGGACAATGCTGTGACCATGTAGTCTTCTTGTCAACTGGTGCAATGTTCGTTAGTTTAATGCTCTTGCGAGAAACCTTTGGTCGTGGGCACTTTTGGGTTATAGATGGGAAGGATGGAGTTTCCGATGCCATAGAACACTTTGCCAGCAGTGGATACCCAGGCTGAAGTGTAGGTGTGCAAGCTGTCTACTTGTTGAAGCAAAGAAAAGTGCAGAAACGTGTGCGACGTCACTCGAATCATGCCGTTACTAAGTGGCCGTGGGCTGATTCGAACAGAACTCTGGCTATGAGGTATACAATGGGGCATGGTACTTTCAACTACTCATATCAGACGCGTGCTCAGTGAAGCACGAGTGACAGAGATCTTTGAAGATGAGCATTCTTCGCGCACGTGACTTTACACGTCAACTGGTCCGCATGCAGCACAGGCAGAACCCGGAATCTGCCTTTTCTTGTCTCACAATCACGCAAAATCTGGTACTCCCAATACACATGTTTGAAATGCTGATCTTGTTGATTTTCTACTGCACTTCCTCTGAAGGGGTGTCCCTCGGCCTACCCTGCGTCAAGTGACGCGCGTCATGCTTGGATCTTCGGGTCCCCTCATCTCACCCACCGCCACGTCTGCACACCTGAGTCCATGTGACTCTCCCTAGGCCTTCCAAAGTAGCCCTTTTAGGTATATCCCTCCATACATGCACCTGATGCACCTGATGCTGCCCTCTCTTATCATGCAAAGGAAATGTCTCTGTGGTTGTAACAAATGGAAGTACACATCTCATCTCTCCGATAGATGGATTGTAGGTGACCAGAAATGCCAGTGGTATAAATCATGTTCGCCGAATTGCACGCGAACGTCATAGAAACGAAAATTGTAGACATGGTTGTCTCCTCCAGTGTCGTGAAAATGCTGCAGATTGCCGATCGCCGAAAATGGAACGCCGTCATGGAGATGTAGACATTAAGCTTTAGTACTAATGTCTAGAAGCGATGGGTGCGCCAGAACGCCGTAGCAGCCACGTTAGATGTGGTGCTGTTCCAGATAAATGTTGTTACAAGCGCGAGCAATGTCGCGACTTAAGATGATGGATATCGAGGTAGCTCATCTCCACCCAGGCTGATTAGCGAATGCTGTGGCATAGCGAATGAAGCAAGGCCGAGCCGTGGAGGGTCTAGTGTGACGAGAGTCGATTCCGAATGGGTAGAGTAGAAAGCGAGTGCGGAATAGGCAGATTGCTCATCGCGGGTGCTGGTTATGAGGATCTTGACCGGGGGTACCACGGCCCTGTTCTCCTCTTGAACGGATCCACTGGGCATTACCGCTCGTTCGACCTTCGAGCGCCTTCGGTGCGTCTGGGTCTGCTCGTGCAGTGACTCGTCCGCTGATGATGTCGTCGGCGTTGATCTTGCTGACGGATTGTGCGATCGAGGTGATGACATATGTGCGCAACTCACGGTCCTCACGCATGTCTTCGCCCTCGAGGCGGAACTTCTCTTGCTTGCCCATGTTGTTTCGTCGCATATTCCGGATCTCGGTCATAATGTGATGGAGGACTGCCTCGGGAGCGCGGGTGCGTTCGGCGCTGTATTTGGTCGCGTCCCGGACGTATCTCCGTGTGACGTCCATAGCACCGTCTGCAGAGAAGGCGATGCAGTATGAGAGCTTCTTGCCCCAACCTAAAACCTGTCAATAATATGTTCGTGGGATTCGGAGCGGGATAATGATGCGAACCTTGAGTGTACAAGAGAGGCTTGTCCCAAGCCTCTTCGCAGACGTCTACATGCACCCAGCGCTTGCGGTGGACGGAGTAGACCTCCGTCCAGACGTGATCCTCAGCATTCCAAACCCATCTGACCCTTGATCCGACGGCGCGGCAAAGCATGCTGAAGCAGTTGGCCCATTCGCCACATCGACCTCGGCGGGTCTGGAGGAGCACGAAGGCATCGTTGTATCGAGGGTATCGCTCGTAAGCACCGCAGTGTTCTAGGGAGCACTTGTAGAGCTCGACTTGGTTGGCGCCGCGTGCCTGCTCATCCGGGAGCGGTGCGGCCATACCAACGCCAATCGTCGGCGAGTAGCAGCGGCCACATGGCGGGTTGTTCACCCACGAGAAAAAGGAGCGTTTGAACCAGCGCATGAGCGCTCGGACAACGCAGTCCTGGTAGCCCCAGGCGGCTTTTTTGCCAGCGCCCAGGCTCTCGGCCTCGGCCTGGAGGATCTGGCTCTCTTCTTCGGCTTCGCTGTATATCTGCTCCAGCGGGACAACCCGCAGGGCCTCGTCGAGCAAACCGGGGTTTTCCCATCGCAACGGCATGTTGGAGAGCGAGTGGAGCATGTTCTTGAAGCGCAGCGAGCGGGCGTCCTGGGGCGGTTCCGGTACTAGGGGGATGTTGCGGAGCGACGAGTACGAGGGCGGGGCGTTCTGGACGGGTGGCGGCTGCGGCGTGCCAAAGTCTCGGGGTGCTGGCGATGCGGAGCGAGACTGGACGGATCGCGAGGTGAGTTCGTTCATGCGCTTGGTGCTGAGGACCTGGCGAAAGCGCTCCGTCAGTTCGGTAGCCAGCTGGTTGGCGTCCTGGTGGGCGGTGGTCGGCCGTGAGGCGCCGTGCGAGTGCTCCATGGTTGGATGCGGTGGTGCTCGCAGCGGTCGCGAGGGGCGTCGAGTCGACAGGGTGGTGGTGGTTGCGTTCTGCGTGCGCAGAATGAGGGAGCGGCGGCGTTATAGTGTCGCAGGCTGCGGGCGCTGGGTGCTGGGGTCCTGGCTAGGCGCGGCGGGAGTGCACAGCCCTTGTATGATGCGGTCGAAGGCGCAGCACTGTGGCCGAGGCAGCAGTTATTACGGGCGTCGTCTGCTACGATGCGACTGTAGCGACGGCAGCGCAGCGTCCGGAGAGCGCACGAAGAACAGAGTCAAAGAGGATCTTTTCGAGTGTCGAGGGACGGGGTGGGTTTGTAGGGCCCGGGCGATGATGAGGGCCGCCGGCGCTCACTGACACTCTTACGCGCGGCCTGCGCGAGCTTGCGTGGCAGCACGAACACGAGCCAATGGCGCGTCCGCTCGCTAAGAAGGCGCTCCCGCAGTTTCTTTCGCAGCTGCTCTCGTGCCTGGCGAGAATCCCGCTATGATTATCGCGGCCACACGCGCGGGCGTCCGCGTGTGTTGCTGCTGTCCGTCGGCGCAGACGCCGTGGTGCCGTCTCCGCTGCGTGGCCGGTTGCGCCTGCCCTCCACCCCGAACAGGGAAGGAGCACTCTGGACCTGCTGGCGGATGAAATGCCCTGCAGGGCTGCCTCCGAATGTGCTGTATACAGCGCTGCATCGCAATACCACGATTTGAGATTGAGGATATTCGCCGCAGGGGCCCCAATATGCGTTATCGCGAAGCCCGGGTCAATAGAACATGCGTTGCACCCACAGCACCACCGGGCACCTCACTACACGCGGTGAGGACGAACGCGTAATCCCACTGATTGGCTCTTCGCGCTGTTGCAGTGAATACGCGGCCCTTTGACTACGCTTACTGCATCTGTCACCCCTGTTCGGACTCCCCTCAACCGCTTTAAACTGATACATCGCCAATTATCCAAGACATCGTTCATCCACTATTTGCACAAGTCCAGAGTGAGGCCTCGCTCAACACGCAATCTTGCTTGATGCCTCCTCCGCCGCGAGACGGGCGAGAGAGTCGTCATCGCCATCGCATGCGAACGCGAATCTCGCCTGTCCCACGACAGCCTTGTCCGCTTGCGTGCTTCGACGGGTGGCGTACTTGGCGGTGTATGTAACTTATGATGGTAAGCCTTTGCCTTGGCACGTCGCGTCGCCAGTCCAGACATGCTACGTGCGAAAGATTTCGTCTGCCATAGCATGATGTTTCGGTAATGGTGGTAAAGCTTGCGAGCACTAAGAAGTCACTGATTTGCTGCTCCGCATACACTAACATTGTAGAATCGTTGAGTTTTGTGCTTGATTGCGTGTGCTGAACTGCCCATCCCATGTATTTACTGAGTGAGTCCTGGTGGATGAACAAGCAATACAGAAATGATCCAGGTGTTCGACAAACCACGTGCAATGACGGCGATCTTCAAAGGTCCCACTGACCGCCGACGAAATCTCCTGATTCGCCGCCCGCGGTTTGCTCACATGGTTACAACATGGCCTCGAGCTTACGAAATCGTCTCCATACTTTATCTCGCGCAACAAGTTAGTCTCGCTCGAGACGAAGACCCACGTCCAGCCCCACGCCTAAAAGTCTCTGTGCTTTTGCTGTGTACACCCGGCCTTGCCAAAAGTGGCAGTCGGGGCCCAAACACCAGCGCCTTTCCTCCGAAACCGAAACATCATAACTGGGGAATAGGTGGCAAGTGTGGCAGAAAGTGTTTTAATAACCATGGACGCGAATCCACTATTCGTGAGCTCCTACGAACCGTGGGGGGAGGTCCAACTCCCATGAAGGCCTCTCCACAAGGACTACTTCGAGTGGTTGGTCGTCTTTCCCTACAGGCACCATTCCTAGTATAGGCCGGTATTGGAACGTGTTCCACCAGGGCTCGGGTGACCGTCTTTGTGGTTCAATTGCCCCATCTGTGTCCTCTGCCACATCATCACTCGCTCCATCTGTTTCGTCAACTCCATCTTTTGATCTTCGAAGACTGATCAGAGCTCCTTGCTCGTCGTCGGCTTCGTGGTCTGATTCACCCATTTCGGTATCGTGTAAGCCGATCTCGGCTGGCGATTTCGACTCGTCATCCTCTGCGCTGTCAAATCGCCGCATCTTCGTTACGGGCGCATCCTCCTCGGGCACCGCGTCACCCGCACCACTAACACCTTTCCTAGCGCCTTCCCTTTTGCGCTTCCTAGATGCCTTGCTATCCGGTTCTTCCCCGATCGTGGAATCTTGTGTCTCGATCGTTTCCGGGATAGGGAGATCTCTGTTCAAATCGAACATGAACACCCATCCCTCACCATAAAGCCATAGGCGTTGTTGGTTGTTGACATCCCAGATACACCCTTTGGTTGGAGACTTCAGGATCCGATACTGTGATGGATAGCTGGAAGGCGGATTCCGCCTGCTCCACTCTGACAAGCGACCGGCTAAAACTTCGAAGAGGTACAGTCGTTGGTCAGCAGACACTAGAAGTAGGCGATGCTCTGTGTCCGGTATCTCATGCGAATGCGGGTGTGGGTTACCTCGAGTTGGGTGGACCGCGGGGTTGCCTCGTGGCTCTGGGCGGGAAGCGCTGCCTGATGTAGGTTCAAAAGACAGCAAAGCAGGTGCGGACCCAAGACGTGGGAGCAGATGCGCCGATGGGTTGCGTATCCACCGCTGTCCGAGGAATGTGATTCGCTTTTGCGGACCTTCTTCATCCTCAGATTCATCTTCGTCGTCGGCAGGCGCAGCATCAGTCTCGTTTACATCGACTTCGGGCGCGGTGACATCCTCGTGTCCTTCTCTGACCCACGTGTCTATGTAGCCCGCTAGATCAGCCACAGCAAAGACGGACCCATCGGGAGAGAATTCGGCGTGTGCTATGGACCTGTTGTACAAGCCAGTAGGGCTGCTGAGAGGATCCGATGCGCCTTCACCTCGATCTATCCGGTGTAGACGCAGAGGTGTGTGCAGAGCTCGCGGTCGCTCGTCTTCGGTTCGGATGATGCGAATCATGTATACATCGTTCACCATATCAATGATAGCGAGCCACTTGCCATCTGGGGTGAATCGCACAAGTTTTGCGCCTAGAGTTGAAGGTAGTTCGAGCTTCTTTATGCGGAGGATTGAGCCCAATTCTGTGCTCGTTTCAAGCAATTGGAAAAGCTTGACTTCTCTTGCCGTCGCAACTGCTAAAAGCCCGCCATCCCGCGTGGTGCTCACGGAGGATATGTTCTCGTCCCCTTGCAAGGCCAAGCGGGCGACGACTTTCGGCTTTTCTACACTGTCATCCTGAGCCTTGACACGCCAAATGCGGATCTCACAGTTCCACCAGCTGACCATAAGGCGGGCATCGGGAGCACTAATGAGGGGCGGTGAATGGGGTAAAGCAGGAAGACCGCGGCTAAGTTCTTTGCCATAGTTTCGAATGGGAAGGACAATAGGCTGAGTGTCAATGCCTGTATCATTAGCATACATTGACAGTGGCGAGAAAGCAACCTACCTCCAGATACCGTGACGCTGAGACCCGCGCCGTCATATGCGGCCATCGCCTTCACATCGTGTTCGTGGTATCTTTGGTGAGAGACCTCGCGCCATTTCCCACGGGGGTTGCACGTGTAGTAGCTCGTCCGACAATCCATACCTCCACTGAAGATCTTGGTCCCATCGCGAGATACTGCAAGGTCAAGTACGTCTGCTTCATGGGCCGATATACGTTGTGTCTGACTGTAGTTCTTGCCATCGTAAACGCAGATGTCGCCATTGGAGTCACCGGACACGAAGCCCCCGTTCGGCAAGGTCCTCACTTTCCAGACAAGCGTTTCGCGCGGTCCTCCAGGACCTCTGTTACCGAGCGAGATGCTCCTGATCACGAAACCGTTCCTCGTGTCGTAGACCCGTATAGTACTGTCGGCAAAGCCGGCGATAACAGTTCTTCGGTCTTTAAACGTGACACTCAGCACTCGGGCTTTCTTGACCATTGACCTAGCGACGAATTTCTCGAATCTCAAATCGTTATCTGCAGTCGAGAGAAGTACCAAGGTACCGTCTGCGCAGCCTGCGACTAATTTTTGGGGGGTATCATCCTCTGCTTCGGGTCCTTTGGCGTATTTTGAAAACTTGGGCTGGGCCGCGAAACACCACACCTCGCTGTTGTTGCCGTCGGAGTGCCGGATGGGCAGACCCGTGGCGAGGTCCCATTCCGTGACACTGTTGGAATAGCCGATGCTGAAGAGACGCAGCCTTCCTTGTGTTACTTTTCCCTTGCCATCTTTACTGTCTGGCTCTTGCGTCCATACCAGCCCTTCCACGCTTCGGTCTTTGCCTCCGTAAAACACTCGTTCCTGCTGCCATGCGCCGTCCGCTGGGTTCCATATCTCGATGTTGCCATTTGCCCGTCCGACTGCAAGCCTCAAGCCTTCAGGGTCTTTGTTTCCGAGGGTTGGTTCGCTGTGAGAGAATGCGAGCGCATTGATCGCGGACGGTGGGAATGGCACGAAGCGCGACCGATGGATATCCATAGCGAAGGATCGTGGGATAATTGAACGGCGGGTCTCGACGCGAAAGCAGGATTCCTGCGCTAGCACTCAATTACAGAGGCTATCATATTCGTGAGGTTTACGTTCAAAGGTGAGCAGAGAAAGTTGCGCCGAACTCTTGGCAAGAAATAATTTTAGCGTGCTTCTTAGGCTCGGTGGTCCCACGGCCAAAACCACTGCCGGGGCCTCCTACAGTCCACACCTTCAGTATCATTAACATAGACAGCATCTTCAACAGGGATCATTGATATTGCCATGGTATTCGGCGGAGAACCGACGTGTCGACAAATTTTTCCAAGTTGCCGCTCGACTCAAGAAGTAGCTCTTGTCACGCAGCCAGAAACAACATAGGGCATTAACATTATGATCGTGCACCAAAACAGTGAAATTTGCCTTCTTTGCCTTATCATCAAAAATTATTGGTCTACGATGTCAAAGTGAACGTGCTTCGATGCGCCTAGACACATATCATCACGTGGACGCGCGGTGCAGCGCTTTGGCACATGTACGTCATCCTTGGTTTCTGCCTTCAACAACAGATTTGGGACTTGCCTACCTCCTAGTAAGATTTACCTCGTAAACTCGAATAAAGCGTCAAGTCCTATCGCACGGTATAATATATTTTCTGTGCACGTCAGGCTTTCGAAATGACGTGTTGCTGACCTGCACTGCTCGTTTCAAGGCTTCCTGTGGGGCTCGGCGCGACTGGCACACGTCTACCTTGGAGTAGCCTGTTCGAACAACGTCCACTCCAATATCCACATCTTTCGCGGCGACATGGAAGCACAGCAAGTCTTTCGTGTCTTAGCGCCCGGTATATCTGGCGAAGGTTTGGGAGCGTGGGATGAAAAGCCAAAGGTGAGGATTCGTTAATCTCGACACTGGGTTCACGTTACTGATGATAAAAACCTATAGCCGAAGGGTTCTGCTCATAATCTTGCGGCGATAGTTTCCGCTTTTGTACCGACATGGTTCACTGCAATCATTTTCATCATCGCATTCGTGTTCATTCGCAACCGATATCCCAAGATCTACTCACCCAGGACGTTCATTGGGACCATTCCAGAGAAGTACGTATATGCTCAAAATGTCCACCAGACGTATAGCAGAGTTAATCGTCATTCAGGGACCGCACGCCTTCAGCCGGCCGATCCTACTTTTCATGGTACCGCACACTCCGGGTCGTGCCTGACAAATTCGTTCTCTACCATGAACATTTGGACTCGTACCTATACCTACGTTTCCTACGTACCCTAATTTTCCTTTGTATAGTCGGCTGCTGCATCACCTGGCCAATCCTTCTTCCAATAAATGCGACTGGAGGCGGAACCTCGTCTCAGCTCGACCGCATATCGATCGGCAATGTCTCAGACAAGAAGAAGCTGTATGCTCATGCTGCAGTTGCGTACATCTACTTCGGCTTCGTTATGTTTACCGTAGCAAGGGAGAGGCTCTGGTTGATAGGGCTACGGCAAGCATGGAACTTGTCGAAACCGATGGCGAAGAGGCTGTCCTCTAGGACTGTTCTGTTCCTCTCCGCACCTACCGCCACACTTGATCCAGATAATGCGCAAAGATTTTTCGGCGATGATGCAGTGCGGGTCTGGCCCGCAACTAAAGCCGAGAAATTGCACTCACTCGTGTCCAGTCGAGATGCGACAATCGAGGAGCTGGAAGCCGCCGAGCTCAAGTTGATACACAACGTCAAGCGGAAGCTGGAGAAGAGTGGAAGTAAAGGAAACAGTGTTTTTTCGAGTTACGACGATCTCCCGAACCATATGAAGAAGTCTCTACGACCAACCCACACACTGAAGACACCGCCCACTGGTAAGAAGGTGGATAGCATCGATCATTATCGCGAACAATTGAAGGACAGGGAAGAAGAGATCCAAAAAGCACGTGATTCAAATGCGAATGCAGAAAGCCATGATGGTGCTGCTGCAGTCTTTGTCGAGTTTAGGACGCAAGCTGCAGCACAATGCGCATACCAGCAGATTGCATCTGCGGAAATTTTAGCGCTCAATCCGAGGTACACCTCTGTTCTACCGGGAGAGATTATCTGGAAAAATTTGACCATAGCACCCGCCAAAAGAATCTCCCAACAAGGACTTGCAACAATTCTTGTGGTTGCAACGATTGTATTTTGGTAAGCATCTCCGCGTCATGCTATACGCAAAGCTAACGGCGTACAGGTCTATCCCGATCTCCTTCGTCGGGGCTTGGTCAAACGTAGAGTATCTTGCTAAAAATTACAAATGGCTCAGCTGGCTCGACAACCTTCCTGAAACTGTCACCAGCCTCTTGGCCGGACTCGTGCCTGCCGCACTGCTCAGTGCCCTTGCTTCGTTCGTTCCAAATATTTTCAGAGGTAATTTCCGTCACGGTGGCCAGGTCTTGCATTTTGCTGATCTATTGCAGCCATTTTCAAAGCGTTTGGTGAACCTACCAATACTTCCGCTGAACTCAAAGTAATGAAGTGGTATTTCGTCTTCCAGGTCCTGCAGGTCTTCTTGATCAATACCCTTGCCTCCGGTGCAGCCGCAGTGCTATCTCAAGCTGCGAGTGATCCCTCGTCAATCCCGACGATACTCGCAGCCAATCTCCCTAGTGCGGCGAATTCGTATCTGACGTACTTTATTGTGCAAGGTTTGACGAACGCCTCGAACAACATGTTGAACTACTCCGATCTTGCATCATACATCTTCTACGACAGATTCTTTGACAAGACGCCGAGACAGAAGTACCAGAGCTTCACGAAGCTAAAGGGCATACAGTGGGGCAAAGTATTTCCAAAATACGGAAACTTCCTGATCATCGGTTAGTAAAGCCCTGGACCACATGCTCAATGCTCAAGTGCTCACCGTTCACAGCCATCGCCTACTCTTGTATAGCCCCGCTAGTTCTTGGCTTTGCCGCCGTAGGCCTCACCTGCTTCTACTTTAGTTACCGATATATGCTACTTTTCACCGTCTCGCCAAAAATCGATACGAAGGGTCATTGCTACACGATTGCCTTACAACAAATACTCGGCGGTATCTACATTGCCGAGCTCTGCCTGTTGGGTCTCTTCGGTCTACGACAGGCCACAGGTCCATCTATCATGTTAGGTGTACTGTTCCTCGCAACGATACTCTTCAACGTCATGACCAACAATTATTTCGCGCCTTTAGAGAAGTTTTTGCCCGCTGATCTGAGCGCGGAAGAGGATGGCGAGGGGGCACCGTTGCTTAATGATAGAGAGGCAGAAGAAGGAGTGGTAACACATCATGTCCAGCGAATTGTCGATTCTACTCCCATTCCGCCAAAGTATCTCTCACCTTTAGCGCGATTCTTCGAGCCTCAGCGATATGCGTCCTACCGCGCAATGCGGGCATGGCTTCGCGAAGATACCGAGTGGGACGAAGACGATGTTCCGCAATATAGCGAGGAGCAGTTGCGAAAAGCATATCTTGATCCTGCGTTTACAAGCCAGACACCGGTGGTATGGGTGCCGAGAGATGAAGCCAAGGTCAGCAAGATAGTCGTCCAGGATTTAGAGGGGATGCAAGTTGCAGCAAGTGATGAGGGTGCTTGGATTGACAAGGATGGAAATGTGAAGTGGGCCACCGACGACTTCAGCAAGGTACCGATCTTCAAGCCAGCAGTGAGGTGGTGATGGGAGAAATATGGCAGAGGGAACGATGCGAGCAATTGGTTCGGACATGGCACGAAACTATGAGTGAAACAAAGCATTGATTTGTAGTCATGCTACATCACTAAGCCGCTATCTCCTTGTTAAAGATCTCGCTGACGCCTTGTTTGTTGCTATGCATGACAATCTTTGTCTTACTGAGCGAAGCGCTCACAGGCTTCTTGGCTTGGAAGATCTCAGAGAGCTCCTCAAGGGTACGACGACGCGTCTCAACGTAGAAGAAGTAAATAAAAACGAACTCGAAGATGTCCCAGAAAATGAAGAGGAAGTAGTACTGTCACACTCTGTTAGCTTCAAGCTCACTTAGTGTCGGTGTCTTGTAAGATTGAAGACTTACCTTCCAGCCAGCTCCAGAGAAAGCAATGCCAGTCACAAACGTGTTGTAGAACCCAGCAATGTTCACCCAGAAGTTGTAGAAAGCCATCCCCTTCGCTCGCGACTCGTACCTGAGACATTCCACAGGGTACAGTTGCTGCAGTGGTGTGTATCCAGCCGAGAAGACAAAGCCGAAAATAAAGATGAAAGCGATCACGGCCTTAGCTTGTCCAGGATTCTTGATCATCGGTGTACCAGTCGCGTCGACTTTCGGCTTACCATCCGGTCCGTTAATGACATTGGTAGCAACCAACGCACATACGATGCAGAAAATCCCAACGCAGATACCAGTAGAGACGAGCAGTTGCGGGCGGCGGCCCCACTTGTCTGTGTAGACAGCGCCGAAGATGGCCCCACCAAAGGAGACGACATTTTGCATGCCGTTAAGCAAGAGCCGGCGGTGATTGCTGGTGATACCGGCACCTTGGAGCATAGTCGGGTAGTAGTACGAGACTGGACCGTTACCAGACCATTGCCCAAAGAACGCCATAGTGAGCACGATCATTGTCCTGTAGCGTTGCTCTCGGCTATTGAACAGCTCACGGTAGTCCCACCAGCGCTTGTCTGAACCAGTCACAGAGATATCCTCCACCATCTCCTTGTACTCCAGCTGCACGATGGGGGAATCCCGGCTGCCTTCGCCATGGTACTTGGCCATAGTGTTGAGGGCCTCTTCATGGCGATCATTTGCGATCAACCAACGCGGCGTTTCGGGTAAGAAAGGCGAGCACACGAGCACAATACCGGCAAACACCATTTGCAGCCAGATCGGAATACGCCAGGAGATGGTGCCTTCCATGGTGGATGTGCCGTAGGGAACAAAGGTTCCTGGAATACCGCCAACGAACCAAAATGTATTGAAAATTCCTGTCAAGACACCTCGGTATGCGGGATGGGCCATTTCCGAGGCATAGGCGGGGCCTGCGGTTGAGGTGATGGCGACGCCAAATCCAAGCACGAAACGGCCGCCCATAAACCCTCCAAGGGTGTGGCTAGTAGCTGGAATTTATTAAATATGTCTCTAAACAGTGAGAGGCTTGTGACAATTCACCTTGAATACACGTTCCAACGATTATAATAAGGCATCCCAAGAACATTCCCCATTTGCGGCCCTTGAAATCAGTGGCAGGTCCTGCTGCAAAAGAGCCCACCAAGTTGCCAATGGTGTATATGGCGTAAACAATACCAGTGGACGGCGTGCCCTCGTCCATACTGAAGCCAAAATAGCCTCGGTATTGCGGATACGAATTAATGGCTCCCATCAAAGATCCATCATATCCATTGATGCAGGAGTTTAGTGTTGCTACAAGCAGACACACGTAGAGCTTCACAAGGTAAGCCTGTATTCCATCTCCCTATGTTGAAAACCATACCCTAAACATAGCAGGTGTCCAGGGCGAGACACCAGCCTTTGCAGTTGCATCTGCGAGAGCGACATTCTGCACGTGTCGAATGTCTGTCGTTGAACTGCTTTCCCGGCGATCGTTGTGCGACACACCAACACCAGCCTTTGGCTCCGAAGACATTGTCGACTGGAGGCGTGTGGTTGAAGACAAGAAGAGATCCCAGAGTCGTCTTCGAACGCGAAACTCACGATTGAGCTCGAACCTCTGGAAGGTCAAGGCCCGGGAGGATGCACGTATTTAAGAGACCGTGCCTCCGACCCAGCTCGACCAGAAAATTCATCTAAATTCATAGGCCTGAGCTGCAGGAAGAACCAGGGTTAGTGCTCCCTTGCCGGCTCCAGGATCGAATATCCGCGTAAGCGCAGGGATCTCAGGTAGAAACAGCTCGCCAGACCAGGGTGGCTTCGAACGATTGGGGGAAAGCTGGAGTAAGCTTTGGGGTTAAGCGACTAAAGCGTGACCCAGCTCCTGCAATCACACGGCTTGAAGGCTGCCATCTGATCTTTAATGCCCAACATGCAATTCTCTAGAAAGGTTAGCCCAGTGGCTTAATCCCGGGGTGATCTGTTCTTCTCTTCAGACTGACATCGGAGTGTCGCTGGCCGCGGCTATAAGGCGGGGCGCACCCTAAGTGTCCAATGTACGCCTGTTTCAGGCAGGCTTCGAAGGAGCAAAAGCAACGGGTCGGCTATCCAGTAAGGTCGCAACTGTACCATGAGGACACATAGAAAGCAAGAGTCTTCAGAATGTGAACGGTGTGGCATAGTCTCTCCTCTAGTTCTACCGCCCAGGCCGCAACGCTCGCACCACCGCGCGTGCTCAAGAGGTTGACGGGTGTAAAAAGTGTGGAGATGGCGTCCGCTGTCGCATAATGGACCGATCTGCACACTTTGCGTGCTGTGTTTCAATTGGAGGTGATTGCGAGTCATGTGTTGGAACATTGAGATGCAGCGGAGAGTTGTTGCTCCGCATCTCGAAACGGTTAGTTTTGCACTCCCCTCCGCTCACGACTTCTCTACATGTATCGTGGGGCTGGCTTCATTCTGCGGGAAAGCTTCCATCGCTGAGAGGTGATCGCTGAGAGGTGATGGCGACAAGCAGCATATATCTCGAAACGTCGAAGCCGAATGTATCCCATCTCAATCGTAGTTCATTGATGTAATATCTCTTGGACATGCAATAACAGGAGCGGCACAAATCCCGGAAAACGTCGGTTCTGCGAGGATATCTGAGTTTTGCATGGAAGCCATACGAAAAGCTTCTGGAAGTAATTAGCGACCGAGGCATGAGCCGGTGCATGGACTCACGATCCGAAACCCCGGTTTTCCCCACACTAGAAGTCGATTTCGCTTCTGATTGCTTCCTTCGACGGAACTACTTGCTTCAGCAGCATCATGGCTGACGATAACGCTCACTGCGTTCCGTAGAGATTGAGCATACGCGTCAAAAAAACTAAAAAAAAAAAAACTCAGACTGGTGTTGAACTCGTCTCAGCCAGTATGAGGTGTGTCAGTCAAGCCCTGCCCTGCAAGTGCCGAAGAGGCTTTTTATTGGCTAATGCTTTCACCCGTCGGTATGGTATTGATGAATATGCATATTGCATCTGGGCCTCCCAGGATATTGTATTGAAGACCTTCCCCACCTCCCCAATGTCTGCCATGCAGATGACCACATTCGGTGTAGATCCTTTGAGATGCTCTGTCTGGGATATACGCGTATTCTGTGCGAAACGTGTGTTCATTGCTGCACGCGCTCGCCTTGCAGAAAGTCCATGAGCGAGACGGGCATCTCACGCATACGTACAGACGAGAGATACAACCGAACATACGACCCCGCATTTCACGAATCGTATAGCATACTCTGTGGACCAAATCAGAGAAATGTATCGTGAATCATGTATTGTTTTACTATGTATTCGAACACACCATACAGATGTTGAATTTCGTAGTGCGGGCCATAGAGCAACTATATTAGGCAGTGTTGCAATTCCTTTCCCTCGATGTACTTCTCTACGTTCTCCGCTGTCTCTTCGTACCATGTTTGCATAGTTTCTTCTTCAACATAACCCATGTGCGGAGTCAGAAGGACTCTGCTCTTGCCTTTCACATCCCAATTTTCAGATCTCCATGGACTATCTGCGGGAAGAGGCTCGATATCGAAAACATCGAGTGCGACGCCGCGTATACGACCGTCACGGATAGTGTCCAATAAAGCGGCTTCGTTGATGAGCGGGCCTCTTGAAGTGTTGATCAAAAGTCCGGAGTGTTTCATCCATCCCAGCTCTTGCGCTCCAACAATACCCCGCGATCGTGGACTTAGAACGTAATGCAAACTGATCACGTCCGAGTTCTTAAACAACTCTTCCTTTCCAACGACCTTAAATGTAGGCTCATCTTCTGTAGCAATACCTCCGCCTGTCATAGGTAAACCCACTTCTTCCGCCAGCTGATCCGCTCTCTGTTGCTCCAAATTCGCGCTCCAACACACGATTTTCATACCCCACGCTAACAACCCTATCCTAGCTACCAATGCGCCTATTCTCCCGAAACCTACAAGACCGAGTGTTTTTCCCTGCAATCCAATCGCGAGTTCAGTCTGCCACCCGGAAGCTACTCCTTTACCCTTGATCACGGCATCATCAGCTGCAACATTGCGTGCCAGAGCCAATATCATTGCCCATGCATGTTGAGTTGTAGGATGCCCTCCACCCTTCTTGATATCGATCTTTGCTCGAGCCGTCGGACCACGACCTTTTCCGTCGGTCCTTCCTCTCCCAGGCGCCGCAACTAATTGGACGCCTAGTTCCTTCATTGTATCTTTATCAAATGTTTCGAACTGAGTCCCTGTCGCAAAAATGGCTTTCAAGTTTGGTAATTGGCGGAGCAGCTCGCCAGGAAACGGGGTTCTTTCGCGCATAGTGGAGAGGGCCTCAAAGGGCCGCAGGCGGTCGACTAGCTTTTTGCGGTCGGCATCGGTGGTCTGCGGATGCGTGTATGAAGGTAATGTGTCGTTGAAAGTCACGACCTCGAGCTTGGATGGATCTATTGCAGAGAAATGCTGCACTGCGATGTTGTGGTAGTCGTCGAGGATGGCGAGTTTTACAGGCGCTTGAGAGGCCATTGTATGTATCAATTGGCGTTTATAAACAAAAAGAGAAGGCGTAGTAATTCGAGAGAACTGCAAGACGCGCAGAGACATGATAAGTTGCAGGTAACGACCACGGCACAGACATCATGCGCCAGGCATTTAAGTGCGGCATTGCGAATGCGGGGGGGACGAATCACAACAACATCTGTAAGCGATCTCAGGAGCGGCATGTAACATCCGGGAACCCCATAGCTACTCGCACGGCTCCATCCTTGTTCAAGCAGACTCACATTTGGTCGGTAAAGGGTGCGGAAGGCGTGGTTGCAGGGTGAGGGTGCGGAAAAGCGGATCTCGCTTGGAAAAGCTAGCCTCGCCCTGCGTTTTGTGTTTTTCAAACATATCTACGATCATCAAGAACCTAAACACCTGACAATCTTCCATCATTAATTCCCTTCAGACGTATCAGTCACGGGATGATGTAGGTCTAAAAAGTCAGACTTGGCGCCGGGCCGCTGGACCAGATTGCACGTAGCGGAGATATTGGCTATGTCCTTCGTACATATTGCTCCCTTCTTTCGAAGGGCTGAGTCAATCGACGTCAGAAGAGTATGTCGTTCCATTCTCTTGGGAGCCAAGTAAGGGAAAATACACCCGAATTCTAGACGCAATCCCCAACATTCCAGAAGCGAACCAGCAACATGAGCACGGCATGCTGAAGTCATTTCCCAGCTTCAAGGAGCCTTGCGCGCCGTTAAGCGTGGTGGTTTTGCTTCTTCGAAGCGCAGCTTGATCCTTTGCGTCAATCACCACAATGCTTATGTTTCCGCACATCCTTACCACACTTCTCGCGATAGCCCGTTTCCGTGGTATATCGGCAAGGGGCAATGGCTTTCGACACGAGGCAGTAGATGCGTCAAATCAGCACTACGAGAGACGAGTCGAGAACCTTGACCCCCTCATCTTCGATTACACTATCTCAGGACAATGTCCAGCGCCCACGCGGTCAATACACAGCTTGCTGTATCCATCGCCAGATGCTTCAGCTGTCGAAATCACGAGCCAAAGCCAGGTTGTCACCTCGTACCTTCCCGAGATGACTTGGTGCGTCGGCCCTCCTGTCGCCTTCGCCGTAGTGACAACAAGAGCACCATACCAGAACCAATCCATGGAGTACGAAGTCATCACTGCAGGCACAGCCCGCTGCGAGACCGTCTACGTCCCAACCGAGACCACTGTGTGTGCTACAACACTCACTGGTATTGCCTCAAAGATCACAGTGTCGGAATGCGACCAAGAAATTACCTTCTCGAGCGAATGTGGATTCACATTGGAGACACCGACGCCGGTGACATCAGACTCATCACTGATCACGCTGGCGCCAAGGGTTAAGAGAATGACTACATTCTGGGTTGCGCCGTGGCAATCTCTAACAGCTGGGGAAGCTCCATCTGATGTGGACATCAAGGTGTGCACAGCTCAAGAGGACGAGAGCTTGGAGTGTATTCATTACCGGGAGGTATGGGAAGTATTTGTGGTCACCAAGACCGTCACAACGCATCGGGAAGTGCAATTGACCACAACTGTTACCGGACCTGGCACACTTATTGTTGAGACAATGACCGCGGTCATCACAGATACTGTTGAGACAGTAGACCTATCAACGACGCTACTGCTGGAGACGGGTGTTGTAACTGAGAGTACGAGCAAGAGGAAAAAGCTGGTCACGCGACCGAACGAACCAGAAACCAGTGATGCAAGCGATGCAAGCGAGGCAAACGATGCGAGCGAACCAAGCGAATTGGATGTGTCTACGCTCTATGTCACGAAACATGTGAAGTACAAGACACCCAAGTAAGTGTTTTGCGTATGCACGATAACATGGTTTAACTTTCGTGGCAGACCTGAGCCTACGACTACCGTACGAATAACCTCAGTTGCACATGTTATCGGCACCATAACCAGAACGCGTCCACGAAGCCGACCCCGTCCAACTTTGCTGGAGCTTCCGGACTTTTAAAATTCAACCAGTGTCTCCAGTCACCTACAGCCTTCCAGTCGTTTTGCTCCTTGACTTGCATATATAGGTAGAAGTTGGCGTCTTCATGACTAAAAGTGAATTATGGAATCATAGCTTTAAACTTTTCTTTCTCCTGTGATACTCGATCTTCGATATACAAATTCTTGCCCATACTTCTATTGCAACTACCTCGTACCACGGAGGGATTTGGCTTGAACGCCAACGACCACATTGCTACCACTATTGCATTAATGCGATGCACTGTGTACCATTTTTCTGTATGACTCTGGGAGGCCTCACACTTGCTAATCCAATGTTCGAGTCGATAACGTCCCTCCACAAGCCTTCGAGCGTTACCAAAACCATCGTGCACACCACGACCTTTACACACCTCTTCGACCATAATGTTATCAACCGGAACAACGTAATACGCAGGTAGATGTACCTACAGTCACTAAAGAGCTCTAATTAGCAGATGGCTCACTAACGAGCGCTGATGCACCCTCCGAGGCCAAGAGCAAAGTAGCTGTCCGTCAACAAGACCACTTTCCCCAAGCCGTTGGCTTGCGGGATCTGCTATACTGGTTTCATGCGCCATTTGTATGGCGCAAAAACGGCCTGGGATACCACCTCCACGATCCAAATGAGGTAGAGCAGGTCCAAGGCGTTTCCTAGGCTTCTAGGAAACAGACGTAGGAATAGACTGGGATACCACCTCCACGACGCTTCTGCGGTGGAGCAGGGGCAAGGTTTCTCGTCCGAGTCCTCAGGGAAGAAGCGCGAATCGCCGTACATTCTCGAGAAAGGAGGGAAGCTGGGTCTGGCAAAAGCCCAGAACGAGAAAAACGACGGCACAGAATCGAATGCGATGTTTCACTACCAAACCCGAGCCCACAACCAAGACAAATAAGGAGACAAAGCCAACGTTCGGATTCGACTCACGCCCGCACCCACACCTCGGACCATCCACCGCAGACTCGCCCCCACCTCTCTCTATTACACCGCACAAGTCCCAGCCCCAGCCCCCCTACCTCAGCAGAACGTCGGCAGAACCCACGGCAACGCCATCTACTCGTCCCTCGACAACTGGAAATACAACGCACGAACGTCCCACTAGCATCGGGTCGCGGTCTCGCTGGCCGAAGAATCCGTTCGCGGAGCCGATATTCTGGGCTGCGGGGGCGTGGTATTTGGGGATGGCATACTGGGAGGGGTGGAGGCAGGGGTGGACGGACGGGATTGGGAGGTGGGTCGGGGATTTTAGGGTGAGGTATTCCTGATGTTGCGGTTTTGTGCTGGGATATTTGATCTGGGTTGGGGTCGTATTGTTCTGGGAAGTTGTGCATGTAACGTTCTGTAGCGTTCTACTGTTCACTGCGTTTTAGCATGTTCTGTTGGAGTCGGGCTAGGTAGAACTTGTGGTGTTAAGACGTACTGCAATGGTGGGAGTAAAGTATCTGTTCTACAGTCATTGCTACGCAGCATGAGTCTAAGTCTATGGTATATACATTGGGATGCGCGCTAATGGCCATGCGAGCTTGGGTATCAAGAGTAGTGTTACAGTATGGCTTCTTCTTTCTATTTCCCTCTTCAGGCCAACAGGATATGCGCTCCTTCGTGGCTTATGATGACTTCCTCGGTGTCGAACGCGTACTTTCTCCGCACAAGCTCAAACACGATCAGTCCAGCACTTGTACTTGGCATCTGCTTGATGGTGCTCATCCAGAAGTCTCTGTATAGATATCGCCGCCAGCCACCGTGTCTCTTCGCTATTTTTCCACACTGCCGGAATGTTTCCTGATACGCATGGTAGTACCGTCTCATAATTCCCGAGGGCCTGGACTCCTGGTGGGCTTGGAAGTCCAGCGCTTCAAGGCGACGGTAGTGAACGTCTTGAAGCTCGGTGAGCGGGTGCTGTATCGTCTGCGATGCCAATGAGGCGGAAAGGCCTGCCAAGAGGATGAAGCTGGGCTCTAAGGCGTAGTGAGGCTTGATGACGGGGCGACCGTCTGTTGGGTCGATGTAGAGGGCTCGTGACTCCAGGAGCGCATCTCGTGTCCGACTGCCGTAGTAGCGGGTGATGTATGCGTAGTAAGCCTGGCTCTTGATCGTTTCAAACGTGCCGAAGAAGAAGGCTGCGCCAACGGAGTCCTTGACCAGACTGAGGCCAAACCCACCGAAGATGCCGCGGATGCCAATGGACTGTAGCTTGTGCCATGAGTAGTGCCACATTGTTTTGTATTTTCCTTCGAGAATGTCCGAGGTTCGGAAGCGGACTTGGAGGGCGTCGAAGGGCGCTGCAAGTGTGGACTGCACACCGCCAGCAATCAAGCCAGCTGCGAAGGTCGTCTGGAAAGAGGGAGGAGGATATGTCCGTTTCGTTTGGTACGAGGATGGCACATGGAGACTCGATAGGCTATGGAGGTACGATGTGTAGAGCACGGCACCAATGCTATGCGGCGTCAGCATCCAGCAGACTATCTGCTGTCCAAGGGAGCTTTACAAGGTGTTGGCGATCAGAGGCGGCATGACCTGGTTCGGTATGAAGCTCCAGCCCTCTGTCCTTATGGCGTGCCACAGCACCGCTGGGGTTGTCATCCGCCATGACCACTTGGCCGTCGCTTGGAAGTGAGGGTTGATGGCTCTCGCATAGCCCATGTAGTCGATGCGGCCTCTGAAGAAGGCCTTGACGGGCGCCCGAAAGTAGAAAGCAACAACACGCGCCGCAATGACCCGCATACCAGCCGCCTGCGCGCCCGTTGCGGGCGCTTTATTTGGACCCTGGCCGTCATTATTGTTCCCATCCACGCGGGGGGCGGCGCCAGTGCGCGGACTGGTGAAGCTGGGGGTCATCGCATATCATCAAAAGTGAGAGCGCGCTGCAGACTCATCGGAGAGCAAGTGCAGCGGTGCAAGTAAAGGCAAGCAGCGGCGGCACGCGGGCGCGTCACCGGTGGGCTGGAGGTGACTTGCGCTCGGAAGAGGCTGAACTTCGGAAAAGGCTGCGGAACTCGAAGCGGAGCTGGCGCCTGTTCACGAACCGTGACTGCCAAGACGTCCGCGTCGCGTCACTGGGACCTCTCGCGACTTTCTTCTCATCGGCGCCTGTCTTGCTTGCACCCCACCCGCACTGTCGCACCCCACCGCGAAGGCTGTGTCGAGCTCCCGCCTGCATCATGGCCGACGACATTGTCATCGACAAGGACCTCTTCCACGAGCGCCTGGGCAACTTTGTCTCCAAATGGAAGACCGACAAGCGCGGCGGTGATCAGCTTTTCCAGGGCGCAGGCTCCATCGCGACTGTCGTGGGCAAGGCGAGCGAATCAGGCAGCTACCTGAAGCCCGCCGCCTTCCAGGTGAGATTGCGCAAACCGAGCATCAATTGCACATTGCGCTGACAGCTGTCGCACAGCTATGGCTGCTAGGCTACGAGTTCCCCGCGACCCTGTTCATCATCACGCCTGAGCTTTTCCAGATCGTCACGACCAAGAAGAAGGGTACGTCCACCGTCGGAGCACACGTTTGGGCATCCTGCATGGATTAGGAGGGCGACACAACACAGCCTGATCTTTGGCATGGGGTCGCGGCAGTGATTGCGCTCAAGTTGCTAACGCGTTTCACAGCGTCGTATCTCGAGCCCTTGAAGGGTGGCAAAGTTCCCGTTGAGATTCTCATTAGGGGCAAGGATGCGGACGAGAACAAGAAGCAGTTCGAGAAATGCCTCGACATCATAAAGAAGGCAGGCAAGAAGGTTGCAGTGCTCAAGAAAGATAACGCGAGCGGTGGCTTTGCAGACGAGTGGAAGGCGGCCTTCGGAGAAGCTGGCATCAAGGACGAGGATCAGATCGAGCTCGGCCCTATCCTCTCGCAAGCGGCCATGTCCATCAAAGATGCGAAGGAGCTGGTACGTCCTAGAGCGGGACTGTCCGCGTTTACAGGCACTGACAAGCTTGCAGCGACTCATCCGCGATGCGTCGCGCGCATCGAGCGCCGTCATGAGCAACTACTTTGTCGAAGAAATGTCCGAGATTCTCGATTCCGAAAAGAAGGTGTCCCACAAGGCCTTCTCCGATAAGATTGCGAACAAGATCGACGATCAGAAGTTTTTCGAGAAGCAGAAGGTGTCGAAGAACTTCGACAACATGCAGCTGGATTGGTGCCTGCAGCCCACAGTGCAAAGTGGCGGAAGCTACGATCTAAAGTTCAACGCCGAACCGGACGACAACAACTTGCACGCCGGTGTCATCGTTTCCGCGCTCGGTCTTCGCTACCACACATACGGTGCCATGATTGCGCGAACCTTCATGGTGGACCCGAACCGCGAGCAGGAGACAGCGTACAAGATTCTCCTGTCGGTGCACGACTTGATCATCAAGACTATAAAGGATGGTGTGGTTTCGAAGGACGTCTACAGCAAGGCGCTAGAACTTTTGAAGAAAAAGAAGCCCGAGTATGAGAAGCATTTCCCCAAGAATGTTGGATACGGCATTGGCACTGAGAACAAGGATACGGCACTTCTTCTGAGCGGAAAGAATACTCGCGTTCTCAAGGACGGTATGACTTTGGTCATTAGCACCAGCTTGCAAGATTTGGAGAACACAAAGCCTCAGGACAAGAAGAGCAAGTCTTATTCACTGGTGCTAGTCGACACTGTCCGCGTGGGTCCCACCGATTGTGCCGTCTTCACAAAGGATACCGCATCCGATCTCGAAAGCATCTCATTCTTCTTCAACGATGAAGAAGAGGAAGAGAAGAAGCCAAAGGCAAAGAAGGAATCCCGACCTGCCATTGCACAAACCAACATTACAAAAACGCGAACGCGACATGAGCGTACGACCAACCAAGATGCCGAGAAAGACGAGCAGCGGCGATCGCACCAAAAGGAACTCCACCAGAAAAAGCAGCAAGCAGGTCTGGAAGAGTATGGCGAGGATGCGAAAGCTTTGAACGGCACCGAAGAGAAGAAATTCAAGAAATTCGAGTCGTACAAGCGAGACAATCAATTGCCAACATCAGTCGCCAGACTGGAGATTGTTGTCGACAAGAAGAGCCTCACTGTCATCCTTCCCATCATGGGTCGACCAGTTCCTTTCCACATTCATACCATCAAGAATGCTTCCCATACCCCGGAAGCTGACTTCACTTCCCTTCGTATCAACTTCTTATCTCCGGGTCAAGGTGTTGGCCGCAAAGATGACCAGCCGTTTGAGGATCCCAACGCACACTTCATTCGCAGTCTGACCTTCCGCTCGCACGACATTGAGCGCATTGAGCAGATCACCAAGGACATTACCGAGCTCAAGAAGGACGTTGTCCGCCGAGAGCAGGAAAAGAAGCAGATGGAAGATGTCGTTGAGCAGGATAAGCTTGTGCCTATCAAGAGTATGTTCTACTCACTTTTGTCCACCCTCCTTACTAACTTGGACAGACCGGAAACCCTTCATGCTCGACATGATCTACCTTCGCCCCGCTCTCGACGGCAAACGTATCCCGGGATCTGTCGAAATTCACCAAAACGGTCTCCGGTATGCCCACGGCGCCGGCGGCGTCAAAGTCGACGTTCTTTTCGCCAACGTCAAACATCTCTTCTTTCAGCCCTCGCAACATGAGCTCATCGTCATCATCCATGTGCACCTCAAGAACCCCATCATGGTCGGCAAAAAGAAGACCAAGGACGTACAATTCGTTCGTGATGCCACGGATATCCAATTTGACGAGACGGGTGCCCGCGCGAAGCGCAAGCACAAGGGTTACGGTGACGAAGAAGAGTTTGAACAGGAGCAAGCGGAGCGAAGGCAACGTGCGGCTCTTGACAAGGAATTCAAGAACTTTGCGGAGAAGATCGCCGAGGCGGCACGCAACGAGAACGTCAGCGTCGACATTCCATACCGCGAACTTGGATTCAACGGTGTGCCCTCTCGATCCTCCGTGCTCATCCAGCCTACGACCGACTGCCTTGTGCAGCTGACTGAGCCCCCCTTCACCTGCATCACGCTCAGCGAGATCGAAATAGTGCATCTCGAGCGCGTGCAGTTCGGTCTTCGGAACTTCGACATGGTCGTCGTCTTCAAAGACTACAATCGCACGCCCGCGCACATCAACACCATTCCCGTGGAGTCTCTCGACCCCGTCAAGGACTGGCTCGACTCGGTCGACATCCCCTTCTCTGAGGGCCCGCTCAACCTCAACTGGGCCACCATCATGAAGACGGTGACCAGCGACCCGCATCAGTTCTTCGTCGACGGCGGGTGGTCGTTCCTTTCGACGGAATCCGACGACGAAGACGCCGAGGAAGAGGAAGAGGAGAGCGCGTTCGAAGTGTCGGAGAGCGAGCTGGCACAGAGCGACGAAAGCAGCGAGGACGAGAGCGACTTCGATGAGAATGCGTCGGACGAGATGTCGGACGAGGGCTCCGAGGACGAGTTCTCGGAGGGCGAGGACTGGGATGAGCTTGAGAAGAAGGCGGCACGGAAGGACCGCGAGAGCGGGCTGGCGGACGAAGAGGAGGAGAAGGGGAAGAAGAAGAGGAAGAGGTAGAGTTCTTCCCGACTTCATGATCAACAAACGGGGAGTCAGTCGAGGTGGGAAGGATGTGGATGACACTGTTTTCGGTTTTGATGCAGCTTCATGTAAAATTGCCGGCTTTTTCTTGCGCTGTCGGACACATGGGTATAGGTTCTGCTCTATGAGAGAGAGAAGGAACGAGCGTTTGGCGTTTGAGTAGTAGCTTCGAGCTCGGGCGGGACTATTCTATCACAGTAGTCCGATCAGAGCTTCCCACGTGAGAGTGATATGGTCTTCAGAATACAGCTTCATATATTTCGCATCATCTTGGTACAGCGCTCAAACATGCATTGTAGGCATCGTACAGCTTCCGTGGCTCAAACGCCATTCGCCAGCCCCGATCCGCCGACATCCCCAACAACCCAATCCCTAACCTGCCCCTTCCAGTCCGCTACCCTCCCATCCCTTATCCTCACCACCACGACCCTAACCTCCTCCCCCTCAACATAGCATCTCGTCCCGCCATCCCCCTCCACCATCTCCTCATCCTGCCGCTGGCTCTCCAACCCGCCTCCACCCCACAGCCCGCCGACAGGCGAGCTCGAGTAGGAATCCTCGCTGGGGCCGAAGGTGTTGTTGGCGAGATGCTGGGCTTTGTACCAGGCCTCCTCCTCGGAGCCGCTGGGTACTATGGTGGCGAGGCCGTTGATGGTGGTGCTGATTCTGCTGAGGGAGGCGGTGTTCATGCCGAGGAGGAGCTCGGCGAGGGAGCCGGAGCGCGGATTGGGGCGCGAGGGGGAGGGGGAGCGGTTGCGCGCGTCGAGGGTGGGTGGGCGGTGGGATACCCAGTCGTGTACTGTGGAGGGTGTTAGTGTGGGTTTGGGTGAAGGCGGGCACATTTATGATGCGTCGGTGTACTCCGAGGAGTGTATCTTTTGCAGAAAGTATGGGAGAGGCGCGGAGGGCATGTTTTGCGGTGGCGCGACCTACCGAGTAATGAGACGAGCGGATTGGACTCTAGGTTGTGGGTTTTCTGGGACGAGGGCGGCGTGGTCATGATTATGGTGGGGTGGGGCGAGTAGGGCGTCGAGGGGAGGTAGGTGTAGTTCATGAGAGAGATGTGCGGGACATTGCTGGCTGAGGTCGCGAGATGGAGCTACGCAAGGTCAGCATAGGCACAGTAATGGAAACCAATTCACGTACGAAACGGGCGTTCTGCAGACAGACGGTGACCTCGCCAGGCAGGCCGTTGGGAGATGCCATTGTGGGTGGTGGCGGCTTGTGCAGCGGGCAATGTCAAAGTGTCAAGCGCAGGCGTTCGCATGGGCTGGCGGGATGGCGGGGACTGAGTGGAGTCGAAGCTACGTCAAGCCAGCAAGCGCATCCGCGCGGCTGGGTGCTGCGCCCCGACCAACATCGTCGACCACCGCATGAGCTGCCCGCCTTGACTGTCAAACAGCACGAACCACCATGGCCGCCCCGCCCTCGCTGCCGCCCGTGGAGAGCACCGACAGCTTCAATCCAGACTTCAATGCATCGTCTGCCCTGCACGATGCCATCGGCAATGCCGAAAACGCGCCTGCATCGCCGGTCGAGACCATGGCGCCCGCGCCTGTCGCCCATGCGCAGGAGCCCAGGCAGGACGCCCCAGATGCGCAGCTGCAGCAGAAGGTGCACGACGTGCTGCACTCAGACATTGGTGTCAACACGCTGCTGAACCGCCTCAAGGCGAGCATCGCCAGCGCTCGGGTAGGCGCTGCTGCCCAACCTGTGCATCCACATGCTGACATGGTAGGACTTTGCAAGCTTTCTGAAGCGCCGCGGCGCCGTGGAGGAGGAGCACGCGAACAGCCTGAAGAAGCTCAGCCGCTCGACCCTCGACAGCATTCGCAAGCCTGACGGTCGCCACGAGAGCTACCAGACGCAGTTCGAGCTCGTCATGCACGCCAACGAGCGCATCGGCGACAACGGCACGCAATTTGGTCTCGCGCTCCACGCCATGCACGAGAACCTGCTGCAGCTGGCTAACAAGATGGACGCCAGCCGGAAGACGTGGAAGCAACAGGGTCTGGCCGCCGAGGCCAAGGTCCAGGATGCCGAGAAGCTGGTGGAAAAGGCCAAGGCCAAGTACGACCAGCTGTCGGAAGACCTGGATCGCGTCAAGACTGGTGACACTGGCGCTGGCAGGAAGTTCGGTCTCAAGGGCCCCAAGTCGGCTGCCCAGCATGAGGAGGACCTGCACCGCAAGGTTCAGGCTGCCGACCAAGACTACCTGAGCAAAGTTCAGACTGCGCAGTCCTACCGCAAAGAGCTGGTGTCCACCACACGCCCTCAGGCAGTGGCTGCCATGGTCGATTTGATCAAGGAGATTGACGCGGCTCTAACCATGGAAATGCAAAAGTACGCTTCTTTCAACGAGAAGCTCGTTGTGAACAATGGCCAAGTCGTCAGCCCTCAACCTCTGAAGGGCAGCACGTCTCAACCGTCTCCAAGCATCAACCAGCTCATCTACCAGATCAACAACGATAGAGACTTCGACGACTACATCTTGAAGCACGCCTCCAAAGTGCCATCCGTGCGAACCGACTTGCAATACATCAAGCATCCCACCCAGGCCTCCAAGACAGCTCAGCCTACGCCACCTCCTGCCGCCGGTGGAGACCGCCGGACATCACTGCAGAGTCAGCCTCCACCTACGTTTGGTCTGGCGCAGAATGAAGCAGTCTCGTCGCCGGCACAACATGAGCCCTCGTATCCTCCCGGGCCTGCTCAACAACCTAGCTATCAAACTTACAATCCAGGCTACCAGCAGCCACCCCCGCAGCTACAGCAGCCGCATTTGCAATCAAACCCTGCGCCATACTCCCCCATTGCGCAAAATCCTTACGCGCAAGCCGACTATCCCAGAGGCCCTGCCGGCCAAGTTGCGGCGCAACAATCGACCGGGGTTCTGCACAGCCCTGCCAGCCCTCCTACGAATCCAGTGTTCGGAGTCACCCTAGATAACTTGTTTGCCAGGGATGGCTCGCCAGTACCTTTGGTCGTATATCAGTGCATACAAGCTGTTGATTTGTACGGCCTGGAAGTTGAAGGTATTTATCGCATTCCCGGCACTTCGTCTCATATTCAGCACATGAAGTCTCTCTTCGACAGTGGTAAGCTCCCCGTTTGATGGCTCGAAAGCTCGGGCTGACAGGCCACAGATGCAACTCAAGTCGACTTCCGCAACCCCGAGGCTTTTCAACACGACGTCAATAGTGTTGCTGGTCTGTTGAAACAGTTCTTCCGCGAGCTTCCCGACCCTCTGTTGACGCGGGACTTTTACACCAAGTTCATTGATGCAGCCCGCATCGACGACGACACGATGCGGCGGGACTCGATGCATGCGCTGATCAACGCACTCCCGGACCCCAACTACGCCACGCTTCGAGCGATAATGCTGCATCTGCGCCGTGTAGAGCAGTCGTCCGACGTCAATCGCATGAGCACTGCCAACCTTGGTATCTGTTGGGCGTAAGTTTACACACATGGTGACAAGTGGCACTGTCTAACGCTTTCAGACCGTCGATCATGGGTCCGCACCAAGGGAACAACATGGCAGACGCTGGACTTCAAGCGCGCGTCATCATCACGATACTGGAGAATGTTCTGCAGATATTTGATGAAGATTAAGTCCACCTTGATCTTGGTCGCTGCTTTTCTCCGGGGTCATACTTATAACCTTGGTGCAGGGAGACGTGGGAGCTGGACAGCCCTAGGCTTGGATCAAGCGGATCGTCGAAGACATGGGTCTCCTCGGCACGGAGTGCGAGCGCAGCGTCTCGTAATCAGCAGAGCCAATACACTGAAGCGATTCGGGATAACAGGTTGAGCTCATCGCCGCGGCCTCGATCCCTGACACGGCCACGTTCAAGGTTTTAGCCGTTCGAATCGCGACCCTGGACGAGATGAGGAGTTCTGCAATGGGTCCGATGGCGCGGTCGAGGCTGTCCGGTGCCTCATCCGGTTTGTACTCTTGTTGTATGGCGAAGAACCATCACATGTAGGACTCGCGGCTCCTGTAGCTTTAATGCAGTAGATTCTACCCTTTTGCAGAAAACCATTGGCCCATGTACGCGTTCGTTATTCCGCTGCACAGCAAAAGCAGCCTTTACTCAGACCATAGACTGATGGCGTCCAAACAGCAAATGGGGATGATTCTCGGTCCGGTCGGACCGCAGTTAACCGTACGAGGGATATTCTGTGCCAAGAGGGGGCAAAGAAGACGATCAGCTGCGTGTTTTAAGAAGGCCAAGCCGGAGTCGCAACTTGGCAACGTTCAAGCTGCCTCTTCCATCTCTTGTCTCTGTACAAGAAATGAGTCTACGGCTATGCCTCGAGCTGCAACGAATCGGAGCCAGGGACGAGAGAGTGTCGCGCGACTCGATGCTCTTGGGCCATGCAACGTCGGGTGGAAACGTCGCAGCGAGACGAGGCCCCTCCATGCCTGCTTGCTTATTCGCACCGGGGATAGAGGGATCATGGGAGGGATTCAAGACGCTGCGTAACACATAATGTCTCACTCCTCTCCGCCCGTGACGTCATGCCCAGGGCGCGCTCTGCGCTCGATAGTAGCCACGCAACGCATTCTTATGCAATCACGCAACGCACTCGTCCGCCCATGGCTCTTATCGGCAGGCGGGCGAGGCGAAGCTTGTGCGTGCTTGGTCAAAGCTTGGCTCCTGCGTGTGGGGAACGGCAGCACCCGCCAATGACGCCCCCCACTTGGCGAGGTGCCCGTGGCTGATTGCTCCATCGCGACTGTCTGCTGCATGCCCTTGATAAGAGGAGACCCGAAGCGCACGCGATCGTCGCGTCCTCGTGCGCCCTTCCCGACGGGTTGACGTACGGGGCGCCGCGCCCTCGCCGGGGGAGACGTCCCCTGCGGTCCGGAGGGCGAACCGCTCGTTTGCGCCACTATAAGAATGGAGCCGCAAGCCGGGCGGCCAGGTGCGAGCGAGCGAGTGCGAAGTGAAGCCGCATTGGATTACGCTGCCACCTTGTCTGCCGTGTCTGCGCGCATACGCATGCGGTCCCGACTGTGCTGCCTTTCCCTGGAATCGTCATAAAACACTGCTCCCCGGATCCGGTGCGCCTGTCTTGCACCCTCCCCTCTTGACCACAACATACGGCTCGCGTGCTAGCGAACATGGCCGACGTCGACCTTGAAAGCGGGAAGGAGAAGGGCTACAGCTCGCCCTCGGTGGACTCGGGAGCGCAGCATGGCTACGGCGAGACCGAGGTCAAGACCGGGTCCAAGTGGGAGAACTTCAGGGACAGCTTCAAGAGGAATCCGAATGCCCGCGTCGTGACCGAGGCCCTGGACGAGGAGGGTCGACCGCTGCCGGAGCAGCCGCCTGCTGAGCCGGCCCTGAGCATGAAGCTCAAGGATCGCCATTTGCAGATGATTGCGATTGGCGGTTCTATCGGTGTGTACCAGACTGATGTAGTGTGGAAGAGAAAGACTGATGACTTGTCTCAGGCACGGGTCTCTTTGTTGGCTCGGGTTCTGCTCTGTCGTCTGGCGGTCCCGCCTCTCTGATCCTGGCTTATGGACTCATCGGCATGATGCTGTTCTGCACCATCCAAGCTCTGGGCGAACTTGCAGTTGCGTTCCCAGTCGCCGGATCTTTCGCAGTCTATGCCTCGCGGTTTCTGGATCCCGCCTGGGGCTTTGCCATGGCTTGGAAGTACGTTGACTGGCCCCGTGCCAGTGCTCTTTGACTGATGCTTGATAGCTACGCACTCTCCTGGCTCGTGACACTCCCCCTCGAGATCGTCGCTGCTTCCATCACACTCCGCTTCTGGAGCGGTGCAAGGGATACAAATCCTGCCGCATGGGTCACCATCTTCCTCTTCGTCATCATTTCCATAAACATGTTTGGCGTGAAGGGCTACGGAGAAGCAGAGTTTGTCTTTTCTATTATCAAGGTTACGGCCGTCCTGGGCTTCATCATCCTCGGTATAATTATCGACACGGGCGGTGTCCCAGGCGGTAACGGTTATATGGGAGCAAAGTACTGGTAAGATGACGTTGAAGCTTACTTCGATGGTGCGGTTGCTTACCGTCCCAGGTACAATCCCGGAGCTTTCAACAACGGCTTCAAAGGGCTCTGCTCCGTCTTTGTGACGGCTGCCTTCTCTTTCCAAGGAACTGAACTGGTTGGACTCTGCGCCGCTGAGACGGAGAATCCACGCAAGACCCTGCCCAAGGCCGTGAAGCAGGTGTTCTGGAGAATCACGCTGGTACGAGGGCCCCCACTTGAAAACTCTCACAGTCAGACACAAACTTACCGCATCAGTTCTACATGGTATCACTAACAATCGTCGGCTGCCTGGTACCCTACACCGACGACAAGCTCCTCGGCGCTAGCACCGACGCCAACGCCTCCCCCTTCGTCATCGCCGTGCGCAACGCGGGAATCAACGTCGTCCCCTCGATTATGAACGTCGTCATCCTCATTGCCGTCCTCTCCGTCGGCAACTCCTCCATCTACGGCTCCTCGCGCACCATCGCCGCCCTCGCCGACCGCGGCCAAGCCCCCAAGATCTTCGGCTACATCGACCGCTCCGGCCGGCCCCTTGTCGCCATCATCTTCTCCTCTTGTTTCGGTTTCATCAGCTACATTGTGGCTGCCGGTTCCGACACCAGCGACAAGGCCTTCGCGTGGATGATGGCGATTTCGGGTCTTTCTGCCATCTTCAACTGGGGCTCCATCTGCCTGTGCCACATCCGCTTCCGCCAGGCGTGGAAGTACCGCGGTCACACGCTCGACGAGCTCGCCTTCAGGTCGCAAGCCACCGTCTGGGGCTCCTGGGCGGGTCTCATCTTCAACGGGCTTGTCCTGGTAGCGCAGTTTTGGACTGGCTTTGCGCCCGTTGGGTACGGGGAGATGACGACCACCGAGCTGGTGGAGAACTGGTTCAAGGCGTACCTCGCGGCGCCCATTGTCATTGCGTGCTATCTCATCTTCAAGTTTGTGAAGAAGACTAGGTTCAAGAGGATCAACGAGATTGACATCACTTCTGGGCGGAGAGAGTTGGATTTGCCGGCGCTGCTAGCGCAAGAAAGAGCCGAGCAAGCGCAGTGGCCCAAGTGGAAGAAGGCGTGGAATGTCTTGTGTTAGTGGAGGGGGTCGTGGTGCGGGGATGCTGACCACATACTTGCTGCGTGTCAGCCTTGAAGCGGGTCCTTGGACTTCGAATACAGCATCATCTTACAGCTATCTAGGGCTTAGAGCGGAAAATTACAGTGTAGATCCCCAGAATGGAAGTAGTACGTTCTAAAAGCTGAGATGCAGTGAACAAGGCTGATGACAGAGCTTGCGAAGGACAGCGTTGTTGGCTGCATTGCGACTTGTATTCGGCATCCCGCACCTGTGCCCTTGTAAAAACTATACAAACTTAGATCAGAACGCAGCACTAGAGGCATGGCTGCGCATATAAACGCACCCCTTTCTCATCATCATGGCGTCCTTTAGCCCTCTGCTCCACCTCAATCCCTCCCACGATGCCGATAGACTTCCACCTCTCCCCAACCGAATCCGGCGTCCGCGCCGCAGCGCAGACCTTCGCTCGCGACGTCCTCATCCCCTCGCGGCGCGCGCCTTCCTCCTCAGCCGTCTCGCAACAGGACCGCTTCGCCGGCACCCGCGCCCTCTACGAAGCCGCCGTGACCCTCGGCCTCATCAAAGCGCAAATCGCGGCCCCGCTCGGCGGCACAGGCGGCTCTCTCGTCGAAGCCGCGCTGCTCGTCGAAGAGTGTGAGTAACGCTGGGGCACAACGTGGCTATCTTCGCTGCCGTCCGTGTCTGAACACTGCAGCGTTTTAGTCACGCGTTGAAGCCGAAACATTGCACTTCTACCCGTTTATCCTTTTTTGAGCATCTTCACTGACTTTGCACCCCACCCTCGTAGGCTACGCCGCGGATCCAAGCGGCGCTTCGCTGACCGTGTTTGGGACGGCGCTGGGGCTCATGCCGCTGCAGCTAGCTCCGCATGCTGAGAAGTATGTAGGCTTTCTGGAGCCGTTTTTGATGGCGGGGGAGGGCGATGCGCCGCTCGCGAGTCTGGTGTTTAGTGAGCCTGGGGGCACGGCGAATTGGCTTGAGAAAGGGGCGCCGGGGCTGCAGACTACGGTGAGGAAGGAGGGCGAGGAGTGGGTTGTCAGTGGAGAGAAGGTTTGGGGGACGAATTGTGCGGGATGGGACGGCCGGGGAGCGGAGTTGCAGGTCGTCGTGTGTCGCGATGTCACTACGGCGGCTCGAGAGGGGGAGGATCCGAAAGAGAGGATCGTCATCGTGTTGGTGACTCGCGCGGATATCGTACGCAATGACGACGCCGCATTCCAGGTGGTGCAGCATCTCGAGACCATGGGGCATAAGTCGTACTCGGGCGCTCACGTCCGCTTCACCCACCTGCGCGTACCTCAGGCGAACATCCTATGCGGACCTGGCCCCCAAGCCGTAAGGACCGTGCTGTCCTCCTTCGACAACACAGGAGTCCTCGTGGGCGCCATGGCGGTTGGCGGTACGTAAGCTCGTGGTGCAAGTTCTGGATGCTATGTGCAAGCAACATATGAAACGTTTTCGGATATTGCTTGCACTCTCTGGCCCAGCTTAGTACTCTCTCCTTCCCCCAATTTCTTAATCTTTGACAAAAGGTACTAATCACTGATTTGAACCCCAAATTGTAGTCATGCGGGCGGCTTTCGATGCCGCGCTGGCGTTCGCCAAAGCAGATAGCCGCCGGGGCGCAACGCCGCTTCTTGAGCGCCAGGCTGTGGCCGACAAGCTGGGCGACATCAAGATGAATGCTGAGGCTTGTCGGGCGCTGACCTGGAAGGCTGGACATGCGCTGGGGAATGGGCCTGGAGAGTACCAGGAGCGGAGGGAGTTGGCGTTGGCGACGAAGGTGTTTTGTAGCGAGGCGGCGGTCAAGGCTGTGATGGATGCAATTAGTGTTGTTGGAGTGTAAGTTGCTTTTAGTGATAGGATCGTAAGCGTGGTGCTAACATGCTGTACAGAACCGCATATGATACAGCACAGCCTTTCGCGGAGCTCCTGAACACCGCGATAGCATTGCCAATATTTGACGGTGGTAATGTCGCGATGAGACGTAGACACATGCAGGACATCATGCTGTCGCCAAATTACGATCCATGGGGCGCGACCTTCGGCCAGAGCTGAAGAGACTCATTGTCTGGTGGTAGATGTTCACGGGCCCTGGACGAACCTATTGGAGGCCTTCACGGGAGGAAGTGGCAGTTCGTTTCGAATCTAGATTGGTGTAGGGCAATAGCGTTCGCAATATTGACATGATCACGTACATCCTGTAGGGACGGGAATAATTGCGATGGCCTTTTCAAACTTTAGGGTTAGGCTGTGGACTGGCAGTGACGATACGATGCTAGGTTAGTCGTCGGTTCCGTCTAGTTTGGCAATTAGCGTTCTTCTATCTACCCATCTGCGACTTTCTCAACGTCACCTGGCACTCCTGTCGTCAAACTCTTCCTCGCAACCTTTCCCGCAAAGCTATTGACTCACAGTTGAGCGTTACTGGTCTGCTGTCGTGTTCCGGCCGAATGGCGAGACGAGCAGAGCCGCTTACGTGCCACGTCAAGGTCAGCCCAATTCACAGCCCCCACCCGAGAAATGAAGGGATCGCGCCTGCGTTACAGAATGTCTACAGCTCACGATCTTAGCGTTCCTTAACGTGCCGCTTAGTCGACTTGGTTTCTGGGCCTGATCGACACATGTAATCCTGATAATGATCGAGGATCGATATAGCAAGACCATCTCAATGGCTTGGTTGTACAACAGTTCGCTGGCCCTTCTAATCTTGGGGCGGCATACAGCTTACGCTTCATAATTCCTTATCATACGACAATATATCAGAATATATCCAACTGAACACTGGAAAATACTACGATTACGATGTGTTCATCTCCACATTGTCTTCATACTCAGCCTCCAAAGCCAGCTCACACCGGACTTCGAGCACGCTAAACTGGGTCTAGCAAAACTGCTCAGGCGTACCTCGCATATTTGGCCCTCAACCTCAGCGCGTTGACAAGACCTCGCGAATAAACTCGAAGCATCTGACGAATCTAAAGTCCACGGTTTGCGGGGCAAATAAGTCAGCCCACAAATAATCAGCATAGCGCCCACGAGGCGCACAATTCGTGTGTGCGACCCGCAGCTGGCCCCAGCCTTATGCGCCATGTGCTCCTCTGAGTTGTTGGAACGAATGCCTCGATTACTCATTAAGGCAGAGCGCGCGAACCTGTAGGCTAGGAGCTGATCTCAAACGACCTATTAGGCGCTTGTTGGTTTCTAGGATGAATGACAGCCATGTTTAAAGACTCCAAAGAGCCCATGTCATAACGGTCTTGCTTAGGTGACCTCTAACCCGACAACCTGGATTCCAGAGTAGATCAGTATGTCCCTTCGCTGGTCAAAGCGTATGTTCCCCCTTGCTCGTCCGTCCGGGGGCGATTTGTATGCGCGCGGCTCTCGGCCTGAGTCTAACCCATGCCTTGACGGATGCTCCGAGAACAACTTCAGACGTGCTGCTTTCGCAGTCTCTCGGAGTGGAAGTCGCAGGCCTGCATACCATGTCAGGCGAGAGCAGGGGACTGAAGGTGCAACCACGAGCACTTCACTAAGTCGAACCACGACAACGAGTATCGAAGCTACCGCGACGCCGAGTGCCTTATCAATTGAATCACCATCACCTTCTTCATCTACGACTGCGACGGCTGCACCGTCCAACCGCCCAAACTTCGCCGCCATTGCAGGAGCCGCAGCCGGAGGCTTCGTCTTTCTCCTACTTGTCGGCATCATCATTTTCTTCTGGCTCCACACGCAGAAGTCGCGCCGACACCACAACCGCACTTTCGAACGCCGGGTATCAGATTCCGGAGATGCGGGAGAGATGGCGCAAAAGCAACTTGTGAGGGTCTCAATTGTAGCCGAGGGTAAGTTGCCTGAACTCTACTGCTATTACATGTCTGATGTGGGCTACAGCAGCACCACGCACATGGCACCAACGCACAGCTTCCCACGTCTACATCTCACCCACCACTACCACGGAACGAAGAGCCTCCCAGCATGCGTCCCGCGCTATCGATGCAGAGCCATTCACGTATCGGCACTACTCAGCTGAGGACTTCCATTTGCCCCAATCACCGGCCACTGCCTGGAAAACGTCTCACCGACCTACAACTTGGGATCTAACGCGCAGGTCCATAGGTACGTTCGAGCTTGATAGTCCACTCACTCCGGAGGAGTACAGCGCCGCGACGTCAAGAAAGAGCTCGGTGGTGAGTTCGCGGGGGACTGAGTCACGCAAAAGCTCACTGAAGAGCGGGGCGTCTTCGACTAGGGAGACAGTGCCGGTGCCTCCTGTCCCTCCTCCACCAGCGGCGACGGCGGCTTGGGATACGCACCGGAGGGGTGTAAGCACAGGCGTTTTGTGATACCAGCGTGTTTTTCCGCAAGTTTTCTTTGCTTCACGACACGATGACTGTAATAGTAACATCAATGACCATCTCTCTGCAATTTCAAAAGCTCTCTATTCGTCGGATCGTCATCGAAACGCGCCTCAAGTTCCTGATTGCGAGCATGCGCCATCGTGATGGTACGCCCCAGTATCGTACACACCCCTCGCTCAAACACTCCCTCCACTCTGCGCCTGCCCAATCAACCCTGCCAATTTTAATAGTTCCCTATCCGCTTCAATATCCCCGGTCCCCAGATTAATCCTCCTCCTCGCCTCGGCCTCCCTCTCGTGAAACGCCCACTCCCTCCTCTGCGCCTCAGCAACCTCATCCCCGCCGCAGCCCCACACCTCCAGACTCTCAATCTCGAACCGATCCTGCCAATCACGCCCCTTCCGCACAGGCAGGCGGCTCGGATGGAACGACCCGCCGCCCTCGGCTAAGTGCGTGAACACCCCGAACTCGAGCGCGTCGTCGAGATGTAGACTGACGGGGCCTGGACGCAGCATGGTGTTGTGGTGCGCGCTCGACGATGCGGATTGTCGTGGGACGGGCGTGCCGAGGCCGAGCCCGGAGGGGTACGTGGGTGGGCGATTGAAGTAGACGTAATCCTCGCTGTATTGGCTTGCGGAGAAGACGTCGTGCGTTGGGGAGAGCTGGAAGAGGAGGGTGGAGGCGTCGCCGAAGCAGCCCTTATGCGACACTTTCCACTGCGCGGGGATGTATGCGCCGAATGTGTATGTCTGATCCGAAGAGGAAGATTCTGAGGTGGCTGAGGAGGGGTAGCGTTTCGGGGGAAGGGAGTCAGTGAAGGCGCGCTCGCGGGTGGAGGACGGGTTTGAGCAGAGGAGGCGCCCAGAGACGAGCAGGATGGTGGGGGCACGCCAGTGGAAGGCCTGCTTTTCGAAGGAGCCCATGCTGAAGCCGTGGGCGTTACCGCTGTACAAGGGGCGCAGACGGCGGAACAGGTCGCTGCCTTTGAGGAAGAAGGAGAGTTGGCTTAGGACGGTGGGGGTCAGGATTTCTCCTGGGTCGCGGAGGACTGGCTCGAGGGCGGGTTTTGGGGGTGGGATTACGGGGTGCGTCTCTAAGGTTGGGCTGGAGGATCCGGGTTTGCGCTTGGAGAGGTCGAGGTCTTTTGCGAAGAGAAAGTGCTCAAAGAGAGGGTTCAGGCCGTTGAAGAGGTAGGGGAGGCAGGATGAGACGACGGTGTTGAAGGTGCGGTAGGTGATACCAGGCTGGGTTGTTGATACACCAAACGACGAAAGAATGCCACTTGCTGTCCGTCTAAGGTTCTCCTTCCTCTCGGCCGTCAACTCGCCCGCAAAGGCAGAAAGACTTTCTTGCGCATCTATGGGCGCAATGAGGAGCAGGAGCTCGACTAGTCTCAAGAAGTTGTCGGTCGGGATAACGGAGTGGTGCACATCGGAGTGCTCGCCGTGCTTGAATACCTCGTCTGCGTCCATGGAGTCTAGAGCCGCAAGGACGAGCTCGTCATCATCATCGTCGTCTTCTCCGCCTTCTTCGGGTGCATCGATCGCGAAGCCCTTGCTTCCACCAGCACTGGGCTGCGTCTCCTTCTCGCTCTCCCCAGTATCTCCATCATCCTGCCTTAAACCTCGATCGTGTACAGCCAGGCTGCGATATAGCTCCCTCAACCAGATCTCCCTACTTCTCTTCTTGATGACCGCACCATATCTCTCTGTGAGGATCGTGACCACCTTCAGTAGCGCTTCATACGTTAGGATGGCCGGGGCCTGGCTCGGAAATGGGAATGCGCCGAGATAGCTGCTCATCTGAAACAGTATGGGCCCAACAGCGAGGGCATCGGGTAGCTCGAGGAAGCGACATAGCGTAGATTCGCTCCAGTATTTGACACCCGACTCGGTGTCGGCGAGCGAGCGGAAGACGGTATTGAAGCAATAGAGCTCGAGAGGCGTGTAAGACTTCTGGGCGAAGCGTTGTGCGAGTTTGTGGTTCAGCTGTTCTGTTGAAAGTCAGCTTGGCGCATGTATGCCTGGAATGACGGCGAGTTGAGTCCGGAGGCAATGGGCGGATATGGGCATACCGAGAGTCAAGTGCGGAGCTTCCGCTGAGCCCCCTTGGCCCATGGTGGCTACACGGTAGTGATGTGTGACGGAGCTGTGTGTTTATTCGTTGCGCCAAACGTTCCTGGTGGGGTGATGGTCGATGTAGTGACGCCCATCGGCGTTCTGGGCCGCCACTTTGCCGACGCGCCCTTGAGCATGCCGTGCAACCCAAAAGCTGCACCGAGGCAGGCTAGACTTTGGTAGAGCCGCTGATTGTCCAGCAGCTTGTAATTGGCCAATTGCTGGCTAGATGCCAAATGTAAAAGTTTATCATACATACTGTACATGTGGAGAGACCGTCTACTTCCACAGACTCTGCATACAATACATGTCGAATGTCGCAACCTTGATATGTTCCTCCGAGCCAAATAAACTGACTTGTACAGGTGTGAACGTTGTGATGCCCCTGCCGTCTCCTGTCTCCTCCTCTTGATTCCTAACCTCGGCCTCTAGTACACTCTGCACAGTGGCTGGCCACCCAATTTCCGCTCTACACACTCTCGTGCCTCCAATATGCCTCGGTCCGTGCTCAGAAACATGCACTCTCCCGGATGGGTCAAGCCCTTCACGTATGCCGACTCCCTTGTCCTTGTGATCCGGCCCAGGTCCTCGCTCGTCAGCCATATCCGTCTCGTAGGCTTGCTGATCAGCTTCATGGTCTTGAGCACAGGCTCGTTGTTCCAATACTTCAAGCCCAGCCACAGCCTTCGACGCGCCGGATTTTGCGGGACCTTCACATTGTACGATACTTCGCGTCCACCCAGCAGAGGCTCACCTGCCCGCTTGGGCGACGGGTAAGCAGCCCATGGCTCGGCAGCCAGTTTCTGCGCCATATCTTCGTGCTCTTCCGGGTCGAGTTGGTCCTGTAGCAGGAAGGGAGTAGGCGGCGTGGTGCCGCCGAGGGTCACGCTGGAGATGAACCCCTCGCGTTGGAGACCGAGCATCAGGTTGACGTGCATCTTGGACACGGGTATCGACGTGAGACCTAGTCGGGCCTTGGAGGCATTCTGGAGGTGCGAGCACACGTGTGCCAGGTTGACGAGGGACATTGTGACGATGAAGTCTCAATCGCAGAGCCGGGGTGGAGAATTTAAGCCCTCAAGGGGCAGGCGCGGGGGCGCGGTCGTGCGGATGGTAGGTAGCAAAGCGCGATGCAACGGCGTGTGGCAGGCGATGCAGGGTCGTCGGGGCCCCAATGCGCAGCGAGGTGTCGATGGCGGGCGTGTCGTCGTGTGTCTGCTCGTCGCGGCCAAATTTGTCGGGCGCGGAGGTCCGCCAGCCTTGCAGTGGATCGGCAGCGAAGCTTGGACCAGGCCTCACATGGGAAAAGCCGCTGGAGCTGCTGGGCGCGCGTTGGCGCTGACCCCACGCAAGAGGGCGCGTAGAGCACGATCAAAATAGCATACGGCCTGGCCGTTGGCTATCTGCGGGTATTGCGATCCACAAATTCTTGGTAGTATATAGTTTGCCTCTGGCTTCTTTTCTTGCACAGCCATCTACACTTCCTGCTCTTCGCGTGATAGAGTGACTTGGGTCGAGCGCCGCTACCTGTCCAGGGTCCGAAGTCAGCCTGAACACCAGAACATGCCGCCACAGCAAGGAGAAGTGTCTCTTTTGACACTGTGAGAGCTTTGGTCAACCTCGGACTACGGACGACTAACGTCTGTGCAGCTTCGCAGACATACATTACTACCTATCTCCTCCTACTCACAAGACCCCGCACCACCGCTTCGACAAAGGCAGCTATGTCTACCTATACCACAGTCCCATGCAGCATAACGGCCGCATAGAGGTTGCGAACCATGCCGGAACACCGGACCAAGATGCCTTTGCCGGGTGTAAGTGGAGACAGCACACCCGTTTACAGGACGAGATGCTGACCACAACAAGACCTCGACACTGTTCGGATAGAGCAGACGTACAAGCACCCATGCCTCTTCACACTTACAGTGGACGCCTTCCGCAGCCAAAATGGAAGCGCGACGTCCAGCCCTCAACAAGATATGTCACAATGGCACCTGCCGTCCCCAGATCCGCAAAACAACGGCAAATACATGTACCGTCTCCACACAGTTGACATGTATTTCTGGACGCCAGAAGACGCATCATTATTCCTAGATTCTATTAGACGGGTTGTCCAACCTCACCAGCTCCAGATCCTGGCGAATCCTCAAGCAGCTCCAGCGCAACCTGAATACAAGAATGACTCGATGAACCCTGTGGTAGCAAAGCTCGAGCGAGCAGCCATATCACATTCAAGTCGCAGTCCAAGCCTCAATATGAGCACGCAGCAATCTTTTCCGGGTCCTCCGACTGCTCCGGCACCCACCTCGAGCCCTCCAGCAGCCGATGCTCACAGCAACTTCGCGCCGATGGCATACAATCCTGCTGCCCCGGCAGCTCCAGAACCCATTGCCCACCGCGAAAAGACACCTCCGCCTCCTGACGCGGCGGATGGCACCGGCCTTAACGCGGCAGCGTACAACGACCATCAGCATGCGCAGCAGTATGGCAATCCATTGCAGACATCGTTCGCGCCGCAGCCAACATCGGGACCATACGTGCCTGGACCCCCGTCCCGAACATCGACATTCTCCGGCCCACCGCAGCCACCAGGCGTCTCAAGAACAAACACTGTGGGATCTATACCACCTCCACCACAAAGTCCTCCAAGTTTCGCTCCGCCGCCCGCTGGCCCACCACCCGGGCAGGGTCCTGTACAGCAATTCGCGAACCACCCAGGATCCCCTGGCTTCGCACCCGGCGTGCAATCGCCTGGTGCACCTAGCCAATCTCCTCTGCCATCGCCAGGCTATGCACCCCAACAGTATCAGCCGATGGCTTCACCGCCGCCTGGGGGGTATGCGCAGTATCAGTACAGTAGCACGACACCACAGCAACAACCAGGCGCAGACGCATACGGACTGCACCAGCAGCTATACCGACCGACAGAACAAGAGGCGCAAACAAAAGACCACAGTGCACCAGGACCGCAAGCGAAGAGCAATATGGGGAAGAGGGCAGAGAAATTGGAGAAGGGGATCGGTGGGTTTCTGAAGAAATTGGACAAGAAGTTCTAGGTGGCTCTGCGTTGGAGGCTGAAAATTAAGGCGTTTTACCGTGGATAGCGAGATTAACCAGCGGCGTGGTGTGTTTGGTCGACGAAGGTCGACAAAAGTCCTTTGCCTTGACGGCTGCAGAAGCGTGATGCAAGTGCATGTGACAAACGTTGAAGTGCAGACCGCGCCGCAGAATCACGGGCCCAAAAATAGCCCCACGCGCTGCGGTGGTTCCTTTGGCGACGGCCCCAGAATCGACATGTCGGCGCCAGCGGCTACATTCGCTGCTGCTGACAAGAGGCACCCGTCGACCCTCGGTCCTCGCAGCAAATCTCACAGTGATCAGGCAGGGCGGCGTCAATTGGCCGCTTCTGCAGCCTGTCAAGATCCACAGCCGCAACCAGTGCAACGGCAGTGCAGACAGGGCCGCGGCGCATCAGCCACGGCGACTTCCCGGTTTATGCGCTGATCCCTGCTTATGAGCCCAAGCGCCGTTCTAGTGCAGCCTGTGCAAGGCCTCAGCCCCAGCTTGCGGAGAAGACGCTCGACAGTCTGCTGCTGCTGATTGCTGCCTTTGTACACAGCTGCCGTCCGATTGCGACTTCCCCGACACGGTTCCTGGCGGATTCGAGCGCCCTTGCGTCTTCGGTGCGACGGACCCTACCACACGCCGGTCCCACGCGCGCGGGCACGTTCCGGCGACGACTGCGGGTCCAGCAGACGGGGAGACGCGGGAGTGACCTCATTCCGTTTCGAACTCCTGAGGCGGGAAAATTGGGTTGGGAAGAGCAGCACATTCTGTACCTCTGCAACATGCGGTTACCCGTGCCAGACGCGCGGGAAGGCGCGTTGGAGCGGCGGATGACCAAGTCGCAGAAGAGTCTCTGGGTGGTACGGCGACCCAGTTATCCCAGCGTGTTCAAGCCTTGCGCACTACGTCTGGCCGCTGCGCATTCTATTCCATGCTGACCGCGACGCAGATTGCCATTATCGTCATCATAATCTTCGTTATCCTCCTCATCACCTACGTCCTCACAATCAAACTACGCAACAACTCCGGCGTGCCCACGCGCAAACCCAAGGACAAGCTTCCCTCGCTCTTCTCCTGGAAAAACCTCCGCATAAGACCACGCCGGAACGAGTACTCCACCAGTCTGCAAGACCAGGATGCGGGCAGGAATGGCAGTTTCGGGGCGAGCCGCGATCGCGAAATGACCGGGAGCGTGGCCGTCGCGAACGACCCGGAGAGACAGGCGTTGGCCCAGGATAGCACCACCACCACCAACAACAACGCAGGCGTGGACCGCAACACCTCGGTCCGCAGCGTCATGACGCTTCCCGCATACGCACCCGCTCCACGAGAAAACGAACAAGTGCTGGGAAGGGAGGGCGAGAGAGGAGGTATTGACACGGTTGTCGAGTTCCCCGAAGAAGTCGACGAGGAAGAAGCGCGTCGGGAGGGTGAGATGGAGTCCCTCTACCAGATCCGACTCGCCCGCCGCCAGGAGGCGCGCGAGCGCGAGGAGCGCCGACAAGCCCGTCGAGAAGCACGCCAGCGCGGTGATTATGAAGCCCTTGCAGAGATCAGAAGAAGGGCGGAACAGGCGGCCGAAGAGTCTGTGAGCGCCATGCTCATTGCGACGCACCAGACCGCCAACCGCGAACGCCGCGTCTCCTCTGTGCAGTACGGCGATCTAGGTGTAGCAAGACACGACGGAACGAGGCTGCGAGCGAACTCCACCGACAGCGACAACCGGCCTCTCCTTGATAGCGCCGCGTCGTTTGGAAGCGGAGGGCGGGAGCGAGGCTTGTCGGGTGCAACGCTGAGCACGCACCAAAGAGGTCTCTCGGCATCGTCTCTTCGATCCGTCTCCACAGGCCGCGCATCCGAGGAGTACGAGTTCCCTGAGGCGGGTAACAGCCACCGCTCCAACTCAGATGACTTCGAAGTCGTCTCCCTCTCGCATCCAAATTCGAACCCCCACTCGCGGGACCGGAGCAGAGTGGCGACACCCAATCCCTCTCCCAGCATCGAGATACCAAACGAGGACGCGCCTGCGTACGAGGACCCGCCCATATACGAAAGTCCCATTGCTACGCGCGCGCCGCAGTTACCGGGGGCGCCGCAACTGCCCACGCTCGAGCGGCTACCTAGCATACAAATCACGCCCGAGCCCATGTCCGTCGGTGGCAGAGAGCCCCTGCGGGACCACTCGCCCGCATCGAGATAACACATTTTCCCTGGCCCGAATCTCCTTTCATCTGACTGTACCTACTAGCGTTGTTTGATCTTTCGGCATCTTGCGTTGTGATAGTGTAGTGCCTAATACGTAGGGTAGGAGTTCGGACATGCGCCACGACGTCACGCTGCAACAAGCTCTGTCTCTCCTCTTTCTGTCGCTAGCTAGTCTGGATCATCTGGCGACGACTTTGCATCTTGTCTGGACATATTTCTACCCCGTGCCGGAGAGCACGTGGGCTGGCAGCTGCTTGTCATTTCTGTTGGTAGTGTAGAAGTGATAATATACGACACACATTGTGGTAGCCTCAAGGGCGCCATCAATCACATCACCTGGACTGCGACCACTAGTGCATGTATGCTTCATTCACTCTATCCGTGTACCACTCAAACCGGTCATGTGTCCCGTAACGTATGTGCCATGCTTCATAGCCCCAACACACCCGAGGCACGTACAAAGAATAAACGCTAATTCAGTCCGAGTCCAAGATGCCCACACATCCGCGGCGCGTCGTCCCATCCTGCCCGTAAACTCCGTCGCTATGCTACCGCCGCGTCGAATAAATGCCATACATGTCGTAGATGTTGAAAATGATACTCTGCTCCGCTCGACACACTGCCTGCACTGCACTCGGCTCAGGCTTTTCTGGCTCCGAACAGACTGAGACTGATCGCCGTCTCGTTCCCGCTGCCGCCCGCGTTGCTTCCGCTTTCGGGAAGCACCTCCCATCTGCTCAACTTGTATGGCACAGGTTTCGCATCCACTCTTTCCTGCTTCACACCGCTGGCCTTGGTTGCCCTGGGTGGTTGGTTTTGCATCGAAGGCGTCCTTTGTAGCTGAGGACTCATGGTATTTTGGCGCTGTTGCGCCATAGCTTGCATCTGCTGCATCTGCTGCAGCTGGGAGACTGGGCTGTTTTGCCCATTCGATCCCATCCGCTGAAGCTGCTGCGAGAGTATATTGTGGGGCTGTTGTTGCTGCGGATAGCGCCCCTGAGGTTGGTTTTGCGGTGTATTCGACGGCCGCCGCGACTGCGCCGCGCCGACTCCGTATTGCTGCTGGCCCTGTATTTGCGGCTGGGCAGGATTCGATGCTGGCGTCTGTCTCTGCGGGGAGGATGCGCGTTGCAATGACCGCGTGAGGCCGAGCCAGCCATCCTCGTGAGGCTCCAATCCGAAGATGAAGGCACATCGACTATCGTAGGAAGACTTCGTGCTCGTCGAACTAACAAGGTTCTTTCGAACTTCTTCGGAGATATGATCAGAGAGTAAGACCGACACATCGAAGATGTATTGAGTAGTCGACGGAAACCCTTGGAGGTGAGGGTGAGTTAGAAGGTTTCGAAGATTCCACATGAGCGCAGCTTGATGCTGATGATTAGCTTTCGGGATCAGTCCTGGGCTTTGACAAACGACGAGACGAAGTAAAGCATTGAGCCTGCGATAGGTTAGTGGAACCGCAACAAGAAAGAAGGAATAGACGTCAACTCACCACGAGCAAAGGTCAGAGGGCAATAGGTTGTTTTCGATCGTTGCTTGTTCGTCACGTTTCATCAATCGGTAGTCCATCTGGTGTAGAAGCTCGGCAATTCCTTTAAGCCTTTCGACGAGAGGCGCGAGAAGAGATGATTGCGCTTCTCTTGCGTTGCTGGTTGTTGTAGCGCAGATGACGTCTAAGAGTCGATGAACAAAAGGCAGCTCGTCTAGGCAGTTGCCGTCCTTGTCATCTAGATTTATATCGCACAGAAAAGCCGAGAACCTGAGTATCTCCTCTTCCGCGTGCCCACGTATCTATCGATGTCAACAGTTGCTCAATCGATGGCAAAATCATTGCCTACCAAGTCTTTGAGATTAGTGTCCAGCCCAGACACAAGATCCAACATATATGAGTGGTCAATCTCGAGAGTCGACTTCAAGAATTTGACAAATGCCACAGGTAAACTTTCGATCGACTGTCCGGTGGTCGACATAGATATGAACAAATCTTGGAGTTTCAGCTGACAGAAAGATAACGAAAGTTGGTCTGCGTATCTGAAGATCGCAGTGGCCTGCTCTTCATGGCTCAATCTAGACAGGTCTAAATATATCGGTAAGCTTTTGCGAGTACACCAATGGGATACAGTCACAGCTACTTACCCAGAGCGTTAAGAGGGTCCATGATGCGGTCAAGCAAAGACTTGATACCAGTCTGAGAGACCCCACTCGTGATACGTGCGGAGCAATCAAGTAGAAACGAGACGTTCTGAAAGTCTACCGCAGCTGAATGTCGAAGTACGCCAAGAAGTCGACCATCGGACAACACATGCGGCAGCGAGTCTCCAGAGCATAGATCCGGATGGACACTAATCAAGTCCAATGCCCCTTTGATTAGTTCCAACAGCCCGCTATCTTGTTTTTGACAAAACGCAACTTGTTTCGTGCGGAACTGGTACAAGTACGAATGTGGTAGTAGATCACTCAACTCGTGTCTCGGGAGGATTATATCCAAACCATTGATCGCAACGCGAAATGATTCAACAAAGTGGTTCGGTTGTAGACGTCGCATATAGTCCCTTGTTGTTTCTGCAAAACGAGACAAAGAGAGACATCCAGAGACTACAAGCGGAGGCAGAGCGACAGCAAGTATTCGCGGCTCCTGGTCAGTCAAGACCGACTGCAGCCATGAGACGACTATAGCGTGGAAGGTGTTTTCTTCAAGGCTTTGCAAGCGGCAAAACCATGATAACAGACCCTCTGAAGGGTAGCTACCTTGACTAGAGCGTTGGTCAAGATAAGCTACGACCTTTTTGAACACGCGATTCATCGTATGCTGGTCCATACTGTTACCACTAGACAGTATGCGCTCTATTTCATCTTCGGGATCTGATCCTGTGACGTTTTCGATCATGGTATCCGAAACAGGCGAGCACACGGCGGGAGAGTTCCGATGGTCGTAGCGACTTAGATCATAGTCTAGCAGCTGCGTGAGCTGCGAGTCGACAGTCGTCAAGTGAGACAAAGCACTGATGCTGAGCAGCAGGCTCCTTTCGGGAAGGCGGATCGCTCGGATCTGAGTATATCTCATGACTATTTTCTCGGAAAGCGGATTGAATGCGCCAATGGCTTTGAAGGCCTTGAAATGGTAACAAAGGGTATCGGCGGAAGCGCCTAGAATGTGCGCGTCAAATGAAGTAGCGGAAATTCCGACAACATCTGCCAGGATGGACAGGTCCTTGAATTGCTCAAGATAATGTCGTACGATTTCGAAACAAGACGACGAGATGGTGCAAACCGAACCCGCCATGAAAATACTGCTTTCTTTCGTAGGTGCACTGCTCATCGTCAGCATCGCCAAAAAAAAAAAAAACCACTCCCCCCGCTTGGTAATACGCACCGGTCGCTAGTCTCGATCGTTGCGGCGACTTGCCGTCGTAACCAGATAGCAACTTCGAGACACATCGTTCGACTGAGACGCCCAATATTAAGAGTCATTCTACGCAAACCATTAGGATCCGTGAGTGTGAAATCTGTCAGCTGTTGTAGAATAGAGTCTTGCGTGTTCAGTATTAGGTCGTCCTCAGTATCGACCGAATAAACCGAGCCACGAAGCATCGTGCTTCTCAGATTCAACACTTGCTCAGAAAGACCGCTCAGTGGAACCTCTGTCAGAAGACGAAGCTGCCAAGCAATTGCCTACGCCTCGTCAGCCTGAACAAGTGAGTGCAAGACCTGGAAAACCTACCGCGTGGTGATCCTGGCCTGGATCCATCGACCCGGTCGCTATGAGCCACTGGAGAAATCTGCCTAAGGAGAAGGTCCTTGAGCGAACCAATTCGCTCACGACTCTGAAGACTAGTTCCGCGTCTTTACTAGGATCCAAAGCCAGACGTGGAAGGTACCTTAAAATTCCTTCAGAAACATCGATACCGAGATGGTTCCATTTGCGGAGCAAGCGAGTAGCGAGATAGACACGGTGTAAGCCTTGCCGATAAAGGGATGATGACCACTGCAGGACGGCCGAGATAAGGCGGTCGTGATCAGGAAATAATTCCATACACTCGTAGGCTAGCTCGTCTACAGAGATGTTGGTCTCGTAGTCTACGCCGTCCAGAAATTGATACAACACACGATAGGATCGCTGAGATGCCGAAGATCCAAGGCTTCGAGAAGGCATTATGTCCCTATTCCTTTGGTCCAAGCCGGGGATGACTTGAGAGATCTTCGCATGTGCTCGACGCTGCGCAAAGACATACAACACTACCTTGCATTTTTCCCAATCATCAGGAAGTAAAAGGCACGCCGACTTGGTGACAGCGACCCTGGCGATTATGCTCTCAAGCAACCCAAGAACGGATGTTTCTCGGGATTCCCCACTCGTGCTGTAAATCTTCCCAGCATGATTCAGAAGCGATTCTGCCAAACGTTTGCCGCGACGGCGGAAAGATATGAGACTGGTCCAAAAGTCGGGTATGCATGTGATCAGAAGCCAAAGAAACAAACGCTCTGAAGAGCAAGAATCAAGACTCTTTAGTATCCAGTCCATAAAATGGTCTTCTTCCATGAGGTGTTCCTTGAACAAATGTGCTGCAAGTTGCAATGCATAAGTGATCCGGATCTTCCAGTCTTGTTGTCCAATGGTTGATATGACACCGTCCAGAAACTGCTCGACTGAGCTTGTCCAGCCGCGGACCCAAGTGATTGTGCCTGCTTGCCCCTTCCTTTTATGAGCCCGCATCTCATTGATTCCCACGCACTTTGCCAGCCACAGGGCACGAGGGATGGGAATGTTCTTGTTAAGACATTGGTCGAGGAGGACCTTGCCAGTGATGCCATGGGGTATGGTACGACTCAGTCGGCGTAGCCCGACTGTGGGATTGGCTAGGTCGTGCAGCCAGGTCTCTCGGGTAGAGTCGCGGAGCGTTAACCGCGGAGGCGGTTTGAAGGTATTGGGCGCGACCAGACGACTGCACGACTGGCGCTTTTCAAGGACAGCAACGAACAAAGTCGATAGTGTCGATGTGCCGGACTTGTTCTTGAGATTCGCCCAAAGGGAGGGACGCGCGGTGTTCGTCTCGTTCATGATTTGGGACTTGTTGCTGATCCCACCCTTGACCAGCGCCTCGGAGAGCACATCTTCGGGATGGCTGCCCGTCCACGGAAAAAAGTCTGCAGCTTCTATCATCTTGTCAGTGGATACCTCGCGCGGCCACAGTGTCTGAGACTCACTTCCGCCTGGGAGGACAGCGGCCGAGGCTGGTGTCTCCTGGTTCACCACCTTTGTCACGGTTGGATCGGCCTTGACACCACTGCCCCCAGGGAATATACGACGCTGGTTGAGAGCCTCAGCGGGCATGGACAAGCTGGGCCGCGGGGGCACGGGTAGTGCCGCAGTCGTCGGACTGGGCTCCGAGGACTCGAGACCACTGTGGGCGGCTACGCTGAAGAAGAGCTGAGGCTTGCCCTTAGGAGGGACGCGCATGGGCTCGGTGGCTGTCGTCTGTATGCCATCGAGGGGCCCTGGCTTGCCCTTGGGTCTGGCTTTGGGCGGCGGTTCCCCAGCACGGTCATGGTCTACTGCCGCCTCCTGGCCATGCTGGCCTGCCGCCCGCCGCGCCGACGTCGCAGGCGCATTCCCGCGGTGTTGCACAGGGTCTTGCGCGCCTTGGGCGGGACGGGAATTCATCGCACGGAGAGCGGATTCATGGTGTGTTCAAGGGCCAGCGGACGGCGGGAGGAGGGAGCAGCCAGCCGAACAGACTCGGCGTGTGCGCGTGTGCGTGTCTGGGACTTGGAAACAGCCGATTTAGGAGAGAACAACAATCCGCAGACGATCACAAGTAGTGGAGGAGCTTCCAGGGCACTTCCAGGGCAATGGGGCGGTAGTCGCGGAGTCGACGCCGGCAATGAGTCGGCCAACTTGGGCCGCCCGCGGACAGGGTTCCGTCAGTCAGCGCGCGATCTGGTGCATGTGGGACCACCACTCCATCACCACCTCCACCTCCCCTCGCCTTGCATCCCCTGCTCGCTGCATCACAATGGCGTCCAATAAGAAGGACATGCGACGGATCGACCTGAGTACGCCTCCTGCCACTGCCCTGCGTTTCTCTGCTTCGTGCTACGCATCTCGAACCCCCTAATCTATGTTACTATCAGTTGAGGTCGATAAACGTCACGTGCACTGACTTTTGGGTACAGTCGTACCTTATGCTGAGCCGGCGAAGGACAAGTCAGATGGCGATATGTCCAGTACTATGGCGACGACGTTGCCAATGGCTGCTGTATGTTGCCCGTAACCTGTCTAGTATGCCTCTACCTCTGCTAACGATGTGCTTCAGATATTCACCCGCAACAAGTAAGAGCAGCCATGGTCGCAACGAAGAATTAGCACTGACACTGCGTGCTTCTAGGATGATCGGATGGGTCGCCGTTGTGTTTGCGCTCCAGTCGTGGCTAGCGGAAACTGCTGAGCAGAGAAGGACAGCTGCCACCCCAGCCTACTTCTCTGTAGGCATGAGCTGTAAGTTCTCTCACGAGCATAGCGAGTGATCACAGCTAACATGAAATAGTCATGTCACTGCTCGTTGTGAGTTGTACCATCCAGCTTATCCCGTTAATGTCCAGAGGCTCATTGCCAACAGGGTTACATGCCTTTGTTTCTTCCCCCAGTTACCCCTCGAGTCGGGACAGGTTCTGGCACAGAGGCGCCACCTGCCGCTCCCCCGTCCTAATCTTTGGGCGTCTGACGGTATCCAAAGAAGCTGTACATGTACACCTGAAACCCCTGGCTTGTGCAATTCGGTTCATCAGGGAAGGTTTCAATCGAGTGTCCACACAACATTGCATCTTAAAATGTATATTTACTTCGAACATCATACACATGTGCTTGGGCTATCTTACAGAACGTTTGTTTTACATGCCGTGAAGGTGATAAATGTACAACGTGCCCTTATGACTTGTATCTGCCACTAAAACCACCAACATGCCCCAGAAATCCCACAAACCCAGCGTTCTCTCACACATGATGATCCATATCTATTATGCAGCCTGGTATGCGTTCACTTTCCTCGCATATTCTTCCGTTTCTTCGATCGACTTCAGCGTAGAAAAGTCCGTGAAGCCAAAGACCTTCCAACCCTTTGCCCTGCCGCGTATGAACTGCTTTTGTAAGACAAAGTATTCGACGATGTCAGACGATGTCGTTGCAGAGTCTTGATCATTCTTCTTGCGAGACTCCTCCGATTCACCGAGCTTGAGTGTCTGTTTGCTTTGGATGCGGAACACAACCTGATGGACTCCGGTGCTCTCGTAGCCGGGAAGCTCAAGGGGCATGGCAATGTTCGACACAATTTTGCAGCTCGGTTCGCCTTGAACATCCCACTGCATCCGTACACCTGCCGGGCGAGATGCTATGCGCGTCTGAAATTCCTTTGCGACACCAGAAGCGCACAATGCTGAGATTGTCTTGGAATCAGCCCTGTCAAAGTTAGTCGTGTCTCGGACGTGGACGCGGGTCGAATGCTGCCGCAAGGCGTGAGCCGGCTTACTTCGCAAATGATTCATAAAGTGCCTTGTACTTCAGTATGGCGTCCTGACTCAACAGTCTGCGGTCTTTGCGACTGAACCAGAACATGTTTGGTTTACCACCGATTTCCTGTCGAAAGCGCCGCAACCTATCCGTGCGTCAACTTCGCGATGCCACGATTTCTGTACATCGAACGAGACGTACTGGTACCAAGATGTCAATCGTGCCCTGATCCACTTCCATTCGTACCATATTCGATCTTTCAGAGAGAAACGCGTCAACGGGAACATCGGGGCGTGCACGAAGGTACCTGCTCTTCGTCAGTCTGCGGCACGCGGGCAACAACTGTTCGACAGGCGTACCGGGTACCAGACCGATGTCGTCAGGCAAGTTGCGTACATCACGAAACTGCTCCTCGTTCTGTGAGCTCGAGGCTTTGCCTCGTTGATAACGCGTTGCGACTGCGATCGTGACGGGATCAGACTGTCGGGCTTTCCGAGTGCTTGATAGATTTCTTTCCACCGTCGGCGTGGTGGAGAAGGCGCGTTGTGAGGGTGAGAATGGCAGGCACTGCCGATGCAGTGGCCTTAGCGACCGGATGGGGAGGTGTGTCGACATGGTGTAGTTTGCAGCGCAAGAGGGAACAATTGTTGGAGAGGTGCCGTCGCGGAAGTCCGCAAAATCCGAAAACGGTCAAGCGTGATGGATCACGTGTAATGACTGGCCCCTGCTCCAGGGCTTCTAAAATATCCAGATTCTGGCCTCCATAAAGCTCACATGTCATCATCATCATACTTGCAGCTCCATGCTTCCAGCGTCTGGTGTGGTGTAATCGTGTATTCAACCTGTTCAGGTACCAAATTCCATAACTAGCAGCATGATCCAAGTACCAACAGCAACTACAATGTTGGGCTTACAGTCGAATTACAATCAACCCGTCTATGCATTGCCTACACGAGGTAATACACTGTACTCTGAGTTCCGGCCTAGTGCTGTATTCATAGGGTGAAGTGATCAACTTATCAAATTGGGGATGTTTATCAGATGTCACTTTTGCAAGTGCTACCTATCTGCTCCTCTAGATTTGTGCCCTTCCCATGCTTGGCCCGTCCATCCAGTCTTAGATTTAATCGTAAAAGTACAGTAACTTACAGTGACCCCAATAATGTCTAAGATAAAGTATACAGATTCGAAGAGAAGGGAGGGTATCAACGCCGGTATGATGATCTTCTTCCTTCTTGGTACGCCATTCCCAAAGAAATTGACCCCATCGTACATGCTCACATACAACGCACTTAAAGATTGCTGCTGGTTCCAAGTAACTTCAACACAGCCTCATACGTGCCAAACATTATCGCAGCGCTCGGCACAACGCGGAACATATGAGGGACTAACCCGCCATAGAGCGCCGCCATACCCTCCTCTTTCCATATCAACTTGAAGCACTGGGTTAGGCCAGTATACTTCAGCTGGCCGTTCTCCAATGGGGCCTGTCGCAATCGAGTTCGTACGACCTAATCGCGAGAACGTCAGCCCTGATCATTTTCTTGAATAAAAGCACGTAGATGTTGCTCACCTCATGAGGATATGTTATCAGAGCAGCGACGAACTTGGCAACGCCAGCCGCTGATACTTTGCCCGTCCAGGACACAGTCTGGTCCCAGGTGGTAGGTGGTCGGCCGCTAGCAGCAACCCTCTCTTCTCGTCTCGCCAATGCTAGCTTCATTTGCTCGTACATCATCCACTGCAGAGTGCTCTCCGTGACACCCAGATAGCTAGCCGTAAGGCCGCGGTAAAGGCCCCGTATCCCCTCTTTCCGAATTGTTTGCATGGTGCAATCAAGTGCGTTCTTATACTGGCGGCCCCGTCCGTCCGCGTGCGTGTTCTTGTCGAGTTGTAGTCTCGTCTTGACAAGCCAGATAGGATTTGTCGCCGTTCCGGTAACAATACCGGCACATGCGGCCGCAAAAAGATGAACCATTGCAGACTCTTTCCCATCGTTGAACTGGTTGCTAATAATTCGCTTGCCATTGCCGTACGCGTAGAAATTGATCGCGCGGGCGGGGACAACGCCAATGAGATTGGGACCAAGACCCTTGAATAGTGCTCGCCAGCCCTCTGTTTTAGGTACCTGCCAAAGAATTTCTCCTGTCTCACGGATGTGCAGAAGGGAGCTTCGCGCAAAGGACATTGTTTCGATAGGAGGCAGACCGCGGGCTGTGCGCATTGCCGCGAGATGCTGCTGGTAGTACGTGGATTGGAGGCGAGTTTTAAGTACGTCGAGCGGGGCGGTCAAGGTAGCAGACGCCATGCCTCCGAGCCTGTTCCGGAGGTGAGTACACAGCTTGGGTGGAAGCATGTTGCGGAGCTAGGTTGTCTTACCCGCCAGCGATGAAGTGCGCCCATGACTTTGCGAAAGGCGATTCTGCAGTTGCTACCGGAGTTCCATCTGGCCTTTTTTGGGGAATGACGTCGCCTGTTTCGCGCGATTGTGGGAGGAGTGTCTGTTTGAATGGGGTGCCGTCGTCGTGGATGCTTCGAGGGCGCGGCGCATGATCGAGGGTCATCGAACCGGCAGTGGCGCTTGTGAATGCGGTAGGCGCGACCAGGAGGATAGCGAGCGTGGCGTCGGGAGACTGCGATGTAGCTGTGGAAACAAGCTGCGAATGTTGGGCAAAGGAGAGAGGCGTGGGTGGTGGAAGCACCGGAGAGAAATTTAGGAACGGATTAGGTTTAGCGATGTATGAAGCGTCCTCCGCGTCATGCATGCACATGGGTTGTCGCGTCTCCACTTCGAGCCTCCGCCGCATGTCCGCCACAGCCCTACAACCACAGCCAACATGCGGCCAACAGCACGATGCCTGACGCCTGGGTTTATGAAGCGCAGCCTCGACGAGTTCAAGCGATTGTCTAATCGCGGTGAGCGCTCCACTTACCCGCTACTCTTCCCACAAGCTAATTCCTACAGCGCTCAAGCTCGAAGGATTGTCGTCGCCCACCAAACCCTACCCTTTGATTATCTTCGACTCGCAAGATGCCATCGCGCGGTGCAAGCGCATGAGCGACAAAGACATCGGTGGCTTCTCTGCAGCCAACCTCGACTTTCACGCCGCTACTGCGAACGAGCCTGCGCACGCACGCTTTCACGGTACCATATCTACCGAGCTTCCCAGAGACCAGCCGCATGTGCAACGCACAGGCTATGCTGGATGGCGCACGCTGGACCGTGGCTTTACCATCTTTGGGAAGTCGGTGTGGGACGTAGACTCGTACGCCTATCTAGCCATTCAATTCAAGTCAGATGGCCGCAAGTACTTTGTCAATGTACAGACTGAGTCCATTGTTCCGACAGACATCCATCAACACCGTCTCTACTCCAAGACGCCCGGTGAATGGGAGACTATCCTGATCAAATGGAACGAGTTTGTGCGCACAAACCATGGCCAAGTGGTGGAACCACAGCGGGAAATGCTTACCCAAAAAGTGCGAACAGTAGGAAACGCTTTGATCGACCGTATACCAGGGCCGTACGATCTCAGCATAAGCAAGGTGTGGGCGACCAATGCTACAAGTGACGATGATATCCTGGCGACGGTCACAGGTGCTATCACGGGGCTTCCCTCGCAGCACGGCTTCAAGAAAGTAGAGACGCCTAAACAGGAGCCGTTGGGTGACCGCTCATCATAGTTTGAGTTTCTGCGATGAGGGTTGTATAATACTGCAGGTCGGAATCGAATTGCGTCAATAAGTAACACACCTCGAAACAAGCCGCAGTGCCAATGTCGTGTATAAAAGCAGACGTTGTATGTAAAATTTAGTTTTCTTGGGTCCAATCGCATGTATATCAAGGACAATGCACTTTGAGTCCTCTTTTGTCTTGAACTTGTGATGGGCGCCAGCACCTGGCACCTGGCAAGCGCCCGATCACATGATGGCGCGTTTTGAAGTTCGAATTGCCCAGATTAAATACCGCCCTCCAAAACAGTCCACACCCGAACTCCAAGTTCCAGCTGCACAGCTCACCGTTGGCAGCATTGAAAACAACGAACGCGACCACTGGCCTTGCCTATCACAAACATGCGCACGGCATTAATGGGTCTTTCGAACTCAAGGGACCACCAAGCGACGCAGTAGTGTGCTTGCCCCGCCGCCATGTCGAAACCGCGATATCTCACCGCGTCCAAGATCAGCCTTCTGGTTCTTGTCCAACTGTACTGCGACTCTGACTTTCCATCATCCGCCACTGTTCCAGTACTCTCTTTTGTTCTCTCACACACCTTCCCAACGACTCCATCAGCTGCTCGCAAGTCTCATACCGTTGAGCAACATGTTGCTCCTCTGTCAATTCGGACCTTCGAAGCAATACTCAAAAATCACACATCGAGTATGCCGGGACGCTCGCTTCTGGACGATTTTCTGAAATGTCTATGGGAGATGAATTCAATGGATGCTCTTTTTGACCTGTTCAATGACTTGGGAAATCTACTGGGGCCCCCAAAGGAGGAGCCGTCCCAGGAGACGAAACGCATGCACTTGTCGCCAACATCGCCACTTGGCGCCCTTGTCCGACAAGCCCGCCTAGAATTTACCCGACTTCCTTTCGACGACATAGTTCATCTATGGTGCGCCTTTATCGCTTACCGGGCACCCACCGCCCAGTGGGCAAGACGACTGAGCGGGATGGCTTCGTCTAATGTAGACATTGTGGCAGCAGACTTGGGGTTGAGTAAGGATGACAGCCTTTTCGAGGTTACCTACGGTCACCTGTTGGAAGATGACACATCTTCTACTTCACTCAGTCATGATGATCTGGAACGCATCCTTGAGTTTCAACTCGACAAACTCCAACGCACGTATGTCTTTCTACAATATTTATCAATCGCTAACGAATGGTAGGGCTTGGCTCTCGTGTGCCGGAGGAAATGAAGGCTCCATTACGACAACTCCTCGAATCATGCGACAACGTTCCCAGGCAAGCGCATCTGGTACTCTTCTTTGATGCTTGGAAGTCAGGTGATTACTCTTCGGCTTTCGACAATCTCCACCGGTATTTTGATCATGCAATGCAAGCACGAGAGAGAATTCACTACCAATATGCTCTATTGCATATGGCCATTCTTCAGGCTGACTTCGGCTGTTTCGCAGAAGCTATTGCTGCCATCAATGAGACCGTGGCAACAGCCAGGGAGAATCAAGACATTCACTGTCTCAACTTCAGTCTGAACTGGCTAAATCACATGAGCAAGGCCTACCCTAAGCAAATGAAGAGAGCTGGGTATATCGGAATGCTGGGATCGGAGAAAGAAGGACTTGCGTTCTTGAAGGCTAAAGCTAGAGAAACCAGGACATATAACTTACTGAGCGCTACTTTGCTAAACGAAGCGAAGCTGTGCTTGCTTTCGGTAAGCAGCTTGTGCTAGACGTCTTGGGCTTCAGAATTAACGCATGTTAGGGTGATGTAGCTTCCCGTGCCTTTGAGCTTCTATATCAGTCGTCGCATCTGAGTCTTAAAGAGAATATCGGGAACCATGGCTCCCATCTACTCTTCCAGTCTGCGCTGTATTCCCGCCTAGGCAACCCGAGCCTGTCGGAGGTGAACTGCCAGCTGCTGCTTGATTGTTATCAAAGTGCATGCCCCTTGGACGAACGTATCAGAGCACTGGGTCGGCGCGCGTTCTTGGTAGGTCTTTCAGGTGCTCAGACTTGAAAGAATACTAACCATTGCAAGGTCCTGCAGAGGTGTCGTTACGACGAAGCACTTTGTCTTCTTGCGTCAACGGAACAGTTCATGCAGCGATCCTTGAAGTTCCACCAGTATGTCTATCTCTGCACCGGGCTTGTCAAGCTGAGAAGAGCTATCCGTCAGTAAGTGCTTCCCCCACAGCAGACGTGGTTCATTCGTCGCCACTGACCGCGTGCAACAGCAAAGACTGGACAGCTTGCGAGGCGCTGTTCTCCTATCTCCAACCCGACTCGTCAACCGATCCCGAGTTGACCTTTCTGCTTTCCGAATCGCGCATAGACTACCTCGTGGCACGCGGACTATACTCGCAAGCGTGGGAGGCGGTAGAGGAGCTTTCCATCACACTCAAGGAGGAAGGCGCCGACGTTATGCAACGCATCTCTCTACTCCTCGCCAAAGCAGACATATGCAGAAGACTTGGCCGTCCCGAGCGAGGTTTCAGCGTCGCTCTGAGAGCAGCTAGTGTGGCGTTCAAGGCGCATTTGAAGACATGCTTGTTCACCGCAGTTGGCTTACTGGCCAACATCCTGAATTCAAACGCAGATTATCACGCAGCCACGCGTTTGCTGAACGCCATAATTCCTCAGGTTCGTCTGTCCGGTTCATTCACGAGAATTCCAGTGTGCTAACAGATGCGCAGTCACTGGAGAATGGCGATGTCCATGTTGCAGGAACGCTATACTCACACATGGGCGACGCTTATATGGGTCTCGCGGGTGTAGAGGACGCATCGAACGCCGCAGGTCTGCGCCTGCGAGCAATGCGGGTGAGCCACGCGGAATTGTACATTGATCGAGCTCGCGAATGTAAGTCATCCTATACCCTAAAGCAGCTTTGCTCTTCCCAAGATTCTGACGACTCTGCAGGTTTCAAAAAGGCCGAGGACGTCGAGGGGGAGTGTGAACAACTTATGAAGAAGGCAGTCATCGCGAGGTTGAGAGGCGATGAAGAATTGGCGGAGGAGTGGGCGCACGATCACAATCGTGTTTGGGACCATGGTGTTGAGCGCATTGCAAGCAACAGCGTTGAGACACACTAGAGGCTGTCACGTCTGAACGTACAGTCGTCTCTTGGACATGGATGTACGGTACACGAATGTGCATGGCATGGCCTCAAGGTGGGTGCTCGAACGGGACAAATGAAATGCATTGCCAGCGACACAAGTGTCTGGGCTTATGTACAATATCGATGCACGACTGCAGCCGCGTACTCTGACAGGTTCTAGAGGTCTTACTTGTTTTTGTAGCACTGGGTGAGGCGAAACCCTTACTCTTCCTTCTTGTGGTAGTTGACCTTGTCGTTCCAGAACAGGGTCTGGCCGGGATATCAGCAGAGTATGCAGTGTCGTGAGGGGCGTGCTTACCTTGTCGCCGTCGCCCCAGAAGAAGTTCTTGGTGCGGATGTTCTGGTAGGCGTACTCGGGCTTCTCCTCCTTGGGAGGTCCGTGAGCTACGTGCTCCCAGTGGGCATCCCACCTCATCTTGCCGTTGATGCCGGCAACGAGCAGGCAGGGGAGGGCAACGCTGGCACGTGTTAGAATCGGGGTCGGGAGGCTCGCGCGGCGGGGGTGGGTCATACTAGAGGGTGAGCTTGTACCAGAAGACTGCGGCCCGTGGTCAGCACACTCGATGCACGCCGCACTGCGGCAGGCGGCGGTCACTTACTACCGCTCTCCTCGGCGTGCTCGGCGATGCGGGCACGCTCGCGGTTGAACTCGTTGTCCTCGGCTCCGGCGAACTGCTTGGGAGACTCGCTGCTGTACATGCGGCGGCGGAGGGGCGCGCGGGCGACGGGCGCCATGCGCTGGCTGGCGCGGAAGAGGGTGCGCTGGGCAATCATGGTGGCGGGGAGTGGAGAGGGGTCGCAATTGGGGCGCAATTGGAGTCGGGGTGTCGTGAGGGTTGGACTGACGAAAGCGAGCTTGCGGCAGCTCAGGTCAGGCGAGCTTGGCGTGTTTGACGGGTTTGCCGGCCGCCGAAGCCCGGCGTGCAGTGTGCAGCGGGTAGGCTAGCCCAACGTGACGTCGTGCTGCCGACGTCTGGTCGTGTTGCTGCTGCGCGCGCCTCCAGCGCTCCACGACGAGAAGGAGAGGTGCCATGAGGCGTTCGCGCCGTGCCCACCCGTCTCACGCACCATGGTCCGCATCACCACCTGGAACGTGAACGGCATCCGCAACCCCTTCGGATACCAGCCATGGCGCGAGAAGCGCACCTTCGACTACATGTTCGACGTGCTCGAGGCCGACATTGTCGTCATGCAAGAGCTGAAGATACAGCGGAAAGACCTGGGCGACGACATGGTGCTGGTCCCCGGCTGGGACTGCTACTTCAGCTTGCCCAAACATAAGAAGGGTAACAGCGTCTTCCCAGTCTTTGATGCGCCTTGCTGACCTCTCGTCCCAGGCTACTCTGGCGTCGCCATCTACACGCGCAACGCAGTGTGCGCCCCCATCCGCGCCGAAGAAGGCCTTTTGGGTGTTCTGTGTCCGCCCGGCTCTTCGACGCCATACCGAGACCAGTCTGAAGACGCCGCCATCGGTGGCTACCCCACGCCCTCCCAGGTCGCCTCACTCGGCGTCGACCCTGCCGCCCTCGACGCCGAAGGCCGCTGTGTAGTCCTCGAGTTCCCTGCCTTCGTCATCTTTGGCGTCTACAGCCCAGCCAACAGCAACGGTCTCCGCGACGACTTCCGCTATGGCTTCCTCACCGCCCTCGACACGCGCATTCGCAATCTCAACAAGATGGGAAAGAGGGTGATCCTCACGGGAGATCTGAATGTGTCACGCGAGGAAATAGATACGGCCAAGGCAGAAGAGAGCATGCGCTCCGAAGGCATCACAAGGGAGGACTACATGAACGCTCCGAACAGGCGCGTCTTCAACCAACTTCTCGCACACGGCAAGATCTATGGAGCCCGTGACGAGGGAAGAGATGAGCCGGTTCTTTGGGATCTTTGCCGGGAAATGCACCCGGAACGCGAGGGCATGTTCACGCATTGGGAACAGAAGATCAACGCTCGACCCGGCAACTTTGGCTCGCGTATCGACTATGTGCTCTGCAGCATCGAAATGAAGGACTGGTTCCAGGACGCAAACATACAAGAGGGTCTGATGGGATCGGATCATTGTCCTGTATACGCATCTACCAAGGACGTCGTAGACTATGAAGGTGAACAGGTGCACATGGTCGATCTCATGAACGCCCCCGGTGTCTTCAAGGATGGTGTGAGAATGAGAGAGTACAGTCCTGCTCAGGACTTGCGCCCTCTTTCTGGTCGGCTTCTGCCCGAGTTCGACAAACGGCGCAGCATCAAGGATATGTTCAGCAAGGCTCGCGTGCCTCCCAAGGCTCCGTCGCCACCGCAGCAGTCTCCGCCTGAGCTACAAGCAAGTTCTACAGGTCAATTGAAACCCGCAGTTGTCCCCGATGCGCCGCACACAGTCAATGGCTCCAACGACAACCAGAAGATAACGCTCAATGCGCCCGAGAAACGTCGCGCCTCGGACGCACCGCTCGCGAGCTCTACAAAGAAGAGCAAGACCAACGCCGTTGTTTTCTCCCAGACCCGATCGTCCTCTGGCAAAGGCCAACAATCTCTTCGAGGCTTCTTTGCGCCCAAATTCTCTTCTGCGAAACCCAAGCAAGAAGACTCCTCGGGCGACTATGCGCTCGCCAAAAAGCTTTCACAAGACCCACCCGCAAGCCCAGAGGAAGCCAGACTTCCCTCCTCCTTACCGCCGCCTGCCACGCCGCCGCCCATCCGTGACCCCGAAGCCTCGAAAGAGTCCTGGGTCAAACTCTTCTCCAAGAAGCCGCCTCCCCGTTGTGAAAGCCACGACGAGCCCTGCAAGAGCTTCATAACAAAGAAGCCAGGCGTCAACTGCGGGAGGCACTTCTGGACATGCTCAAGGTGAGTGCCCTTCCTTACCCGTCTTCACGCATACTGTTACAGTACACTTACTTTGTCGCCTAGGCCGTTGGGACCTTCCGGGCAGAAGGAGAGCGGGACGCAGTGGCGGTGCGGGACGTTCATATGGGCGAGCGACTGGAATGCGCCCAGTCCGCAGAAGTAGCAGCACGATGGTAGCTGTCGCTGGGTCGTTGGGTAAGCGGGCTGGGGTCGATCTTGAGGGTTGATAGCGAGTCAGCACGATACCAATGGCATCCTCTCCACGCAGATCTGCTGGAGTTAATTTTCTCCCAAAATTTCACATCTTTGCGCCTTCTACATACCATCTCCGTGCTATGCTCAGCGGCACCAACGTCACGATCCGTACATGCGCATCTACACCACACCCATCACTTGCAGAAAGAATCGAAGGATTTTGTGCCTTTTTGGTATTTTCCTATGAACCATTTGTGTGTTGACTGACTATACATGCAGTGCTTGTGCTTGTGCTTGTGTGTGCCGAAACCGAAACCACGCGAACGCCAACCTAAGAACCGAAAACCTTTCCTTTCGCCATCCTTGACCGGTCTTTGCAGTCGGCCATTCGCATTTGCAACCACGGACAGTACCATGTGGTACGACTGCGACCTTTTCCCCATCCGTTTCCCACCTCCGCCGAGAACAAGAAGCGAGGGAGAAGAAAAAGTACTAGCCATGCAATGCCCACACTGAAGCGTGCAAGGCATCCGTTCCCTTTCCGTTGGTTCGCCGTCCCATCCATGAGTTGAGCACCAGTCTATGACGCCAGACTTGAGCCAGCGCAACTGCAAACAAGAAACAAACCGAGAGAATCTGAGAGAAAGAAAAGAAAGAAAGAGTCGTTGAGAGCCAGATCCGCCCGTCCCAGAACGCCGAGTTATCCAAAAGGTTCTGCTGTCCGAGGGTTGTTGTTCGGCTCACCCCGAAACCCAACGTTGCAGATGAAACGAACCAAGGCAGCGCGGGTGAAACCACGGCTGGTGTGTGGTGGGGTTGTTGGAATCCTGGTGTTAGAGGGGGTTGTGGTGATGTGCCTGGGTATCATGGTATTATTGGGAGTATGATTCGATTTATGACATCCATGTGCGTCGTCCAATAATGCAGCATGGACGTATAGCCATGAGAAAAAGACCGCGAGAGCCGATGTAATGGATAAAAGGTGTATCGCGCAAGATGCAATACGATGAATGAGGTGAGACAGTCTAAATCAGACAGAAACCGTGGTGAGATCGGAAAGATCACTCGCTACAGGGCGCTCGGAGACCAAGATGCAGTCCTTAGAACATTTCTGACGAGAAAGAAGGCAAGGTGGCGCTCGCGTCTGCTCCATCTCGGAATGCGAAGGCTTCGTCGCCGAAGAGATCCAGAGAACCAAAGCCGAAGCTGGAACCGAGTTCGATGTCAAGCATATCCTGTCTAGCAATCTCATTGTCGTGGAATGGCGGTTCTTGTCGTGACGATGCATCACCGGCCTCGACTGGTTGAACTGCGCCGCCGGAGAGACTGTCATGGATGATTAACGCTATATCGTCAGAAGCAGTACCAAAATTGTCGACTTGTGTGAAGTCCATTGTTGAAACATCCATCGGGGAGGGCAGGTGAATCTCGCCTTGCAGGGTAATGTTTGCTGGAACAGTCGCTGCCATAGCAGCTTGTGCAGCTTTTCGGGATTGGCGCTTCTTCTTCTGACCGGGCTTGCGAGGGGCGTACTTGTAGTCCGGATACATGCGATGGTGCTCTTCTTTCGCGTCTTTGGCGCGCGCTCGCCACTCGTCTTTCTCGGCCGGAGAAAGCTTCTTCCAGTCGTCGGAACAGAGAGTGGCTATTAAGAGTTAGCATGCTGCGGCAAACGTGGTTGACTGGTTGAAGAGCAGGAGCAAAAGAATTACTTACATATCTGTTGGACAGTCAGATGCGGGAACTGATCCTTGAGCTGTTTGTGCCTCGTGTCCCGATAAAGCATCCAGCAGTTCATTGGGCGAGGAGGGCCTTTTCGGATACTGGAAGCGGTGGTGCTGGTCGTTGCAGGTTGCTCAGTCTCGGTGGAGGTCGAAGTGAAAGACAAAGGTTCTGGGCTCAACGGGAAAGCAGGAACACCCAAGTCTTGCTCAGGGGCGAATCGGACAACTGAATGACGACCGTCATTGCCGGTATAGACAGCAACGCTGCGACCAAACTCAAGGCCGAGCTGATGTGCGAAGAAGCTCGCTGCCATCTCGCTGCCAAAGCGCACGTCGACGTTGCCAGTGAGCTCGACGTAATCGACAGTCGCAAGCTGGTCTTTGCAGTACTGGAGATTGCTGTCGAAGCTTGCGATAGCGGCCTCGGTAACGGACGTGATGCGAGAGTAGTGCATGCTGCCGGAGATGGGAGAGTGCATGAGTGAGTTCATCGTTGTAAGCGAGAGGGAGGTTGGATAGTATTAGTGTGTTCTCAGAACGCTTTGTCAAAGATTTGAGAGTCTGAGCGCGGGCGATTGAATTAGACGAAACAGAAGAGAGTTTGAAGTGAGCGCGGCGCTTTTTGAGGGTGGACAGGTGCGCCAAGAGCTTGCGCTAGACAGAAATCAGTGGCATTCACTTCGGGCCTGTGCACTCACCGTTGCCTAGACGTCTCTCACTCACCTGCTCAGTCTCGTAGGTTGCTATCAAACGGCCAGAGGAACGCTGGTTATTGGTCGCTCGCTATCACCTTCACGCAAGTTTGGTTCAGTGCGCATCGCGCACGCTGCACGCTTGGGTCTCGCGGACGTGGCCTTTCACTTGGCCGCAATGAGGGCTTAATTCTTGATTCGAGGCAACGATAGGCTTAAAAACTATTTCTGCACGTGCCGCTTGTGCTTCGTGGTGGCTACAATATACCTGCCTGAATTTCAACCGGAGCAAACACGCATCAAAGGCGGGCATCTTACGAGAAGGAAGTTCAGATACAAAGTTTGTGACGAGCTTAGGTCCAGAAAGCCTCATAATACAATGTAGAGGTCGTGGAAGGTACGGTTCTATTTCTGTATGCGCTATCAGTGCTTGTTAAAATTGAATTCACTGCGTCAAGAGGGGAGCCATACAGATCGAAACACGTCGAGAAGCGGAGGAAGATGAACAGGAGCGGAAAGGTTAATGTACTTTATCAATATGCGGCACGGCTGAAAGAAAATAACTTCCCCACCCAGAGACAGCACAGGGGCTCCTCGGGGCTGTCTTCTTTGTCTCACCCAAAAGGGTAACAAAGAAACCTTCACGGATGGCGCCACGCCACGTGACAAAAAGTACGAGCCACCTGCTTTTCAAGAAGACGAACATTAGATTGATCCATGCTATGATAAAAGTACAGTCTTCAGGGTATAATATGAAGCGTTTTACTAGGATGAACCCTCCAGGGCAATTACTCGCGAAAGCATATACCAAGCCGAGTGATCTTCATCGCACAGTCCGCTTCGTCTACAGATTAATCATGAAACGAACACCGAATCTGGATTAGCAGAACCGTTGCAAATAAATTCTTGGTCCTTCATCGTCCGAAGTCGTCCGCTGAAGCACCAGTTGGCTTTCAGGATTCACTCCTGCTCGAGCCAGTGACAGGCAGGAGAGTGTGGTGTGAACCACGAGCTCGACAAGTGAAAGCACACAACGGCAAGTTCGCGATTAGAGGCACTGAATCCGACTCAAAGGTCCCCAATCAAGGAATGTACATTTCAGAGTATGCAGCACGGTCGACCCTCGACTGCAGTGTTCGATTCTGTGGAGCCTCGGGATACCCGAGACTCAACATGGGAAATTTCTCATCATCATCATCAGGGTGTTGATAGATATCTTTGCCCTTGTATGCTCCTATCAAACGTCAGTATAAAGTAGACCAGCCTTTGATGCAATTTCATTCACCAGTCAACTCGTTCAGACGTTCTAGACCAGGCTTCAGGTTTTGAAAGCCTGGGTCAACTAGGTCAGGATGTCGACGAGGCGCTCGAGGTAGCTTAGGATCAGGTATCATCTCTTTCTGTCAGCAATAGCCTCGATATAGGGATTTATACGAACAGGATGTAGCGTGACTTGGCGACCGTCGATAGCGGTATATGTCGAAACCCGGTCAAGGTTCAGAGCCTACTTGCTGTGAGCGAAGATTAAAAGCAAAATACCCGTTTGGTGTACCTTTTGATCAAACTCAGCGAGTGCTTTTGCTCCGGTGTGGGCGCTCGATTCTCCCTACGTTTATCAGAACGAGCCTTATACCAATTATACGCAAATCTCACCCGAGAAACCTGTTCTGTGAGCTCCCTCAACTTTTTGGTATGACTGTCGACGATTGCCAGGCCACCACGGGGTATGTGTGCCTCAAATACCATGCGATCTGTAGGTGTTCCGGCAGTCATCGGATACAACCTCTTGGACTTGGGCACGAAAAAGCCTGGAGAGTCCTTGTAGAGAAATTGTTGCCATCCCTTAAGGCCCGATACACCGTCATCTCGACGGTCCTTGTTCATGTAGTCCGTACCAAGGATATTTGAGGGCGGAGCGATCCTTGTGGGAGCAATCAAACCTGATATAAGTACGTAAAGCCTATTGGTGTCCCCTACAAAGTCTTCCGAGTGTTCGCAGAACGGCATGCGACTTATCCAGAAATAGTGGGGCAGAATGGTGGCTTCTTGCAACTTGTCCAGCAGGTGAAACCACACGCTCTGCATATGAGCCGTGTCGAACGCAAGAAAGTCGGCGAAATAATCGCAGAGATAGGCAGCGCATTTCCAGAAAGCCTCAAGAAATGCTGGGTCGCACTTTTTCTCTATGTAGAAGTCTTGAGAAGTAAATATGTCATCGCTATTGTGATTAGCCTGTGAAACCACTCACCTGGGTCTGGATCATCCTCATTGTTTGTATCAAGCAGACCGCGGCCGGGATGATGAGATAGAGTCCTGATGCTAGTGTACACGGTCTTGAAGTCCAGATCATTGTTCCCTTGGATGTACCTAACAGTAACGGGCGGGTCGTCTTCGAAATCTGAGACGAGTATCGGCGGCATTCCGGGTTTCATCATGTCCTGGAACCATGGTTCTAAGAAGATCGGGCGGCGGGGCGGCGGACGGGGAGCTGGTGCACTCATGGCTACACGGCGCCAATTGGCATGCAAACTCTCAACCCAAAGACGATCGTCGAGCTATGTGGCCTCGAAACTAAACAACTTGAGGGAGATGTTGCGCACCTAAGTAAGAAGGTCGAACAGACAACAAACTGGAAAAGAAGAGCCGACTCAAGAAGGGAGGAGTCAAGTCACTTGGGGCAAGAGAAAGTTTGGCCTGAGCTCGCCTGCCCAACAGGAAGGCGCGGACGCCAAGACAAACACGCAGTCAATGCAGCGAGGCAGCGGAACGCTAAGCGAGGGGCATATCGTCAATTCTTTCATGGCTACAGATAGCGCGACCGCAGCTGGCTCAAGGTGCTCATGCGGCCGTGCTGTATATTACTAAGCAGTGCTTCCTCGAGGGCGGACTGGCTGATGCTTGTGTCTACACGAACGAGGTCAGTTTCTATAGAAGCAAGTTGTGTGAGGGCACGTGGCAGCAAGAGGCGGAGGCGCCAGTTGGAAGGGAGAGGCACGATGAGTCGAAACTGCTTCTGACTCTCGTTAGGCAAAGGACAACGTGTACGTACCATCAATATCACTGAAGCTGCTCCCCATACTGGGTGTACCTTCACTACCATCCTTCCGCGATCTAGTTCCCAACCTCCTCGGACTGAGCTGCACCATGACTGCCCGATGATTGCCACTTGAAGGTTCGGGACCGCGAGCATCTGGGTTTGTGGTCTCGCTGACGGAACTGTTCACTGACGAGCTTGTCTCTGGCCCAGGTGCTGGTGGTGCCGCAATCCTGCCAGTATTCGTCGGGCGGTCATTGCGGCGCATGCTGGATATTTTCTCTTCTCGCCCTACAGGTGCGGGATTGTCACGACTTCCCTCTCTTGTAGCGCCTGTAGCCCTTGCCTGGTCGCCCGGCCGCGCGAATGGATATTCTGCACTGGCATCCTGGGAACGATAATCGGGTTCCTCCACGTCTTCATCATACGTGAGCAGCTCTTTGGGAGGCTGTGCTCGCTGGAAGCGAGGGGGTCTCTTGAACAACTGGCTACGGGTGATGAGATTCTCGCGACCAGAGTTCGAGAGGGATGAGCTACTGGAAGAAGATGCAGGATCAGTAGGTGAGCTATCGCCAGAAACTCGCGCAGGTTCCTGGGGCACAGCTTGGCCGGCGCCTAGATGGCTTGTCCTTGGAATATCCTCTTTCTGTCGAGGTCGAAAGCTTGAATTACGGACCGACGCATGTTGACCAAAGGCCTTTGATTGTGTAATGGTGTTGGTAGAAGGAGTACGTGATAGTGATGGCTTGGACCCTGGATTAACTAGATAAAATCAGTAAGCCAGTGCGATTAACCTCGTAAACGAACCGCCTACCTGAAGTACTCGCATCCTCTCTGGCTACTTGGTCGTCTTTCTGTCGTACAGTAAGAACCGAAGTAGGTCTAGAAGCCACTGAAAACGTTAGGTAAGTCTAGCAAACGAGTATTCGCATTACCTCCTGCAAGGCCATTCCCAGGCCTGTTCGTCGCGGCGCTCGCTCTACCTTGAGTGCTGTCTGGAATGGACGAGGTTGGCGCAGTTTGTCCACCGACTTTCTTCATTTGAGCGCGCACATGGTCTAGGTGTCGCTCGTATAGCCATGCGGCTTGTTGCAGTAGAAAGGTAGGAGGTACTTTGAATTCAGTTGCTCTGCATGCATTAGTTGTGGTATTACGCATAGACGAACGTCATACAGCTTGACCCCTGCGTCTAGTCAGTACATACAGCTTAGCTTCATGACCAAGCCACCTACAGTCTAGATCTTTCGTCTTTGCAGATTTGGAAACGATCCTCCAAAGTTCTCGATCCTTTGTTGCGTCCCAAGTAGCCTAAGCCAGTGTAAGCGGACGTCTGCGGCGTAGCCTGCGAAGCGGAGAACTCGCCTGTTGCGGATCGACAAAATCTCCACGCTCAAAAGGCAGACGAATCAATGCAGTAAACTGGACACCCGACATTCCGTATGATAATCAGGCAAGGACAAAGCAGTACAAGGACGATAGAGGATGCGAGGTATGAACGGTCGTTGGAAGGCAGGCGCTAGCCAAGCCGCTATTCCCGCATCCCTGGTCATCGGGAACTTTGGTGCACGTGAGAATCACTGGAAAACTACATTGTACATATGGACGGCTGACGAAAGCACAACTTGACTCTAGTCTTGGGCTTCCGTTCTCGAGCCTTGCAGACCAGTCTTTGAATTGCAGACATCTGAGCATCAATGACATGGACAACTTTCACGGCGCTTACGCCTTCTTACCCGTCAACAATTCGCATGCCTCCTTGTACTTTTGTGCCGTCTGCTCCACGATGTCGGTCGGCACGGTAACTCCTTCCTTGCCCTTAAGCCCATTTGAAGTCAGCCAATCGCGCAGGAACTGTTTATCGAAACTAGGCTGCGCCTTGCCAAGGTGCGCTTCCCATGTATCCTTCGGCCAGAACCTGCTGCTGTCCGGGGTCAGGACCTCGTCTACCAGCACAACCGCATTCCCGTTGGCCCGATCCAAACCAAACTCGAACTTCGTGTCCGCAAGGATGATTCCAGCCTCTTCAGCACGTGCAGCCGCAACCAGGTAGATTTCGAGACTTAGCCTTTCGACGTCTGCGGCAACCTTCTCGTCGCCAATGATGACCTTGGCTCGCTGCGGACTGATGTTCTCGTCTTTCTCGCCAGCTTCTGCCTTTGTGCTCGGGGTCCACAAAGGGGTAGGCAGCTTCTGTCCCTCAACCAGGCCGCTTGGGAGGGCGATGCCGTGAACGGTGCCAGACTTCTTGTACTCAGACCATGCAGAGCCGGTGATGTAGCCGCGGACAATTGACTCAATGGGAACAATTTCCAGACGCTTGACCTGCATGCTCCGGGACTCAAGGGCCTCGTAGAGTGGTCGATCGAGCGACTCAAGAGCCTTGGGCAGGGAACGTGAAAGGAAATGTGTCTGGAGCGTTGGAATGTGGTCCTTGAGATATTGAAACCAATAGACACTGCAACTGTTAATGATTGTAGATAGTATTCGCATCCATCGCATACCTCATCTGTGTGAGTAGCGCGCCTTTGCCCGGGATGCCCTAAAGTACATTAGTACAAGATTGATTTTACTCTAGCTTGGCTGAAAAGTATATTGGGTGTCAATTGGCGTACATTTTCCATAACGACATCGTATGCTGAGATTCTGTCGCTCGCAATGAAGAGGAGCGTCTGCTCGTCTACAGCGAAGAGATCGCGGACTTTGCCAGAGGCGACTTTCGGCAGCGAGCCGCGAATGTCCACCTCAACTACAGTCGAAGAAGCCATGTCGAGTTATGCTGCGCTTTACACAAGATGCATATACAATTGCCGTATTGAGGTTGAGTCAATGGAAGAGGGGCTTGGTGCAGATTCGTGGCCGAACTAGTGGGGTAGTTGCCGTGGCTTGTGCACTCGAGCCGCAGGGCTCTAAGGCTCGTGGCGAGTGCGAGTGCGAGTGCATGTGAACGTGCAGATATCTTATATCATATTTCCGCTACAGAATGGGGTATCTATGTGCGCCTCTAAGTGCTTACTTGCTCTGCGAGCGGAATGCAACTGTCGGCAATGCTATCCAGACCCTTGAATCCTTCCTCCACGATCCACCTTTGGCTTTGCTGATGCAAGACATTGCAGGCGTGTCCCACGACCAGCAGTCCAGGCGGGCGACTGCCTTCTTCTTCAACCGCAGCGCATACATGTTCTAGTGTTGTCCTTATTACCCTTTGATCCGGGCAGCTAGCGCGCTCCAATACAGCACATGGCGTGTCCATCGGATATTCGTGCTGTTGCAGAGACTCCACCAGAGCAGAGAGACGATGCAAAGACATAAGTAGGACCACCGTTCGTGTCTCGACATATGGCGGCGGAACAAGGGGAGCGCCTTTCCTGCCAGTACCCGTGCATACCAGAACTTGATCGGCCACGCCACGATGCGTTAACGGAATATCGGCGAAGAGTGGTGCGCTGAGCGCGCTTGTGATGCCAGGCAGGACGGTCGGAGTGTATCCGTGGGATCTGAAGAATATGAACTCTTCTCCGCCACGGCCGTAGATGTATGGATCGCCTTGCTTGATCCTAACTACCACTTTTCCGGCCTTGAGTCCTTCCAATCCCCAGTCCAGCAGCTCCTCCTGTGCCTTATCAGCATTGCCGGGGAACTTTCTCGCAATATGCACTGTTGCGCGGCGAGGAATTAAATCCAATATAGCACTCGGGACCAGCTTATCAGCTAGCACTAGGTCCGCTGAAAGTATTGCTTTGTGCGCTGCCTGCGTGAGCAGATCTGGATGTCCAGGACCAGAGCCCACCAGCGCAATCCGCCCAGCGACTGCGACCGATGAGTCGCCGCCAGCTCTCTGCTTCAACTGCGAGCTCTTGTAGTCGTGCAGCACGGCCTCAACGTCAGCATCGGTGATTGTCGCAAGACGACGAAGCGGCCAGTATTCGCAAATTTGAGAGAGCCACCGCATGCGCCGACCGCGAGCGATTTCGGCGCTTTCGGCAGTCACTAGCTTATTGAATGTGGCTGATTGTCCAACGTCTTCTTCCTCGACCTCTAAATCCTGAGACATCTCTGCAGCATGATCTTCTTCCCAGATGCGCCGCCGCATTGTACCCAATCGCTCCACTGCATCGCCAAGATGTGCTGGAAGGGAGGACGCGATTTCTCGACGAATTCGAGCCGATAGCTTGCAACCTTTGCCAGAGGTTGTCACACCGATTTGTAACGGGCCGTCGGAGTACGTAGACAGGAGCGTGAAAGAACACAGGTTCGGCGCATCAGCGACGTTGACTGGTATTCGTAGGCGTCGACATGATTTGGAGATGAGTGTACCTGAACACAGTTCAATTACGATCGAAGGCATAAGAGATCTGGGACTCACTCAGGTTTCCTTTGCCCCCCGCAGTTACGAACACAGCGTCTACTACGCGGTCCACTTCTTCACGCCCCAAGGTTGTAAGATCTTCTTGGTGGAAGCCGCGCTTTAACCATTGCACTTCACCATCTTCAATGCGCTTGGCCAGGCCGTAGTGCAGAGTGGCATCTTCGGGAGCGAGTAGTATCGGTTTGGCGCCAACTTCGAGGGAGCGTGTGCATCGCGCAGCGGCGAGTGGGTTCGACCCGATAATTAAATGTACATGGGATGCTGAGTCTACAGCGGTAAGGAGGGCGGGTGCCATGATCAGACGCTTGAAAAAGCTTCACAAGAAGTTGGTCGAAGAGAAAGAAATCCAGACGAAAGCTCTCAACCTGTTAAGCTTGCGATCGCGCAATCGCGGAGGCAACCCAATTACGCGATGCCCTTCAGGGTTCTTTTTGTTCCGATATCGATAGCGCTAGACTACTTTTGGTGGGCAGGCGGGATGCCGAGGAGAATATTCCCCACTGATGTAGCAGCGCTGCAGCCCAATAGCGCGCAGGGAGATAGCGATCTCGAAATCGACCAATCACAGCTTCGAATCTCGTGGAAAGCTGGCCTGCCGTGGAGATGGTGAAAGTCCAACACTTCCGGAGGAAATGGCAAAGATCGAACATTTCCGGAGACCACAGCCTTGCCATCATTCCAGTTGCTCTTCCTTGCCCATGACGATGTGCAGAGCCTTGCGGCTCAGCAGTACATTGTGTTCCAGCGCATTCAGCTTCGCCATAGCCGAAATGAGAGCTGGGTCCTGGGTTTCAACTCGAATCTTCTCTTTCACACGCACATCCTTCTTGCGGAATTCGAAGACCTGATCGGCCTCGTCGTGGGCGGGCGCACGCGCTCCACCAAGAGCGCCGTACAGGCGATCCCGCAGGTTGAAGCCAGTGTAACCCTCGTCGGCGGCAGCACTTTGCTCCTCGAGCGTGCGGATTTCAAGCACCAAGGCAGCGTCGAAGACGTATAGATGGAATGAGACGTTGGCAGGGAGTGGCGGATCAAAGATGTGCTCATCGAGTGGGTTCTCCCACCACGCTGGCTGAGTATCTGAGTATCCCTTGAGCGCCTGGCGGGCTTCCGAGATGTGATCGTGCAGTAGGCGCAGCTGTCCAGCGACGAAATTGGCATCCGTCGCGTCGCCGGTCCATGTGGTTACGTCGATAACGTCGAGGCATGTATTGATCGCGGTGCGTATCGCAGTCAGTTGGGGGACCACGAGCGTTGGCGCTTGCGGTGCAGATGAGATGGCCAGGTCTACCGATGCTGCTCCGCGCGGCGGCGGCAGGCTTGCCAGCCGGAGTTTCACATTCTAGGATACTCCATGAGCAAGTCGTCGACAATGAGCAGAGCATAGAGAAGCTTACGCCTTTGACAATGCGAGTTCCCACACGCGTAACGAGACCTTTCAGGCTCTCAGAGCGCAGGGACGACAGGACCAAAGTCGAGCCGCTCTCTGACGGTGCAAGAAGAGCTGCGCATTCCTCGATACCAGCTTTCAGCGACTGCAACGTGTCGCGCAGCTGCACAAGCAGCCACTCCAGCTCGCGGGCCTGTACAGTAAGTCAACAATGGCATCTTGGCGGCGATTACCCAGCATCCGGCATACCTGCGAAGCCGCCTGTTCGCGGGTTAGCTGATCATTGTCGATAGGCGGCCAGACAGCAGTAGACATGTTTTACAGTGATCTGGTTGCAGAGAGTGTGTCGTCGTTGGATGCCAAACTTGCGTGCTTGCGTAGATCCTCGCCCTTGCACATGGCCCATGCCTCGGCTGCTCCCTGCTGCAAGGATTACGATCCCGCTGCGAACCTATGTATCTGTTTACAACATACATGCATACATACATACATACATGAACATAACGAACAAATGCATCTGACCCTACGTACGCACAATCACCGCGTCTCTGACCTCAGCTAATTCCCACGACGCGGTTCTCGATCGTGCTCTCCACGTGAAGGGCCGCTATGATGTAACCATACATCATCGCGACTAGCGGCACTCACGGAGCGTCTGTTCCTGTTCCACGATCCGCCCACCCAATCTGTAGATCTCCCAATACGTCACACAAACCCCAGCTTTGTTTAAACAGGTCATGACCCCATCTGCATCATGCCAAATCCGTTCCGCTCTCATCCGGGCTTGCCTAAAATATCGACACCCCTCGCAGTGTAGGATTGCCATTGTGAACTTGCTACTTGCAATTTACTGAGCCTACCATGGTTGCTCGTGCGTTGTGCCTCCTCCTTGTCTCTACAAGTGTATTTGCTCACTGTTCCAGGACCTATTCTCGGCGCAGCGGCCTTGATCCTCCTCGCTGGTGGACTCCTTCTCCAATGGTTCCTCATTCTCTCTGGCGGTGTGAACAGCTCTCCTGAGAACCAGTTCTACTTTCTTCAGGCCTCTACAAACGGAATTGCCGGCGCACGCAACCCGTCGCGATGGACCTTCTGGGCTATTTGCGGCGTGGATGGTAGCGGCCACAATGCGAACTGCGGGTCGCCGGTTCCTGCTCTACCGTTTGATCCTCCGCGCAACTTTGGCACGCAGAACAACATCCCTGGAAGCTTCATTGGGTGAGACAACCGTTTTCAAGTAGCCCAAGTCTCAGTCCACTGACTTTCAGTAGTACACACAAGTACTACTACTTGTCTCGGTTCATGTTCGCATGGTACCTCATCGCCTTCTTCTTCGCTCACATTGCCTTGTTCACGGGTCTGCTGGCGCTCTTCAGCCGGCTGGGTGGATACCTCAGCGCTCTGACGACCTTCGTTGCCATGTTCTTCCAGGCGCTCGGAGCTGCACTAATGACGTAAGTACAAACACCGTGATGATGTGACCACTCAAATGCTTATCTCCTCCTAGTGCTTGGGTAGTCCAAGGACGCAATGCATGGCGTAGCAATGGCTTTGATGCGCATGTCGGCACTAAGTTGATGGCTTTTGCCTGGACCTCGTTCGTCTGCTATTTCCTGGCATCACTCCTATTCTGCATTGGTGGAACTATCGGCCGCGAGTCTTCTGGAAGTTCCCGGATGAGCCGCAAGCGATCGACACGTTCCACCCGAAGCAGGGGCAGCTTCCTTGACACGGAATCACAGCGCAGAGTAAAGGACAACTATTCCTAAAGTCAAAATCAAATGAATGCGAGATGTTGGATAGTGGACGAGCGTTGGATGAATTTTGGAGATGTAATGTAAGGCGAGGAGTTGGTGGAACCTGTGCACATACTGTTATAATCGGCGCAGTCACGTAATGTATATTGGCCCATGTTGTGTAATGTATCCATATCTCGTACATGTTCTACTATAACGCCTCATGTCGAATAGCGTATCACTCGTTCCTCCGGCTCAGACCCGTTAGAGCCCTCTCTTTGTGCGCTCTTGGAAAAGTTGGCTCATCGTCTCCTACCGCTAATGGACTAGTAGGGGCGCTGAGCTCCAAAGTAGGTGCTTCGACTACGAACATCTCTTCTTCGTTTGATACATTGCTCGACGCTTCCGCAAGCGATCTCCGCTGACGTCGTTTGGGTATGGGTGGTGGTGTACATGGCACAGCCTCATCCGAAGCTGACTTCCTCGTCGGAGGTCTGTCAAGTCCTTGCGAATCGGTCTCTTTAGCTTCGCTAGGAGTGTCTGTGACGTGCGGCGATGCTGGTGTTGACGGCATTGTTGGAGTTTTTGCACCTACGGGTACTTTCCGTGCCAAACTCGCCAATGCAGAAGCAGTCTGAGCACTCCACGTTCCTCTCCTGTCTTTCGCTGGGTGTGGAAGTGGCGTACCGGGAGGTGGTAAAGGCTGGCCACGTCCAATGGGGCCCTGGGGTATCTGCAGACTATTCTTTGAGCCATTTCGTGAGTGCTTAGCCTCAAATGACTCCGTTCCCTCGCTTCCTTTCGGGGGCGAGGTGCCGGTCATTTCGCCCGAGCTTGCATTCTGCCGGGAGGCGAGCCATTTCTTGGCTGCGTTTGTTGCAGTGTTCAAAGACTGGTTGAGAGTGGTACGCTTCTGTTGGGCTGCAGCTTCGCCTGGCTGTTCCATACCCTTCTCAGGGCTGGTATTTCTCCGGCTTCCAGAAGAAGCTACTTGAACAGGCACCGCACCCAAGATGTCATCGAAACTGTGATCGTTTTCGATTGCTCTCTCGCGGTCGGGAGAAGAGGAGTGTCGCCGTTGAGGCCGAGGAGGGAGAGGAGGGTTCGTGGGCGATTGTGGCGGCGATCTTGCTGCCGTGTCTTTCATCAATACAGCGGCATTGGTCTGATCTCCTCTTTCGATGCTCTGCGAGTAAGCCGGGTCTGTATCGACTGCAGGATTCACTGCACCAGCATGCGTATAGGAGCTGGCTCGCATGGACCGAGGCTTGACAAGCGGGGATTGATCAACCAGGGGCGAAATACCTATGCGGCCCTCGCTTGCTTCTGGTTGTACATGTCTCCTGTTGTAGAGAGTGTTCAGACCCAGGCTGGACATACTCTTGCCTGCATCACTCGAGGAAGTATAGACAGTGTTCGAAATCGATGCTGCTTCCGAGGCCGGCTCGTCGGGGACAGCCTGACTGACGCCCACAACAGGAGGCATATCTGGTTCGGCCAACTCGTCCTTCCAGATGCCACCTCGGTACTGGTTCGTTTCCGTAGCGAAAAATGGGATGTCATCCCAATTCGGAAGCACAAGAGTTTCATTGACTACTTCTCGTATCCGGCTTTCGATTGCGCGGAGAATGACTCCATATGTGATTTGGCGCGAACTAACAATAGGCTCCACGGACACGTCCATCTTGGGCGGGACTTCAAAGGTGACCCATAATCTGTTGCTCGGCGGAGGTTTGATGCGGATCAACACGCGACCTTCTAGGCTTTTCAGGATTGTTGCGAGGACAATGGTAACCTCTCTAGGTTTGAAGCGAGAACCAAGCTCTATTCTTGCCACTGCGGATATGTCGATACGGAAGTTGCCTTTGTAGCTGACGTCAGCTTCAACGGTCAGATCACCGTCAACAGTCAACTCCTTCAGCTTGGGATTAGTGATGAATGGCGGCATTGTTCCCATATCCAGCTTCTGTACTTTTACGCTGCTGATCAAGCTTGGCTTTTGGACTCGGTCTATCTTCTTAGTAACTTTGGTCCAAATGAAGTTCTCGATATGCTTGGTTTTGTACATTGCCAAGAACAATCTTCCTATCAATGCATTGATCCAGCGAGTGTTAAAGTTCTCCTCAGATGCATGAAGTTGTTGAACGAGCTTGATCAGATCTGCAGAGTTGAACTTTAGCGGAGGTGGCGGGCCTGACGCTGACTCTAAGTCATTCTCTTGGCTGCGTAACATGGCATGGTAGAAGTCTTCCTTCTCAGAACAATTGTCGGAAAAAAGATAGTACGATTTTGAACCACCGGGCGAGTCTTTTGGTGCGAGAAGGATGCAGTTGCGCTTGATCCACAGCTCTCCCTCGGGTATGTCTTCGCCACCGGCATATATAGACACGGAATAGTGTGCGAGCGAAATCACATGGCGAACCTCGACTTGTTCGGAATCGTCATATAGCATGAGGTGGCCGAGCCTGTTGATGTTAGCCCGCTACAACCTGTTGGTAGAGGAAGGGAATCACATGCCTCAGAACAATGTAGAAGACATTCCGCGTCTTCCTGTTCTTCCCTTGCGATGGACTGAAGGTGGGACTTGCAGTCTTATTTCTATCGAAGATGCTCCGATACATCGACTGGTATACGCTTGGGCTTTCCATAGCTGTTACTGCACCTGTTGCAGGAGTTGTCCGTTCTGGCGGCTTGCCGTTGACGCCGCCCGGCACGTATTCTGGTGCTATAGCGAAATAGCCAGAGGCCACATCGGGGACGTGCTTGGCTTTCAACTCGCGAAGCAGGTCTTCTCCCAGACCGGCGCCCCAGTCCTTGAACTCAGCATCAGCCTCCTTGTCCGGCACGCTCGGCGTCGCCTCCTCCTGATTATTGTATGCATCGCGCGTGCCCAAGGTCCATAGTGTCCATGTGAGCAGCGGCAGGAACGTCAATCCGCCAAGGATGTATCCGATCAGTAGTCCCACCAGACCACCCATTCTCCTATGAGAAGCAAGCTCCTCTTGTGACCGGCTCGCCTCTCGAACACCTGCTGTGGCCGAGACTGCTGGGCTCCAAGTGCATCCCACTCTTCAAGCGTTGCCTCCTCTTCCTATCCCGGCGCCAGGTGAAGGAGTCCACCCGTGCGTTCTTGCGATACGTGTTTACGATCATGCGCAGGCGAAGCGGCGGGGTTTGGGCGGGGATAAAGCAGGGCGCAAGCAACGCCAACTTGCAAATGAGCACAGCGACGGTGTTGTGGGGTCTACGTTGGTAGCGGCGGGTTCGGACGAGGGGTGGGGTGTCAAAATGAAGCGGCGATCGACAAGTTCCTGGCATGTACACAACGCGTTCCACGTGGTCGGTCTCGGACTGCGGAGCTGTTGGCGGAGGTGCATCAGGTCAGCTGCGTCATGCGGCCCGAGCGCGACTACGCAAGACAGACGGACTCGACTTGGACAGCAAGACATACGGACTTCTTCCTGTTCTTTTGCATTCACATATCGCTTTACGAAATCACAACGTGGGAGGGCAGCAGCTGAAAGTTGCTCTTAAAGCACAATGTATGTACGTAATGTAAGCTGACGTATGTACCACCATCACACACCCCATCATTCCAAACCCAAGCAAACCGTACCACGCCCTGCCCTCCCAAAATCCTTATTGAGCATGCCAGCATGAACGTAGATGTGTGCCATTGCTTGTCCAGACATGTGCGTCTATATGCGGGCCAACTTCTGCTCGCATACCCAGATATGACTTCATACATCAGCTTTCGTAATTGCTGCCCAAAACGACCGCTTCACAAAGAGCGGTCGAGGAAAAGGCAAAGACACACGATTTGAACAAATACAATTCGTGTCGCCCAACGCAACCAGGCTATGTTGCGGAGCCAAGAATATGTTCGTGGGCCGTAGATTAGGTCTGCAAACAGCAGATAACGAAGGCCTCAATGCCATCGTTTACAATGGGGGCAGGGTAGAGTCAAACAAGTTTACTCCAGATGTCGCCCAATCGCGCTCGAGTTTTTCCCCGCCGTGTTGTTCTTGAAGCAAAGAAATGCAGTGCCGTGAGGCCCTCCAATAAAGAAACCTCTGGAATAAGGCTTCGTCGGATCGTGAAATTAACGTCGCGGCTATAATAGAGACCTTGTACAGGCTGAGAAAATGCTCCATCGCCCACGCGCGAAGATTGGAAATCGCCAAGCATTTGTCTCCGGGCTGTATGTCGGTCGAGAAGTAGTTAAAGTCTTTGTACATGAATTCCAGGTCGAAAAGCTGCGTCGATACAGCCAACAGAAAGAGGAATCAGAATAGTTCGAACGAGATGAGCTCCTCATGGAGTGGAGCAATGGCATCATAGGGAGGCTCCCTACGGTATAGTGGTGGGCTCCATGTCCGTGGAGTTGACGTGGTGTGGCTGCGCTGAGCATTAAATAGCACTAGCGCCAGGGTATCTGCGTGTACAGATTAGCATAGGCTTTCGATCGATTCTGATCCAGGTTTGACTGACCGTCCTGCTCCTAGACCGACGTTGGCCATAGGATTGATGCCGCCTCGGCCTCCCCTGCCTCGGCCTCCACCTCTACCTGGCGGACCGGCCCCTGGTATCGCAAAATCAGGGTTGGCAGCGTTCGCTTGCAATATCACATCTTCTGGTCTCAAGGGACGTCGTTGTCCATAGGGACCATATGGGCCCGCGGGCATTGGAGGACCTGTGGATCAAACACCGTCAGCTGATTAAAGAGAAGTGGGCATGTTAGAACGGAGACTAACCGGGCGGCGGTCTCCAATTGGGATTGACCCCTCGTTGGGAGACTGATGTGAAATGAGAGGTCTCTGATGCTGCCGGAGACCGAGAGCCGTCGTCTTCAAATGAATGTCGTAGAAGATTCGGGTCACTCGTGTTTAGTGAAGGGCTTGAGTTATTGTTGGAGTGGTTGAAAGGCGGATTCGGGGGTCCACCAGGAACCAATGCAGAGGGAAGAACGCCAGGACGGCCTGCGTTGGGTGGAGGCTCCGCAAATTTGGGGTCCACGTCTTCGTAGTAATAGTCTGACGTCCGTTGGTTACTAGGTGCCCCGACTGTTGACAACTGCGCGGGGAGTTCGACAGGAGAATCCTGAATGGGTGACAGACCGCGACTGTTGCTGCTATTTGTTGGAATTGTCTGATCAGAGTTGTTGTGCCACCCTGCGGTGGCCACCACAGGACGAGACTCTTCCTGCGTGGAGTATTCTGACGACGGGCTCATTGGCCCCGACGGTCGACGTTGTGGAGCCTGCGCAGGAAATCCACCTTGTTGTAATGCGAGCATTCCCTGCACATCCCCATCACTCTCACGCAATCCATAGCTCTGATTCCCACCGTTCCTCGAGTCCATTTCGATAGCTTGACCAATCGGCATCCGCTGTTGCGTAGCTGGCAACGGACCACGTGCATTGTAAGGTCCAGAGGGCGCGCCTTGACTGTACATGTCATTGTTATATCCAGGTGGGGGAGGACCTCGTCCAACGTTTCCTGGTCCTGCTCGGGCACCTCCATTCCAACCTGGTGGTGGTGGTCCTCGCATACCGCCTCTGGGTGGTGGCCCATATCCTCCTCGCGGTCCGTAACCGCCTCTGGGCCCTCCTCTCCCACGACCGTATGGTCCTCCTCTGCCAGGCGGAGGTCCCATCCGGGGTGCATTTTGCATAACGTAAGAGTCATTTGGCATGGGCGGAATTGGGTTTCCGTATTGATCGACCGGCGGTCGTCCGCGGCCAGAGGGAGCACGGCCAGGGGGTACCGACCTGTCATCCGAGCGAGCGCTGCTGGTGGTCTTGAGTGAGGGATTACGAGCGTTGAGTGGGATGGTATCGTCCTGCATGCCGGTCCTTTGAACTTCATATGATGCAAATCCCGTCTTCTTTGAATTGTCAGAGTGCATTGTTTCGCCAGACATGGGAGGCGGAGATTCAGCCTTTGGCAACGCCTCAACAGTGGTGGTATTGATCCCATCGCCATTTCGACTTGCGTAGTAGTTCTGGCCGTTCATCTCCGCATTCTCTGCAATCCTTCGCTTCCTCGCCTTGCGACTGACCAAGGTTCGCCTCATGGCGCAGGTGACCACGCCGCTCGCGACGATAATGATGGTGGCTGCCAACACGATCCATCCTCCCCATGCAAGGTGCGGGACGAAGAGCAGAATATCGACCAGAAACGCGAGCAACGATACAAGTAGCGTAGGGAACGTGAAGATCAGCAGCGCGAGCAGGAAGCGCGGCGAGTGAGCGGGAGAATGGAAGTGTGCGGCTACGGCGAGGCCAAAACATATCAGCGTCATGAGCGCAGCCACAGGATGCACGATAAGGATCGAAGAAAGCGAGTGACGAGTCGCCGAGGGCAGCGAGAATTCGGAATCTGGCGTATCGGTGCCAAAGAGGTTGTCTACATTGGCTCATCGTCAGCGGTGGTCAACAGCAGTGTCTCCACGCGACCGTCTCGTCGTTGGAGCTCCTACGTACCGGTATCGTAGCCAATCATTGGCCCCTTGCAGTTGTTGCCATCGCAGTAGCCAAAGGTGCCAAAGCGAACACCGCGGAAGGTAGCGAGCGGAATGCCTCCGATTATGGGCGTGGAGATGGTGGACAGGAGAAGCAGCGCAAAGGCCGCGAAGAAGAGTATCGACAAGGGAGTGGCCGGTCGCAGCATGTTGACGAAGAGGGTCGGGGCCTGGCGAAGTCCAGCCTCAGCAGAGGCGACCGGTCTTGCAGCTGCTGTGCAGAGGTGGAGGAGACGCGCGCGCGCGGCGGGTGGATGTGCGGCGGTCGCGCTCAGACAGCCAGATGAGACGGAGATGGGCCGTACGCTCTACGCGCGACGTCTCTGACAAGCGAATGACCGTGCCTGAAGAGCGCAGAACCGGGGCAGCATGCCGATTGCGATTGTGAATGCGGTGTCTGCGCAGCGAAAGATAGGCGACGGGCGACGAGCGACGTGAGAAGCGCCGTTTGCAGCGGAGCTGTTGCGACTGGAATCTGTGGGGGAGGCGGGCGCCTGGCGCAAGTCGTGCTCAGAGGTCCACCACGCGGCGCTGGGCTAGTGCACAAGATACGAGATTGGATTCCTGGGAATCCAACCGGGATCACTCATAGCGCCATCCTGCGGCTCGCCAACAGACACCTTTGTGCTTCTGTGCACCCACCGTGCTCCATGTTGGCTTGCGCGATCCATGAGGCTCTCATACGCAGTCCGCTGCCAGACGGGAGATGAGCGTCGCCATCTTCTTAGCGGTTAGACGCCTCGTCCACATTCAAGGAACATGTGCTTCAGGAAGAGCCGCACGCTGGGGTGGCAATCCCCCTATTGGATCACACAGCCGGACCGTTAAGCCCCCAATCTCGTGCTCCACGCAGCCGCGACGGCTCAAACCCTTGTCTGCCCAACCTAAAACATGCACCGTCATTTTTGACACAAGCACATCGTGAAGTTGAAATGTTTGATTCTTTTTAAAGGACCATCGTTATGCGCACTCTGCAGTGTCCCAGTTCCCTTCATATCCCTTGGAGTGACCAACGCCTATTCTGGGAATCCCAGCATGCACACAACTCGTTTATCATCTACGCATGCCTTTCACACGGCATTCACTGCTACGACTTTCTTCCTCTAGTGACCAGCCAGAGCCTGGGCCCGGCGGCGGTCACGCTCCTCAGAGATGGAGAGCTTGACGCCCTTACCCTTGGGAAGGCTGACCCATGGCTTCTCACGGCCAATGACGCTGTGTTGGAATTAGCGGTTGCGCATCTAAGATAAAATGGACAATACTCACAAGACGTTGCTCTCACGGGTGGTGAACTCGTTGTCCACGGCGTCCTTGACGTGCACAATGTTGAAGCCTCCATCGTGGCGCTCACGGTGGGTGACGACACCGACACGACCCATGTTGTGACCGCCAGTGATCATGACAATGACGGCAGTGTCGAACTTGATGAAATCGGTGATCTTGCCAGTGGCGAGGTCAATCTTGACGGTGTCGTTGACCTTGATGGCAGGGTCGGGGTAACGGATCCTGTCTCGTTCAGTATGTGTGTTTTTACACAGCCAGAGCCTGGTCTAGTGCTTGGTGCCGATGATCTCTCTCTTTCGAGAAGATATCCTCAGCACCTTGCCCAAACTGTGCCCAACGGCTGATAGATGCGACAAACTCACGTTCGTGCGTCATGCGTAACACAGTAGGGAATGCCGCCACGGCCGAGCTGGACACGCTTGACCTTGCCCAGCTTGTATGCGGCCTCCTCGCCAGTTATCCTGTGCACGGTGTATCGGCCCTTGGTGTCGAAGACAAGGCGGAAGTTCTCGCCAGTCTTGTCGATGGTGATGACATCCATCAATCCAGCGGGGAAGGTGGAGTCGGTGCGGACCTTGCCGTCGACCTTGACGAGGCGCTGCATGAGGATCGACTTGACCTCACGAGCATTGAGGGCGTACTTCAAGCGGTTTCGCAGGAAGATAACGAGGGGCAACGAGTCGCGAAGCTTGTGGGGACCGGGCGAAGCCTTGGGGGCATAAGCACCGGAGAGCTTGTCGAGAAGCCAGTGCGAGGGCGCGCTGAGGCGCTTCTGGTGCTTCTTACTGTCGTCGCGAATTAGTGAAGATGCCCGGACGGAAAGGTGCCGTAGCTTTCGAAAAAGGTGCAGGTGCCATTGCGCGCAATGCGCTTTCAGGAGATTCGACTTACGGTCCACGTCCCATATTTGCTGTGTTGTTGGGTGGTTAGTGTTGTCGAAGGAAGTTTCGTGGTCGTGAAGCAAAAAGCCTGAGTGCGAGTAGTGTAGCGAGCGCACTAGCGATGGCCAAGACCGACGGGGCCGTGCGCAAAGTCACCGAACATCCTCCTCTGTTTGCACCGCGCATATGATCAGGTGCCGCTTTGTGGACTGGGTGTGCTCGTCGACGTGCCGAATCCATGCACCGCGCGCGACAAGATATGATCAATAATGCGATTGATCATACCTTGTCGCGTTAACTGAGCAGTCAAATCTTCCATATCGGCACATGTGCAAGAACCAGAGCGTACCGCAAATACATGATGAATAATTTTGGAGATCGGATAGTTGTCACAGCTTTACTCGTCTTATTTTTGCCTACAGCAAAACCCACCCTTTTACTCGCAGGGACTACTCTACTGGCATTTGTCGGTCAAATCTGTTGTATCTTGTGCTATGGAACTATGCGGAACATCAAATGTCTCACGCTTCTCACATTTCACACGCCGGAGCTAGGCGCTATCTATGTGTCTATGCGTATCCCTTTAATACCGCGGCTTCGGCGTTCAATATGGAGGAACCAGCCGCACCGATGACGGCTATAAAGTGTTAGTACGGTGGCTAGAACAACGTAGCCTTTCGGCATAGGGACTCACTATTGTGGCTAAGAGCAACGAATTTGATGTCAAAGATGCCGGCTTCGTCTTCTCGGATGCGTCCAACACTGACCGCATAGCCTCTATCAGTCTCACGATCCAACCTAGGTTGCGGGCGGTCCGGTTCGTCCATCACTGCAATTGCCCTGCTGGGTGCAGAAGGGCATCCCAGCTTTTGCACGTCGGATACGTACTCCCTCATCGCCTGCTTGACCTGTTCGGCGCTCGGCGGAGGCCTCTGCTGGAAACGCAACGATACACATGCTGTGTGTCCATCAAGGACTGGAACGCGGTTACATGCGGCGGAGATCTTCATGGGCTGGTCTACGAAGCCAGTCACTTCGCCGTTGACGGAGCCTAATATCTTCTGCGCCTCCGTCTCGAGCTTATCCTCCTCACCCGAAATAAAGGGCACAACATTGTCGATGATGTCCATGCTGCTGACGCCAGGATATCCAGCGCCGGAGACGGCTTGCATGGTGACGACCGAGACCTGGTCTACGGGCCCGAACTTGGCTTGGAGTGCGGCGAACGGAATAACTATACCGATGACGGCGCAGTTCGAATTGCACACCAAGAAACCTTTCTCCAGTCCATGGTGTTTTCTTTGGTGCGGAATGACATCAAGATGTGGCAGGTTGACTGTCGGGACGACGAGCGGGACGAGGGGATCGCGGCGGTAGTTCTTTGCGTTGGAGAAGACAGCGAGATTGGCCTTCAGGAAGTCCATTTCTGCAGCTATATTAGCCTCCGTGTTTTGTCTATACTGATATAGCGCGTACCAACTTGACCCGCAACATCGCTGTCGAGGCCTGAGAATACGAGATCGCAATCTGCGAATTCTTCTGCCACGCACTTTTTGACGACCAAGTTGCCTATGCGCTCATTGAACGGCAGCGCCTGTTTCCATTTCACCGCATCCTTGTACTTTTTACCCGCCGATCGTTCTGAGGCACCTACGGCGTGCAGCTCGAAGTGTGGGTGGAGCGCAAGTAGCAGAATGAAACGTTGGCCGACCGAGCCTGTCGCGCCGAGAACGCCTGGCAACTTTCATTAGCATTGCTTTGTTACGCGATTGACGCCTTGCGTACCGCACTTCTTCTTGGGGAAGTTGCTGGTCTTTGATGTGAAGTGTTCAGCATCCATTGTGTATTGTGTGGTGTGTGACTGGACTGGACTCACTCCCCGATTACTTTCCATGTGCTGCCGTGACGCAGGGCGGGGTGCTAGTGGGGTTAGATCGGAGGAAGAAAGAACACGACCTCCGATTGCGGAGCTCACGCGATAGCACAACAGCCTGTTGGCATCGAAGCCCGAAATGAACAAATCGATTCGCATTTTCAAATCACACAAGCATCCCCTTCTATATGCAATATTGAGAACGCATGACCTGCAGATGCTTTTGAAGGGGCTTTTGGAGGAGACAAGTGAAAAACCGAGAAAGGCAAACTCCATCCTCATGCATCTTTCAGGACGGCACGTCCATGATTTTCCCCGGGTTCATCAGCCAATGCGGATCCAACGCGCCCTTGATGCTCTTCATGACGTTTATCGTATCAAGCCCCAACTCCTTCATGAGCGAATCCTTCTTACCCAAGCCGATACCATGTTCTCCTGTGCACGTGCCTTCCATCTCGAGAGCACGATCTACCATATCTTTGACACACTTCTCAACGGCGGCTCTTTCTTTGGGGTCCTTGCTGTTGTACATGATACTCTCGTGGAAATTTCCGTCTCCAATGTGTCCGAGGATGCTCGCAAATAGGCCCAGAGAATCCAGTTCTGTCTTTGAGACCTCTACATGCAGGTTAGCAGCTTGTCGAGAAGGCTGTCACATTACTGACCGATTATATCAGGTAGCCGTGAGAGAGGCACGGCGACATCAGTCGACCAGACCTCGTCACCTTCCCGGCGAAGCGCAAGCATGCTCCAGAGCGACTCTTTCCTGGCTGACCACAGAGTCTTCTGCTCTTGGGCATCGACTGCGAATTCAAAATCACCGCTTTTGTGTGTCTTGGCAATCGCCTTGACCAGTTTGACGTTCTCTTGTACCTTTTTGGATGCAGTCAGTTCCGTTCTGGGAAGTGGTAGATCCTAGGCTATACTCACCCCTGCTTTAGTGCCAGAGAACCTAGATTGCCGATTAGCATGCATGGTCTGCCAATATGCGATTGGTCCGATTGTACTAACTTGAAAAACATGGTAGGCATTTCTTTCCACTTTTTGGTTGTAGAGCCTGCCTTGTTGACTACGCCCATTTGCACGTCGTCCATTATTTCCATCGCTGCCACTGGTATTCCCGCTCGCATGACCTTCGATGCTGCAGCTGCCGCATCACGAATCGTAGGAAATGTCACGACCGCCACGCTTGTCTCCTGGGGTACTACCGTTAACTTGAGCGTGATCTCTGTAACTATGCCGAGTGTACCCTCGGAGCCTATGAACAAGTTTGTCAAATTATACCCGGCAGCAGATTTGCTGGTACGTGTCAGTGCATGCGAAAAATCTTTCCAGGGAATACACACCGCGGCCGTTTCCTTGTTTTGATAATCTTTCCGTCGGCAAGAACCACGGTCAGATTGATAACCCAATCTTTCATAGTCCCATACCGGACGGCATTCGTACCACTAGTTCACGTTCAGCATTGCAGGTAAATATGTCGTTGTAAACGCACCTGCAACTGGTTCCTACCATACCACCAATTTTTGCCTACGCCAAGATCAATACGAAATATGGGCAGATTCTTGGAGTGGTACATACGGATGGGCCAGGATCGACAGGAAAGAATAAACCAGAGTCCTTGATATCTTCGTTTAAGCTCATCCACGAGACAGAGGGTTGCACAACCACATCCATACTAAGCGTCTCTGGTCAGCTTCTTGTACAACGAGTCATGCTATTCTCGCTTACTCGTCAGCATGTAGAGCTAGAATCCTGTCCATATGCGTGAAATCGATGCTCATGCCACCGTAAGGTGCAGAGAAATTGGCCTCTAAGCTTGATCCACCAGAGTACGGTACTGCACATGATCAGCATCTGTCCAACCGAAATTACTGCACCACCTACTCATGGGTATCTTATATTTGAGACAGGTCTTTGCGATCATCGATACTTCTTCTGTAGATTGAGGATACGCCACAGCCACGGGTAGCTGATCAATGTTGATGGACGACCATTCTGAGTAGCCGTGACGAAGCAGATCTTCATCGTCTGTGCTAATGGCATCTTCACCCAGGGCCGACCTCAGCTCCACAATTGCCTAAAGATTGGTTAGCGGACGACTGAGTCTAGATTGTTCAGTCAAACCTTCTCCATCTGTGATTTTGAGGCATACTGAGGCGCCTTGGAGCGGCGCCAGGGCAGTGGAAAGCGCTCAACGTCATGGTTGATGCCGCCGAAATAAGCTGTGGCTCCGATCAGCGAGGCGAGGAGGAACACTCGGCTCGAGGTCCAGGACGTTTTCGGAAGGTCCCTCTTCGATTTGATTGTCTGCTCGGCTCGAACACTGTGACGGGAAGCACCCCGCTTCAGAATCAAGGGCGGCGAAGCAAGCAGCCTAAGCCGCAATGTCGGTTGACGAAACATGGCAGGCCTGGGTACAGCAGGCCAAATCGGATCCGACGACTATGTAGCAGTTGCTGTGTGCCATCAGAGGGGTAGCAAGTTTCCGAGGAGAGCAGGAGTGAAGAACATAGCACGCGACAAGCGGGCTACCCTCGGGTAGCTGTGGTAGTATATGTACTAGCCGTAGCATGGGCGAAGCGGGGAGCGCTATTTTGTGACTACACGCAGTTGGCGCGCCTTTCTCTCCGAGGCATGGCTTGTATGCTACAGAGGGCCAACGCACAGGGGACAGTCGCTCTGCTCCGTGAGATCATACAGCTGGACCAGTGACAAAGCCGCAGGCTGACCAAACAGCAAGTCGTGGACCAAAAATTTTCGACACGAGGCTCGATTGGCGGCGCCCAAGGAAGGCTGCATGATCACCTGCAGGGGTGAAGAAGCAAAAGCAATTGTGGGGAAGCATTGGCGATGTCAACGTACAGGCGCTTCCAGAAGGGGTTGGAATATGCTGTAGCGAGACGTAACGACATGTATGTCCATGTATGTCATACCGGCGCTGTCGCGTGATGGATGCGCGCAGTGTTACTGCGGGGGAATATTGTACGTACGACAGACAAAGCCCGAGGTAGCGGGAGCTGGGTGGCGAGGCTCTAGCTAAGGGGCAGTCGCAGCATAATTCCTTTTGCCATGAGGCACAGGGCCAGACGCGGTACCTGGACCTCGGAGACGCGCAGCCGTTGCGTGAGGCTCTAAGCGTGGCACACGACGAGAGAAGCGACGCGGGCGGTGAGCGGCGGATTGCCGGCCTGGGATGCCATTCGAAAAGGGCCTCGATTACGCTCTCGTAATGCACGCCCTCAGCTGCCCAACATGGGAGGACGCAATGCGCCATACGTGTGGGGGTGGGCACATCCCACCGACACGGCAGAGTGGAGCGCGTTTGCGGCGGGCGAATCGGCACGTCGCCTCGTCGTCGGCGATCCTCATCGCTCAACCACGCACAGCCCATTCCGAAAGCATACATCCACAGGCGCACCAATTCACGCACCTGGTGTGTTGCTAGCTGCAGTGAGCTATTGACCTGGAACAATCGAAGCAACCTTGCATCCGTCTGCACAGCGACATTGTCAGTCATCCCAAGCGCGCAGAGCAGAGCATTCGTCGCTAGGGCGACGGCAACAAACAAACGTTCACACCGCATAGCCTCTTGGCCGCCGGCCGTCCCAGCGCACCACGATGGCAGCCACAGACACAGAGCTCGCACGGGAACTTTCCGCGATCATCAATTCCCCCTGTCCGGTCTCGTTGATAGTAAGTGCGCACCAGCGTAATGCATCTGCACAATCCGCACATGACCACTCCGCAGCACATCATGTTTAATATCCATGCTGACGTCGGAGGTTTAGAAATTGGCCGGCATCTTATCTAGTACGGATGCACTCACCGTCCGCGCCTGCATTCGCCAGCAATTCCCCTGTGCCGTCGCTAAGCTCGCTTCGAGCCTCTACGACGCCCTTCCTGTGTGGCAGTGTTGCGTGAATATCCTCGAGAGTCTTGGTACGTCTTGGACTTCTCTGGCACTTTGATCTGACTAGCTGAACTCTCCACGCAGCTCAATCACTCGAGTTCAAGAATGAACTACTCTCCCGTAACCCCGGGCTATTAGATGCGTTGCTCAAGAAGGCGAATACATCACAACAAAGCTTCGAACAGGTAGGCATACGATTTCATTCTAACGCCATTTAGACCGCTTGATGTGTCTTTTGGGGATCGTACTGACTTTCTCTAAGTATCTTGGACTCTGCCTTCAGCTCCTTGCGGACCCTTTGCCTGAAGCTGTGCCTCTACCCGCAAGCGTCCAGTCGTTCTTTTTGCGGGTGTTGGACCAAACATCACGCAAGCCGAACGTTCAAAATTTGAAACCAATATACTACATGCTCAAAGGAGCATGTCGTGGGTTCCTATCTCTACTGACCTTCGACGAAAAGCAGCTCTTTGATGAGCAACTATGCCATATTCTCAAGTCAAAGGTTGCTCCTGAAAACTTCATGCTGCTGCTCTGGTGTTTCGGTATTGCAATCCTCGCAGAACAGTATGTGTATTCTTACGGCACTAAGCCCCATTCGCTAACATGTCATGTGCACCTAGTCCAGAGCTTCTTGACAATAAACCTGGAGCTCACGAGGGCCTTAGAGATGGTACAGTGAACAAAGATCTCTCTGTAGAATGGGTCACTGCCGCAGGTCGAAAGTTGTTCGAATCTCCACACGCCTGCAAAAAGACGATCAATCTGGCTTGTTTGAGCGTTATCTGGGCCATCAGAGATGGCTCTAGCGTCCCAGATGATGAAGCAGTACAAGGCATCAGTACGTACAAGCTTTCTCCAGCTACTTGTGGCTAGCTGTAACAAGATGTGTTTTCTTGTGATCTGAATAGCGCTAGTCTCGTCTCTTATTGGTTTCCAGCTATGCTGACTTTTGATAGGAATAGCAACCCGGGCCTTGCAGCTAGTCGATCAGAGGACATTAGAGCATTGGGCTACCGCAGACATGAACTCGATAAACACGATATCAAAGCTTTGGGAGAAGATCCAACGATGCGAAGTGAAGCCCACAGTCCAACGTGAGGCTTTGTGCTTTTATGCCGTTGTAGGCGGGCCGAATAAGCTATCTCCGGTGGTGGTAGAGACATACGAGGCAGCGCTAGTGAATTTGAAGGGTTGGTCCACTATGGAGACTCAAACGTCGTTATCGTTCTCGCTGCCTTTGTTTGCAGTAAGTGCCGTCGTACAGCTTCATGACCAGAGACTTCCCTGGACTGACTATCATCAGGATCGTATGCAGCAGGCCTCCGTACAGTCTCTTCTCAGTCAGCTATTGGAGATCAATCACTCCCCCGCTTCAGTTGAGCAAGTACAAAACGCAACAGTTTTGGTTAACGAAATAGCAGCGATAGCTTCACGGCATGCATCATTCCGCTCCCATATAATCACTGCCTTATCTGATCCCAGAGTCCAAGCAAGGATCGAGGCATTTCTTGCATGCTGCACTCGGACCCATGAAGAACACCAAGCGAGCTTCTGCCCGAGCCACAGCAGCATCGTACATCGACGGTTCATCTCAGCAACAATATCTATGTTACTCACTACTATCGTTGCTGCAGAGCCGGAACAGTCTCCGCGCATACCATTGCGGTTAGCGACTGCATTAGTTGAGAAACAAGGCCAGTTGTCATTGCCTGCGATACAATGCACGCACACTCCTCGCCAACTTGCCCCCACGGTGTCCCTGTTTGAGCAAGAGTGTACACCGATATCTGGCCTTCCCTTGCAAGACTGGCGAAGTCGCCTCAAACATGAACTGGAAAATCAAGCTTCTTACCAACAGGATTCACTTATTCGGGCGGTAGCGCAGATCTGCCAGGACTTAGAAAACCGATGTGACAACGTTGAAGGCCCGCTTCGTTCCGAGCGGGAGAAAATAAAAGCACTCACGGAAGAGCTACGCCAAGCTCAAGCATGCGTGGAATCTCTTGAACAGAAACGTATGGACGACAATTTGTTCCTTGGTACCCTCGATGCAGAAAAAGCCCGGTTGGAGAAGGACAACGACGAGCTTTCCTCTAGACTGGAAGACTTACGGATTCAGCTGGAAAAGTCTAATTATCAGGCGCACACTGCTCTTCATGAAGCTGAAGAGGCTTACAACTACAAAGAGATGCATCTGAGGTCCGTCATCCTTCAACACGAGGAGACCATTGAGAATTATCAAAAAGAAATACCAACACTACGCGAGAAGACGGTTGCACTTAGCGATAAGCTTGCGAAAGATGAAGCCGCAAGGTCTGAACTCGTCGGTCAGTACAACGATCTGCAGAACCGTTTCGAGAAAGAAAAAGACATTGTTGAAGATCAACGACAGGATCACGTCCGGCTAGAAGATCATTGCAACAATCTCCAGGCTCGTCTAAGGGAAGCCGAGCGCGAGTTAAACGAAGGAAAGCAAGCTGCTGTTGAGAAGAAGGAGGAGCTAGTTCGAATTACCCAAAAGGTTACTATTTTGGAAAGTGATCTACAACAGACAAGAACTAACTTGGCCATGACCATCGAAAGACTTGAAGGTAATGTTCCTTGTATATCAATCATTGGCCATCGTACTGATCTTGCATGTGTATTTAGATTTACAAATTCGTCACCACGAACTCGCTCAGTCCTCGACTAAAGCTTTGCAAGAAGTCGAGGCTCAATGTGAAAGTGATCTCGAAGCCGCGGCCTCGAAAGCTGCTGAAGAATATCATCGTTTACATGTGAGTAAAAGCTCATTTCAGTGCCAGTGTGATCATGATTAAGAGAGATCATGGACATAGAACTTGGGCGAGATCCGATGTCTTGTAGCGTTGTGTTCTGCTTTACAAGCCATCCCAGAGCATGTTATCTTGGCGCACACGACTACAGTACTTATTAAAGGCACCCATATCAACAAGCTTGGTTCCCAGAATAAAGCTAACCTTGTTATTTTACGTTATAGGAAGCTTACGATGACACTCGACAAGAATTCGAGCGCGTTCAAGCATCCATCCCACCTCTTCAACTCCAGATTCAGGAGCTTTCACAGGAATGTCTCACGAAAGAGAATGAGCTCGAGGGGTTGAGGGCCTGGCAGATAAGAGTATTTACCTCAATGGGCTTGCCCGCGCCTGAACCAACTCCCGCCCGATGTATATCGAAAGCTACGTATCAGCATGTTGATGATATGCAACCAGGCTTGACTCAGGGAATCACCAACACGGCCTTGGATCCCTTATCAGATGCCTCGTTCTTGTCGAGTTCTCAAGTTTCGCGGGACGGGTCGACACCAAAGCGATCGAAGTCGCGACACACGTCCACAGACCTCTCGGCCCAAGTGTCATACAACAACCCTTGCATGACATCAAAGACGATAAAAAGGCCTCAAGCGAAGCGCTCCGCTCTACGACCGATATCCCCAAATCGGAGACTCACAACTGTCGGTGTTTCCGTAACTGAGCGAAAAGACGAAGCGGGTAGACAGAATCTACCCTTGAGAAAGCGGCGTGGTAGCTCTCGAGGGAGTGGCGAAGAAGATTTTGAGATGTCCTTTGCAGCAGGTACGCCCTTCACCCCTGGAAAGTTCGCTGCAGGAACCGGGACATGGCGGCAGGAAGATGGCTCGATAACAGAACTTTAAAACTTCCTGGACATGGTTGGAAATAGCACAAACGCAGCTCATGTGTGTATAGCGGATGCTGAAAGACCATGCGCCTTTTGAGCGATCATTCTTAGCTATGAGACTGTCTGTACCAGCCACGCTGCTGCCCGTTGATGGTATCGTGGCTCTCACTTGGCTGGGTTATATTCATTATGTGCGCTATTATTCCGACGTAGAGCATGCGCAACCGTCTCCGATTCGTCCTCTTACCTTGACTAAGCTTCTCCTGTGTTCGCTGCGTACACAGATCTCTGTGTGCATACTGCAAGTGCAGCTACCCGTTCACTCGCTAGCGCTCTTTCTCAATCAGTAACGCGAAGCAAACAAAAGCAAGAGCGCTAGATTGCAAACGAATCCCTGACCCTACAGCTCTGCTCTCTGAAGCCATACGGAGATACAACAACACGGAAGATGCGTCAACGACCGCAACCTGCGTCCGCGTCTCCGGTGCCGCCACCACAAGCGGCAAACATGTCCACTCTCTTTGGAAATTCGATCGACTTCGGTGTCGCCGTCTCCGGACGTACGATGCAAATCATGCAAACTGTCGGGGCCGTACGCACAGTCAGGTTCACGCTCAAATCTGGCGACTTCAAGGAGATAGAGATCCAATTTCCTTTGCTGATTGATGCGGGGCGCGAGAACCTCAAGTTCCAGCTACCCTTGTCCCTCATTGAGACTATATATAAGGTGGAGAATTCGTTGATCATACCATTCAAGTCGGTATGTACGACGTTACGCTCAAAGAGGAGCGAATGTAGCCTACACATACTGACGCGCTTCGTAGCCTCCCATGTTCTGGATGCAGAAAGGCCAAGCTCAAGGGCGACAAGATCAGAGTCCTCTTCGGAGCCGAAGCCAGAGCTACGGCCAGAGCCAAGGGCTCTGGTACCGGCAAACAGATATTGTGGACCGAAAGACTCGCGAAGAATTTGCGCCGGCTCCAGTGATGAATCGCAAGGAAACTCCCGTTATCGACATTGGTCGTTGGACCACTTACCGAGTGACATTCGACGCTGCTATCTTCGCCGATCCCAAATACATTAGGACCAAAGCTACTCTCGCGGACCACGGCATCCACATCACGACTGTCCAAGATTACAGCATAATCAAAGGTACCGCTCCAGCTATCTGGTCATTATTGGAAGAAGAGATCTCTGGGACCCATCCGCACCTCCGGGGCTCTACCTTTCAAGAGACTGCCTTCCACGAGCTAGTGGCCGGTCAGATGCACCTTCCCTTTGATGTTCGCTACCAATTGGAGGCATGTCTATCAAATGGGGTGCTTCGGGAGCATAACATTAACCGAGAATTTCTGGAGCGGCTTGGGTTGATGAGCTCTGTTGAAGCTGTGAACATGCTTGAAAAAGCTATGAACGACAAGCAAGAATACTTCGATCCAATGGAAATGTTCAACAAGTCCCGCAAGCCAGCACATGCCAGAAAACTTCCAAGCTACTGCATCCTCTCAAGATCGGCAAACATTACACCAACATTAATCCACGTTGGCCAACCTGCAATCGAAACATCAAACCGCATCATTCGAAAACATCTTGCCGATGCCGATCGCTTCATACGGGTGAGATTCACCGACGAGAAGACCGAGGGCACTCTGTTCGCCCCAGATAACGATTCCTATGACGCAGTCTTCGACCGAGTGACAAGGGCGATGACAAACGGCGTCGTGGTCGCTGGTCGCTATTATGAATTTCTTGCTTTTGGTAACTCACAGTTTAGAGAACGGGGTGCATACTTCTACGCACCTACGCCATCGAAATCCGCCGATGATATCCGCCGGTCAATGGGGAAGTTCGACCATATCAGAATTGCAGCAAAGTATGGAGCCCGTCTTGGACAATGTTTCTCGACCACACGTGCAATCAAGAGCGTTAACGTCAAGATTGAGGAGATCCAAGACATAGAGCGGAACGGATATTGCTTCACGGATGGTGTTGGAAAGATCTCAACTTTTCTGGCCCAGATGGCTGCAGAAGAACTAGGTCTACCACACGCCTTCCATGACCCTCCTTCTCTTTACCAGTTCCGCTTGGCTGGATGCAAAGGTGTATTGGCTCTAGACCCTGGCATTACAGGTCACGTTGTTCATATACGCCCAAGCCAATACAAATTTGAGGCGCAAAATGTGGGACTAGAAATTATTAGAGCTTCAGCTCTTTCAGTAGCCACTTTCAACCGTCAACTGATCATAATTCTGTCTACTCTGGGTGTCCCAGGTGCTGTGTTCATTCAAAAGCAGCAGAAAATGGTCAACGATCTCGAGAGAGCGACAATGGAGGAAGATGTTGCACTTGAGAAACTTCAACGCAATATCGACCTGAATCAGACGACACTGACCATGGCTGGAATGGTTATTGACGGATTCATGCAAAGCCAAGAGCCTTTCATGATGTCACTGCTCCAGTTATGGCGTGCATATCATATCAAATATCTTAAGGAGAAGGCCCGAATCATGATCGAGGAGGGTGCATATGTCCTTGGCTGCGTAGACGAGACGGCAACCCTGCAAGGTCACTACGATGATCCACAATCTCTACTCGACGCTACCAGGGAGCAGAAGATGGCGACACTACCCGAGATCTTTTTGCAAATTACGGACACGGTTGAAGATGCCAAGACCGGAAAGAAGGGCCACTATAAAGTCATCCAGGGCGTATGCATCCTGGCACGCAACCCATCACTCCATGCTGGCGACGTACGTGTTGTGCGGGCTGTTGACGTACCGGCATTGCATCATTTGAAAGACGTGGTCGTTTTGCCCCAGACTGGAGATCGCGACATTGCAAATATGTGCTCTGGGGGTGACCTGGATGGCGATGATTACATTGTGTTGTGGGACAACGACTTTCTTCCTCAAAGCGTGAACGAACCTCCGATGGACTTCACGGCTGAGAAGCCGACCGAGTCAACCAAGCCGATCACTGTCAGAGATATTACCGATTTCTTTGTCACTCATATGAAGAATGACTCACTTGGTCGAATAGCGAATGCACATATGGCCCAAGCGGATTTCAGCGACAGGGGTGTGAGAGATCATAAGTGTACGTCGATCCTTGCTCCAACGAATACGAACGCATTAGCTGACGGTTGACTCAGGTCTAAAGTTGGCAAAGTTGCATTCACAGGCGGTGGACTACTCCAAAAGTGGAATTCCAGCGAAAATGGACCCCGAACTCAGGCCACGTAAGAAGCCGCATTTTCTCAGGAATAAGAAACAGCCAGAACGTATGTTCTACAGGTCTAGGAAGGTCCTGGGAATGCTCTTCGACCAAGTGCAGCTCGTTGACTTCATGCCTCGATACGATAACAAGTTCGACCGAAAGATTATTGACTTTTGTGTACCTTCCCCAGTCGCAATTGCAAAGGCCAAAGAAATCAAGTATGAATACGACTCAGAACTGAGACGATTGATGGCAAAGCATGCCATCCGTACGGAGTTCGAAGCGTGGTCTGTTTTCGTCTTGTCCCACAACCTGGAATCCCGCGACTACACTTTTGCCGAGGAATTTGGACGAACCATCGGATTGCTCAAGACAAGGTACCAAGATCTGTGCTTCGAAGCGGCTGGCGTGGCAGGCAGGCATGAGTTTGAGAACCTCGCACCGTTTGTCACGGCGATGTATACTGTGACCGCCACAGAAGTGGAAACCGCTGTTGAAGAAGCTCACAGATTGAGCCGCTCTATGACACCCGAGGATATGCCACTCATGTCTTTCCCATGGCTATTTGTCAACGAGCTCGGCAGGATCAGGAAGGGCAAGAGCTCCGGTCGACTAGACCCCGACGGACCTCAGCAGCATCAACCTGCGAAGAAGCATACCGTTCCCACAATCCCGGGCAAATTTTTAGGCGACGTCGTGTCCCCTCAAGGTATTACGCACTTCGGTGAAATCTTGAAGCTGGACTTCCATAAAGGGATGTAGAGGTTGAAAAGTTTGTACCAGCATCCATATAAACGGCGTATACTGAGCTGACCAGTACCGAGGGCAACTAGGTGACCTAGGACGCCATCGTCGAATGTTCAAAAAGGACATTGACAAGCACGCGGAAGGAGTCTGTGGAATGCGCATTTGCGGGCTAGGTGTCACTGTACATGAAGATGGTACTACGTGGTGGAGGTATCCAGTCTCATGCACATACTGAACAGTATAGTTAAGACACCAATTGAAAGATACAAATTCTTCAGAACCTCCTCGAAATACAAGTAGTGTGATGCCTCGATTGACATTGAAAATAGATGAGGGGCTTATCGATAAGTCCTCTCGGAATTCCCACTGCACACCTTCCTCTCTCTAATTTCTCCGGCATGCCGCCAACCTCTCGCATTCCGCCACTGCTGCAACCTTTTGTGCGCACGCCGAAGAACGAATCGCTTTTGTTGCTCACGAGCACACTTGATGCCTCGGCAAACTGGCTTTTGACGCGCTTTCTCTGCGATGCACTGGGTTCCGGCCAGAAAGACAACGACAATGGCGGGGCTAAGAACGTGGTACTCGTGAGCTGGATGAGAGACTACGAGTTTTGGAGACAGGAAGCGCGGAAGGGAAGCGGACTCGACCTGGTCGGCCTACGCACGCAGGGCAGGTTTGCCTTCGTGGATGGTTTGTCCAGCCTGTTTCTGCCCGCCGACGAGGACGCAGCAGACCCGCAGCGACCACGTAGTCTCCCAGCTGCGCAGCCGGGCGTCCCATCGACAAAGGGACTTCCAACGCTGCCTGTCCGCGGCCCACCTGGAAGGACAGCACCCGCGACTGCGCAGGCCGCACTACGAGCGCCCGCGAGCCACCCAGGCCTATACGCGCTCTCCTCCACCTCGATCGACCAAATCAAAACCGCAATCACCGCCGCAATCGCCTCCCTCCGCCCCACGACCGCCGCCGCAACACGCACCCTCATCATCCTCGACAATCCCGACATCCTCCTCGCCAGCGTCCCCGGCCTCACCCCCGCCGCCCTCACATCCTTCTTCCTCGACCTGCACACGCAGGCCACCGTCTCCCACGTCCTCGTCCACCTCCAGTCCGACCTCGCGCTCCTGGCGACGACTGCGGAGAAGCCCTCGCCGCTGCAGATCGCGCAGCAGAACCTGGTTGTTAAGACGGCGCACATGAGTGCGAAGGTTCTGGGCGTGCGGGTGCTGGATACTGGTGTTGCGAGGGATGTTAGTGGGGTGCTGAGGGTGACGGCAAATAGAGAGTCGTGGGCAGGCATTGCGACTCTTGGTGAGGAGGAGGGCGGGGCGGTGCAGGCGCCGGAAGAGGCGGGGTCCGAGGTTCTGTATAAGGTCAATGGGGATGGGAGTGTGAGGGTTTTTGAGAGGGGGGCTGATGTGGCGGTTTGAAGGGTGGTGTGGGTTGGGTTGGGTATGCTGGAGTTGTACTGTGCGTGGTATTACAGAGCGGCCTTGCTGGGTTCTGCTGCTTCAGCGAGTGAATGGGATCGGTAGTCTATCGAAAAGAAGTTTTCGGCAGAGGGCTTTGCACTGCAAAGTACGAGGCCACTTGTTTGTCAAATTAGGTAGACAAATAAAAAGGAATGCGAAGTGCGACGTCAACTCATCATTACTATTACTTTGCTTTGTCCTCATGCGCACCGTAGTACCACGTTCCCACGTAGCTAGATAATAACCAAGGAATATGTGACAAGAATGTGCAGAGAATGTTACAAGGGCATCTGTTCGGAGTCGCTTGCAGACTGCTCCAACGCGGCGCCACACCAGCCTGAATCGGGATTCGGAAGCTAGCCAGATACGAAATGAGTGGAAAGATTCTCGAGACGTGAGAATCAGTAGACACCCTGTACTGTCGTTAGTCTCCGACTCCACAATTGGGACCGGCAGAGATGTACTTACCGGGATGAAAAGATACGGCACGCGTTTCTCGTACTCGACCCACGCCTCTCCGTAGGTCTTCCTGCACTTCTCAATGTCACGCCTTGCACGGTGGATGATCATGCCGGCGAAGAAGACAGAATAAAACCACGGGAATGGGCTCTTGAACCCAGTAATTAGGCCCCAAGACACAGCGAAGAAGAAGTCGCAAGTGTAGTGAATCTTGCGCGCCTTTCCATACCAGCCATCGCACAGGATGCTGTTGCCGCGCGCCGTAGGGATAGTCTTGGGGTTGTGAATCTTGCCGTACTTGAAGTAAGGGAACGTAGTGCGCTCATCGACGTTGCCACGCTCCTCCTGGCGGAACTGGTTCTTCTGGCTGTTGGTCGTATCCCAGATGTAGTAGAAGCCGAGGTAGGCGACGGTGAGAAGAGCAGTAAACCACACTGGTAGCTGGTACTCAGAGGGATGGTGGCGGGCGATGAAGAGTGTGCAATGGCAGTAGGTGAGAGGGACACCGGCCATGTTCCAGAAGATGAGCATAAAACCCAACTTCTCGTAGTACATGTCCCAAGTCGTAATAATGAGATGCTCGCCCTTGGAGCAGGCACCGGCATACAGGTAATGCGCGAATAGCAAGAAAATGGCTTCCACGGAAACATAGCCATATTCCTCATACTGCTTCAGGCAAGTACCCATGGAAAGAAACAGGAGAATGTACCACGGAATACGAACTTCCAAGAACATTTTGAAGTCGAGGATACCGAAGAGACGAGGGTTCAACTCTGCACCGAGGAAGAAGTCGTAGATGGGGTAGCCAGTCATGCGCATGGTCTTACCACGGACGATGGCCTGGATGTAGCAGACAATAGCGCAGAGGAAACCAGAGATGATGGCCACACTCATAATATGTCCAAACTCATCAACGAGGGTGTACAACTTGAATACGCCAGTAAAGTGCAAGGCCAAGGCGATGACAATGCTGGTGTACAACGACCACATGCCCGAGCAATAGTAGTCCAGCATCTTGCCGCCCAGGTGAGGGAGCGGCTTGCCCTTTCGATAGACGCCGGGCATCAGCATGTAGAAAGCCATCTGGACTAGTCCAAACACCCAGTAGATCTTCCACGCACGCGCATTGGGGTATCCTTCCGTCTTGATCAAACCGCACATGTACTGTGCCCAGTGACCCCAGCTTTCGCCGTCAGCCGGTGCGGGAAGCTTGCCGTCGTAGAAGAAAGCGCCGATCCACATGTAGTACATGAGCATAGGAAAGCCGATCATCATAGCAGTCATGCCCAAGGTTCCACCAAACTCGGTCTCGCCAGAGACATCGTAAGGACCGAACTCCTCGTGCTGCTCGCTTGGTGCCGTAGAAGTCGCTTTTCCATTCGCATTGCCGTTCGCATGCCCGTTGGTGTTGCCGTTCAATTGCCCGTTCGTGCGGTCGTGAAGCCCATTCGCAGCACCGTTGATGCCGGTGGCGTGTCCGTTGACCTTGCCGTTACCATTGGCCGTGATGTCTCCGTTGCCGGCCTTTGTCGCCTCCGCAAACGAAAGCTTCGAGACTGCTTCGGGCTCGGGCGTAGACTCGTAGTCGCTTTCACCGTTCGTGAGAATGGATTTGCGCGTGTACTTTTTGCGACCAGGGGTCTCCACAAACCCTGGGTTAAAGGGTTTACTGAGAATATGTCAGCAATTGAAGGTAAAGAAGGAGCGCCCGGGTCCGCCGCAACTTACCTGGGCGTCTTCCCCGTCTTGCTCCTCGTCATGCGTTCAGACATGTCTGCGTCGGGAAAGCACGCGTCAGGGGTGCTGCAGGTACACTCGGTGGCGCGCGACAAGGCAAGGCCGGTGGCGGGATGCAATCGGAAGCAGTCGACACAGGCACAAGAACACCGTGAAGGGGACTTCAACACATGGCCGTGAGCGCTGAGCAGCGACTTGGAGCTCACAATTGCTGGAATACAAGAGCGGGCGGCGACGGTGTTTGTATACATCGCTAAAAAAATAAAATGAGTTTCCGATGGGCCAATCAGCGCGAGGTATGCACGGTGGGCACTATCGGCAGTGAGCGTATGTAGATCCAAAGGCGGAGGGTTCTTGTAATGATATCATGGAGTCTTCCAGTTTTCAGGTTCAGGGAGACGCACTCTTTATACACAATCGCTCCTCTCGCCCATATTCACAGACGGCCCTCAATACAAGTATCGGCCTGTCCAAATGAGAGCCCTTGGTAAATGTCGCCGTTCCAAAGAGGACTAGTTCCCGAGTGTGGAGGTCTACCAGGATCTTACCGCGCGGGATCAAAACATGCACGATGGAGGGTCGGAGTCTAGTACGCTTTCAGTCGTACATGAATCGGCACCAAATCGATTTCTCTTCCCATCAACCAAATACACTATTCTCAATTTTTTTCAGCACTGCCCGATACCTTGTGGTGTTGATGCTTGCTACTGCATAGGAATGGGAACGCTCGTATAGTGCAGTGCCGGGTAAGCTGGGATGCTGCATTGCTCCTGCTGGGTTAACAGAGTACTCAAACTCTTGCCCTGGTACTGTAGGTGGTCTCTCGACCCTGTTTGTCATACGCGCCGCCAAACAAAACGCCTCACACGAGTCTGCTACTGTGATACTTGCAAGTCTTCTCATGGGCGGCGTTCCCCTTCGTTCGGATCCTTTGATAGTCTGCCAAGCACTCCCAGCAGAACTCGTACCTGCATCGTGAACCTAAGAGAATTAGAAACGCTGTTATGGCTAGTGTTCTAATCTTACATGTCATATGGTCGCAACCTGCGTTCTTCTCGATGTTGAAAGCACAGTCGGGCCCAGGGCATTTCTTGCTGAGCTTGCTGATTGCTGCGACGCTGGCCTCTTCTTGAGCTTTCTGTTCCCTTTCTTTGGCCCCGCTCACCCTATAGGTGTACTCATCGCAGGTTTCGCCTTCGTGCCAATTAACATCATGCGTAACACAGGCTTTATGACCGCAGGCGACGCACGTAAATATGTATCCGTCGTCGTCATGTTCCTGCCCAGAAGTGCATGCTGGGTTGCGACACCATCTGAAATTGGAAACTTGACCCAGCGCATCCCTCATGGAAAACATATCGTATTGGGAAAAAACCTCTGGAGTTGCATAGGCTTGCACATCGTGGTGAGTGAGTATAACACTGCACGAGACATCCGGGCATTTTATCCCTTTCCAACCCTGTGTTGTCAACTGGGATTCGATCCAGCGTGCGAAGCACTCAACACATGTTGCAGCTTGATGCGAACATCCCGATAACAATGGAATATCTGCTATGTGAATCGAGTCACTGCAGACAGTGCAATAGCGAGTGAGTACTGGTGGGTCTTGTACAGCTGGAGCGGCATCGCAATCGGAGAACATGTCCAAATCCTCGTCTTCGTCGTCTGCTGCAAAATAATCCTCGGAACCAGAGCATATCTCGATCGGGTCATCTGCAGTTCCTTGATTGCTTGAGCGACGCGGTGTTGAGGCAGTTGCAGCCGGCGGAGACGAGGCGTGACCCACGCTCAAGTATGATGCTTTCTCTGATGTCGAGTCTCGTATAGTGGACCTTTTGCTTTTATAAGGACCTTGATATTTTGTTAGGCCTGAACTGTCACCATTACGAGCGGATAAACCGTTGTTGTTCATAAGTCTTTGCAGATCGGCCGATGTCGCACGATAGTCTCGTGAAGGTGAAGCAGACTTCATGAGCCTTTGCAGATCATGGCCCGTTGCGCGAAAGTCTCGAGAGGGAGAAGGGACAATCCGGTTGGACGACCGCTGTGAAATGTTTTGCATGAAAACTTCGTCGCTTAAAAGTTCAATTTTGTCGTTCACGGTCTCAAGCTGGCCGCCGAGATTATTGAGGTTGGGACCAATAGCTTGGAGGGGCTCAGGAATTTTGCTATCTTTGGTCGTCTGGTCGATCGCAGATGTTTTCTTACGTTTCACCGTAGTAGTCAGCTGTGGGAATGTGGAAGATATTCTACCACCTAGCTGTGGAAGCTTCTTGGAACGCCATACAGCCCGCCCTTGTGACATAGCCAGCTCTACGTCTTCTGTGTGGCGGTTTCCAAAATTGTTAGACAATTCATGGTCCGAACCAGCAAAAGATAGAGGAGGCAATCGTGGAGCATGAATGGGACGATCGAGGACCTTGGCGTCGGATATATGTTTCATTTGGCGATCAGGTAGCCTTCGCTCGTTAATCTTAATCTGGCGGCGAATTGTGACGGGATTGCTTTTTTCTCGGACCGCGCGCATTCGTTTCGGAGGATTGAGACCCATGTCCCGAGATTCCATGGCAGGTTGCTGTGAGGTATTTGGTGGTAGTGTTTTCAGTGAAAACGGGTCAGCGGGGTTCATAGAAGGTGATACGTTCGAGCATGGGTTTCTGACTGTGCGGAGTTGGCTGAGAAAAGAAGGATGCGGTGAGTCAGTCTTAGGATTTTCAAGCTGTATAAGTCCATCAACTGGTCCAGGAACAAACGCCGGTTGAGGTGAGAAAACCGGGGTCGGAGCGAAAGAAGCCTCGGTAAAGGCAACTCGTGAGTAAGGAGGGTGTGACCTTGCCCTGCCACACTTGCGAGGTTGTTTTAGAATAGACCGCAGAACTGCCCGATATTCACGTGAGTCACAGTCGCTAGAGTGACCTGGCTGCAGAGGTGATAACTTCCTTGACCACGAAATCTGCCGTACAGGAATTGAACGGGTTCGAGTGTTGGTGGCCGGAGAAATGCGACCTGTTTCGTTGTCTCCAGAAATGTAGCTCGCTAGACCCACGGTATCGCGGCTAGACTGGTGTTTGTCCTTCCGTTTTGTCTCATTACGCGTTCTCAGATGACATGTGTTGACAAGTAGCTGCCGTGTCAACTCGATACCGTGATCCCACATTTTCCGCGGCAGCGAAACGAGGACTAAACATTCACTGGTGAGCAAAGTGCAGATGAATTTCGAAGCTCCGAAGCCAAAGGTTCTGGTATGTACTAGAAGAGGGGCGCAGGTGCAAGGCTGAATCCCGAGGTCCCTCAGGCAGAACAATGGCTGAGCTAGGCGGTGCTCACCGGTAGGCTAATGCCACTGATAGAAGTACAGGCGATGTTTGAGACCAATACAAGGAAGATCTTGGAAATAGGTGGGCACTTGTGGTTTGTGTCTTGCAGAACCGTGGACCAGCCTCTTTTAGAGCCCCCATCACGACAAGGCTGAAGTCAAGCGAACGACCTTTGAAGCGTGATTGAAACCGCGCTCAGTGGATGTAGATTCCGGACGACGCAAAGTAGCAGAGACGGCCCGCAAGAGCAAAACTGCGGCTGCGTTCAACAAACACCGGTAAAACAGGAACACGAATTTGCGCATTCGAGTGATCAACAACACCTGCATACCTATGTAAGAGCTAGGCAAGGAGCAAGATGTAGACCAATCTAACGGCGCGTAGAAGGTAGTTGCGTCGTTTCGACGGGCGCCGACTGGTTCGGGAACTAGGCGCAACACTGCCATCGGAGCACGTGGTTTCCCGTCGCGTTCGTGAAGCGCACGCACCTCCAGGCTTCCACAACCACTTCCAAACATGTCCCCGACGTGAATGGCGGTGCGCCGCACTGCCCCCTGCCTACGACCCCAGCTCTACGGACGTAAATTCCTCGTACCTATACCTTAAGAAAACATCGCACGCAACTGCCCACACACCGCAATAAGCCGTCGTGCGCGATTCACGATGTGGTTCCTCGAGCACGAGATCCTCTTCGGAGGGAAGCGCGTCTGGTTGCGGCCCGGATCGCAGCAGCTTTTCGGCCGTACAAAGAACAGTGATAGGGACGGTTCGGTGGGCAAGCATGTTTTCATAGACAACAAAAATGTGTCGCGCAAGCATATGATGGTAAAGGTGGTCGAGGTACCGCCTGCAGATGGGACCAAAGTGCACAAGAGATCTCAGGTCGAGATCACAGACCTGAGCTGCAGACAAGGCACGGTGGTCGATGGGAAAACGACCTTAAAAAGCTCCAAACAAGCGGATGGCACTATCGCCGAGGACAAGACCACGCTCACGGGCGCCGAGCACACCATCAGACTGTCGAATTCGTACCCTCCGTTCACGCTCAAATGGCACGATGTCGTCTTCACATATGCCTCCAAAGAAAGGAAAGGCGCCTCTCAACCGCAAGCCAGTACGCGCAACGCTGAATTACATGCGTTGGACATCAAGACGTCGTCAGAGTTCTTGTATGGCAAGACTACTCATGTGGTGTCGCAAAAGAGGAATCTGCCGAAAGTTCTGCAAGCGTTGGTATCCGGAATGCCTGTAGTCACGGCCGACTATTTGGATGCCATCCTGAGCGCTGCTGCGAACTCCAGCGACTTGGAAGGGAACTACGTGCCATCACAACTAGAGGAAGATTTCGATACATGGTGGCCCCAGGAGAAAGAATACATTCCACCTGCTGGACAGGAGCCAATTCCACGACCAGATCAGATGCTCGCCCCCGACCCGACTCGTTCTGAAGTGTTCTCCGGGTTGACGTTCGTCTTCTTGAATGAAACACAACATACAAGCTTGCACGAGGTTATTGTTGGTGGTGGTGGAAAGACATTGCTGTTCAACTTACGACCCGGGAAAACGACTGTGGACGAGTATGTAAACTATGTCAAAAGCGTTGCAGGCCAAACGAAGCGTGATAGGGCCCCAAAGGACGGGCTTCCGGTGGTGACTATTCGTCTGCCAACTTACCCAGAAGAATTGGAAGAATGGGCCACAAACTTCGTGACTGGTGTGGATCAGTTCCTGAAGCAACGTTCCATCCTGCAGAATGAGTTTCTTGATGCTATTATCACCAAAGACACGTCATCCCTGCGTCGACCCCCAACCGACACAGAGATCAGTTCCAGCATTCCTGACTCTACAGCGGCAGAACAACGAAGTGTGCAGGAGACAACCCCGTTATCGCCATCTCGCGCTCAAGTACAAGATTCCGTGTCCAACCCGTCTCCAGCAGCTGAGCCTGTGAAGACAAACCCTCGTAAACGACCTGTCCGTCGTGCGATTGCCAGCCGTTTCACTACTTTCGATGATTATGAACCGCCAGCCAAGATACAGAAGACCGAGCACACGCAGGTACAGGATACGTCTAGGGAAGAGGTTCAACCTGATGTACCGCAATCAGTACCCGACCATGAGCCCGCAACGCAGTCGCAGATTCCTCCACCAAGTCAGACGCAGCGCACTACTCGATCTCAGCAACAGCACACCTTGGACTCGTCGACCCAGAAAGACCGAATGTTCCCTGCCTCTGCTCAGTTCAGGAAGAATCGTGAAGCCAATCAAGCTCCTACTGCCGCTGGGACCGTTCAGCCGGACCCCCAAACTAAAGTTGTCCGGGAGACAACGGACCACAAGGTCGCGCGACTGCAAGCAAGACAGTTGGAACGGGCACAAAAAATGGAGAAAGAGATCTTGGTCAAAGAGAAAGAGTCCCGCAAACGAATGGCTGAGGAGGAAGACAGACGCCGAGCTGAAGAAGAGAAGATGAGAGCAGACCTAGAAGGTGTCGACATATCGAAACTCCATATAGACATTGAGATTGTGGACATGAAGATCCGTCCGCGTGAAGATAGAACCCTTGCGCGGACCCAGCTCCATGGCGATATGTCCAATTCTGAGTGGGCTGGTAGGAAGAACTTCAAGAAATTCAGACGACGTGGTACCGACCAGGAGGCAAGGGCACAATCGCAGAGAGTGATTGTCACACTAAAGCCGGTGCCACCAAGAAAAGGCTTCGGCGATTCCATGGTCATGGATGAGGTAGCGCCTGCCAGGACTGCCGAGGACGAGAGACTATTCAAGCGGAGACTTAGAGGTCGTGTGCCAGACAGCGATGACGAGAGACCGATGGGATTCCAGCGTAGGAGACGGGCTAAACCGACTGAAGTCATTGACGTCGAAAACAGTGGGCCGGACGAGGAAGAATCGCCGAGGCCTAGTGGGTCAACATTCAGAAACAGTGGCCGTACGCAACGCGTGGTAGAGACTCAGCTCGATGACACACAAACGCAAAGACAAACGAAGAAGCGTGCAGGAGGTCCCCTGACCATTGCAGCTGGCCAGCCATCAGCCAAAAAGAGCCGGACCGCGAACGAAGATAGTGATGAAGAGGAGGGTGGCTTCAGATTTAGGAAGAGAGCAAAGGGATAGTTAGCTAAGTAAGGTGGTGTGGCATACCCAGCATGACAATCCTTCAAATAGATGTGGTCAATGTGTCGGAAGCTGTCAAGAAGACATAAAGAATTGAGTATAGTGCATGCATCTAAGCAGGCCGACCAGCCTGAAGCACCGAACGCCATCATGCCCGTGAAAAAATTCGTTAATCGGAAAAGCGCACAGCCATGCTAATCCATAACACATCGAAGCTCTCCGTCTGGTATCAAAGCCCACCCGCCCACATCGCTGGTCCCTTCATGTGTCTTCAGCGCTTCCGCTCGAAGTATCCCGACGTGCCGAATACAGCAACGCTCTGATCCATGGTCCATTCGCCAACCCACAGGTAGTTGTCGATCCACTTCTTCAGGCCGGGTGTCTCGGTGAAGTTCTCTGATTTCACACTGGGACTATCAGCGGTGAGCCCGAATGTTAGCTTCGCATTTCCTGCAGATTACGGTATATGGTCGGTGGCGCGGGAGGCAGCGGAAATGACTCCCATAGACTTGGGGATGCGGTGCGATCGAGAGGGAGAGTGCTATAGCGGGCATGGGGTATGCGCTTGGAAATGGGAGACGTACGTGAGGCCGGTAGAGCGGCGAACGCCAGCGAGGAAGGCGGATACTGAGAACGTTAGCAGGGGAAGTACGCGCTTCACAGCTTCGTTTCGGCTTACTCAATACTGCATCGAAGGCATAGTGGGCGACTTTGCCGAGCTGCGGAGGTGTGAGTTGTTGGAGCTACATCGAGTGGCCACCGGAGAGCGGGCCTCGGGCATAGGTAGGTCAACGTACAACCATGTTTGCGGTGTAGCTAGAAGGGAAGCTCTAGCAAGACAGGTTGCGCAGGTGCTAAAAGTGTATTGGGTGTTGTAGTAGATCGCGTGCGCGAGATCTGAGGTGCCTGATGCGGGTGAAGGAGCTCCCCGGCCGCAAAGCCCCAGCCCGGGGCCTAGTCAGAGTCACATGTCATCTCAGCCGGTATGGGACCCTTTCTCCAATAATGGGTCCCAGCGCGGTGGGCGAGCGGACACGGGTGAGAACGGGCAGTCTACCGAGCTCGAGCAATTATATCTAGAACCTCGGATGCCATGCTGCAGATATATAGGACGAGGTGCCCTCGAGTGCGTTTGCAAACCTACCTACGATGTCATGCCGTGCCCGGACGCTGCTTTTTGAAGAGATCGAGCAATCTTCCCGTCGTTTGACCGCAGACTGAGCCTATGTTTCACTCCTTTTGTTGGCTCATGACACAGAGTATAACAGCAATCTCTTCAGGGATATGTGTTGCCATGTCCTTTCTCTCTCCGCCGCGCTCGCTCCGCTCTCGCCGCCCGCGAGATACCCACCAACACATCGGAGCCTACTAGTAGCGCCGCCGCGCGAAACAAATCTGTTCCATGACAGCCGGCCGTGGAAACAGTGGAAACGCTGGACGGGTGGCCCATGAGCAAAAAAATGTTGTCCTGAGAAGTCTGGGCTTATCTGAGGAGCTTGGCTGCGCCGTGATGCAACGCGTGGGTGGGGTGTGAATGGCAGCAAAAACAATGAGCGTAACACGGCGCCGACGGCCCTGCATCCTTTCCCATGTTGCTTAGTACTGGCTGGATGTAATTTGGTATAAGATGCACGCATCCCGCGGTTGCAGAGCTCCTATCAAACTCTGCCTTTCTGCACGCTGTCGCACTGGCCCCGTGAACTCGCGCTGCCCCACTACGACGCTTCCCAAATAAAGTGCGAAGCTCTAGCTGCTCAACCCCTCCCAACAGTCCAACACTTTGCTGGTGAGTTCGGCCCCACGACCTTGACGACCCTTACGACACCGCAATTGGTCTAAATCTGATTGCCTCTTCTGTTGCTGATTTACCACTTTTTCCGCAGCACCAAAAATCCTCCAGACATCCCACCATGGCTAACGCGCTCGACCACCTCAACTCCGGTCGCACCAGGATCGAATGGCTCTCGCAGCTGAACACTGAGTACACCCCGCCGAAGGCGTACCGCCGCACATCCATCATCGGCACGATCGGGCCCAAGACCAACTCTGCCGAGAAGATCAATGCCCTTCGCAAGGCTGGTCTCAATGTCGTGCGCATGAACTTTTCGCACGGCAGCTACGAGTACCACCAGTCTGTTATTGACAATGCGCGCAAGGCCGAGGCTACGCAGGCCGGTAGGCCGCTGGCCATTGCCCTCGACACCAAGGGCCCTGAGATCCGCACGGGCAACACGCCCGATGACGAGGATATCCCCATCAGCGCGGGCGATGTCTTGAACATCACCACCGACGATGCGTACGCCACGAAGAGCGACAACAAGAATATGTAAGACCGCCAGAGAGTGATTCCCGACGCATTTCGATTCCGGCTACCGGGCATCGGATACGCAAGCCGCTGAGAGCACTTGAGCTCTTGGTGTTTCTAGCGCCCATCTGTGCACTGTGTACCCTGAGATTCGCCATGCTTGCGTCTTGGTATCGGGCTATCGACTGACAATGGCTAGGTATGTCGACTACAAGAACATCACCAAGGTGATCGAGCCCGGCCGGATCATCTACGTCGACGACGGAGTCCTCTCGTTCAAGGTCTTGGAGATCACCGACGAGCAGACGCTCAAGGTTGAGTGTGTGAACAACGGCAAGATCTCCTCTAAGAAGGGTGTTAATCTCCCCAAGACCGACATCGATCTTCCAGCGCTCTCGGAGAAGGACAAGGCCGATCTGAGGTTCGGTGTCAAGAACAAGGTCGATATGGTCTTCGCGTCGTTTATCCGCCGTGGTAGCGACATCACTGCCATCCGTGAAGTTCTCGGTGAGGACGGCAAGGACATTCAAATCATTGCCAAGGTCGAGAACCAGCAGGGTGTGAACAACTTCGATGAGATCCTTAGGGAGACCGATGGTGTCATGGTGGCTCGTGGTGATTTGGGTATTGAAATCCCCCCGAGCCAGGTCTTCATTGCGCAGAAGATGATGATCACCAAGTGCAACATTGCCGGAAAGCCCGCTATTTGCGCCACACAGATGCTGGAGTCTATGACCTACAACCCCCGTCCTACCCGCGCCGAAGTCAGCGATGTCGGTAATGCCGTTCTCGACGGTGCAGACTGTGTCATGTTGTCCGGTGAGACCGCCAAGGGCAACTACCCCGTGGAGGCTGTGACTATGATGCACGAGACGTGCCTGCTTGCGGAGGTCGCTATTCCCTACGTCAACGCTTTCGACGAGCTGAGGAAATTGGCTCCTATTCCTTGCCCGACCACCGAGACTTGCGCAATGGCAGCTGTCAGTGCGTCTTTGGAGCAGAACGCTGGCGCGATTCTCGTTCTTACCACCAGGTAAATTGAGCACTGTTCTGGGCTGCCACAACGCTAACAAACGAGCAGTGGTACCACCGCACGCCTTGTGTCGAAGTACCGACCTGTCTGCCCCATCATCATGGTCACGCGTAACGAGATGGCCGCTAGGGTATGATCACACCTACCTTTTCGAAGCACAAAGCTGACAAAGACAGTATTCCCACCTGTACCGTGGCGTATACCCCTTCTACTTCCCCGAGGAGAAGCCCGACTTCAAGTCATCCCCGTGGCAGGAGGATGTCGACCGTCGCCTTAAGTGGGGTATCATGAACGCAATCAAGCTTGGCGTGCTCAGCAAAGGCGATGCTGTTGTCTGTGTTCAGGGCTGGAGAGGTGGCATGGGTCACACCAACACTCTCCGCATTGTTCCCGCTACCGAGGACTTGGGCCTCGATCAGGAGGCTTAGATGCAATGTGCCAGCTTTGTGTAATGAAACGCTTGTAAGTCATGTGCAGCATGAGATATTTAGAGCTAGACCGGGCGTGAGGGGAGGCGTAATGGACACATGGGGATCATGATAGCGCAGTAAATGAAATGGAATGAATACATGGAATCTTCAACCCTCCACACTTGCAAGTACGTGGGTTATCAAAGGCCCATATGTCAACGCATGTCCTGCGATTCGCGCGCGCGGCCCACACCTCAACAAACACAGACATTGGTCCGAAAAGAATTCCTTGATCGCATATCTTAAGCTAGTTTCTGTCGAGAAAAGATGTTTCCGTGGTTCCCTGCTTACTGTTCGTTCACAACTTCATTCACCACAAAGACCCGGTGAGGCTTAGCTTAGTCACCCGGCGCGGCTTCAGGCAGGTGCCAAGCAGTAGTGTTGACCACAAAGGACAACACTGGCACAAGCTGTACTTGTGCCGCTCTCACAACTCCGCCCATATGGATATCGCCGCTCTAGTTAACCCCGTGTCAGAGTCGCTCCCGCGGCGCTCGCCGTCGGGTTCGCATAACAACATACTAGCGCCGAGCCCTGCGCTTGAGAGCGCAAAGCTTCCGACCACTCCCAGACAGTCACACACCACCGATATGAGTCGTAGACGCAAGCGACACGATTCGAAGCCCATATGGGCTGTTCGCGAGGACGAAGTCTTTGATGGCAAGACACTTCAACAAGATATCAACGAACGCCAGCGCCAGCAGCCTCCCAAACCGCATCCGCAAGCGCAACCCCAACCGCGCCCCCAGGCTTCCCCATCACAACCGCTGCCAGGCGCCTCGCGCAACGGCCATGCTCAAACACAACCTCACCCGCAACCCTCCAGTGCTGTGCAGCATACAACGTCTGCGGCGCTGGCTGGCTTCGAGCGGCCTATATCCCACGACCCGCGCGTCTACGACGAGATACAGCGCAAAGTCTGCGATTTCCTCTTTAGCAACATTGTCATCAACGATCGAATCCGGAGTCTGCTCCAAGAGGCACCGGATACAATGGTGGAGGTCGAGGCCCGCTGGGGACATGTCGTTTGGCGCGAACAGAATGAGCGCCTGACAGGGGTGCACAGCACAGAATGTGTTCTCCATTCTGCGGTCAGCCAGCGAACTAAGTTCGATAGCGTTATGAACCTCCAACAGCATCAGCAGATGAACAAATACCTCAATAAACAGGTATTTCAGGCCAAGCCAGGGAATCCTAACAACCGACCGGAAATTGTGTACAAACACACCAAACTCGTCGATCAGCAATACGAACTAGGTGAGGAGGCCTTGTCACGGCTTTCTCTTGCGGCGCAGAGCATCATCCGGGCCAGCGGCAAGCAAGAACGCATACGTGTGTCACGCGATCAAAAGACAGGCGAGGTTGTCGCCGCGATTATCAAGCATAAGGTGAACAACCTTGAAATCAGCTCACCGCAGACGGAGTGGGACTATCGGATTGGCGTCAACATCGAGATAGTCTTCCCAGGACCGTTGGATGGTCTGACAGAGGTAGTGGAGAAGGGCAAAGGGGTCGAAGCGATGAAGCGTTACAAAGACCGCATGTCATACTCGTATAAGGGTGCATATCAAATCGACTTAACCCAGGTTACGCAAGACGGCCAGAGGATACATGAATTGGAGCTGGAGTTGGAATCGAATGTCCTCCTCGAACATGGCGACCGAGTGAGGATTGGGCAGCCGAACGAATACGAATCGCTGATCAACGGCATGATTAACAACCTGAGGGTTCTATCACGCGAAGTCACACCTCCTAAGCGATAGAGTCGTCGAGGCAGTGGGTAGGGAACTATCGGCGATTGCCATGTTGACAACACCGCTCTGGCTAAAGATGCGATGGGCTAGCCGCGTGCATAGCTATCGACGATTCCTTTTCGAATTGACTCGCCGAAATGGCATGTATTAATACTTGTAGTTTTTCGGATCATTGGGCGCTTTGAAAATAATGAAGCTCGACCACGATTCTGGAAAGTTTGGGTTTCTGAACGCATAGTACGGAGTTTGAAAGTCAATGATACCCCATTTTTTGCGAGGAACTCTTCTTCAATACATCAGGGATGTCTGCCCCGAAGTCTAACTGATTTTATTGTGATCACCGAATAATAACCAGCGACGGCTGGAGCAACAACAACCCCGCCTCTCACAACTCCATGCTACGCGCCGGGGACGCAAAGCATATGTTGGATGGCCGGTGTCAGTCCGGGCGCGTCTCACCAGGAACGACAGGAAACGAGGGTAACACAAGCAGTATACAGGTATGCATTTCACTTCAATCGATTCTCACACAACCATATCTGATGTTCCAGTTAATTTCTTCTCCCCTGCTCGTGAAGTCGTGATGTGATGCCTAGCTTTGGTAATCGGAAGCCGCGCACGGACCCCTGTCGTCAGAAGCAGAAGCTCCGACCGTGTTGTCTCAGGACCTCGCGCGCGTGGATGACACCCACACCCACCAACAGCTTGCCATCTTCATTTCCCACTCTCCCTTTGACCGCGTGCCCCTTACCCCGCAGGTATTTCCCGAGGCTTTCAACGATCCTGCCGCTGAACTTCGGTTCCGACAGCTCGCCTGCTGGGGCGCCACTCCCAGCTCCATCTCCATCTCCTTCTACCGCCTTCGCCAGCTCGCACCTGCAACACCAGCATCGCGGGCACCACTCTATTCCTCTGAGATAAACCCTCCAACCGCAAAGCGTCTCGCAATATGGTCGGCCTCACCTCAGCCGCCGGCGTTGTCGGCTTCCTTTCGGAACCAGATCCGGCCTTGCGGTCCTTTGCCCTGCACCGGTTGAACGAGGAAATTGACCTCCTATGGCCGGAAGTCGCTGGCTCTGTCAGTCAAATGTAAGCGCCTTCACCCTCCGGCCGAACTGGTCATAGATGAACATGCTGACCGTCCCAGTGAGGAGCTCTACGAGGATGAATCATTCCCCGAGCGAGAACTTGCGGCCCTCGTCGCCGCAAAGGTCTACTATCAGCTGCAGGAATATAATGAGAGTATGGTCTTTGCGCTCGGTGCCGGGAAGCTGTTCGACATCCACCATGCTGGGGAGTTCGAAGAGACGATCTTGGGTGAGTGTTCCCCGCAATTTCACAAAGTTCACCTCATGGCGACAATGTCGTCTTGCTATCTTGCAAAGGGCTCATTCGGTCTTTACATGCACGACTAACGACGGTGATAGCCAAATGCTTAGACACATACATCGCCTTGTCCGCTATGCATAATCCTCCGACGCCGATTAGCAGAGCGAACCAGGCCCCTCCCCAGCTAACGACATCCTTCGATCGCAACGCCACCGGAGGCGCCAGCACATCAGCAGGCCTGACATCTCCGATAACGCCCTTCTCACAGTCGGCTTTGCCTTCGAAGTCGTTACTCTCTCGCGAGGATTCGTCGACATTCGATCCCAGCCTTCCCGGAGGTGGCAACGCTGGCGTGGCAGGGGCCCACCCCACCCCCCTTGTTCTCCAACGAAACGTACAGAAGAATCTCCAGGCGACCATACGGCGAATATTCGAGAGCTGTTACGAGAATGGCGATTACAAGCAGGTGGTCGGAATAGCCATTGAAGCTAGGAATCTTGAAGTCCTTCGGGAATGCTTTCTTCAAGCGAGCCAGGAAGAGAAGAAGCAGGGCAAGAGCCCGGCTGGCTCCCCTAGCAAGAGCGAAGAACTGATGGAATATGTTTTGGACATCTGCATGAATGTGGTGCAGGAACGGGGACTAAGAAATGAGGTAATGATCTTTGGGTTCTGACGGAAGTTCGAGCTAACATATCGCAGATCTTGCGCCTCATTCTCGATTTGCTGAACGAGATCCCGAACCCGGACTATTTCTCGATTGCGAAATGTGTCGTCTATCTCAACCAACATTCTTTGGCATCGAACCTCATTCAACAACTCGTCAAGCGCGGCGACAGCAAGTCGCTCGCTGTCGCTTACCAGATTTCTTTCGACATCTACGAGAATGGCACACAAGAGTTCCTAGCAAAGGTTATTGAGGAGTTACCAAAGGAGGAGAAAAGCGAGGAGAAGCCCTCGGCCAACGGTGACGCCTCACAGAAAGCTCAGTCCGACGAGGCAGGAGAGACCACAGGACTACTCTCGAACATCGACACGAGCAACGTCTCTGCCAGTGTCTCACGCGCAAAGCAACCGAGCTCGACAGATGAGGAATTGAAAGCTTTCGCATCTGTGCGTGAGGTGCTTCAGGGCACTAAGAGCATTGAGCTGAATCTGGAATTTCTCTACCGAAACAACCACGCCGACAAGAACATCTTAAACAAGATCAGAGACAGCTTGGAGTCTAGAAATTCCATCTTCCATACTGGCGTTACGTTTGCAAATGCGTTCATGAATGCCGGTACCACGAACGACACTTTTTTCCGGGAGAACTTAGATTGGCTGGGCAAAGCCGTCAACTGGTCCAAGTTTACCGCCACAGCTGCTTTGGGTGTAATACACCGAGGAAACATCACCCAAGGTCAGAAGTTGCTCGACCCGTACCTGCCCAAAGATACCGTATCGTCTGGTAGTCACTACGAGCAGGGTGGATCCCTTTACGCTTTAGGTCTGATCTACTCGAACCATGGGACCCACGTGCTGGACTACCTTCTGAAGCAATTCCAAAACGCATCTGAGGAGGTTATTCAGCACGGAGGTGCACTTGGATTGGGTGTCGCCGGTATGGGCACGGGCTCCGAGGAAATTTTCGAGGCTTTCAAGGCTATTCTATACACCGACTCCGCCATCAACGGAGAAGCTGTCGGTCTCTCCATGGGTCTTGTAATGCTCGGCACTGGTAACATCAAGGCGCTCGAGGACATGATCCAGTATGCTCACGACACTCAACACGAGAAGATTGTTCGAGGTCTGGCCATGGGCATGGCTTTGATCATGTATGCTCGGGAGGAAGCCGCCGATGAGCTCATAAATGGTCTGCTTGACGATCCCGACCCAACTCTACGTTATGGAGGCATCATGACCATCGCCCTTGCATACTGTGGTACGAGCAGCAACAAAGCGGTGCGCAGGCTGTTGCATGTTGCTGTTAGCGATGTCAATGATGATGTCCGCAGGGTGGCAGTCATGAGCTTAGGCTTTGTGTTGTTCAGGAAACCTGGCAGCGTTCCCCGCATGGTTGAGCTTCTGGCCGAGTCATACAACCCCCACGTCCGTTACGGGGCGACTATGGCTCTTGGCATTGCTTGCGCAGGCACCGGTCTCGACGAGGCTATCGACCTCTTGGAGCCGATGATGAAGGATTCGACCGACTTTGTTCGACAAGGTGCTCTGATCTCTCTCGCCATGATCATGGTCCAGCAAAACGAGGCCATGAACCCTAAGGTGGCAACAATCCGCAAGACACTTACCAAGATCATCGGCGATCGCCACGAGGACGCCATGGCCAAGTTTGGTTGTGCACTTGCTCTTGGTATCATCGATGCTGGTGGCCGGAATTGCACGATCGGCCTTCAAACACAAACTGGAAACCTGAACATGACTGCTATCGTAGGCATGGCAGTCTTCACACAGTACTGGTACTGGTTTCCGTTGACCCACTTCCTATCCCTCAGCTTCACACCCACGGCCATCATCGGTGTTGATCAGGACCTTGAGATACCGAGCTTCCAATTCCACAGCAACACCCGACCGAGCATGTTTGATTACCCACCCGAGCAGGAGGTCAAGACGGAAGAAGCACCGAAGGCGATCAAGACTGCGGTTTTGTCAACGACTGCTCAAGACAAGCGACGGAAAGCGGTGAAGGCGCGGCAACAGCGACGAGAAAGCATGGACGTCGATCAGTCACCCACAACACCCAAGATTCCCGCTTCAGATGACGACAAGATGGACATAGACGAGGAGAAGAAGGACGACAAAGAGAAGGAGGACACACCGGCTGCGGAGACGTTAAAGAAGAAGGCGGAGAAGGAGAAGGTTGGCTACGATCTCGAGAACATGTCGCGCGTATTGCCTGGTCAGGTGAAGTACATTAGCTTCCCTGAAGAGCGATATGTTCCCGTGAAGAAGGTCAGTCGGCCACTTAATCCTGAGTTGTCCTCAGCTAACAGCAAGCAGCCTACTGGAGGCGTCATACTTGTCCACGACACCAAGCCTTCAGAGCCGAAGAGCTTGCTCGAGCTTAAGGTGAAGAAGGCGGCGCCGGCTGCCGTACCCGGTGCAGCAGGCCCATCAGGCGACGATGCACCCGCGGGGGTACAAGCTGGTCCTGAAGCAGAAGATGTAGACGACAACCTGGTAGAGGAAGGAGACGCAGAGGCACCGGTGCCTGGGGAGTTCGAGTACATTTCAGACACTGGCGAAGGCGACGACGACTAGGTATTGGTCGAGAACCAGTGAATGTTTTGTACCATTATCTTTGAGCAGCTGTTCGCCTTGTATGAGTTCAGGCACTGGGAGGCAGGAGAGTGGTGTTCTGCCCGCCCATTTAGACTTGATTGAGCAATGTATATTAGCCAATGCGGTCTACGTGCCATCATATATCTTCTGCTGCTTGTGACCATATCAACGCTCTTCAACGCTCGCAATTACTTCAACGGTGTTTGACACTCACTATTTTCTCCAGTTCAATCGCGTTGGGTTCTCAAGCGTAATGGCGACGTCGGTCCGACTAGCACCGATCTCAAGCTTGGCGGTGTCACTCGACATGCATCTTGGGCGCGGGCGAGAAGTTACCGCTTCATCCAACCCGCGATGGGCTTCCGAGCGCCGCCAATTCGATCGATCCTCACGCAAGACACGAGCTCCGTATGCTCACAATGTTGGCGCAAGCTTCTCCGACGGCCAACGCCCTGCCGACAGCCGTTTTCGAACATGTCCTCGAGCCGACATGCGGTCGCAGTAGGAAAGCGTAGGAATTCGTTCAGCAAGGATTACTTTTGGACAAACTCTACGCTTAGAGAAACTCTCGGGCAGTCGTTGGCGCGGTCAAGAAGGGATATTCAAAGCTCGATCGCCTCGGCCAGGGTAGGGACAGCGGCACCTGCAAGAAGCCCTGAACAGCCTGAACATGCAGAGACATCCGAGGACGTGCTGCCGCACCGGCGGCGGAAGAGACGGCGGGAACTGGAATCGACTGAGAACACAGAGCAGAGTTATCCCATTGCACTGGACGCATCAGCACAATTGGCAGACATCTCCTCGAAGCTTCCCCAACGGTCGTTGAAACGAGTCTTCACGACCTATCTCTCTTTATCGAAACCCAGACTTTCCTTCCTAGTCGTGCTTACCGCCACCGCCGCATACTCTCTATACCCTGTGCCTGGCCTGCTTGCGCCGGCCGCAACCGCTACGCCTTCGCTATCGACCCTTACTTTGTTCTTCCTCACCTCGGGAACAGCGTTATGCTCGGCCTCGGCCAACGCTTTCAATATGCTCATGGAGCCTGAGCATGACGCAAAGATGAGCCGTACGCGAAACCGCCCGCTCGTGCGCAAACTGATCAGCACAAGAGGTGCCATGGTATTTGCTGTCGCATGCGGAGCACTCGGCACTGGAGCCTTGTACTATGGTGTCAACCCGACCACTGCCTTTCTGGGCTTTACGAATATCGTGCTATACGCTGGCTGCTACACTCCATTGAAACGCATGCACGTACTCAACACCTGGATTGGGGCTATAGTGGGCGGTATTCCTCCGCTAATGGGTTGGACCGCGGCAGCAGGACAGTGTGCTCACGACGGTACATGGCAGGAGTTGCTCTTTGGTGAAAATAGCGCAGGAGGCTGGCTCTGCGCCGCACTTCTCTTCGCCTGGCAGTTCCCGCACTTCAATTCTCTTTCATGGTCCATCCGCGAGGAATACAAGTACGCAGGTTACCGCATGCTGGCCTGGGTTAATCCTGCGCAGAACGGCCGCGTGGCTCTCCGCTACGCTGTTCTCATGTTCCCCGTCTGCATCGGGCTGTCTCTCTGTGGAGTCACGGACATGAGCTTCATTGCCACGAGCAGCGTGGTAAATGGTTGGATGGTGTGGAAGGCCGTGGATTTCTGGCGCGAACAGGGCCATAAGGGAACTGCGAGAGGCCTGTTCTGGGCGAGTGTGTGGCATCTACCGATTGTGATGGTGTTGGCTATGGCGCAGAAGAAGGGACTGGGTGAGCGTGTATACAGAAGCATATTCGGATACGCGGATGACGAGGACGACCTGTACTACGAAGTAGGGCAGTTTGAAGAGGAAGAAGAAAAGGTCAAGGCTGTTGTGGAACGAGGGAGCACTGCGTGAGCCCTTCACATTCTTTCGTTACGATAGTAGGTGGTTTCCATGGGTCGTACTTGCCATTCTTGCCTGCTCGGTCGAGGAGCCAAGCTGATTGCTTTCCTAGACGTTGTCAAATAGTAGCTGTATCATATCATGTACTGTTATTGAGATGAGTCTGGGCTATTGTCTTGGGTGTTTCTTTGCAATGTCCGCTCGATCATGTGCCAATACGTCATGGACTGTAGGTTAAAAAATGAAACAATATAATCATCTTACGCCATGCGCTTCTACGGCTGCACTTGCCGGTTTAGCCTTCTTCCTTGGGTATGGCTCTCTGCTTTAGGTGCGTCTCTGGACTGAAACGGATACCTAATGCGTATCCGTGGCCTTGCATTTCGTCGTTGACGAGCTATTCAAAACGCGCGCGCATGACTACAGGTACAAGAAGCAAGATTCCACTGGCCAGTTGAACCCTGGCGCGGAGTTTCTGCTCAGGCGGGTCGTTTTGAAAACAAGCATTGTACGTCTGTCACACACAAAAGCAAGACTGGACGGAAGATCTTTGTACGTCTTGAATCTGGTGCTACACAGTCACTGGTAATTCCACGGGATGGTGTGTTCTCTTCGCCTCGAGATCTCGATGTTTCGCCATCGCGCCCAAGGACATCCTAAAATAATCCTGACCTCCCACGTTTCGAGCACCGACAGAGCATGTTAGCCAATCAGTAACGACGAACTATAGCTGCTCTCATCTACTCAAGATTAAATCCAATCTATGTGTAGACTTCATACTCTCGGCATTGCGGTCCCTTTTACCCGCCGGCACTGCGCTCGCAACCGACATGCGATAAGCTACCGCATCTGCGTCCATCTGGGGTGCATGCATATTGGGTCTGTCTTGGATAGTTATGCCGAGTACCGTGGGCGCGTGGCCGAGGGCATGGTGACTATTCGGGACTGTCTCCAAATCCATATAAAGTACTGCGCTCTACCTGTGATGAATACGCAGCCAAGAACTCGAAATCATCCAAAGGACTCTCGTTCCAGTCCACCATGAAATTCCTCGGTGCCCTCATCCTAGCCGCTACAGCCTCAGCGCACTACACCTTCCCTGCTCTCGTAGCTGGAGGCTCCGCAACCGGCCAATGGCAGTATGTCCGTAAGACAACAAACTACCAGAGCAATGGACCTGTGACAGACGTATGCCTCCTCTCCTCCAACTCTCTTCCCAAGTCCTTCTTCAGCAACCTATACTCACCAGAACCCAGGTCACTTCCAACCAGATCCGCTGCTACGAGCTCTCTCCCGGCAGCCCGGCTCAAGGCACCTACGAGGTCGCCGCAGGCTCCACCATCGGCTTCACTGCCCAGTCATCCATATCGCACCCGGGTACCCTTCAATTCTACATGGCCAAGGCCCCCAGTGGGCAGACCGCCGCCTCGTTCGACGGCAGCGGCAATGTATGGTTCAAGATCTACGAGCAGGGTCCTACAATCTCCGGTGGGCAACTTAGCTGGCCCAGCAACGGGAAGAGCCAGGTCACTGTTCCCATTCCCAAAAGCCTGCCGAGCGGAGAGTACTTGTTCCGCGTGGAGCACATTGCGCTGCATTCTGCGGGCAGCGCGGGAGGTGCGCAGTTCTATATCAGCTGTGCGCAGGTCAAGGTCACGAACGGTGGAAATGGCACGCCAGGACCGTTGGTCTCTTTTCCGGGAGCCTACAAGGCGACGGACCCCGGAATTTTGATTAACATCTACTACCCTGTGCCGACTTCGTACACCCCTCCGGGACCGAAGGTGTGGTCGGGTTAGGGGTTGGGGGCGGGAGATTAGATACAGCATAATAAGGCCAGTGAATCTATCATGGTGAGCATGGAAAGACTGCATTTGAGTGCTGCCTATCATTGCTTATTGAGCTCATCAACAACCACACGTCCAAACAACTGCATTGATCATGTCCTTCTTATACGTTCGAAGGCTCATACCCTACAGGATATCCAGCTGCGTGTGCACTCAGATAAAGCAATTGTCACTTGCAGCACACGCCTCACGTTCATTGTAGTCCGCATGTACGACATTCCTGATTCTTGAATCTTGTTTGGATTATATCTACCTGTACTGAAATCTACTACCACAACCCCCTAGGAGGCTCGGGTGCGTAGCGTGGCCCAGGGTGATCCGACCTCTCAGTGATCTTTAACAATCGAGAAGTCAGATGCGTCACGTACCCGTGCCTACTGGGAGGGTGGTGTCTAGATATCGACACAACAAAACTGAAATACAGAACTCCGTCTGGATATTGAGATGAAAAACTCCAATCCGCAATAATGACAACCCTGCGCCCATCGATCGCCCTGGCACATGCCACTGTTCCAACCAAACTCGACATTTCGGCGTTTGCTGAACTGCTCCCCCAGTCCGCCTACTTTGTTTGGTAACGAGGTAGACGGTTGCAGTGTGTACTGATTCCTTCCAGCTTGCGGGCTAGTGTGCACAAAGCCTGCCCACGATCTGGCAGAGTGGCTCGATGCCGTTCCTCGTCAGGCCGGAAATGCTCAACAGGGTCGCCTACTAGGAGGAAGATGTGTTATCCGGCCAGGGCAAATATGAAAATACATAAAGAAAAAAGAAAATAGGGAAAAGTTGCGTCATCCAAAAGCAACCTCAAGCCTAGGCGTTTCCCTCCTAGCTGTGAGGTGCTGACCCACCGATTCGAGCGTGCACTCTCTCCTCGGTGGGTTGGATGACGGTAGATAGAAATCAAGTTGTAATGCAAAACTGAAAGTGGAAATTTGAGAAAAGAGGGCGCAGGGTTGGTGTAAAACTGCAACGATGGGTATCAGAAAGCGCAAAGCGTGAACGAGAAATAATGCGTGCGTAAGCCTGAACAAAAGCCAGGCGGAAGAAATCAAGAGGTTGCCGCAACCTCAGAGCTCTTCATCTTCCTCGTCTCCTTTGACTGTCGACCACCGAGGAAGACCGCCGTAGGTAATGGGCGGATCCGGGGGGTTGAATAGCGGGGAGAACTCGAGCGTCTCTTCCAGGGTCATCTCTGCTCGGATCGTCTTCCACTGAGTCAAACCGTTCCACTGCATGTGGTAGGGACCTCCGAACTTAATGACGCCGGAGTCAGATGAAGCTGACGGGGCGATCGCGCGAGGCTTCTTTGGCAAGGTCGGAGCCAATTCCTCGTCATGGAAGTCGTCGTCTGCCACGGAACGCTTGCGCTTCACTGAGGGCGCGAGCTCGGAAACAGGATTGGAAGGGGCAGGTGATGCGTCCTCAGGTTGCGGAACGGTGGTAACACCCGAGGAGTCAGAGTGCAGCTCGGTGTCGTGCTCAGATGTCTCAGCAGTATCATCCTCTAACTGCAGAGTCGGAATGTCGTTGCTGCCGAAGAGCTCGTACTCGAGCGCGGAATCAAGCTCATGGGTTTCAGTAGGAGCATTCGAGTTCCGCTTTGACGGCGTGAGCGTTGTGCGAGGCCGCTTCGGTGAGCTTATGGTCGCTTTATGGTCGTCAATGTCGTTATCTGCCGCACTGCGCTTGCGCTTTAGGGAGGCCGCGTCGGCGCCAGTAGACTCTTCCATGTCTGCAGGAGTCTGGTTCAGGTTAAAATCGGAAGATGGTTTGCTTTCCTCTTTAGGTAGACTTACCTGACGGTCATACTCGGGCGAGGTAGTACCGGACAAAAGCTTTGGATCCCGCTCCTCGCTAGGCGCCACAGGCGATGCCGAGGCTGATGGTTGCGTGGATTGAAGAGGTGACACTGGAGCCTTTTCAGATTCGCTGGCTGCTTGTTCACCGAGCGTGTCTTGTGAAGAGGGCGGAGAAAGAAGATTATGAGCGGCTGTCGCCACATGCTCGCCCTGTTTCTTCTCGAACTCCGGCTTCAGGGCTTCTATATCCTTCTTGAATTCTGCATAGAGGTCTTCTTTCTGCTTTTCTAGCTTCTGCTTCGTCTCTTCATCTTTCTCCTGTAGGTGGTGCTGCAACTTCTGTTCGTACTGCATCTCCAACTTCTCGCCCTTTTTCTTGAGCCCAGAAGCAATCGCCTGGTCTGCAAAGTCCTTATAATGTTGGCTGGACTCTGCGTGTCCCTTGGCGCGGGCCCTTTTGATCGCCTTTTCCAAATGGGCCTTGTGCTTCTCTCGGCGCTCCTTGAGACGTTTCTCTACGTCCTCTTTCTCTTGCTGGCACTTGTCATTCGCCACCATGACTTCGTTCAGATTTCCAACCATTTCTAACACCTCTTCTTCTTTGGCAGGCAGCTCCTGCTCGTTTCGCAGGCGCCCCCGTTCACCCATCTCGCCGCAGGCATAAGCCGCTGAAAGATCTTCGGCGCGCTGGAGTTCGGCTGCATCGAAACCTTGAGCAACGATTCGTACACCGTTCTCCCACCGATTGATGACCTCAGCTAGGGACTTAGGCTCAATTTGCATATCAAGCTCTTTGATGCGTGCCCTGGTCTTGCCATGCCCTGCTCTAGCTGACGGAGAGTAGACAGCGGCATCGAGGAGCTTTGCACCTTGGGCATCCTGATGTCATCCGTCAAGTCGAGTTCCCAAGGCTTTGGTGGTGGCGCAGCCTGGGATTTCCCCTTTCGCAACGTGCGTAACTCGTTTGCAAATTGAGGGAAGGCCTTGTAGAGTTCGCCCAAGTCGTCAGACTGTTTGAACTCAGAAGCCTTTTGGCCAGTGGCAGACTGCTCGACTTTGTCGGATTGCTCGACCATGGGAGTCTGCTTGACGGTGGGCGACTGTTTCACGGTGGGCGACTGCTTGACGGCGGGAGACTTCTCAACTGGTGGCTCGGCCGGAACATCTCGTGGCTGGAACGCGCGAGGCATTGCGTTGGAGCTCTGTGGTGGAGGTCGAATCTCAGACGCTGCGTATAAGCTGTGCGGTTGAGGTCGATTCGCGGACGCTATGTACCTGGGCGATTCTATGGCTGGCTGATCATAGTCGTTGCGGTATCGCTCAAACGCACGCGAGGATCCGTGGGAGCTGTGTGGTGGAGACGGGATTTCTGAGCCCATGTGCTGGGGCGGGTCCATGTTGGGTGGTTGGCGGGCATTTCGACGGCTTGAATGTCGGCGTGAAGACATTTCGGCGGTGGTATACGAAGGGTTCTGTGTGTGATGTAGGGCGCGGGTTTTGTGACAAGTGCGGCAGTGTCTGACAGAACGATAGTTGAGGGGTCCGAAAAGTGCGCACGCTGGTATGGTCGATAGCGACGGTCACGGGCGGAATTTAAATAGCTATTGTGAGGCAGTCGTTGCGCGTGGTCGTTACGCCTGCGCCCGCCAAGACTTGGTCGAGGTGAAAGTTGATATATAACTTAGAACGAGTATAGGCACGTTTGGTCAGGGCGCATAGAGCGAACCTGTTGCTCGCATTCTGCTCTTCTCGCTGCTAGGCTTACAAGCCCGTTATTGTACATAGCCGTCCGCACAAGCTTCGAAATGTTTCCCCAACTTTCGCAGTGTTTTCGCAAGCTTGGTAATGTTTTACACGCCCAGAAAGCACCAAGTGTCTTTCAGGCACTCTCAATATGTATTCACTTGTTCCTCTAGTTCTCCTCCTCCCGAGAGACCCGTGGGTACTGGTACTGGCGTGGGAGAATCATCGGCCGTCTGTTGATCTTCGCAAAGGCCTCGGCGGCGATGGGCGAACTATCTGTGCGGATGGTGGTACCGATGGCCATGAAAAAGCTTTTTTCCAGTCAGCCATCTCGCTCCTGTAGAAGCGCAGTGCATGTTCCTACCCGAAGGTTGCTGCTGAGCCGACCATATATTGACCCAGCGTCCGGAGCATGCCATTGGGTCCAGGGCCAAAGCGCACAATGTTTGTGAAGCCTGATGCTGTGAGCTACGTGTTCAAGGTACCTCAGTATGGTGCGCACCGAAGATGAAGCCAATGATCAGGCCTACAGATCCTCCCATCATGCCACCCATCTTGACTGCATCTTGTTAGCAATGCTTGGGTGGGAGAAAAAACGATTCCTCACGTTTGTCAAGGGTGGAAGGGCCATGCTGCCCGCCTGGCATCGCTCCTACGGGAACAGGCATGATGATGAATGTGTCGACGTGCGTGAAGAGGCAGGCAAGAGCTCGAGTCGTCGGCGGGCTGTCGGCGGTGGTCCCACAACACATGGGCACAAGCAAGCTAGCATCGATCGGGCGCAGTCCGAATGCGAGATTGGTCACGTGATATGGGGACAGAAACACACAGGCACGGAATGCGGACGGCAAACACATGCGGATGTCTAGAGTTGTCTGACTGCAGGAATATTCATCCTTCCCATCTCCATTTCGGCCTGATCGCACCGCGTCGTCGCTGGTTGAGCGCTTCCGTTTACATCACGTTTCGAGCTGCAGACAGCGCCCAGCGCTCGGAGCAGCGTGTGGAGAAGGACGAGGCCTCACCTCATCCGCCTTTCCCAGAGCCAAACTCCGCATCGCAGCCGTGCATCTCGCGAGCAGCACACCACCAACGTCCATCGCTGCGCCCGCCCTCTGCCCGCCCACCCTCTCTCCAGCAGCGCCCATCCCTCGACGGCGAGCGTGCCCTGACGACTAGCACGGGCTTTCCCACGAAAAGCACACGACACACGACCCGGCGCCCGCGCCCGCGCCCGAAGCCGCGCGCTGCCTGCCTGCCCGCGAGGCTCTCGCACAGCCCATGCGTGCGTGAAGACGCTGCTGCATCGCCGTCGCCGCTGTCCACACCTGGGCGGCGTTCGCGCTGTGGGCCCCCGCTAGAACAAGCCAACAACAGCCACGGAGGTTGCATGAGAGAAAAGTGACGGCACTCGCCAACACGCGCCTGCAACCATCCACCCGGGCAGCCGCGCTGCACATTCACTGTGATGACGGCAGTTGCTCCTCCTGTAAACTTCCAGAACAGATGGAGCGGGCCTAACCCCAACGGAGCTGCCCCCATGAGCGACGAGTTTAGAATGTTCATGCCCCGGAAAAGTGCACAGCGCTCCAACTCGTCCTCCTCGCTGTCCTCGCAGGCCTCGTCCACCTCCACCATCTCCACCGCCTCCTCTTCGCAGACGAGCGGCGCGGCAGCTTCACCCGCTGCCGACGGCTCCACCTGGGCGGCGCGGAAGAAGGCGCCAAGAGGGTTATGGCCTGCCACAAAAACAGAACCCGTCGCCGGCATCACAAACGCTCGTCCGCAATCTCTCACCTCGGTCGGCCAAGGCCCCTCAGCTGCCGCCGCCATGACCCAACTACACTCACCCGCGCCCCTGCCGTCGCAGCACAACGGCACCACCCAGTCGCAAACCAACGGCGGCCCGCGCACCTCGATGCAAGAGGCACAGGCGATCCTGCATCTCATCCCCATGAACGGCACTTTTGAGCGAAAGACGATAACTGTGCCGTTCTTCCCAGACGTGCTCCGCATCGGCCGACAAACAAACAACAAGACCATACCCACGCCGCACAACGGGTACTTCGACTCCAAGGTTCTGTCGCGTCAGCACGCCGAAATTTGGGCCGATCGCAACGGGAAAATCTGGATCCGCGACGTCAAGTCGTCCAACGGCACCTTCGTCAATGGCCAGCGACTGTCTCAAGAGAACCGTGACTCAGACCCCCACGAACTCCGCGAGCAGGACATGTTGGAACTAGGTATCGACATTGTGAGCGAGGATCAGAAGACTATCGTCCACCACAAGGTCGCCGCCCGTGTCGAGCACGCTGGCATTTACTCCAACACCGGAAACAACATGGCAGACCTCAATTTTGGAGAGATGGACGGACAACAGCTGTCAAACATGGTGGGTCCCGGCGGCCAGCAGCAGATGATCAATATGCGGGGTCGCACCCCGAGCCAGGGATCGATCAACGGCCAGCGCCTGCCAGGGCCCGCCGTCATGGGAAACAACGTTGGTGCCATGCAGCAACCGCGGCACCCCAACTTCTGGCTTCAGCCAATTACAATGGAGCAAGTTGTCAAGAAGCTAAATGTAAGTTTCCACTTGCGACATGCATTGCGCACGTACTAACATATCGAAAGGCGGAGATCAAAGCTGCCCGGCAACAATCACAAGACCTCCAGCAGACGCATTCCTACATCAATGCTATCCTTTCCACGGATCCCAAGAAGGATTCGACCAAAAACTCGCCTATCAATTCTACAAAGATCTCACCCATCAAAGATGCGAACCTCAAGGCCAGGTTCTCCGACCCGCCGGCACCCCCACCTCAGCAACCCTTGCCCGAGAAGCCGGATGCCCCGTCGTTGCAGAGGATGGACACAGAGAAGGTGAAGAGCACTGGATCGCCCGTGAGGTCTGAGACGCAGATGTCGACACTGAACGAAGCTCTGCAAACCGCCAAGATGGAGATAGAGTCTCAGAGCGTTCGGCTTAGGGATCTCGAAGCTATGCTGACGGAAGAGCGCCGTGCAAGGGAGGATGCCGAAGAGAGAGCCAACCGGCTTGAACGTGAGCGCCGCTCCGCCGAATCGGACTTGGCCAACGGAGACATCCACAAGGACGAGGTCCACGGCCACATGGACGAAACCGAAACCATTATTGCCAACGGCTCTGCTTCTTCGAGTCTTGCAGATGTCGCCACGTCTCGCCTCCAGCAGCGACTCGACACGATGGTGTCTGAGATGAACGAAATGAAGTTGCAGATGGAGAAATACCGTCAGCGCGCCGAGACTGCAGAGGCCGATCGCAAGAGCCTGGCAGAGATGATTGAGAACATCCGTAAAGACAACGCAAGGACAGCTGGCAACGAGGCCAAACGTCGTAGTCGCAGCCACAGCGGATCTGCGCAGGAGGCAGCAGATGACCAGACAGAGCGGTCCATGGATGCCGAGGACGCAGAAGAGGGCGAGATCACGATCATCAATGAGAGAGATGTAGATGGGGATGTCAACGGCGCTCTTGCACGGAAGGGCCAGAACGACCTGCCAGCTGAGCACAAAGACACGGCAGCGTCCAACAAGACATCACAGGCTCTGGCAACACGTCTTAACCGAAATGATCTTGCCCTTCTCCATGGTGCCCCAGCGATCTCCATGCTTACAGTCGTTGCCCTGGGTGTAGCGGTCATGGCCTGGCTCAATGACTATCCAAAGGTCGACCGGTGAAGAGCTCCCTAGCTTCAGTACTGCAAGAAGCATGCCGCGGCGTCCCGAAGGACGTTGGGATTGGCATAAGTTGCAAGCTTTGGCATGGTCAAGAACGACCCGCACTCCCCGGAGTGAATGAATCGGCCGGCGCCGACAGCGCTGCACAAAGTCGTTGGCATGGAGGCCACGGCTACAGCGGTTTCATTAATCGCTTGCATTGATCACCTGTAACACCGAAGTTGATGATCTGTGTTGGGCAGCTGGTACCAAAACGACGTTGCACGACATGGAAATAGAGAACTATCGCCAAAGCGCAGAATCGCGACGCAGCCTATCACGAATGCACACATGGTCGACACGACTCCACATCTACGAACCGAACCATACATACACTCATACAACTTGTTAGCGTTTTGTCCTCTTGTGCGCCGCATCCTTCTTTACTGGCGTAAATTAGCAGGCCACTGTACATGATCAACTTTTCCTTGCATTGCAGGCACCGGCGGCGTTTTCTTGGTGGACAAATTTGTCCAGGCGTACTAGGGCTTGAAGGGATCACTTCGTTGGTTTGTGGTTTAGTTTCTTTCTTGGGACGGGATGTATTCTTTGTACACTTTTGGATGATGCACGGCCTGAAGCTTGGCATCACTACACTCTTTGCTGCTGCACTCACAGCTGCATGTTTTCCTTTGTTGAAGCCGGTCTGCTTGTGTTCGGGTCATCGACGAGAAATAAAATACCTTGGAGTCACAACCCTGATCTTCTTCCGTGATTCTATGTCTGCCAATTGCGCATATCCTGAATCGGTCTCTACCGCCCAGTCCCTTCCTATAGAAGAGAGTACTGGAGGACTACAATGTGATAAGCAGTGGCATAAGACTAAACGAGCACGCCAAGTTGAAAGTATCGCTCTCGAAGACCGACATAACCAGATTGTCGAAGACCTCGTCGGCCAGGGTTGTGATGTGGGTTACCCTTGAGAGAGGTCTACCAGATATGTTGTACAGCTCCCGGGCATCCGATCGCCGACCATCTCACAACCGCAAGGTTTCTCTTGATCCCTTGAGCTACGGCTTGCTATAGCACTGGCAGGCTGCCTAGTGGGTCAGCGGACAAACTTGCGTGCGCGGTAGACTACGAGACCGACATATCTTCACGGCCACGGAAACAGCGAGAGTCCGAGCTAAGCTTTCTAATCGTTCCTTAGCTACGGGACCGCACGCCACGCGCGACTTTCCGGACGCGAGGCACGACCAATAGTCAGCTCACGTTTTGGTGCAAGAGACGCTGGATTCAAGTCAGATATCTGACAGTGGGGGGCGTGGGGGGACAGGTCGTAAGCCACATACTCCCAAATAAAGCATGTTCGAGGTTTGTAGTAACCTTAGTCGTAGCAAACTCAAACTCTATTATATCGTACTAGACAGTGGATTCGGATGACGTTAGCTGCTAGAACGATTCGCACCATAGACTCAGAGCATCAGATCTTCCACGCAAACACCTGACAAAGGCACAGCCACGGAGTCCACCTCTGCGCAACGATACCAGAGACCATCACAAGTGTTCTACGGACATTTCTGCTAGCTTCTGATTCCGTACATTTTCTTCGCTTGTGACAAGAAGCTACCCAATTTGAGACAAATTGACAGTATCACCTTCGTTCCAGGTCACATGACCACACAATCTGTCAGATTCATGACAGGCACCACGCCGCCAAGTCATGTTCCGTACCATCAGCACTCCACGTTTTCCATGCACCTAGTCGCAAGCTGAAGACTTACGAAAACGGACTTCGCTAAGTCCGTTCCGTCGCAGACGCAGGCAGACAACGTGGGACCGTCTTCGTCATGGAGCGCAGCTCCAATACCTTGATATGGTCCCCTCTGTTTCCCTCGATTTTCTCTCCTTCAACAGTCCTCGGAATCGAAAAACATCATCGACCGAGGAGATTCAGTGGTGTCAACTTCAACGTATACCCATTTCTGTGAGACGTTTGAAAAATGTCATATCTCATTAAGCACTCTGCCATTGGCACGCTCCTGAGGTTCGTTGCTTCGGGTAAGATATCGTATCGTAGGGGCACGGCACCGAAAATCGTCTCGCCGGCGTCGACTTCGCTCAACTCTGCTACACCGAGACCCAGTGGTTCAAGAGAGGATGTGTCCAGCCAGGAGAAGGAAGAAGCTGGGATTGCGGTGACGAATCTTGTCGACTGGAGCGGCCCTGAGGATCCCAGTAACCCACAAAACTGGCCGTTCCACCAGAAGCTCATCATCACTGCGGTGCTCTGGTATGTACAGTCAGCAAGCTTGGGACGAAATCCAAGCTAAATATGCGTAGCTTTTGGACATTTGCGTTGTACGTCGGATCCTCCATCTACACTTCCAGCCAGCAACACGTTGTCGAGATCTTCGGCGTCACGCATGCCGAAGGCGCCCTCGGTATCGCCCTCTACGTCCTAGTAAGCCCTCTCCCAACCCCATAAACCCCCCACACTGACCTTTCCACCAGGGCTACGGCGCAGGCTCTCTTCTCTTCTCCCCGCTCAGCGAAGTCCCCGCGGTCGGCCGTAACCCCTCCTACGCCATCTCTGGCTTTTTCTTCATCATCCTCTGCATCCCCACGGCCTTGGTAAACAACTATCCTGGCCTCATGGTCCTCCGCTTCCTGCTCGGCTTCATGTGCGGACCCTGCCTGGGCATTGTGGGTGCCTCCTTCGGCGACATCTGGTCGCCCGCCCCGTTCTGCTACTCCATCGCGCTGTGGTCGATGGCGGCTACCGCAGGTCCCGCAATGGGTCCCACGCTCTCGTCCTACGCGGTCGAGGCTATGGGCTGGCGGTTCTCAAGCTGGGAACTGCTCATGATCTCGGGGCCGTTCTATGTCCTGATGGTGTTCTTCCTGCCCGAGACCAGCGCGCCTACGATTCTGTACTACGAGGCGAAGAGGAGGCGGGAGGAAACCGGGAACCTGAACTTGGTCAGCGAAGCCGAGCTCAAGCAACGCGATCTCCACGTCGGCGCGCTCCTCTGGGACGCGCTGGTCAAGCCCTGGGTCCTCAACGTGAAAGACCCGGCGTTGGGCTTCACAACGCTGTACCTGGGCCTCGCATACGGCATCTTCTACTCCTTCTTCGAGGTTCGTCTTCTCCTACCCCCTTTCCCTCCCCTTCCCCAGCCCAGCTAACACCAAACACCAGTCTCTCCCCATCGTCTACCCCACCGACTTCGGCTTCAGCTCCACCTCGACCGGCCTCATCTTCCTCACCGTGCTCCCGGCAGGCACAGTCGCCTTCGTGATCCAGTATTTCTACCTCAAGCACCGCGTCTTCCCCGCGCTCTTCTCGGGCCAGTTCGGCGAGCTGGAAAACCACTTGCTCCCCGGCGTCGTCGCGTCGCCGCTCATGCCCATCGGGCTGTTCATCTATGCGTGGACGGCCCGCGCCGAGGGCAGCCACTGGATTGCGCCGACGATTGGATTTGGGCTGATCATCATTGGTACGTGGTCTTCTTCCAGAGCTTCCGTTTTGGGACGTAGCTAATCGCGAATAAGGCGTCTACTTCATCTTCCAGTCCATTCTGCTGTACATCCCGAACATCTACCCGCGCTATGCCGCCTCCATCTTCGCGGCGAACAGCCTGGCGCGCAGTCTACTCGCCTTCGCTGCCATCCTGATCGCGCGGCCCATGTTCGAGAAGCTGGGTGTAGATGGTGGTGTGAGCTTCCTCGCAGGCTTGATGGTGTTATGTATGTTTGGTATCTGGGCCATCTATAAGTGGGGCAAGGTGTTGAGGCAAAGGAGTAAGTTTGCCGTTGCGTAAGCGGGTGGGCCTGAGACCGCGCCGCGCCAAAGGCTGGTATGTCGTAAGTAGTTGGGTAGACGGTTGGACAGTGGGAATTGGGACACCATCTGGCACACGTTTTGATATGTTCAAAGGCGCATGTGAAATGAAGAGAACGATATGACCGTCTCGCAATTAACAAGGCGTTTATGAGGAGTTTGTCTGTTAGCATTGTCAATTTGTTAGGTTTTACTCAATATCTGTCTACCTTGGTGCCGCATCCAAATCGGGTGACAGAGGGTATTCAAACAAAGCCCAAAATCCAAGGAACACAACTAGAGCTGCGATCTGTATCGCTCAACGCTCCCATAATACCGACTCAAGGCTGATCCTGTTTAGGCCCGTTTCCAAGCCCTGCTTCATCACCATAATAATTGAGGAAATTGCCCATCATCTCTTTTAGCAGCTGCCTAGCCTGCGCGCGTAACTCTTGGTGTTTGATCATCCGGTCAAGACATTGCTTCCTTAGTGCCTTGAGCTTCTCGAGCATCTCTGAAGACATCTCACAGTTTTGGTCTCTTTCCGTCTGACTGATTGTTGTCTCTGCCCGGAGTATCTCTTTGAATGTTTCTGGGTTGCAGAGCTTACCGATCCTTGTGTACACATCGCCCTTGAGTGAAGAGTCGTGTTGTTTGGCTATATGGTCCAGGTACTACAGGAATCCGTTCTCAATCAACAGGTCATAGTCCGGGTTCGGCTCGTTAGGATCATGGATGAGCATCGGCACAGGCACATCCTTCGAAGAACTAGCCATGGTTCTGCCCTTGGAGTCCTGTCCAGCCGAGTCTTGTTTGGTGTGCTCCGGCTTCGTGGATCCTGTGGCCGTGGCGCCGTGTGTGTTCTGCGTGGTCTCGCCCGATGGATCGTAGCCCGAGGAATGTTCAGCGGGAAAGACTTGCGAGCTCTCTCTGGCTGCGTTCCTGGCTGCCTTCTCTCTGCATCTCTGCCGCATTGCTTTCCTCCTGACTGTTTTTTTCATGCGTTCGAACCAAGGCATAGAACAGGTGGGATCGTCAGTTGAGTGATGTCCAGCTACATCTTGGATGTCCGTCTCCGTCGCCGTGTCGGATGTTGAAGAACCCGCGCCAGTATTGTCCTGCGGGGACTGTCCAGCTGCCTTCTGCTTTGCCTTCTGCTTCGTCACCTTCGACCTTGAGATGGCTGTAGCATTAGCGTCTTCCAGCTGTTTCATGGCATTGATGAGGTGATCGACATTGGAGTACTTCTCGCCTTTCCTTGCGGTGAGGAACCGACCACTCGCGGCCGTATAGAACGTTGAAAGACCGGCGGCGGAATTGTTATAAGAAGACGGTTTGGTTGCTTTCTGCTTGCCCTTGGGCTTCGTCACCTTCGACCTTGTAGTAGTTGTAGCATCAACGTCTTTGGAGAGGTCGTAGTTTCTGATGGCATTGACGAGCTGCTCGACATCAGGGTCACTCTTGTCTTCCTTTGCCGCGAGGAATTGGCTATATGCGGCCGTGTAGGACGTTGAAGGAGCCGCGGCAGTATTGCCCTGCGAGGGCTGTCCAGCTGCCTTCTGCTTGTCTTTCATGCTTTCGTATTGATTGATGAGATTCATGGCTGTTGTACCAGTAGCATTTTTCGAGAATCCGTGCTGTTTGAAGAGACCGATGAGATGATGGAGTTGGGGGTTCTCTATGTCCTCTATGGTGAGATCACTGAATGTTTGGTCTTCTAAAAAGAGATGAGGGCACATATTGTAACAAGCGGGGTACTCCTTCTTCATTGCGCCGAGGAATTGACTGAATATTGCCTTTATGTTGCGTTGGTCTTCCGATTTCTCGTTGTCAGGCATCTCGTCCACGGTATTCCTGTCCAGCGTACTGTCAGCATCCGGTGCCGCATGCCCATCCGCGCGCGCCTTGGCCGCTCTCGCCGCCTTCCTTTTGTTATTGGCCGGCATATTGGCAAGCCGCAAGCGCTCAAAGTCCTGTTCTGTGGGTAGCTGTGTGTGAGCGTGTTAGCAGATATATATAATTTGTGTAAGTGCGGATAACGAATGGGGTGCGTGTTGTAGCGTTGTTGGGATAACGAGAGCTGAGGTGGGTGAAGAGAGCAGGAAGAAGCTGAGCGGCTCGTGGCCTGGGTATATGTAAATATTGCTGCCGCATAAATGGAAGGCACGCTAGTGCAGGTTCGTTACTGGATAGAAGGAGGGTTTGGGTGGAGTGAAGATGAAGCAGGTGTTGGTGAAGGGCACTTGCCTCCCTGTACAACAACCACGCAGCGTGATCTCTGATACGTCATGTATGCACACATAATAAAAACTTGTATATTTGGTGTATTTATTATTGCGCAGTCGCTTGGGTGGCGAATGGTTTCGTAGCCCGTGGTTTGACTGTAGTGCTGAGACCCAGTTCGAGGACGACCAGCCATGCATCAACCCCCTCTAAGGCAACGCGCTGACTCAAACGTCTCGTACAGTACTATGCCTATACGAGAGCGTTCCAGTATTGAGAGGGAGTACTTATTGGTCCTGGTTGTCTCGATATTTGTCCATACGAGTCGGCACCCTCGAGCTAAAACCCGCTCCCAGTGAACCGATTAAACTTTATGGTATGGCAGATGTACCATGCAATTCCGCAATAGCCCGCAACTTCCTCTCCTCTTGTGAATTTTGTCGTCGACGCAACACTAACCTGTGCTGTTTTTCGTCCTTTCTGTGCCATGGGTCGATCTTCGCTAAAATCTGTCTAATTGACGTAGAACCAGTCTCCATAAACCGTTGCTACTGGCTTATCTGGCTTGAAGGCACGCAGATAGCTTCCGTCGGACTTTTCAACTCATCCGGGCGGTATTACCATTTGGAGTGGCCTCAGATCCGACAGCGGAGAGTACTGATACTCGACACGATATTTGTGAGCTTCTGTGTCGAGCGCAAACACAAAACGTCGTGGAACACCACCATCAAGGTGTGTGGACTGCAGCAGGGAGGGTCTAGCTTTGTACTTGCGTATGAGCACAAGGGCTACCCCGCAACAAGCACAAGCCCAACGAGCCCCACGCCTGTATATAACCACTGTCCCAACTCTGCTCTTTGGTGGGCTCCCAACCCTTGGCTTGAAGTTGTGGCAACTGTTCTGTCGGCACTTGTACCAACGCCGCTGGCTGGACTAGCTGTGGTGGCGACGCTAGCTTGGAGCCCCGTTTTTGCTTTGGTAAGAGTGGCGGGGGCGTCTGTGATTGTTGCGGTTACTGCGGTACCGCTGGAGGACACGGTGATGAGTGTTTGTCCGGCGGCATCTGTAGTTATAGCAACATACGTTGCAGTAGCACCGTCTCCGAGCATGGATGTCAAACCGGGCGTAAGCGTCAGAGTAGCAGAGCCCAAAGTTATCTGGCTTCCAGCAGTCATCGTGGGTGCTGATGCGAGAGTGGTCACGGATGGTCCAGGTTCGGCGTCTGTCGCTTGCTGGGACTGCGCATCTGCACTCGGTTGGAAGGGACCATCTTCATGGCCCAGGTCGGTCTCACTCGTGGTTGGGCGGTTTGATCCGGCCTCAATAGATGAGATGGGTAAGCCTATGTGCGATACGATGTCATTCAACAACGAATTTGGCGCTGATGTCGATTGAGGCTCGCCAAGTGTAGGACTGTCACCGGGTGTTGGATTGTTCTCCGGAGTAGGACCTTCCTCAGGAGCTAGATTACCTCCGGGCCGCTCGCTAGGCGTCTTGGTGGGTTCTACAACAGGTTCTTGCGTCGTTGGCGCCAACTCGGTGTGGATGTCGACCAGGCTTGGTGTGCTTGTAGTAATAAGCTCGACTCTGTTCACTGGAGTAGTCTGTGCGCCCCCTATGGGTTGTAGCTGTACGGTCGATATGTCCTCGAAGCCTGACACGGATGTCTCGATGTGAACCAGCATTTGGGTCGTGGAACATCCTTCTGGAAGGTCACAATTGCTTGCCACAGTTGTGGTTCCCCATCCATCCACCGAACTCTCTGGGTGGGGTCTCAACGGGGCCGCAGGGTGGCGGGTGGTGCTTGCGATGGCCGTGTCATTTTGTGCTTGGGGCGCCGCTGCGGTATGTAAGTCAGGACGACACGAGCGGTGAAGACTCGTCCACGGACCTTGTGGGTTCGCGAGAACTGGAGTCGCTAGCAGCACGAGCGTGCGCAGTCCAGGGAGAGGCCTCATCATGGGCGTTCACCTTTCGCAGCTTCGTGGAGGAGAACGGCGGATGGGCGCAACCTCAATCAAGAGGCCATCAGTCCATCCAGGCGTTCCCCAAGGGCCATCCTGGGGAATCGCGGATCAATGTCCCAATGTTGCAGGAGATTTGATGAGGCTGCCCTGTGCAAGGCCCACTGAGTGGCTCGCGGCCGGGGTCGTGCTCGGCTGTTCGCGCGAACCGTCGCAACGGCGAAGGCGTCGGAGCGGCACCGCCTCGCGACGCAGCGGTTGGAAACGCCCTGCAGCGATATTCTCCGACTCTGCTGCGCACGCCGTCGTCTGTCCGCAGTCGCTTCGGCGCCTCGCCGCTGGGCCAGCTGGCGTGCGATGCCATGGCTTCGTTCGTGCTGACTGGCACTGACGCGCAACCCTGGGCGTGTGCGCACGCTCCGTGTGGAATTCACCTCCCCTTCGCGCACTAGGGCCTGACGATGCGCCAGCGTTTCTCCCAAAGGGGGCTGTCAGCGGGGGGCCAGGTTCCGCTCCCGCCGCGACGACGAGATGGATACGGCAAGGCCCGCCGTGCGCCATGGGCTTGGAGAGCACAGGTCGTCCAAAGAGACGGCGTCGTCACGCGCGCCCAGGCATGCTCCCTCCGGGTGTTGCATGGGCCAGCCGCTGAAGGCTCGGTCTGGAGGCGCGTCGTCTGCAAGTCAATATACGATCATCCCACATATGATCGCCTGCGCGCTGGGCGTCTTTTGGCCCCGGGTGCTGGCTGACGGATCGCCTCCCGCGAAGCACGACTCCTGCTCGTCGTCCTCTTCCCCGGCGAGCCGCCAGTCACCACCATCACGATGGTCCACGAGCGACCGGCCGTTGCGGTCCTCCTCGCCGTGCTCGCCGCTGCTGTATTAGTGGCAGGGGCAGCGACGCCTCTCTCCATACGGCCTAGCCAGCAATGGTCAGTTCGAGCAGTCGCGCTTGCTCCCCGCAGCCCCCGACCGTCGAAGGATTCTAACGCCCCGCAGGGACGGCAAAGAAGGGCCATGGAGCACCTTTCGCATAGAGGCCGGCACGCCTGCACAGCAGTTCCGCGTCCTGCCTGCCCACGACCAGTCCACCACGTGGCTGGTGCTCAGCGAAGCATGCAGCGCCAACAACGACACCTGCTTTGAAGCCCGCGGCCGTCTGTATGCCCGCGACAACTCTTCGACCTGGACGGAAAAAGGCTTCTACGGGCTGGAACCGTGGCTCGAGGCGCGCGTTGGTCAAGCGGGCGATGGGCAGTACGGATGGGACGACATCACCCTTGGGTGGGCCGGCGACAATCTGCCTACCCTCAAAAACCAGTCCATCGCAGGCATTGTCACAGAGAGTTTCTGGCTCGGCTCCCTCGCCCTGAACCCGCGTCCGGTCAATTTTACCGACTACAACACGCCCATCCCGAGTCTTATGCAAAACCTACGGAACAAAACCAACGACCCCATCCCGAGCCTGTCATGGTCGTACACTGCAGGCGCCTACAACAAAGCGCCAAAAGTCTATGGAAGCCTGGTCTTGGGAGGATACGACGCAACCAAGTTTCAGCCCAACTCGGTGACGTTTCCCTTCGGAAGCGATCAGTCGTTCGATTTCCAGGTTGCCGTTCAAACCATTAGGACTAGTCTGGCTACCGACCCGCTTCTCGACACGGGTATCATTGCCTACATTAGCACTTTGGTTCCCGACATCTGGCTCCCCGAAAACGTGTGTGAAAAGTTCGAGAAGGCATTCAATCTGACATGGGACGAGAAAACCGAACTGTACCTCTTGAACACGAGCTTGCACCAGACTCTACTTCAGGAGGACCCCACTGTGACCTTCACTCTTGGTCCAGAGGTCGATGGTGCTGGTGTCACCATCAACATGCCATACTTCAATTTCTACCTGACCGCATCGGCCGAGCTAACCAAGTCTTCTTCGTCGAAACTGTACTTTCCTTTGAAGCGGGCAGCAAACGATAGCCAATATGTGCTTGGACGAGCCTTCTTGCAGAGCGCTCATCTCTCCGCCGACTACGAGCGAAATTCCTTCAATCTGTCCCAAGCGCTTTACCCATCGTCCCAAACCGAGGAAGAGATTGTAGCAGTGCTCCCTCCGCTCACCGAGACCACCCCTGGAGTGGGTGGCCCTGGAACCGGAGGCTCTGGAGCCGAATCAGGCCAGGCCTTAAGCACAGGCGCGATTGTAGGCATTGTTGTTGGTCTGGTTGTGGTTGGCGCAGTAATCGCCCTCGTAGCGTTCCTTCTGTACCGCCGGAGGAAGGCCAAGCCAAAGAAGCACGAACTCGCAGACACCGACATCATGCACGATATATCCCATGAAGTATCTGGGGAACACATCAAGGCCGAGATGGGCGGAGGAATGGCGCACGAAGTCGCCGGAGACATGGATCCTAAAGCTGAGCTTTCGGCGCACGGTCCACAGAAGCCAGTTGAGGCGGAGGGCAACTTGGAGCAAATCTACGAGATGGCGGGTGACGACCCAAAACCTGTTGAAGTGTCTGGTGAGAGCATGGTTCACAAAATACCGCCATCTATGATGGCATCAAATCACAATGCGATGCCATCTCCTGTCTCCCCGCAATGGGAAGATAGCACGTCACCCGGCGTTCACTTTTACACCGATGAAAGTACTCTTACACCTTCATCGGAGCATTATTTCAACCAAGGATACCCCCGACATAATTAAGTCGTTCGTTTGTAGAATTCATATATTATACAAAATAGTCACGTCAACCATGGTCTTCCTGCAATTTGGGAGCTTGAAGACAGTATGCCATCTAACCGCAGGAAGACAAACAAAGGCGGTCCAACATGCATCAACAAAGAACATAGGGCGTTACTGGCTACGTTTGGCAATGCGCAAGTTATTACTGTTTGCGGTATCACTCGCCGTCATCGCTTGGAGGTCCTTTGTTTCAAAGACGCCAGGTTGTCTTTCATCGTCACTAGGCTCAATCTCCACTTGATCACTACATAAACCTCGCCCAGACGATTTGGATGGACGCGTTTCTCACGATTTTGCTTCGGCTCAGGCGTATGTGTGATTACATGCGGCAATAAGCGGCGGATGATGCTAATTCGTTGCAGTTGTTTGATAACCTAAACGGCGAGAAAAGCGCAGCACGATGTCTTACCGAAGGTACTCAAGCACAGAAGTCTACGGCTCATACACTGCTGAGGATACGGTTCTGGTCGACCGGGTGTTCAATGATGATAGGCTTCAGAAAGCCATCCAGTACTTGAAGACGGAGGGCGGTGGCGACGCAATCGACTTGTACCTGACCCGTGTCCGAACCATCGACGAACACATCCTTCGGCAATTGCCGGCACAAGGCAAATCCTTCAATCCAAGACTATATCAACGCTTACGGGATTTGGTGCGAGAAGTCCAGAATGACGGTCAGGCTATCAACGACGAAGAAAGCTCGCTAGAAGTCGTCAACGAATCAAGTGTTGAAGTGTTGTACAAAGGCACAGAAAACGATAGCGACATCCACCCCTATCCCAAAATTCCCGGTGTAACACTCCCACCCCAGTCTACCATCAAGACAAAGACAACCCCAGGTTCCGGAGTTCCTTCTGAGAACCAAGCCCAAGTTCGCTTTGCAAGCGACATCCGCACCTCAGGTGACGATGATGTGCGTGAGAAGCAGTTCCTGTACGGCGGACCGAGCAATGATCCTGAGGTGTGGTACAAGAGGTCAGCACCTCTTCTACACATAGGCGAAAGCCCTTATATGGAGAGGTGGGAGAGCTGGAAGGCCGTGCGCGATCTTGCCAAGGGTCGGGGCAAGTCACTAGACGAGCTCGAGAGCCCGCCGGTCTTCAAGCGAGATAATATGTACGACTCTGGATCCAAGTACAAGCTGCCGGCCACTGTTGCCAACGAATGGTCTCAGAACGAGAAACAACGTGCCAAACTGCAGAAATTGTGGCGTGCTGCGGCTGAGTGGTTCAACATTGGAAGGCGTCTGTCGCCATTAAAAGCGCCTCCAGAGGGAAAGGACTACGCTCCTCGCATGACCTTGCCTCTTATCGGCGAAATCAACATCAAATCATTCGCAAGGTCGACCCCCCTTGTAAGCGAAGGACACGAAGATTCGTCAGCGGACGAGGTCTCCTATACACAACTTCCTACGCCAAAACACTCGCCTTTGAAATCTGGAAGGTTCCCACGGTTGCCCGAGACGAACTTGAGAAAGTTCAACAGCATTCGTGAAGCAGCGACCCGCAGAGACAAGTCCTCGCCGCTCAGTCCTAGTGAGGGGCCAGTCCTTAGAACAAGGGCCGCTCTTGCTACTACTCCTACTCCCGAGACGCGAGTTAAACCAGGGCTAACGGCTGGGGTCAAGGATGGCAAACGGAAACCAGGCGGACCTGTTACCAAGCTGCAAAACATATCTCCCACCCCCACGTTCTACCCGTCAATCAATCTCAACACTACATTGTCCGAGGAAAAGCTGAAAGGTTCCATCGACGAACTTTTTGAAGACTTCGACGAATTCCGACAACAGAAGCGGGCTCGTCTTGCCAGCAAAATGAAAGATCCGACATACCATCCTCCGCACTGCCTCAGTCAGGACGAGGACTCGCCAATTACCCCTGCCGATGCAACAATTGAGGAAGACCTTGATGAGCTTTTCGGAATCAAGTCTTCCAAACGAAAGCGAGGCCGTACTGCCAAGAACCCAAAAGATTCGACTTACCATCCCCCGAGGCGTATCAGTCAAGACGCGGACTCCCCCACAACTCCAGACGAGACAACCCTCGTAGCAGAGGTCAACGAGCTTACAGGCTTTGCGTCCGCCAAATCTCAGCTTGTCCGCTACCAGAAGCCCCACAAGTCGTCCACCGACCCAGACTGGAAACCAGACCAAAGCCCCCTCACCCCAACCAAGCGAAAGCGTGACGAGAGTCTAGACCTCACGCCGTCGAGCAAAAAGCCCAAGAGATCCAAGGCTTCCTCTTCAAAGAAGAAGCAGACCCCGTCATCCTCTTCCCCACATGTTGAATTCGCAGCCGAAACGCCCACGCCGAAGAAAAAAGCTGAGCCGAGCAGGAAGGTGACGCCGTCGAAGAGCGCAATTAAGAAGACGAAGCGGACGTCCGCCGAGGACCGCGAGCTTGCGAGTACGGAGACGCTGGAGAGGAGGGGGAAAACGAGGTCGAACAAGGACTTCAAGCCTAAGCGGCTGAGGAGTCGGGATGAGACGAAGGAGTAGTGCTGTTTGAGATGCTTGTGCGTGCAAATTTTATGGCGTGTAGTCTTGTAGTTTTCTTTATTACGTCGGGATAAGGCGTAGATCATCTGCTGTGCATTGCGGTGTTGTTTCGATACGCGATATGTACGCTTTGCTTTTTCCGTCCCTTGTTCTTTCCGACGAACCCGTGCGTGCCAGCCATACCTCGTCCTATCTCACGCCAAAATGTGCGTTCCAATAGTAGACCTGCAGCGTCGCAGACCGGATCGCTGCTGCCAGTTGAGGCTAGGTCAATGCTGCAGCACCACGTGTCTAGCGAGACACCTGCAAATTGTCCGTTCGCTGTTGCGCTTGCTTTGTCGACGACGCATTGAATCGCCGAGGCGACCGCGTCACCACCCGTACCGACGCCATCGACTCTATCCGTCCGCTATTGTGGGTGTTTGTGCTGCTATTGTGACTGGGCCACAACACGGTATCGTGATAATCGCTTGCCGCCTGCATCTACGCCAGTTGGCCAGTTACTCTTCATGTACCCGCTTCTTCGGCATTCGATATCGAGTCGGTCACCAAAGCAACTCGACTTTCTTCGGCAAGGATCTGCACCATACCAAAAGCCGGAGAACTCCGAGCCCGCCAGCCCGCGTCGGCAACTACGCTTTCTAGCCTTACTTCGACGTCGATCTCGAGATAGAAGTCCCCTAACGGCAAACACCCACCAAGCCCGTCATGTCATCCACATCAACCAAAACTGGCACAGGCTCCCACTCGGGCCCCAAAATGGTGCCCCGCGATGACTCCAAGGACGCCAAGAGCGCAGAGGCGAGGAAGACGAAGAACACAGAGCATATCAGCTTGGGTCAGTTCCTGAAGGAGAGCGAGGAAGAAGGTGGAGTCGGTGCTGATGGTGCTGGGGGTGCAGATACTGCTGGTACGGGTGGCGGCGGGAAAGGCAATGGCGGGAAGGGCAGTGGTGCGAATTGAGGATGGGCCTGAGAGAAGTGGCGAGGTGGGTATGTGGTGTGGCTGTCAGGGATAGAGACATGCCTGCTGACAAAATTTGCAGGAAGGTGTTGCATGTTGGGTGAGCATTGAGGGCGTCGTCCTGAGCTGATGGGCAAGAGATCGTGCCGGGCTTGTTTCCACCTTGGAAAGCAGTGCTGCATTAGTGACTGCATTCGCCGAAGCTAAATGTATAGCTAGCTGTGGTTTTGTTGGACTGTTGAGATGTACTTGGGTACTTGGTCCGCTGATTTAATTGAATTTGTTGGTATAATCGTTCTTCATTCAGTTGGTTGCCCGTCGTACACTGCTCCCCAGCCGCGTAAATGCACTACGGCTTGCAGTACTGCACCATCTTGCTCGCCTTCGATCCCACCAATCCATCGAGATAACCTAAGAACACATCCAGGTCCAGCATGTCAACCCTCCCCAGTGTAGGATTTGAACTCTGCAAGATCTGTCCACCCCACAGAATCCGGATGTACTTCTTTTCCCCATATCCACGTTTGGAGTACACTTCGAAGACAATCTCGCTGCCCATGCCCACCCAAACCATGACATCGACCTGCAAGATGCTCAACAGCCTAGACACACTTCCATCGTGCGCGACGTTGTGCCGGTAAATCACAGGCGACTTTCCTGCAGCGAAGTCTCGGATATTCTGCGCGAGCTCGGCAAGGAACACGCCGTACGAGCCCACAGCTGCTTGGAGTGACTGAGGAGAGTCACGGTAGATGAAGGAGTACTCGTATTGTCCCAGTCGGTACACGGTGTCTGCCTGTTCCTGCGTCACGCACTTCGAAGCATCGTTGGAGCTGCAAGGAAGAGGTTTTGCGTGGCACTGACGAGCGGAAAGGTTGTCGTAGTAATGGTCGAAAGACTTGTGCCAGTCAGTAGAGTCACTCGCGACTCCGGATATCGCATCCAACGAGTTGTAGAGTGACTTGGCTTCGTTGAGGTGTTTCGTCCAGTTCGCTGCGGTACTGCCGACGCCGTAGGATGAGTACAAAGACGAGGCAGCAGGGCAGGAGTATTGGGGCTCCAAGGAGTCGATGCCTGTCGGCTGGATACGTAGAGATGTGGGCGATTCTGGCGCGTACATCCCGTTGATGAGCATACCGGCTACTTGGCTCGTGATCACGTTGTTCGTCACGCGGTACGTTACTTTGTCGCCGATCTTGTTTGGCAAGAAACTGAGAAGGTCGTGGTATACGCCGAACAAGTCTTTACCATGCTGCCAAGAATCATCGAGACCCTGCCTAGTGATCTGTGGGAATTGGCAGGTGCCATTGAACCCGCTCGGTGCGAAAGGGTTGATGTCTGAAGTAAAGACACTCCAGTATGCGCTTGCGGAAGTATTGCCCACAGGGTTCAAAGGCTGACCATAGTAAAAGAGGCCCTCGTCGTTGCAGTCCCATCTGTAAGTCTCCTTGGGAAAGGTGTTGGAGGCGTAGGGTGTCCTCTTGTGGTGGCGGTGGATGACCTCAACATAGTCCAGCTCATACTCTTCGCTAACTTTAGGGTACTCCTCGCGCCTTACATGGGGCCTAAATTCGTGGGCAAAAAGTCAGTGGAGGTTTAGAAAAAAAAATGACAGGCTCACTAACATGTTGCACCAGTTGTACGTCCCGTAGGATGCATTCGCCGGCAGAGCAGAGCCATTGAAGTAAAAGCCGTACGTTCCGGTGCTGTTCAGGACTTGACCCAAATCATTGATCCATGTCTTGCTGGGCGGATGCCACGAGAGATCTATCGTGGAGTTCTGCGCGACCGCATTCAATGGAAACCAGGCCGAGGCCAAAGCCCTGGGAGTCCGCATGTCGATTCTGAACAATCGGAATAGCGTGAAAGCCGCGCAGACGAAGCAGAGTGCGTAGCCGGCAGAGAGAAACCTCGCATTTTGCATTTGTTATATAGGGGCTGTACTAGAGTTGAGTCCATAGCGAACGGAGATGGTTGCAAAATGGTGGTTGAATTGCTGTAGAGGAGGAAGGCACGTGGGGACAAGCATCATCTGGACCCTGCCAATCGCAACTAAGCTAGTGGGGCGCATCTCATCTCGGACGGGAAGTGCTTGGCCTGCGAGTCTTCAACATCACAGCGCTTTCGAACTTGCGTCATACGAAATAATTCATGTACCCAAGGTATTGCTTTGTTCGTGCGCAACAGAACTGAAGAAACCCGAGTGCTTTGAGCCGTCGTCTGCGATCGCCGTTTCATAAGCCGCATGCATGATTCGTTCTTCTTTGCCGTTGGCTCGATCGATGAGTGCACCGTTCAAACACCCCTCGACGAGGCAGCCAGATCTCGGAAAGCTTGCATTTGGTCGCAGCGGGCGCGAGAGTCTTCCCGATGAAGGGCCGGATCGAGTTGAGCCGCAGACATCCAGCGCATCCGACTGGCCGAGCCTCCTAGCACTCGCCATCACGAGCCACTTTCATCACGACCCTTGCATAAAGCTAATCAGCAATAGTCGAGATGGCCGTTGGAAAGAGTTACGCTTTTGCGGGGTGCATGCATGAGGTACAGCATCGTCATCAGCTGGGAGCGTGGCCAATGAAGCCTCAACCTATTGCTCACGACACATCGAGATCCACTGACGTCCTTGAAGATTGACGTGAGCTTGTGATACAATGCCGAACATATATACTTCCCCACTGTCACCCCTCAATTGGCTCTTCCGATGCATCGGGATACGATAGCAGTATCCTTCAGCATCTATCAATTGGAAGAGACTACAACCTAGCTGCACTGCGCTTGTCCAACATGTTTTCGCGCGGAGGAGAACCCTACTTTGGGTTCAAGGGCACAATGCTCACTTTTTGGATCACTGTAGCCTGCGGGACAGACATGCTGCTGTTTGGCTATGACCAAGGCGTCTTTGGTCCGTCCGATTGACCGTCCCACGATACATTGGCTGACACTTTCTAGGTGGTGTCGTTGTTACGCCGCAGTTCCTTGAGTTGCTTAACCTCGGGTCGCGACCCACGATCCTCTCAACTGTAACGGCTATCTACGATGTCGGATGCTTTTTTGGAGCAATTAGCGTCTGTTTCATCGGTGAGCCTCTGGGCAGGAAAAAGTGCGTTCTGTTGGGAACGACCATCTTGAGCATAGGCGCAATCCTACAGATAACGGCCTTCAGCCTGGGGCAAATGATCACTGGCAGAGTCATTGCAGGAATTGGCAATGGTATCAACACATCCACAGCACCTGTCTGGCAGGGCGAGTGTTCCAAAGCCAGCTGGCGAGGAAAACTGATCGTTATCGAGATGATATTAAACATCTTCGGCTTTATGGTAAGCCATCAGTCCCAATGAGATGTGCCAAGCTGATGTTCTCCCGAGATGTCTAACTGGGTTACATACGGCTTCAGCTTTGTCGACAACGGCAACTCAAGCGTTGCTTGGCGACTCCCGCTCGTGTTGCAGTTCATCTTCATCTTCATCCTCTACGCCACAGTCCCCTGGCTTCCTGAGTCACCGAGGTGGCTGATGTCCAAAGGAAAAGTCGATGAGGCAGAACAGGTTCTTGCAGCGGTTGAGGGCACTGATGTCAACGATCCCTGGTTGATTACGCAGTCGAAAGACATCCAGTGGGCTGTGCAGTACGAGAAGGAGAATGCAGTGCGTTGGCGCGATCTTTTGCTTGGTCGATCTGGAGGGCAAGCGGGTACACATACCTTTAGACGGCTGATCTTGGGTATGGGTACACAGGCCATGCAGCAACTTTGTGAGTTTTGGGAATCTTACTGCGATCTTGAAACAAAGCTGATAGGTTGCTTAGCTGGCATCAACGTGACATCCTACTACCTACCCACGGTACTGATCGAATCTGTGGGTCTCTCAAACAGCCTCGCTCGTCTCCTTGCCGCCTGCAACTCTGTATCCTATCTCTTGTTTTCCCTTATCGGCATACCTAACGTTGAGAGATGGGGCCGACGCAAAATGATGATGTACGCAGCCGCTGGGCAGTTCTTTTGCTACGTGATCATCACCATTTGCATTCGGTATAACGAAGATGCCTCTATCGGCTTCGAGACGCAGAGGCAATGGGCGAAAGGGTCAATTGCGTTCTTCTTCCTGTACTATGTCTTCTTCGGAATCGGCTGGCAGGGTGTTCCTTGGCTATACCCTACCGAGATCAATTCGATGGCTATGCGCACGAAGGGCGCAGCTTTGGGCACGGCGACGAACTGGATCTTCAATTTCATGGGTAAGATAGAGAAGCCACGTTCACTCACCTGCACTAAGACACTATGCAGTTGTTGAGGTCACACCTCCAGGCATCGCTAGCTTACATTGGAGATTCTACATCATATGGACGGTCTTTAATTTCGCTTTTATCCCAATAGGTACGAGACGTCACATCTCCGAAACCTTACCCCGCTGATTGATTTAGTATACTTTTTCTACCCGGAGACGGCTGGCCGCACTCTCGAGGACATAGATCGCTACTTCACTGGTCACGCGCCATTGCTTGTCTTCCTGGACAAAGAGGCTATCCAGGAGAAGCGACCAGAAAAGTTTGTGGAGCGGGAGCAGACTGAGTATCGCAGGAACAGTAGTGTGGTCACTGGAGCGATTGATCCCGCAGCACTGCTCCGTAGTAGCTATGAGAAGGAGCGAGACTCGCGTGAGGAAATTGTCTGAAGAGTGTCATCTAGGCGGGAAGAACTAAACTCAATTGACAGACTGTGGCTTCGATTGGGAGTAGATGGAGGAGCCTAGTCTGTCGGGGTCTTACCAGAACAGGAGCGATTTCGGTGTTCGGTATCTTGTACGGTTAGTGAGAATATCGAAAGTCGTGCACACACCGAACCTCCGACGAAATGGAAATGGACGTGTCCGAGGGGGCAACTTCGAGTTTCAGTAGCGCATAGAGATTGTAGACTGGGATACACGCCTTGAGCAGTCCTTATCGCATGAATAGCTGGCTCATGGGCGCGAAAGAGTACGTTTTCCTTGCATGAACATGAAGCCCGGACATGGGTTTGGGGCTCCGGGGCTCCGGCAGTCGAATCGTTCAATGTTGACCCAACAGCAACTTGGGCCGCAATAACTGCCTCCAAATTGAACTCGGTACTGTATGATGGTGTTCGCGTTTATACGACCGTGTATTTCGAGTGAGCTAGGCAAAAATAAATCCGGTGTTGTTAGAGTAGCACTCGGTGTCCTACACATGTTGTGACAAGGGCGCCAAACGGTGTACTAGGGTGTGAAGGCCGCCTTGATTCGGCTAAACCCAAGAGCACTGTTCCTACGGACTTCAGAATAACAGAACCCACGACAGGGAGACATTTCAAATCGATCGCTTCCGACTTTGATGGTGGTCATCGAAGCACGCGTCGGTTGGCAGTCTCGGTCTCCAAAAGTCTAGCGAACGCCAATGGTACGATGCATGAGCCCATTCTCATCTCAAGGACGCTCGGGGCCCCAAGCTTCGTCTGCTAATCTAGTGGAGTTTCGGAACCTTTCATAGGATTTGGCCCCATGTCCCAAACCCCATGACCACCTCGCGTTATGTTATGGGGGCTGCCACCCCGCCCGCCTGGAATCCTAGACTGATGCCTGCCATCCCTTAGTTTCCTCCAACACCACGAGACAGTCAGTGCACTTGACTAGAATCGCCGCTTGTGTCGGTGGATTCTGCCAGCCAAGATCGTAGACACCTGCCGATCGCTGGCGCATCGTTTCACTGACAGCACGCTTCTCGAGATCCTTTCCGCGGGTGCAGACGTCGCCGGACGATGGGCTCTCTACGGCTCGACGAACGAGGTGTAACCGACTATTTCGACTCGCACTCGTTCTACAGATTCCACCACAGAAACCGCCCGAACGAAACGCTCCTCATCACCGATGGAGATGGCGATGTCGATATGATGACATTCAACATCTCCTCGTCGGAGAACTGGCAGATATACTACCAGCAAGGACGGTGGTTCATCCGCCCGTATGCAAGCTCAGTCGTACAATCGTGGAAGGACTATCAGCTAGGCCTCATGCAGGATGAAAAGGGGAATGTTGGAGCGCTGCCGAAGGTTGCGAAGAGGAGTGGTGGACTGGGCCAACAGTGGACGTTTGCGCAGGTTGACGATGGTAATGGCGGATTCGGGTACAGGATCAGCAATGGTCTCTTGGGCAACACTTCATTCTTGGCTCTCACAGGTGATGGCGGACAACCAGGCATGCAGAGTAGCAGCGAGGGAACCGTGTGGGATATGCAAGTGAACCGACAGGCTGGTGATCCAAGTATGGATAACTCGTATGAGGATGTAAACAACTTTGTGGTATGACATGGCCGTTCACAGGATCTATGCTAGCAACTGACGCATGCGCAGGTCGCCACTACCTCCGTTACGTCGGTTCTTTCCACCTCCAAAGCAACGGCAGGTCCTTCACTGAGCTCGGCCTCCAGCTCAACGTCGACGGCGACATCCATCTCTCCGGGCTCGGCCTCAGGCTCGGCCTCGGTCGGTTCGGGTGCGATAGCGGGCATCGTTGTGGGCGCTGTCCTGGTAGTCTTGGCTGCGACTGGCGCATTCATCTTCTTTGCGAAGCGACGGAAGAGGAATCAAGTGAGAGATAGGTATCGAGAGGCTGAGCTCAGATCGGATACAAAGGTTACTTATGCGCACATGGGTAGTCCAGCAGAGATCGGAAGTGACCCGGTGGTGCACATGGGATCGTACCAGGAGGAACGGTACGAACTGGGGAACGACGGCCCCTCTGCAAGGAGCCCATCTAAGCTGCCGATGACAGAAAACGATGCGAAAGATATTGGATCCGGAGGTGGTTCGCCTGCGGCACGCCTTCCAAGAGACGGGGTTCCATGATGCGGTACGTTTCAGAGAGCGTTCATCACTGTCGAAGTAATTTCGTGAATTGTAATTCTACTAGTTTGATTCAGAATGTTGGACTTTTCGCATGTGATGCTCAGCAGTGCACAAGATGTTATCGGTACAGACGCAGTCAGCACACAGGTTTTGATATGTTGGTTGTGGCCGAGTTACTTGGGTCGCAAATTGTCCCAGTGGTTCCTGGGCCGAGGGTAGCGGCCGACGGGCCGTTGCGTGTGTGGAAGACGAAGAAGGTGCGTGCTGTGCGGACTTCAGCCCCTCGATGTAGCCCCACCAAGACTCGCGCGGGTAGCTCCAACCCACCACGTTTGCTCTACGCACCTCTCCACCCCGAACAAACCGCCGTTCATTCCTTCACAATGCCCCAGGAGGCCTCGAAGCTGTCAGACCCTGACGCGACCGCCAAAGCAGCCGCCGAGGCCGTCGCCGAATCGACAGCGCAAGAAGCCCACGACGAGTCGGCCGACGAGAGCGCAGAGGAGGAGGCTACAGACGGACCCGCGGGCGCGACGGAAAAAAAGAAGAAGAGCCGCAAGCGGAAGATCAAGGATGCTCTCGCTGGCAAGGGCAAGGCGCCTGCAATCGAGTCGCTGGACGCGCCTACTGCGGGAGCGCACCTGAGCAAAGACCAGCTAAGCATGCTGCTGGAAGCCAACCCCGCGCTGAAGAACCAATTGCTGGCAAATAAAGGCAACCAGAGTCTAGAGGACATGCTCAAGAAGCTCAGCATGCAAGAGATGCTCACCGGCCTCGCGCCGCAGGCCAAGAACGTGAAGGACATGGGCAGCCACCAGTTCTGGAAGACGCAACCCGTGCCGAGCTTCGACGAGATGATGGCGGGCAAGGACAAGATCGTGGACGGGCCAATCAAGGAGATTGACATTGCGCGCGTGCCCAAAGAGCCCAGCGACATGTACCCTGGCTTCAAGTGGGTGACGATGGATCTGGAGGACGAGAAGGAGTTGGATGAGGTCTACGAGCTGCTGTCGAACCACTATGTCGAGGACAACGAGGCTATGTTCCGCTTCCGATACTCTCCCTCTTTCCTGAACTGGTACGTTCTTCATGACATTCACTCTGACTGCGCGTTATGCTGACTGTCGGCGTAGGGCCCTAAAAGCACCTGGCTGGAAGAAAGAGTGGCATGTCGGTGTTCGCGCCGAGAAGTCGGGCAAGCTTGTCGCCTTTATCTCTGGTATTCCACTACAGCTGCGTGTGCGCGACAAGGTTCTCAACTCCTCTGAGATCAACTTCCTCTGCGTCCACAAGAAGCTGCGATCGAAACGTCTTACTCCGGTGCTCATCAAGGAGATTACACGTCGCTGCTACGTCAATGGCATCTTCCAGGCTGTGTACACTGTCGGCTCCCTGCTTCCTACACCCGTCTCAACATGTCGCTACTACCACCGCGCACTAGAGTGGGAGAAGCTGCACGAGGTTGGCTTCTCGCCTCTGCCGCCGAACAGCACAAAGGCGCGCCAGGTCGTCCGATACAAGTTGCCGGAAAAGACTCTCCAACCTGGTGTTCGCGCGCTCGAGCCTAAAGACACTGACGTTGTGCTGGACCTACTTCAACGGTACCTCAAGCGCATGGACATGGCACAGGAGTTCACCAAAGAAGAGTTTGAGCACTGGATGTTCAATCAGAAGGGTGCAAAAGAGCAGGTCGTATGGGCATACGTTGTCGAAGACCCAGAGACTAAAAAGATCACCGACTTCTTCTCGTTCTACAACCTCGAGAGCACGGTCATTGGGCATAAGAAGCACAACTTGATCAAGGCGGCGTATCTCTTCTATTATGCCACGGAGAAGGCGTTCAGTGGCGACGAAACCTCGCTAAAGACGCGCTTGAACGAGCTTGTCAAGGACGCTCTGATTCTGGCAAAGCAGGTAAGTTGAAAAAGATCCATCTAGTCATGTCGAAGCTCACATGAACAGGCCGACTTCGATGTCTTCAACGCACTCACTCTCCTCGACAACCCGCTCTTCCTCGAAGAGCAGAAGTTCGGTGCCGGTGACGGCAACCTGCACTACTATCTCTACAACTACCGCGCCGCGCCTTTGGGTGGTGGCATCGATGGTCAGAGCAGGCCTAGTACGAAGACGATGGGCGGGGTGGGATTGGTCATGTTGTAGTAGAGGGGCAGCACTGGTCGGTGGTACGTTCATGAGACTATGAACAGTCATGTGGTGTGCGAAAAAGGACTATTCATTGTAGAGGAGCAAGGCTGGATGATGAATCATGGCGTGACATTGCGGAGCGGGCGACTGGCATCTATCGTGACTGCAGGCATGGATTCGGTCGCTTTCGAATACCCAATGCATATTCACTGTGGTATAGTTTCACTGTAGCCACGATTGCGACTGGAACACTGAAACTTTGTATGGCACTCCCGACCGTCGACTGTAGGCACGGAGACGAAACTTGTATGCGCAAACGTGAATACCGGAGATAAGCTACCTCATCTATAAATTGCCAGGGCCACTCAGGCTGCTGTAAGTTTCCTGAACCTGGACGCGATGCTATATCGGAGGTGTTCACGTTACCGCGAGACCGCCCATCGCGCGTCATGGCCCGTGCGCACGATTTTCTAGAGACCCAGCACCTCTCGGAGCACCCGCATCACCAGCCCAGCAGCCCACCCCTTGCGCTCCTCGCGCCAGCTCCCGACCGTCAAATCAACCCTCGCCGCAACAATGCTCGCACAAACGCTCCTCCTTCCGCTCCGCCGCACCTTCCTCTCCGCAGCCACGCCCGCCCGCCTTCCCACCATCTCCCGCGCACTCCACACACCCGCCGCCCGACCATGTCTCCAATCATCCCCGGCCATGGCGAGCTTGTCATCACGATTCGCGGGACTCCGGATACAGCAGCAGACGCGGGGCATGAAGGTGCGGTCGTCGGTGAAGAAGCTGTGCGACGGGTGCAAGAGCGTGCGGAGGAAGAAGGGAAAGTATGTGTACATCATTTGCAGCAAGAATCCAAAGCATAAGCAGAGGTACGTGCCATCGCTTTCTTTCTGGGACTGGGAACTGGGGCTTGGGGGCAGCGCTGGGCCAGAGTGAGGTGCGGACGTGAGCTGATGATTGTGGTGTGCAGGCAGGGATAGAGAATGCGAGATACGAGCGAGCGATCGATGGGACGGGGATGTAGCAGCCAGACGGACAGGCGGCGGCGGGCATGTGGTTACACCGAAGAGGAGGATGGGGTTGGAATTGGGATTTGGTGTGCGAAGACAAAGGCAGAGGAACATGTACCATATGTAGGAATACGCATCCATGGCGCTTTGGGGCTGGTCGACGGCGACCACGCATCACAATCACAAGCCTTCTCAGCTGCGGCGACTCATTGTGCATGACGTCGCTATGCATTTGCAGTACTACGCTATCATGTCGTTCCGAACCCCATCATAACCCGGTGAGCATATTTTCGGAGTAGCTCACTTTACAAGTACCAGCGCTGCCTTTTTGGGTTCCCGTAACGCCATCGTAGAAACAACCGTCGGAAGGGTATCGAGCGTAAGAAAGACGGGGATCATTGGACGGCACAGATCGTCCCTCAACGCCAGCCACGACGCTCCTCATCACGCGGAAAGCTCTCTCCCTGAGCCATTGACGAACCCCTCATGGGGAAGTCCTGCGGGCTCATAGGGTACTCCTGTGGGCTCCTCGGATACTCTTGCGGACTCCTCGAATATTCCTGCGGACTGATCGCATACTCTTGCGCATTGCTCGGCGCGCGTTCCCGGCCTTGATACCGTGGCACCTCCAGCACCGTCCCGCCAGGACTTCTCAGCGGACTCCGATTCGGCACCAGCGGTCTTGTCACATAGTCGCTCTCGGAAAGTCTATAGCTCTGGTCCGCCTTCTGAGCAGCGAACTCGCCTTGAATGTGCTTCTGGTTCTCGCGGCGTGCCGCGAGGTTGTGCTCAGCTGCGGCGCGACTCTCCCCGCGCGCAACGCTCATGTTGTCGATTTTCTCGCCGAGCCGCCGGATTTCGTTGTTCATCATCGTTGCGCCGTCGAGCGAGGTGCTGTCGAGTTCCTCGGACGGATTCGGGGGGACGCTGGCTTCGAGCTCGACGGGCTGGCCGTAGATGGGAGTGGGGTCCCAGGGGCGCTGCCAGCACCATGAGCGCCGCTGGGAGGCTTCGAGGAGCTCGGTCTGACCGTTCGTGACCCATTCTGGACATCGTTTGAGGTCGGTGCAGAGGAAGTAGCGCACGCCATCGGTGTGCTTGAGGGATTGGACGTCTACGGAGAGTGTTGAGAGGACTTGGAGCACGCCGTAGAGAAGCACCCAGCGTCCGAGCCGTGCTTCGCGCGGCGTTGAAGTTTTCAGGTCTGCATTGAGCTCAAACTGCTCAAAGCTGTCGATGAGAATATTGCCACTGAAGGAGGAATCTAGTTTTTCGATGTTTGTGGCGTCGCTGAACACGATAGAGAGCTGCAGGTGCGTCTTAGCATCTTTGGTTGTGTCTGCTTTGTTCTTCTTGAGGCCGCCAAAGAGTCCCTTCTTCTGGGCAACCCTTGTTTGAGGCACGTCTCTCGGCAGTAGCGGATAGGCATGAGGGATATGTGAATACCCATGCTTGTTGTCCCAAGTCACCAAGATATCTGACAATGATAGCTCGGGCAAGTTGGCTCTGAAGTCCTCCGTCTTCAGGTTCACCATCTGCCACTTGTTGCCAGGCCGTTCCTCGCGCACGTCCCAGACAACATCGCGATTAACCAGATAGTCGTACAACATACCGAAGTCTCGCTGTAGATCAAGTGCAATCTTTCTGTTCAGCCATGTTTGGCCTTGGTTTGGTGGCCAATTGCCATAAGTCTTGGTAAGATAATGGACCAGGAATTGCCGAAAGGCCTGGTAGCTCTGATACACAGGAGTTGCTAATTAAGGTCCAGTCAGTAATCGAATTGATCGTACGGCAATCTCAAAGGCACGTACCTGTAGCTTTTGGAAGGTTTGGCCAGAGATCGTCAAAGTCGAAAGTGGCCAGCTTTTCCTCGGCTTCCATGACTCGCAACTGCAGAGATTTGGCGGCAATCCCTAGGTTCCTTCTAGTGGCAATAGTCAATCTCTTGAAGTCTGGGTGCTCCTCTACTTGCGCATTCAGGATACCAGCAAGGTGGACAAAGCTTTCCAAGTACCCTTGTCGCCATCGCACGCTGTCTTGCTCAGCCCAGGCAAGCAGACTGATAGCTAGCTTGATGCCATTCCGAACATCATCAAGTTTGCGTTGTGTCAGATAGTTTGTGATAATCTGGATGCTGCGTTCGCGAGATGTAAGATTCGAGTACTCATGATGGTCGAGGTCGTACATGACCTGAATCTCAGGCTGAAGCGTGCTCAGCATCTCAAACAGATCGGCGCCTACGATAGGTTTGTCATGGAGTATAGCCATGAAGTTCCGCACTGCAACGTGGTGTAGTCTCTGAGCTTGCGGCGTCTTCAAGGAATTTGGCGCTGTGAACCATAATTCGTGCGTCGCTCGTTGCTGCTGGGACGTTCGAAACGAGGGAGGCGGTGACATGGTGCCAGGGCGACTGGAGTCGGGATAGTATTGTGCTCTTGAGTCATTTGAATAACCGGGCACTCCATAATAAGTCTGGTTGATGTTGAAAGGCGGCGGAGATGACATGCCACCCGGGGATACAGGAGACAGCATATGTCGCTGGCCTGGTGGCATCGGGAAATGAGGGGCGAAAGACTGTCGCGAGGCAGACGATTCTCCGTTGTCTTCGAAGGTCCAATCATCGTTGTCATCGATGCTTCCGTAGAGCAAGGCATTCTTCAACCAGGTGGAACCGCAATTCTCAAGCACACTCAGCTCCGCTCTAATCTGTGGGAGTGGACGATCTTCGTCCATCTGTTCTTCCTTGAAAAAGATCAGAACGTCGCCGTCCTGCAAATCTTCGTCCTGTTGCAGTCAGTGATCAAATTCTCAATGCGGCATCGCGTTGCTCACAAAGTCGAAGCCCCCATACGGCCTCATACTTTCGCTTCCACTCTGCCATATTCGAAAGTTCATCCAGCTCTTGTGGTCGGGATCGCTTGGGTAGTTGAGACTTGACTCCGCTCTGAAAAGAGGCGGCACGGGTGTAGAAGCATTCTTCTTCGTAGGGACACCGCCTGTGCCATCGTCATATCAGTGTGTGCTTGGCGGAGTCGGGTTGCTAGAATCACTCACCTCCTCTTCCACGAGGTGCTTTTGTCTCCTTCCCATTAGCTTGGTATTTCGACTTCTCTTTGCCAGTGGATGATGTATCAGAAATCGATCCCGGGCGGCCAGTTCTGGAACGATGCGGATCTGAAGACGAATGGGAGGCAGAAGCTTTCAGAGGCGGCCTGCTGCCACTGCCATTTGCCGAACTGCTTCTGGATGTTGAAACGGTGAGCTGTCTTGTCGGCATACCGCCTGTCGATGTAGTTGTCCGCGTGCCGACCGGACCCCATTCCGCAAAGGCATCGTGTGGTCTGCGAATCGTGTCAGGCGCTTTGCCTTTTTGCGCAGCCTTCTTCTCCGTCTTCTCAATATCTTTGACGACAGCTTTCCGACTTCGCGCGCCTCTTGCCGACATTTTTGCCAAGCTCGTACACCTCGTTACAACTGAAAACGTCGACGTATGTGACAGAGAGACGTAGGAGTGACTGTTACATTAGAAAGAGAAAGAGAGCGCGGTGAAGGTGAAAGGCGAAAGACGCGTGCAGGGTCAATGTTCCACAAAGCGCCCCATAGGCGCATCCGAGAAGTGCGGCTAACAGTGGGCTCCCCCGTGGCTTCCGGGGAGACAGGCCTTGTTGAGAGTGAAGGAGGTGGAGCAAGCGACTGGGTAAAGCTACCGGAGAAAGACGCGAAAGGTAGGGTGCTGCATAAGATAGGATATTCTGAATATATTGGGCTTCGCGAAGACCCATGCGTAGACCCTTACGGTCCCGCCTGGCAGGTACAACAGGTGATGAGGTTGCTATATTGGGTATGGAACATGCGGAGGAGTTGCGGTCCCGATAAGCACCCCTGCATGCTCGATGCTCGGTCGCGGGCGGGATGCTCGGTCGAGCAAACGCTTTGGGGCACAGTCAAAGCCACCATGGAAGCGAGGCATATGCCCGTCTACAGCTACGCAAATGACCCAATGGCGGCATTGTCGTGTGTTCCGCGCAGTGACCGACGAAGAGCAAACGAGCTGGATGCGGTTCAGCTGGGCCTAGAGATAAGGCCTGTATGGATTGAGTACGGGGCGTCAGCGCTGCAGAAGGCGACGGAACACAGCCAGAAGCATGTCATGCTCGCGACCGGAGATTGGACATAGAGCTCGTACGGCGCAGCAGGCCCATATGTGCAGCCTTGCTTCGGGTTGCAGGCGAGCACGATGGCGGTTTGCAGCCCATCACGTGTTGGAGATGGCCGTGGACGTCGGGCGCAAGCGAGGCTCGCATAGCGGACGGGGAAAACGGCGAGAATCTTGGAAGCTGGTGAACCAGGCACTGGGTACCACACCATGCCGCTAACATTCACACGGGTGCCGATCGATTCAAACGTTCAAGGATCGTGGAAGACCTCCGTGTTCGTTGCCATGGAAGCCGGCTCTCCAGGGCTGGGGCTGGGTTGTGGTGGGGCCCGACGGCTGCTTGCCGACGCAATGGTGCGCCCAGAACATCGCAACCACGACAGTTGCGTCGTGATAGTTGCCACCTACCCGCATCGCGCAGTGTCAGGCCATGCCTACAAGGCTTCCAAGTATATCCTGCTTCGTGCCGTGTCTTTGCCGCAGCGCCTTGGAAAGCTGCGACGTCGCCCAGCCACAGGAATATGTTCCAGCCACCTTCCCCGCCATCCCGCCCTGCAGGCTGTCCCTGGGTGTATTTAATTGAACAGCAAGTTTTCCAGCGCACTTATACGTCACCCTGCGTGCCACGAGCTTTTCTCTTAGCTGCAGCAATAAAGCCCGTCTGGTTCCACGTTTTGTAGCCGTCGCGTACCGTCTGCTTCTCTTCTTATATTGCCAAAGTCGTCGCCAGCGGCTGCTAGTTCCCGTTGTGCTTGCATCACCTGCCCAGCAGCAGCCTCAAGATCGCACCTTCGTCTTGTTCAATCTTACATATTCCCGTTGCCTAACAACCGCCATCATGTCGTTCTGGGGAATCTCGTTCATTTTCTGGAGGATCATGGAGATCATCACTCTCATCCCGACGATGGGAATGTTGGTAAGAACACCCTCTCGTAGTTACAGCAAGATCGATGTTGCGGTGAAGCCTGGATAGATTGTCGCAGTAAGCCTGGAATGACTTGAGCTACTGCGAGTGTTTTCCAAATTGGCCTATAACTGCATCGTCCGCGATATGTTCAAACCATTTGTGCACGACTGACTTGAAGCCAGGCTTGGTTCGTTCACTGGTACGACAGTCAACTATATCGCACTCCGACCGAAATCCTGGTACTGTTCATAGTATCCACGCTGGCTGTGGCGTGGACGATCGGAACGCTGTTCCTCTACAGCCGTGCCAGGCACTCGGCAGGCTTCGTCGCGTTCGTCGACCTCCTCTTCGTCGGCGCCTTCATTGGCGCTGTCTACACTCTGCGCCGCATCGCTGATGCGGATTGCTCCAACTGGTCGCGAGGAGGCCAGCATGGCATTAGCGCATTTGGATGGAGTGTCTCTGGATCATTCCCTACGCTTAATGTTGACCGCCAGTGCGCAATGTTGAAAGCTTCATGGGCTTTTGGCATCATGTAAGTCAAGTCTAGCTGGATTATCATCTTTGAACTTGGAGCTGACAACAACAAGGAACTGCATCTTCTTCTTCTTCTTCACCTTCGTCCTGGCTCTCCTCGTCCACCGCCACCACGACAGCCACGACCGCGTCGTCGTCAAGCGCGAGGTTCACCATCATCGCAGCTCGCGCCACCACTCGCGTTCTCCCCGACGCTCACACCACAGCCACCGCTCGCGGTCCTACGTGTAAGGACAACAGGCTTACGACTGCATCCTAAACCCTGCGAGCGAGCGAAGCATTACACACTGGCAATGTCTTTACTGTGAATATGGAACGAATTTGATGGATGCGCAACCCAGCGCATGAACATACGCATTAATGTTGAAGGGAGGGTACTATACGGTTACGACTTACGACACGCTGCTTGGAAGCTGGTGGAGGCTTCATCCGTGTATTTGTGTTATAGTTTGTTATTTAGTTAGAGCGAAATACCCACGGCGAGTCCTTGCGCCGGCCATATCAATGAATCAAATCAACGTCTACAACAAAGCAACTCGTCCACAAACCGCATGTTTCTCAGATCGGCCACAGCATCACCCATCGGCATCAGTAGCGCCCGTGACTACCGCCATTGTCCCATCACAATACTCATGTCGCTCTCTATGGCAATGCTTCGTACCGCACATCTCGACGGCTTGTCCAAATAGCGAATGCCCATTTTGGATCGCCATCTAGAAGCATCATCATCACCTCCACGACTTTGCTGATCGGTGTGAGGACCTCTGCAGGGAACATCTGCACATATGCACTGATCAGTCTCGTTATGCGCTCGAGATCAGTGTTCGGTGTGCTCTTGGGTCGATGGCCATGCCGGCGTTGGCGAAGACGAAGTTTAGCTTGCCGTGGGCTGCGAATATATATGCTTTGAAAGGTAGTAGCGACGGAGCCGTAGTTGGCGAGATCGACTTGTTAGAAAGCTGCCCCCGGTAGACTCTCAGCCGCGGCCCGGCCTTCCGATACGTCTTTGTTGAGGACAAGGACGGTCCAAGTTTTGTGTGTGCTCGGTGCCCTTCCGACGGCAAGGCCAATGCCGCTTGCTCCTCCGTCATATGGCAATGCAGTCGTTCACGGACATACTTGACTGAGTCGTTCAGGATCAAGAATACGCCAAGTTGGGCTGAATTCTGTGCTTTCCCTGGCGCTAAGTTTCACTCTGCAAAACTGCCGCGGTGGAGTGGTCTTAGATGTAGTAGCTCTCCGCGGTCGGCAGCGTATGCAGGGAAGAGAAATGAACTCCGGAGGAATTCACTGATGAAAACGCAAATGCAACTTCAGCTTACCTCTAAGCCAAAGCGAATGCGCGAACGGTGAGACTCATGTATCGTGGGCCATGTGATGGCCGTGGACGATGCAAATCAGCTCATGTAGTTGCGAGTGTGCATCTGGTCATTCTCCGAATCTGGAAGCAAGCTGGTAGGTGCTTGGTAAATATTTGTAGAGCGTCCTACGTCATTGGAGGCCCAGGAGCCTATTGTGCAAAGCCCCGACTGATTGGGTACGCAGATGGTGATTGCATGCAACCGCGCTGGATATTCAGCTGGAGACTGCGCCATTTCATCGCGGATTTGGCGGCGGCCTCGGCAGTTCTGGCCCTTGTGTGTAGACGTTTGTTGTGTAGTCTAGTGTCCGGCACATATGACGTTGTGCCATGGCTCGGGGATTCTGGACGGAAACCTGAACCATGGTGCCGGGCGCTAGTTGCGTAACAGATTCCAGGGTTCGGGAACCCTCTTTCAACGACGTACTCGGCAGCCGTGGGTTTGAGAGAACGCGACACAGCTTGCTGCGAGCCAGTCAGTATGTACAAGCTTCGTGAGTGCAAGGGTGCGCCAACGTCATGTTCGTTCTGCCGCGAAGAGCATGCAACGCAGAGGCAAGAGAAGCACAGAAACAAGGAAAGTCACCATGAATGAAAGAGATGAGTAGCTATAGAAGAAGCGGATATTCTAAAAGTCTTTCATGGCTTCAAAGTGCTTCATGGCTTCAAAGTGTTTCATGGCTTCAAAGTGTTTCCCACTACACCACACCACCAAGACCCATCCAGCTTTGAGACCGTGGTTCATCAAGCCTCAGATTGAGTGAGAACCTTACATACAATCCATTCCACCATGATCTTTGTTCATGTACAGGCATGACCATTCAAAATTAATCCATCACTAGCGATATTGCCATCTCCAGCAGTTTCCTAGCACCGCTCATCCTTGTTCCACCCCTCAAGGCTTCAAGAGGACACCAAACCCCCAGGATGTCAAAGTCGAGCGCAGTTAGGCCAGGCACGAGACCCTCGAATTCCACACAGCCTGCATCTCGGACCAACAATTCCCATTGTCTGGACTGGCATTGAACCTCTTTCGCTCTACAGCTCCTAAGACCATCTACCGAGGACGCCTGATTCCCGCCCCCCTACTAAGCACAAGGCTGTTCAATAAGTACAGTACTAGGGCCAGCTCGGCGGCAACAATCCTTAACCCAAGGCTACCCTGGCAATCACGCTAGATCCCGGACCTGAAGGAAGAAAGGCGACGTGGCGAGGCAAGACAGAGTCTAGAGACGTTCCTCCTCTTAGACCGGAGTGTTGTGTGGAGTGCGGTCTTATGGAGAGAAAGCAGATGAGGGTTGGCGGGGGCAGGTGTGATTTATATACAGTGGGCAGATTAGTAGCGTGTCGCTTAAGATCTTGGCGTGATATGGCGACGAGGTGAAGCAGGTGATAGAAAGATGGGGAGAGGCGGCGAAGGCAAGTGAAGCAGGAGCGTAATGGGCGCTTCATTTGGGCGTTGATCTGGTAGCGCAATCACTCCAACCAAGTCAGATTTGCTAAGCGAGACCCGCGGCCAATGGTACATGGAAAGTCATAGTGTTAGGCGGGAGATTATGAATTACAGGCTCTAGAAGGTCTGAGTGAATTGGGAGACGAAATGCAGTTGCGATATGCCAACTAGAGTTGCACTAGCAAAAGCCTTCTAATAGCCCTCCGCATCAAACAAGAAGAAGCGAATCAGAGTAGAAGAAGATACAATGGGAACATTCACTATTTTGCTATGTCTCTTCACAGAAAGATTCAAGAACCGATGTCAGATCACCAGTACGATCACCAGCGTAAGCAAGCCTGGAGACGTACACTCCAAGCAAGGGTCTTCCTGAACCGCTAATAGGAGAAGATGCTGGCATAGACAAGGATAACTCAAATACTCACCTCGTAAGCATCAAAATGCGCTGTCGCCTGCCCGTAGGACACGACACCATCTCTCTCAATCGGTACCCCATCCTGCTGCAGTCCACCGCCCGGAATGTAAATAAGGCTTCCTACAGCGATTGCAGCCGTACCGTGGCGTGGCACTTGCATATCGGGCAATTTCTTCCACTCTTTTGACTTCAGATCATACATCTCGGCCTGAGGGTAGATACCGTTAGAAGTATCCGGATTACACTCTCCACCAAACGCAACGAACGAACTCCCAACAGCACTGCCTGCGATTCCTCCGCGAGCAGTAGGCATACGCGACGGAGAAGTTTGCCAGCCAGCAGTCTGATTTCGTAGATCGAGCGAGAAGACGGTATCGCGAACGTTGGTACGCTCAAACCAACGCCCTCCAACGACGTAAAGCGTGTCTTCGACCACGGCGCCGGCAGCATGTTGGCGACCTTCCGGCATGTTCGCCGCGACCGAAGGCACGCGCTGCCATTGCAAGGACGTGGTGTTGAACGCCGTGACAGTCGAAGAAGCGTCCTGGACCACGAAATTGAGCACCGTCATGCCGCCAGCTACGTAAATCATGTCGCCATGGACCCCTACGACTGCGCTTCCTCTTTCCGTGCCCGGAGGCATGGAGGCGACTTCGGTCCAGGCGTTGGCGATGAGATCGTAGACGTAGCTTTTTCCGGTCGCGATCCAGTCTGCTTCTGCTGTCGGTGGGCTTTGTGTATCGACGAGGCCGCCGAGGAGATAGATTCGCTCATTTACGACGGCGGCGTTGGGGTGGTTCAGTTTGATTGGGAGTGGAGCTGCGGTACGCCAGGTGTCGGATGGGATGTCGTACAACTCCACGAGGTTCGTGGAAAATACTCTCACTTGGACCGACTGGAAACGGTTAGCACAGATTAATATATATGGTTGCATCGAGTCTTTGGTGTGGAGCTTCAACGTTACGCTAGTTGTAAACTGATACGTACATCATTTCCAATTCGTTCCACGCCCCCTAAAACTGCAATGGTGTTGTTGTTGACGGCGACCGTGGCGTGTTCTTGTCGAGGACTCGGTAGGGAGGTCAGGTTTACCCAACGATTTCCGTCTACCGTGTTCGTTTGGTAGCCCTTCGGCAGTGCTGCTGCCGTGAAGCTTGCCGTGAATAGAAAGGTCGAAATTCCAAGGAATAGCGGTAGTTGCATTTTTCTAGACTGGTTCGAGCCAAAACTAAGGGGATGTACTAGAGGTGTTGCGTGTTGAGTGATTCTTCGACGAAGACCCTGAGATACCTTTAAATATACGTTGCATTGGATGTACGCGGAGCAGTTGACGTCCGTCTACGTATCTGTCTTACATGAGTGTCGCCCATCATACTCAGTGGCCTTAGTTCTCCACCTCTGAACGAATCAGCAACAATTTCTGAAGCCTCAGCCATGTTCCAAGGAGCTACAATGCGCCCGACTGACGACGCGTCTGACATCGTCCACTTGTCGTGCGGGATGATAGTTCGGCCTCACAATGTATGGATGATCCTGGGCACTGACGACCGGGAACAGAAGGATGCGAGCAAGGTTCGAGACAGTTTGCGGATGAAAAGTCCGATGTTGTACGATATTAGTTGGCGTGCACAGTTGCTGGCGTGGTACCGGGTCTGGAATGCCAAGATGATTGGGGGTAAGCAGGAACAACAAGTCCACACGTCCGATGGACATCTCCGACTAACTTTGTACAATAGCAGGCTATACACAGCCTGATAGCCAAGCGCCTTCCTGCATGTCTGCCCACAGAGTATGGATTGACATCCGTAGATGCCAACCCTACGATCCATCTCCTAGGCGCGGGCGCCATGACAACCCAGTGCCTCACGGCCGATAGCCTCCTTGCAACCACAACTTCAAGCCTTGAGCCTGCGCGTTGAAGGACTCCTGCAGCTTCTGCTGGTACAATTTCTGCGTCAGTGGCGCCAAAGTACCGCTGAAAACCTCGCGACTTTCATACAGCACCTGTCCATGCTCGTTCACACTCAAAGCCTGCCAGCGTTCTGCGGCCATGAGCGGGCTAGGATAGTATTCCCAGGCAAGACGCCCTAGTTCCGGCTGCACATGGGTGACGTTTTCATAAGATAATTGCGTGTTAAGTAAATTCTCTTGTGTGTTCTCATTGACAGGAAGAGGAAGCGCTGGGAGCTGGACGCGTAGCAAGAGCTGTGAATTTTCGACAGGGCGTTGGACGAGAAGGGAGCTGTTGCGGGAATCCACGACAACTGAGGAGCGGACGAAGGGGTTCCATTTGGGATAGTCAGGGAAGTTGGTGAGCGCGTCCCAGGCCGCGCTGATGTTTGTATTGTCGATCTCGATGCGCGCACTGACGTTGAACAAGCCTGGCGCGACGTCCGGAAGGTTTGTCGCGCCGGTGACGGCCAGTGGCAGCCAGAAAGCAGAGGCCATGTGAGGGAAGTGTGATACGAGCCTCATGACGCTGTGAAGATAGCAGATATTGGGTGGATGTATCGCGCCGTGCAGGTGAAGGACAGCGGAGGTTCGCCGTGGAAGCAGACGAAAGGCTGGTATACACCGGAAGACGTCAGGTATGTAGCTGATGCTCCGATCAGACGAGATGCAGGACTCAGGGTCTACTAGAAAGAGAACGGAATTTCATGATGCGCAACACGAGACAGCTGCGGAGGTTTAGCCTATTTGATACTGAAATAGGAGAAGCGAGGTGTATGTCAGGTACGCCCAGCGCCTATGGGATCACCAGAATACGAAGTTGACGTGCAACCACGATAGATGGGTAGAGTAGCCAGAGAAGCTCCTGCTGTTGTTCCCGCCCGATAAGAAATGTTGTTGGGAAGGACACGATTGTCGGGGAATGTCCGCATATGCAGCCTTGGGTCGCCGTGTCTCGTTGTCCATGCGCTGTGCACGCAACAGTGTCGGAAATGGCGAGGCCGTAGAAGGTCAATCACGAGGTGCGTAGCGAGTGGCCGACCAAGCGACGACGGCGGCCAGGGGAGGCCCTATGATCTCATTGTTTCCAGAGCGGCCACACGGACAGGTGACCTGGACGTGCAAGTCATGTGCTGGGCTGGACCGGCTGGAATGCTCACGGGTCCGCATCCGGTTCCAGGCGATGCTCGTCGTCATGCTCAGAGCCAACGTAAGCATGTGGTATGGCGGCTTTCAGCCATGAGGCTAGGGCAGACGCGCAGATTGGAGGAGGGCTCTAGCATGGAGCCGGCCGTGGGCGGGGCTGCGGTAGGCGCGTGTCGGCAGCCCGCTGCAGGTGCGCGGTGTGCCCCTCGTCGGGGTACCAGATAGCGGACTGCTTGCCGCATGCCTCTGAGCCTCCGACTCATCCTCTCTCAAGCCCGTCTTGAGAGTCGCGCACCGCTACACACGCTCTTGCTCGATACACACCGCTGCGGCGACCCGACCGCGCCTTCTCCATCCGCCCGCCCGCCTCGCCCCTGCCGTCTGGAGCTCAAGCAGGGTGTTGTAGCGCCCCGCCGCCGCCGCGTCGACCCGCGCGTGAACAGACTCAGGGTCGAAGCTGCCAGATCACGTCTCCCCAGGCAGAACAGCTCGCGACAGGACATCGTGTCCGCAGCTTCTGGTGGCTGACGCGTGATAGCTCAGCCCTGGTGCGGTGCCGTGGTGAATGACGCATCCGCCCTTTGTCTCATCCCAACCACTCATCCGTCTCAGACCTCAACACCACGTCCCGTCCTGCACCAACCCCGCCGCGCCCGCCGCTAGAGCTGTCCGCAGCGACCCCCGAGCCCCGCCAGCCATTTGAATGAGCCCATCGCCCAAACCCGCGCCCGAGCATACGCCGCCTGTGTCCAACCTCACGCATCTGTACAAGCACTCGCGCAACCCGACGGTGGACTCCCGCGGCCGCAACCCCGCCCGAAATGAGCTGGGAAGAGGAGATAGACATGGCGAGAGGGTCACCCGCATATACCCGCGCCAAATGTGAGTGCTTCTGCCTGCATCGTGGTGCCGCCTGGGTGTCTGTTGCGCCGCACGCAGCGACTATCCACGGCCACACCTTTTAGCAGCGCCAAAACCACGCAGTCGGCGTATCCCAGCCGGCCCTCTGCTTGAGCGAACGCTGACTCCTTCACACAGAGCAAACTCGCCGCCTGCCGCGAAGCGCTTTTCTTCCGCGTCGCCAACCGGTCCTTCGTACAATGCAACCACCTCTCCGCTGCTGTCGGCCCTGGGTGCGACCACCAAGTCTGCGGCTCAATACACGAACGAGTGGACCAAGTCCCTACCCTTCTTCGCGAACCAAGCCTCCCCAAGCCACGGCGGTATCCCCATAAACGGCTCGCCGCCCCAGTTCCACAACTCACCCAACGCCCGCGCGGGCGTCTATGGGCAAATTGCCGTTTCTGCTTCGCCTCCTGTCGTGGGTATGAATCCTCGCAGCACCCCGGACCACTATACTAGCTTCGGCGGCCGCCTGCGCGGTTCCCCTCACGAGTCTCCCGCAAGGGACCCAAGAGACCGCAGGGCGTCCATGTTCTCCCATACTGGAGGCCGACCAGCCTCTCAGCAATTCGCCGCAAACCCTCCACTACCACACCAGCCTCAGACTCACTTTTACAATCTGCCCGACTTCAATCTTGGACTCAACAATGCCGCCCCCGACGGTCTTGCTGCAGGTGAAGAGGGATACTACTGTGGTTTCGATACGCTGGGTATGGCGGCAGATGACGCAGCTCGAAACGCCGAGAATGTTCTCTTGGTAGGATATCAGGGCGGTCTTGACATTTTCAGAGTGGAAAAGGGTAAGATGGATGTGTTGGGTCGCTTGGAAGGATTAAGAGGCGGCGTGATAGGGGCCAAAGTCCTACCATGGACCTCTCGAAGAGATCCGCTGTCTGCCGTACGACCTCTGGTAGTTCTCACCATCCATGGGCCTGTCTTAGGTGACAACAGAAGTAGCAGTGGAAGCGATGTACCTTCCGTTGATGACGACGGTTCTTCTGATTCTCCTAGTCGCCCTGGTTCTCCTCACGGTAACGATGCAGCCGCCCGGATCACCAGTTACCAAACAACGGTAGAGGTATTTTCTCTCAAGGAGAAGTGCAAGATTGCCGTGCTCTACCAGAGTCCGTTCATAGCGGTCACATCGCCCGTCGACAGTCCGCTGTTCCAACCACCGCCCCCAATCGGCGACCTTTCAGTCGATGCCAAAGGCAAATTCGTGACCATAGCCTCTGGAGCCAGCGGTGAAGTCTTCATTTTTGCCCCTTATTCGACGCCACGTGAAGACGTCCAAGAGTCCTTCCGGTGCATAGGAAAAGTCTGGACCACTGTACAACCGCGAGAACGTCTAAATCTTTCCAGTGCATCCAGCGCCGCCGATGGTAGCCATGAGGACATCGCCCCGGAGATCTATGGCGTACCTGTCGTTTCCCTATCGGAGCGATGGTTGGTCTTTTCTCCTCCCGCATCAACTGCACACTTCCCCGTCAACGGCATTCCTTCGGTATCAGCCCAATACGAACGTCCTCCGGGGCTGTCACACCATACTGTTCCATCGCAACCCTCCGTGAATTGCGCCGTGGACGCACCCGAAGCCCCCAGCCTCATTAACCGCCTGACAAAGGAAGGTACACAGGTTGCGATTAAAAGTGCAAGATGGGCTTTTGAAAAGGGCACACAAGCGTACAAGAACTACATGAACAAGGGGATCCAACCGAACGGAGCCAATGCACATGGACCCGATCCTTCGCAGCAGTACTTCCCTCCAACTCACGGCCACAACCAAGCTCCAAGACAGGAGGCTACCGTCATTTCGATCCTCGATCTCCAAAGGCTTCACGATGCTGAAGAGACCAAGAGCAAGACGGCATTGAACCCCATCGCTACTTTCCCCGCGACGCTGGGCTGCAGCCTCCTCTCCTTCTCGCCGGGAGGCTTGATGCTGATGACAGTTAACAAGAAAGGGGACGTTTACGAGGTCTGGGACCTGAAGCGCTTGAACTTTCGGCGGGCACGCAAGACCACCAGGGAGCAAGCCACAGGTCAGCATGTACGCCAGGTTGCGCGTTTCAGTCGCATGACTGTTTCCAATGTGGTTGACGTGGTCTGGTCTGCGCCGAGAATCGATAAAGTCGCAGTCATCACTGACAAGGGAACTGTGCACATGTTCCTCATGCCTGCATCGGCGTTCCAATGGCCACCTTCAAGGCGCATTCGCAAACCGACCGACATTGCCATGCCGAAAGCTGAACCCACTGAAGCTGGCCGCGGCAGTACCGTCAATTCAGCCATGCAAGCCTTGAATGGCACAGCCAAACCCTGGCTCGATGCAATCAGACCTGGCAGCAATAGCAATGGTTCCCGCTTCACTTTCAAGGGCTTCGGCATGACACCAGCTGCTGGAGCCAAGTCTGGGAAAGCCGTGGCTGTGGGAGTGGGCAAGCAGATAAACACTATCCGTCATGCCGGCGACAACAAGCTGGCATTGCCAACTTCCCCTAGCGGCGTAAAGACTCACTCTGTGAGATGGCTTACTGGGAAAGGGCGGGGGCACATCGCGCTGGTATCCGGCGGAGTGTTGCAGATCCATCGAGTACAGATGCGGCCTGCAACAGGGAAAGGCAAGTCTGCAAACGAGAATTCGATAACGAAGAAGAAGATATCTGAGTTTGGCCTTCTCCCCATCCGCGATTCAATACTCGCGCCTTCGATCGCTGCTCAGCTGTCTGTCCAGCCAGACGAACCAGAACAGCTTCATGAAGTCCACGGAGAATGGATTCCTCGAGCGCTGCCTGCTCGTAATGGCAGAACTGGTAAGTCGCATCATGTTGTGTGGAAACTTGCGATTGACACTGACTGATATCAGGTTCAGCAACTAAGCAGACAGGAATAACACCCGCACCTCTCAGCTTCTCGGAAATCGAAACGAACCCGCCCTATCAGCCATTTTATACCGATCGTCGGGTCACGCGCTTCGTTTTTGCCCAGCTACCTACTGAGGCCCAAGTGAGCAGTAGCGAGTACCAGACCCCAGAGCTTGTGTCCGAACTACATAACGAGAACGACGAAGCGCCATGGCTCTTCGGTGATGACGTGGAAGCGGTCCGCATCTCCTCTCCTATCACTCAGCATTTTGACTCAGGTGATGAAGACGCGATTGCAGGCGTCGCAGCGCGGATCGAGAACAAGCTCATTCGACGTGATGGAGAGGATGAGATCGAGCAAATCATCGTGACGACTAGGCGTAGGCGCACGAGGCGCGACGGCGCTGAAGACGAGGAGGAAGGTTTCTTTGAAGACGATTGCGAAGTACTTGATTTCGCCGAGGACAGGGTTTGAGCGACGTTACTTGCGCTCGCTTCATGTTTTGTTTCGCATCAGATGTTGAACCCAGGTTTCATCTCGACTTATTACTGGCTTCAGATTGAAGCAATTTATAGATGTGGCGTTGGTGTGTAGCCATGGAACGGTGCATGGGGGTGCTTTGGTTCTCGTTTTGCATGTTAGGGATACCTCATGGACGCTTGTTTAGTGTATATAGCAGTAGCGTAGGATCGATAACACAATGTACATGTTGCATACCCGTCTGTTGATTGCGCGCAAAAGTTGCAGCATAAAAAACTCTTGGTACTGTCAGTCTACGAACTGTCTAGCGTGGGGTAACACAGCGCACCCAAACCTTAGTGTACTGTATACCATTGAATTGTAGTTTCGGCCTGCGCTGTTGGACACAAGCCAGGAGCACTACGGCATTTGACTTCAAATTAGGATAACCGATGGTAATGCATTGTAAGTCGGCGGCATTCATATGACAACATGAGACCTTCTATTTGCCCTTAGGCAAACGAAAACCAGTCTCCGTGGCAACATGCGCCCTTCACTCGAGCTGTCTCTCGGACTGGGTCGATATGGGAACCATATACGTTACATCCAAGTCAATTTCTCGCGTTCCTACAACCCGCCGCACCAACGCTCGCCACTCCATATCGTTGCGATGCCTCCAAGGGCCAAGGTCAACATGGCGGGATATAGACAGCACGTACAGAGTCTACCGCATTTCTTTAATGACTTAGCCTCGGATCTCGACTTCCATCGGACACGAAGTGCAACGGTACCCCTTGTAGAGAAGGCACTGAAGAAGCAAGGGGCTACCTGCAGCCTGGTACTCGATCAATCTGCGAACTGCAGCCTTAAATCCAGGATTATGGGTCCCCAATGCGCTTTCTTCACCCATATGTGGGCAGTAGAAGGGAGTCCTTCAGTTTGTGGCACCAAAGTCTTTTAGAGCGATGCCAACGGCCCATGTCTTCCTGGAAAGTAGGCCGTCATCGACCGCAGGAAACACCACGTCGTATCCCCATCTCTTGCGTTGTCTCAGAAAATGCGGTGTTCCATACCTACCTTGGTCCATAGCGGAACCCGCGCATGATCTCCTAGAATGTAAGCCATTTGCAGGCCACGAGGTGCACTAACAACTCTCCAGTGAGGTTTTTGTCGACCGGTTCGCAGATGTAGATCAGATCCTTTGTCTTTACTTTGATTTGTCTTTACTCTGAGTCGTCTGTCCACTTTCCGGCCCGGGATCTGACAGCGACGTACATAAAGCAGAGAAGCTCATGAGGGTGTTCGCGATCGCGTTGGAGCAGGTACTGAGCCCGTTCGTAAGATTTTTCTGGCCCTTGCAGCTCTTTTGGTGTGTCCTGGGCGCTTCTTCTGGCCTGCAGGGTGATTGTTGCGGAACTCCCTTCCACTGCAGTTCCAACAACTTTCGGAGCTTCGTAGGGTCTTGAAACTCATTGTGATGATTACCAAATAGACTGCGGTACTTGGGATGGCCCTCTGCAGTCTATGTATATTCTTGTGCGAGCAAAGCCGTGTTCTGGCAAGTTGCTCAACATTTTTTGGATTACCTGTAGTAGACTTTTTCTCTACAGGTCATCGACCAGGGTACTTAACATAGGAGGCCCCAACAATGCGCAATGTCTGTCCTCTCTCACAGATCCCATCTATTCTAACATGTTCCTTTTTGCGCAATACACTCCAGCGTTCCAGACAAATATACTCGCTATAGCACTTGAGGTGGACAAGTAACTGGGTTACATGCAGCCTGCATGTCAACTCGAGAGCGCGCCGAATGGCTCCGTACGCCTAATATGGGCGAGTAGGCCTCTCATAAGAACGCTCTCAATACCAGTCAAAGCTGTAGACAATGATAGTGGTGCAAGTTACCCTAGGCTCAATTGCTTGGTGGCGCAGGAATGCATGGGCCAAGACCCTGCCTCCGTTCCCACTCGCCAAGCCTTTGCGTCACTCCGCGACTCGAAATACTTTCCGTCAGCCCACCAGCTGCAACATAGCACTCGACAGCTTCACCCCCGCCGTTCAACCACCACCATGGACGCCCTTCGCTCAGCCTTACAGCCGATTACGCATAATCTCCCCGCTCCGCTCGTGGAGACGGGGCGAAGCCTAATCGGCCCTGTGTGCTACAAGACGCTCGTTGTCGACATCGATCCCTTTGCGTCGCCCGAGTGCCTCAAGCTCGCCATCAGCAAAGGACTCGGCATCGGCATCATCGCCGCCTCGTCCATCGTCAAGGTCCCGCAGCTCCTCAAGATCCTCAACGCGCAGTCCGCCGACGGCATCTCCTTCCTTGCCTACCTGCTCGAGAGCGGCAGCTACCTGATCAGCCTCGCGTACAATGTCCGCCACGGGTTCCCCTTCAGCACCTATGGGGAGACGGCCTTGATCCTCGTACAAAACGTGGTCATCGCGAGCTTGGTCTTGAAGTTTGGAGGGAAGGGCGTGGGCAGCGTCGGCGCATGGGTGGCTGGTCTTGTCGCCGTGGGCGCTGCGCTTGCGAGGCCGGACATTGTCGACGTGAAGACGTTGGGCTACCTGCAAGCTGGTGCTGGTGTGCTTAGCGTAGCCAGCAAGCTGCCCCAGATTTGGACCGTGTATCAGCAGGGCGGCACTGGGCAGCTGAGCGCCTTCGCTGTGGGTTTCTTGAATACCCGTATGTGTGCGTGCACTAACTTTAAAAACAGGTCATCAACTACCTCCTCGGCTCGCTTTCCCGTATCTTCACCACCCTCCAGGAGGTTCCCGATCCGCTCATCCTATACAACTTCATCGCTGGCTTCGTGCTCAACGCCATTCTTGCACTGCAAATGCTTGTATACTGGAACAGCCCCGCCTCCAAGAAGACCGAGAGCAAGAAGCTCAATAAGGGCTTTGTTGCGGCGGGCAAAGGTCCTTCGTCAGACTCTACAGTCAAGGGAGCCCCGAGCTACGCAAAGGCGACTGGAAAAAGCCCCGCGCCTACCACCAGACGCCGCGGCTAGAAGCTGTGCTCTCAGTGTTTGAGGAGACGTTGATAGTTTCGTGAATATCATCATTTTGTTCTTCCACTATTTTTTCTATCCAGCTGTGATAACTCAACAACAGCCAACCTAGCCAAAAAACAAACGCTATGCCTGAAAGATTTTTCCGCACCAATTTCGGATAGGGGTATCATGTATGGGAAGAAGCAATAAGCAACCATAAACGTCGGTCACCAAGGCATTAGTCGTGAGTGTTCATAATCTCGGACGCAAACTTGCTCCTGCGGCGGATCTTTGGGCCGTAGAAAACAAGAACCCACGGCACGATGGTCAGCAGGGTTCCAATGCCGCCGAGTAAGCTCGAGGCTCCTCCGAATGTCAGTCTATTATACATCTGACGCGTCACAAGCGGGAAAATGCCGCCTATTCAGTCGTTAGCTACCCGTCGGAGTGAAAAATATATCAGAAAGGCGTGACATACCGAGTATATTCCTGCAGAAGCTCTGCGCGGCCAGCGCCGAGCTGGCATACCGATGGTAAGTATCCGCTAGGTAGTTGAACGTCGACAGGTAGATGCTGAAAATACCGATGGTCGCAAGAGCAATAGCAATAGTCGGTGCGATCCAGTGAATGCCGGAGAAGCTCGTCCACCCAAACATGAACAGCCCAATCGGCATGCACGCACTCTCGATGCACGCAAAGTACAGCCGGCCCTCGGGCGTGCTCGCCAGCTTCCCGTACTTCTTCGCAACCTTCTCTTGGTAGATCGATATGACGGTTGATAGAATAGCGCCCACGCACATGGCAGCGAAGACGGCGTTGGCCTGTTGCAGCGAGAAGCCGTGGTTGCGCTGGAATACGAGGGGGATCGCGGCCAGCGTGAGGTACAGCACCGCCCAGGAGAAGGCGACCCACAGACTGAAGAAGAAGACGACGGGCTCGGTAAAGAGGAGGTGGAAGGGGCGGAAGAGCGAGGTGCGGATCATGCTCATCAGGCTGGCGCGCAGCTCGTCTTCCTTTACTTTCCAGCGGATACGCTGGGGTATGGCGGGTTTTCCGTCGGTCCGGGGCATGTTGACTGTGTAGTATCCGGCTTCTTCGCGCGCGGCGTACCACTTGTTGAGCGCCTTCGCTTTGCGGCTGAGGAGCACGCTGCCGCGGGTTTCTTCGAAGATGACGCAGATCACGGCCACGGCTGCCCCGTTCATGATGGCCTGCATGTAGAAGATCCACCGCCAGGTCGTGTTCTGCGCAATGAAGCCGCACACGAGAGGGCCCCAGCCGGTTCCAAAAAGGGCGCTTCCCGAGAACAGGGCCATGGGGGTGTTTCGATCTTCGGCGTGGTAGATGTCTGAGACGACGCCGCCAACCATGGTGGAGAAGGTAGATCCGCCTACGCCGGTAAAGAAGCGTACGACGAGCATGCCGGCATAGGATTGTGTAAGGCCTGTGCATAGTTGGCAGATGACGAAGAGTATGCCTGAAGCGATGAAGACGGGACGGCGGCCGTTGATCTCGGAAAACGGTGCGAGGATCATAGGCGCAACTCCGAACCCTTGAGTATGGTGAGTGTGCGTTCCAAACGACAGTTCCATGGAAGTAAAAGGAATGGCTTACCGCAAGTGAAAGTTGTTATCCCAACGAAAGCGGCAACGCTGCTGACGTGCCACTCCTCAGTCATCTGGCCCACACCTGGTGAGTACGATCCAGCCGAGAACGCAGTCAAAGCTGTGATGAAGCAAGAAAAATAGATCGTCATGTTCTTCCGAGTCTCAGGCCAGTCGAACGGGGAATCGAATTTTTTCAAGTTGGGCGCCTCGGGTGCCGGCGGTTGGTCCGCTCTAGTCGGACATACTGATGTTGGTTGAGGTAGTTCGGTCGTGTACGTAAGGTAGTGGTAAACGATCTCCCCAGGACCTTCCTCCTCGCTCTCAGGCACATCTTCGGTGTCGTTCTTCGCATCGAACCTCGTATCAGAACTTCGTGCGGTTGTGGGTTGGGATTCCCGTGCACCATGCGTGTTTATGCCCGGGCTGCTTGCGTTTATTCCCGGAGCTTCACCGCCGGCGTCTGACGGCTCTGGTGACGGAAGTCGCTCAGTTGCTGGATCGGCCATGGCTCGAAGAATGCATCTACATCCTTGAGAAGCAGTGTTCTTCGGGGTAGGAGGTAGTCTCGGGCAGATCGAAGAACAGGATGGGATGCAGGTCAATGGTTATAAACTCAGCCATAATTACAAGACCCACAGGCGGTGGGATTGGAGCTAGTTCCCGGTAGTTTTGCGATTAAGTAGGTAGTGCATCGGCGGCGCAGGCTCTCTTTTGGGATGATTGCCGGGGATTGGGTTGGTGCCATCGGGAATACGACGAAGAAAGCGCACCAGCGCGTGGAGTGCCGGGTATTAGAAGCGGCTGACGCCTGGCGAGGGAAAATTGGAGCTTGGGCAAGAGTCTGGCTTGTTATAGTGCAAAAACTGAATGTATCATTGGCAAGAGGTGGGGTAAATCTCCGCTAAAGCTTTGAGTCCGCGACAATGGTGGGCTTGGAAATGATCCGAACGTAGCATCCATGCTGACGCATTCAAGTTTCGGGATGTTGTCATTCGTTCACATACTCACCTCCTCGATATATTGACTCTACCTTTGTGTGTATGTTGTGGAAGCTACAGTCTCCCTCTCTGCCATTGCTCTGGATACAGAAAGACGCGGCACGCCTGCATAAACATACCTATGGTACTTGGTATGGCAGTTGTTCTGTGTAAAGGTGCAGCGTGCCAGACAGCAGCAAGAATAGGGAGAGATTCGCGGGAGGCTGGCAGCTGGCACCAGCAAATGATGTGATATCTGATCAAGCGGCTTTTCCCGGCCGCCATCATGGGCTTTCCCGTGCACTGCACCTGCAGGGCGTCTCCCACGTGCTTTTAGCTGGCCTCCGCTAGATTTTGAGATAGTGTACGAGTCCAAGACCTGGCTTGGACAGGGATGCTACTGACGCACTAACGGAGACGCGATGTTTGCCCCGGAGGACATGTATTGGCGGTACGAACTTTTCAATGGTAATCCTGAGATGATGGCTACCTGTGGTTGGGCGTATTTGCAAACGGCTTTGTGCTCTGGCCCCACTGCTGCTGGACTGCATCTGGAGAAAGCGGGTGGGGACCCGTAGTATGGATACTGACACAAACAAGCTGCCCGAAGCCGGAGCTCGTAGGCTTTGTGTGAAGAGGAAAAAACATCTGACATTGCATTGCTGTCAGCTGCTAAACCAGAGCACGTCGATGCTGGAGATGAGAAATTGAGGTCGCCGAGCAAGATGCAATATTCCTGGAGGCTTGCGGCACTGCTCGCATTCGCTATGATACACCCGACCGCCCTTAGAAATGGCCAATGATTGGCTTGAAAGGGCGATCGTGGCGTAGGATGGAGGCAGAAAAGGTTTTGTTGCCCACACGAGAGAATTGCGTGCTCAGAGCCAAAGACGCTATGCCACTTCCGAGCTGTGAGCCTCTGTTAGCTGGTATACAAGAAGGGTCTCGATGAGCGCATTCCGCGCTCACAACCAGCTCCCGCCTCTGAATTTCTCCCAACGACTCTACCCACATACAGCAGACAGTAACTGCATCTTCTATACCCCCAAACATCTTCAATTACCCCAAGGTATGCAGGCTAATGCAGCTCCGTTCGCACGCTGCTACCCCGCTATACCCCTCATTGCCGCCCTGGACTGACGCACGGCAGAAATCATGGCCAACGAAGAGCGCCAGCAGCCTCTGCGCCTCGGCTCCATCGCGCCCAACTTCAAGGCTGAGACCACCAAGGGCCCCATCGACTTCCACGAGTTCATTGGCGACAAGTGGGTCGTTCTCTTCTCTCACCCCGAGGATTACACGCCCGTCTGCACCACTGAGCTGGGCGCCTTCGCAAAGCTCGAGCCCGAGTTCACCAAGCGCGGCGTCAAGCTCATCGGTCTTTCGGCCAACACCATCGACAGCCACGATGGCTGGATCAAGGACATCAACGAGATCAGCGGCAGCAACCTGAACTTCCCCATCATTGGCGACAAGGAGCGCAAGGTTGCCTACGCCTATGACATGTAAGCGCGTCCGAGGAATACATTTCCACATACACAGTGCTCACCTGGCTGCAGGCTTGACTACCAGGATACCACCAATGTCGACTCCAAGGGCATTGCCTTCACCATCCGCTCTGTCTTCATCATCGACCCCAAGAAGACCATCCGTCTCATTCTCTCCTACCCCGCCTCGACCGGCCGCAACACGGCTGAGGTGCTCCGCGTTGTTGACTCGCTCCAGACAGGCGACAAGCACCGCATCACGACCCCCATTAACTGGGTACCCGGTGACGACGTCATTGTCCACCCCAGCGTCAACAACGAACAGGCCAAGGAGCTGTTCCCCGACTTCAAGATTGTGAAGCCGTACCTGCGATTCACGCCCTTGCCCAAGGAAAAGACCACTGCTGCGTAAGCTTGCGCAGGTCAAGGGCAGGCATTGCCCGCGTGCTGCGGCGTTTGTATGGGCGTCGCGGAAATTCGATGGCTGGGCTCAACAGCATGACGGGGGTTGGACCTTTGTGCTTCTAGAACATCATGGGATGCTTCGAGGCTTGTCCGTCCCTGCACTGCCACGCGATAAGGCTGAGCGGTCAGAGGTGTGTTGAATGTTCGTAGAATGGATGATACCACCCACTCCACATGCGCTACCTTGCTCGTGATTTCTCGTGGTGACTGTGACGGCATCGGTCGCAACCTTGCGCGTCCGCAGCGAGGAGTAGCGGATTTGTGCCTATATGTAAGGACCTCATTTGCCCGGATCCTTGCCCGCACGATTCCCGCAGGGCCGTGCGTTTCAACATCCCAGGAGCGCGGATGCGCTTGTGGATAACATAACCTCTTCTGCGGGCGACGGAGCTGTGCGACGCTTCTGCATCCTACTACTGCCCTCGTTGGGATTCTGCTTTTTGAATTTTGTTTGTTGTCGTGTCGTCGGTGCCGCGCGTGTCGCGTAGTCCCCCAGTCCCGTCCCTCCTCACCGCATTCCTCCAGGAGCGGAGCGCACATCGACTCCGCCGTGCGTCTCGCGCACCCACGCCCCAGCGCGTCACTCGAGATCTATTCTCGTCGCAGTTGTTGCGGCCTGCCCGAAGACCGCGCCCCTCGCCCTTTGTCTGCGCCTGCGTCCTTGCATTCCTCAGGTTCCAGCAGGTCACCGCCGCCGAGCCCACTAGGCCGCTTCCATTCTTAGCCCACCACGAACCTTTGCGCCCAAACGCACGACTGCTGCCTTTCTCCACACCATCGGCTGCTGCAGTAACGCTCCCAACGCTCTTTGCTCTCATTTCGCATCTCTTCCGTCCGTCTCCGCCCGCTGTGCGTGGCGCACCTAACGTAAGGCTGCGTCTCTCTTTCCATCGCGCGACCCCTCATTCATCCCCCGGGCCTACACCCAAGCACGTGTCACGCCCATCTGCCTTAGCTACCGCCCACCTCAGCCCATCGCGTGTACAGGGCGCGGAATAGAGACTAGCCCAATGATTTTGTCGCCCTTAGAACCGCTTCAGCCGGCCCTGAGTCCTGTCCCACGAGGGTGTGCAGATGCAGTCGCGGTGCCATGTCGGTGTTACAATACACTCGCACCGCATCTGTATCATGTGTATCCCTTCCTAAATTGCACACATGGCTTGGTCGGCTATTCCTGCAATGGCCATCGTCTGCAGCTGGGATGCAAAGTGGTCGTTGAAAACAACGACACGTCCCCTTTCGAGCCTTCCTGATCTCTTTTGGTCTTCACCGAGTTTCATCACTGACAATGCTTCCTCTAGGAGTTGTAGCCTATCCTTCGGTTGGTGCCGGTCCTCTGGGTGACGGGTCGTCGTCTATCTGGAAAAAGCCCAGGGTACTCAAGCTCAAACGCGCCTTGTCGAAGCAGAGAACACCATCTCGCGAGGCTGCAAGTTCCCACATCCGTATTCCTGCCGAGGTACTCCTATCAGAGCCTACATTCCTCCTATGCATGACGCAAACGCTGACCAAGCGGCTTCTAGGTAGCTTCGCCTGGCCTCACTGGATTGATACCCGCCCCTGTTCATGCTGAGCATCCTCCTGCTGTCGTCACCCAGTCTTCCTGTTCGACGAAGCCCAGGCCAAAGCACGTTCCCATTCTTATCCCGCACTATGTTCCGAGCGTAGCACCAGACAGTCCTTGTACATCTTGTGGACTTAGCTCATCCAGAACCTCTACGACAGTATCCAGTGGCCATCCTAGTCTTTCGAGCTTTCCTCTGGCCCGCGGTTCTGTTGGCGATTCTTCTAGCATTAGGTCGCGGCATGTGGAGATCGTGATTCCAGACTGGGCTTTACCTATCCAAAGATTCTCTACATCGCCCATTACCTTTCCCTTTGATTGGGACGTCAAATCACCCGTCTCACCTCCTTGGCTCTTGAGTTCGACCAGGATGATGGCCCGTCAAACGCCGAACACGAGCCGGACAAACACCATCGACTCGCAAACCTCGGCACCGTCGCCATCGCAGTTGTATCCAGATACTTTTCGCGGTGGAGTGAACAACAACTACTCAAGTGTCAACTCTAGCCAAACAAGCCTTCATCGCCAAGATGGTCAAGATGGAGAACGACCGCCTACTTCATCTGCGAGGACGCCAGGCTTAGGTGTTTCACCTGCATTGATGCAGACGGCAGGGCTCGGTACACCCTCTAGCTCAACATCTGGACTTTCCGGCTTGGTCTGTAATGTTCATCGGACGACGGGTCGTGAACCGCACCCCTTGGTCGGCGCAACGACTACCATATTGGGCGACAAACTCTATGTATTTGGGGGCAGGAGGCTGTCTAGAACGCGACCACAACTCACTTCGGATCTTTACGAGCTTGATCTGATTAAGCGACATTGGACGAAGATTGATGCGAAAGGCGATTTACCCCCGCCCAGGTACTTTCACAGTGTATGCGGTTTGGGAGACACAAAGCTCGTCTGTTACGGTGGCATGTCCCCTGCGTCTCAACAGCCGAACCAGTCGGCCGCGGTACCACAGGGTACTCCTTCAGATGCACAGCCAGAGGTCGTGGTCATGTCCGATATACACATCTATGACGTCCCCACCAGAACATGGATGCACATAGCAACACCCGATGCTCCACAGGGCCGATATGCACATTGTGCAACGATTCTACCTTCGGCTGCTGTCTTCTCCTCTACGAACGCCACGTTGACAGCGATAAGGCATAATCCATCCTCGACATTGCCCAATCAAGGATCTATTGGAGTGCAGCTCGACGGGGAGGGTGGGGCTGAAATGGTCGTTGTTGGTGGCCAAGACAGTGCCAATCACTACATCGAGCAAGTGAGCGTCTTCAATCTGCGAAGCCTGAAGTGGACAGCAACCAACCCGTTGGGCAGGAGTTGCGGCGCATATAGAAGTGTCGTAGCTCCCCTTTCAACCATGGATCCAGGTAAGCTGGGAATGGGAACACCCGGTACACGGAGCGACAGCGACAGCCCTGCGGAAGACGCACCATCCAGAAGCGGCGGCGCCTCTTCGATGCTTATCTACTCAAATTACAACTTTCTGGATGTAAAGCTTGAGCTACAGGTCAGACATCCGGATGGGACTTTATCCGAAAAGACAATGCAGGGTGATTTCTCACCGCCCGGCCTACGCTTCCCTAATGGTGGTGTGATTAACAATCATTTTGTCGTAAGCGGCACTTTTTTGACATCTTCGAAACAAGAGTATGCCCTTTGGGCACTCGACCTGCGCACGTTGAGCTGGGGTCGGATCGAGGCCGGAGGCAATATCTTCAGCCAAGGCAGCTGGAACCGGGGAATATTGTGGAATCGCAGAAACACTTTCGTGATTTTGGGCAACCGGAAGCGAAGCCTCGTGGAGGATTATAATCACCGTCGGATCAACTTCTCGAACATATGTGTCGTTGAGTTGGAAGCCTTCGGAGTATACGACAATCCGCGAAAGGTCGCACCCAATTCAGGCTTTACGTCTGTCAGTGGACCTGGGCATGTCGATGGCCTCGATTTCAACGCAGGGGGTCGATTGATGTCGCCTGCAGCAGCTGAGCTAGGCCAATTGGCCCTGGGTATGCGCGAGTTGGCCGACATGGATTTCCTAGCCATACATGGCGAACGTATCCCTGTCAATTCTCACCTGATCGCGCGGCGTTGGGGACCGTATTTTAATCAACTGCTTCGCGAAAGCACAATCCCACCCGAGAATGGGGATACCGCGACGCTCCGGCCCGTTGCTGGCGTGCACCCCTCTCGAAACTCGAGCATAACCATAACACCGTCAATTAAGACCTCTTACTCGGCGGCTACGACGCTCACGAACAACACCATAACCTCTGACACCTCAACTGCCGCAGCCTCCAGCATTGGACCGCCAGACCCCGCTGCTCAGCCTCCGGCATTCAGACCCCGCACGCTGTATCTTCCGCATACGCATCTCACTTTACAGGCCCTAATACACTTTCTCTATACGTCCTCTTTACCTCCAGTGAATACATCCCTTTGCACGCCACAAATACTGTGCTCGCTTCTGCAACTTGCGAGACCTTATCACATCGATGGTCTTCTTGAGGCCATTATCGAACGCTTACACATGATCCTCGACAACCGTAATACAGCTGCCATATTCAACGCTGCTGCCATGGCTGCAGGCGGGGGTTCCGGCGTCAACTTCCTTGGCGTCAACGGCGTCGCTTCGAACGGTACTTCGAACGGAATTCACGACTCCACGGCGACGTCCTCAGCTGCTGCCCAGCGGTCATTAGACCCAGGCCTTCGTGCCCTCCGTATCAACACAGACGTGGTCACAGAACACGACGACGAAGTCAGCTCAGCCGTATCATCTGCAACATCAGCATCGGCAAGCGACGCAGGAGACGGAAGCGGTATCAGTGGCGATCGCGAGGTTTGGAACGGAGAGCTCAGCGCGGTCGTAGGCCTACAAAAACGCGGTCTAAGGGGATTGATGGAAGGTCGGCGAGCAAGAGAAAGAGAAATGGGAAGAGGTAGTAGCAGGAGTAGAGACGAGGGCGGGCCTTCGAATGGGGATGGCGTGGGTCTCGGCTTGATGGCAGGTGGATCATGACAGGAAAACCTCGAACAGCACCGAAGAACTGGCACAAGGAGAAAAACAACAAATGACGAACCGGGGTGGCCTTGGTCTTCGAACTTCACAGCCTCCAGAGCAACGCTACATTGGCAAGCAGATACGTTTGTGATTGACGACCTGTTTATATTTAACTTCAAATTTGGGCTTGGAACAAGATGGTTGGGTGAATGATATCACATGGCATTGTTGGACGAAGGAACTTCGTTTGAGCGTTCTATCTTATACTTCTTTTGTTATCTATCCTTCCTCTACTCTTTGGAATGGTTTCTATTTCATCTCGATATAGGGTGGTGTTTGTTCATCCTAGAAGGTCGGCACGGCGCATGGGCGGTATTGGTTTAGATTTCTTCACCCAAAGGGCCCGACGCATTCAAGCAGCGTATACGACCTCCATACATCTTCTCTTCAGGGTCCAGATGTCCTCAATGCGTCGGCCCTTTCTGTGAAGCTTTCTGCTTCCGCCTGGTGGTGCTTGAACCGCTTTCGGTCCACTTCATCACTTCCGTGGCCTAACAAGCCGGAAGGCTGCAGTGCCATGGATGGAGCCCGCCTCGGCACTGTCCCATGTAGTGATGGCGTGCGATTGTTCAAAGACTTGAACATCGTCGTAAGGGATTGTCTCTCGTCATAATATCTCGGTCTTTCACACGCCCCTCCTCACGCCGCTTTCCGGGTCGAATCTAGCATATGCCGGCGGCGGAGCTCGCAGCTCAGGCTCTGCGTCGTACATTGCAAGCACAGTCTGTTTCTGCAGCTGTGGGTTTCGGTGTTGCGCTTGCGCTTGAGCTTGAGCTTGAGCTTGGGCGTTGCGAGTCTTGTGCTTGCGGTGCCGGACGCAGAGCAGGACGATGACCACTATGACGAGAAAAATGACTAAGGCGACGATGGCACTGATGATGATGCGGTGGGGTTCGCATTCTCGCATGTAGAGATAGTCGGTGCAGTTGTAGCTTGAGTAGCGGCGTGCGAGAGTAGAGAAATTGGTGGGTGGCATTATAAGTAGGATATGCGATATGCTGATACTGGAATGCGTTCTCGGGGCCTTTTGTGTGTTTGCGATCGATATGGTAGTAGACTAGTCGATGTATATTACGATTTAGATTTGTGATAGCGGACGAAGAAGACCTGGAGCGACCCCGGCACTTATTTACTATCCCCAACACCACAGCCCCTCATTCACGCCTAATAACAGCCTCATACCCCCAACTGTGCCCTTAGGATTGTGCTGTGCCGAGTCCCGCGGGCGGCCGTGACCGCTTGCGTTTTTCCTCCTGAGGCACACTGGCCGCGACTCAGCCTCGCCCGCTGTCCGCCTTGCGATAGTCGCTTACCTCACCGCCACATTTTAGGTTTAATTAATGTCCGCAGCCTGCAGCGCCGGCGACATGCCTCCAGATCGCATGTGCCCGTAAAACGTGGCCTCGTACAGTGGGGGCACAGTATATAGTGGTCGTGTGGCCGGTCGTAATGCGGGTTGCGAGCAAGGCGAACTTGAGAATGGAGGTGCTGCGCACAGGGCAGTTCGACCTCGCGCGAAAGCCTCTGCGAGGGTATCGTGCGAATAAAAAGGCGTTTGCAACGTAGGGTATACGCGAACTTGGAATTGTTATACAATGAAGGCAAGTGGTTCACGGTCGCAACAGGCCCCGATATGGGATGCGATCCAGATATGCTAATTTCAAGTGTCATCGCCATGAATGAAATGAATCTCGTAAGCGCTTCTAGCGTCTTGAAGAGGTTTGACCTTGGATTCTGTGTCGATATTGAACGCACATAGCATAGCTATGAAAGCGTGGTTTGGTAACATTTCATGTGCACTCAGGCTCGCCAGGAGTTCTGGCACAAATGTACATGCCAGTGTTGGAGTAGAACGAGCTTGGTTCGAACATCGTACAAAAGGATATACATCATAGGCTGCCGTGATCATGCCCTGCATAAAGGCGCAGACAGCAAGGCAGAAATCGATGGACATCAATATCGGCCACGCCGAGACTTGTCAGGTAGTGACGATAGGCTTCAAAACCTGACTAAAACTTCTAGCTATCGGCAAAGAAACTAGATCGAAAATATTAAGCAGTTGAAGAGGGCACTAGTCGGCCGGTGCCATGACGCCTTGTTGGATGAGACCAGATGTTACTAGTCATATGTATGGCAATCCACGTGCTGTGAAGTAGACGGAAGCGAACAGGTACGTCTCGAGGTTGACAACGAGGCGCATTTGAGGAGGGGAATGTGAAAAGGGGATCGCGTCAGCCGAAGGTGAGCGACATTCCGCACCGCAACACAGCAGGCAATCGCAGGTTCGAACTATTCGTCCACGGTCAATTCAGTGCCTCGTGTCCTTGGTGATAAATCACGCAGGGGCTTAGTGCGAACGTTTTCGCATGTCTGCGACAGACAGTCCGTACACAAACCAAGTATGTGCATTCTGCAAGTACAAAAGCATGATACATCTGACTCCCCATTAACATATGATTGCGAATTCTCTTCTACAAACATGCTAGTGTCCTTCCAAGCCTAACATGCGTACAAGCCCCGCGTCGACAGTCGCAGCTGCCAGAAGCAGCGAGCAACGCTAACACAGGCGGGCGCACTTCTCAGGGGACTGCATTTAATGCTGTATACCCCACAGGCTTCTTGGTCAGGCTTGGAAAAATATGTGTGAGATGTCAGACCAGGCATAGCCAGAGCATGGCAGGTAAATCCCCGCTTCTTGCGTGCGGCAAGGCAGTCCGGTCACCAATCCGCACATCCCAAGGCGTCCAAGATGGTAAAGCCAGCGTCATCACGCCAAAACTGTGCCCTCTGCTCCATCGCAGTCTTCCAGAACAGGCTAGCGCTCGGATGCATCAAAAGCGTTGCAGGAGGCTGGCTTACCTTTGGCTTGGTGGTCAGAAATGCTCAAGAGCAAGCATGTAACGACACGGCACGTACCAACATTGACTTCCAACTTGCATGTTCGTAGAGAATAATCTCCGCCCAGTCATCGTCTAGAAGAGCCTCCTTCTCGTAGCGCATGTGGGCCACCATCTTAACGATTCCATCTTTGCCTCGATGCACGCCTATCGCTCGCGTGTGGAAAGACCCTGCCAGTTGATTCGTAAGGAAAGGATTGAATTTAAGCAATGGCCAGTCGTCAAGTTGTCCATTATGATGTGCAGGCTCAAGGAAGAGTGTGCGGCGAACCGGTTTAGAAGATTCAACCATATAACGAAAGCGCTGACATATGCGCTGGGAGAGTAGAAGATCCCGTGTCGGGAGGTGAAGAAGTACCGCCTCCAGAATCTCGTAGGGAAGCATTAAGAGGGCTGACTGCACAGCATGTACCTGGGTCGGCTCGTTGGTAAAATGGAGTCGAGCTAAGGGTAGGCGCTTTGCCGTTGCCAGAGCATGCGGCGCGGTTTGGCCATTCACTGACATTAAGTAGAGAATGGATTAGCCGCAAACGCGATACGAGGAATGCGTCTAGTTCTTCAATGCTGTTCCAGATGCTTAGAGCAAGATGTGTTCGAGAAGTGGGGTTTGGGAGATGGAAGACAGGTGAAGTGATACGGTATTGAGCCGGCGGCGAAGGCGTGCGCTAGCCCTTTTGAGGTGTAACCTTACCTTACCAGAGTGCTACAAAAGCAAAAACGCTCTGACTGAAACAAAGTGACGGGTATGGTACAAAAATCAAATACTAGATTCATGTCATCCTGTGATTTTTATACTACTAAAACTCCTGATCAATATTTTTGGCTACTTGCGAAAGAACAGCGTCAAGCGTTCGAGGCCACAGTGAAGGTTGTAGAGGGTGTCATCATACAAAGCAAAGAGCAGTGATACATCGTGACACCTTCCCAAGAGAGGTTTCCAGAGTGAACATCAACCCTATGTTACGGACGATCTGAGCGCAATTCCACGCGCTGAGAACACAGTAATGTTGACTCTTCAATCTTTATTCTTCAAAATTTACACATGTGCAATCCGGCCCCCACGAATCTCGAGGTCTTCTAGATATCGGAATTTTTTTACTGCCTTATAGTTCTGCTGCAGAAGTATCTAGGATGTCATACCGAGAAGCCTACTTTCAGTGAATGCAGGCAGTGATCGTTTCCCCGAAAGTCTAAGCTCTTACACGGACATGCCCGGAAGTGTTGTTGTTTTTATTGAAGAAAAGAATCTGCTGACAAGATGCAACGCTTGTGCAAGACCTGAGGTCTACCATCGGGTGTTCTCTTGTGCTGGAAGCCAATGAATGACAGCTATGGGGGTTGGTCGGTTTGTTATTCGATCTTGTAGCTTGTATAGGCATGTGACTCTAAACAATTACCGGTATCGGGGGAAAGCGGGAGTAGCATAATAAGCCCGGGTACCCGCATACACGGGCGGCTGCAACATGGAACAACGTGTGGCACAATCAATACAGTTCGGGGTCTAACCAAGCCTTGTTGAACATCAAAGATGATGTCCGCCTCTTCTCGCTGCCAAGCGCTCGTTAGGTGAGACGAACAGCGCATCAGCTAGCATAATCATACTGAGCCCGATTGTTCAATTCCTATAATGTCGGCAGTAACAGGTCGAGGAAAACAGTATATTCACCACATCCTTCGAACTTGTCCGCTCGATCTCAAACATCGGTCCAAATTTCACCATTATGATGACCATAGTCGCCTATCAGCTCCATCATTCGAACATGTTGCCAATTTCCCATGTCGCGTGTGTCTTAGGGCTAACTCTCCCCACCATGTCGCCAAGTGCTCGTCTCAATCTGGTATGTATGGAAGGATCCTTCTTTCTCTTCCTCGAACAGGACTATACAGCTCTGGACGGCACAAATACTCGCGTATTCGTCCAGGCTCGAAATCGAACGAGGTGATGGATTCTGGGCCAGAGACCGCGCCTCTACCATGGTCGGCCATGATTGGGTGGAAGGCCTGGGGGTTTGAAGTCATCCTCCTCTTTTGGGGTGGCATCTCGGATCACTGGTTTGGCATCATCGATTTGTGGGTATTGGCTGAGTCCCCTTTCTAGCATCTGAAATGTTTCGCTGTAGGCTTTCGATGGCACCGCTTCTGGGTCGACGAAAAGCATCGCCGGATCTATTAGAGGCGCTCTGGGAATCGGGATATTATCATCTGGTGGTTTGACGAAAAAGTCCACATCTTTTATTTGGCTTGGATTCTCCACGCGCAGACTACTCGTGTCGCCAAATCGTTCTGCAAGAATCTTGCGGAGAACTCGTTCTACTTGCTCATCGCTCGGGCCTTGAGAAGCTTGTTGCTGTTCAAGAACGAGTACACGATCGTGTAAAGCTCGGAATGCCGCTTCAGATCGACGTAGGAAGTCCTGGCTGAGAAGGTCAGTACCCATGGGGTGTACTGAATGTCCCAGGAGCACCTACTACCATTGGGCAATTCGCTCAAACGATAGATTGATCTGATTGACTGTGTAATTCCAAGACATTTTAGGAAGGTAATATGGGTAATAGCAGTTGCAAACGAGCGCTAGAAGCATCTAGCACGCCATCAATGTAAGTCGCAAAATGAGTTCAGTAACGAAGGCCACAAGGCTTGGTCTTTACACCGGACAGCATGGGGCAGTGCTTGGTAAAGTACAATCAGGATAACGGAGGAATCCCATCTGAGTGGTAGCGGCCGTGGCTGCCGCATGCACGCGCGTGGACCTGGGCGCCATGAGCCCTGTCAAGACTTTGGGTGTCAATGTCGCTAGTTGATATTAACTGGGATATCGTGAGCGAGGCCAACCCGACTTTGAATCATCGGACAGACAGGGAGGTATAGGCGAACGGTATCTTGCCCAGCAAGGCTTCCTTTAGTGCCGTGGCTGCCGATAGTCATTGGGTGTGTCCGGAAGGATCAAAAGGACCAGGCACGGACATAATCTACAAATAACGGGATCTGCAAGACAAAGTAGCGTCAAAGGCTGTCTCATCAATCCGAAGGCCAACTCCAGCCCGCGATGCGTTGGAGGACCCGACAGCAGTGCACTACGTCGTGTACATATCAGGACAAGGCCGCAGCCCTTGGCTTGGGGTTTCTTCTGGTCTTTCCAGCGCACCAGGGCCGGCAACGCCAGCTTCAGTCTAGCTAGATTGTAGCGCCGCCGGGGGGAAGACGGCCGTCCCGCGCGGCCGCACCTAATGTTGCGCGGCGGCAAGCGGATGCGAGGGATGATACACGAGAAGGGTGAGTGGTGGGCGTACCATGGGCTTTGCCGACGGTGCTCAGACGCCACATCTTCGATCGCGATCGTTGTTTCTTCGCCGCGCCCCCACCCGCAATTTCCCCGGCAATGTCGAAGCGTCGCTATTGTTGGGGTGTCAGTCGGACGACACAAGGTCATGTCGCTGTCTGACGCGTGTTGGGATGTTCCTGGTGAGTCTGTTAATGGCATGAAGTCTCAGCTCACATACTTGAAGTCTTCAAGCATCTTGAGATTATCTGACGCTATGACCTGCGGCAACTATTCCTATTGACGGTTGCTACTGCACACTTACGCCCACGCCCTTTGATCGGTCAGGCAGACGCACGCTCAGTAGATACAATGTACACCGTCTTTACGTGTGCACTCCTCATGCCATGCCAATATTCGGTGGATTGCGTTGACTGTGAATCAACCCAGCTCCTTTGTCTGGGCTATCAAAAAGCTCAATGGTTTCTTCAGTATGACAGAGTATGTACAAAGCCACTGGAGAGACGTAGGACGCATTTTCGAGCATGCCACAAGTTGTGTAGAGTCGCATCGGACAGCTTAATAGCTCTTAATGCGCATGCCCCGCTCGCTCACGTCCTTATTTTTGCGAGTGTACTTACTATACAGATTCACATTCGAATTCTGGATGCGCGTCCCCACATCGCGCCTCAGCTACTGGTCCCTCATAACACCCCGGACGCCTGGCCGATGGCTCTTATCTGGCATAGGATGGACCTTGACTTGAAGTACTACGGCGCGGGTATAAAGTTTCCAGACATCACTGTGCAGATCATCATGAGTAGACATCACCGGGGCTCATGGATCGTTGGCTTTCCCTCCGGACCATACTTAAGTGACAATTTGTAAAAACCTAAATAGACTACAAAGCGCCATCACAGCGCGGTACGTTTAAACCAAATCGTAGCGGGGATCAATCATCCAGGCATTACTTCGTGCCTTTTCAACATGTTGCTTCGGGCTAATCTCTTTCTGCAGGCAGCTGCGTGGGCCTTCCTCCAAAACGGAGATAGTTTGAGAACAGACAACACTAATTCTCCCTTATTCATGGAGGCCCTGACGAACCCGGAAGTATATGGGGTTCTGACTCGCAATAAGCCATGCCTGGGCTTCGGTCCCCAGAGCCCGATCAAGAATGAGTTGCATACCCCCAAAAAACAAACAAGAAATGCGGTGCAGCAACAGGTTGTAGAGCCTGGGAAGGAGAAATGAGCAAACCTTCGTAGCATAATCAATCCTGGCTGACTCATAAGAAAAGTTCCTGAACTGAATGGCCGACAATATCGATTATATTGTTTCAATGCTCCCTAGGGCTCATTTCAATGGCTACAACCAGTCCAGACTCTCGAAGAATGCGATCAATAACGTCACAACCATCGACTGGACTGCAATGGACTCGCCTACTTTCCATCAACGAAGGTATGATCTGTCGTTTACTCCAAGGACGTCGCGCCGTATGTTCTCGATAACGGAGGACAGGAAGTTTGGGGCAATTCCGGTCAAGTCAAGCAAGTACGTATCACCCCCACATCACAAGACCCACAACAGCTAATCATGCATGGAAATTGTAGCGGCTTTCAGTGCAAGGATGCTCTGTCCCCTCACTGTTGCAGATAACCAAGTCTATCACTTTGGGGATAACCAGGAGTATCAATTCAAGCTCTCCTGCCGTATTGAGTTCAGCGGTTCCCGCCGAGTACAAGGCCCGGTAAAGAACGCAGATGAATGCGGTGAACGGTATGTAGCCGACAAAAACAGCTATATCTTTCTCTCCTGTCAGCCAGCAATTCCAGGTGGACGCATAGATGGAGCTCAAAACTGTGAATTGGTCATGAAAAAGATTAATGACGGACACTAGGTACGTTTGTACAACCTAAATCAGTACATCGCTGGTCTGCGTGTTGCGGTGAGTGTTAGCGCATGTTGATGGGCATTTCGGCTGACGATACCCACAGAGTGCAAATTATGGAGATAAAGGTATCTGTCAAGATGAATATGGGAATGGCGATAACAGAGGCGAAGACTAGACGAGCTACTTCGGAAGGTGATGCGTGGCGGTCTGCGTGACTCTAGCATTGAGACTAATGGAATTTGTTTGGACACCATCGCTTTGGGATGCGTCAACTTTTCTTTACGGGTGACACCACAAAAGTCCTCACCGTCGCCATAATGGTCTATTCATTAGCGAACGTCGATCCTTACTGGGCATATGCAACTTGATCAAAATAGCAAACAGCCTTCCTGCTTCTCAGCCCACTATTAAGGAATCATCGCGTGGGTTTTCTGCATCTCCAACCCGTTCCATCTACCTGTGCCTTACCGGATATGGACGCGTCGGATGTCGAAAGCAACAATAGAACAGCATACGTATAGTGCAAGGCGTTCGCGCCACCATCGGAAACTCTGGCTCTTGCAGGATCTGTAGCCCTTAAAAGTATGTCGATTGTCGATCGCGTGAGTCTGCCTGAGCGGGTAATCCCAAGATGTGAGACTCAAGCCACCAAAACAAAGCATTGCGCCCTGATCGTTGTTCACAGCAATACCAGTACTGTAAATCACAACTTCCAGCAACTTTCTGCTGTTCCAATCTCCTCCCCATCCTCAGGCAGATTCGTCCCGCAAGTTGAGGTCAGCGTCTAAACCAGATCGCCGATCCCAACACCTCAAAACCTGCACCTCGCTTACCCAAGAATGTGGTACGACTTCTCACCGTTCAGAGTTCTCTTCCCCGGCAATAGTCCATTCTGGATTGCCAGCCAATATGTATGCCTGCCTATGATCCATAGTAAACAGCTTCATTGTCCACGCAGCATTTATAGCCTACACAATACTTCATTTCTCATGAATCAGCAACCTAGTTCCCAGTGCCATAAGATGTGATAACGCGATCTGGGACAACATGGGTGCCCCTGGTAGTACACTTCCCTCGCCTTAGGATTGGCCTATGCGACTGGTTGGGGTGGGTTGCGCTGACTTCTTTGGGCTCCGAAGTCGCAAACACCATTTATTGAGCTCTGTTCACATGAACCTGGTCTGTTGGTTCCGCGTTCGAAAGCACGGTGCTCGCTGTTCTCGGTAGCCGCGGGTTTAAGAAAGGTTGACGAGTCATGTACCAGGGCCGGGCGTTGGGGTCTGAACTCGAATACGTTGTCGCTTGCGTAGGTATTACTGTACCTCAGCGATGGAAAAATGGCGCTACAAGCAGTTTTGACCCATTGTATGGTCATGCGGTCGACATAACATCACTCCAACAGCTAGCCACAAACAGAAAGCGCGCCATGCGATCAACAGTTCAACCAGAACGCCACATCAGAGTGACAGAAGAGGTCTCCTTATGAACCAAGTATATGGGCACGTTCAAGATGTAATTAGAGTGTTATCAGTGCCATGCAGAAGTTCTTGTACCATCTTTCCATGGGTCAACGACAGTTTCTATCAATTCATGACTTATATATTGCTGATGAATTGAGCTATAGCGAGCGATTTATCAGCAATATACGAGTCGTGAAACGTGGTTTTAGGCATATGGAAACACCCAGATCCATGGAAAAGTAGTACAAAAACTTTTGTATACGATAATAGACTGCTTTGGTTCTGCAATGTCGTCGATTTTCTCTCGAAGTGGTTGCAAAACCATCAAAGCATCCACGTCAACTAGGAAAGTCCTACCTTTTCAAACAATATCAATCTTGAAGTTCGCAAACCATTGCTTGACATCTTTGACAAATGTTTTCACTCGACTACAGGAACAAGTCCAGGCACGGTTTGCCAATTGAATCAAGTAGGGATCTCGACGGGGATCTCAATCCTGTATTGCGCCTTCCAGGGTAACATGTCCTACTCGTAATGTGCGAAGAACACTGTAATAGATCTATGTTATGTACATCATGTTTCCAAGAGAACACTTTCTAGGAGACTTCGTTTTGTATCACTGCGTTTAGATCTCGCATGTCACTCACCCGCCAAGTCAACATGTAGGGTCAACAGAGCTTGTCAGGTTGTCCAACGACACTCGGCTTCCGGTAATCGCTCGCTACTTGCCAAAATTGTATCCTGAATCAGGGCCGAGTCAAAAAAGCCAGTGCCACTTTTGCCTCGGGTAGTCGCTGGATGGGTAAGATGCGCCCCTGACATTCGCTATAGCATGAAGGACTCTCTCTATTACCACTACAGCAAAACATAACTCTGCAACGACTAAAGGAAGCAGTTCGAGCATGCTAGAGGCTCTTGTTAGAGTGAAGATCCTTGAGTCAGTGCTCCACTTCGCTTCCACCCGCCCAACCCACAACCAACTAAAAGAATACAAAAACATACAACAGCGGGGATTCTCGCGCCCTCACGGATCGCAATACTAATCCGCCGGTATCCTGCTTATATATGGCTGAGCGGACGGGAAGCCTAGTTCTCAGGATCCTGTGGTCGTATGTGAAATTTCTTTGATAACACTGTGTATATAATCAATCAAAATCAAGCCTCGCCAAGCTTGCCACCGCAGGGCATGTTCCAGCTACATGTCACAGTGTTCGTCTACCCTCGTGCCTCCTGGGTCTGAAGCCATATAACCACCACGCTCGACACACGGCCTCTCCAAAAAGACCGTCGTGCCTTCAATTAGCGACACCAGCTACTCGCGCGAGGCGACAGTAGCGGCAATTTGGGGTTTTTATCGCTTCCTTGTCTCCATGTACCTGGATGAGTCCAACGTGCGTGAGCCACCTGAGGGCGCCTGGCCGTCTATCCCTCCACAAGAATAGCGAAATTTCGACAAGACAGACGAAGTAATCGCCCTTCTGCGTGAAATGCGTACCTGCGTGAAGGCTGCGACCCCTTTCTAGTCAATGGGGCGCCCTACACTGGATTTGCGAACTGGCAATGTGTGGCTGAGGATATCGATGGTCAGAACCTCAAGGATTGGAGCGAGCCTGATCTAGACGAGGCCGTGATCCCCGCCCATATCGTGCTATCACCCGCCATCCCACTCGATACAGAACTCGGCGTAATATACTGGTACGAGTGCTCAGAGGACGTCAAACGAGGGGAATTCGAGGAAATCGAAGGTTGACGTTTACGACTTGGTGGATGATGACTTGATCCCCAAGGACCAGGCGGAATGGCGGGCTGGCAGCGGAATGTGGCCTATCGAGACTTTCTTCCAGATGCTGAAGGCCAACTTTCAAAAGCTCAATTTCGTGCCCATAGGCACCCGCGAGGTCCAAGACGTGTGGGTCGCACGGGATGGTCATACCAAAGAGACACAGGTCGTTATCCAGAACATCTACCGCAAACACGGTCGGCCAATTATGGCTCGCTTCAACGAAAACGCTTGTTGTGCTGAAATCAAGACATTGTTAGAAGAACGCGCTTTTCGTGATTGAGCACCAATCAGATGAGTGGCAGGCATATCACGACAGAATTTGCTATTATCTGAACCCTCTGATTCCGTTACAACAGCTTTAAAGTCTTTTGCACCCAGGCGCCATCGACCATTTCGTCAAAGTCGGTCAAATCGACACGTCGGAAAGCTTACTCGGTAGAGTCCTTCACTCTCTCTAGGACCAAGCCTTTGATTCTTGATTTCTGCCATCTTTTTTTTGGCTCTCGCACAATCTACACAGCAAGATACTCTCTTACATTGTCACGATTATACACTCGATCCACACCTGGGAGATGTGCGGCGAGCGAACCCACAGCGTTCCCATTCTCCCATTCTCACGTCCATGCATACACGATATCCCGGCTTGTTGATTCCTCGGTGGGCGCCAGCTACTTCTTCAAAATTGCGATAAAAGTATGACTCTGGGACGTGTGCAACGTAGATTGGGTAGCAGTGCTCTGCCATAGTGGGACTGTTCTCTTCTAGCACCTCGCCTTCAGATCCATATCTTTGAAAATCATCAAGCGGTGTCCATGTCTCGTATCCCACGATTCACAGTCAGACATGGCCTCCGGACTAGGCTGACCATCCCCTCCTCGCCACGTGTTGTAGTACCATACGAGCTGATGAGAGGTCCATGGTAGATCTCTGGAGGACTTCGTGGCCAGCGGGGGAACAAGGCCATGAAAACAAGGGATTGTTTGACGAAACTCCGGCCAGATATTCGCCCATTTCAAGTATCTGCAAGTCTGGTACGAGGCTGGAAATGGGGGGAAGACAGTCTGCGTTGTACGTGAGATTACGAACACCCATTTCTTGCAAATGGGATTCCAGGCTCCAATTCTGTTGATGATGTCGATCTCTGTGAAATTGATGTTATCGTCTCGTGGTGGTGATAGAATTTGGTGAATCTCTGCTTGGCAAAGTGTTCCGCTCTATTGGTCTGTTTTCCGCGGCCTTCTTCAAGGTACAGTGCAATTTTGCACTCCTAAACAATCTGGCTTCGACGGAAATGGAGATTACCAGCAGAAAGAAGCCTTTCCTGGAAAGCCCACCCTATCGGAATGAATAGGAAATTGCGTTGATTCAAACAGGCACAGATGAATGAGGCCTACATATACCTAATGCTGTTTATGATTGTCTCATGGTGCTTGGGATGAAAACTACATCACACCCAAGCCGATACAGTGGATGTTGAGTAATTTCCGCCCATAGTCGACAAAGAGTTCGAAGGCACATTGCGGGGTCATACCCGAAGAAACATGATTGTAGTACGGTGCACTCTTGGAAAATGCACTCGTCGGTGTTACCGGACAAATCTGCACAGATTATAGAAGCGGACTTGCTGTACATTTGGACCATGCGCGATAATTCACGACTCTACTTGTCGAGGTTGTCTTGGAGAATGCACAACTGGTCGATCCAGATTCATTCAGGTCCCATATTGTGTGCAATATCAACAGCATCCTATATAGTCCTCAGCAATTCTGCTGTTCAAAATACGGATGGTAAGGTATCAATGGAAGTGGTCACGTTCTTGATGGAGTTTCCTTGACCACACGAATGAGGATATTTGTACATAGAGCGCATGTCGCAGGTATGACGGCGGGCATCCTTTTACCAGCTCGACGCCACTGAGTATAGCATGGCGCCCGTGGAGTAAAGCGCGTCACGTCAGATAATGTACGCATCGCAGGTCACTTTGCAAGTTTGTAACCCCTGCAATCTGTCAGGCACGTGCTGACATGAGTTTGTCCGGACATTGGTCATCGATAAACAGAATATATACAGCGAAATCTGCAAGCGAATGGGCATCTCCACTCCACAAGCACACTCACAAGCTCTATCTGTACAGCTCTATCGCGTCCAGGATAACGTTCGGGTTGAGGAACGTAGTCCCCGAGCTTCCGCTTACCACATCAATCGTAATAGTATTGCTGCCACTGACCAAATTCCCAGACGGAATAGCAAAGTCGTAAACCTCGCCAAAGCCACGGTAAGCACCCCTCGTCACGCCACGTGAGTCGATCTTGGTAGGCGCTGCAGGCGTGGCGGGAGAGTAAGAATTGATGACAGCGGACGGCCTACCACCTGCGAAGGACAGGGTGGTAGCAACGCGGAGAGTGGCAGCGCCGGATGCTTGCGCAGATGTGAGAGTAAACTTGATGGTGAGGGGTGTATTCACAGTCTTAAAGAGCGCCATGGGGACGTCGGTGAGGGCGCTGGAGCCGACAGTATATGTGAGAGGACCCCAGGAGGACATGCGCGTATCGGAGGGGTGCATACGGAGGAATTTGTCGGCGTTCCTGAACCCAGTGGGCTGTCCGTCGTATTCTCCAATCTTGAAGAGCGTGGTATGCGATGGGAGGGAGCCGCTGATGTTGGCCGTCGTGGCCTTTCCCGCACTGACAGAGACTGAGCTTGATGCGAGCTTGAACTCACCCTGGTAGAACACCTGGGTGTAGGTACCAGGCTTCATCGCAGGCGAAGTGAATTTGCCGGAAGAATCGGCATATACCCAGTATTGATCATTTGCGTTGTACCAGTGCAGGACCTTTTGGAGTCCACTCGTGCCACCCGTTGCAGTGCCAGTAACAGTGCCTCGGCCACTGGGCGCCACATATCCAGAGATCCCAAGGTCAGCGAAGAAAGTGGTGTCCATGGTCTTGCCAGATGGAATGCCAGAGCGAGAGAACTGGAGACCATATGGTCCGTGCAGGCCCATACGGTAGTTCTCGGTCTGAACATGGCCAGAGTTCATGTAAAAGTAGAGGTTTGTAGAGTCACCAGCGTTGTTCGAGTTGATATCGCGGAAGAACGGACCGCCAGAGCTTCGTTCGTACGAGTATGAGTTCAATAGCATACATGCATGGATTGCGTCGCTGTCGCGGTAGACACAGTGGGTGTAGTCGTCGATGAAGCGCTCGCTTGAGTAGAACTTGGAGCGAGTTTGACCGTTGACTACGAAGACATCGCTGCCTTCGACAGTGGAGGACGATCCACTGGTCGTTGAGACGGAGCCGAAAGGGTATTCCAAGGGGAGCTTAGACGGCTGGAGGCGCGCAATGAAACGCAGCTCTCCTACACTAGGCTCGGATGCAGTGTTGGTTGCCATCCAAATGGTAGAATCGCCGGATCTGACGACAATGTAATGTGTCAGAGTCGAGGTCGTGCAGGTGATCTTCGCATACTGGCCTGGGTTCAATCAGCAGTCGTTCGGGCGTTTACAATGGTGAAACCGTAGCATCGTCATTAAGAAACATACTGTTGACAATTGTGCTGGAAACTGTTGCGGAGCCAAGACCAGAGGAGATGTGAGAACCGGTGCTCTGGTACTGGAACTCTTCGCCCCGGTACGAGATAGAGGTGATGTCGCAGGAATTCTTGTTGACCGTGATTGTGAACGCATTGTCGGAACCCGCATCCACGACGATGTTGTCGCCAGAAGTCGTGATACCAAAGGCAGCTAGTGCAGAGGAAGAGAAGGCAAAAGTCGCCAGCAGCGCGCTTTGGAGAAACATGATGGATGAGTCGCCAGCGGAAACAGCTGTGGATATCTTCGACTAACGATACTGTCCGCATCTCATATAGGCTTTTCGCTATGTCGAATATTTGGCAGGGTCATTGTAGCTCGGCGCCAATTCCACCGTCTCCCCTTCATTTCCGCGTTGACCATTTTCTCCCGAGCCACACAGATGTCAACAGCATCAAACATATGCATGTCTCTTGTCAAGGCCTGAGCATGCACAGGCGATCCGCGTAGATATTCCCCCGAAGTTTGCAAGGAAGCTACGCATGTGTAGCTGGAACTCCCTGGTTTTACTGCTTCTGCATATGTCTCGTAATATAATTGCCGGAAGCGAACACGTTGTTCCGTAGGTGTGCCGAGCGAAGAATCCGGGGTGCAGTTGTCAAGCAATGGTAGTGGCGGAACATTATCCACCCTAAAGTAAGCCAACACTATATTGTGCTTGGCGTAGACACTATGCTTGTCAGGTGCTTCAGGTCAAGCCACAACCCTGTCAGGTTCAATGTACCAATCTCTCGCTTAGCAGAAATAGTATTAAGGTGTTACAGATGATACAAAACGTAAAAACTGATTTATATCGTTCTGTTGCAGCAAACAAGAGAGGACAGGAAGCCTAAACAAGGGTCCGAAAATTGGAGCTCACCATATGGGATATTCTTATTCCAAAGTCCGCTCTTTTATAAGACTAATACAGTCAGGCGTCGGCCCTCCGAGGACTAAGTGACTAGGGTCGATGAGCCAACTCGTAGAGAGCGAGCGTGCAGGTAAGTTCGGGTCATCTAAATGCGAGAAGATCGGCAGACCGAGGACGTACGAGACACCTCTTCCACCGTGAACGCGGAAAATGCGGGGAAACTAAAATACGGGGTGTATGCGTCGCAATGAAGGACGACCATTGCATCAATCATCCTCGCATCCGGGACAGTCATTCTTGTACAGCGGACAAACTTCGACTTCTCGGCACCAAAGAGACCAAGGACGATGTACCTGATCAGAGATAACCGAGTCAGTTGCAAAATACTTGCTTTATGAGTAAACTTGACTTACCGTTCCTTGATTCGATTCCCACGCATCATGTGCCTCTCTATCACTCAGGTATGTCAAATCACCCTCGGCCTTGACCTTGGCAGATTTGATTTTCCCTCCTCCTTGAACATCGACATTGCCCTCGATAGTATGACCAAAATGTGCATTTCGAATCGTGAGTGCAGTCGTCTGCGCTTGGGCCGCTTCCTTGGTATATATCGCTTGATACACCACCTCCTCGATTCCGTGCGCAAGCGTAGTGAAGCCATGGCTTTGCATCAGGACCGTAGCAAAATTTGGCTCTTTATCTGGCTCCTGCGAGCCGCCAATCTGAGTGGGGAGGGCTGATCGGACCTTTGAGTAGAGGAAACCTGCCGAGGTCGCTGGCTTGAAGGCAGCTGAGAGAGAAGCACCTAGTTGCGAATCCCGAACAAGAAGATCGTGCTTTGCCCCACTCGAGTAATGAGAGGCAATATCCCATACGGGAACATTCGATCCTGAGCAAAGAGGGGTTAGGCTATGGACACAAGAATAGAGAAAAATTTGGTATGACCACGTACCCAAGAAGCCAGCCATATGTATGGACGCTTTCAGTGGAACTCCGCTGATGCAATAGGGCAACACTGCAGAACAGTGACTATGCACAACAGCGTTCACGCTGGGCTGCAAAATTTATATCCAATGAGCTAATGTCACACTGGTACTCGCATACGATAGATAGACTCACAAACCGTTTATATATCTCGCTGTGGATGTGTCGCTCAAGATAGCCTTTCTTCGCATCCTTCTCGACCTCACTGGCATCTTCGACCTTATACTCGACTAGGTCCTCAGGGGTGGACACAAGGGCCGGAGGCATATTGCAGGGCATCCAGAAGGTCGCAGGGTTATCAGGCGAGCGCACAGATACGTGTCCATATGCGTCAAGAACTCCATGATAATGAAGGATGTGAGAGGCGGTTACCTACGCCCACAGGCACGAAGTTAGTGCAAGGGCGGAAAAGTGGGGTCATGGACGAAGTGTGTATCTTTAAGACAGCACGACTGCGTTACGTACCAGGCCCTTGAACAAGTCTTCAAGTCCGACCTTTTCGCGTTTTGGGAAATAACCAGCCGACATTGCGAGAAATTCTAATGTTCTTTGAAGGAGGCATCGAGGAGCAGAGTACGCGCATGCAGGAGAGGTTGTGCGATGGTGGCTGCTCGATGACGTCTCAGGGTCCAAATTGTCTGTCCGGCCTTGAATTTACTCCCACGTGCTGGTCGCGGAGATTGTTGACCTGGATACGCCCATTATCCCTTGGTGAACGTTCATTCAAGGCCAACTTTGAATTTCCGATCAGCCATAAGGTTCTACGGCGCACTGGACTGCGAGGGCAAATCTTCCCCGCATCAGCCGTGTACTCGACTTTCCCCGCCTTTCAGCTTCATTATTTTGGTAACGACTTCGGAAGCTATACAACGTAAGGTTTCAACAAAGTTGGACCCATTGCCCACGGGCTGAAGCTTCTAACCACACAATAAGCTCCGCTCAATAAAGCCTATTCATAGCATGCTCAAGTACGCGCGTCAGTCAGACCAACTCAAGCTATAGATGTTTTGGCTACTACAGTAACCTTTCCGCACGAATACGCAGCCATTGTCACGATCGCTTTCTGAAGGAAAACCCCACATATGCTCGACATTCCTCTTGCCTTCCCTAGCCAGCCTCGATGGCCCTAGTGCGGACCCTATCCGTGCACCCGCGCCCTGCATAAAAATGGTGACCCGCACGTGGAGGGTGCAGGAGAAACGCGTTGATCGACGCGCCGTCACACTATAGCCCAGGCATGTATCATTATGGCATTCACAAAAGTATTCCTCGGCCGTGCGATTTGCGATGCCGGTCGGAAAACGGGATGTTCCAATTGTGAGCATGCGGAAGCGCTAGGTTGGAATGATTGCCCACCGGGTCAATCAACGAGCTGAAATGGCCGCTCCACGAAGCGCGGGTCGATACGCTTTCGCTCGATAAAAATCGCGGAGATATCGATAGTGTGGTGATGACGCTGAAGAGGATTTAGAGCTTGACTTACTGGTGCGAAGAGTTGCCACACGGCGGCATTCTAATCGCCTCGGAGGATCGACATAAACACGGCACAGATATAGGCCTACCAAGACTAGTGACGCAGTCATCCGTCCAGTTGGGCAAGCATCGGCACGGGATAAATATCAACTAGTAGGATCGAACAGGATGGAGCACATGCCGATTCATTGTCTGAAATGCTGGTAACAAAGTAGATAGAGTGAAAGCCGGCACAATCCGCCGGCCGTGGGACAGACGCCTTGAAATCCTTAACCCAGATATCTTAGAAACACCGCTGGAAGCCCCAAAGAAAAATAGTGGGAGATGTGATGAGGTCCGCCATAGTACACCGCCAATGCCACTCCCTCTCGGCGTCTCTGGCCAGGCTCCTCCATGCTGTGTTCGGTGTGGTACGCAAAACAAAGGTAAAAAGGCCAATGTGGGTTGGCGTTTTATTCGGCGTGACAATCGCCACTCTCAAGGGATATCATGCTTGTTGCTTGGAATCGGAAGTGCAGGTTGCGGGGATGTGCTGCGAGCAGCAATGTGTCGGAAGGTATTATCGGATTGCGAAGAAATCAACGTGATGAGCGATTGGGTGGACGGGCAGGCTTATGCCTCCACCTTCTTCTCGCTGAGGACTTTCGGTCGGAAGACGGCATCCTGACCTGACATGCGTCGCGCAAGAGCGCGGTCCAATTTTGCGCCGAGAGCGAGCTTGCTCATGTTGTCTGTCTTCTCGTTGTTGAGCATGTAGCGCTGTTGCACAAGGCGCTTGTCCTCGAGACGCTCAAAGCCCTCGTTCCAAGACTTGATTTCCTGGGCCCTTGGGTCGCCGGCGGTAGATGAGGCTTCGGAAAGGTGTGAGGGCGCGACCGAGGGCGTCAGGGTGGGTGCTGTGCTGTACGTCGACATGCGTGTTGAGGCACGGTTGCCGGTAGACTGCGGTTTCTGTGCGTCAGAAGATTGCGACATGGAGGGCAATGGTGAGTAGCAGGGCAGTAGCGAGGACGAGGCAGTGGTTATCGACAAAGGTCAGGTGCAGCAGTAGCTCAGACGGCGGCTAGCCACGAATAGGGGACCGGTCTGAAACGGCGAGCAGACGTAAGAAGAGTGGGACTACTCACGCTGGCCAGCATGGGCCGGGAGGACTCCAGAGACTTGGTCATGGTGACTGAGTGGTGACGGGTGACGGGGCGCGTGGGTGTGTTTCGGCAGGTGCAGGGCCAGCGGGGCGGACGGTCTTATTGCGCCCACAAGAACACGCTGCGCTCGGTAGCGTGGGAAGGGAGAGAGACGAGCGGGTGAGTTGGCAGCAGGAGGCGGCGGCGCAGAAAAGTCGGTGCTCGCTGGCTAAGGTTTCACGCCCGTCAAGGGAGCGGATCGGCAAGGGGTGACGAAGAAGGCGTGGGCAGCGACAGGAACAGGGCGTCGGGCAGGAAGGCAGGGGCGGCGGCTAGCGGTGCAGCAGCGGCTGGGTTCAGAGACGTGTGCTGGAGGAGCGGGATGGCGAGGGACGCAAAAGCACTTGCAGCTTTGGAGGGCCCTTGGGCGGGAGCAGCGGCTCTTTTGCGTGTCCAGACAGACGCACGCTGAAACGAGCCCTGCGCACGGCTCTCCAGTTTGGCAGCACCGCGTCGCCCGCGTGCCGTCTTTGTGAGCCCGTCCGCTGGAACTTCCCCCCAGCCACAGGCCGCGATGCAGCCTGGACGCCGCGCTGCTGGCCCATTCAACGCGTGCACGCCCGCCCCACGCCGCTGCCGACTACCACGTTGTGCGGACATGCCCCCGCAACCGTAGCTCCGCACCGTCTGTGGGCCTGCACCGCATCATCGCCATTCCGTTTTCTTTGTCTTGCAAGCTTAGACTTTGGTCCGCCCCGCTGTTTCTTTGTTCCTGCTCGTTTGATGAAGCTGTCGATCAACAAACCCATACCGCAGGCCGGACTCAGCAGCCAGGGGAGAGTTGTCAGATAACGCATATTGACCTCGTTCATGCGTCTGCAGCTAACCCTTAGCCCAGTCGTGGCACAGCTGAGATGCTGCATCTGAACAGCCTCTCGAACCCTGGACACACAAAGCCATGTTGGCTTGCTCAACGCTTGCAGTATCTAATCGACCCACGGTAGATTGTCGACCCGGTGGAATCAAGCACCTGCTAAACTCCCGCCGTCCTGGACAGCACATGGCCGGCGCATGGCTATGCGCATGGCTATCTGAGATCCTGCCGTTTGCAGCATGCTGACCGTTTTGCTAACGCATGCGGCCTCGTAAGTCTGATCCAAATATACTATATCACCATCCGGCCATCTCCGCACGCCCGACCGCGCCTGCGTAGAAGATTGTGTGTTGCTCGTTGTATCAATCCCATCGTTAAATCCCTGGCCACTACTGTACACCTTACGTCTCGCCCTGTGACACCACGCTGGATGAGCAGTGACATTGCATGCTTCTCCGGCTTACCTACAAGGCTGGGTAGGACCGTGCATGCCACGTTGCTGACACGTGGTGGTGTGAAGGAACTTGCATACCCGGTGCTAGCCCCGCTCAGGCCGTCTCACCACACCCTCATCCCCGTCTAACCCGGCGTTGGAAGGTTGTTTGCTTGACGACCGCTCGTGTCTCGTCTCTGATTCGCGCTTTGTTCAATCCTTCTATTGGCGCACCCTCGCGTGCCGATCACCTTGCACCTGCCACGTGGGTGAGCAGACAAGCCCGCATGTCCGGTCGATCATGCAACACATGTCTAAGACTCCGTCGCTTCAATATACCCAACACAAAGGCCGACTACATACATCCGAAATTCCTGCCACTACGGAGTCAACCCTCTTCCTTCATCGCAAACGTCAGCACATACGGAACACTCCTTGGGGAATCTAAAGCTGGAACCGTGATTTAACGTCAATGTGGAACCGCTAGGAGCTCAATCTTTGCGAGGTGCATGAGAGTTTCAGACACCACTGGATATGCAGTCCGAGATTCGGCTTGTCGACCTGACGACGACCCCTTCGGCAATCCAGACAAAACAATCAGCATTCTGGGATACTGCAACCGATTGGTGCAGATGGGACAAACCCGCTGCTTTCACTCACACATACGCCCATATGGCGATTCCTTTATCCAGGAGCCGCAATTGGGAGATCTAACATACATGACACTCGCTGCCTGATCAGGTGGATTAGCAACCCTAACTCCAGACAGAAGCCCGACAAGCTCTAATTTCACAGGAGCCGATGGGAAAGCCCGAATCACCTCAAGACATCCTATCTTATGTCTAATTACCTTATCATACAGACGCTGCTTATGTTCCAGGGCATAGATTTACTCAGGATACATCAACATTCATTATTTCAATCCTTCTTTCTTCATCACAACATTTTCGAATCATACATGAAGACAAAAGTTGTGGTCCGAGTTTACCTGTCGACCCCAATGCTCATGAGCAATGCCTGCTTTCCGGCGGGCTGACTCTACATTCATTGCTCCTGGATCACCAGGCAACTCTTCCGGCGCCATTGTGCTGAGGATCCGCATTGACGACTACACCTGTAGTTGGCGAAATTCCAGCAGCTGAAGTTGAATCAGTTCTACTTCCCAGCGCTACAGACGATCTCGTTTTCGCAGCGCCATCATAACAGCTCGCAAAGGCCATGGTGCCGTTCAAAGATCTTCACCACCAGATGTGGACTAATGTGCGCACACGAAGTCTAATTGGCGCCACGGCGTGGTTTAAACATAAGTGCCGTCCTTCTGAGGTCGTGCATATGGTAGAGCGCGTAGGAGCGCTACGACTCCTTCGCCCTTGCCGCAAGCCTCGGTCGTGATGTCGGGCTAGCGTCCTGTAGGAGGCTCGACGATTCATGAGTAGTCCAGACAGAGCTTAGTGGAAAGTGGTAGTAATCACGGATTATCCAATGCTATCTGAGCGCGAGCTTATTTCTTCGGGCGACGGCGTGAGATTGGATAACTAGGCATGTCATAATCACTAGAAGTCGCGTCTGGAGGATCGAGACTCTGCGTGCAGAAACGTACGACTGGACTCGAGTCTTGCGGAGGAGACTTGTATTGGAAGAAAATCTGAGAAACAATTTATCCAGAGGACCGAGAGCGATCTGAAAATGGATTCAGGAATGTGATTTGATTTGGACAGTGATGGCACCTTTTCACATCTCCAGGCTGCAGCGATGGTACTTGTTACGATAAGTGCAACCATGACGCTAGTACCTCTTGATCCGGAGAATCCAGAGGCTCCACTGGAGTGCTTGGCATTGACTGTGTCTCATTGACGTCCATGGTGAGGCGTTTCGATGTAACATGGGTATTCCCGGTGTTCTATGGTCACTAAACAAAACTTTCTTGGCATAATCTTCTGAGTGAAAGGTGATTGTGTATGATACAAAATGTGGTAACGCCATGCAATGCTCAAGGACTCACTACTATACACAGATACAAAACTTACAATATAGTTGTACATTACGCCTCCTCCCTAATCACCTCCTCACACCTCCCGCACAACTCATTGTGCTTCTCCTTCTGGTATCGCCAGCACCTCGGACACTTCTCCGCAGGCGCTGAATACACAGCAACCTCCCCGCCCCATCCTTTCGCCTCGTCAGCTACAAATGTCTGTTTTTCCACATCACTGTCAACCTTTTCCTTGATCACTGCATTCCAACTCAGATCAACGTGGCTTACAACGAACAAGGCTGCTAGCTCATCACGTTGCGAAACGTTTAGGGCTTCCGGTCCCGCCTGCGTGACGTCGCCAGTAAAGGCCTCCGAGAAGTGATTGGTGAACCACGGGCAGTGCGACCCTGAGTCATTATAGATGGCAACAGCGGACTCCAGCGACGAGCCGAGCCTTTTCTCCATGCGAAGGCGCTCCTGTGCTACTTTTATGGCGGTATTGATGCGGTCGATGTAGGTTTGCGTTTCGGTCATGAAAGTCTGGGTTTGCGGATCTGCGCGCGGGAGCGGCGTCCAGGTCGCTCGCGCGGGGTGCACACTGTTACTTTTGAGCGCTTCGGGTGCGTGGCCCCAAGCTTCTTCGACTAGGAGTGGGCACACTGGTGCGAGCATCTGCAGTAGTTCGTAGAAGATGAGACCGAGAACTTTCTGCAGTTCTTGGCAGTCTACTTTATAGCCTGTGTAGATGCGGTCTTTGAGCGTCTCGAAGTAGAAGGCAGACAGGTCGTTGGCGATGTATCTGTTGATCAGGTTGACGCCTTTGAAGAACTCATACTTGCTGTAGTAGCCGTGAACGTCGTGGCTGACTTGAGTAAGTCGATGCACTGCGAGCCTATCTGCGAGGTTCTTCAGGGGTGCCTGTGATGCTTCGAGATCATGTTGCCCAACGAGTTCATTGCGCACTTCGCTGAAAGAGCTGTAGAGAGGTGGGCAGGACGGCAAGGACAGAACGCCAAGAAGCCATTTGAAGGTGACTCGGTATTTGTGCAGAGCTTGGTTCACAGACATGAGGACAGGTTGGCCAATAGTGACATCTCTTGTGTAATCGCTGCTCGCCACCCAGAGTCTCAATGCATCAGATCCCATAGCATCGTAGGTAGCAGCAGCGTTTACGAGGTCCGCTTGTTTGACACCTTTCTGCTTTTTTCGCTTGACCGGAGGCAGCAGCTCGCCGGACATAATCTGTGCGGGGCTGATGACATTCCCCAAGCTCTTGCTCATTTTTCGGCCATCCGAATCGAGCGTGAAACCATGCGTAATGAGTGTCTTGTAGGGCGCTTGAACGGAGTCATTCCCGAAGGGCTGGGTTGCAACGTGGGTCAATAGAGAAGATTGAAACCACCCACGGTGCTGGTCAGTGCCTTCGAAATACACATCAGCGACAGGCTGATCATCTCGCGGTGGGAGCATGGACCATGAAGTGCCGCTGTCAAACCATACATCCATAGTGTCTGTTCCGCGCACATATGACCCAGTAAGGTGCGTAGGTTTCCAAGCGGGATCGTCTTGAGCATCTGTCCACCAAGCATTGATACCGCGCTGTTTGATAACATCAATGATGTGCTGAATGATCTCTGCGTCCATAGCGGCTTCCGACTGACCGTCCTTGTTGACTTTGTACAAAGCAGGAATCGGCACACCCCACGCGCGTTGTCGCGAGATGCACCATTGGCTACGCCCTTGAATGAAGCTCTCCAATCGCGAGCGACCAGTTGCGGGCATGAAGTTGACATTCTCGATGGCTTTCATAGCGCTGTCTTTGATGCTATCGACGTTGGCAAACCACTGTGCAGTCGCCCGCACAATGACTGGCTGTTTCGTTCTCCAATCGATGGGGTACTTGTGGCGGTAATTGTGCTTTGCTCGCAAAAGGTTCAGCTTGTCGAGATGATTCAGGATGGCGTTGCTACCGGTCTTCTTCAGGTCTGAGACGGCGAGACCCTCGAGGAGCTCGGGTTGCTCAGGAAAGGCTTCCTTCGTAAATGCGCCAGCATCGTCCACGGGGGCAAATGCATCGATACCAAGCGCGCTGCATGCGTGATAGTCATCCATGCCGTGCCCTGGGGCTATATGAACAAGTCCAGTTCCCGATGAGTCTGTCACAAAGTCCGCGTGGATTATTGGCTGCAACCCATTCGCCTTCTGAAAAGGGTTCTCATAATTGAGATGGCCAGCCAGGTCTGAACCCCGAAGCTCGGACAGCACAACGGTTAGGTCGCGCCCCAGTATCTTCTGGTATTCCTCCACACGCGAGGCCGCGATGATGATCTTCTCATTATCTTTCTCGGGATCCTGCACCACACAGTACATCATGTCTTTGTGCACGGCAATAGCTCGATTCGCGGGGAGAGTCCAAGGCGTAGTTGTCCAGATGACCACGCTGACCGACTCAGTAATGCTTGAGAGAGCGTCCTCCTTCAGCTGCTTGTCAACCTGTACCGGAAACCGCACAAATGCCGCCAGAGACTTGTGGTTCTCGTCGTACTCCAGCTCTGCTTCTGCAAGCGCAGTGCGCGACGACGGCGACCAGTATACGGGTTTGAACTGCCGATAGATCAGTCCCGCATCAAACATCTTCTTGAACACCTCCAACTGTCTGATCTCGAAGCCCTTCTCCATCGTCTTATATGCATTGTCCCAATCGCCCATGACAGCCCACTCCTTGAAACCCTGCTTCTGCTTCTCAATCGTGGTCTCAGCCAGCTCTTTCGCCGCCTCCCGCACACCCACAGGATCCGTCTGTGTTAGGTCTTTCTTCTGCGCCTGCAACGCCTTGATCTCAATGGGCAGACCATGGCAGTCCCAACCTGGGATGTAGCTCACTTTCTTGCCCTGCCCGACTTGGAAGCGACAGATGAGGTCTTTTGTGATCTTGTTCAGCGCATGGCCAACGTGCAGCGGGCCATTGGCGTAGGGTGGCCCGTCGTGCAGCGTGAAAGTTGCAGGCGTCTTTCCGTTCGCATCGGGCGCCGAGCGCGCGCTTTGCTGCCAGGCATAGTGCTCATCGGTGCATCGGCGGAGGTATTCGGCGGTGAATGCGGGCAATGGACGTGGTGGGAAGGTCGATTTTGGCAGGCGGAGCGTGGGCGACCATGATGCGCGTAGAAGTCGCGTCGGGGCTACCATAGTAGCATCCTGGGCAGGGTTTCCGTCTGAGTCGTTTCGCTCGAGACATTTTTCGAAGCTCAGCTTCCTCGGCGATGCTGCGGAGATTCTTCGGCTGAACCTGGACAGCGACCACCAACCCCGACTGCCGTCTCGTTGGTATGGGTTCAATATATGCGACGAACATCAGCGGTAAAAGCTTGGGAATAAATACATGTGGTATTTTATTGGTGGTATGAGTCGTTCAGTTACACGTTCATGTGTTAACTCATCGAGGTTTCTGATACGCCGCAGTATGAGGCAACGCCAAACGGAAACTCTAGTACAAAGCGCAATTCAGCCAAACAGTGATCTGATCTGACCCGACAAGAAGAGCTCCGGTCCTCAATAGACAGTGAGAGAACTCACAGCTCCATTCTTCAAGACCTCGAATACTAAGCCAGGAAATCCGAAGAGCTCCACGTTTCCAACGTCACCAGCACCTTCCAGCATGTCGGAACCTGCGTTCGCAAACTTGCCCTTCTTGTTGGAACTATCTTCCCATCCACCCAGAAGTTCGACGCTGCTGCCCGGACTATCGCCCCAACCCCTATTCAGAGCCATACCACGCTGCTGCAAGCGTTCAACCTCCTCTGTTGCATAAGAGTCTCGATAGACCTGCTTGAGTTCTCTCGAAATGTCGGCAAACGTCATCTCAGAATTCAACGGCTCTCTTCGAAGCTCGGACGGGACATGGTCAAGGGTCCATCGTGAACGCCGGTGGCGGTTGAATTGGTACGATCCGGGTACGTTGCCATGGAATATAACCTTGGTGGCTGTGAGATGGTTAAGTGGTTGAACACTTAGTTCGCCCTGAGACGCCAGGCTGCCGGACGCTTGCAAGGGCGGAGATATTTGGGTCGGTTGTGAGATGAGAATGTCGAATCCATGATGGTAGTAGTTGTAGAAGTGCTCAGCTGCGGCCACTTCGCGTTCCTGAGCCTCAAGTGCCGCTTCATCGTCACCTTCCCAGTCATCATCATCATCATCAGTGTCAATTGCCGATCCATGATCCGAACCCAGCAATTCATCGGGCGTCAATCTTGCACCAGAAGTCTCGGATACATCGCTCATCCTGCGGTCTTTGTGTATCAACAGTCGGTGGTCGTTCTTCCTGTAGATCGAATCCGGCGCTCCCAGTTCCATGATCAGATCCTGTGGGGTAGTTTCGCTTAAAACAATCCAGAATGCAGGACTTGATCGCCGCACAAGCTCTATACGCCCTTCTCCGTGCACTCTTACCTGCTCGATCTCGTCCGGGCTACCCTCTTTGCCCTTTCCTGACAATGCGACAGTTCTCGGATTGGGTGCAGGAGCTGTAAAAAGAGAGCCTCGCGCTTTCTGCCATGACTCGCCACTGAAGATGGCCATGGACTTTGCAGGCCCAGTTGCCGAAGACGATAGCAGTGATATGAAGTCCTTCTTCGGAGAATACGCAGAATGCTGGACAGGGAAGTTGAAGGCTACACCTGGGTACGAGAGGTTGTAGATGCCGTTCGCATTGGGGTCGTCATTACTTGGAGGGTGGTACTCGCCTCCATACGTTGGTCCCAGCAGCTTATCATATATATGCCTAAATCTGGGCCCTGAGGCTCCCGCGGGTATGCCACCATGACCTTCGGTAGGCTTGAAGACTTCTACGTCCTTGTATACGAGTCTCGCTTTCGTGAAGTCGAGCACTTCAATCAGCCGCAATCGCTGGTCTGGGCCATCGAACTGCAGTCGTAGGCCGTTATCCGGGAGAACGACGTGAACGGGCGATGCGATGGGCCGCAAGTCATCGTGGTACAAATGAAAGCGCGGAAACGCCCGGACCTCTGCCTTTATTGTGGTCAATATCTCGTGCAAAGAAGAGCCGATTGTCATGAAGCCGATGCTCCGCCCGGGCACCAGTTGCATCGCGCCGTCCTCCATAGTGGAGGCAGCGGTCCACTAAGCTTCTAAGGTCTGTCCCTGCACGGCAATGAGTCCGAGCTTGCCAGGTCTGATCGTCTCGTGGCCGAGGATATCTTCGTGTGAGCGGCGTAAAGCGGTTACGATCGTTTCGGTCTGTGGAGCTTCTGGGCTCCTAGAGCTTTAGCGGTCGAGGTTCGGGAGCTTCAGCGGTTGAGGTTCGGGAGCTTCAGCGCCCGGTGACTCTGGCGCTTGGTCGACTTGTAGCTGCGGCGCTTCGTTGCGAGACGGTCTTGGGCCGCGAAGGCGGTGCTGGTGCTAGCTGTTCCCGTGGGTTGTCCACGCGGTCAAAAGTGAGACAGCGATAGGACCCAGGCAGCACCCTTAACAACTACCAAGAGCGAACATATAGCGGTAGTGTATAGCTTGGATTGTAGTTGCGCAATCACTGGCACGCAGCTGCTCGAATGCGTGGGGGCACAGCGTGAGGACCTGGGAGGAGGGGTGGTGGGGTCACAAGCTTGGAAAGGTAGCAGAGCTGGAGCGGGAACGTGGGCGACGGACACTGTTAGTCTAGACAAATGGCTGACAGAACTCAAGTAATCATATCATGCTACGACGCGAGGAAGCACGGCAGCATCAAACGCCGTCGTTGCAGGTGTTGAGCTGGTGCACGCCGCGATTCCGCGCGCTTGGGGTGAGCAGCTAGCGCGACAGGGATCTGCTCACCCTGGCCTGTGTTTACTGTTTACCTGTGCCGAGCTTCCATCAACACGATAATCACTAACCGCCAGCCTTTTCAACGAGCACACACAACACTGCCAGACATGTCGGGGCTCCCTCGATCTGCGCAGGTGCCTACAAAGCGCGCACCCGCGTCGGGTTCAATGCGCCCCCCAATCATGCGCCCAACCTCACATCTCGCCCGCGGGCGCTCCGCAACACCTGCGCACGACGGGAAACAAACACGGGCAGAGTCAGTTGCTTCCATGCGGAGCGTGCGCTCGTCACCGTCCTCGAATCTGAAGCGCAAGGAGCGCGACTTCGAAGGCACCGATGAGGAAACAAACATCAATGTCGTCGTCCGGTGTCGAGGACGCAACGATCGCGAAGTCAAAGAGAATTCCGGCGTTGTAGTGTCTACGAGTGGAATCAAGGGAAGCACTGTAGATCTTTCCATGGGCCCGAGTGCGCTCAGCAACAAGTCGTACCAGTTCGACAAGGTTTTCTCGCCTGCCGCCGATCAGAACATGGTTTTCGATGAAGTTGTAGCGCCCATACTAGACGAGGTATGTGGACCGAACAGGGTGCAGTCAGATGAACTAACGTGTACAAGGTGCTCGGTGGCTTCAACTGCACCATTTTTGCGTACGGCCAGACCGGTACTGGCAAAACCTACACCATGACGGGTGACATCTCAAATATCCTTCCTCTCCCAGATGCCGCCGGTATCATTCCACGCGTTCTCTACGCCCTCTTCAACAAACTCGAGTCAGAGGAAACGGAAAACTCGGTTAAATGCTCTTTTATCGAGCTGTACAACGAAGAGCTGCGCGATTTGTTGTCGACAGACGATGCTGTGAAGCTGAAGATCTACGACGATAACAGCAAGAAGGGACACAGCACCACTTTGGTCCAGGGCATGGAAGAGTGTCACCTCAAGTCAGCCGCTCAAGGCATCAAGCTTCTCTCTGACGGAACCAACAAGCGACAAGTTGCAGCGACCAAATGCAATGATCTGAGTTCGCGTAGTCACACTGTCTTCACAATTACCGTATACATGAAGCGAACTTCGGAAGATGGTGTTGAATATTTGAGCGCCGGGAAACTCAACCTTGTTGACCTTGCTGGAAGCGAAAACATCCAACGAAGTGGAGCAGAGAACAAGCGCGCAGCTGAGGCAGGTCTCATCAATAAGAGCTTGCTCACTCTTGGCCGCGTTATCAACGCGCTGGTAGAACGCAGCTCACACATCCCATACCGAGAGTCCAAATTAACCCGCTTGCTGCAAGACTCCTTAGGTGGTCGAACAAAGACCTGCATCATTGCGACTCTATCACCCGCGAAGAGCAACCTCGAAGAAACGATATCGACCCTCGACTACGCATTTCGCGCAAAGAATATCCGCAACAAGCCACAAATCAACCAACTCATGTCGAAGAAGACTTTGCTCAAAGAGTTTACCGCCGAGATCGAGAAGCTAAAGAGCGAGCTGATCGCAACCAGACAGCGGAACGGTGTCTACCTCACGCAGGAGAATTATGAAGAGATGGCCACCATCAGCGAGTCAAGGCGCATCTTGAGCGAGGAACAACGTGACAAGATCGAAACAATGGAGGCGAACCTTCGCAACAAGGTGGAGGAGCTTTTCAGCCTGACAACGAATTTTCAAACCCTCAAGAAGGACAATGAGCAGATCAGACTCAATCTGGAAGGCACAAAGGGTCTACTTGACAAGACCGAGGCAGTCCTGACTATGACACGAAAGAACCTCGCTGAGGAAACCGAGATGCGGAAAGCTCATGCTAAAACCGAAGGTGAACTTGCAGAGATCGGCCAAGACATGATCTCTACACTAGGAAAGACGACGTCTGATATCGACGCTCTACGATCCAAAATTCGCCGGAAGTCGGAACTGCAGTCTCAGAACCGTCAGTACTGGGCAACGTCTCGGCACCAGGTGGTGGATACGACACAGCTTGTCGATACCCGCATAGCGCAGTTCCGGAACCAACAGGAGCAGATGATGGAGTCTCTATCGACCAGAATGCAGGCTTTCGTGACCGATGAGCTTGACAAGCTTGATGTATCACAAACCTTTCTAAAAGAGAAGATGAAGGATTTCGGGATGTCCGAGCAAGAGGTGAACGAGCAAACCGCCAAAGCTCGTGATGACATGAACGAAGTGTTAGAAGAGATCAAGACCTTGCGAGAAGATGTAAAGCAGAAAGTCGGTGCCGGTCTCAACGAGCTGTCTGCGGCAGCCGAGAAGATATCTGCAAACATTATTCTGGAGTTGGAGAAGTTTCAGGCGGAGGTATGTCATTTGAGCGAATCATTGGCGTACACTAAACTAATTGCCACAGCTCCATGCTTCCTATCAAGCCCTAGGTAGAGAGTTTAAGAATACTTTCGTCGATCTGACCAAATCCCTCAACGAGCAACAAGCTGAGAATGAGCGACTACATCACCAAGTCCTGAAAGCGAATTCAGCCCTTGTGCAAGCCAACAAGGCGTCCCAAGGCCGTCTGCTTCAAGTCGTTGACGAGGAAAAGCAGAGATCAGCAGAGGAGCGCCAGCAGCTGCTCGCCCAGGTCACTTCACTTATCAATGCCAGCGAGGACGCGAAGGACAAACGCTTGAACGAGAGAGTGATTGGCGTATGCGAAGAGATTGGTACTGCAAACGCATCTTTCGAAACCGAGCAGTCCGCATATTCCGAGGGAATGGGTATCTGGGTGGAAAGTTCCAATGGCATCCTTGCTGGAATATCAAGGTCGCAAGATGCTGTCAAGACTAAGATCAAGGGCGATTTCTCGGCAGTGACCCAACAGTCCACTTCGATCAAGAATACGACCACTTCAGTACACAAGAGCACAGTGCAGATTGTGGAGGCACAAATGGCGCAGATGGACACACAACTAAATTCCTTGGACGACATCATGTCGCGTGTGCGCGAGCAAAATGATGCCCATCACACTGCTCACACAATTTCCCTCAGTGCATTGTCATCTACCGTCCAGTCGTCTTATTCGAGCATTGGGGAGCACCTTGCCACATCCTTTGCTCGCGTACAAGCGCTGGAGTCTGACGTTGCAGCTCAAACAACCGCGCTCAAGGAGATGTTGCCGGCTTTGGCAGAGGATGCAAACATACGTGCTCCTTTGCACGAGCTCCGAAAGACGATCGAAGGTCAAAATCTGCTCGAGTACAACCCCACCGGAGAAACGCCACAACGCGTCAACTACACCATTCCAGACAAGCTGCCACGGACTGAAAATTACGAAAGCCTATTGTCACGTCTTCGCGATCGCCCCGTTTCCGCAGAGGCTCGCAGTCCTACCAAAGCTTTGATTTTCAACGATACAGAGAACGAAACAAACGACGACATCTTCAATGCGGTCACCAAACCCAATTTTGGTCGCTCTGTCAGCGCACATTCTGGCACCGTACCCGTGGGGGCCTCTCTTCGCGAGCTTGATGTTAATGTCGTTGCGCACGAAAGCCACACGCAGCCCTTGCCCATCGTATCTCACTCTGACACCACGGTCATGGCAGCTCCTCCGCTTAAGAAGCAACGCAGTGAAGACACAAAGTTGCCGATGAAAAGGATGACCAGGAAGACCGTTGGCGGCGAGGGCAAGGGTGACCGCGAGAACTTGACCATCACGAACTTCAGCTCAAGTATCGGGCCAGGGCTTGCCAAGGGGAGGGTGTTGAGGAGCCGCGGAAGCAATTAGGTGGTCTGGCTCGATGGTGTCTTCTGCATAGCCAAAGGAGTTCGTGACTGGTTTTGATTACTGGGCATGGCGGAGTTTTGATAGGCTTGGTAAATGGGGCATCTTGTGCGAAAGGGTGTGAATAGGAATGGGTGGCGTTCAATGCTCAGTATATCTGACGTAGTAATTGATTACCTTCTTTTTTGCAGCTACTCATAGCTATCGTATTCGATATACCGTGGCCGTGAGCTTATGGGGATTTTTGTGAAGCGCGGAAGGACCCAGGATGCTTTGGAGCGCAATACCGTGGAATGACATATGGCATGTAGCGTCATTTGACCATGTGTCACCAAGATGGCTTTTCAATCGCAAAGGAGACTGGTTTGGGTGTGGTTTCGCAGCTAGCTGAAGAGGGACCGACCTCGGGACGCCAGGGTGCTCTTCTCTTCTCCACCATGGAAACATACACGCCATAGACGCGCAGAGGGCACAAGCCAAGTTCACCATGGATCCGAAGGCGCTACAAAGGAGTCACACGGCTCGCAAACATGTAGAGGAGCATCTCATCTGAATTTTCTGCAAGAGCATTTGCAGGAGTAGGCACATCGCGACGTGCTTCGGCTTCAGGCACGTCCCCGCACGAGCAGTTCTCTAGCGAGCTAGCTACCCCAAACGTCATCGCATCCCGCGGTCCATAGCACCTGACAACGCCCACTTCTGCACAACCATTCGTTCACACTGCGTCGCCGAGCCTTATCGGAATTGCGCGCTAGAGATCTAGCTGTAGTGGGCCATTTCGGGCCTGTCGGTGGGAATAAAAGTGTCCTTGTATAAGTGCTCCGCGTCCCGCCGCAATGCGCTCCTTTGCAGCTTGTACAAGAGCAATTGCGAGACAGAACGGTTTCCGAAGTTACATACAGAGAAGCTCCCTGCCTGTCATACTTCAGAGATCTTACGCGATGGGTCACTCAGTGCCGCAGGTAAGTGGAACGGAGCGATGCATTGCGGAAGCTTCGTGATGGTGACGGGAAGAGCACATGCCATGCGACAGGACTGACACCAGTCAGCTCAACGACAAGTCGCTACTCAAGGAGGCGCAGACTTATGTCAACGGAGAATGGATAGCTGCAAAGTCGGGCAAGACCTTCGAGGTCCATGGTACGCGCATGGCTGTTCTACAAGAGCGCCAGAACTGACTTCAGTACAGACCCCGCGACCGGCAAGACGATAGGCACACAACCCGAGATGGACCGCGCCGATACCGAGGCTGCCATCGCAGCTGCCGCCGCAGCTTTTCCCGAATGGCGCAAAACCACCGGCCGCCAGCGATCGAAGCTGCTACGAAAGTGGTACGATTTGATGATTGAGAACGCCGATGACCTCGCAAAGTTGATAACGTGGGAGAATGGCAAGCCGATTGCCGATGCGAAGGGTGAGGTCACATACGCGGCGAACTTCTTTGAGTGGTTCGCCGAGGAGGCACCCAGGACATATGGCAGCACCATTCCCGCGAGTGTCGCTGGAAACAGGGTCTTCACCATCAACGAGCCTGTTGGTGTTTGCGGTCTCATTACACCGTGAGTACCTCCAGGCCGACATGTAGAGGTCTATTGATCTGTTCTAGATGGAACTTCCCAGCGGCCATGATCACCCGTAAGATTGGTCCTGCTCTCGCAGCTGGCTGCACAGTCGTAGCAAAGTCTCCCGGTGAGACACCATTCACAGCAGCCGCCCTCGCAGAACTCGGCCACCGAGCCGGTATTCCCAAGGGTGTCATCAACTTCGTCACAGCGCTCAAGAACACCCCTGAGATTGGCGAAACCATCACCTCCTCCAGGACGGTGAAGAAGGTCTCCTTCACAGGGTCCACAGGCGTAGGCAAGCTCCTCATGAAGCAATCGTCCGACACCATCAAGAAGCTCTCCTTCGAGCTCGGTGGCAACTCACCCTTCATCGTCTTCGACGACGCTGACCTCGACGCCGCCGTAACCGGCGCTATAGCGTCCAAGTTCCGCTCGTCAGGCCAGACCTGCGTTTGCGCCAATCGTATCTATGTCCAGTCTGGCATCTACGACGCCTTCGCGGAAAAGTTCGTCGAGAAGGTCAAGGGCTTCAAGGTCGGCGGCGGCTACGACGAGGGCGTCACCCACGGCCCGCTCATCCACGACCGCGCCGTCTCAAAGGTAGAAGCGCACGTGCGCGACGCAGAGAAGCAGGGCGGAAAGATCCTCATCGGCGGCCAGAAGCTGCCGGACCTCGGCAGCAACTTCTACCAGCCCACTGTCATCCGTGACATGACGGCCAACATGCAGCTCGCCAACGAGGAGACTTTCGGCCCTGTTGCAGGCCTCTTCAAGTTTGAGACTGAGGCTGAGGTCATTGAATTGGCTAATGCGTCGGACGTTGGTCTTGCCGGATACTTCTTCAGCCGCGATGTACAGCGGTGTTACAGGATCGCTGAGGCGCTTGAGGTTGGTATGGTGGGTGTAAACACCGGATTGATCTCTGACCCTGCATCGCCTTTTGGCGGTGTCAAGGAGAGTGGGTTCGGACGCGAGGGAAGCATGTTGGGTATCAAGGAGTACGAGGTCACCAAGATGGTCACTCTTGGTGGGATGGGAGAGTCGCTCCAGGGCTCATGATAGTATCTACCTTGTGAAAAGTTTTCTCGTACATAGTTTTGAGTTTTGCTTGCGCATTACATGGATATTCGTGGTGAGGTCACTCGATATTTACACACGCGTACACATCTCAGTATCAACACACATGCAACGCACATATCATTTACTACTAAGAAGATTGACATGCAGTAAGCAACCGAGAAATGCAGCCCCACATCTTGTACCGCACTATCTAGGCTGGGTGCGAGATGACATTACCAGTCCCCGGCAATACAATGTCAGCATCCTTCTCGTCCGTAGCCATGGCTAGCTTCAAGAGGACACCACCCGTGCCCAGACCATTGATCGAGGACGGGGTTTTCCAACCCTCGCGAGCAGGGAGACGCTCCTCACCTATAAGGCGTCAGCGTGTCCAGAAACCTCGGTAGAATGCCCGGTGAACGATTTGAGTACTCTGTGTTACCCCTAGTAGAGCAATGCAGCACCTAAACTTTGACCTATAGCTAGGGTCTTGGACAACTTACAGAAAACAATTTCGAGCCACTCTAGCGGCACAGTACCCTTGTTGGGGTCGAGCAGCAGCTGGAAGTAGATGGACGTCTCCGCGTAGCTGTTGAAGCGTTGAGAAGGACCATAGAGGAAGTTGGGGTTGCTCTTGTGAGCGCTCTTCACGCGGGCCCAGCGCGCAGCCGCCGCGAGCGGAAGCGAAATCTGCGTCGCGCCTTTGAAGAAGCTCTTGAACTCGTTGAAGACGTCACGGTTGAACTCTTGGTCGCCTGCACCAGGAGTGCCTGTGTCGGCGCGAGACAGAGAACCATCGTGTTCGATGATGTTATGCTTCTTGAGGTCCTGGAGGGTGAATGCGCCGCTGGCTGGATCCGATGAGGTCTTGAGGGCTGCGAGGAAGAGACCGACTGTTACTTCGGTGGAAAGGTTGACGGCGGAGGTGGCTTTGATCAGGACCCCTTGGGTGACTACATGAGGCTTGTGTGAGCAAATGCGCCATGTTTGAGGCTCATTACGCCGCAGTACTCCAGGGAAGCAGTCCTAGCGCCGAGTATAGCCAGCATGGATGCAAAGTATCCAAATACTTACTGTTGCGCCCATCCCGCGGCAAAAAGCCATGATTGGCAAGGGCATTCAGCACGGGACAGGGACTACGAAGGTCGCCCGAGGCAGGTGCACGCCAGTCATCGTAGTTGAATTGGGCACCGGCAACGGCAGTCAGTCCGAGAATGGTAGTAACGATCTTCATATCGGTCGACTACGCGGTGTTCGAGGGTATAGCGAAGTGTGCTGGAGTGAGAAGATTAGCACGAGCTGTGTTACTAAATTACCGAACGTACCTGATCTGTTACTCTGAAGTTGTACTTTGATTCTGAGAGGGATCGAGGTAAAAGGCGGGGTCAGGGGTGTTGGGTTAGAAAGTACGCTGTCGAAGTTTATATAAGGTAAGCACGAGAGTATCAACCGAAGGGTACATGTGCGGTTGCCTTTTCGTTTGCAGATAGGACAGTGCGCGGCGAAGGTAAAGTTATAGACCACATTTAGAGAGCTGCATTGAACTTGGTTGCGAGTAGCGATCATGCTCTTGGGGGATCAGACGTCACCAGACAACCTTTTGAAGGCGCAAAAGAAGAACACCTCGTGGCAAGCGACTCATCGGCCCGGTACGATGACCATGACAATCACAATATGATCTTGCAAGCCATACCGCTTCGTAACCCGCTATGTGTCGCCTCCATAATGTTGCGGAGCAGTGGCTGTTGTGATGATGATCCTAGAAATTCAGATGCCCTAGCAACTCGGGGTCAGCTGGGCGTAGGTCATGTTGCAATGCGCGACGCTCACCTGACGGCCAAACAGCCATGGAATCGCACGCGGATGATCTTTGGAAGGTAAACACTGATGACATGCTTCTCGTCCCCAAATATCTCCATGCGCCATGTCTTGGACTTTTGTCAAGTTGATGCGACGGACCTTCCAAGTGTACGACTGGCTCGTCCGTCCGCATATATAATGCGTCCGTTTCCTGTAGCGAGATTTGACACAGCGAAGAGCTGCTCAGTGATGAAATAGCTTGACATGACGTGAAATTGTATTCAGACGGCTTACTAAACGCACCGGGCGATTTGAGGCAAGACCTCTTTCATAACTCTTCTTTTCTAAATACAAGGCAGAGGTGATCGGCATAGGCTTAGGATAGCGAGTGTGACGGCAGGATGCCTACATATCGAACATTGTTACAAACTGAGGTTCCAGTATATACTCTTTTCTATACGGACAGATTAGCATAGCAACTAAGAAGCGCGTGTTTGAGGACGAATTTGGCACAGAGTGTTGCTTACGCGAAACTAGCATGTAATAAATAGAAGTAGAACGTAGTGAATCGCCGAAGCTGTCTATGCATGAAAGTAATTTTGGTCGCCAGTCTAGCGGTCCATACTGCTTTCGCACCCTAACTCTTTCCTGTGTCGTCTCTGGATCTCTATTGTCATTTCCCATTCTCACAATCTCAACAGCATACACAACTCTAGAAGTCACCATAGCGACTACCAAAGCCTCCTTGTAAGATACTCGTAACGTCTATCGCGACCTGACCCCACGCTTGATATGCTTCCATGCTGGGGCATCGTCAGTTGTATGATAACAGAAACCTAAGAAATAGGAGGCTCGGCTTATTCCGGAAAACCGCGTATGCTATTTTTTCGACATGTGTTCTCCTGAGGAGCTTATTGTGGCGCGAACGACATACCTTAGGCTGAGAAACGTGGAACGCTTCACGCTCAAGCCAACGCAGAAAGCGCACCTATAACACATCGTCCGAGCTGTGTTTCTCCTTTAGTCCAACGGAAGTTTTAGAGTGTGGCGCATACTATGTCAGCTATTCCTGTCACCAAGCCCTGGGTTAGTCCCAGACGTTCCTTCACCATGCCACGAACAAGGCACAGCTCAAAGCACACCAGAAAAGATGATACAGTCAGCACAACACCTGACTTGAAGAAAATGCATCAACAGGACATACTAGAACGGCAGTCCTGCGCGATCATGCCGAAGTGAATATCAGCTGTAGTTGCGCAACGGCAATGCAATTTTTCGTAAACTTTAGCTTTGGCACCCTGGCGACACCATCCATCTCAGTCGACCATAGTAGCAACATGACTGCTCAACAAAGGAAATGGTGTGCACGTGGGGTGTGCGACTCGTAAGCTAGATGAAACTCTGATTCATCCTGACTGTAGGCATTGAGTCGGAGTGCTGACAGAACCGTGAGCCTCTAACCGGAGAAGGCTGTCGTTCTCTGCAACCAACATGGAGAGGGAAGGCGAGTCTATTGGAGCTGGCGATCCTTGCCCTCCGCGTCGTCATCGATGTATCGGCGTCATGTACATATATGGGAATGTACGAAAATTACGCAGGCGTGCACCGACCAACATATACGGCGAGTCCAATGATATCGACATCTCGGTTGTTGCTGGTTAGCAAACGGCGAGGTTTCAGAGTTGAGGCTGCGACTCGTGTCTGTCAGCCGCGGCCCTTGCTAGCCGATCTGACGCGAAGCCCATTGTACGTTTCGGACGAAGACGGAGAATAGGATGCAGCCGTGGCCTAGTGCTCTCTGAACCCGTAGTGCCAGGTACATCAGGAGACCGAAGCTGCAGCGGACTGTCAAGAAACACTTGAAGGCGGGCTGGCTAGCGATGGAAAGACTCCGATCATGCAGGTCCACTTGGGCATGCATGCAGAAGGCGTACGAATGCTGGAGGGACTATTGGATCAAGGTCCGCCGCTTCGTGTTGTAAACAAGTTTTCTTGCACGCTGATTTGGTGACCCGTTTTACTCAGCTGGAGCCGAGTCCACCGGTCAACCGCGGCTCAGCGAGGCGGATGCGCCGGATTTCCGCAGACAAGGCTAGAAACGATAGAAACAAGGAGAGCATGGAAGAACGCATCAGAGGTTTCCCTTCGTTTGGAGGTTCAGTGAAACGTAGCAATAATCGCTCCCAACGCAGGGCGTAGACGATAAACGTCGTTGCTGGAAATAGACGAACACGCTAGTGTTACGAGTTAGGTGGGAAGATGACCACGCTATGTACAGAATTGTCGTGCCCTCTATAGCATCAGCGGTGACAAAATCGTCGCGTTTGTGTATCTGGAGGTATCCAGCTCGAATAGAATCAGAGTCGCGCAGGATGTTTCTTTTTGTAGTATGTTGGCCAGCAGAATCAGGTCTTCGCAGCTGGAAACACCCTCGGGCTTTTGACTGGACGATGGAGCTGCAGCCACTACCTGGAGAGGCGAGCTGAGTGCTTATTGGATTTGGAGCTTCAGCTGTGGCCAATGCGAGCATGCGAGGCTGACGCCGCGTGCGGGCTGAAATCAGCGTTCGAGGCTGAGTTTCGCGCGCAACCTACTAACCCGTAAAACTCGGAACATCAGGCAGAAGGTATTTGGCGCTGCCTTGTCCACTCTGATCAACTGACCTTGAGACGTTCTTGGATGACCGACAAACCGACCCATTGACCCTCTGGCATCATTCGCCGGGGCATCCGCTGAGACGAGAAAAGTGGGCCTCACCTGTACAGAAAGCATCCCTCAAACTTCACACCCGGCTGCAGCCTTGCTCCCCTTCTCTAACATCATTTGGATCGAGAGCATATGCCCCAAATAAGACGCAAAGGGAAGATGAAAGAGGACGGACCTACTAGCACCTCAGGGACTCAGACCGCGGACCCGGGAGCGCCGCCTAAGGAATCCATTGTAACGGCTCCCATCGTTGACAGCGCGACAACGTCGCCAACGTTTCTCAACCAGGGAAAGACCCCACCACGGAAAGTGCTGCGCCTTAAATGCACAAAATGTAACGAATATCCTGAAGGATTTCGTAGCGAACATGAGCTGCGCCGGTGCGTCAGGAAGACTGAATGTGCCTCCAAGAGTGCTAATTATATTTCCAAGACACACGAATCGCGTGCATAGGAAGACGCGTAAAGTTTGGATTACCATCGACACCTCACCCGACAAGAATTTTCTTGCCAATTGCAAGGCTTGTCAGACTGGGAAAAGGTATAACGAGTGCTACAACGCCGCCAGCCATCTGAGGAGAATGCATTTTCACCCACACAAGAGGGGTGAGCGAAAAATGAGCGCTGCCGAGGCTCGAAGAGGCGGGAAGCCAGGCGATCTAGACCCTCCCATGGACGTTTTGAAAGCAAACTGGCTACGGGAGGTGGAAGAAGTTGTTGGCGAGGCGGATGATTCACCTGAAGAGGGCGAACCTATGGACACGTCGTCGACTCAGCTACAGCCTGCCACGACCCAGGCGGACGGGAAAGCCCCGCCAACGCCCACGACTCCCTCTACGCGAACCATGGCGATCGACAGCATCGTGGATAAAGTGGATGCGTCCTAACAGCAGTGGTCCCCAGGAGCCATGTTCGTGGTAGCCGTGAGCTCAGAAGACGAGAGAAGACACGAACGCGCAATGTGACCTCGCATCTACCATTATCGTCGTCGTGTACCAAAGAGTCGTCGTCCTCTTCGATGTATAGCATCCTAAGACTATCACGGCGACAAAAGGTTCCACGGACTCTGGGTTGCATGGTGCCCGTACAGCAGTAGTTGGGGTCGAAGTCCTGCTGGCACTGCTTTCTCGAGGGTTTGAAGCAGTTGTTCTCTTAGCGATGGTAGAAGTGACAGTTTTCAGCGGCATAAAAGGGAAGGCGCTGGGTTGGCGTCTAGATGAACGAAGCGCTGACTGAACCTGGGAATGATGACTCCCTCGTGCGCATACTGGGCGGCGAGGTGATTGTATTAGATAACATGGCTTCTCTTGCACCCTGATGCTCATCTTGCAGCTCTCTCACCGCACGTCGTCGCGCATGTCGTCATCGTATGGGCGCGTCGCGTAGGAGGTGCCAAGTCCCGTGATGGACCAAATCCCGTGGACTTGGGTCTTTGCATCGTACCGAACGGTGGGTGAAAGTAACAAACCATGTGAAGAATAGTATGCGCACTGCGAGGTCCCGGCCTTGTGCAAGGAGGTGTATTTAAGGGTGGCCAATGTCTCGCGGTGTCGATCTCCTGTGCACCGTACGCGGCCCGTGCTCCCTGTTCATGTGCGTTTCTGCGCCAGTTGCATCCGCGAATAAATCCTTCGCAGCCACCACACCACTGCCCTCGTCGCTGCTGCATGTTTCACCTGCATGCTGCAGTTGCTGTCTTCCCGTCACGAGCCCCGCGCCCGCCGTTCTCCGCCTGTCCGCGCCGACAGCGCACGCGCTGCCACCGCGAACCGACCATGCGCATACCACCGCTCTGATAGCACACCGATCGCCACGTCCGCATCTGTATCGCGAAGCGAGCGATAAGCCTCGCGCATACATCGCGTACGAAATCGTGTAGCTTTTATATGTACGAGCACACTAGCGGCCGACGCATAAAACCTTTCGGGAGAGGGTGGGCTGCAGTGGTCGGAAAACACCAGCATGGCCAACTTCGGACGCATGTCTAAGCATTGTTTCAGCCTTGGAAGCCTGTACAAATTTCCCACCCGACTTTTTGAGTTTCGATTCCTGGGGTGTAGACGGAGTGCAAGTACTTTGCGAGAAGGTACGACCGGCAGCACTACACCTTCTGTAGTGGAACCCCCGGGCCATGGCGTCAACTTGGGCAGTCTCTACAAAAGTTATGAGCCTGTCGCTGGTTGGGGATGTTTTGAAGACGGCTCCGTCTACGTGAATGTGAAGCCGTGGGGAAGTGATATGGACCATGCCAGTTTCGAGGCAAAGATGAGGCTGCTTGAGCCACTTGTACGAAAACCTCCCCCACGCATATATCAAATCAGATCTGAACACCCCAATCTGAGCCGACTTATATTTGTCGAGTAAGACGTACAACCATCAATGTCGTCCGCACGGGCACTAACTTTCCTCTAGCTGTCAGCCCTCAATCAAACTTTCAAAATCAGAAGAATCGTGCACTATCTTTGTTCGAAACGCTAACGATGGCGAGAAATTGTCTGAGGAGAGGCATCCTTTCAGGCGATGTCACTTGACTTATGACCAACTCAACTTTACTCAATCTTCGTCTAAAGTCGATCGGCCCCCAATAGTGTTGCCTCATCCGGTCAGAATGTCGATGAATAGAGCGCTCGAAAACTTCCGTGGTACATTGGTCGGTGGGGTTTTAAAGCCGAATGTGCGTCTAGGCAATGGTCTGACCCTTAGGAAAAATCATTCTCTCGATAAGCAACGAGTTCTCAGAGGCATCCAGTACTTCCTCAAGATGGAGAACGCCAGAGAAGCACAGACCAAGACCCCTACCCCCTCCTCGAATACCAGGCATTCTGTAGGCTTTAATGCCTTGGCCGGTATCGTGCAGGGCAACCTGGGATCAAGTCTACCAGAAAAAGCTCTAAGCCGGTCCCGTGTCGATGGAAAGCACAGCGAGAGCGAGAGCCAGAGCTTGACGAAGAGAGAAAATAAAGTAAGCAAGAGAGAGACTGCGGTCAACACGAGAGAGGTCGCAGTAAGCAGGAGAGAGGTTGCAGTCAACGCAAGAGAAGCGATGTTAAACAAGAGAGAGGCTGCAGTGTATAGCAAAGAAGCTTCTTTATATCATAGAGAAGCTTCATTATTGCAGAAAGTAGCTGCGTTGAACAAGAAAGAAGCCAAACTGAATGAACGAAGAGACACATTGGATAAGAGGACGGTTGAATTTGGCATAGAAAGGAGGCGTCACCTTGCGAAAAATCAGAAGCCCGAGGTTGACTACGACGACATTTTCCCTGAACTCGCCAACTCCGACTCATCTGAACGCCGCACCCGAATCACGCTCCCTCAGGGACCTGTGCAATAGATGGCGAAGATGTGTCCGCAATAAAGTCCTACTCGTTACAGGGTGGGCGGGCCGACAATGTATGATTGGACATATCTTTCGCCGTTGTATTTGAAGAGATGACCTGTCACACTGTAAACAGATTGCATGGCATGTCAGAGACAACATACTGAACGCTCTGTATGAAAAGAAGCCTCGATGTGTATTACTTATCAGGTTCCGATACCCCTCGACAATGAAAAAAAGCAAGACATGAACCTGCAAATGTTTCTTCCACATTACCTTGATGGAAGTTTCATTAACGCACATGGTGTGGCTTGTTCCGGCCATTTTCCTGTGCTTCGCGTGTACGTACCTCCAAACACCAACAACATTATATTCCCAAGATACCCAAAAGATCGTGACTTGGTTCCACAAATCCGCGGATATAACGTTAGCACTCGATGTACAATACTTACCAATGGGATTCATGTTCTAAATGCACTGTGTCATCCCAGGAAGAGCAAAGCAGTATCCACGGTTCCGACCACTCATCGACACCAAAATCTTAGGATACGGGACGCGAACAAAAATGCTCGTGAGAATGCATTAGTTATACGAAAACAAGTGCTGCGCTAACATCATCATGGCTGCGGATGCCTGTTCATATCCCCTTCACTGATATGCCGCTGCGTCTCGTCACTGTCGCGCGCCGACGCCGACTCGACTTGAATGTTCGTCTCGGTGACGATTGCGATACCACTCGTCCCTGCGATAGGTTTCATTATCGAGTCCTGGGACCCGGAAGCGCTGTGCTCGGTTAGGCCGGTGTGTCCCCTTCTCTTCTTGTCCACCATGCGCGAAAGGCGGTTCGTCCCGCCGACGATAGTAACAGTCCGTCCGACCTCTTTGTTCATGGTGTGCAAGCCATAGTCATCACCAACCCGCGCTACATTGTTGCCGCCTGTGTTGGTGGTGGTGCGGTTGTATGCGTGGCTCGAGATTTCTGAATTGACAAAGACTCGACGTGTCAGGGTGTAGAGGAGTGCGTCAACCCAGCCGCACGATGTGAGGAATGAACCAGCGACGCAGAAGAAAGTGTCCGGTAAATGTACTCCCGCCATCGAAACCATCCTGCCTATAGCTATGGGCATTGTAAGAAAAACGTAGACTGCAGGGTAAAGGATCTGTGATGAGGATAAAGTCAGCGCAAGCCATGAACATTGGGCTGGGTACAGTGACTGTCTGAGTCAAGCGAGAGAAGAAGCCTTCTTTCGCAGGCAAGTCGCATCAGCCTGATGCCTGGAACTACTTACCATGAATTTGGTGGCGCGAGAAAGCTTGCTGGTGTCGTTGTTGATAATGCTTCTCAGCCGACCCTTCAGATGAAAGAAGATGTGTCCGTAAATTACAATGGTACCAAACTCTACAATGAAAATCCACAGGTAGTGCAACCATAATCTTTCAGGTTCGAAGTCAACTGATACCCAGCACTGTCATATAACATTAGTATGTGTAGGTGGGCAGTGAGTTTGGGCGTACTTACCCAGCCTCCAGCTCGCGTGAAGAAGCGATTGCCATGCAATGCAGGTCCCAAGACAGTCAGAAGAACTGCGAAGCACCATATGCTAACAATCAATACTATCAGCCAACCATAGGGCATCCGATATCCCTTCACCACACCTGCGGTGTTGTCAGTACGTATCAAAGATAGCGGATGGAATCAAGACTCACCCAACCAGGTGTGAACGGCGATAGCCAACACGAAGAATCCACTGCTGATGTCTCCGATATGCAAGAACCAAGCCTGTATGAAGCAAGGTGCCGTAGGAGCCAAGATTTTTTCTATCCTTAACCAGTGGAACGTGATCACGAACGCGATACTCTGTTGCAGGTCCGCTATTAGTAAGTTGAAAATGAGAAGTATGTACTGGTTCCCCCCCACGTATTCCCTGTAGCTCTTTCGCCATCCTATAAGGCGCCAGGTAATGAAGCACAGAAGGGCGAAGACAGATATCAGCGAGGCCATTGCGAATATGACCAGCGGGATTAAGCCCTTTTGAAACGTAGGAGTCATTGGATCGAGCGAGTTCGGATACGCGAAGTAGCGCTTCGCGAGCACCGCTCGGGGGTCCTCCATGGTAGGATGTGGGTTTGTGTGTATCTCTCGTTCGGCGTTATCTGAGCATGGTGTTGTCCCCACCGGTTCAAGCCACTTCCTCAAGACGTTGTCGACTGCCGGTAAACGTCTCGATGTTGTAGATCTTGTCGAGGCCCTGGACTTGATCGTGGGTGGCTTCAGTGCTCAATGCGCAATTAACTTTGGAGTGGCTTCGTATCGGCGCGTCAACAGACGCGGCGGCTCGTGCGAAGAAAACGACGGTGGAAACGGGAATAACGTTTGCGGACAAAGACTATCGAGAGCGTGCGTGGAACCGTGGGAAGGGACGATATATTACGAAAAGAGCCGGACGCAAGGGGCACGGTAGTAGCTCAATTTTGTATGCATGAAAAGCGGCACCTAAGCATGCACTGTGAACGTCTTCAGGCTGCCCTATGGTAGAGCTACGACGTCAAGGCACTTATCTTGCCTGGGATAGTTGGCATGCTAGCGTGTATCTTGCGCATCCACCCGGTTCTCCATCCAGTGAGAAGATTCATCGCGTCTTACTGTCGAGGCTGGGGTCAGCGAAGGCGGGAAGTTCAAAGCCTGCGCAACATCCCCAATCTAACCTCTGAGCGGAGTGATCGCCGGGCCTTCCGAGCTATTAAACTTTGAATTTGCAAAGCGGCGGCGCTGTGACTGCTGTCGTGTGATAGATGGCAGGGGTTCTGTGCTAGTACCCTCGCGGGTCCACGTGGAGAAACCCTTTTGTGGTGTTTTCGAGACGCCTTTCCGGCAATCGGGCCCAGGTTCCAGTCTGCAAAGGCGATAGAGCGAGCCCTGGAGCCAACGGTCTGTGCGAGTACGTCTGGGGCGCCTAAAGGTCCTGAGCGCAATGCAAGCGCTTGAGCACAAGCGTACGCAAGCCACAGACGTTAGTCATCGAGGTGCCGACACCCTGCAAAGCGCACTGTGACACAGTCTGTTGTTGGCAGACGGCGGGCTGAATTGTGGATGCGCCCGCTCAGGGAGACGAGTGATCTGGGGTAATTAGTGCAGAAGACCCTTGTCTTTCTGGGCAAGAGCGGCCCGTTTTCGTAACCCCGGGGCCCCAACTCCTGAACGTGATCGTGACGAGCCCAGAAGTTCCATGCCCCACTGTTTTGCAACGCCGCACACGCATCGGTTCTTTGGTGAAGGCACTCGCACCGGTTTCAGATTACTAACAAATATCGTACGCCATCACCACGCGCATCTGCTTCCATGTTGGTATTTTCAGCCTGGCGGTGACTGATTGAGCATGACTGTGCGGAGACATGCTTCCTCGCTTGTCGCTCCGCCGAGGCTTGCCTTGCGACCTCTCCAGGGCTTGGAAGCCGATCCTGCGAGCGCCGCATCTGGTCGCCTTGACACATGCGCAGAATCCTCCTAGCGTTTGAAACGCTGAAGCGACTTCCCGGACGAGAACAGGAACAGTTGCGGAGGCAAGTTTGTCGAAGTGGTACACCGGTAAATCTCCACGACCTTGTCACCCCTTGCAAGTTTCTGCCAGCGGGAAGCAAATTAAAACGTCAGCACTAAAGGCGACGAACCCAGGTACTCGACCTTCGCTACCAAGGCCCGCACACACATTTGGGCATGCTCCTGAAGCAGAGAGGGCGCGTTATATCAGTAGCGTGTGTCAGCACCTCGAGCACTTTGCCCCCAGAGATCTGCTCGAGGTCGCCGCTCATTAGGGGCACTGCATCCGTTAACGCGCCTATAGTACCAATGATATCGTTCAGCTAGTCTGACCGCGTAAAGACGGCCATGAGAATACAAAGCTTTTCGTGCGCTCTGACACGCACCGATTTTGCTTCCGTAGCTCTTCAGTCGCTTTATCCATGGTGCGGCGTGAAGCAACTGCGTCGTCGGGTCACCGCACCCTAACAAGATGCTCGCCTACCCCGCAAAACCATATCCCCATACACATGAACGGCCCAAGGCCCTCCATTGGGCTAAGAGGCCATGCACATGGCCTTTCTCCCTGCCCAGCAATCCTCTCGATTGGCGGAGGATTGTATTAAAGCCTTAGAACGCCACTCGATAGGACAGCGAACTTGACAGCCGCGGAACAGGGATCGCCATTCCCGACATTAGCAGAAACGTGAGGAGCAAGGTTCCAGAAGCAAATCTATCGACTGTGCCACGCGGTTCAGATTCTAGAACAACATCCGAAGAGGAAGGACGTCGTACTCGTACCGATGGACGACCGGCTCGCAAATACGGATGCACGAAATACACCAACGGCTAATGAGATGACGGAATGTTTTGTTCCAGTAGCACCTTTGAATTGGTACCAACGAGCCGTTTCAACACCAGGATACTAACAAGCCTCACAATCCTCGTGGGGCTATCAATAGTTACAATGACGCACTTTCTTTCAGTGTCGCCAATACGAATTTCTTCTCACCACGTAAACATATAATTACCCAAGGTTTGTGCAATACTACTCTTGACCTACGCGATGTTACCGTGAAATAGCCGACATAGTCGTGCCTCATGGACTGCGGCGTCTGTGGTTCGATTCGCGGTTCTCCCAGTCTTCACAACGCGAAGCACTGGCACGGCTGATCTTCTCCTTTTGTCCTGCACTTGAAATGAAGAAGAACACTGCCCTTGCCGTGTCATTCGGGACCAGGTAGTGCCTACAGTGTATCACCAAACAATCGTACAAATTTTTGTACATATACTAGACTCCGCCACAACTGTTGCTCACTGACAGGGGAATCGCTTCCGTCAACTTGTCCACAGACTGTCGCCAGGCACAAGCCAGAACACTAGCTACAGAGCAACTTGGTCTGGAATAAGGAAGTCCCCTGCATCTGACCTGGAAAAGCTCCAACAGCTGGCAATTCTGTGGCCAATACACAATCATGCTGACATCCGGATACCTGCGGAAGTTTTCGCGAGCGCACCAACAGAACTGTGACCAAGGCACAACCAGACTTGGGATGTTTGAGGAAGGGCCAGTGGATCCTTGTAGTTAACAAACTAGAATATGCCATTCGGCTTCTGCTTATATCCGATGAACGAGATGGCTGGTCACCCGAACACGAGCACCTGTACCCAAAGGGGCCGCGGATTAGCCATTGCTCCCTTGCTCTATTACGCAATCGACCAAAGCCGCGGCAATGTTGGTGCCGAAATCAACGAGACTGACGATCTTTCTGGAAGCGGAAGAGCAATTCAGATTCGGTTCTCCTCTCACCTGAAGGCTTCACTGTTTTGGCGCTGCTGAACACCTGTTTCGGCTCGATGATCCCTGCCAGTTCGCCGGTTGAATACAAAGACCCCTTTAGTCAGTTTCGTACTCATCCATGATATTGGATCTACTCTCCATGACTACATTCACCTTGACAGATCGTTTTTGAGACGTAACATGGCATCATGTTGCATATCGCTGCCGTGCTGCGATCATACACATGTAGCTGACAACAAAGACTATACATATCACGGCAGAGCTCACTGTTAAAACTCACGCTGAGTTATTGCACTGTAAGTATACAAAGGTAAATTGAACTGAGTTACTAAGGGTTAGATGTGCCTAGTACTTGTGTCAGTCACTGTGATACGTAGCCAATACTCTGCAATGTCGCCCGTGTACTCGCACCACTTGTGATGCCCTTTTGCAATACCTCTCTGTTACATGCCTACGTAGCCATTGACAACGTGCTGCTCTACTGGTCTCAGCTGAACGTTTCGTGTTGAACAACCTTACAATACACAAAACCCAGCGTTCTGGAGAAAACATGACGAACAAAGAATGGAGCTTGCTGAGAGGTACTTACCCGTAGGCTCGCTCCTAAACCACTGTTAGAGCCCAGGTGATGTGACACTATTATGAGTGATAGACAGAAGTTCCTGATGTTCACGACATGTGAACCTCTGCGAAGGAGGTGAATTCCTTCTTCTTTTGGGGCTCGGAACGAGTGCCAGCTTCCCAAGTATGCAATAACGAAGGCTGGTTGGCGCATACTGACTACTGTCTGGCTATCGCACAGTCCTCACTGAGATCAACTAAACAATGCACAACGGTAACCTTGAACGTAAGTAAGATGTGCCTTCGGATGATTAAGTTAACGAGGGGGTTCTAGCATCGTCTGAGCAAGATGCTGATTGTACGTGGATGCTTAAAAGTTGGTAGCCTGTGTTTTCCTAGGATGAGTATTCCGGGACCTGGACGTATGAGAGCGTATGGGACGTGGGCATGGACTTCTCGGAGCGCTACGCTTTTGTAGACCAGGAGGTAGATATCCGAAAGTGATGCGGTGTAAGGTACGACGGTACGTTATGTGTTTGGGCATTCCTGCTACTATTTGTCTGCCGGAGCGCGCGGTGCCTGGGTACGGCTTAAGCGGCAGGAGGGGAGGTAAGATCCGTACATACATCGCATGTGTCAGGAGCAGAAATGGTAACAATATACTCGCAATCACCTTGAAAGCGCAGGTGAACGGACTGGTAGTATGGTGTCGGCCAAGGAAAGATCTGCACGGGAACATGGCTTGGGATTGAGAATTTTGTTCATTGGCATGGAGGGTATCCCTTCGCCAGATTGGCACGTCATTTTATCTGCAAGACGAGTCCCTTGACTCGCCGCTTCCATATGCTAGAGCAACTGCAGACCAGAGAAGATATAATTGAGAACCGTCATAACCACGCCGTGACCCATCCGTGTCCCATAATGCCGCTCACAAAAGCCACCACGTCCACGCTTAGATAGTGGTCTCGTAAGGGATGGGTGTGATGCTCTCAGGCTTGTTGTCCTTGAAGCTGATGGTCCGGGACTCGCGGGGCGCGACCGGGAGGCGCTTCAAGTGGATGTGGATGCCCTCGGTCTTGGCCTGCTTCCTCTTCTCGGCGTTCGCCTTGACGCGCTTGATGAAGTCCTCTCGGGACCGGGAGTGCTTGACGTGCTCGATACGGACGTTGATGCGCTTCTCCATGTATCGGTTACCGACCTGCTTCTGGCTGTTTGGAAGTCAGTACGCGAATCGTAGGTCGACATGGGGTCTATACGCACAGGATAACGCCGACAGCGTTCTGGGTCACGTTGTAGACGATACCAGTCTTTCCGTGGTAGACCTTGTAAGGCATACCCTTCTGGACGGCACCTATCCGGTTGTAAGCCTTTGTGATCGCAATCTTCGCTATTTTTCGCTAGATTCCGTACCATTGGCAACGACGTCGACGATGTCACCGACCTTGTACTGGTGGAGGTAGGTCGAGAGAGGGATCTGCTCATATCAACATCAATTGCGCATCTCGCAGCGTCCGGCAAACTCACCATTCCCTTCTTCTTGAAATCCCTCGAGAACGCATAGCGCGTACCTGCGCGAAGACCGGCGGCGTGACCCATGGCGAATGTTGTGTGTTGGGGGTAATTGTCGAGACGGTGTTGTGCAGTTGGTCGAGGTTGCAAAATCGCGAGTGCGGAAGCCCAGCGGCCACTAAGCGAAAACGCCAGAGCAGCTCGCTTATTCGACGAGTCGGGAGAACCTCGGTGCGCGACCGCACCAGCGAATTTCGCGAGTTTCGCGAAAGGCAACTTCGTCTCTGTGTCTTGATCCTCTCTTTCCCATCGACAACCACAATGGCGCCCCGCAGCTACTCGAAGACGTACTCCGTCCCCAAGCGTCCTTTCGAGTCCGCTCGTCTGTACGTATTAATCTACGGCCACTGAGCGAGAGCGTGCTCCGCTTATGTCTGCGATTCTTGGTGTTAACGGTGGAACAGGGACAACGAGCTCAAGCTTGTTGGCGAGTATGGTCTGCGCAACAAGCGCGAGGTCTGGCGTGTCCAGTTGACCCTCTCCAAGATTCGTCGTGCTGCCCGGTATGTTCTACAATTTCAACTTCGTTGCGCAGAAAGCTGACGTGCGCAGTTCGCTCTTGACCCTCGACGAGAAGGACCCCAAGCGCCTCTTCGAAGGTAACGCCCTCATTCGCCGTCTCGTACGTGTCGGTGTGCTCGACGAGTCCCGCATGAAGCTCGATTACGTCCTGGCCCTCAAGATTGAGGACTTCTTGGAGCGCCGTCTCCAGACTTGCGTCTACAAGCTTGGTCTTGCCAAGTCCATTCACCACGCCCGTGTCCTCATCCGCCAGCGCCACATCCGGTACGCATACACATCCCGTTTGCGCATGTATCTTTCCGCTAACATTGTAATAGTGTCGGCAAGCAGATTGTGAACGTTCCCTCTTTCATGGTCCGTCTCGACTCCCAGAAGCACATCGACTTCGCTCTCACCTCTCCCTTCGGTGGAGGCCGCCCCGGTCGCGTGAGGAGGAAGAAGGCCAAGGCCGCCGAGAAGGGTGGTGACGATGATGCTGGTGACGAGGACGAGGAGTAGATCATATACTCCGGGGTATGATTTCTACGGACGATTGGCGTTAGTCATGACGGGATGATATCTACGAGGGCTATCCTGCCTTCCGGTTCGGCATCTCCAGCACGGGTTAGGAGTGGGAAAGTAGCTACACCCCAATTATGTAGCACTGCCGCTCAAAAAATACTCAATTCCCATTCTCGTCCACATTGCAGTCCCGAGATGACTTGTGACATGCGTGCGTGTTTCCCACTGTCGTGACCATAAATCTTTTACGATGTCGCTCAAATTTTTAGGTCAGAAGTGACCACTGCCTTCTCATTGGCCCAGTTAATGCAGTCTCACCGCCAACTTGCGTCTTTACTTATTTAATGTTTACATCGTCGAGCCATGGCCACTCGTCGCTACACCCTGATGGTCCTGACTATCTTGCATGTACATCTTGAATGCCTTTAAACCTCGCACTGTTTGGGGAGGAAGATGTCGCTACTATCTCGGGCAAAACGAATGAACTAAGTCGCTGATTGTATTCCTGACAAGATCAACGTGATGATGCATTAGTATGGGACCTTCAAATGGTGGCACGCATCCTTCAGGTCATTGCGTTAAACGCTCGAAGTGGCATTGGCCATTCTGATTGAACACATGATATCGAAGCTGTCGATGTACAATCATGTCTGTTTTAAGGAGCTTCCAATTCCTAAAGCGTGTATCGAGAAACCTAGCACGATGCTCCATGAAAACATGTAAGTCTGAGGTCTTTACTGTGCTTCAAAACGACCGATTGAGATCTTTCAATCAGCAGAAGCTTCGCTATGGCGCAGATTCGAATGAAGGTGATTTCGTCGCTTTCGCAAGGTAGAAGATAACACTCCTCTGATGGTAGGGTGCGATGTGGGTTCACCTCGCTTGGGTCGATGCGCTTTCTCAAAAACGTGTATTTGAATGCATTATTCCACTCGAACTAAGACGGTTGTCGCAGTTGGTAGAACAAGGTTGGGATGTTCGTGTTGCTGAGCGTCTCCACGCAGGTCTGGTCACAAATTAGTGCAGAGCTGTGATTCGATGTTTAGCGAGAGGGCGAGCGCCAAGCACACATGTGCACGGGCCAAGCACACCAGCGAGAGGAAATATCGAAGCCCCGAACTTCCGCCACCTCGACAGCCTTTGCCCGCCCGCTCAAACCATCGACAACGATTCCACAACGCCAAACCAGGAACTCCAAATCGTCTTAAAACGCCAACATGGTGAGTTATGCCTTTTTGCGACCCCGCAGGCGCCGAAAGGAGATTCGAGGCGGCCGTTCACGCGACTGTCGGCAGATACCCCGAATCATGTCTTTGCGGTCGTGTGCATATCCCCATCGCCCTCGATGATTGCCATTGTCGTATCTTTGCTAACCTTTCGTTCAGGTTCTCGCAGTTGATCTCCTCAACCCCACCCCGGCCGCGTACGCTCTCGCACCCCGAATAGACTCATCACACGCAGCTGCTAACAGTTGACGCAGTGAGGCCAAGAAGCACAAGCTCAAGACCCTCGTGCCCGCACCCCGCTCCTTCTTCATGGACGTCAAGTGCCCCGGCTGCTTCACCATCACCACCGTCTTCTCGCACGCAAACACAGTCGTCGTCTGCCAGGGCTGCTCGCAGGTCCTGTAAGTGGCAATACATCGAAGAGTGACCAACTGGCAATGGCTAATACAAGGATAGTTGCCAACCAACCGGTGGCAAGGCGCGATTGACCGAGGGCTGCTCTTTCCGAAGGAAGTAAACGTATCGTTGGACGACAGCAGCGGAGGATTGACGGTTCACGACGATGATGATAATGGGATAGGGTGTAGATCTCACATGGTTCCGATCGACTTGACCGCAGGATAGAAGAGGGATCTCGAGTCAAGCCAAAATCAAAACGGGAGTTCCGGATATTCAGCGTTGGTCTCGACCGCCCTTTCTATCATGTTTCCTATGTTCGGCATGCGTTTCTACAGCTTTCATGTACATGCATGTGGGAGGCGAGATAGCATTTCAGAGCTTCGGATCAATCGTCCGAGAGCGAGGACTGTGTTGCATATCGAGGATGTCCCCGCCTGCAACGGTCCTTTGCAAAATCGAACAACCAGTTCCTCATACTCGCTTACCACTGCTGTGCTAACTGTACTCTTACATATTCATTAAGTGTGACCAGTCAGAAGCTGCCCCAATGCTAAGTCCGATATATGAGCTGGTGTCCTTCCATGTACTACCCTACGATGTTGGCGCAATGTTCTGAGAATCGACAGGCCATAGCGGTGATTCCACATTTTCCATCCCCAAATCCTACTTCATCCAGCTTGGGGCCACACAAACCGATTGCGCGGATGCATGCCGAAGTGGTGCCTTCGGTCACCAGTCTCGGTCTATGACCCCAAGACTCGCATCGTGAAATCCGTCCAGCGCTTTACCCGCCTAAGAAGGAGGGGGGTCTAGCTGCATCTCCCCACCCCACCGCGGTGAGCCGCGGGTTGAGATGGCCGCCCATTTGCTTGAACCTGCATGCCGCATGACAAGAAAACCGTAAGTCTCGCCGACCTCCGATGCCCAAAAAATGGTCATGTAACCCCGCCACATAAACAAAAGGACCACCGCCATCAACAGGTTTTTTCTCCTTCATTGAACGCAGCACGGTCGCTCTAGCCTTGTCGTACGAACTATTGCTGTGCGCCTGCTCCTTTTCCGCGACTCAGACCCCCAAGCTTCGACGTCATCCCACGCCCGCCGCGGCAGCCTCCACGCTTAAAAAAAGAAGCCAGGCGCATTAAATATGGATAGCACACCCCAGCCCACCGAGTCGGAAATCCACATCCGGGAGTTCCTTTCTGCCAATCCGGCGCTCGACAAAGAGTTGGGCGAGGTCGAAGTCATGACGGACCGGTATACCAATGAGGAGTGGGCAGCGCAAATTGCGGAGACGCAGCGCAAGGTTTTGGCCGAGGTGAGGGACAGGAGGAAAGACGGTGGCAGGGGTTGGAAGTACGAGACCCCGAGTGCAGCGAGCACGGGGCTATCAAAGACCGTAGATCACACGGTGTTGAAGCTGGATGCGAAAGAGGCGCAGATCGACGCGCTCTGTGCTGAAGCAAGAGTGGAGAACTTCAAGAGCGTCTGTGTACGCCTGCCCTGGGTCCAGAAATGCGTCAATAACCTCAAAGGTACGGACGTAGTCGTGGCTTGCGTTGTCGGCTTCCACGAAGGCACCCAGGACACCTACGAGAAGCTGAAGGAAGCGCGTGCTGCTGTTGCTGCTGGCGCCGCAGAACTCGACCTCGTCCTCAATTACAGCATCCTCACCAAGCACAACCCGCCTCCTACTTCCCCACCGCTGTCCTCGCGAGACTCAGCGACGGACACCATCACCGCCGCCAACACAGCAGTCAATGCACGCCCACGAGCTGGAACCGCTGCCACAGAAGGCCCCTATTCAGTCGGCGCCGCCTCCACCGTCGGTGAGGAGGACGAGGGCGAGATCCCCGACTATAGCGCCATCTACAAGGAACTAGCCTCCATCCGCGCGCTCTGCCCCAGCCCCACCGTCATCAAACTCATTCTCGAGACCTCTCAGTTGACCGACCGCCAAATCCTTGCGGCCGCCCACCTCGCTGCCTCAGCGAACCTGGACTTCATCAAGACGTCCACGGGCTTCAACGGACCTGGCGCCACGCTTCCGCATGTGCAGCTCATGGTCACAGCCGCCGAGTACCTCTCCACTAAGACGAGGAGTAACGGTGGCAGCCCTGTACGCGGTGGAGGCCGCAAGATGGAAGTCAAGGCTAGCGGCGGTGTCAGGAGCTGGGAAGATGCGCGGAAGATGCTGGAGGCCGGTGCCACGAGGCTGGGTACAAGCAGTGGAGTGTGGATCATGCAGGAGGGAAGAAAGGCTGTTGAAGCCGAGGCGGCTGGGAAGAGGCCCGGTATGGCTACTCGGCTGTACACGGATAACTCTTTCACCGATGGCGATGGGTACTAGATTTGGTTGACTTGCATGGAGGGGAGTTCTATGATTTGCATTGGGAGGGCCTGGAGATCGCGAGATACCATTATTTTTGGCGTGTAGAGGGCACTTCGGAGATACATGTGATCAATCACCAAAATGTTAGTCTTGACTCGCGCAACCAATACAGCATCCTGGGACTCGGTGGGCCAACCAGCTGTGTGGCCGTCCGTTCTCACAACGCTCTTGTCCGTGAGTCATACTCCTATCGTAATCACAGCATGTCAAGTCGATGTGTTGTCAGCCCCCGAACTTGTTTCAATCCATTATCTTATTTGACAGCCTCATCTACGAGACACAGCAACCAGCCCTATCCCGATCCCGGCTCCAACTCCTGCGTCTCCCCCGACTTCTACTCCTACTCACATCCCACGGCAACCCCCTCTCTCGACTTCTATCTCTGCTTCTACTCCGACTTCGACTTATACTGCGGCTCCTTCTTCTCCGCATGCCATGCTCTTCGAAGTCCCAAGTTTCCCCGACACGACCAATCCTTCGCGACAACAAAACTCTGTGTTCGTACAAGACGGACGCGATCTCTCTGCAGTCATAAAGAGCCTGCCTGTACTCAATGCAAGATTCTCGGGCCCGGTCCATCGCGACACGCTCGTTCAGCGGGTCATGATGCGCTAGACGTGCCAGCTTCTCACATCGCTGTCTGATATTAGATGATATATTCGGGTCGTATCTCATATCCCACATCATGACCCTCGTTGCATGGCTCAGCATTGAGCAGGCAGAGCGATGCTTCTCCGGATCAAGGCGCCAACCGCTTCCCTCTTGCACCATACCCAGCAGAGCTCGGATGTAGTCCTTCTTGTCCCTACCGCATACAGAATCCTTGGAAAGAAACACCAATTCGGCAAGGTTGAGACCTCGAGTCCTCTTCTCATAAATGAGTGTGAGAAGCCAAACTGGCTGCTTAGCGGCAACCTCGCCTTGTGCTCGTCTAAGGGTCTTAGAAGGTCCAAAATCTGCGGCCGCGACTTGGGTGGCGAAGTCAATGAACGTCTTCCATGGTAGTTCTTCATTGCCACAGACGATTGTTGTATTTTGCGCCATAGCTAACTCCTGCAGTATCCACAAGCGACCCCAATAGCTTTTGTTGAAGATGTCTCGAACGCAGAAAGCAACGTCTCGGAAGGTGTTTTCAAAGCTCTCCAGCCGAGCCTCAGCGGTCCCTTCTGCAACTGCACGAAGAAAGGTAGATGGCTGATTTCGGATATACCGCATTGCTGCATCAGTGATAGAGTCTCCTGGGCCAATCCAAGCAATGACCTCGCGAGCGCCGCCATATATCTTGGGCATGAACTTTATCTGAATATCCTTCTCAGGATGCTCATCGTCCTGTATGATGCAGAGAGCATCTATCCAGAACCACCCGCTCCATCTCTCTTCATGCCGGTTGGATCTTCGCATCTTCGCGATGTGATTTAGGATATCGTGCAGATTCTGTGTGACCTGTATTGGTCTCGGGCGTTTCTGCTTATAAGCATCGCTTAGGAGTATGGGTTCTTGAGCCCTCTCGTCGCCCCATGTATACGAGACAGCTGTCCATGGAATAGAGCCATCAACTCGGTTGAGATGTTGTATGTCGCATCTGACCGGACTGCCTGATTCGTAGGGCAAAACCTTGATCAACCGGAACTGACCTCTGGGCCGGCTCAAGGATCTGTGGCGAAACCAGTGGGATGCACCTCGGGATGGATGGCGGCCTCGGGACCTCGAAGTTCCGTACGATGAATTATCGGAGCTTTCTATACGTCTTGGTCTTGGATCGGCAAGACTGTCGACAGTTGGCCGAAATTCACTGGGAAGTCGCGAACTTGCACTCCGCGGTCGCTGTTGCCATTTTTCTACCGGTATACTGAGACGCTCAGCTCGTTGGGGGCTCGCATTGGACCTTCGTGGTGAAACACGTCGCCAAACAACGATTGGTTGTGTCTCGTGACTGTATGTTCCTTCAGAGGCCACACTGCGACGACGTCTGAGCGAGCCTGGTGGCGACCAACCACCATTAAATGGTGCGGTTTTACGGGGTAGCAGGATTGGCTGCCCGTGGTGAGCTGGACTGAGAGAGCGCCGGCGACTCCTTCCGCGGCTGTCGTTGCTGTAGTTGCTCATCGAGGCCATCCCTTCGCCCTGAACGATAGTCAGCTACGCTAAGGAGTTTGCTTTGACAGGCGAGGGGCATCAGGCTGAAGGTTTGAGGAGCTCCCATGCCGCCAAGAATTCGCATGCACGATTGATATATGGTACAGCAAATCATAGTTGCAGTCTAGAAGCATGGTAGGCGAGCGCCACATGCACGCGCGTTCAGATTTTTGGAAAGAAATGCAGTGAAAAGTGTTGAAATTGTCAGACCAAGATGTAACAATATGGTGCTAGTTGGGCAGGTGCATGCGTGCAGTGCAGGCAATTGCTCTAGAATCAGGGGAAAGCGCGACACGTTGGTAAGTGTATCGTAGTGTTCATTTCCTGACTCTTTCAAGCCAGAACAAGGCACGTAATACGGAAGGATGCATCAAGACAACGCACGTTCAATGACCGCGAGGCCTGACTGTAACTCAGCCATAATCGTTTCTGCGTATACTAAACCAGACTAGAAAGGGTACATCTCCATAGTTATCCAACCAGGATATCCAACGATGACCAAAAATGCACAGTTGAAGTGTAAAAAGGCTGTGAGAAGAATGAAAACCAGGCAAAAGCCAAGCAGCTGATGCGAGACGAAGGAGGATATCAGTCCAGTCGCAATGATCGCTTCAGCAGATCGTATGAGATGTTCAAATCCAAGACGCGAGACTATCGGGGAGCTTTTTCCTGGAAAGAGGAATTTCAGCCAAGTACAAATGAAGAGTCAAAGAAGGGTATTCAAAAGGGTTGTAAGGTGGATGTGACGATGGGTCGGTTGTCGGGTCGAACCCGTCGACAAATCGAAGTTTACATAACGGTGCAGCTGCTGCTCTGGTCCTTGTTTGTCTTGACCGACAGGGCAACACGCGCAGCTTCTGTGAAGGCCTCGTTCACGCCTCGATTCTTCATGGCGGAGCACTCTGTCCGGTCGGGTCAGTATGAAATTGGCTACGCCTTCCGGGTGACATACCTAGATATCGAAGGGCTTTGATTCTTTCGGCAACCTTGAGGCCTTCGTCGTATTGAATCAGGGCCTTTTCAGGTTGTGCGCCCTCGTCATCATCGTCCTTCTTTCGCAAATCGCACTTGAGGGCGACCAAGACAAGCTTAACGCCAGGGCAGTTCTCTGCGATTTCGGAGACCCATTTGGTCTCGACATTCTCCAGAGAATCGGGTGAATCGACGCTGAAGCAAAGCATGATAGCGTGCGTGTCATCGTAGCTGAGCGATCGTAACCGGTCGAATTCTTCCTGGCCGGCCGTGTCCCACAGGCTGAGCTCTACGTGCGTGTTGTCGATGTAGATATCATGCACATAGTTCTCGAAGACGGTAGGCTCGCTACAAGCGTGGGTCAACGCAAGGCGCTAGCGAAGGGAAAGCAGCGCAACTCACTATACCGTAGGGAAGTACCTATAGCGCGCAAACGTTAGCTGGGACGGTTTCATCAGAGGCGCGTAGCGACCCACGTACCCTCTTGTGAAGACATTGAGCAGCGATGTCTTGCCGCAAGCACCGTCGCCGCTAAAGGAAGCTGTTAGTCGCGCCTGTCACATGAGCCTGCTCCTTCCGCAGGAATTCGGCATTGTGGGCGACATACAGGAGCACTAGCTTGCGCTGCACAGACTTTGTTCCACCACAGAGCGGCATCGCGAAGGCCTAGGGTCAAGGGCGGCGATCGATTCGCAATGGGTTGTCGGGGACTCGAGCGCTTGCGCGGACGTAGTACGAGGGTTTGGTGGGTGCGGCGGGGCGCGGGGGAGGACAGAGAGCGTCGCACCGAGGCGAGGGAGCGTAGGAGGGCGGTTAAAGATGTCGAGGGCAAAGGAGAGGCGCTCCAGAGGCTGGGCTGGAGTCGCAGACGGGATGGGATGGATAGCGAGGCCGACTGGGATGCGTTAGATCGGGCTAGGCGCTCGCCTCTCCACCACGGGCACGCCACGCCACGCCAGCGATGCCAACCATCCAGACTGCCGCCGGCGCGCGACCGGCCTGGTGAGAATGCACTTACCTGCGCGTGGTGACGGCGATAAGGACGTTGTTGATGCAGGGTGGGTTTTGGTGTAGGAATGCAGGAGCCGAAGACGAGTGCAAGACAGCAAAGTGGGCAAATCCACAGAAAGTAGCTCAACCATGGATCGCCTTTGCCAACTCACCGCGTACCTGCTTTGGTACTCTGCCACATCCCAAGCCATCAGCATCAGGCGGCCCGGTCGCGCTGGCGCCATTTGCCGAAAAAAAATCCTCCACAGAGTCTTTCCGGAGAACCAGACATCCGCGATCTTAACGTCATGAATTGAGCACAGCCCGGCAAACGTGCCTGTCTTCTTCTGCACCCCACGTTTCTCCGAGCCTGGCCTGCTCCACATTTGATGTGTATCCCGCTGTGCGCCGTTCTAGAAGACTAGGATCCATGGCTCCTCGCGCACGCCGACCAACCTTATTGCTGTGTCCCGGTCTCTGCTCTCCGCGTATAGCGTAATGCTCTATGTTGTGGATGCACACACAGGCCTAGTCCGCGTCTCAGTTTATGTAAATGCTCCTTATTTGGTAGTGTTGCTGATGGATAATTTCTTGTTGGGTTGATTATGTCCTAAATCATCGAGAGCGCAGAGACCCTAGCTCACATGTTTCAAGCCCAACAAAATCCCATTGATTTGGTTAGACAGAGGACCCTGCAAACAAAGGTACATTTGAACCTGGTGCGTGCCCGCAAGTGGCAGTGCGCGAGTGTAGCCCCTCCACAGCGGGGATGACTAAGGCGGGGTGGAGACCGCCTGTCCGTACAAGGCAACCGCGCGACCGTGAAGCTGTATCTCACCGCACAACTTGAGAGCTCCACCACCCGCGTTTCCACGCCGATCCATTCTGACCGTGGTCCGCAAGCCACCGCCGACCTCCGAATCCACCCTACCGTTCACTCGCCACAATGTCCGACGACGATGATTTCATGCAGGATTCGGAAGAGGAGTAGGTACACAACACATTGTCTCTCTCTTTAGCCTGACCAGGACCAGGTACGACTTCGAGTACGAAGACGACGACGAAGAGCAGAGCGGCGATGTTGATATCGAGAACAAATACTACAATGCAAAGCAACTGAAGGGCGACGAGCCTGAAGCGGCCATCGATGAGTTCCTGGGAATACCGGCGCTGGAGGAGGCTAAGGGCGATTGGTACGTCCTTGAAGGCGACCGCTAGAATATTTCTGACTGGCTGCAGGGGCTTCAAGGGTCTGAAGCAGGCCATCAAGCTCGAGTTCAAGCTTGCTCGCTACGACAAGGTGAACCCTAATGTTGCCGCGATTGATTGCACTCCTGACAAGCACCCAGGCCGTTGATCATTACAAAGAACTTCTGACGTACGTTAAAGCCGCCGTCACGCGAAATTATTCCGAGAAGTCCATCAACAATATGCTCGACTTCATCGAGAAGGCCGCCGAGGACCCAGACGCATACCGCTGCATGGAAAGGTTCTATGCTCTGACGCTCGACACATTCCAGAGCACTAACAACGAGCGGCTCTGGCTAAAGACAAATATCAAGTTGGCCCGACTCTGGCTGGAGCGGAAAGAATACCGGCAGTTGACAGAAAAGGTGCGCGAATTGCACAAGGCTTGCCAGAGGGAGGATGGAACCGACGATCCAAGCAAAGGAACCTACTCACTGGAGGTCTATTCTTTGGAGATTCTCATGTATGCAGACACACGGAACAACAAACGCCTGAAGGTTTGTTGCCTTGACTTTCTAAACCCCGCCCTTCCTCCTCTAACCTGTCTGTAGGCTCTCTATCAGCGAGCTCTCAAGGTCAAGTCAGCCGTGCCACATCCAAAAATCATGGGAATCATTCGCGAGTGCGGGGGTAAGATGCATATGAGCGAAGGTAAGAGGCACCGGGGTCCAATCTGATAAGCAATAATTAATATGTAGCAGAGAACTGGAAGGGGGCACAGAGTGATTTCTTCGAGAGCTTCCGAAATTACGACGAGGCTGGGTCTCTCCAGCGGATTCAAGTGCTCAAATACCTTGTCCTCGCAACCATGCTGTCGGGTTCGAACATCAACCCCTTTGACTCCCAGGAGACCAAGCCGTATCAGAATGATCCTCGTATTTCCACAATGACGGATCTGGTCAATGCGTACCAGCGCGAGGATATCCATGACTACGAGAAGATCCTGAAGAACAATCAAGATCTGCTTCAGGACCCCTTCATTGCCGAGAATATTGACGAAGTCACGCGGAATGTCAGGACCAAAGCCGTTGTCAAGCTAGTTGCCCCGTACACCCGGTTCACGCTTGCATTCATATCGAAACAGCTCAAAATCTCCCTTCCTGAGGTGCAAGACATCGTTGGCTTTTTGATCGTTGACAAGAGCCTCCGTGGCAAGATCAACCAGCAGACTGGCACTGTGGAAATCGAGAGTAGTACAGACATGGATCGGGTACAAGCGATGGAAGAGTGGAGCGCCGCCATTGGATCTTTGTGGGCCACGGTCTTGAACGAGGGAGAGGGGTTCAAGTCGGACGACGGCGGCTCGCAGTATGCACAGAGCGGCGGTGGACCAATGATGCAACAGAGCCTGAATGGCCTGGGAGCCAAACATGGACGAGCTCCAAAAGGCAAGGGTCCGGGTCGACTGCTTGGAGTTGGCAGTAAAGGATGACTTGCAGATAGCGTCTGCGAGCCATGTCACAAGAAACCAACAATGACTGGGTTTCGGGAGCATGCCACGGGACTTTGAGTGCACGATAGCGTCACGCAGGCTTTTCTGACCGAATGGATTGAAACATGCGGGCAAGGATCCCCAGGAAAAGAGAGCACGGTTGGTCACGCAGGTAGCACAGGAGTTTCCCTTCACACAAGCGATGGCGGTCCGAGGCGGAGAAGTTCGGGAATCTGTGGTCGCACGACAGGTAGCGGAACTTGAAAGAACAGAAACCGATTGCGCGGATGGCCAGGCAATTCAGCCCCGCTCATTGTTTGTGATGCTCTGTGATGAGGTTCTTTTCTGATGATCTGAAGTCCTGGTTTGCGGATCGTATGCATTGACGTTATGTCGGGGAAGCGGAAGGACAACCGAGCCGGCAAGCTGCTCACGCAATGCCCTTCTTCAGTCCTAGCCGACCTCGGTTACAGCGTGGGGGGGGAGTGTCGCGATGAAGGTGAGCGCGCGTCAAGTGTTCCTTTTGCTTGCCGCGTCGGCGCCATCGGCGCCACTGGCCAGTGAACGAATCACGCAATGCATCAGGGCGTGAGGAGAGACAGCAGCAGACGCGAGGCGTTCAGCCTGTGTGAGAGGCAATCTTGCCCACACACTCCATGAAATTCCATGTCCCTCTTGCGCCGCCAGAAACTGCGCGTCACAGAGATGTACTGCTGCCGCGGGTAGCGGCGTGGTAGCCCGTTCCTCGGACCAGAGCTTGACAATGCTGCCCTGTGTCCCGTGTCCTGGCAGCGATGGGTATAGCGAGGGGACAGAGTCAGTGACGCTGCCGAATACTGCTCGCTTGGTTGTGTAGCTCCTGGTGATCAAACACGCCTTGGTGCTCAGGTCAGGTCATGTCAAGATAGATGGCCATGACGGTGGCCGAGGGTGTTTTTCTTTTGCTCGAGGGGACGCAGGCGCCGTCCGCCCTTGGGACTGGAGTTGCCTCCCTCTTGTACTCCGCGCTCCCCTTCCGGTTTCACATCAGCAGCCCCATCCTGCGATGTGCATGAGGCGTCGTTAGCACTGATTGAGGCTTCTCCAAGGTGCCGGTGCAACGCGCACAAGCCGTTCGCCGCTGAGAAGCCCTTGGGTACGCCGGGGGCTTTTCGTGCCTGGCAGCAGACATTCAAACGTTGTCCCAGCGCCGGAGATCGCAGTGTTTCCTGATATATTGGGGGGCGCCCCTGAAAGGTGTGTAGTACCACAACGACACAGCTCCAGCCGTCGGCCGCGGCATCTGCACCTACTAAAGAGACTGAGTCCCCCGAGGGTGCTCGTGGACAAGCTAGCCATTGCTGTGTTGCCGAGGACGCTGTGGAATTCCAGCATCCAATTGCCCGTCGCTGGAGCCCGTCACGCTACGAACCCAGGGACGCTCGCCGCCCGCCGCCAGCAGAGCAGAGCCCTTGCCCTCTCGTCCCGCCCCGCCTGCGACGAGCGCATCGACAGCACGCTGAGTACTCTACAATGGCGATGTCGGGAGGTTTCCAGGCCTATGGTCACGCCCCAGGGCCCTACCACGAATCAGCTCTCGCCTTTGGCGCGCCGCACCTGCCTTTCCGCCCGCCGGAGCTAGCCTCCGCCCGCTACCAACACCCACACGCGGGCCACTTCCACTACAACCAGACCACCAGCATGTCGGACGCGCCCTTCCTGAGCCCGGAAGAGGAATTTGCCCAGCTCCAGAAGCTCAGCAACGAGTACGAGCCCGAGGTCGCGGTCAGTAGCGCTCCAACACCGCCCGTGGGGCCGCGCTGACGATTGCTTGCAGGGCCCGCTTGTTGGCGACCGCCAGAGCAGCAGTGCCATCGCGACCGAATACGCGAATGCAGACCCCGTCTACAGGGTCAAAACCCAGGCGCTGCCCGCAAAGTATGCCTTCTTCCGCACCTGCCGTGGCGACGGCCACTGCGGATGGCGAGGTGAGTTTGCGCCGGCACCCCGTGACGTTGCGTGATTGACCAATGTTCGCAGCCATCGCGTTTGGCTATTTCGAAGCCCTGTTGCATGTCGGCGATGTCGCCAAGTTCGACGTCGAGGAGGCCCGTCTGATTTCCATGAACAACCTCCTGAACCTGGCTGGTTTCTCCGAAGATGTCTACATTGACTTCGCCGAAGAGGCCTACGACCTGCTCCGCAAGCTGGGTGGCTCACTGCAGGTGGGCAACGGCGCCAGCCTGCTCCTCGAGGCCTTCAACGACATGGGCGTCTCCATGGCCATCATAACATATGTCAAGGTGCGTGCTGACCCGGACCACCTCTTAGATGACTGCACTAACCCAAGCAGCTCCTTGCCAGTGCCTGGATTCAGTCGCGTGCGGATGAGTACCAGAATTACCTCCAGACAGACGTCAAGAGCTACTGCTCTCAGAATATCGAAGCTGCCCTCTGTGAAATTGACGATGTGGCCGTTGCTGCGCTCTCAGAAGCTCTCGTCAAACCGGCCGGCATTGGCCTTGAGATTCTTTACCTGGACCGATCCATCGGCGACGAGGTCAACGCCCACGCGATTTCACAGCCGATGAACTTCAACGGCCTCTTGCCCATGATCCGGTTGCTTTACCGACCTGGCCACTACGACATCCTCTACAAGGCAGAGGATTTGCCAGCCCCTCTTCAGCAAGCGCCAATACATGTGGCTCTCGCGTACAGCAACAGCCACAGTTTCGAAGCAGCTTCACCCGATGCCAATCTTCTGTCTATGATTCCCGGCATGTATTCGCACAACCGTTTCCAGACCATGGATCAAAGCTTCGGACAGCGTTGGCCGGCTACGTACGAATTCGATTCGACCCCGGCCCCGCAGCCTCAAATCACTCCTGTTCAGCCATACGCACCTGCCCCATCAGCTCCGGTGGCACCTGCATCTGTTCCTCATGGGGAGTACATGTCACCTTTACACGCAAGCCCGATAAGTCACCAGAGTCCGGCGAGCCATCATAGCCTCCAGATGGAGCAGCAGTCCGTTTCGCTCCCATTCCATTCAGCTCCGCCCCCTCCGGTCAGCATAGATCGGACACCTGTCACAGTTGAGCGGGGAGGACCTTTCAGGCCTTCAATGTACGAATTGGAGCCAGGATTTGGCATCGGTGACGCGTTGCCATTCCAGACAAATATTTTCCGGAAGTGAGTTTGTCCTAGTCTACTTTGTCCTGCGTATACTCACCAACACAGTTCGCATTTCAATACCTGCCACTTCATGAACCCATCTTTCCAGCCCGAGGAATGGTCCCCTCATGAGTATCGGACAGGCAACAAGGGAAAACACAAGTCCGTCTCGCAGTAGCACGACTTTATTTGGGGTGCATCTCTCTACCTCGATCATTCGGAGGCACATTCCGACATTTCAGCGACCAGCGCCGGCGTTTAACGAGCAATATCCGTTTTCCGTACTTGCATTGTTTCCTGCCTCTATGGCCTGGATCTTACCATGACTAACGACGATACCATTGTTATCCAAATCTCGGATCTGTTTCTATAGCAAAACCCTGGGCGGATGTCTGCTTCACTTCACACCAGAATGCAAGCAGCCTCCCGCGAGGATGATGAAGTTACGACCAAGACTATCGACCTCCACGGGTGCCAACTTGAACATACACGAATTAGCGGAATCTCTCTAGGGTATACATTCATCAACATTATTTTGTTTAATCACAACCGTCTCCACACTTCAACGAATATCTGGTATGCGCGGTCTTTCATGGTCTTATCAAGTCTTTCTACCCAGTTGCCGTTTTGTCTCTGCAGACGCGAATGGCAACCTGACATAACAAGGGATTGCATCAAGGGGTCCAGACACTCGCTCCAGCAATATCTGACTCGATTTGTGCCTTCCCGGACACTCGTTCTATTCGCCTTGCACCAAAGACTCAACACAGGGGTCACGGACATTCCCAGGAGGTTCACGAATTTGGGAAAGGCAGCATACAAGCGCCTCGGATACCGCTGGCCAGATCAAATCATAGACATGGGCTTAAGAGAACGAAGAAGCATCACGGGCAAGGGATTAGGTGAGCGCTGCATGGCTGGCGCTTTCGTCACCTGAATCTTGTCGACATGACCGTCAACGTGCGTGCCACGGGTCTAACGATGCGGATGCGGAAAGTTTAGATAGGAACTAGAGAGCTGCCAGAAAATACAAAATGACACAGCAGTAGTTCGATACTATCGACCTGCTACGGTACCTCATCTGATCAACTTGTCGTTGACCGTGCAGTGTACCCAATTACATTACCACCGTTCATCTTGCGCCACTGATTACATGTCTTAGAACTCTTGTGCTCTGGCTGACGGCTGGAACGTCTCAATGGTCAGGCTGGCACCACCAGGTACAGTAGATCTCCGTGCTGCCAGTCTTAGGGTGACGCAGGGCTTCCCAGCCTCACTGAGCGGCTCTGCAAGTACTCAGATGCAGGCCCGTCATCCGCTTGGGCTATTCGTTGTCGGGACAGAGAGCTTGCTAGGGGGCAGACAGTAGCACCGTTTGCCCCAGAACGCACTGCACGAAGTCGCCGGTATCATGCACGCTGCAGCAGTTCCTGGCAGTTCCTGCATGGGTGACGGAAGGTTAAAATTCGTGAAGCATGCATCCCGAGCGTCGACTGACTCGGGCGACGCTGCAGGCGGGGTGGAGCAGGCACAGACACCATACACAGATAGCAACGGAGCGCAGCGCAGGTACAGCAGGCGGCTACGGCCACGGTATGGCGGGGACACAGGACACGAGCAGAAAAACAAAACATGTTGAGGCGGAAAGTGTATGTACGTGTGTGCCATCACGCGCAGCATGCACCAGGCAGGCCCGGCCACATGCACGCAGCCTGGCCCCTCATCTGCACGGAAGCTTCCACGGCGAATCGAAGAGAACGCGGGCGGTTCACCGTCTTTCCTGTGCGCGATGAAGATGTGGAGGGGCTTGGCCTCGGCGGCTACAAAGGTGGTTCTATCTACAGCCCGTTCGGACCCTGTACGTTGCGGGCGACTGGTGCCCTGGAGACGATCCGGTCAGATCAGATCTGGTCGGGTCATGCTTCCCCCTCATCGTGACATAGCCCACTCCCTTGCGTCTCTCCCTCTCGTTCCATCTAATATTAAACGGGCAGGAAGCTCCTCTCTGCACGACCAGGCGCCGTGGTCCACAAGACCCAGTCTTCCGTCCGTAGCACGGCATCGGCGCAATCTGCGCCATGCAGCAACGCGCCTGCTCAGCAGATCACGCCCGCCCACATCGAGCTGAACGCATGACAGGCATCTGGTTCGTCCAGAGTCGCACCTTGTCCGTGCCGACACAACATGCTACCCCGCTTTCCCGGTGTTCCGTGGCGCTGCTGGTACGAGGCATCGGAACGGCGAAGAGGAGCGTATGCTCCGGCTGCGGCTTCCGAGACACGGTCATCGCCAAGGAATACAGATGGGATGGTGGGAATTGGAGCGTGAGGCGAGGAAGCTTGGGCGCTGGCGGCGTATTCCATGTTTAGGGGCTGGGGACGGGGTCCTGGCTGGGTGGGCGGTTTGTGATAGAGACGAGGGAAGCCTGGGTTTCAAAGCGGAGAGGCATTACTAACGAGAGGCTTCTAGGACTTCGTGGGCCTCGCTTGCTGCGAGTCTCGCATTGGTACGGTGATACATAGTCCAAGGCTTCGAGCTGTGCACTCTTGATGATCCAGGGCCGGGGAAAGGCTGTCAAACATGGTGGCCTGCAGATCGACAAGTTCTTCGGTACACCATCTGTGCACATGTATGGACCAAATGACAAAGGTAATACAGGTAGTGTCCAGCTCGAGTACCTTCGAACACCTGCGCTTTGGCTCTCGAAACGTCGTTGATACCTTGGAGCACGGACGATCTACCAGGGACTTGTCTGGGGGTGGGCAGACTCGTACCAAGCCGCAGGAACAGTACGCTTGACCCTTTGCCGGGACCACCTCATTCCGAAGGAGCGGCTTCAGATTCGCCATCGGAAGAGGAGTCGTCATCCGAAGATTCTGACTCGCCTGAGGTGTTGTTGCTCATTTCCACGTCGCTGGTGCTTCCGTCCGCGAGATTGTTCTTCGCCTTGGCTTTGCTCTGCGCACTCTGCGAGCGCTTCCGTTCCTCGCTGAGTAGGTATTCTTTTTCCTCTCGCAACTCCGATAGCTGTTTGAAAGTGAGTTTCTGTACACGCTGGAGACTGGCAAGCTGCTTCTTTAATTCTTGGACCTCATTTGTGTTCGACATACCCTGCATGTCTCCGGTCCCGGCGGTATCCTCCAAGGAAAGGAAGTCGGCAGCGGGAGCTATTCCTGCTCCTGACGTCGATGGAGCATTCCATGTCGCAAGCTCAGCGAGACTGGCGTCAAGCATAGCCTGTGGAAAGCTAGGATGTACCAGAGCTTCCTCAAAAGCGCTCCTCTTGGTCACTGCTTCCGTTGCGGATATAGCTGGCCTTCGTAGCTGGCCGTTGAGTTGCATAGTCAATGTGTAGTTTGGCGGGACAAGGGCGTTGCCGCTAGATACTCCGCTGTCTTGCTTGGGCTTTACCACAGTCTGCATCTTGAACGTTGGCTCTGAAGCAGCGGGGAACCCGATTGGTTCAAGAAACTCCAGGTTCGTCACAGGCCCAGGCAGATTTGTCACGGTCGATACATAGTTGCCCTTCGCAGTATCCCACACAGCAATCTTTCCAGTTGCGTGTCCTGAGATTAGTGTCTGCCCATCCCAGCTTAAACTCAAAGATAAAGCCGCGCCCAGTTTCTGTGATTCAGCATTGAACCTTGTCTTAGGCGAAGGTTGTATGGGACGGTGAGACGAGGCTGCATCTCGGAGTGTGTCGGTTGAAGCAGTTTTCTGCATATCGTCGTAGAAGTCGACCGTCTGCAGACTGCCATCTCCGTATGCTAGGAAAAAAGCACGGTCGGCGGGATCGAGGGTCAGAGCCTGAGGTAGCTCGGGGAGCAAGTACGTTCGCAACAACTGTCCATTCTGGTAGTCCCATACTATAGCCGACTTGTCCTCGGACGTGGATATGGCGATGTTGGCACTGGTAGCGCTGTGGCCGCAGACGATGGACGAAATCGGGCCGCGATGGGTGGAAAGAGTATGCACAGGCGAGCGCGATGTGTCGGGCGAGAAGGAAAGGATGGCTGGAAGGGCCCAGACGTGAATCATGGCATCTGGCGAGCCGGACAGGAAGAAGCTAGAGGTGGGGTCGACGGCCAGGGCGGTGACGGGCTGGAGATGTGAGGTGGACGTCGACACCAGGCGTCCGGAGCACATCTTCAAGGCGGTTAGCAATCGCTCAGCGCACAGGATCCAGGACGTCCACGAACCTCCCAAGCCAACACTCTGCCACTCTCGGTGCCCAGCAGCAGCACCGAGTCTTTGGCCGCGAGCGCAATGCTGCGTATGCGCTCTGGAAACGGGATCACCGCCTCCTGGTTGCCCTTGTCCCGGCTGTACACATGGACGACGGCCTTTCCATCCTGCGCCGCAAAGACATGCGAGCTGCTCACGGCAAGCCCGTTCTGCGCCGATGCGCTCTTCTTGAAGACGTGGCGCTGAGCGGCCAGCGGCTGGAACTCGTGCACAAAAATACCCGCGTCCTTGGTCACGCCCGTGTTTGCTTTCGTCTGGGCAGAAATCGACGCGATGAATTGCTCGGTGAGCATTTTGGCGGAAACGGCGTCGCGTGGGGGTGTGCAGAGCTCACAGCTTCGAGATAATTTTTTGGAAAGGGCAGACGCCGCTAGTGACGTACTCGGAACGAGCCGAGGTCGCCCACCCCTGATCCTGGTCCGCCCCGGGCAGCCATCGCCGTTGCCTTTCCGCTGGCTCCCTTCTTGCTCTCTGCGTTCTACTATGCGCGTTGATTCAGGCTGGGTGTGCTAATATACCGTGTCTGGAAAAAGGTGCGACTGCGCTGTGGCACTCCGGAGGGAGCATTATAGCACTGAATGCACCATCCCAGTACATACTGTCCTGTGCATCCTTGGGCCAAGGCAATTTCCCTCCAAAAAAACCCCCATCTCCCCGCAGACCTTTACTCATCCACAGTCAGAACGCCCTCCATAACTTCGACCGCCGCACCACTCATCTTCAACTCCTCGATTTCCTTCCCGCCCTCTTTCAATAATACCTCCACGTAGATGTCGGATCTACGTCCCATCTCTACACCCTGTGTGAGATGGAATTTCCTCCTCCTGTCTCCATCTTCGGTCAAACTGAGGTAGCTGGCGAGAGCACAGCTTGCACTGCCCGTTCCTGGGTCCTCTCTACTCCCCAGGCTCCGAGTGCGTAGCTGTCGCACCTCGGGCGCCCCGTCATCGTAGCCCAGGTCAGCATAATAGAAACTACCCGTATATCCACTATCCCAGCCGCTGCCTTGGTCGAGGTGCTCGCCCTTGAAAAGCTTCGCCAACGGCAGCAGGCCTTCCGTAGGAACCGCCAGCGCATCGAGGTCGTTCATGCGGATAAGGTTGAACGCCATTCCCTTCACGATGGACACCAGAGGTACATTCGATGAGTCAGAGCCGTTCAACTTTGGAAAGGGGTGCGGAAGAAGGCGGTCCTTGTGGAAGTACACGTCATGCGGAATTCCCACAGCCGCAGTGCCCAATTCCTTGTTGAACTCAAAAGGAATGATGCCCGCAATAGTGCGAAGCTTTCTCACGGTTGGGTATGCAGCCGCATGCGTGGCGACGTATATGGTCGTCCCTATGGTGGGGTGGCCAGCGAAAGTCATCCGTGACAGCGCCGTGAAGATGTCATAGTCGGCGATTTCGGGTTCTTCCGACGTCGGCTCATGCAGGAATGTGATCTCTGAAAGATTGAATTCATTCGCGATTTTCTGCTTCTGCTGCTCGGAGAGTTTAGAGCGGAGGGCCGCCGGCACGCGGACTACCGCCAATGGATTGCCCACATAGCGTGTCTTGGTGAAGACATCGACAGTCGTGAATTGGAGCTGCATTTTGATCTCGTTGTAATGTGCAGAGTGATCAATGCCAGTTTGCTGGCATTTATAAAAAGGCAATGAGTCACGGCGGGGCACTACCCAAATGGAATCATCATGGGTTGGGGATGGTTGTAGTAGAGTACCCATGTTGCTTAGTAATGGTCGCGTCTTTCGTTCTCAAACGCTCCGAGACCAGTGTCAAGGACGCATTGGGCACTTGAAAAGAAAAGACGGCTGGAAAAGCATTCACAGCTTCACTGTGTATGCGTCGCCATAAACTAGATATACAGTAGCATACAGGATATCCTGACTTGACTCAAAACGCAATGAGCCTGGAAATCTAGCGCCCAATCGAGAATACTCCATGCTCACTGTGACATTAACCTAAGCTTCCTTTGCCCATTGTTTTCCACTCCACACAGGCCCGACTGTCCAAAGCCAGTAGTCCCGTCCCTTTACAAGCCACACCATCCAACTGGGAAGGCGCCATCCCATTGCCGCTCCAACACCTTTCGACCTCCCAATGGGCACTAATTGCGTTTCTCTCCTTTCTTCCTTGTATAGCTTCTCCGCAGGCACTTGATTCTCTGGTACGCCAGCATCGAGTAAGAGATCGCGGTGCATGTTCGTGCCGAGGACAGGTACTGCGGCCATGATGCTATGCACAGCAGGTCGCGCATAGTTTGACGCATCGCCAATGGCGTAGATTCTAGGGCCGGCTTTGTCGACGCGAAGAGTGGATGGGTTGGTGTCTACTTGGCTGGTGGAGGGGTCCAGGATGTTTTTGGCAAGGAACTTGGTATTGGGGCTAAAGCCGGTCGCGGGAATGAAGAGGTCGGTTTGGAGAGTTGTACCGTCACTAAGATCGAGAAGGGCCCCAGACGCGATCCTTTCTCTACACGCTCCAACGTTTTCGGGGTTCACGCTGACAACTTTGTTGTTCTTGATGACAGTAACGCCCACTTTGGCAAGGTGGTCTTCCGCAGCCTTTGCGATTGAGGGTCTTAGGTAAGGCAGAATGTTCTTGGCCGATGTTACGACTGTGATTGAGACTTTGGGGCTTTCCAGCCTCGAGCTGAAGAAGCCAGCACGACCGTTGAGATATTCGCCCAATTCGCCTGCGGTCTCCACTCCAGCCGGTCCTCCCCCTGCAATCACAATACTCTTTGCAGTCTCCAGTCCTTTTCGAAACGTTTCCCATGCCTCGCGCAGGTTTTTCTCATCGCAGACATTGAGTCCAAGTAGTGGAGAAGGTGTAGAAGCGCCTGTGGCGACAACGATAGAATGAAATGTGAGTACTTGCGTCTTGCCATTCCTATATGACTCGATGGTGACTGTCCGCCCCCCGTGATCAACAACCGTTGCAGAACCGTGGATGAATTCGAATTCGCCTGGAGGATACTGCTCGAACTGTTTCGGTATGCTGACGAAGAGCTTATTCTGTGGGAAAAGATCGTCCGAAATAAGAGCGCGAGGACATGCTTGCCTGCATATTGCCTCCGAAGCTACGCTGACCATTATGATCTTGTGGTCCTGCCTTTGGGGAAGTGCTGGCAAGACGTGCTTCAAGAGATAGTGGGCGATGGAGATGCCGCCATAGGAGCCGCCGAGAACGATGATGTTCTTCCTAGTCAGATCATGCTTTGACGCCATAATTGTAATCGATGCTCAGCTTGGTTCTGAATTGGTCGTAAGGATGCGACTGGTGATAATGGGACTTTCGAATTGTATGTCCTGGAATAGTTCGATAGTGCGACAAGGCGCAGGGAATATCGGTCAAGTTCCATCATGACGCGAAGGTGAAATCCTAAGTTCTTATCTAAAGCGCAGCAGGTGAGCACGAAGACGACCGTAAGCTGTTGGAGAGTCGGAGCCGGGTTGCAGCGGTCGGAGCTGTCGGACATCGTTTCATCGACCAATGAGCGTCGCTTCCTGAGGCCATTACGGCGGCGCATCGTACATAAACCTCTTCAATCATGCGTTACGGACGAAATTGTCGTCGTTCGGACAAAAGTGGCACTTGGATCTCCTTCAGACTGCTTTGCCTGTGCGATCAAGCAAGTTGAGGTGCGATCCCCTATGTTGAGATTCTTGATTGAAACGCATTGTACGTTGTAAACCTAAGACATGCAACCACATGGAATTTCACAACGACCCACGTGGCAAATGTCTTCTGAAGTAGTACCTTCCCCCGCCGATGTGTTTCACGATGCGCTTGATAACAACTCTTCAAAGTAGCACTTTCTAGTATTTGCTGTCGTGACGAGGAAAGTTCACAAACATGGGGCGCAGTCGAAGAAGCGAGCACTGGTGTAGGAAATAGTGTTGCAAAGTGACAGACATCGCCCAAGTCATTGAGTGCGTTACTCAACGTTCCACGCCGTCGAAAGTCCAGGTACTAAACATGATGACTCGGTGTGCTTTCCGTTCTCAAATGTCTAGCCTCTCAGGTACCTATGGTAGCTCGTGAAGTCGATCCGTTCCGTGCGACTATCAACAGCTGACAGGAACCTTTACCCTAACCAGAGCCATGCCTTTAATTTGCATCCGGCCGTTGTTACTCGCTCGAAACGTTCACGGTCCTGGAACGACGTTGGGTAAGGTTTGCGATATGCTTCGCGAGGTTCCGGAATTCGTATGTGGCAATATCAATGGGGACATGGGCAAATGCAGTCTGATCATAAATCCGATTCAATAGTTATTCAGCAATGTAGTGCCCTGGTGGTGCATCTTTTGCACCATTCTAGATAGAATGGAGCCTCGAAAGACGTTGGCTACTATCCTACTTATGCGGTTTAGCAGCATTGGTGTCATTGCGCGCAAGGAAATGCACAATCTGGAATGATGGCTTCGTCAATCAATTACATACCGCCATTTGACGTAATTATTTCGGATCTCCATCATGTAGAAATCTTTCAACGAATATGCAGACTGACTGGTCTCGCAGCTGGCTTGCCTCTTCAGGAGTGCCTTCCACTGGTTCCGCTCTGAGCGACATAGACTGGTCAATGCAAGAGCGCGGAGCTATCACAGACAATCTCAGCCTGCACGCTGTCGAATTCCACGATGGAAGTAAGCCTCAATACGGCGGAAGTGCAGCACGCAATTTGCAATTTCCCCGACGAGTTAACGCAACACGGCGTCTACATTCACACCCATCACCTGCTATACGAGTGCCACTTTTTTCGGTCCTCGTAGCTCGAAGATTTTCTTTCGACGACTACGTTGTCGTCACAGCTTTTCTGCTCACGGCGGTTCCTCTAGGACTCGTGCTGATGGCGGGCATTGGCTTCGGCCACCATCTTTGGAATCTTAAACAAGGACAACTGCTCGGGGACCTACGATTATATCCCTTGATATGCTTCTGATAGTTGAATATGAAGAGGTCGCGCAAAACGGCTGTAGGCTTCATGTTCGCGATCGGAACACTGTATGTATACCACATTGAGTCACTTCAGGAAAATCGAAGACCAACGAAAGCAAAGCGGCTGCGTCGCCACGATAGTCCGTCTGCACTCCCTGCTCAGCTTTAAGACCTGGATAGATTCCACCCGGAACTATGTTCCCATAATCGTATGGACGGGATCGAGCTTGCCTGCTGTTTCGCCTGCGTCTCTTCACCCGCGACCCGGATACTAGTCGTGCGTATTCTGCCGGAAAGGTGCTTCTCGATGATCATCTCGTGTTTCCGCTCGCGGATGAGGACTGTGCCTGAGAAGGGAGCAAACAATGCGAATTCCAACCCGGTTCCGTCAAGAAGAGCGTTTCGAAGCTGGTTACATCCCTCGACGAACCATGTCGAGAGTTTGGGAAATCCGACTGCGTTGACTGCGTTGAGCAGGGCAGTGATAATCGAACAGACCGAAAAATCGCTCGAGAAGGAGGCGCACGTGGAAGAAGGAATAAAAAATGTGGAGGAAGAACCCATCCCAGCTTCCTGGGGTGCCAACGAAAGTTCAGCTCAGGACAACCCCGCTATACGTTGTGAACTCTATCAACATATTTATGACTCTATAAAATGAAACATCATTCACCCCTTCCGATCTGTCCATTTCGTCAGCTATGATCACACCAGTGCCTCGTCAAACGTGAAGTACTACATAGTGTGTCACTTCAGGACGAGCTGTCCAGAATTCGCCCTTATGCCCTGGCACTGTATACGCTCTGGTCATGCCGCGGAGCCTTTGGATACATTACCTATGCGAGCTGTGGGTCTGCATCTTGTGACTATATTTCTCCGTATTTCTCCGTCCAAATGAAGTCATGCCCATCCTACTCTCTACATCCAGATACCACGATACCCTTGAAATCACGACGCAGCACCACACAAGCTTTCATCCGTCCACGGAAGCGGAATCCAAAGTACTCAATCCGGCTATTTTTTTCTGGGCAAATGGAGTTCTGGTCCCAATGGCAGCCACTTGGGCTTGCTATATCCGGTTAGCACGACTGTATATGAACCGCGATATTAATTAGCCTCAAACACTACGTAGATCACTACATCTTATATACGCATACTGCTCACTCCACGCAGATTGTGGAGCACCTCCAATATCGGATCGCGGCTCTGTGCACTTCCCCACATCACAGTACCAAATGAGCCCACATGGCTGGTACCCATATATAGCTCGCTGCCGCTGGTGTCGAAGCAGCAGTGAGAGGAGCTTTGCAGTAACTGACCCAACATGATAGCTTCGCTGCTCCCAGTCGCGTTCGCGACATTCGCGTCCTTCTTCTCACCACTCGACGCTCGCGCGCTCGACAACCGTCAGGATGGAAACCACTGGGTAACAACCTGGACGAGCATGCCCCAGCTCGTGGAATCCAGCAACATGCCTCCATCACAATTCACCTCTGGCGGCGTCCTCAAAGACGCCACTCTCCGACAAACCCTTCACATGACCGTCGGCGCGCCAAAGATCAAGATCGCAATCTCGAACACGTTCGGAGGCTCTGATCTCCCCATTACCGCCGGCTCGGTCGGTCTCCCGGCTGGCGGCGCGGCAGGCGTGTCCAGCATCGAAGCTTCACCCCTTGCAGCAATTACCGTTGGCGGCAAGGCCTCTTTCACAGTGCCTCGAGGTCAAGTCGTAGTCAGTGATGAAATTGCCTTCGAAGTTAAGGCCCAGCAAAACATCGCTGTGAGTCTGTATAGCCAGGCAGGCCAGACTGGAAGTAGCATTACTGGACATCCCGGTAGCCGGACGACAAGTTGGTTCGTGAAAGGGAATGCGGTAAACACTACAACGATCAGCGGGACGAGCAGTGTGCACTGGTATTTCGTCTCCGCCGTCCACGCCTCCGTGCCCAGCACCACCTCCGGCATGATTATAATCGGCGACTCCATCACCGACGGCCGCGGCTCGGACGACAACAAGAACAACCGCTGGCCTGACTTGCTCCTCGCCCGTCTTCAGACCACAAACCACACTAATATCGCTATCGGGAATCAAGCCGCAGGCGGAAACGCCGTGCTCTCAGGCGGACTGGGTCCCACAGCGCTCTCCCGCTACAAGCGCGACGCCCTCGAGCAGCCCGGCGTGAAATACGTGATGATCTTTGAAGGCGTCAACGACCTCGGCAGCGGCGCGTCTGCGGGCGCCTTGACGAATGCGTACAAGCAAATCACGGCGGACGCGAAGAAGGCTGGGTTTGTGACAATTGGCGGTACGATCACGCCGTTTGGCGGGAATAGTTACTACAGTGCTGGGCATGAGCAGGCCCGTAAGCAGGTGAATGACTTCATCAAGGCAAAGGGAAACTTTGACTTTGTTGTCGATTTCGCCGGCGCTATTGAGAATAAGGGGGATCCAACCAAGATGGACAGTAAATATAACGGAGGCGACGGGTTGCATCCAAACGTGGCTGGATACCAGGCTATGGCAAATGCATTCCCGTTGGATGTATTCGCGTGATCGGACAGTCCAGCGTCATGTAGAAGAGAAATTGAGTACACGGTGTTACCTCAAGATACCCAATATGTGGCATGAGAGAGTCCGAAAAGGCATATTTATGCTCAAGATGACATTAGGGAGAGGTGGATGTACATAGAAAATGAAGGAGCACAAATGAACGTAGGGACGACGTAAAAGAACCGATTGATAGTAAAGGACATATATTTATTGCACTCACATCGATCAACCCACGAGGACCCCGAGGGTACCCAATTCTTGATGAAAGGACCGCCTCATTACTCTCTTGTATCTGACCTAAGGGCAGAAGCAAGCGCGGAGCACGAAATGCGGTGCCCAACAGAGCGGATAATACAGGTAGCCCTCGATGCAATCTGGATCAATCGATGTGTCCTCATGTCAAGAGCCGGATGTCGAACTGCTACCCGAGTCTCCTGACTCAATGCTTGGACCGTTGCGATAGCTCTGTTCGGATGTTTCGTCATAATGGGACTCGGAGTAGGGCTGTGAGAGCGAGCGCGCGCGCGTCGAATAAGATCTGGGAAGGTGCTGGGCGCGGGGTCGTTCGTTGGGATGATCGATAGAATACTGGCCATCACCGCCATGCTGGAAAGTCGCAGAAGGCTTGCTGGGCAGGTTTGAAAGTGGAATGGCACTTGACTCGGTCAGAACTGGTTTTTGCAGCTCGGAGACTGGCTTGTTCAGGGGATGGAATGGATGGAGGAAGTCAGACTCATTTGTGCCATCAGTTGTCGCACGCACTAAGGCCCTGTTAGCATGAGCTTCTCTTCCATTGATGTACGTGAATGAGACTTACCTGCTCGTCTGGAAGTCCCGGCCTCTTCCTCAGCATATTGGTCATCGTAACGAATCTCGCGCCCATCGTCATCGGCACCAGGATTGGCTGTCTCATACTCTAGAAGCTTGATCAATCGGTAGAAGAGCACAGCAATGACAGCCCCAAGAAAGGGTCCAATCCAGTAGATCCAGTGATATCCGTCGAATGTTCCGAGAACAACGTCGGGACCGAAAGATCGAGCTGGGTTCAAGGAACCCCCCGTGAAGAAGAGAGCTGTGCAGCGTCAGCATAAGGCAAAGCAAGAGTTCATGGACTTTTCTAACCAGCCAACTCAGCGGTAAAAAGGGCAAGACCGATTCCGATAGGGGCAAGGAATGTTGCTCGGTGTTTCTCTGCAGCCAGCATGAAGATGGAAAAAATGAGCTCAGCAGTGCAGATCGCTTCAATAAAAACACCTCGTGTGACCGAGACTCCTTCGCTCAACGTGGTCCGCACTGCCAAGGGACCCGGAAGTAGGCCAGATACTACAGCGGCTGCGGCAATAGCTCCCGCCATCTGAGCGAGGATGAGCAGAAACGCCTTTGCCCAGCCGATCGCACCGACTAGAGCTAGAGCTACCGAAACCTATCTTACAGTCAGTGGGGCTGATGAGGCAGACACAACGGGCACGCACAGCTGGATTGAAGAGCCCTCCGCTGATGCGAAAGAAGATCCAGACATTGACAAGCAGCGAGAAGCCGAAAGCCAAAGAGATGTATAGAAGCGTGGACGTGCTTGCAGGGCTGTCGACGGTGCCATTGGGGGGCGTGTTCGCGACCTGAGTGGCAGCAAAACCGAAGGTGAGGAAAAGCGCAGTGCCGACAAACTCGCCCAGCATCGAGATGAACAGATGGCGGACCCTGTTTGGAAGCCACGAGAAGCCCGGAAGGCGCCTCTCACCAGGTCGGTTCGGATCCTCCGTGTACGTCGCCTTCATACCTGGGAAGACCATGAAGCTCTCGGCAGGCCTGTTGACATTATTCATGGTTGGCGGATGGTAAAGGGCCGAGTACTAATAGTCGTGGTGCGAAGTCGCTGACGGAAACGTCCGAGACGCGGCCTTTTTGAAAGAGAGAAACAGGCCAAATAGAATGACAAGGATGGAATGGTAGGGAAGTGATGGTTTGTAGGGTTGACGAATGCAGGTATAATTCAGAAGCTAGATGTGCACTGTGCCAAACAAAGGTATGGGGAAGAGGTCGAGAGGAAGGTCAAAGTTGAAGCGGAAAGACAACGGCATACATGACGCAACGCGATACGGAAAGAAAAGTGGCAGTCACGATGCAGGCACGAGGTGGGGGGGGGGCATCCACGGCGGCAGGCACTTGTTCAGATAAGGTGGCAGGGAAGCAACGCCAGGAACCTCATCGTGAAGTGTGGCGCGTCTGCAGTTGAAGCTTTCGAAGATGCTGCGTCCTGAACGGATTCACTATTGGCAGCCAGGTGATTGATCTCTGGGAGCTGGCGGGCCTCGATTACATTTTTGAGAATAGAATGTTCGAATTCTTCGTACGATACAGTAGGGCGGATCTTCCAGAACGGTTCTCTAGCCAGTACACCCAGTCCCGTATTTCGTGCATGGTCTGATATCAAGAAAACGATGTTGCGTGAGGAGCTCGGACACGATGATGCTCGAAGGTGTTCGAGGGCGAGGTTGCATGTGGCCCTAGGTGTGCCTAGAGTGTGTCTCGCTGCGTCCAGCTGCTTGCGGGGGAGGCGCAAGATTGTCCGCAACGGGTACAATCGTACCACTTGCCAGCGTGCCACGTAGGCATGTGTCAGAGCTGGAGTCTGGTGTGCAAACTCGCATCCGTTCGGGGAGCAGAGCCATGGTACCTTGGGTAGGATACAACGCAAGGGGTCACACCCGCGGCCCGACGTTGGATGGAGGTCTGGAAGGGCCACCGGAAGCATGGGAGCGCGTCCAACCGCGGCGCTGAGTGGTGAGGTGTGACAAAAACGTGCAGTCGTCGCGAAGCCGCGACCTAGCGTACTGGCGTGCATGGGTTACGTTGCGGGCAGGCGGCGGGCGGCGGAGAAGAGCCCAACGGTGGTCAGAGAGCAGCAACACCACGAGCCTTCCTGCCGCGCGCCGTTTTGCTTTGTTTTCGTTGCTTCTTCTCCGTGTCCGCAGCCTCGCCGTCCCTTTGCTCCTCGCCGTCCCTGCTGCGTGTGCGCCATTTCGTATCCGCATCCCCGTTGGTGGTCAGACCATCGCCCCCGCGCGTCACATTACCGCATCATCGACCTGCCCGCGTGCTGTCTCGCGACCGCCCTGCACCGCGCCTTCGCGCTCGCCAGCGTCCCAGAAGGCGTCTGCCGGATGCGCGTACGGCTGTAGAGCTCCAGCATATCTTGCTGTTCTCACCCACCCCACACGGTCCCGTCGATCGCCGCCGCCGCCCACCATGCGCCCGCTCCGGCTGTTGCTCTCGCTAGCGACCAGCTTGATCACCATCACACTACTACTATACGTCGTGTTTGGCTCGCAGGTTGACGAGTCGCGGAGCAGCACCGCGCCTGCTAAAGACAAGGGCACATTCAAGAGCTTCTTCTCCTTCACGTCGCCTGGCTCGCTCTTTCCTCCATCCGCCATCATTAGCCTCACCGATGACAACTCTACCTTCTTCCTTGCTCGTCCTGCTGCCTTTGGGCCCTCGCTACCTTCGGAGAGCGTGAGCGGCCAGCTATGGATCGGAAGTGGCTTCGGAGAAGATTCCATGGGGAAAGGTGGCGAGCTGGGCTGCAGCGATATCCCGGGCTGGGACGGGTCCGAAGATTCGCCTGACGCTGCCTCTGGTGCAGGGCACAAGGAAACGAACGACGCGGGGAAAAGCAGGAATCCATTAACGAAGCAGCCTCATGGAGCCGTTGATGTTGCCGAAAGATCTCTTGCCGACAGTGACGGCACAGATGACCATCTTCAGCCAAGGCTACCACTTCTACCCAAGTACCGTGTTGGAAAGACACCAGAACATGCGGACATCGAGTCGCTTCAACAGACCGCAGAGATTTCAGGCAAGGTCGTCCTGCTCAAACGCGGTGGATGTGGCTTCCTAGAAAAAGTCTTATGGGCCCAGAAACGCGGTGGCGTGGCGCTGATAGTCGGAGACGACCAGCGTGGAGGAGCTCTCGTTCGAATGTACGCCCGTGGCGATACATCCAATGTCACCATACCAGCTCTCTTCACGTCGCATACGACCGCCCACTTGCTTTCGTCGCTATTACCCGCCGGAGAGTTTCTCAATGGTTTGTTATCAGATGACACCACGAAGCCGCAATTGCTCAGGAGCGCACGGGCAGGCACAAACCGTGGGAGAAAAGAAGATGTGCTGCCTTTGAAGCCCAAACAGACTCAACGGGCCAGCTCATCCGAAGCGGGCTGGTTCAGCACCATCTTGGACGGCCTTGGCATTAAGTTCTCCAACGGTGTTTCTTCGAATGATGCCACTCGTAGGCCTCCCAATAGCGGAAAGTTGAATTGGTCGAACGGCGAAGATGCAAGTCAGCCGATACCAATGACCAGGACAGCCCAGGTCGTGGCTACGCAAACGTCACAAGATTTCATCATCGGTGAGCAAGACTGGCGTGATCCCGCCCTTCTTGCTAGTATCCCACCACCCAAGACTACCCCAGAAGGGACTCAGCCCACGGAGTTGAGTCAAGTCAAGTTTGAAGAGAAGGAGCCTTTGTTGCACGGCGATTTGAAGGAAAGCAGCACGTCTTCCGTGAACAAACAACCCGAAGACAGTAAACCAGCCGGCCCGCACGAAGGTCTCTGGGTGACACTCACCCCTACGAATATGTCCACATCTCCTTTCTTCGACACGCTACTCGTTCTAGTCGTCAGTCCCCTTGTCACATTGACTGTTGTATACGCATTACTTCTCCTTCGGTCCCGTATCCGGCGTCGGCGCTGGCGAGCTCCCAAGTCACTCGTCGACCGCCTTCCCATCCGCACCTATCATACAATCAGTGACAGCAGCCCTTCAGCCACCCCAAGCGCTTCTTCGCCCAGTACTCCACTTCTTCAACATGCGCCGCCGTCCACATCGCCGCAGTCGCGACCTCAGTCTTCAGCCGAGCGTGAAGCACCAGCGCCATCATCCTCGGCTCTCCCAGTCCATCGAACACCGGAAGAAGAGGTACACGAGTCGGGATTGGCCGCTTGGAGGCGCAAGTACGGTGGTCGGCAAAGAGAGTGCGTTGTCTGTTTGGAAGAGTACGTTGACGGCATCAGTCAAGTGATGAGCCTGCCGTGTGGCCATGAATTCCACGCGGACTGCATGTAAGTCAAGCTCTAAACCCGTCGAATTGTTTTTAATGTACTGCAGCACGCCCTGGCTAGTCACTCGACGCCGGACCTGCCCCATCTGCAAAGGAGATGTTGTACGCTCTCTGTCGCAGTCCTACCATGACCATGCTGTGTCGCGACTAGAATCCCGTGATTCACTCAGTGACGAACTTGCGGATGACGTGCAGGCGCAAGCTTTTTTGAGCCGCAACGATTCACCATCGGCCTCACGACCGCTGCCCATCTCACCCAGCTCTAATGATGCCGACATCGAGGCCAATTGGGACGAAGACGGGGACGAGAGAAGTCGAAGGGCACCTCGAGAGCGTTCTGGAGAGCTTAGTAATTCCTTCAGGGAGGCCGGCTCATCTGCTGTTACCGCGATCTGGAGGGGATTCGAGGCCGTGGGAAGGGCCACTGGCCTGCAGCGGCGATCTAGCAGAGAAGAGCTTGACCGGGACAGGTAGAGCTCACATTGCTAATGGCCGAGGTCTGTTTTGTATGCATTGCGTTGGAGTATTAGAAGGTTTGTTTTAGGGACTGTCCGCGGTCATGGACAGGATCAATACCCCGGATCACAACGAATCCACTCAATTTATATTGTTGCGCAGAAACGTATCTGCAGCTTTACTCTGCTTCTCTTAGTGACTCAAGCGTCTTCCGCAAGGAAAGCGCATCCAAACACATGTAGAGTGATCGATCGCCTATGTGTCACGTGATGGCGCATTGCCAGGGTCCTGTGCGCAACTTTTCTCGCGGACAGGCGTGCGTGATTCGGAGAGCAGCACAACAGCAGACCTCAGCGTCGTCCTTTCTTTTAATCAGTTGGTCTTTTTCCGGCCGAACATCAATTGGCCACGATGCGTGTGCAATCTCTTGCTCGGGCGCAGTCGCTTGCCCAAAGTTGCCTCCGCACCTCCGCGCGATCGGCCGCTCGAACGCCCTCGCGATGCGCGCTCTCGACCGTGGCAGCATCACGGACTCAATTCACCTACGGGACCAAGACAGAAGCATGGAAACACAGCCAGAGAACCTTGGGACAGAGGAGATGGCAGTCCGCGGCGGCAGTGTAAGTTGGAGTTCTTGTTGCAAGCGGAACAGCTGGAGGCTAATTGCCACAGGTTGGAGAAGGCAGCCTCAGACCCTAGCACCTTGACACAAGAGACAATCGTCGATAATCTAGATCCCGTCGAAGCTGTGAGGCTATCCAAAGTCCGCAACATCGGTATTGCTGTATGTTCAACATAGCTCCGCGCGCCTAGGAAGAGGCGCTTCGGGATGCAATCCTGACAGGACAACAGGCACACATTGACTCTGGCAAAACCACCGCGACCGAACGTGTTCTCTTCTACACCGGCCGTATCAATAGTATACACGAAGTGCGTGGCAAAGATGCCGTCGGCGCAAAAATGGACTCCATGGACCTCGAGCGTGAAAAGGGAATCACCATCCAGTCTGCGGCTACCTTCTGTGATTGGGTAAAGAAAGAAGATGGAAAGGAGGAGAAATACCACATCAACTTGATCGATACCCCTGGACATATCGACTTTACGATTGAGGTCGAGCGTGCGCTGCGAGTGCTGGACGGTGCGGTCATGATTCTTTGCGCTGTAAGCGGTGTTCAGAGTCAGACCATCACTGTCGATCGGCAGATGAGGAGATACAACATCCCTAGGATATCCTTCGTGAACAAGATGGATCGTATGGGCGCGAACCCCTGGAAGGCTGTTGAGCAGATCAACCAGAAGCTGCGGATACCTGCTGCGGCGATTCAAGCACCAATCGGCCGCGAGGACGGATTCCTGGGTGTGGTAGACTTGATCAGGATGAAGGCTATCTACAACGAGGGACCCAAGGGAGAGATCATCAGGGAGACGGATGAGATTCCTGCGGACATGGTCGAGCTCTGCAAAGAGAAGAGGCAGAAGTTGATTGAGACGCTGGCAGATGTCGATGATGAGATCGCCGAACTCTTCCTTGACGAGCAAGAGCCAACTAACGAGCAGATCAAGGCCGCTATCCGGAGAGCGACTATCTCTCTCAAGTTCACGCCTGTGGTCATGGGCTCTGCCTTGGCTGACAAGTCCGTCCAGCCCATGCTCGACGCTGTCTGCGACTACCTGCCAAACCCGGCTGAAGTCGAGAACATGGCTTTGGATAAGAAGCGTGCAGAAGCTCCCGTCAAGCTGGTGTCATACAACTCTCTACCCTTTGTCGGACTGGCCTTCAAGCTGGAAGAGGGCAATTTCGGACAGCTCACATATATTCGAGTGTACCAAGGTACGCTTCGAAAGGGCATGAACGTGTTCAACGCGCGGTCCGACAAGAAGGTCAAAGTTCCGAAGATCGTGCGCATGCACTCCAACGACATGGAGGAAGTGCAAGAAATTGGTGCTGGTGAGATCTGCGCTGTGTTCGGTGTTGACTGCGCCTCCGGAGACACCTTCACTGACGGTTCCCTCGGCTACACCATGGTGAGTTATGTCTCAAAGAGGATGAACGCCATGTGCTAACTCTCTAGACTTCTATGTTCGTCCCAGAACCTGTCATCTCATTATCGATCAAGCCCAAGCACACCAAGGATACCCCCAACTTCAGTAAAGCGATGAACCGTTTCACCCGTGAAGACCCCACTTTCCGGGTACACGTTGATCCCGAATCGCAGGAGACGGTCATCTCGGGTATGGGTGAGCTCCACTTGGACATCTACGTCGAGCGTATGCGCAGAGAATATCGGGTTGAGTGCGAGACTGGTCAGCCACAGGTCGCTTACCGCGAAACTATGACCAAGCGTGTCAATTTCGACCACACCCTCAAGAAGCAGACCGGTGGATCTGGAGATTTCGCTCGTGTCGTTGGGTGGATGGAACCCGCAGAATCTCTTGGCGTGAATAAGTTCGAACAGCAGATTACCGGTGGCACCATTTCCGAGAAGTTCCTGTACGCTTGCGAGAAGGGTTTCAACGCGTCAACGCAGAAGGGACCCCTGCTCGGCCACAGAGTGCTAGGTACCCAGATGATTATCAACGACGGAGCCACGCACGCCGTCGACTCCTCAGAGTTGGCCTTCAAGATGGCTACCCAGCAAGCCTTCCGCAAGGCCTTCATCCAGGGCGCACCCCAGGTCCTCGAACCCCTCATGAAGACGACCATAACCGCGCCAAACGAGTTCCAGGGCAGCGTCGTTGGCCTCCTCAACAAGCGCAACGCCATCATCAACGACACCGAGATCGGCCCCGAGGACTTCACCGTCTACGCCGACTGCAGCTTGAACAGCATGTTTGGCTTCTCCTCGCAGCTGCGAGCCAGTACGCAGGGCAAGGGCGAGTTCTCGATGGAGTTTAGCCACTACAGCCCGGCGCCGCCGCAGCTGCAGAAGGAGTTGGTTTCAAAGTACGAGAAGGAGCAGAAGGACAGGAACGCGTAAGCCTGAATGTGCGCTTGATACGATAGGGTGGCGAGATGGTGACATGTAAAAAGAAAAGAAAAAGGTGGGCTTCTCGTGGTGATAACGTATGTTTTGGGATCAGATAAGGGTGCATATAGATGGGCGCTTGGGATGTAACATATTGACTGTATCTTGTATGTATAGCTTTGTAAGGTATACCGAATGGACGATCCAGTCTTCTCTCTGCAATCTCAAATTACTTTGGGTCAGCCTGGACGCCCGTGTATCAATGTGGAATACATTGCGAAAGCGCCTCGAAATCCTGATCCGTACTTTAAAAAAAAAAATTGACACGTTGTCTGTCAGTTGCCCAAACGCCTGATCAAGAGCTCCCGGTCTTGTGCCAGCTTGGTCGTACACGCACGCCGGTCACAGTCCAACTTATACTATAACACTTTCGCAGTACAAGTTTCACACGGTGGAATATGCACGAACGAGAACACTCACCCCTCTCTAGGGCAGACGACTGGCCTCACTGGAGCGCGGGGATGATCGGTGGGCAGAGTCACATGTGATCCGCGGTGCTCATCCCCACTTTTCCCTCTCCTCGTGGGCAGCCAGCAGACGCCTCGTGTCTTCTTTCGAGTCTATGATCCTGACATGTCACTCCAAGGTAGACTCTTAGAATCGCCACAGAGCTCGTCATGAGCTCGATTTTCGAAAACATTTAGATCAAATATGATAGATCAAACGTGCCAATTAGTTTTAATAGTGTTCAGAAGGGTGCCCTGTTTTGAGGCTTGAATACGAGCGGACCAATCTGGATGCAAAGGTGAAGTCATGCAAGGCTAGCTAACACCATCAGGGTGGCAATTTCGATCGGCGGCGATGCCCAATAACATCTTGCTCGTCTATCTAACTTCCAAGGTGGAGACATCTGGTCTTTTTTTCCAAAATTGGCGATGCAGTCTTACCAGCGCTCGAACATGTACCGGCCTGGTCCAGTCTTCCTGTGTGTCTAGGGCACGCTTCATGGCGAACTTCACCACTCATGTATACATATAGCCTTGTAGCAAGTGCTCTGGTATCTTTGTAGCCTTAGCATTGACACCAGTGACACCAGTATCATCACGAACCAGGAACCTAGATTTACCTCTCCCATTTTATACGTCTCGTAATACTGCCACGGACTCGTATGTAGGAAAAGTGCGCTACATTGGATTCAACCTTCTTGCCTAGTCTGGCAATCCCAGAATGAGTGGCCCTCCGCCACTTCATCAAAAGGGCAGAGGTCATTCGTAGCAGTTAGTCAAGTGAGAAGCGGGTAAGCTTCTGTAGAAGAAGCTCTGTCTTCTTGACATCTCTCGGAACTTTGCTATCGGCCGGTACATCTTGTTGTCCTCTTCTCTCGCAATCGTCTCTCGTCAGTACCGGGCTGTGACAACGTGATGCCGAAGTGAGGACGCGGGAGAGGAAAGGTCGTCTGGCTCGTCATGAGGTACGATTCGTCGCCCTCGCTCTCCGACAAGACACCCAGAGCATCTTCGCTAGGGTTTGCGGCCCAAAGGGATCCCCCATGTACCCGTTAGAATAGCACATGCACGGCGTTCTAGTCGTATGCATAGAAATCTTAGCAAAGTGCGGTGGTGGCAGTCACGGCCACATGCATCCTCGTCCGCCCAAGAAAGCAACCGAAGGCTCAAAAACCCCGTAGTCCCTGATTGTTCCAATGGAATCAAGCCTTTCTGCTGAGTTTGCGACAGCGAGGGATATTGATGGACGCTGCCGCTGCCCAAGAGGTGCCCAGAGCGCTGTAGCGCAGTCCTGGCCTCCCCTAGGCCATGTTCACGCAAAAAGGACCCTGGAAGGCCAAAAACATGATGGACTTGCTGGGAATCGAACCCAGGACCTTTCCCACGTATTCGCAATGCTGTAAGGCACGCCAATGCTAAGGGAAAATTATACCACTAAACCACAAGCCCGTTTGTGATTTGTTGAATTTTTCGTGTCTAAACAAATTTAATTACCAAGATGTTTGCAACAGACGGTTGATCTTTAGAGTGGAAACGTTGGGTTTTGGCTCATTAAATTACTTTTCCGCTAAATTTGTTTGCGAACTGCGTAGACATTATGATTGGTGAAGGTGAACCAGGTTTCGGACTTACTTCTCGGGCTAGATGAAGCTACAAAGCGCTAAAAATAAACCGTGCACCCGCTCACGTCCGTGCATATTCAGGTTGCCCGGTCCAGCATTTGAAGAATGGGAAGTCACTTCCTCGGGACGCAGGACTTCTGTATCACTTCTATGCATTACTTAGCCGGGCCTGTCTCCCCTAAAGAATGCACGTTTGAGCGGCCAACATTAAAATCAAAATGCGTATCGCGTCTCTCTATCTTTCAAGCACCCCCCTCCGCCTCCGCCTCCTTCTTCGCATCAATCCGCACAATAGCCTCCTCAAACAGCCTTAAAAGATACCTCCAAAATGCCCGTTCCTCATCCGTCACTTCTTTATTAATAGAATATCGTTTCGCTTGCAGTATCGGAAGATTCTGTATGCCAACTGACCTCCAAAAAAGCCGGGGATCAGCTCCATGTTCCAGGAGTAGCTCAATCACTGGAAGGTTCTCCATAATAGATTTCTTGCCGGTCATGTGCGTTTGTCGTAGACAGGCGTCTAGTGGGCGTCCTTCATTATGCCCTGCGTGTGGAAGCGTGTCAGGCGCGTTAACGTCCTCTCCGTTGGCGATAACAGCGCGACAGGCGGCCAGCATTATTTCAGCGCTATGGAGGGAAAGAGGTTCCATGATAAGTGCTGATCGTTGCACGTGTGGATCGGCTTGAGTCACGCCACTTACAGACGATGCTTGGGCCATGGTAGCTGGAGAGTGGACTTGATGTGTTCCCTTGTCAATGTGAGATACGTGAGAACAATGGTCGATTTGTTGGTGTTTTTTGGTGTAAGTCAATTGAAAATTCGGTAAATGGTACTTGTGGTTGATATTTTAAGTACCGGTAGATGCCTATGATGTTTCGACCGACATTGAGGGGGCGCCGGGGGGGCGCAGAGCTGTGGCACAAGCTCGTGATGACGCGCCCTGCTGACGCTAGTAGGGCTTTCAAAGGAGCTCGTAATTTTGGGGTCACCCTTGCCCACTGCCTGCTAAACTTGACAATTCTCTCGGCACAAGGTAGCCTGTTCCATGAACTTTTTTGACGACATGGGTAATTGATACGATCTTGCATTTCAGACGTGTGGTGCTTCCTGACTACCAACCATGGCTCACGACGCAACCCTGCACCAGAATGTTGACAACAATCTGAGTCTGCGGACTGCACTCCACTGGGTGTTCGCCATCGCACCATGTTTGCCATAACTCGCTATGACCCTGATCAGTTGACGACCCGCGACCGATGACTTGGGATGGGCAATGTGGAAACACGGAGAAGCGTTGAGCGACATGAACCATGGGCAAGAGATCCCAGGCCGAGGGAGAAGCTCTGAATGGACCGATGCGGACGAAACAGGTAGATCGACTGCCAATTAGATGGAGATCCATTCCCAATTCCTTTGGGTCGGCCTGCATGAAAGTCACACTTAACTGAGTGAGTGGGGGAGGAAAGCGTTGTGCAATGCCAAAAACCCCGGTTCCCCTACCCACACACTGGCCCATTCTCAAGCTGTTCTTTCCATTAGTCATCAACGGGGAGGGATACATACCTTGAGGCCAACCTACATCCCCTCAGGATTGTATAGTCTCAGCATCGATGGGCCAGCGGCGGTTCACGGGGGAGCCATCCTCATCTTTGAAAGCATCCTGATCACATCCCAGAACCCCGGCAACAAGTATGCACTGGTGGACGCTGGGTATGATGGTAGGAGGCGAGAGTGGCTGGCCTAGTGGAAGCGCTAGACTAATGATGAACGAGAGTTTTAAACTGCAGTGCATGGCTTACTTTGACCAGAGATGCCCCTCTGGCGAGAGAGAATGTGGCAGCATAGAATCGTACTGAAGTCGAAACTGAGGCTGCCGGTTGAGGTATATACTAAAGAGATGAGCAATCTAGGCGGCGACTGGATGGAGGAAAAGGCTATAAGGGTGCGGTACTGGGTTGAGAATGAGAAGGAAGAAAGAGTAGGAAGCAAGATGAATAAATGTAAATGGCAAACTGAGTTGGCATCGTGTGTCGCGGTGATGGCATGAGAATGGTATGGAGAAGAGAAGAAGGGAAGAGTGGGAATGCAGGTATATGCGTCGTCTTTGCAAACAAACGCGCCTTCAGCTTTTTCTCCGCAGCAGCAGCTACCATAGATGAAGAACGGCAGGGATACGTGCAGACATTGCACGAAAGTAGCAACAAGCAGCTGATTCCAGAAGTGGCCTGATGTTGTTCTTTCTAGTTACATCAACGTTCTGCGTGTATACACTCTGTCTATCACAATCCGAGATTGGCACCTCTGTTGAGCCGATGAGTGAATGCCAAGGTTATTCAGGGCAACCCTCAACGCATGTTGCGCTTTGGCTTTCGGAATTCCTTCTTCTACGATTTCCCTCTGTCTACAGTCAGCATTGCTATGCCGGAATTGCGAGATGACCCTCGTACCCCCGGCTCCAGGACCTTTACATGGAAATCGACATTTCCGAGTGGGAGGGACTATGAAGCCCATTGCGTTGGCCTCACAAACTTCCTTCAAAATCCCTGCCCGTCCTCGCACAGGGAAAGCTGAATTTTACCAAATTTGAATTTTGTGAAGCTACATGGTCACCCGACTATGCTATAGTTGATAAATCAGTCGCCTACGAGCATCAAACACTATACCAGCCAAAACAGTGATTTTCGGCTTACGACGTTTTCCATGAATACCGCGAAAGGGGATTACGTCTTATCTTACCTCGAAAGGTTTCACCGTTACATGGCCTACGTCCAACATTTGAACTCCTCTGTATCAATTTGTTCACATGGTACATTGACGACTCATACGCTAGGTCCATTCGGTGAGAGGCCCGTCCTGCCTCTACAGGATGGAACTTTCTCAGCTTAACAACCGTAAGATGACTGCTTAAGGCCGTGTGAATCTGATGTATGCGAACCCAAACGACATGGGACCTGTTTCTCTTTCGTAATGGCTATTCTATGGGCTGAACGTCCGGGTTTGAATGACGTTCATCTATGTTTCCACGATAGCTCAGGGTTAGGCAGAGATTCCTGGCATTTACCAAGTCGTTGATCCTACCACATCGATGCCTTCTCGATGGGCTACCTTGGTTTCACATGAAGGCCTCCACGAACGCGTGATAGATTGAACATAAATGTTCCGGCTGCGCCCTGTCACATCTCCGTTATCCGCTTTCAGGATCTAGTTTTCGAGGTTCGGGCGGTGGTGTCTGCCCCTGCTACCGCACTAGCCAAATTGGGGCGCATCAGTGCGGATGCTTTCCACATTTGAAAAGCGAAATCTACCTCCAAACAAGACGTGCGGAAACTCTTATAAATTGCTGAAGGATGGAAGTACCACTAAACCACAAGTCCTAATTGCGATTTGACGACAATGTGGGCAATAGCTACACCTATAAAGCACGTTTCGAGCTGTCCCGGAGTGTGCTACGGCTGTTACATCGTGGAGAATGGATGTGGACCGGTGAAAGTCCAGATGCGTACCGAGACGGTTGGCGTCCCCACGCGAGAAAACCGGGAGGAGAATGGTTTCCCGCACTCGCCTACTTTTCGAAAACAGGCTCAAATTGGATAAGCAACGGTTTGGACTAGAAGTGTATCAGTGGATTTCGAAAGTTTATGTTAGAAGACCGCCTTTGCAGCAAGAAACAAACTGGACATGTGGATGTAATGCAAGCCCATGCACCAAAAACACTTCACTGAAAATAGCTTTACGCCCAGCAAAACGCTGACAACGATGTAATGGCTCACGTACATCAACACAAACACTCATCGAAGCAAAGCTCGCAAAATTGTCAAAACACGCACCCGCGTAAGGCTGGTTCAAATTGCTCATCCAGACACTCGAGTTATGCATGTGTAACATCGATGTTAACTACCTCTCATGCAAATGCAAAGATCCGCTAAACTCGTAACAGCAAATCTGTGTGACAAAAGAAAGAAACGCTGCCTAGGAAGGCCGGACGATCTGGTTGAAACATAGTATGAGCGAAAGGAATATGTATAAGTTAAGCAATATGATTGTAATAAAAAGGTGGGCTATGTACATGAGAAGCCGCTAAAACGAGAAGGTGGTATAAAAAAACCAAGTGAAATAGCCAGGGTCCAAGGCTTGACCCAGTCTCAAAGTGAAGTGAAGTGAAAAGCGTGGGTCCAACGCTATGCGACCCCGCTTGGACATTGAGAGCAGCGACCAACAAGTCTCTCCCCACATGCGGAGAAATGACTTGTGAAGGTGCCGACCGTGGTCAGCGGCGCTGCTCCTCATGGCATCTGTCTGTTGGTCGTCTCCTAGACGGACAAGACATGCATATCCTTCTGGTCGGGTGTGTGTGGCACATTGAAGGCGAAGCCTGCAGCTGCAACCTTGCCCTTGTGGGCTGCCAAACCTAGGCCGACTTCACGCATCCGTTCGGCACCCTTTCCGGGGGCGGGACGCTTGTCTTTGTGGCACTTTTGCTTCTGCATCTTTTTGTAAAGTTGTTCTCTGCGTCGCTGACGCTTCCTCTCTAAGCCGACTTTGATGTCGATGGCGCGACGGACGGGGAACTCGTTGGGGGTATCCTCGTCATCGTAGTCGATCTCTGGTGGGTTCTGTGTAACCGGAGTTCGGGGCAAGGAGGATGTCATGGTTGGGACCGGACGCTCGGCCAACCCTGCAAATTGGATCGACATAGTCGTGCGCTTGGCAGGCTCAACGAGGAATGATGACCCTCTACGAGTGGGAGGTGGCGACTTCAAACGGGCCGGGGCAGGCGAGCGCATCCGCTTAGGAGACTGACCGAACAGTTTGCGGGGAGGTGGAGATCGATGAACCGCACGTTTGATGGGTGCAGGTGATCGCAGACGTTTAGGCGACTGAGCTGGTGAACGTCTCGCTGGAACGGACTTACGGCGGCCGCGGAGGTCACCATTCAACGCATCCATCTGGCCGTGAAGCATGAAGTGGTCGCTCTCAGATGCCAGATGATCGGGCTCAGAGTCTTCGTCCTCCTCGTCCAGCTCTGGATCCGAGGTCGGGAAGGTAGGATCCACATCTTGCGGGGTCTTCTTGTGTCGCGCTTGACGCCTACGCTCCAGTGCCGACAAGTAGGCCTGCTCCAGAGGGCGGTCCTCGTCGAGTGTTCCGCATACGAAGTCTGTGCTGTCCGGGAGCTCTGGGCTGGGAACACGAATGTTGACTGGCCTAGACTTTCGTCGTTTGATCTTAACCTCTGGTACGAAACGATGTGAGCTCTCCACGGATCCAACGGATGATTCAGAAATGCTGCGACGGCCAGAGGAAGGGCGGATGAGATCTAGATGCTCAATCGAGGTTGCTGCTGTCGAACGTCCGGGGGTCCACCAATTGTAATCAGAACCGGCATCGCTGTCGTCGTCTGACACAGCAAAGCCTTCCTCGTTGTCAGTTTGGAAGCCCTCGTCAGACGACGCATCGGCTGCATCGCTGTCCTCTGCCTCTTCCTCTTCTTCTGCATCATCGTCCTCAGCGTCCTCGTCATCTTCGTCCAGTTCATCATCGTCCTCAAGAACGTCATCTTCTTCTTCATCATCCTCCAACGCTTCCTCTTCAGCTTCTTCGCCGAGTTGACGAAGATTGTTCTCGATGATGAGGGTATCCTTGATCGTGAGAGGTCGTCGATGGCAGGTGGACTCCTGTGTCCACTCCTCCACCTCTTCCTCTGAGCTGGCAAACTCATGGAAACGGAATGCTTCGGTCCGTGCCAGGTCGGAGTTGCTGCTGAGGCGGCGAGAGCGATCAGACATGCGAGGTCTTCGAACAGAGACAGGCGAAGGATTACGGATCGTCGAATCAGACCCACGATGCGCTTTGAGTGACGCTTTGGAGCTGTTGCGCACCCGTGGTGGAGGTGCCGGGCTAGCAGCGCGGGCGACACGCGTCTTAGCCGGTGCATCTGTCGAAATCTTGGTGGGGCATGCGAACTTGATGGTGCAAGGTCGCTTGGGTGGCTCTTCACTCTGCTGCGGCTCGGGCACGGTCTTCGCAGCTTGGGGCTCTGGTTTCGCCTCTTTCTTTCCGCCACAAGCGAAAGTGATACACCGCTTCCGGCCCAGGCCAGCCTCTACCTTGTTCTCCGAAACGACGGGAACGGGAGGATCTTTCAGCACAGGGACGACGTGCTCTCCATCATATCGCACGATAGTCACTTCGCGTTCCAGCGGTTTAGTGGAGATCGGGAGCATATTGTGGGACGAGACGGGAGGCAGTGGTGGGCTCGGCGTGCTTGTACGCGTACCAGGGCTTGTGATGCCGCCGTCGCTTGTCAATTCGGCAGTGGAGATGCTGTTGTTACTCCAGGTGGAAGTACATGACATGCCGCGGGGGACGTCGTCATGCTCCTCGATAGGTGACGTCTCGTTGGAGTGAAGGGCAGTCGACAGCAGTGACGTTTGGCGCTGGTAACGTGGGGCGTGTTTTTCGAAGGCGCCTTTGAATGAGTCGTGCAATTTGAGGGCCGATGGTCGAGGAGTGCGCTGTAAGTCGGGAGGTTCATCTACGTCGGCCAACATGTCGTCTTCGGAGGACATGGAGGGCGCGGCGTTTGTCGGGGTGTTGAAGTTTGCGAGATTCAGCTGTGCGCTGTGGCTGCCGAGCTTATTTTGTGCCATGATGTGCAGCTGCGGCGCTTTTCAAACGGGATCGGCGGGCACCAGTGCTCTTGGCGGCTGAGTCGCGGGGAGATTGGATATCAATAAGGAAACCACAGGCGGCAAGTGTGAATGTGGTCGCGTTGAAGATCCCGGAACAAGACGGCGAACCTGTCTTGTGCGGGCGGAGGTTCAATCGAAAATAGCAATTGGGCCACCCGGAGAAGTTGGTAGGAAATGGGGAATGGTGATGGTGGTGGATGTGGCAGTGGTGGCGGAGAAGCGAGATATTACCGGAGTGGATGTAAGGTGCAGGGTAAGGCCCCGAAGGACGTATTGTTATGATATAGAAAGCAACATGGTGAAGAGGTAAAAGTGTAGTCCTAAAACAAGTTCAAGGAAGGACTGTGCCATGTCAGAGGTGTCGAGTGGCCCAGTTGGACGAGGAAGGGAATACCTGGCGGGTGTGGTGTGAGGATCCGCAGGCGGACTACGGCTACGACCAAAGTGGCGACAGCGCACAATGGCAGTGGAACGGGTCCGGAGATCGTGGCAGTGCGGAGCACCTCGCACACACGAGTGTTCCTGGGAACTGCGGCGAGGCAGGGCGAGGGAAGAGTGAAGCGTGCACGAAAGGGGAGTGTGCGGGTTGCGGGTTCAAGAGCGCAAGAGCGTTGGGAAGGCAAGCGACGGCGCGGGCAGGCTCTGCGGGCGGCACCCAGCGAAGCAAACGCCCGGTAATTATTTATCAGCGTGCCGAGCAGTCGACGCCAATGCCTCCAATGTAACGCCTGCAGACAGGCCAAATTCCACAGGGCGACCGGAAGGGCCCAGCGCTTGTGCGCGCAGCAGCTGACTGCCGTGCTCTTGCGTCGCCGACGGCTCTTGGGCGTGCTCTTTGTTCGCTCACCGCGCCCGTCTTCGACCACGGTTTCACGCGTCGCCTCGCCCAAAACACCGCGCAGCGCGCCTTTGTCAGCAGCGTTTCGCCACGCTTGCCCGCATCGGGTGCGTTTCGTACGGCCTCTCACCACGGCGGCCAGGCTGGAAAAACCTGCTTCAGGGCGGGCCACTGGACCCTTGATTGCCCTTGTTGCAGCGCGCCATTGCCGCACGCCGGGAGACAAGACGCCCACAGACCGCCCGGCTTGTCCCTTTGAGCCTGTCGCCGGGCGTGGGCGCTCGCTTCTGTGTCGCGCAATCTGCACGCACTCGACATGCGCTGCGATACGCGTGCATGCCGCAGACAGTCCCGCGCGCAGTCCGACCCTCTGGCCAGCCAGCGCAGCGCCGTCGCGAGCACTGAGCACCGAGCACGTCCAGCACGCTCAAACGTGTTTGTCTGCCGCCAGCCTTCTCCGCTCGTCAAACGCCGTGTTGCGCTGGCCTCCTGCCCCTCTTGCACGCATCCTCACCGCTTTTCTCACCATCTTCCGCCAGCAGCCCTCACTGCTTAGCAGCGCCGCTTCTCCCAGAGCGGAGAGCGTCATCTGACCCCTCGGCGAGTGCTGTAGGCCAGCATCCCACACCAAGGGCATTGGCCTCGCTACGTGCATCTCACCCCACCTTCCCGACCGTCTCTCGTGTACACCGCGTATGTAGCCACGCGCACACCGTCTAGGATCACGCCCAATTGCCGCCTCTGGTTCGCTGGAGCTTACATCTCAATTCTCGAGAAGCGCTGCTGCCGGCCTGACCCCTACCCATCGTGCGGGGAAGCTCTCTCTCTCTCTCGCGATAGTATTGTACACAGTCTAGTGCGCTTGAGGCAGAGAAGCGTGCTCCGGTAACGCTTTCTTTCTGCTCGACATTCCCCTTACTCCATAGTATCACACAGAGTGCTGGCCATGGCGCGCCTCGTTCAACAGGGCCCGGGGCTCACCGTCCAGAGTAGCATCGCGTGCTTTGTCCCCAACACCAGGCCGCACGAACGCGCCTTTCGCCTGATATGAAGACTACGTCGACGACCGAGAACTCGACTCAAGCTAGCCGTTTCAGAGCCGGCTGCTTCGTAGACCTCGCAGCTTGGTGAGATCCTGGTGGCTGTGACGTCGAACGAGCTTCAACTTGCATCGTGCGAACGGACCGCGGATAAGGCTCGCCCGTGCTATTCCGCGCTCCGACCCAAATGTGCTGCACACCAAGACTGTGTAATATCAAACGACATCATCGGTGCAAATTGGTCATTGCTACACTCCGGTCGCGCGGGGCCGCGGCCGTTCACTGTGCCTGCCCCTGGCAAAAACATGTGCACGCTGTGTGCGGGAAGTTGCGCCATCTCACAGCTGCTAAGCTGATAGTCACTGCACGTACAACGGACAAGTCATCCGCCTCATCGTGAGCATCCATGCCGCTCAGAGCAAGGTTTCGGGCACCGATTCAATTGACAGGCTATAGGGCTGAACAGCGAGCCAAGTCCGAGTCGAGTCCCACTTCTCTAGTATCTAACCCACCGCCGACCTTATCGCGACCCACAGCTCCTTCTTTCTACATCGCCATGTCAACTACGCTGCATGACAACAAGTTCAATACAGCACCGCCCACCTCCCACGGCCACCGTTTCTCCCTCCCTTGACGCTGCGTTCCCCCACCAACACAGCCAAGCATAGCACGCCCGTTGATCCTGCAACACCGTTTCTCCGCCGTCGCACAACCAAGACATCCTCACATACCGAGTAGTAGCCAAGCATACACCCAAGCCTCTCGGCGGCCTCCAGCTCCGCGTCGATCACCCGCCGCCGCGTCGGCGAAATGCCGAAGAATGCTGTGCCTGCGGCCAAGCAGTGAGGCTTATTGCGGTTGTAAGCATCTGAAGGTAGGTAGCTGGCTGTCGTAGTCGCCGGAATTGTCATGGTGTGAAGCCAAGCTTAGATGAGTGCACAGCCCACACTGGTGGTGGTAATGGTAATGATAGATCTAGACCGTAAACCCTTGACTGCCTTTTACGGGACGTCTTTATCCACGCCACTTGTACCTTTGAAACAATCTTCTGTGTCAAAGCAATCAAACTCGACGCGTTCGAGATTTCCGTCGTCCTCGATAGCCCCCCAGATCAACCGAATTTGGGACGAGGCCCTGCTTCCGTACCCATGCTGCGAAAGCGTCCAGAAAGACATCAGCTGCTGATTAGTTGTCGGCCTGTCCCGTTTGACCGACTACTGCAGATGCATAGTGAAAAATTCCAGTAGTCGTGACTGCTCTTGCGACAACTTGTACAGAATCCAGGTGCCGTCAAGCTTGCATCGAACGGTTCCTTAGTGCTCGTTGGTCATTGTGGTGAAGGCCATACCTCCGAGTACCATGGCACCCTTGACCATGCCAGCGATGGGTCGACGTGCTTCTGTGAACGAATGACGAGCATATTCGAGTGCGGCAACCTCACTTTTGATAATCTGGCACTCGCCTCCTTCAGCGCGAATGTCCCAAAGTGTTCGCTGCGATCCTAGATCGTCCATTTCACTAGGAGCCATAACAACCAAGTATCGAGTGCCCAAGCGCGCGAGCGCAACAGCGAGGCTACCGTAGAGCCCTTCCAATTCACTTGCCAAAAAGATTGCGTGCGGCTAGGTTCCTATTTTCGTAAAGATTGTTGTGCAATTCTTGCTGGGCCGAGAGTCCTTATTCTTCTGAACTTGAGTTCACCCTTAAGCGGCGTCCTGTTGTATGACGTGGAACTTGCGTTGTGTCTCAAGTTACAAAGCCGTACGAGTGCGCTCGCTGCTTACGCACAAGAACTGCACAACATTTGCACCTGCCAATACCACACAGCTTACCAATTTGTTTCGCTTCTGCACTCTCACTTATTTATACCTCCCCTTCTTGCTCACAAACAATCATTCTAAATACTTATATTCAACGTCATTGCATACAAGCTGCTCCTCCGTCTTTCCCTCGCTAATCTGAACATGACCACCACAATTCTAATAACGGGCGCGAACCGTGGCCTCGGCCGCGCTGCAGTCGAGAAATACCTTCCTCGCGACAACGTGACCGTCGTTGCCGCGGTTCGAGATCCTTCTCTTGAAACCTCCAAAAGCCTCGCTACCATTTCCAAGGGCTCCGGCAGCAAGCTCATTGTCATCCAGCTCGACAGCGCCGAGTTCAACCCTTCCAAGCTCAAAGATTCACTCTCCAACAATGGCATTCAAAGCCTGGATACCGTCCTCGCAAGCGCTGCAATAGCCCAGGCAGGAGGTCCCATCGCTCAAGTTCAGCTCGGCGAACTCCAGCGCCACGTTGAAACCAACGCCTACGGAGTCCTTGCCCTCTTCCAAGCCACAGTCGAGTTGCTAGAGAAGTCGACCAACCCCAAGTTTGTGGCCTTTGGAAGCCCTCTCGGCAGCATCGGTGGTATGGAGCGCCGCTCTGTGTATCCTATGACGGTCTACGGTGGATCCAAGGCTTTGGTCCACTACTTTGTCCGCCGCATTCACTTCGAGCACCCCAATATCACCGCCTTTGTCATCGACCCTGGCTTTGTCCAGACTGACATGGGCAACAATGGCGCCAAAGCGGCTGGAATGGAGAAGGCCTTTGACGAAGTGGAGCCGACCATCGTGGAGACCGTAAAACTGATCGACCAGTCCACCAAAGACGTACACTCTGGTCGCTTCATCCCGACAGGCAAGTCATCAATCGTTGAGCTGGAGGGCAAGGACTTTCCCTGGTAAACCAGGTTGAATTACTCATGCTGCGGTGACACTGTTTGGATTTTGTCGAAGCGAGGAAAGTGGGAAGGAGGTAGATGGCGATCGTGAAAGGGCGTTGGAATTGGACCAAGCCGCGCTTCAGTGATTATATAAACGAACAGACAGAAAAGCGTAATTGAACGAGTAAAAGTTAAATTTAGATTCTTGGTTTCGTTATGTGGCTCAGTCAACGAACTAATGTACTGAAAGACAAGCTGTTGAGTGATCATTCCACTATCAGACGAATCCGCTGTATCAATCTGAAACGATCCTCGAGAGAGTGATTGGTAAACTCTGAAGGCCAGAGGAGATATTTGAGATTGTGATTACAGCTGTGTCTGACATTTCCCAAACCCCCAAACAACATAGTTTGAGTGCAAGTCATACAACGTACTGACCAAGTGAATGAGGGGCATTACTCTAAACTTACGGCCTAGTTATCCCATTAGTGTGTGATGTCCGCTCCGGGCGTAGTCGCTGCAAGTATGGCGACGAGTCCAGCGGGGAATATGGATAGTACAGTTGGCGTAGGAATAGAAAGCTGGCAGCCGACTAGCCGCACCGAGGCACTAATTGCCAAGTCAGAATCAAAGAGTCGTTGCCATGATCTCCCGCCCGTGACGCCCTGTTTCGCGCGGGCAACGTATTCGGGATGCGTCAACACCAAACAATAGCCCTGTCATGGACCATCGTAGCTCTGAATCTACCTGTGGCAACATTGGCAGATCGTTAGTGTTACAAGCGCTGCGTTCAAACATTGGTGGAACAGACAACGAACAATCAATTGGCAGTACGTCTATAAGCACCGATACTTCATAAACAGTTGTCTAGGAGCTCGCGATCAGCTGAGTTCGCCAAGTATTGCAGCGATTCGGCTGCTAAGCCCGCTTTGTGGTGGTTCTGGCAGTGGCTTTCGTCATAGTCCCACAACGACACGGACTTGGGAGACACCAAGACCAACTCACTCTGAAGCCCAGACATGCAGCTCTACTTCAAGTACTTGGCTTCAGTCAGTCGTGGTGCATGCTCTTGACACATACATCATACCAAGCTCCGAGTTGCTTGTGTTTGTCCCCATCATTTTCACTCGTCGTTCATCACAACTTCAAGAGATCTTAGTCGTTTGTTCCTAAAATCAAATCTGTTGGCATACGCGAGCTTGGTAGATGCATGCCAATTTCCCGAGCAGGAAAGGCCTCCATTGAGATTACCCACTTTCTAACATGTTGAAATGAAGAATAATGTGGATTATTGAGGAACAAACGAAGAAGATCATTCACTCTTCATGTGCAGGAATCGTTCTGGGCTAACTGATGTGGCCTTTCGAACATGCCAATTCTCGAATAGTAATGCCTCGACCGTGAGGTTTGTTAAGGTATTAGAACGGCGTGCTTGGACAAGACATCACCGACGAATTAGATTCTTGGCTGACTGCTGCTTCCGATATCTACGTATGCAGAAGCATCCGAAGATGCGAGTCAGAGGTCCTATAAGTGCCGCGTGTACTGCAAGTTGAAGTTCCCTTAGCAATACACACAGAGCGCAATCATGGGAATGAAGGAGTCGGCCGAAAAGCGCACCTCCTCTCCCAATACACACAATGAGTTCGCCCACGTACCTTCTACAGGCCCCGAGTCCAAAGGCTCCTGCGAGCAGAGCAAACGGGAGCAACAAGCTAATGCTCTCCCAAGGGTATCTGGGGAGCTTTTTCCAAGCTAGGCAACCTCCTGGAATGGGGCGTACCCGGCAAAGGTCCACTCCGGGGGAGCGCCTTGAAAACATTCGTCTCCTGGCTCGCGTCCATGGCCTTCCTCATGTTCGGCTACGGCCAAGGCGTCATGTCTGGGCTCCTCACTCTGGACGACTTCCAGCGCCACTTCCCACTCATGACACCCTTGTCTCGTGCAAACAATTTGTGCTGGCTGGATGCGCCCGCCAACACGATCCGCGACGAGAGCATGTGCACGGGCGATCCGAACACCCAGGCTGCAGCTGTGGCTTTGTATCAAGTTGGTTGCTTCCTTGGGACAGTGCTGATTCTGTTCTACGGAGAGGCGTGGGGGCGGAAGAGTAGCACGTCCTGGGGTAGCTTCATTATGATTGTGGGGACCATATTCCAGGTCGTAGCGGGGGGTGTGAATGGCGGAGATGCTGGGGCATATGCTGCACTTGTTGTGGGGATGATAGTGGGTGGGGTCGGAAACGGCGTGGTTACCTCGAGTAAGTGCGGATGGGACCATATCGAGTTAACGTGTGTTGACTCTAGACGAAGCAATCCCGACATGGCAGTCTGAGTGCGCCAAACTGGAGAAGCGCGGTCGAGTCATAATCACGTCCGGTGCTATCATCGTAGCAGGAATCATGGTCTCCTACTGGGTAGGCTACGGCTTCTACTTCCTACCAGCCGGCAACAGCTACAGCTCTGTGCGGTGGAGATTCCCGGTCATTTTTTAGTCTTTCTTCACAATCCTGGTCATGTGCGGTCTGCTCTACCTTCCAGACTCTCCTAGATGGTTGGTTATGCGTGGCCGGGAGGAAGAAGCCAAAGAACTGATCGCTCGCCTTGCAGACGCTCCGTACAGCTCGGAGGAGGTGGATGCCGAGCTCACAAACATCAAGGATGCGCTCGAAGCACAGAGTCGCGGCGGAGGCTTCAAGATGCGCGAGCTCCTACAGAATGGACCGTCGCAAAACTTGAGACGGATACTGCTTGGTATCGCTGCGCAGTTTTTCCAGCAGATAAGCGGTATCAAGCTGATGGTGAGTGAACTTGGCTGGCCTGGAACGCTGTGACTGATGGCTGCTTAGACGTACTATGCGACTTTCGTCCTCGAGAATTCGCTCGGTTCTGGCCCCGACATGTCGCGCCCCTCTGGCAGCAGCCAATGGTACCGAATACTTCATTGCCGCTCTCTTCACAATCCCACTTATTGAGCGTGTCGGCCGCCGGAAGTTGATGCTGTTCGGCGCATTTGACATGATGTCTTCCATGATTATACTTGCAGGAACGAGCTCAACGGCCACTGTCGATATGTTCAATGCGCCGGTACTCAGCACCGTGTATGGTGTTGTTGCAACGGTATTCTTGTTCGTTTTCAACTCGTTCTTTGCGATAGATAAGCCGTGCGAACAACTTGATGCCCGCATGATATTGCTCAATATACTGACCAATGATCATTTGTGTCTACAACCAACTTCAATAATATGAGATTGAGAGAGTATGCATCTCACAAAAGTACACGAGATTTCCATACTTACAGTATTACGTTCAAGGTTTCGTTGAAATCTCTTGGTGTCCCTGAGGATTGTCTGGAACAGCGGCTCTGTCCCGTTCATTCGTGCACCAAGGAACTCAAATTTCTGTTTAAGACCTCTAGTTTTATGCAGTTCCATGGCTGAATCTACAAACCATGGATCAGATGGACAGCATACATGTACAGGAATTTGTCCTGTTGTTAACAATGACCTTGGTGTGGAATTATCATATGAGCTTCCATCCGATAGCAATCACCGGGATATCCAAAGCTTTTCTGGTGATTGCTTGAATGGACTCAAGTCTGTGAAGTGGAAAACAGTGTAATTACGCTAGGCCGATCAGACCTATCCCGTGAGACGGCCCCTACTTCTCTTCTCTAGCAAAATCGTGACAAATAGCCATCCTAAGTGGAAGCACAAGCGATCAGACCGAAGAATATATGTCCGGCATCCGGCATAGCGAAGACGGGAAGTTCGATGTGAAGGCCAATGTTTGTCATCGTGTAGTCTAGCTTAGACTTGTCCAAACTAAAGGTGCTGACGTATGTGTCTAACGCCATACGACGATATGTATGTTCTGATAAAAAGTCTCATGGCGATGTGGCCAGCATTTCCCCACTTGCCACGCCCCAGTTCCACGTGAAAATGATATCATGGCTGCGCTGTGTGATCTCCATCTGCAGTCTGCGAAAGGCTTGTGTACGACCTGCTGTATTCCGGGATATCGGCACCGAGCTTGAAACAAAGTGTTGCATTCAGGGGCTCGTCGCTCCAAGGGTTTCCTTTGATGTGCAAGAGCCGCATTCTGGGGGTGGCTTCAACTGCCGGAGTAGGAGAGGCTATGCATTGCGCGTACCGGAACGGACTCGTACGGGAGAACGTTGATCCGTAAACCATTCTTCGGTAATCCGAGATCCTCGATTGGAAAAGACTGATAAAGGAACAGACAAGTGACTGGGGCGTAGTGAAGGAAGGATTCGAGCGGGGAAGTCTGTGAGCCGGCTTAGCGAGGGGCAATCTACTTGCCCAGACCAGGCAAGCTCTGGAACATCGCGTTCGCTCCCCTCTACAGTTGTGTACAGGAGTAACATTGACAAAGATCAAGGCTTAAGTACTTTAGCCTCTTCACCATCATCCTCTCTCAATCAATACAAAAAAGCAACAATTTCCGGTGAGCATATTTATCCGGACCCAGTTGTGTAGAGCTACCTCACTGTGTAACCAGAACTCCGTGGCACGCCGTGCTAGGCAACAACTTGCCCATCACACCCACACTTTCCGTTGTTCAACCACGCAACATCAACATGGCAGAAAAGGTAAACCCTCTCCGAATCGCATGGGACTCATGTCAGCTCTTCTTCTATCACCACCCTTTGATGAGGGCCGCCGGCAAGGCATGTCTCTACACGCTCTTTTGTCCCTTTTTCTGCTGTTATTGTTGCTTGATGATCCCGCAAGCCATAACACCTAAGTGTGGAAATTGGCGTCGGCAGAAGCATCGTGAAAAACATTCGAAGATGGTCATATTACAAATCGAGAAGCGCGAACGACAGCACAAAAGACGCAATTCACTCACCAGCGAACCGTCTACCGCTCGAAAGCTGGGCAATTATCTGAGAAGACGGGAGAGGTGGTGCGATCAGGAAAGCTCTACATTCTTCTCCAAGCTGCCAACCGAGATCCGCATGCACATATATGCACTTGTGCTCAATGGGAAAGATCATATATACATTGACCAAAATCGTTGGAACGAAAGGTTCGAAATCAACTGTCGTCTCCTCGACAAACACGCACATCTCTTTGTAGATCTCGATAGAGCTACTACAAAAAGAAAAGAGGACGGAAACCTAGATACGATAGGCAAAGGGAGACCGCAGGCGACAGATACAGAAGATCTAGAAAGGAAAGAGAGCAGAAACACCGAGACGACAGAAGCCGCAGATGGCCGACCACAAGTCCATAATCCGTCGACAACAAAGGGTACACAAGATCGCAACGGAAGGGAACCTAGACGTACAAAATCCTTACTACCGCTTCTCCTGACTTGTCGTCGCGTGTAAGTGCCTTGATGTGAGTTTGATCCCAGCAACCAGCGCGCTGATCATCACAGTTACGCCGAGGCTATTCCTCTGTTATACTCAGGCAACACCTTCGTCACTTGCGTAGGACACAACCTGCACTATTTCCCTCGCTCAATACCGGAAGTCCATCGCGACCGCATCACTTCCCTGGTAATCTACTCGCCAATCGGGAGTGGCATCAGCTGGGAGTCCACAGAGCGCACACTCCTGAGCTTCAAGAATCTGAAAAGTTGTCGTATTGTCATCGTGGAGGAGGAGGCCCTCCTTTGGCCCCGATCGAGGGAGCACTTGCGACCCGAATCGTTGAATGACGTTCAATCGTTGTATGGTATTCACTGCCTACCTATACTACGGGGTATAGAAGAGACATGTCTTTGGGATAAGATCACACTTACGATCGACTTTTGGAGTGCAGGTATGAGGATCAGAGTGGGAGGGGAAGATAGAAGACTACAGGCACGCGAGAAGTTGGGCTAAAGGTTAATATGGTAGTGGGAGGGTACAGCACGCCAATTTTGATGGAAACACGCTGAATGCAAGACACGTTCCTCAGTCTCTCTACAATATTGGCGAAGTCGTCTACTATTAGTCCATGGTTTGGCTTGCCGCCTGACTGCGTTCCATCAATTCTTTGACCCATAGGAGAATTGTAGTGGTGCAGATTCTCCTTCCTCTGGTATCACTCTTCTGACATTCTCACCTCGCGGCCTCCCGCTTCCCTAAACCCCCCTTCCTAGGCCCCCTCCTAACCATGTTCGCCTCGCCCAGCGGCTCGAATCCAAACCTCAAATAAACCTTCCTCGCCGTCGGCGCACTCTCGAGATACATCGCCTGTCCACCCGCCGCATCCGCCTGCTCGATCGCCCAGTTCATCAATCTACTCGCGATCCCCCTCCCCTGATATTCCGGTAGCGTCATCAACGGTGCCAAAAACCAGTGCGGCTCGTCCCCCATCACATCTGCGCGAATTGCGTCGTTTCCGCCGATGTGGCCCTCCCATTCCGCGAGGTCGACGCCGCGCCACATTTCGGCGATATCAGCGTCGGTCCACTTCATCTTTTCCTCAAAGCCAAAAAAGTCCGTAGCGGTACGGCGCCAGACATTGTGGATGGGCATACCTTCATTCATCAATCACCACGCCCATCAACTCCGAGGTGACGCAGGAAAGGGCAGAATGTGTGAAAAGGTAGGCTGGAGACAGAAAGGGGAAATGAGCGTACATACCAGGTATCATCCACCCCGCAACCCCCACCATCGTTCCCGTAGGAGCATACACGGCTTTAATCCACTTCATCTCCGGCAGATGAAACGAGGGACTCAGGCGCGTAGCCAGGCGTCTCGCGCGCGTGGATATATCACCGTCCCGAAGCGCCGGGGGCTCCATCTTGTCCCAGAAGGAGTCGGGGAAGCAGGTGTACAACATCTCAGCCTTTGAGCATTTCGTTAGAGACGCTGATGGTGAGGAAGGAGTCGAGGCTCACGATGGCGGGCATGTCGTCTATCGCGCACATCTCGATGCGTATTTCCCCGTCTTTGACACGGTTCTTTTCTTCGACGGGGAGCGTGGGCTTGGAGATGCGCGGGGTGGTGGAAGGCTGTTGCGCGTGGGTCGCGCTTGCGTTCGGTATGGGGCCGGCCATGGTTGGCAGGCTTTTTCACGTTCTCGTCGAATTGTTGTCCGGCAGAATAGTAATTGTGGTTGATTCTTGCTCAGGGTTTTCGAGTTTCTCTTTCTCTTTGTGAGTCGAAGTGACTCACGTAGCGTTGCGTTGCTTGGTGGAGCACCGGAATACCTAGTCTCGGAGTTGTGGGGGCAGAACTAAATGCGCGGGGTGACGTGGGGTTCACGGGCTACGAGACGTCTACTGGTTTGGAACAGCAAGAGGGGCCGATCCAGTCTACATTTTGTTCGCGTATTTGTGCATCAAGCACTTCACCTACACACAAAAAGCAAAGGATTACGAACGGGACTAGGTTGATTCATCGCTTCATGCTTTTGTTGGTTACATAAGGACGTCGCTATGCTGCTGCTACTGTACCATTTGATGCCTCGATCCGTGCTACAGGGCCTCCAGGTGAGTCCGGCAATCTTGCAGTGAGGATCTCTACGCCGTCTTCTGTTACTAACAAAGTATGCTCTGTGAAGCAAGTAAGCACGGGAGCAATGAAAGATGGGCCAAAAAAGCTTACCAAATTGCGCAGTCCTAGTGCCATCTGCGGTAACACTGGTCCAGTCGTCCGGCCAGGTCTTGTCCCGGTGTGTACCCAAGCTGATCATGGGCTCAATAGTGAAGCACATGCCTGGCTTCGCCTCTCCTACAGCCTTGTTCTTGGCGTAATGTGGGACATTGGGTGCGCAGTGAAACAGCTGATTGATGCCGTGGCCGCAGTAGGTCTTGATGACGCTGCAGTTCTGAGCCTTTGCGTGCTTCTCGATGACGTTGCCGTATTCGCGGAAGAGCGTGCCTGGCTTGACCAGCTCGATCGCCTTGTCCAAGCACTCTCGCGATGTCTCAACAATGCGGACCGAGTCTGGGTCCGCGAGTGCCTTCTCGCCGATGTAGTATGTCTCGTTGAGATCGCCGTGGAACCCGCCGTGGTAGAGGGTCACGTCGATGTTGAGGATATCGCCGTCCTTGAGAACGCGCTGGTCGGGAATGCCGTGGCAGATGACTTCGTTAGGCGACGTGCATACTGACTTGGGGAAGTGGCAGTAGTTCAGTGGGGACGGGTATGACTATGCGCAATCAGCATCACGGCGCCCGGCTGCCGGAAGGAACTCACGTTTCTCTCCATGCAAGCCTTGTGGACCACCTCGTCAATGTAGTCGGTGGTCACACCAGGCTTTGCCTCTCGCGCAGCAATGTCGAGCACTTCTCGCGCCAGTCTGCAGACCTTGCGCATGCCCTCGATCTCCTTTGCGTTGAGTATAGCAATCTTGTTCCTGCCAACAAACTTCTGTTCGGAGTGGGGTATCCCATCCTTTGCATAGTCTGGCAGTTGCACGCTGGCAGGCACCTTCCTCCGCTCCGACAGCGGGTACACGGGTCTGAGGGCGCCGGTATACGGGTAGGCGGGGAAGGGATTGAAGGTGCCGGTGGCTGGATCGGGGTAAGAAACGACTTTTGGAGTAAAGATGTTGGAGAGAAGAGTACTTTGTGACTTGTGCGACTTCTTGTGCTCAGCCTGCGCCGCGTGTTAGCAGGGCGGTCTGGCGCTGGCGAGGTTTTGCTGTGTACCCACCCAGTTGCGCTTGAAGCAGTCTTGCGAGCAGAAGTAGCTCTCCTTGCCCTGCTTCTGGCAGTTTGGGCATTGCAGCTGGCCCGCGTCGTTGTCGCAGTCCTTGCCAGAGCACTTGCGCGCGGCGGGCGCGTCTCCAGCCATGGTGACGGTGGGGGCAGGAAAGGAACGGCCAAGCGTCTCAGCTATGTACGCTGGCAAGAACAAAGGAGGAGTGCAGGAGAAGAGGCGTAGCCGTAGCCGTGCTGTGTAGTATTGTTACTGAATCCCAAGACCCTGGCGTGTCGCTGTTTGCCCCAAAAAAGTTGCCCACACCTCAACGCCGGCATCCAGCCACGGAATTGTACGTGGGTCCTGCCTCGAACGCCGCTGCCGCCGATCCCCCGATCGGCGCTTAGCTAATCGTGCATGCCCGCAGTACCTGCTCGTGCGTGCTTTCCTTTTTCGTGATATTGCGCATGCTAACGTGACTTATCCTTTTTCTTTTCCCTGGCCCTTCATCAGTCCTATTTGTTTCCTGCTTTATCTGCAAGAATTCGTAATCGAGGCTGACACCGGCCGCGGACTTCGACCACTGTACCATACTTGACCCATCAACTTTTTCTCTCCTCTTGTACCGGGCTGTACATACTTTCCCCACCTGGCTCTGTTCTTGGGCTTTTCTTTAGCATGCCCGAGAAGGTGGTCGTCGTAGGCGCCGGTCCTGTTGGAGCACTCGCAGCTCTGTATGCCGCCGTTCGAGGTCATGATGTCGACATCTATGAGCTGCGCCCAGGTACGCTCGCCATTCAACACATGCCCTATGTATACTGAGTACTCTAGACATTCGAGACCCCGCTACGGCACCCTTGAACTGGAACAAATCCATCAATCTTGCGCTGTCTGAACGAGGAATAAACGCTCTCCAAAATACCGGTCTTCCCGATCTGGCCGATGCGGTTCTTGGCGAGACGTTCCCTATGCATGGTCGCATGATCCACCTCGAAAAGAAAGGCGAGTATGTTCGCATACCACAGCTCTATGATCCGAGAGGCAAGGTGAGTTGACTGTCATGATCTGATCGCACTCCTGGGAACTAACTTTGGCAGAGCCTACTCGCTCTCGACCGGGCAGAGCTCAACAAAGCACTCCTCGACCATCTGGAATCCATGCCTAATGTCAAATTCTTCTTCAACCACAAGCTTCTCTCCGTCGACTTCAGGAAACAGCTCGCCTGGTTCGACAAACACAACAAGTCTGAAGCCCCCGAAGAGCGCGGCACCGAGATCGAAATCAAATTCGACTTCATGATCGGAGCCGACGGCGCCCACTCCGCCGTCCGCTATCACCTGATGAAATTCGTCCCAATGTCCTACCAGCAAGAATACATCGACAAGCTCTGGTGCCAGTTCCACATCCCGTCGACCCCTGCTGGCGACTTCCGCCTCCCCCCGAACTACCTCCACATCTGGCCGCACGATGATTCCATGTTCATCGCGCTGCCCAACCTCGACAAGACCTTCACCGCAACCCTCTTCCACACACGGTCCGGCTTCGAAGCCCTCGACGCCTCGAGGAAGGTAGCAGACTATTTCACCACGCACTACCCCTCCGTCGTGCCGGACCTGATCACTGCAGCAGACCTGCAGAAACAATACACGGAGAACGCGCACCTCCCCCTCATCTCCATCAAATGCACACCCTACCACTATACCAGCACAGGCGTCATTCTCGGCGACGCCGCACACGCCATGGTCCCGTTCTACGGCCAAGGCATGAACGCCGGCCTGGAAGACGTCTTCGCCTTGTTCACCCTCCTCGACGCACACCCCTCCGACCGCGCAACCGCCCTGGCACAGTATTCCGCAACCCGCACGCCCGACGCACACACCATCAACGACCTCGCGCTCGGCAACTACCGCGAGATGGCTACGGATGTGAAGAGCAGGGTGTACCTTCTGCGCAAGTGGACAGAGGAGAAGCTGGATCTGTGGGTCCCGAGCTTGGGCTGGGCGACGCAGTACAGCCGTGTGACGTTTAGTAATATGCGGTATTCGGAGGTGCAGCGGCGGGCGCACTGGCAGGCCGCCGTATTTAACGGCGTGCTGGCCGGCGGGTTGGCGGTTGTTCTGGGCGCAACGCTGTGGTGGTCGAGGGCGGGCGGTGTGCAGAGGGTGAAGATGGGCGTGCTCAGGGGCATATGTAAAGTGGCGCAGTGGATTGCGGGACCGCCTCAGACGAGGCGGTGATGGGTGCGGGTGTGGGAAAGGCCGAGGTGGAGGCGGACTCTTTTGAAAGGTGAGGGGGGAGGTGACATGAGGGCGTGGGGGAAATTAACTGTATATACTCTGACCCTCCGTCGCTAGCAATGTGTGCATATTCCACTCCTCAAATTTGATTTCCTTATCTCACTATAACCACGCCGACGAATCACAGCAAGTGACGAGATACTCAAGAGCCACCCTGTACACAAACGGGTGCGTATGAGCTCCTCAACCCTTGTGGGAGAGCTATCTGTCCTTCCTACCTGCTCCCTCTCTCCCTCCCACACATACCCCCACACAAGTGCTTTTAACCATATTCCAACTTATTCCTGAGTACACACTGCCTCCGTCCTAAGCATTTTACGAGTCCCTCCTCCTTCTCGGCGGCGGCGGCGACCGCTCGATGCTACTGCTGTGACTCCTCGCACCCCTTTTCCTCGGCGGAGGCGAGACCGACCTCCTGGCTCCTCTCCTAGGCGGAGGACTGCTCGTCCTCCGCGCGCGTCTGGGCGGGGGACTGCTCGAGTCGCGCCGCACACTGCGCCGGGGCGGAGACGGTGAGCGTGAGGGCGAGGGGGAGCGCGACACGCTGGTATCGCGACGGGATCGACGCACCGGGCTTCGCGACCGCGAGTGGGATGCGGTCGCGCCACGGCGGCGCACCGGGCTAGGTGAGCGTGAGAAGGAGCGTGAGCGCGTGGGGGAGCGTCCGGATCCGCGCTTCTTGGGAGGAGGCGACCGTGAGCGGCTGGAGGAGTACGAGCGTCGCCGGCGGGGCGGCGGGGACAGAGAATCGGATGCCACGCTACGGCTGGAGCTACGGGAGCGCGTGCGGCCGCGGGCTTTGACTTTTCTTGGTGCTGGGGATTTACTGTGCGAGTATGAGCGATCGCTTGAGACAGACCTATTCCTTCGTCGAGGAGGCGTCCTGGAGCGCGAGCGCGAACGCGAACGCGACCTCGAACGTGAGGAGTAGCTTGAGTAGCTTGAGCGGCTCGAGACGCTTTCCGAGTCTGACTCTGGCTCAGGAAGGGCCTGAGGCTTGGGCGCGTTGTTCTTGAGGTGTTCGCGCATCGACTCGGTGAGGATGCCCATGCCGATGGCGGTAAAAAAGTTGATGGCGAAGCGCGTCTTGGCTTGGTCGTCTGTGGGAAAGATGCCTGTGAGGCTTTCCTGGAGCATTGGGTCGTTGAGGCGTTCTACCAGCGTTTTCTGTCCCATGCTGGCCATGAGTTCTTCAAAGAGGATCTTGATGAAAATACGAGAGCTGGATGTGGTGTCCTCTTCGTTCAGCTTGACAGCCATCAAGACGTGGAGGCCAATGCCCTCAGTGGAGAGCAGGTGTGCAAAGAATTGGGCTATGATGCGGAGCCTATTCGTCTCGAAGCGGTGGATAGTGTCATAGTAATGAACGAATCCGTCTTCGAAGAGGTCGCGCCACATCCTGTTGACCTTACAGAAGCGCTCTCCGATCTGACCGTAGAACTTCTCGTACGTTCGTTCCTGGGAGGCACATTCGACGATCATCGTGGTGAGCTCGTTCTCGAAGCCGTGCGGGAGATTTATGCGCATGAGTTTGTGGCAACATTCTTCGAAACCACCGGAGCTCTTGATAGTAAGATAAATCGTTCGTCGCAGAGCCACAAGGTCGGCATTCGTTTGGTCCTTCACGTCTTCAGCCTTCTGTTCCTCGTCTTCGTCGTCTTCGTCAGATTCGTCTGTATACTCGGCGTCGCTTCCCTCCTCTTCACCAAGGATCTCGGCCTTTAGTTTCTTGTATTGTTGTTCATTCTCCTCATATTCTGGGTCGAACTTAAAGATGTTCAAACCATCTTCGACCTTGATTTCATCCTCCAAATGGTGTTGGTGGGTGTGCTGATCCTCCTCTTCGACCAAATCCAACTCTTCCTTGACCGCGGGATTCTCCTTGTATTTGTCCTTTCGGACCTGGAAGAGAACCTCAATCATGTACTGCGTCCGCTTGTCGATGTCCGCTTCATGGAGAATGTTCCTGAACAGATCGAATATGGCGTTCGAGATCGCGGCGTTCATCTCTTCAAGAAAATGGCCAACCTCCTTGGTAATTGCCACTGCGATCTCAACGCTGTCGTCTGTCGGTTTGTTGAGCAGTAGCAGGAGGATCTCGGCGATGAGAATTTCGTTAACGACCTGCGTGTTCACCAAGTGTGCCAGAAACATCGAGCTAGACACCGCGACCGCCTTGTCATTCCTCCGAAATGACTTCCGGAATTGCATTATGAGTCTGCGCACCAGCAAATCTCCGACTTGCGGCAGCTTCGTATTTACGATGGCCACCATCGCCGCGTATATGTTGGTGAAGGGCAAACTCGCAGCCTGCGCCTTCATTATCGCTCTGCAAAACAGCCCGCGACCACGAATCAGGTTTTCCGAAAACAATTCCGGCACAATCTGCTTGATGTTGGCGACATTGCACTTGTTGATCATGCCTTGGATGGACTTCTTGAGAGCTTCCCAAGCCATGCGCTGGAATTCAGGCGTGCTCTTGTCCGTTATGGCGGCTTGCATTGCGCGTAGGCGCGCAGGAGGTATGTATGCGCCACCGGCACGCGTCTTCGAATCGTCGATGGGGAGCTTCCGGCTTGCGCTGAAAGCACCCTGGAAGAGCTTCAGCCGGGGGTCGTCTTCTTGCACATTCTGGCCGGGGTCCTGGCGCGAATCGTCGCCATTCTGTTCCCGCCTGTGGCCGTTCTCGCGGTCTCTGCGGTGGTCGTGGTCGCGTGCCCGGTCACGGTCCCGGGAACGGTCGAGTTCCTCATCATCGCGCTCCGACCTTCGCGGGCGTTTCGAGGAACCGGCTTCGTGTGGTGAGCGGTCGCGCTTGCGGGGTGCCTCTGGGAGCTCTGGCTCAGGCTCCGGCGAGGGAATGCGGACGGCTGAAGCAACCTCCATCGTGCAGCTGGTCGGTATCGAAGCTTCTCGACTGCTCTTGTTGACACCCGCAGATCACCGTCCGAGTAGAGCACCGCGGGTGCGGTTGGGAAAGTAAGAGTTCGGGGTTTGGTCACGTTTTGTCAATCGTGATGGCGAGATGTTGCTGTCGCAAGAAACTTAGGCAATGACGCGCCAAGACCACGGAGGGGGTTTCGCCGACGTCCCGAACCTCCAGCTCATCAACATTCACTGTACACCGAAGTCAGTGCGCCGCTTTCACTCGTTCGCGACACAAGGCAGTCAAGATGGTAAGCTACGTGTCTGGCTATCCAAGGCAATCTCGCTGACCAAACTTCAGCTCGACCGTCTCGTAGGCCTCAGCATGCTCATTGCAGCCACCACTGTCTTCGTCTATTACACCATTTGGACGCTGTTCATGGTACGAGGCCCCTTCTCTCACCTAATTTTTGCACCTTCCTTGCCGCCTTCCCTCATTATCCAACCTGAATTCCTGTGTCTAACCAAGAGCCAGCCCTTCGTCGACGACGACCACATCCTACAGTCCTTCTTCCTCCCCCGCGTCTGGGCGATTCGCATTCCAGTCATCCTCATTGTGCTGGCTACCACCGTCGTGGGCAGCTTCCTCTCTACAGTCATGATAAGGAGCAACCGCAAGAAGGCCCTCAAGGCACAGCAGAAGAAGGCGAGCTGAACGGAACACATTGGTATTCCAAGGGGCTGTTTGGTGACTGGCGTACAATGTCATTGGGAATGCGGAATTGGGCTTCAAGGTGGGAAGGGATACTCAATATACTACTATAATTCATGTGAAGGTGGTTCAGGTCTCCTTACTTGTCATCGAAACAGTGATGTGACTGTAGCTTCGATTGCGTGTGTTTGTCTCAATTGCCCCGAATAGTACGACAGCAGTGGCAGTGTAGCAATACATTGCAAAGAATCTTGAATCCCCCTCTGAAGATCGCAAGCGCAGAACCCTTATTTTTGCTCTCCAGCAAGCCCAATCACCCCGGGGCAAGTCAACATATGCCTCACTGAACGTTGCAGCCTTCATCGTTATTGAATACAATGGTCGGTTCGCCATCCTCATCGTCATCACCGCCACCAAGAACGATCTGCTGATGGCCATGCAGTCGTTGCGCCAATTGAGCAAGCAACGCCCTGGTTATGAATGCGTCTTCCCGACCTGTATGCCAGGGTCAGCTAACATTATAGGGGACTATGGACTCAGGAACTGACTCACCACCTTTCCTATCCATGTCGTTCTGAGACGTGATCTGGTACTGCTCATGCATGGCCTTGCGACTCTTAAGCCCATTCTCGGCAACTTCATCGTCGTCGTCGTCATCATCATCATCACTGAGCGAGGGATCGCGAGGCACTGCAGGAGGCGAGGTAGCAGAAGGACGTCGCGGCCGTCGTCTCCGTCCGAATCCTAGACTGGAGAGTCCACGATCAGCGGAGTGAACGCCGACGCCCTTGCGAGCATTCCGTTGCGCGTTAGCATCTGGCGAAAATATCTTAATCGTGTGATCGATGCCGGAAACCGCCATTGTTGGTTCGTAAGGGTTTCCTGTCTGATTTAGTATTCATCAAATCTGCTCCAATAGAAAGACTAACCTTGAACCACATTGACAACCTCGCCGTCGCCTTCCAGTATATTGACAAGCTGGGCTGTTTTCCGGTCCCAGATGAATACGTGTCCGCAGTCGCTGCCACTGACCACATACTCGTCGTTCTGACCAAAGAAATTCACATCCTTCACTGTCCGAACGTTGCAGTGTCCAGTGTAGACGCGGGTATGTGGTGCGCAAGGTACGTGAGATTCGACGCGTTCCCGAAGGTAGCTGCGGTCAAAGTCGGAACGCCAAAGGACGCGACCACTTCGTGTCCGTGCAAGACCGTTTTCATCAACATCCTCTTCATCCTCTTCTTCATTCTCTGATTCGACATCACCATCAGAATCCTCATCATCTACTTCACCTTCGTCATCGTCCTCCTCCACCATCTCCTCAAGGTTTTGACCACTTGTCTCGCTACCGCCGACCCCTTCAGCACTTGAAGGCCGAACGGACGCCGAGCCTGTTGTCGTTTGGTCAGCCCATGCACGACTCACAATCTCAGCATCTAAGACAACGTCGTCTTCCTCAAGCGGATCGATATCTTCTTGGCGTTCACGGTGCTCACTCTCCTCGGCCTGAACACTCGGGTCTGCTAATCCGCTTCCGCCAAACGCCCGATCTACGGTAGAAAACCGTGTTCCTCTTGCAGCATTCAGCAATAGGCCCCTGCCAATTTTGAATGCCCAGTTTCTCACTGCAGCTGCGCGATCTTGCCCTTGCAGATCGTTTTCCACTGACACATCGCCAGACGTAGGTACGACTGCTCCGGTCAGATCCATGAATGGAATCTTTACAGCCCTGCTGAACGCAATGACGGCGGCCTTCTCAGACGAGAACAAAACACGTGTGTCGTCCGTCTCGAACCTCGACACATCCACATTGACGATCGGATCGTCACTCGCCAATTGAAGAAGGTACGGTATGAGAATCTCGTCAATTGCATCGGAATCAGGATCTGGTGGAAGCGGCATGCGGGAATTCGAGCTCGGGCTTGCAAAGCCATCTAGGACAGACTGTACTCCGCTATCGAGCCATAGGAGGATGGCTTTGAGAAAGTCGTATGCAAACTGTTCGTGCTGAGGTATCTGTCTTTCGCCGGGTGCGTGCTGGATGAAAGCAAAGTGTTGAGCGATAACAGCATTGGCGTCTCCGCCCGTTCGCAGCTGTCCTCCAAGTATACGTGCAAGTGTCCCGGCAGCCTGTACGAAACGCCGGAAAGAGCTTCGTTGTTCACGAAGTTTGTTCTGCACAGCAACGTCAACTGGTGAAGGATCAATCGGATAACCCCAAGTTCTGATCGTTTCATCCATATCAGGTAACACAGAAGCCGCAAACCCAAGCACAGATGTGAATACCGCCTTGTGGGCGGCAGGACTTCCGGCGTCAGCGCCATGAACTTCCGAAAGATTGAACATCTTGGAAAGTATCCCGACGGTGGTTTTCGCGATGCGATAGTGATCAGTATCCTGGATTGCTGCCACCTCACTAGGCGTCAAGGGGCTATCTGGAGCTTCTACGCGGATTTCTTCACTCTGCCCATTGGCATAATTGACACGCAGCGCCAAACCCTCTTCCGAGCTCTCTGTACGTTGGCGTGATCCAGCCCGGTTCGCGCCCTCTTGCGACAAGATGCTGGATTTTGGTCGTTTTCGTTTTCGACTCTTGTCCTTGACCCGATGTTTGGAAGGCGCAGTTGATGGGCCCGGTTCTCTCATCTCTTCTGAGGCGTCTGGGCTTCTCATCATGTCAAAACTGTAGATGTAGTCTCCAGACCAGCTGACTACTAGCTCGTTTGGGTTTGCATCGCTGATCTTGCATGAGGTAATATGTCCATTGTCACGGCGCTTCATCTTCTGCTGCCCATTCGGAGCAAACTTCTTGACGCATTGGGTGGCTTTGCCTAGCATTTCATCATCGTGCTGCGCTCCGCCACTCGCGAGTTTTGCGCCCTGTTCGCGGAGCAGATCCCTTCCGAGCATCCGGCGGTCGTGGAGAAAGCAGTGTAAATGCGCGCCACCAAGGGCGATGTAGTGCGGTTGTGATGGCGAGCACGAGACGGTATTCAGATCCAAATGATACCGGCTGTACGATATCAGGGGCGGAGGGACACTGTCTGATGCATCGCTGCCTGCAGCCCAGCTCGGCATCATGCTGTCCCGCTGTGGCGGGTAGACCCTCGAAGGCTGTCTCACATCCCACTGCCTTACATCGCCGTCTTCGGAGCAAGTGAGAAAGTAAAAAGGTGTGTCTTCGGTCACAATTCGCTTGACTGTGTCCTTGTGGCTTCTGAATGCCTTCGCATTGGTATCTCCCTCAGTCAAGGTCAGCCCATCCGGCGCGCCGTGGATACCGACGCGTCCCCTCGCTCCTTGCAAACGGTCCGAAGCTGCAGAGCCAAACGCCGAGTGTCCCGAGTGTTCGATATCGAAGATGCGTACGTCATCGGTGGCAGAGACGATGGTGCGGTCGTTGGAGTAGGGCATGAATTTCACAGAGAAGATGTTGCTCTGGTGGCCCGTCAGGATGGAGGTAGTGAGACTGAATTGGGATGTAGAGGACTCGGGTTGGTAAGAGTGAATGTTGATGCGGTGGTCGTCGGAGCCTGAAGCCAGCAGACGGCCGGATGTCGACCAACTAAAGCGGTCAGTACAACACGCAGATGGCTCGCGGAGTGCAACGGTACCAGAGAGCGTTGACGCATCCATTGTGGCCTTCCAGCTCGTTCACGATGTCCATGTCCTGCGCCCATTGTCTGTCGCCGTACAAGCCGAGTACGCTGGAATACCTCTTGTTGCGACCGGTGGCGAGTTCCCGCTCCAACAGGCGGTCGTATACGCTATATTTCATGGCGATAGAGACCTCCTGCGTGCTCGTAGGTCTAAGTGCGGAGGTGTGTGGCGTGTGTTATTCGCGACGAGCGCCGCAGATGCAGACGTGTCTCGCGCAACGGAAGCTTCGCAGGAAGCCCAAATAAAGGCGGAAAGAAAGTCCACGGTAGCGGGTCGTACAACGGGGTGAGAGGATCAGTCAGGCGGGACGCGGTCGAGGTAAGTGCAGCGGCGAAAGAGGGATGCACGCATGGCGCTCTCACGGGGCTTGTGCGTGTCGCGGGACGTTGGACGTGGTGGTGGTGTTGAAGCTGCGGTGACGTTGATCCACTGCTCCAGTTCCAGAGCTCCGCTAATTCCCCGCTATGTGGCACGCTGGTCGCACTTCAAGATTATTCAGCACTTTGGCCAGCACTTGTTCCTGCAAGTTCTGCATTGAGCCCTGCTAGGTCTACGAAGCACAGAGCTTACGAGATCCGAAAACCACGCACCCCTCTGCGCCCGCGAATGTGAATGTTCTGTGTACTAGGTGCGATGGCTGACAGGGTTGCCCTGTCATGCAGCTACCCGCAGCAAGTCCATGCCAGAGTCGGCCCCGGCAAGTCTCCACGGGTGGGCGTTGTGCTTGTACGCGTATGCGTTGTCAAACTCCCTGCGCAGCAAATCAAGTACAAGATACATAGAGGTGACATGCTCTGGAGCACATTGCAGCCCCATGGCGGCGGTAGAGGGACGCCGGGAAGTCCTGGAGCGATATTGCACGTACGGCCATGTCGCGGCACACAGATGAATGAGAGGAGAGTACGACACAAGCTCTATTCTGGTACCTGAGGATAGAGGCCACCTGGAGCTTTTCGCAGGCGCGATTGGCGTGAGCAGCTTTCGTACGCGCGTGGACGGCGGCAGGCGGCCAGCAAGCGCCTCTGCCCCGCCAAACCAAGCTCGAAGACTCATCCACCGCGCCAACACCGACCGATCTTCGCTGCTACTGCTGGACCCACTGCTTCTATTTAGACGTTACAACGCCCCAGGGACGCTGCAGCGATCCCTCCCCTCCACCACCACGGCACAACCAACGTCCTCCCCCGACGCCACCGCCCTTGCGCCCGCCCACGCCCACGCAACGCCACCCCAGCTGCGCATCGCCAACGAGCTCACCACTGCGAGCGCCATCCTCTTCGACCCGCAGCACACCAGCCGCCCGCCGCCCAGCAAGCTCCGCCCGACCCACGCCGGCACGCTCTCTGTTGCCAACCGCACCGACTCGTCCATCAGCGTCCGCAACCTCGGCGGCGGCCAGACAGCGCCTTTCGCCGCGACCATGGACAACCGCAGGCACCCCAGCTCCTTCCAGCAGCTGGAGAAGCTGGGCGAGGGCACCTATGCAACGGTGCGTACTTGGCTGGCTCCGAAGGGCACGAGGCTGACATGGCGCAGGTGTTCAAGGGCCGCAACCGCCAGACGGGCGAGCTCGTGGCGCTAAAGGAGATCCACCTCGACTCAGAAGAAGGCACCCCATCGACGGCTATCCGTGAGATATCCCTTATGAAGGAATTGAAGCACGAGAACATCGTCCTGCTGCACGACGTCATTCACACCGAGAACAAGCTGATGCTGGTCTTCGAGTACATGGACAAGGACCTCAAGAAGTACATGGATGCGCGCGGCGACCGGGGCGCTCTCGACCCCCCCACCATCAAGTCCTTCATGTACCACTTGCTCCGAGGCATCGCCTTCTGCCACGAGAATAGGGTCTTGCACCGCGACCTCAAGCCGCAGAACCTGCTCATCAACACCCGAGGCGTGCTCAAGCTGGCCGATTTTGGTCTTGCCCGAGCCTTTGGCATTCCCGTGAACACTTTCTCCAACGAGGTCGTCACACTATGGTATCGCGCGCCCGATGTCCTACTTGGCAGCCGAACCTACAGCACCAGTATCGACATCTGGTCCGCGGGCTGCATCATGGCCGAGATGTATACCGGCAGACCCCTTTTCCCAGGAACCACCAACGAGGACCAGCTCCAGAAGATCTTCCGCCTTATGGGCACGCCTTCGGAACGCTCATGGCCCGGCATCTCGCAATTTCCCGAATACAAGGCTAACTTCCCTGTATACGCGACCCAAGATCTGCGCCTGATCCTGCCCCAGATCGACCAAGTCGGCTTGAGCCTCCTCAACAGCATGCTCCAACTGCGGCCCGAGATGCGGATATCGGCTTCTGCCGCCCTCAACCACCCCTGGTTCAACGACCTGCCGCAACGGCAGCAGCAGCATGCTCAGGCCATGGCCGCCGCGCAGGCACAGGCTCAACAGGCTCAGATGGGAGGCTACCAAGTTCCGCAAGGTGCCTACTGAGCGCTGAGATGTCGCTCTTGAGTATTCGAGAGTTGACTAACGCGATGCTCCCAGGTTTCGGGACGCAGTCTCCGACCGGTCCGCTTGCTCAGTTTTACTTCGGGCTGCATCAGCCCTAGGGATGCGCCATTGCTTATGTCGGCACTCTTCGATTATCTACTATCACTCATGGGACACACGATTGTTTCTTAACAACTCGACATCTCCGCATCTGCCCGAGTTCAACGAGCAACGACATTCCATCCACAGACATCATATCACTCAGTCTCTGTAATTATGCGAACGTTCTCGACAGGAATACCTACATCATAGGAGGACCGGCGTCAAGGAGTTGTCCCTCGGAGTACCCTTTTTGTGTTACGTCCCACGTTATTCATAGGCATGCAGTGAGCACTATCTGTCCTCTTTTCATAACTCGGAAGCAATGATTTGGTAAACAGGGCAACGATAGCATACATTGGGCAATACAAACAATTAAGACGCTTGCCTACTCGCTGCGTCTCCCTCGGTTTCACAAGTCTTTGGCTTCAGGGACGTGCTAACTGGCGACTTATGCTGTGCCAACTTTCCTCATCCACATCGCTTGTGCCGTACTGTACACGGGTCCTAACTTCACCTGATACGCGTCCACAGCGTCTACAAATGCCCATCCGGATACACTACAACCATTCCGCCCATTAACCTAAGTCGGCAATAGAAGGTAATTGACGGCAATCGATGGCAGCAGTGCCCCAATCAATCTTGCTGCTCCTACGCAAACTCGAATCCCAGCGCGGCCCCCAATCCCCTCTGTCTTTACGTTACCCACGTTGCTGCTTACGAGCTGCAAGCTACTAATCAACTGAAAGCCTCGCTTGCACGCCAGATGTGAGTAAGCTGGCGTAATGGTGCTGCTGACGAATCAGGGGGAGGCGATTAGCACTAGCGCTGTGGCCGGCTTTGTTGTTGCTTGGTAGCTTCGCCGGGAATTCTGTAGAATTCTTAGGGCGGTATTTGGTATTTGGAAGGGTGGGGATGGGGTTGTGTAAGCGGTGGGTATATAGAGGGTCGGGATGTTGTAGGTGGGCGGGACTAAACAGCGCAGCAGGACAGCTACATACACTTCACACAGCAAGCCGACCACACATTAGCACTGCCAGCCATGCCTCTCTCCACCTCTACCGAAACCGTTGAAACGAGCCAGGGTCTCGTCGCCGCCATGCGCAGCGCCCAGCCCCCCAACACGTCTCAGTCATTCCGTCCAGCCCACGCCAAAGGCCATCTACTCAAGGGTACGTTCACGCCCACGCCGACCGCCGCCTCGCTCTCCTCTGCTCCGCACTTCGCACAACCCTCCACCCCGCTCACCCTCCGCTTCTCCTCGTCCACTGGCCTGCCATCCATAGCGGACACCGAGCCCACCGCCAACCCGCGCGGCCTCGCCATTCGTTTCCATCTCCCAGAGGGAGAGGACGGCAAGCGCCGCCACACCGACATCATCGCGCACAGCACACGTTCCTTCCCGACGCGGACAGGCGCCGAATTTCTAGAGCTGCTACGCGCGCTGGGGGCGGGCGGGGACAGCGTACCGCAATTTCTAGCAAAGCACCCCGAGACGGTGCGATTCTTGGAGGAGCCGAAACCGAGTCCTGTGAGCTTTGCTACGGAGCGGTACTATGGGGTGAATGCGTATGTTTTTACGGATGGACAAGGGAGGGAGACGAGCGTGAGGTACCGCGTTGAGCCTGTGGCGGGCGTGGCGACGCTGGGTAAGGAGGAGCTTGCGGGGAAGAGCAAGACATATCTGTTTGATGAGCTGGCGCCGCGGCTGGACGGCGGGCCTATCCTGTTCAGGTTGACGGCACAGGTTGCGGCGGCGGATGATGTGACGGACAACGCGACGGTATTGTGGCCTGAGGAGCGGGAGATTGTCGAGCTCGGGGAGATCAAGATTGAGAAGGCATTGGAGGAGGAGGCGTCGCTGGTGGAGCAGAAGGGGATTATTTTTGATCCTGTGCCGCGGGTGGCTGGGGTGCGGGCGAGCAAGGATCCGTTATTGGATGTGAGGGCGGATGTGTATCTGATTAGTGGGAAGCAGAGGAGGGAGGCGGAGGTTGCGAAGGCTTGAAAGGGGTTTGGGGTTGGGATAGCTTTCTGCCGTTTTAGGGTTCCTGAGGAGGTGCTGTGGTTGTTTTGCCGCTGAGCGGATCAGTAATTTGAGCACCGAGAGGTGGACTGGCCTGTAAGGCATTGTTCTACCGTTCTGGTACCCCTGGGTAGAATCTGTGATTGTTTCATAGCTGAGCAGATCAGTAGAAGTTGCCTTCCCTCTCCGTCCGCAATGGGTGTGTGATAAGATGCATGACTTGAACATTATCCTTTTCGTGGAGGCCATTCGAGCAGCACCTGAAGTGATCCGAGCGTTTTGCCTCATGCAGGTGACTGTGATCATCCCGCTGTCAGGGTGTCTCGCGCACGTGGTAGGAGTTCGCGAACGGGGCCAACCCCGCTTCGTGAAACGAACTTACAACGCCGCTTAAGATCTGGACTACGCGGCGCACGGCAAACGATTCGTTATAGGAAGAAGTATCCATGGCCAATATCTGAATTGGGTCAAGTTGATTGCGGTTCTTTCTGGGCAAGGTGGATCGTCAGCTCGTGGTTTTTGTTTGTGGCGTACGCAGATGTAGCGCAAACATGAATGGTATCCTAGGACCATGTGGCCGCTATGCGTCCCTCGAAGAGGCCAGGTACAGTAGCCAAGATATTCGGTTGGAACATCACGCACTCGGTATCCTATCACTATTGATGCTCGATCTTGCGCCTGCTCGTGGCGATGACCTTGAGTCATTGTCGCTACAATTATACTACGACGTTGGAGTAGATGGCCAGTGTTTGATATCCAAACGTCGATTGAAAGTCTAGTTGCTCAATCTTGTAGGAAACATCACTTTATGATCGCGTCAGTCGGTATGAGTGGCGCTGAAGATCAAATTGTGATGCGGATGCTCCGACGCAGACTTGTGTGCTGCGATCGTTACAACCCCCAAAACAGCATGTTGACCGCGTGTGGCTTTGCTGTTGCTTCATTCTCTCAACCCTGGTCACGTCACTTGCGTGTATGTATCCAAGGTTTCGGTTGCGGGTATTCAGGTACCAGCGCAGGAAGTCGTCCATGAACAGGGAATCGACGGCGAATCCGAGCCGTTATGCGGGGTGCAGACAACCAACGGCACAGTCGACCAGGAAATCGCGTAGCCCCTGCAAACGTAATATTTTTTCCTACCCAATGGCGCGCTCGAATAGTTCTTGGTACTGCACAACAAGCATTTTGCATCACAACAGGATGCTCTTGAGGTCTCAAATGTCGAAGGATTGATAGCAGTTCTGACTGCAGTATCGGTTCATGGACACTTTTAGCCGAAAGTCAATTTTTGGGCTACGCGTCGAAGGCTGCCAACGCCATGTCTCTAAGCGTACCATATGACCCTTACGCAAGAAATGAATTCGAAGTTGGTTTGGAATTGTTGATGCTGCGAGCATGAGATAAGATCGAGCCACCGGGCAGCTGGGGCAAGCGAAAGTGGTGTGTGAACGAGGCAGATAACAGGCCCAAGGCGCTGGCATAGCCCGCGAGATGAACGCCCCAGGATATGACTGAGCACGGCCCATCATGCATGCGGGAAGGTTTTGTATCACGATCCAGTAAGGCTGGCCGAGGTCGTTCCCGTGCGAAAACACCTCAGAGCGGAGCGTTGAGGTGGCACGGCAATGATTGATGCGAACACGTCGCACAAGAGAGAGCGCATTGTCTTTCGATGAAGCATTGCGAGCACGGCCGGTAGCACGCTAATGATGGGGAGGTAACAGTGGAATGTGGAGTTTGAATCTGCATGTGTCTGGTAGGCGGATATGAATAGGTGGGAGCGACGGGTTGGTTCGCCAATGACAGCCCCCCTAGTGAGCCACTAAGCCGGTGAGCTGCCAGCAACATCTTGGTTGTCGGATTTCTTGTCCTCACAGGGGCTGGCATCGCTCGTGGCATGGATGACAGATGGCCGTATCCGAAACTGTCCTCGATGATCCTGGTCAGCCGTTCTATACTTCGCCCGACTGCAGCTATAATGGCACCCTCAGCCTGCCTCCAACGCAAGCCTCCCGACGCCATTGCCCAGCTATAGGCCGAGACATCCACGATTTTCACTAGTTTGAATTCAAGTCATGCTGAGGAAGTGCAGACGCCGGCTTATGCTAAGCGCGTGCCGGTATGCATGAGGATGGGACGGGGTGCGTGCCTCGCGTATATGTATACACTGTAGTGTCGCAAGGTCAGTGCTACTCCCGCACTGTCACTTTCTGTAACTTGCGAGCCTTGCAATTTACTGGACAGGCTCCTGTTGCTACGCAGAGGACGACGTTGTTCACCTTTCTTGTCGTTGCCCAGGTAGCACCAAAGCCGGCGCCACTTCCCTCACCAGCTCCATTTGCTGCTTGTGTCACGTTACGTCAAACGCACTCCCTGCGCTGTACTTCACGCGCTACCCGAACCGGTATAGCCAAACGCTCCTCGAGGACGAACTCGCGGCATAAGCGTGCCAGGTGAACCCACATTCCGGTTGCGCGTGTGGAATTGCCGCCGACCTTTCACTCAGCCGCCTTTTTCGATTCTCGAAGCTGTCAGTCTCTCATTAGCATCCGGCACGCACGTGAGGTAAGCTCTCTCAGAGAGCTATCGTACCTCCCTGACACCCTCTCGAGAGGCGCGACCAGCAGAAGCTTTCCTGGCGTGCTGCGCTCGTTCATGCGGCAGCCCGACTCGAGACAACCTCACGACAGCCCTACCGCACAGGGTCAGCATATTTTCCATCGCAAGGAACCCGTCAACATACTCTCGCCTTCCCGTGCTGGTCCATGTGTCCGGTCACCTGAAGTGAGCCCGGCGTGATCTTGCCGCCGCCCATTGCATCACAAACTTCTCCAGGCTCTGGCAATTTCAACAAAGCGCTATCCCCCACCGCTACTCGCTGGCTCGTTCCTTATTTCGCCATGGTGTTCTCCGCGAGGGAGATGTTGGCCATTCAGGTCTCTGAGCGGACCATGTCTGTTCTGAGCATTCTAGGTTCACTCTTTATCATATCAACTTTCCTTCGATGGCACTACTTTCGGAAGCCTATCAACCGCCTAGTCTTCTACGCGTCCTTCGGCAACATGCTGACCAACATCGCCACTCTGATTTCAACTTCTGCCCTACCAAGCCAAAGCGCTCCGTTCTATGCTCTGTGCGAGTTCCAAGGCATCTTGATACAATGGTCAGTTGACATATCAACACCAAGACTCATGCTTACGCCCATCAGGTTCATGATGGCAGATACGCTCTGGGTGTTCAGCATGGCGTTGAATGTTATGTTAGTGTTCTTCCGTGGGTATGATTCGAGACAGCTCCTCCGACTCGAGAAATGGTACCTCCTGTTCAGCTATGGTGGACCCGGAGTAATCGCCATCGCATATATAATCATGAACCATCATGGTCCGAATACGAAGAAGGTCATCGGTCCTGCAACCATCTGGTGTTGGGTTGGCAAAGACGTCGAATGGATGCGAATCGCCTTCTTTTACGCACCTATCTGGTAAGCACACAGCTGATGCCGTTATCCGGCCAGTAGTTTGACAGCAATTAGGGTCATCATTGGCGCCACGATGTGTATCTACATCGCCACCGGACGGCAAATCTTCAAGAAGCGTGCAGAGCTCCGTTCCTTTTCCAAGATACCTGACCAAGAGCTCGGCACCACGCTCACTAATCCTTTTACCGCAATGGACTTTCGAAATATCAAGGTTGAAACCGAGATGAAGGTAGAAACATCATACAAGACCACTTCTAGTGATCAAGACTCGCTCGCTGCGTATCCGCCCTCGCGTGGCTCGTTTTCCAGCACCAAGGAGTTGTCCGAACCAGCGGATATTTCACCACCTTCCATGCCTTTCGACAATACAAAGACCAGCCGGCGCGAAGATGGGCCTCGCACAGGATACAAGGCCACCGCCTTCTCGACAAGCCAGGCACCAGACCCGGACGTAAAGCACTCCCAGTCCTTCACCATCCAACACAACCCCAACCGCCGCCGTACCGCCGCAACGGAAGGCAACGCGGCAGCATGGGGCTACTTCAAAGTTGCCTTCCTCATGTTCGCCGCCTTATTTATCGTCTGGGTGCCCTCAACCGTAAACCGCCTCCAGCAATTTATCGACAAGGAACATCCCATCTTCGGCCTAAACCTGGCCTCGGCCCTGGTCCTGCCTCTCCAGGGCTTCTGGAATTCGATGATATACATCTCAACTACATGGCCCGAATGCAAGCGCGCGTTGGCGGATACGCTGGATGCACTGTCCAGCCGCAGGACTGCACGCAGAGATCAGCGCCCATACGCAAAGAAAGATTTCAATACGTCGACTACGAAGGAGGTACGGGGTTCTGAGGCGCCGATACCGCTGGGTGCGGTGCGGACGAGGCCGGAATCACAGCGGCATCTGCAGTACATGTCCAGCGCGGAGAGCGTGAGGGCGGCCGCGGGTTGATGCGAGTCACTCATTGTGCGAATCCCGGCTGAGAATGCCTGTGGTGAAGTCTCGCATGTGCGTTGTGCTGTTGGACGACAGTACCGTGCGACGCAACATTGTTGCGCAGAGTAGGGAAAATGATCTCTACAGATGCGCGGAAGATATTGTGTATAGCGAGGACTGCGATCGATCTTGTAGCATAGTCGGGCTTCGGCCAAGCAATGTGAAGCTGCTTTGTATATAAAATGATGGGTACGCGTCTGAGTGAAGTCATCGACGTTCGTCGTCGTCGCCAGTTGGGTGCACGGAGTGTATCGTTGTGCCTCGCGCAACCACGTCGCAGATATGGTCGTGACCGGGATCCGGTACCATATGCAGCCATATTTTCCCTACCGTACGCATACACCGAGTGCAAGTACAATCTCCATCCCGCGCTGCAGCACCCCCATCAGCGTACGGCTTTGGTCGATGGCTCTGTATCATCGGGATCCAGCTTCAAATGGTCATACCCGCTGCCACACCTAGCGAATCGTCGTACGGACCTTAAAGATGCATCTCAGTGAGCCAGATCGACTGCATCTGCTTCAACAAAAGCGTGATTATAGACTTTCACCGCGTATAAACATTTCCTCGGCACCACTTCCGCAATGTATTCGCAAATGCAAGATCATCCTCCAGTGGTACTCTTGAACCACTGCTTTAACGCTATGTTGCTAGAGTAAAAACTGCACATCACTTACGTATGCGCGCATGAGCAGACGCAGGATGTTGCCAACACAGTGTATGAGCATGAAGCGCGAGTGTGTGAGAAGCCTCTCTCAAACGTTCCGTAGTGCCGTGGAATACAAATTGTAGAGCTCTAGTGCGGTGGAGATGAGTTTCCTCACATGTACAGCACATATACTAGTCAACCTTGCATTGCCACGATTATGAAGGCGCTGCCCGGCGATCACCCGCACGCAATATGCCACCGGCATCTACACCGGCACTGCACGAAGCATCTCCGCAACCTTAGTGTGGCTACATGCCACACTTGTGGTGAAGAGACTACTAAAACAAGCACAAAGGCGGGGGCCTCGTTATAGCGCTGGTTTGCCTGGTCACTTTCGATTCCGTGAGCTTGTTCCATTGTATCATAGACATTCGAGAAGTATGTTAACCTCGGGCACCGCATTGGCCCCGTCATAGCGTGAAGATCATTGGTCCAAGGGATACGAGCAGAGTGCTTAAGTTTGATAGAGTCCGCAACACCGTTTCCGAAATAGAACGGACTTCTGCACTCGTTTACAGAGCTTATACATGAATTCGTCCAGATGTTGCTAAGTCCAGCGTGGAGGAAAGCGGGATTTGGCATCATTTTGGCATCATTCAAGTCATAGAGCCGGTACATGACTTGGGTTGCATAATGAGTCTGATTAAGTGTATGCCCCAGTGGAGCGATCTCTAGTATAGCAGAGTTCATGTCATGTGGATGCTGCGCTGAGGCGTCTAAGCTGTACAAATTGTCGACTCTTGACGCGCATTTGCGAGCCGAAGCAGAACGCAGTACAGGCGCCAGTGTGGTGTCACGTCTCGCTTCTACAGCCTCATTTTTGGAGCTATTTCGACCGAGTATCAATCCTAATGGCCACAACTCTTCAAGACCTAATGCGTCGAAGTCGCTCGAGTGGTAGATTAGCTTCGGGCTTTGTACCTGGACCTGCCCGAACTCCAAACGCAACTCGTTCTTGGGTAATGTGATCGACGGAAGACCTTCGGCTTCTTGTAGAAGCGCTGAGGTCCCTCGTACGTGAAACATGGCGTGCCTCATTCATGTCTTTCAGGCGAGGATCGCCTGAGATCACCAAAGGGCCGAATGCTCACCGCGCGAGAAAAGAGGCCATTGCCAAGTGACCTTTGGGCCGCCCATCCTTTACCCGGTGTGGCCAGCGCTGCCACTGGGCGGTCAGATATCACGACACCTGGATGAGGCTCTGTGGTATCGGAGGCTCCGGAGGCTCCTTTCACTACTGTCGAGCTTGTGGCTCTTGTCCCGCGGTGCATACCGCCGAGCGGCTCCGGATTTACGTCTTCAAGTTTAAAAGCAAGTTTGTTGTACTGGGAGTTGTCAGGAAATAGGCTGAAATTGGTGGCATTGTTTTGCGCCAAGTGGGGCATTCATACTCTGCGCCGTACCAAGGGACGTTGCATGCGAGATCTGAGGGTTGGAGTGGGTCTACACATGTGCAATGATGTCAGCATGGGGTTTCTTACGCGCCCAACGATGCCAACGCATGATATCGCGGGGTCTCTTGGCGTTGGGCGCGTTCGGACGCGTTGACCAACGGACAGGTCAGTGCGATATGGCCCGTGTTCAGTTAGCCGCGCGGGAAATCGGATGATTGGCGACGACGCAGATGAGGCTGAGATCCGAATAGCAAACGATGTCGAGAATGTGAAGACGGTGAGACTGAAGCGGTCAGCAGAGTGGGGGCGATGTCGCAGGGGTTACCTGAGTATGGTGCGAGTGAGAACTGAACTTCTGCAGACGCGTATCTGCCGAAATACCACCTTCATGGACGAGAACAGTGTTGACTCCGTCTGTCCCTCATTGCACGATATTGCCAGAGGCGGCATTGGTATCCTTGTCCGGCACATGTGCTTGAATTGAGATCTGCTACGCCAGTTGTCTTCTCTCCGTGAAGGCTCAAAGCATAGCAGACGCGAGGAATGTCAGACGAAAGTGACAGCAAACGATGGCTAGCCAAAACATAGGCCGGTACCGGAACACCGAAAATGTAGTGGCCATACAATCTGAGGAGGATGTGAATCGTGGTGGTGGTGAGATCGTATTCGGCTGCCGACGTACAACAGGGTAGGGATCTTCCAAAGCAGGGATATTCAAGTCCGTGCGCAGCTCGACCAGATGCTGCACGGTTCACAAACAATCACGTACATAACAAGCGTCGAAAACCGAATGAACCCCGCGCGCGGGCATTTGCTGCAGGTCAATTGGCGGTGAGACATACTGTTAAGCCGAAGCATCTCGCATCGCACGGCAGGAAAGATCTGGAGAGGTGCTCTCGAAAAGACTGCTTGAGCGTGACGATGGGCTGGTCGAGGCCCCCGAGAAGAAAATATAGCATTCACCGCCTCGATGGCGTTCATCAGAAGGACTGTCGTTCGAGAGTGCCACAACTAAGAAGGGTAGCAATGTCCAGCCGTCGAACGTTTTCAGCTTGGAAATTGTTAGTGGCATCGTACAAGGCGCGATGCTGGCATGGTGTTGAGGGGCATCTGGTGCGGGTTTAGTCGGCTGGTGGAGCTCGGCTATGCAGCAGGAGCGCCTTCCTTCTTTTTCGAAACGGGCAAGTGGGGTCGAGGATTTTTATATCAACACATGTGCAAATTGGCCTTACCATGGTGCCATTGTTCCATGCCTGTGTTAGTACCACGCAAGCCATGTTGCTTGCACGTATCGCGATTGTGTCGCAAGGAGACCAAACCTAATGTCAGAAAACGAAGGCGTTGATGCCCGCGCAGGCTGCGGGACGTGGGTGTGGGTGTGGATGTGGTCGGCTCGCATGGCCGCGCGGTCGAATCGGGACGAAAAGGACCCTTGCCAAAGGATTCAAGGGTCTCTTCGCCAAAGCGCGAAGCTTGGTGCACCCTGATGACCGCGGTAGCCGCACGAGCGCGTAGACAGGCTCCATGCTCCTCATCGTGTGGTGATGCTGCTCTTTTCGTTTGATTGCCTGTGGTCATCTGATACCTGGGACGCCCGGCCTGTGCGGAGTGTTCGCAGATGGATAGCCTCAGGACAGGGTCCGCTGAGCATGCGGCGGTATGGAGAGCGCCCACGCCCTGGGAGCCGATGCAGGAGGGGAGCCCGTGTGATGCGACCATGGACAGGAACCGTCTTTTGGTGCAACAGCGAGGTGCCTGGTCGCAGCGCGTCCGTCGGGCACGCTGGACTACAACGCTGAAGATGATGGCCCTCTTATTAGGCTGCGCTCACGGTTCTCTGCGCTTCCTCAGCGCAGAATGGCGTCACGTACCGCTCCTGTAGGTGTGCTGCCGTCCCACATTGGAGATTGATACTAGCTAGCGCCGCGGGCCAAGGCTTTGAGGGTGCAGGGAAGCTTGACCATACGCGAGGCCCATGGCGACCTCATGCTGCGCGACGTCTGCACCGAGGCGACGCCGCGCCGGAGTTGCTGTCTGTGCGTGCCCATCGCTGCCGGCGCAGGGTTGCCGAGCACCACGAGCACCACGAGCACCGTCGCCGGGGGGGTTCGAGCGCGACGGTGGTGTGGTGAGGAGCGCTTCCCGTTGAGCATTCGGTGGGACGCGCGGGCAGCGGGCGGTCGAGCGGTCGAGCAGGCGAGCTGTAGTGCGATGGATTTCTGCTCGGTTTGTGACAGGGAGCGGACGCTGCTAGCGCCTCCAGCGCTGCGGCGGCGCGGACGAGGCCTGTGGTTGGCGCATGACTAGGCGGGCTAGGTTGTAGCGACTGCTCAGAACGACTCCAGGCCGCTGTGAGGCTGGCAGCAGCAGCGTGCATCTGCCTGGCTCGTTCGCCGCGGCTCCGTAGCACTCGTCTGGAGCCCCTTCACTCGACTAGACTCGAGTTGTGTGTTCGCGCCTTCCTCTCTGCGCGAGTCCACTCCGAACCGTCTGAGCGTGAGCGGCCCGCAGCTCGGAACAGGGCCAATCTAATTTCTCTACATACGACCACTCCCCGCGCCGCCCTGGTCGGCCTCCTCTGTTGTTGTTGCTGCTGCTGCTGCTGCTGCTGTCGACGTCTTCGACGCCTGCCACCGCCAGGCAATCCCCCCTGCAGTCGTCAGATTGTGCGTGTGTGCGGCAAGGCCTTGCCCGCTGCATTATCCTGGACGCTCGCTATCGCTGCACCTCTCTTTGGTCGACACGCGCAGCGCTTCGCTTGGCCTGCTCTTTTCGAGCACCTGCCGCCCAGTGGGCTTCTCTCCCTGCGCCGCTGCTGCATATTAGTTGGGCACTCCGCCGTCCGTTGCTCGACACCTAGGTCCGTCCCCTAGGCCAGCGGGAGGCTCTCGACGGTACGTAGTTCCCTGGTTCGACGTCGTCCTAGTCACTCGCTTTTCCTACTGCATTTCTTCCTACCCCACCAGCTTGGATACACCTCCGACAACCGTCTACTATGCCAGACAGAATCTCGCCAACCACGCACGCGCCTTTTACTGACGCTCCCAGGCTTGCAGGCGGCTGCAGACCCTAAAACGCCCGCGCCTCCACGGAATAACAAACGCAACGCGGCCGCGCCCCTCTTCACACGCTCGAGTCCTTCCTCGAACCCCACCACAGCCGCCAAACGTGGCCATCTCGCGACCCCTGCCCTTGAAAAGCCTCGGGCCCTACATGCAGTTGTTGTCTGCTAGCGAAGAACCATGGACACAGAAGATGGACAGATTTTCATAAAGGTATGGGCTTTGACTTTGAACGCGGGGCACTGCATACCACGGGTCGAAACATAGCGAATGGCCCGTCTGCTGCATTGCGTTACAGCTTCGACATGAGTCAAAGACTCAGGAAGTCAGACCCCGCCAGTTCTGTGGAACGACCCTGTTGAGCAGCCCCGCGCGGTGTGGCTTTCAAGATTTTGGCTGACAGCTGCGTAGAATCTAGCGTACTTTGTACGGACTCATGAAAAGGCACTTGCAAATGCTCTGCAGCTGCAACGGCAAGCGCCCCGCCATGGCCAGAGCAACTCCGTCTCCTCGCCCACGGGCACCACGGGCACCAGCTCTTCCTCCACGTCCAGCGTGTGGGCAGCCGCGCTATCTCTCCCCTCGCTGACTTTCACCTCGCCCACACTTAAGCCAGCGAAACTCACGCTTACGCCGCATCACCTCTTCTACCTCCTATCCCGGTTCGAGGATTTGAACATAGCCGTTGGACCTATGAATGTCCGCCTAGAGAACATACATACTGATGCGTCGCCGACCAACTACGTGTCGTTTCTCAGCACGGCCCAGCGGAACAAGCAACGGTCCTCTGATCGCGACTCGATCCACTCTGTCTCCAGCATTCGTAGCGTGATGTCTGGCATGTCTTCTTTGTGGTCATCTCTTCGCTTGTCATCCAACAGTGACGCCAAAAAGGAAAAGCAGAAAGCGCAGCTTGAGGAGGATATCAAATATCTATACTCTGCCTTCACAAAAATTCCGTGCCTGAGACTCGCGCCTGACCACAAAGCTCGCCTTATTGCTGGATATGAGGAGTTCCCGTTCGACAGCGCAGTACCCTTGCATGCATTCAAAAATGTTACGGCTCTTGAGATCTACGATGTTGACTTCCGCCAATTCTACGGATGGGACCGCCTCGCGGACAACCTGCGCAGCCTCACGGTCAAGAGAGCTGGTGTTGACGATCCTGCCGACCTTCTTATCAACATCGTTCTCGACGACATGGACAAGCGACGCCGTCGTTCGGCCAAAACACCTTCCTCGCCTGCTATACCTTGGCAAGCCGGCAGTCCCGCCAGCAAGCATGCTCAGCTTGCACGTTCGGAGTCACCTCCATCCTCACCTACCGCACCTGGCAAGCAAGCTACTAGCCCACGAAACTCGACTTTGTTGCGAGATGGATCTAGGACCTCTGTGCAACGGCAACGCAGCGTTTCGCCGTCGAGACCGGCTAGCTCTCGCCATTCGTCGACTCGTGTTTACGGGACGAACAGCGCACCTAACATTCGCCGCTCATCTGGTAGCTCAGGGTCTAGTGTGCGCTCGACTACCCCACGTGGAAGCTCTTCCAACCTTCTCTCACTAGGCTGGTTCCCATCGACCAAATGGCGGTTCCTTCGGCATTTGAGTCTCGCTGACAATGCTCTCACCAACATTCCAGCAACCAGTCTTGTGCCTTTGGCGAATACCCTGCAATCGCTCGATATCTCAGCTAACCTCTTTGCGGAAATACCGGATAGCCTTGCGACTTTGTCTTGCCTTCGTGCACTCAACCTATCCAACTGTATGATAAGCAGCCTGCATTCTTTGGGCCGCAATCCGCTACCTGCAATTACGACACTTAACCTTCGTTCTAATCGGTTGACATCGCTGGCCGGCATCGAGCGACTGTTATCATTAGAGCGCGTCGACCTACGGGACAACAAGCTGACCGACCCGACAGAGGTTGCCAGACTCACTGGAGTACCGTATATTACTGAGATTTTCGTTCACAGAAACCCTTTCTGTAAGACTCATAGCAATTATAGGGTCACCATATTCAACCTCTTCCGCAAGACTCCAGGCTACAGCGAAGATATCAAAATCGACTCTACGCTCCCAAGCAGCGGCGAACGGAAGCAGTTAGTGGACAGAGTACCGGAGCTTCCTAGTGTTCCTGTGGTGAAGCCTCCACCAGAGGACGAAACGCCTCCGCCTCCCACCCCGCCCAAGGTTGTGAAGGCCCTTGATGCTACCGATCTGGTCGAAGGTCCACGCACCTCTCTTCATCGATCGAAGAGTGGAAAGAGCGGACAAGGCTCCCATAGGAAAAAGAAGGTGCCCAAGCGAAGAATTGTCGAGCTCACGCAGGGGGAGGCCTTGCAGACAACCGAGGTCACTCCGCCTCCGAGTTACAGCACGGACGACAATCTATCAAAGCCCAAACCGACCGTATCGACAGAATCTGCACCACGTCTCGAGGCTCCCGAGAGCGAAAACAGTACAGGTGACCCATCAAAAACACTTCCGCAGCTTGACACCGGAGTGAAAGCTCCAAGCGGGACTGCGACGCAGGCCACGAGCCCTCCAGAGTTCGATGTCACCAGCGACCTGTACAAGAGGAAGATTGAAGCCCTCCGACAAGACTTTGGCAACAACTGGCTGAGCGCCCTTGGCGACGAAGGCTGGGATGCCAAATCAGTGGCCAGCATTCCCTCTACGCACAGTGGCTTCACATCGCCCATCATTAGACCAGTCATGGCCCGCACTCCTAGCCAAGGCATCGTTTCTGGGGGACGAACACTTGGCTAGCTGCCACTACACAAACTGCCCCGGAAGCTTTTTGCTTTCTAGCTGCACTTTGTGCGGCCCTTTTTGAAACCTAGCGATACCCCCGTCTGCTTTTTACATCTTATGCGCTCTTGAGACTCTTTCGAGTTGTCATGTGTGGAAGATGTTTTGCGTCTAGTTCTTTTCGGTCATCTAGATCTTTGTTCTCGCATGGTGTTGGGTGAACAAGTTTCCTCTCTCGAGCGACGAGACCACGCTCGTTGTATCGATAATCATGCCTTCTTCTGCGCTTGTTTGGCTGGCGGCATTCTTCCCAAAAAGGACAGTTATGCTGGCATCTTCTGCATTTCAATACGTCGTTGATGCATTGTACTTGTTTGTTTCTCTTGAACCCTCGCGGTCACGAAGGTTGTATCATTTGCCGGCGTTCCTGTTTGCGGTATTCCCTTTGATATGTTGGATGCAATGTTAAACGGCCTCTCTCCCCTTTGCGACGAGCAGTGGAATACAGATAAGAGCTGGCAGGCGTTGTTTGCTGCGAAGGATCTAGTTTCGTGCATAATGAGGAGTTGGAGTTGTGGTGGATAGCGCTCGGATTGGTAGACCTTTTACATCAACAAGACGAATTCTGGTTCCCTGAACAAGATGAGCAGAAGTGGTGGCTGCCACGCCTGTAAGCGAGTGATGAACCAGACGCAGCCCCTAGTCAGACATAATAAGCGGTGTGTTTGGCATGATGCGAGTGCGGGTGCCAGTGCTTAAGGTGTATGCTCGGATGCAAGGTGTATCCTTTGTAAGCATGTGCTGATTGGCGGGGGACTCGTCTCGTATGCAAGTGCCGACAGGGGTATATACAACGCCGGTGCCCAGGTGAAGAGCCGTGCACGTGATTCGCGACGTCATATTGTATACAGAAGCATTCTCCAGAACTGGTGGATATGTGCAGCATTTTGGGCGTGAAGAGCCGAGGTGAGGGAATTTGATGGGTCCAGCTGGATGCAGCTATGTCTTAGGGGGTTCTCTAGGTGCCTAGCAGAGAGCCATGGGTCGCGCGCCGCCGCTGGGACGGGGCATAAGCGGCTGTGCAGAGGGCTAGAACTGCGTGTTTGAGAAGAACAACAATCATCTGAATCGTCCGAGGGAAAAAAAAGGGTGCAGGGGATAGGAGAGAAGCCGGTTTACGCGTTCAAGTGCTGATCGCTCCACTGTTTTTCTGCGAGCATGTGTAATGTGGCATGGTAAGTGAGTGAGCTTGGAATCGACGGGCGTGGGAGCGCGGGCAAGGGCAAGTCTGATGCGACAGCGAACAGGTGGGGATCACGAGAGACAGCGACACGATGGAGTCACGACGAGGAACGATGACTGTCCGACGTGCGATATTCTAGCATTGTGTATACGGCCAAAACTGGCTCGTGGTGTTTTGCGGCATTCACAGTTTTCTCTTAGAGTCCCAGCGCCGCCCTTAGGGCCTAGTTCATAATTGCCAAGCAAGCCCGAAGCGCGAAACCAAACCTCGCCCAACTTCAGTGAGCCCACAGCGCCCACGATCGCCCCCCAAACTCGCAACCTCAATCTGCCTGCACCCTCAAGCCCAGCCCAGCGTCGCAGCATCAAGCCCGCCCAAGCAGCCCCCAGCGCACTCCGTCGCGAGCAGCCTCCACAGCGTCTACAAAGGCGGTGAAGTCACAGCAGCCCACTCCGACAGGCTCCTCCCTCGACAACAACGCCTCTCGCGCCCTCGCCCCTCGCGCACCCGCCCTCCGCAACCGGGCAGCCTCAGGTATCTTTCTAGTCAACATCTGCAATTGATCTGCTCGACCCGTAGCTGCCGACAACGTCGCGTGCTTCCGGCGATACCGCACTGCCACCCTCGACGGCCCTCGAGCTGTCCTCTGCACGCGAGCGCCCCTCAACCCAGTGTTCCATTCGCGAGTCCAGTCCAGAGGTATGTTGAGCGCTCCATTCACCGTAGCAGCGTCTGGGCACGTCCCTCCTGCCTCGTGCCCACGACTCGGCGACGCTGCGTCCGTGCCTAACGGTCGCCGGGCTGCGATTTTCCGCCGCGACCTAACGCCTCTTTTTCATAACAAACTCACTGACGCGCACCGCAGGGAACACAACACAACCACCTCCCGCGTCATTCCCCTCCCTCACCCCGCGCGAGGTACACCCTCGCCCGCAGGCTTTTCCATCACCACACCCGAGTCCGTAGCAAGTCACAGCTATGGCGGAAAATGAGGTGGACTTGGACTCTATCATAGATAGGCTGTTGGAGGTCCGCGGCAGCAGGCCCGGCAAGCAGGTTCAGCTGTTGGAGACGGAGATCCGGTACCTTTGCACCAAGGCTCGTGAGATTTTCATCTCTCAGCCCATCCTCCTCGAGCTCGAGGCGCCCATAAAGGTCAGTACAACTTTTCTTCACACGACATTGACTTCCGGGCATTCTGCTGACAACGTGAGTAGATCTGTGGTGATATACATGGACAGTATTACGATCTACTGCGCTTGTTCGAGTACGGCGGTTTCCCGCCTGAAGCAAACTACCTCTTCCTCGGCGACTATGTCGACCGCGGCAAGCAATCCCTCGAGACCATCTGCCTACTCCTCGCATACAAGATCAAGTACCCCGAGAATTTTTTCGTTCTCCGCGGCAACCACGAGTGCGCCAGCATTAACCGTATCTACGGTTTCTACGACGAGTGCAAGCGAAGATACAACATCAAGCTTTGGAAGACCTTCACAGACTGCTTCAACTGCCTGCCCATTGCCGCTATCATCGACGAGAAGATCTTCACCATGCACGGCGGTCTGAGCCCCGACCTGAACTCGATGGAGCAGATCAGACGTGTAATGCGTCCAACTGATGTGAGTTACCCTAGATGGCCAGTCTCTACCTGGTCAAGGCTTCATACTGACTTGCGCGTAGATTCCGGATTGTGGTCTTCTGTGCGATCTCCTGTGGTCCGATCCCGACAAGGACATCACTGGGTGGAGCGAGAACGATAGAGGTGTCAGTTTCACGTTTGGCCCAGACGTGGTATCGCGCTTCCTACAAAAGCACGACATGGACCTCATCTGCCGCGCGCATCAGGTCGTAGAAGACGGTTACGAGTTCTTCTCGAAGCGCCAGCTTGTCACACTGTTCAGTGCGCCAAATTATTGCGGCGAGTTTGACAACGCAGGTGCTATGATGAGTGTCGACGAGAGTCTGCTCTGCTCCTTCCAGGTCAGTTTTACTTCAGCTCACCTGCGCAATGCATCTGCTAACATCTGTCAGATCCTAAAACCCGCGGAGAAGAAACAGAAGTACGTACCCTCCAGCTTCGGTGGCAGCAGACCGATGTCTCCTCGAACCAAGAAATCCCAGAAGTAGTCCACACCATGTCACAGAATTATTACGAACTTCCCGTGCAGCAGGTTTGGGCGTCGATAAACGATGCTATATTGTTACGCCCTCCCCGAGTCGTACGCCGAATCATGCTCAGCGAGAATCGTCCCCGCATCAATCGATATCGTTCCCCACCTTCCTTTCTCGGCACCCAACCCCCACCGACCATCACGACTTTTCAGTCTCTTTCGAACACGTTCACGCGACTACGGCACGGATGCTACGATTAGCTGTCTCATACTGCATTGGCATACTGACATTGGTCATGGCTCGAGCGGCGCTTGCGCTTATGACCCGGTTAAAGAGGCAGCAGCAACGGTGTTCAAGATAGTCTTCCTGTCAGGGAAGTCATTCAGCCGGGTTTCTTCAAAAGACACGAATTACGGTCGAGCACCTTACGACTCTCATATAGACATATAAAAGGTCGGATGGGGGCGTGCGGGCTGCTAAAGACGATGGCAACAGCTAGCGATTTGGTACGGCGACGGCGATGCTTCTGTGAGCTCTCTTGGTTCATCTCTTGCGGCACTCCAGGGTCTGATGGGCGCAATTTTCTTCACGTCAGTCGTTTAACCAACACCAATCACACCAACCAATCCTCTTTTCCTTAATTTTTCCATTTTCTTTCAGTGTTCAGGTTTATCTTTGGCTTCGTCTGGAAGGTTGCGTGCAACTGAGACGAGGCGCGCGGGGATGTACGATGGGATTACGGGATGGAGGGCTGGAGAAATGAATATGCGTTCTATACTTGTTGGGGTTTGCCGTGTGTGTGATGATGCGTGATGTGATCGAGGGATGGGGGTCTACGTAATCTTGTTGCTAAGCGGAACTACGGTGATTTGGAGATGTGCCAGCGATTGAGAGCGTATTTCTTCATTGCTATTCCTGGGTGCAATTCTATAACTTTGCAGACCTCACGACACAACAATGCACCTCATACCCTCAGTGCCTTCTCACAACCAGCCCATGTTTTTAAGCCATACCGTGTTTGTCTTTTGGTAAGATGCTGACATCCACACATATAAGAAAAGCATTCTCGTTAACATCCTTGTTCTGTGGAGCGAAGACAAGACGCGCTTGTCGTATTAACTTCAGGAAGGAGGTGGTATCGTACAAGAAGTGAAGCACGCAGTATAGTGGATTTGTCTTAGTCTTGATGAGGGAACGGGAACCATTAGTTTGACCTTCGCTGTCGTGGTAGAGGCGATGCGTTGATGCCGCACCCTCTTCCAAACCCCAGAATCTTGATTGATGCGAGTCTACAGCATTAGAGCAAGTCCAGCCAGTACCTCATCTTGTGCGCCGTCGGCGACTTGCATAGTATGCCAGATTCCATTCGCCCCTGTCAAGGCCTGTGATGAAAGCATCCCTGACGTCCTGGAGTGCTAAGGTCTTGGAGCCCAGGGCTATGGCGAATGACTGCGTGATCGAGCTCCTGGTATGTATGTTTCCTGGAGTCGAGATAGACCAGCCGTCAACTAAGACGGAACAGAAGTCCGAAATATGCTTATGGCTGGCACAGTGAGAATTCAAACCCAAGAGCTTTGCGAAACTCCCCATAGTAGTAGCCACTTGAACAGTAAGCTTAGTGTTGCGGTCCTTAAGTTCTCGTGCTATGACTCGAGTGGACTTCTTGACACCCTTATCTTTAGGGATGAATGTATCGAATGAGAGGAGCTTGCTATTTCGTTCTTCTTGTCCGAAGGCCAGGAGCTCGGACACATTGACTATGTGCAAGATTGCCTCGTTGGGGATACTGGCCCAAGACTATTATACCACAGTCAGTATCATGAATGTTGAACAACCCAAGGTACTTCGGACTCACGATAAGTTCTGTAAGCCCCTTGTAGCGCCACTTGGCCTGTTCCTGTCGTTTTAGACGCGAAAGCCATTCTGACGCTTTGTAAACCTTGTGTTCTTCTTTCAAACTAGGATGGTCAAGGTTGATTATTGCCAGGCGGGCATCCTGCATGTTCTTTTCGAACGTATATTTCAAGACTTGGGCCAGGCTCTGTTTAAGATAAGACTACCATACGTAAAGAGTGCATGTGGATAATACTTACCGTGGTAACCGCGACGAAGAAAGATGCAGCACCTTTGGGATGGAAGTGCGCATTGGTCATGACCTTCAATAACTCCAATGCTCCCCCTTCTGGTGGCTGTGGCTTTACAAAGGCTCCGTTCCAGCACGAATGTCCTCGAGCGACAAATCCCCTCCCATTCTCTTCATACACTGTGTGGCTGCGACTGATTAGCACGTTCCCGAATCTCACAAACAAGAGGAATTACGAATGAGAATCCCAGACTCTATACGCAACAGAATGTGCGGGTTGTAGCGGGCGATGTCGCGGTGTGCGTGGCGACAATGGGATTGGGTCTTCTTCTAAGTCACTTGCATACGCTTCATCGGTTCCCAACTCTACTTCAACCTCATCTACACCAGCAATCTGAAGGGCGATACCGCCTAATCGTATCTGTTTCATCCTTACTTGTGGCTGCAGATTACAGACCAGTGAAGCATTGTCTGCGTCGGATGGCTTCTTCAAAACGAGTCGGTCAAAGCGATTTCTAGTGATCTCTGAACGTGCGGTCTTTGCAGAGCCTAAAATTGGGTGGGCTTCTTTCTGACGGCGTTGCAGCTTGATACCTAATTGTTTGGCTACCTCTTCGACTGCTGCTCGATCGGAAGCGAAGGTATCGGCGGGGTCCTGGATGGGACAGTTGTAGATCGCGAAGCAGAAAGGGTAGGCCTCAATGTTGTCTCGTAGATGCCTTTCCTGAGGTTTGATTTGCTTCTTCGTGTCCAGGTTCAAGCCGTGCATTGTGTTGAAGACCTGGCACAGTTTATCGGTATCAGCCTCGAAAAATCTAAAGATGATCGCGAGGTTGTAACGCTGCTCGTTGGTCCACTTTGGATGTCGCACTGGATATTCGGGTGCTCTTCTACTTTCGCGACGTGCTCGCCTCCTTGAAACGGATGTAGACCTGAAGGTTGGTTGCCGGATGGCTATGCGGTGCTGCAGTCTTCTGGAGCTAGTGTTTGACGAGGCACTCGTTGGATGGACTGTGGCGATTGTTCTTCGTGGACAAGGCGTTTCGGTGTCATCAAGAAGAGGATCTGTCCTGTCTGTATCATAGCCACTAGTCTGTGTGCATGACTGCATAGTGGCTGCGATATCCTGTGGATAATGACCTTCGCCGCTGGCATATCGTTGCAGCTGAGTGTACCATTCCGGGTCCGATATTGACACTGAGCTCATGGGCGTCAAAATGACCCGAAGGTAATCTCCTTGAATAGTGGAGGGCGAGTCCGCTCGATCATGGGGGACGGTATTATGTGGGATTTCCGCCAGTGGCGGGCGAACAGCGTCTCTGGTCTGCCCGCTTATGTGGCCTATTACATGTATTGATTAGACATGCTATAAAGTAGAAGACTGCCGCACTTACCGTTTAGATCGTCGTCAATTGACTTGCGTGGCATCATGCCGTCGGCAGGAGACGAATCTTGGATATTCGACTCGCGGTTCCCAGTCGGCACGAACACCATGACCCCGTCATTGAGAGCTTCCCAGGCGCCATCACTTGCCATCGTGTCGCAACAGGGAGACTGAATAAGATAAAAACCGAAATACTAGAATGAAAGTAACAACAGGTACACTTAAGTTAAAGCAGCCGAAGTGTGGGAGAAAAGTGCGTGTGGGTGTTCAGTTGAGGGAGAGTGGGACACAAAAGCTCTGCCGAAGCGAGTTGGGAGCAAAATGACTTTCCATCGCGACGCGTTCGCGTCGAACACGTGTCGACGTGTTAATGCGCCCCGGGAAAGAGGAGAGGACGTGGAGTGAAGGTGAGAGAGAGAGGGGGATTGCGAACGCTCTAGCCGAAGTCTTTAATTGAGCGGTGCAAGGCAGAGCCAACATGCTATCTGAGTTCAGATAGATATTTTGTCTCTCATCAATCCAAGTCCTACACAATGTGGCCTTCCGACGGCGTGGCCCCGTATATGTGCGGCAGGTGGCGATCTTTATCAAGGCAGGCGGTTGGTTTAATGGAAGAGACCACATCAAAACCGAGTGGCGAGAAGTGTGTTCCATATCCATTGAAACACACGAAACAGCTGATGTTGTCTCGATGCACGTACGTGTGTGCTCGTCAGCATCAAGGACTACTGCCCTTGGCGGCATCTCTCTCAGCAGCTAAGGATTTCGCATTTCGCAAGGCACACCCAAAGGTACGAGTATTTCTCTTCAACCCCGAGATTGGTACAACTCTACACATACAAGTGCTGAAATAATGGCCGCTACCACGAAAATCGCTTTGGTACGTGAACAGCATGTGCTACGGTTGAGCGACGAACTTCGCGCGCTAATTCACCGCGATGGTAGTCCACGCTAGCCATCGCTGTCCTTGGGCCCTATTGTTATGACAGGTACCTAGCTCTCTCCACAATCGTAAGGAATCGACCGGGACACTACGAGCCAATCAACATATTCAAAGGCCATGAAATCAAATTTCGCGATACCCACGACTTCCGAAACTGCGAGGATCTGCTGTTGAGCGAAGTCCGAGGCGTTGCTATATTATCTTGCGACCCCGGCAGAGACCGATGGAACACTGTCATGGGCACTTTTCGCCCTGATGAAAACCTCACAAGCGGGAGTCTGTGGCTGTATGATTATACAAGCACAGAGCTCGGGTCGAACGATTCTATTAAGCAGCTCGCTTTCAACGACTTCCCCCATGAAGGCGATTTCCATCCGATAGGCAAGTGACCCCAGATGTTAGAAACATATGCTGACTCTGCACCCCCAGGTATGGATCTGGACAAGGAAACCTCCATATTGTACGTGGTCAATCACGCCCAGAGCGGCTCTTGCATCGAGACATTCCGGCTAGAGGCAAACACGCTCATTGACATCAAAACGATCACTCATCCACTGCTGCACGCTCCCAATTCTATTGAATCAGTTGGCGACGGAAGTCTATACGTCACGAACGACCACATGTTCCGTTCTCGCGTCTCCCCGGTGCTGTCGAAGTTTGAGACGTTTTCAGGCCTCCCTGGTGGCACTATAGTGCACATTGATCTCAATAGAACGGAAGGTGCACAAGTAGTGGCCCGGGTTCCGTTCGCCAACGGAATTGCGAGACTGAACTCTACGACGTTAGCCGTAGCCTCATCATCTAAACCTGGCCTGTATCTGTACGGCATGCAGCTTGATCATAGCTTGAATTTTAAGGGAATGTTTAGAACACCAGCAGCTGTCGATAATTTGAGCGTATGTAGTCGCCCCTAGGCAGACACAGATCCAAGCTAACTCGCTTTCAAATCTTAGGTAGATTCTGAGGGCACACTATTGATGGCGGGCCATCCTTCCGCGCTCGAGCTGATGAAAATTAGCAAAGGCCGTCCACTTTGCAGTCCCAACAGCGATTCAGAAGCTGAAAGAATCGCTTGTGACTGTACGGCCCCGAGCTGGGTAAGTCCGACTCCTCCAGCAACTGAAATTACTTTCGGCCGAAGCACTTACATTGTGTACCAGGCAGCGCAATGGTCCGAAGAAAAGGGATTGGAGACCCTCTTCCAGGGCTCTTACTTTTGTAGTAGTAGTACGATGGTGCGAGACGTGAAGCGGGGGATTAGCTTGATCTCAGGCTTGTATGAGCGTGGAATAATGGTGATCAATGAGTGAGAACGTATGTAAGAAAGCTATCAGTGTCACGTTACATAGCGAAGCTCTGCCCAGTATAATTCCGCTTGCCTGCAGCCGTGAAGCGCACTGTCGAGTTTAACACGGATCCTGGAATCTTAGTTTGGTGGGGAGCAGACGCTCCTGTGGAACAGCGGCCCACTCGTCCCATGTTCTTGCATCAATGCCGTGCAACGTGGTAGCAACCCACTGCATCACGGCTAAAGATCCCCGAGGACGGTATCGCGACTCTGTGGGGCGGATGGGCTTCTGAATTCACACCCAGCCCACGCTCTAGACGTCATTGAGTCCTCCTTTTTCGAAGCCAAATATATACCGCATAACCTGTCCTCCTACCTATTTGCAGTACCCTTGCACATTATCAACAAACTATTTATCTTTGCTGCCACCCGTATATTTTAGGTCCAATCATGGGCGATAATGATGGACGAAAGGAGATGCATCATCAGGCGGATTGTAATAAAAGGACTATCGTTTCAGAAAGGTAGCATAAAAGGCATAGAGTTATCCTGAGGCGGTAATACGTGTAGAGTGATTCAAAGTGTGCCTTTTAGGATAAAGGAATCATGAGGATGCAGGTATAGGCTGCGCACGGCCCGTGTAGGCTTTGTGAGGGAAATCTTGGAAGACGAGAAACGACATCCTGCCTGTGACATCTCCCTAAACATTTCCTCTTCTGCATCTTCTTCGTTGTATCACTAGTGGCATCATTGCAACCATTCTTTGATTCCATCGCTACGTTAAGATGGCTGCCGAACAGGACACACCTGCAGGTGACGTCGTTGCCGATGCACAGGATCACGAAGAGGCCCCGGAACGCACGAAACGCCAGCGCACACATGCGGACGCATCGAAGCATGCTACCAGCATATCTACTCCTGAATCTCCACCTAACAAGAGACGCCGCCGAGAACCTATCTCAGCAGCAGACGACGCTACAGTCAAGGAGGCCGAAAGCTACAAGGAGAAAGCAAGGAAAGCAGAGCAGGTCCGCGACGCAACAAAAAAGAAGCGCAAAGAGGAGGAGAAGATCGCGAAGCAGAAAGCAAAGGAAGTGAAAAAGGCTCGTGAGGCAGCAGATAAGAAGCGTCAGGCGGAGGACAAGGCTGTAATAAAGGCCGTCAAGGACAAAGAATGTGAGGATAAGAAAAAGAAGACCATCGCAGAGAAGACGAAGAAGCAGGAAGAGAAGGAGCAGAAGGAGCATAGGAAGAAGCAATGGGAAGACTACTGTACGACCCACAACTTCACTGGTGCAACTCTGGCTGAGGAGCCTGGGGAATCCATCACACAAAGCGACGCGGGCCAGTATTACACGCTGAAACCGAATGAGCTGGCATGTCTACCGCATCACCCTCGGAAAAATCCTCTCTGTAAGTTTGCCAGGGTACGAAGTGAGCACTTATGCTGCTACGCATGTCTGAACGATTCGGAAATAGTAGAAAGCCTGCTTCAACTCAGAGCAGTTTGTCTTCGAATACTTCACTGACCATGTACCCCACCATTCAGATAAGAACACCACCAAACTCTTCGATGAAGATGAGGTACGATCTCTAGCATATCGCAAGTATGCGATCTTTGGCGGTGTCTCACAGAGTCCCGAGAGCACGATGCTTGCCGAAGGGAAAAAGCTATGGGACGATGAGTGAGCCTCGTTCCCATTGTCGCCGCAATCGCGACCACAGCTAACTGGCTACAGGGGAGAGCGTTTGGGAAAGGACAAGCTTGAGCTTGTTACAGCGTGTCCTGGGGGGCTTGCACGGGGAATCGACCCGAGTTTCGATGGTAATGGTGACCTAAACTGGTGGAGAGACCCGCGTGAGCTTCGTAGGCTGGGCTTCAAGAACGGAAAGCTTCCCGCCAATCGAAAGAGGGCTTCTAGGAAGAAGGCAAGGAGCGATGACGAGTCCTTCGACTACAACCACCACGAGGACCACTAGAAACACTGTTATTGTCTGCGTATTACCGTGAGCCATGGGACGCGGCTGGAAGCTGGAACGCTTGTCCCTCGATGGACGCACGTGCGGAGCTTTTCCGTGCGTGCATATCCCCCCACCCTCACTTCGTCTTCAGTGGGACCTCGGCGGCGGACAATGGATAGTCCGACCGAGCCCGACATTCTTGCCTATGTGGTCCTAGCTGTAGATTTAGTGCCTTACTGACATGTAGACTATTGATTGTGAATTCAAGCTTGCTCCTGGCCAGTTTCGGTTTCACGCTTCCATCGCTGGGGCGCCTCAGCATGCATGCAGACCGTCGAGCAGACCACCAGACCGTCGAAAAAACCACGCAGGTGACAAGATATCTGTCCGCTGCTCCTGGAGTTATGAGTGGAGTTCCAACAACGTGGTCGTGAGGAGAACCGCAGTTCGTCTTGGCAAAGTTCTAGACTCGGGGAGGGGAGCGCCCGACGCGTCAGAGGCTTTTGGCTGTGCCGCGTTACGGTTCTACGATCTGCGGCTGGCAGCTTCGTAAGACTGACACGTAACTCACCGTGCCAGGAGGTGTTTCGAATCTCGATCACACCGATCACACAATTGTGCGGCCTGCTTACCGCCTGTGAGGGTCGGCTTGCCTCGCTCAGCATTCCGCTTCCTCCGCGACCCTGTTCACGACCCTGGCAACTCGACAGCCTCATCTGTCAAGATCTGCATTTAATCATTGTCCAGCACCAATCAGTGCTCATATACTCGATGCGCAACGTGCGGACCCGCTCTACAGATGCTTCCTTGCAGTTACCTGATCAGTGCTGCCTCGGTTACGACCGCCGATGACTCCACCCCCTGCAATATATCTGCCCAATGTCAATCAACATCAACGGCTGAAATTTTTGTTGTTTCGGACGCGGCGACAGCAGGACAAGCATCGCATTGACCATTGTTCTCTTTTCGTCAGTCCTTAGGTAATTGTTACGTTCCCGAATCATCACCTTCCGAACGCTCCTTGCTTTAGATGTATGCAGGTGTGCATTCGAAATTTGTAACTCGGGGTGGCTGTATCGGAGAGATTTGCATCGGCGAGCAGATCCCATCGAATGTTCCCCGGACGGACGCTCGCCGGCCGCTATGCTCGGGCACTCGCCGACGTGGATTCCTCAATCAAACGGCGATGTTCTCAATCAAACGGCGATGTTCTCATTCGGATGCATGCCGGTGCTTCATACCAGATCTTGACCTTCAACCCGTTTGTGGCTGACCTCAGTGTCCTTTAGCTGAACGACTTCTCAAGGTAGCTTTCGGTGGACTAACGTGAAGTACAACCATGAGCTGATGTCGATTGTCGTCGGGTACGATGACATAACGAGCTCCAACTACTCCGAGGAAATCACGTTAGCTGTGTTCAGACAATTGACAGGTCCGACTGCCCGTTCCGCATGTGCAGCTGAGTCATATTAGCAGCTGCTTGGTGATAGCCGTCCCAGACGGCCGACGATACATTTCCGCCGTAATTCCACGCTGGCAAACTTCACCGCACGAACACAGGGCATCGCTGTCCGCGCTGAGCGCCGTGACTGCATGCTGTACGTTGCCACTCCGGACACGTTTTTCGCACATGGCGAAGGCAAAGGAGAACGACTGCCACCAATATTTCTTGCCACTGGTGCCCATCAATAATCTTCGATGAGAGGCAAATCGACAATTTGACTTCTCGATGGCTGTTCAATGCGGCGGGCGTGTAGTGCGCGCAACCCCTCTGCGCCGGACACCTCACCGATGGATTCCACAGCACTCTTGGTGTTGAGCTTATGCGAGGAGAACGGTGCGTGCGCACGGTAAGGGCTTGCGCACATCGCACCGACGTTCAACCTACTCTCATGCTGCTAAATTCACTGGACGGACGCGTCTGCAGGCCAATTGGCACGTGCTCGCAGCTCCCGCAGGGGCCAGACGAAACGACTCTGTCAGGCCGATGCGCATACGGCGCGCGTTCGGCACACGACGCTAGAAGGCCCCAAGAACCGGTGAGTGAGCAGCCCTAATGCGCGTCTAAATGGATCTGCAGGTCTCGTTTCGAGGCGTCCGCTAACGCGAATGGGTGATAGTTCCCTTTCCTTGCACCGGATCATAGTAATGGTTTGTGTTTGAAAAGCAGGCCTGACGGTTGAGCTTGAGCTTGAGCCAAGATATGTCCTGGTCACGTAGATGCATCATGTTTGGAGCGGTGAAGGGATGGAAACATGGCATCCCTTGAATACAATTTGAGAGTTGAGGCACCATAGATCCCATGTTCGATGACCCATGGTACAGCTTGTAGCTCCGAGACCCTTCTAGATAGCACGGCAGCATGCTTGCGAGACTCTCTGGCGGGCACTGAGGTCGCTCAGTGAGCTGTAAAACCGTAAAGCTAGAGGCAAAAGCTCTCGCGAACATGCTGCCGAGAACTGCTCATAACTATCGAATCGTTCATCCCCAAGCGGACCGTCCCTCGCACCCTGGTCAAGTGTTTTCAGAGGACCCCACTCCTCATCGCGTGACCCGCCAGCTGCAGGCAGGCCAACCCACCAAGATAACCACACGCGACGCGATAACTAACTTCGTGAAAACGGCCCACCTTTGACACATCGCAGTAGAACAGTCGAGGACTGGTTAGAACATCACCGCCTGCCACTAGAACATCGGCTCTCGGATGCGCAGCTACGACCCCATGTCCCACACCCCTGCGCCACGTTGTGCGCCGCACGTGGGTGCCACCCTCAACGACGACCAGTGCGCACATGGGTGCATCCATCTTCAGCATCTGTGCAGGTGGCGACGGCTTTCATTACGCGCTGTAGTCGCTGGGCAGCAGCGCACGCGAGCCAAGGCCGCTGATCTTTTCCGCCGATGTGGCAGATCTTTGCAACCCGTCTATGGCCGGGTCCTTGCGCCGATTCCACGCACGTTCTAACGCATGCGGTTTTAGAGGGTGCAGCGCGCTAGGTCACACTTATGCGCGAGGGCGACCGGCCGTCTGCGTGCCTGAGGAGGGCGCCGCGAAGGATCCAGGGCTGGCGACTTGCTGGGCGGTGGGCAGCGTGTGCAGGTTGGAAGGGGACGCGCAACGCGCGCGATGCGAAGGTGATTGTGTTCATCGAAACTGCTGTGGAAGATCGAATGAGCTGCTGGGCTGGCAAGTGAGACGGTGAAAGACGAGAACAAATGTATGATGTCTATGTGATGACTGCATATTGGTGGTATCATGTGAATGTGTTCCTTTTCCCTCCCAATGCTATGCGTGCTATTTTACGCTACCGTGATATGTGCCTCTCTTGTTCCTCCTCTATGTTTGATGCATGTCCAACCCCGAGAGGTCGAGCCCGTGGAACTCTACTTTAGTTAGAGATTCCCCGCCAATGCCAGAGTGTAGTCATCGTACGAAGACCCACAAAGGCTGAAAGTGCTCCGAGGCCCGCGGTGGTCGGAGTCACGATCCACCGCTTGACTCGACGCAGTCAAGTATTCCGATCGCAGTATAAATGCTGGTCGTTGCCGTTCGGTGCTGCGTCCTGTGGACGACGTTGTGATGGAAGTTGGTTGGAGGCGTCGGAGGAGTGTCCTCTTGTGGACTGTTATCCGTACTGAAGATCGATCTGGGTCGATCCGGTTCGACCCCAGTCGGCGATCATCCTCAAGTGACCAGTGTCTGATCACTATCCTCCCAATGCCACTGTTCAAGAAGCTGGCGCGCGCGGTACTCGGTCGCCCAGCCAATGTCGGATTCAACACCGCGAAGCAGGCCAAGGACTACCTGGCGTTCCCCGATGTCGCCCAAGCACTGTCCAGCAGTGAACAAGGGCTGTACGGAATGGATGCGAACAGCATCGTCGGGGCGGCCTAGCGAGATACCAACAATCTCACGGCTGTGCTTCTGGCAGGCGTCCAGGACGGACTGGTAAGAGTTGAGGCGTTCGTATACGTTGGTAGCTCCCTGGGTGGTCTGGTGAGGCTTATTCATGAACAGCTGGATCTGACTCATGTGGTAATACTGCATGGTCGATGCGCACATGGGGATGCTATACCAAATCTCAGGGAAGAGCACATTGGGTTCGCCGAATACGTTCGCAGGTCGGGGATCAACTCTGGCAGAAGGTTTGAAGGTGGTTGGCAGGCTGTCGTACCATATCTGGAATTGTCGCTGGATCGCAGTCCAGTAATCGAGTAGCGTTTTCTGGGAGACGCCAGCCCAGGTAGACTGGCAGTCCTCGCCGAAGCTGTCGCCGTACGCCATGAAGTTGACGAGCTTTCCCATAAGCCATACTAAGGAGTTGCAGATGAGATCTTCCTTCATCATGTTGTCTCCATCGGAATAGGCGCTCTCTACAGCATTGTTAGGAACGATGAAGCCATCGTCGTTGAGAAGAAGGCCGAATTCTCGCCACAAGGAGAGATCTTCGGTATCAAGTCTTGTCCGTGTCTTGTTGATATCTAGCACAGTTAGTCGAGATCTCGCGTCTAGTTCAGACGAGACTTACAAGCTGCGAGCATGTCCTGTCTAGCGATGTTCCAGAAGGTAGCTCTCCGCGCTTTGGAGACGAGTCCAAAATTGGCAGAAGAGGTGATAGGATCCGCCGCCATCGTCCGCATCGGCGACAGGCGTTCCTGGGCGACGACTAAAAGGGACTTGGCACCTTTGAGATGACGTGTCCACTCCTTGTCAGAACCGTCAAGAAACTCATAGACACAGAGGATTGCGGAAGCGGCCAAGAGTTCGTCGGTGCTTAACCCAGCTGCATTACTTCCGGATGTTCGCCGACGTCCCGGGGAACGATCGTCGGGGCCGTAAGACGAGTCGCCGCCATCTGAGTCCGAATCCGGCGAGGACAACGCATTGGCTTTGAGTGCCTTCAGGAGAAGCGAAACCGCCATGTCATAGTACTGCGTAGCTTTGTGAGACCAGTCCACTAGTTGAGTGTCTGGGTATATCTCCATTTGCGACTGTCGTGCTACACCGCCACCCATAACAGTTTTACGGCCTTGGACGCGTCCCAGGGCCTTGGCTGAGTAAGCAAGAGCAGCGTACTTGAGGAGGAGGTTTTCCTGGGCTTTGACTGGGACATATGAAGAAAAATATGTACCTAAGTCAAAGAGATCCATCCAATACCCAGGCCCTTCCGAGAACCACCGTAGAAGATGGGCAGTTTCGTAGTCACGGTCGGACATGTAGCTGGTGCAAGACGGTGTTCTCCGGCTTGTTGACATCGAGCTAGAGCGAGGGATCTGATCGGGGAGTTGGCTCATCGGCGATGCTAATTGGGGGTCGATGGGTGGTGGTGTCATGGAGAGCGAATGATGAAGCATTGGTCGGAAATGAGTGGCGAGTGCGAGTGGCGGTGAAATGGGTGTTCCTACGGATGAGGTTGGTGGTGATTGCAGCATCGATGGTGTGTCAAGAGCGGGGAGGGCCTCCAGCTCTGGAGTGTAGCACATTGGCGGATTGTGCAAGGGCCCCGAGATCGGCGTGCTGGTTGCGGTAGAGAACTTATTATGAGCTGGCCACGAGGTCACCGACCGTGGCTCAAACGATGAAGGAGAATCCGCAGAACCGATTGACATGTTGTCGAAGTCTGGATCCAAATAAGGATTGGTTGTGTTGATGAAGGTGACTAACAGGTCATCAGTAAGCTGGAGATCCCATCGTCGGGATGTGGGGAATTTACCATTCCGAGGTATGTCGAGCCAGATGGTTTCCTCGTCGAAGGTATTCCGGTATGCGTAGAAGCCCTTGAGCGAGTTGTCGTCACCTGAGTCCTCGCCATTCATTGAAGCGTTATGTTGATGGCGAAAGACGATGCCAGAGCTAGGTACGCATTCTCTCGAAGCTTTGCAGCATTGTGAACAAATAGGCTTCTTCTCGTCGCACTTGAGCTTGCGCTGACGACATGTCAAACTGTGCAGAGGATTAGCATTGCTGTATGGTGAGTAGGAGGTTGGACTTACCATCCTGTTCGTGAACGCATAGTGGTAGCTGTTGTGTAGGGTGGGCCAGCAGTGATGTGGAACACTCGCTACTTCTTATCTACTGGGTCCGCGCGGCGGGTGGCACGCGCGTGGTATATGTAGGAGGACATGGTTATGGTGTCGTTGCAATCTTGCGCTGCTTGGTGAATGCGGGGTCCCTGTATGGTTCGCGCTAAGGGTCCACCTTCACATCCTTTAGCAACGCGCCAGCTTGCAGTGGCTGCGGCGGCGATTGCATGGCTAGCGTGCAAGGTCCTGTCAAGCTGAATCGCACTCGCCCTGTGTCATCTGGGGAGGTTGCAAGCATGCGAGCATGTGCCACACGGATCCAATTGCGCACGGGTGGCGCGAGCGCAGATTTCGATTCAAGACCGAGCTGGCGCCGTGTATGCAGCCTTAGCGAAAAATATGCACGTGGGAAGACGCCGGAATATCACCGATAGCATTTACCGCTACTTCAAGCCCTTCCCTAGCGTTCCAAACTGATCCTTGAGGCCAGGGCGGCCCCTTTTTGCGAGATGCGTGAGGCCAGGGAGCCTGGTTTCAAGCCACATCTAGCAGAGCCGCCCGGAGTTGTCTCCAGCTGTTGTGAAAGCTCCTCTGCCACCACACCATCATCGGCGCATGTGCATACCCATCCAATCGCAGCTTCCGACATCCTCATCGTTTTCGAATCGAAGCCCTCTAGAAGTTCTACCGAATTATCAGCGAAACATCGTCATCGCCGCTGTCAGACCATCATTTTGCCATCTTTTGCTTCTTCTTCGGCCGTTCCGCCATTTCTTCCTCGGCCGGCCCGTCGCTGTCGCCGCCTGCGTCTGCATCTGCCATTTCCTCGTCGCTATCGCTACCGCTGCTCTCGTGATTTTCATCAAACTCCTCGCCGACCTCCGATTCAGATTCAGTTTTGAAGTCTTCGTCGACGCTCTCATCATCCTCGTCCGCACTACCACGATTGGCGACTTCGCCGTCACTAGAGGCAAGGTCTTCGTCTTGCAGTGCTGCCGCAAGAATGGCTCCGGACTAGGGTTCTCCCGTTAGTGTCGTTGTGCACACGTGGTGGCCACGGTCGGGGTCACTTACATCATCCGCCATCTCATTTTTGGTCTTGATGCCTTTCGCTCGGAAGAAGTTCTCTAACGGTTGCTGCTCCTCACTGTAGCACGTGTCAGTCATGCAGGGATCAGCGCCATGGTCGGATTAACATACCGATTGATGTTTGAGAACTGATGCTCGTTCTGACCGTTCTTCATGGTGAATGTGATGTCAAAGGTGCGACTTGCAGCCATAGCTCCCCCAACACGAGACATAGTCACCGATGCGATCGAGTCCATGCTGATGTAGGTTGCCGGTTTGGGGACGAACATGAAAGCTTTGTCCAGGCAGAACAGGTGCCCCTCGTTGGCTTTGATGGAACACTTCACTCCAGACTGCTCGTGGTGGCTGATGAAATCTCGCGAAGGCCTGGTAATGCGTTTCCCGCTTAAACCACGGAAAATATCGGATATGACTACTGAAATGGGGGCTTCGTAGTGCGACTGCAGTTTGTCTTTGTACTTTGTTTCGAGCAGGTCCTCCTTCATGTTCAGGTCGAGGTTGACCTCTTCGTCGCGCTTGAATTGCATGACCAGGAACGGGTACCGAGTCTGACCCTGCCGCAGCGGTGGGTCCAGGCCAATGACGATGAGGGAGTGCATGTCGTCGGGCTTCGGGAGAAGCATGAACTTCTTGATGGAGTCGAATTGAATCTTGTAGTCATATGTCTTTCCCCGCAACCGGAAGGAGTTCTCGTACATGTCGATATCGAAACGTCCACGAGGCGTCAAATGTAGTATCTCCAGGAAAGTAGCAAATGTGTCTCCAGCAACCTCGCCGATCTCGGCCTTCTCTATGAGCGTCTCATAGAACAAGTTTGCCGCGTTCTGTTCCTCACCCTGTTCACCATCTTCGATCTCTTCGCCGTCGTCGTTCTTCTCCTTCTTGGACGCCACGCCAGGGATGTAGAAGCGCATCTCCACCAGCTGGTCTTTCGCGCCGAGTGCCTTCTTGCCGCGGAATTTTGCGCCTCCGAGGGTGCCGTTGGTGTCGGGCCCGTTCTCGGTCGGTGCCGAGAAGTCGACTGCCACCTCGTTTTTGCCCGCCAGGTTCGTGTTTGAGATTTCGCTGTACGGTACCTCGAATGCAGGCCGGTTTGCGACGTTGAAGGATAGCTCCGCCTTGCCAAACTCGGCCTTGCCCCAGTTCCAGCCGCGGAGCGCGTGCTCCTTGCTCTCGAGGTTTATGCTGTACCAGACCTTGAAGAGCTTCGCGATGCGCTCATAATCCTGCCTGCTGTCAGCCGCCGCCGTGCGATCAGCGTTGCAATGGATCGCCTCCATACATCTTGCTTGAAGCCGTCAAGCTGAATGATGCCCTCGTTGCTGTCTCGCGAGAGCACCTTGACCTCCCACCCTCGCGCCGCGCGACTCCACTGTGCCGATATGATCTTGGACGCATCGAGCGTGAATGTGCCACCCTCGCCACCGCTTGTGGGCTTCCAACCAAAGCCGGACTCTGCGAAACGAGTCACGCCGTGCTTCTTTGAGAGGTTTAGGTAGATGTCGTTGAAGGCCTCCCTGTGAATACCCTGTTAGTCTTGAAATCTACAAAGCGCATCGCTTTGCAATGGGGCGACGTACATGTTGACCGCGGGAATTGCGCAGAGTCGACGTGCTGACGTAGAGCTGCGGTGCTGGACGCGCAGGCTGTAAATCGTGAAGTCGCGCAGCGCGACAAACCGCGCTAGCCTATCACGGCCCAGTGCTCACACGTGACCCAGCGCCCTCTTACGCGTTTTGGGCCCCAGCATCTACATCTATCACTTATGATGTTTGGTCTTGCCCCACGCCTATAGCGAGGGACGGTGCTTCTCGCGAACAGCTTTTGGTGGGGAAAAAAGAAAAAAAAGAAAAAAAAGATAAGGCCGCGTCCTTGAGTATATGAACGGTTACGGCACCCTTCGTACAGCCAGAGATCAAGAAGCTTACTCTTTGTTTGCTCCATGACCATTTGACTTACCCCAGAGCTTTCAAAGGGATAAGAGGTGAACTGTCCAAGTATATTTAAACTCAAGCTCACAAAAGGAAAGCTCATTCATAGGCAATTGAGAAACCGACCATCGGGGCTGCCCATGGTGGATTCTGAATAGATCGGTTTTCACGTTGGCAGCTGTACACCTCGATTCTAGCGCAGCTTCCGGTGTTTTTACTGGTCCTGTATCCATCTCAAATCGGCGGGACGGTGCTAGAACACAAGTCACGATCAGCACTTTCAGTTCTCCGTCCTCGGTGAGAAGTGTCAATCATGACTTCTCTCACCCCATTAAACAATTTTTTATGTATTATATCTATATTCTAGGAAACCTATACTTCCAACATGCGTGCAAGCACAAGCTGACTGCAGCATCATTTGACTACGAGGAGATCTCGGTACTGATAGGATTCCGTTCCATTGATCACAGGATCATCTGCAAAAGTCAGTCCATGTTGCCCATACACCAGCTTCCAAGATGCCACTTAGAGTTCATTGTACAGACTCTCGTCGGTTCTAATCACTGATTTCTTGCGTAGCTATCCACAATCTTGCAATCGTGGTACAGCTCAGATTCGCGCTAGATAAGTTCACCCTAGTTGCCATATGATGAGTGCTTCCCTAAATTGCACATTTGAGGCTTCGAAGAGGGCTACTGCAATTCAAAAGGCCTCCATACCTTCTCGGTCACACTAGATCTCGTCTTGTACATCACTCAGGAACTCGCCCAGCTAGTGTTACCAAAACATTCCGCTTCAGGATACTATTTCATCCTCTCCCGAATACGCGCAGCTATATTAGCTTTGAAAGAGATAACACATGCGTAGCGGACCTTATCTCTCACTGATTCATAGCCTGAACTTCCAATGTCCAATACTGACAGGACCCAAAACAGATTCCTTACCAACTCCTTCACGTCACCGATACTCACATGACATCGATCGCCTAAGCCCTGTAACCGCGATCATATCGCATAGAAAGCGAAGCTAATTAAGCAGCAGCCTCATCCGGTCATCCCTCGCGGGAAGGGTCGCCACAGACGGGCCGAGTCATCTTCGCATTGGTGTAGGTGAAGTACATCCCTGCAGTTGCATATGACCCGAGCACGGCTGGCCAGGTCAGGGGAGGCGGATAGATAGTGTGGTCAGCGGCACAAAGGTTCGTATGCTCTAGTGAAAGCTCAACGGTATGACCAGGGTCCCAGGTGGTCAGCGACAGGGTGGGCAAGTGACGGCATCGTGCTTGTTTGCGGCTGTCTGTATGTGGTATTCCATGAGCCGCAGGTACTGATGAGCTACTAAGGAAAGGACCGATGTTGAGGGCTCTAATGTTCGCATCGATTGCGAGCGCAGTGCAGGGGTTCATTGCGAGTCGCGGACAGACGAAGACGGCAGGCATTATTGCTCCCGTGGTCGAACTATTAGCGCGGTGGCGCTGTACTCGGTACATACCTTCAGGTTATAGTAGCTGTATAGCGGCTATGGTGAGCTCAAGTGCTGTTTTCAGTATCTTGTGAATCGGAAATCTCTTGGAGGACAGTGGTGACAGTAACATGTTTATTGTGAAGTTTCAGGACGCGTGGATGGACGCTGTAAGGTGGGAATGTAAACGAGATACCGAAGTCTGGCCCTGCGAAAGGGCCCTGCGAATTATAATGTGGATTCATACCCAATACCTATGGGGACCATGTGAGGACGCATGGCTTCAGTGTCTCTTGAAACAGGAATCAGGAACAATAACAAGTCCAATGCCTCTATTGCGGAGCCATACCCTCACTCGCATCTCAGCTTCTGCACGTAAACGTAATGTTGTCGGGAGACACGGTTCGGAACAATCCAGGAGCGGTAGCTTCCTTTCGCTAGTTTCTGGCGCATTTACATCCACCCGTTTTACTTGTGTGCCCATTGTGGCGTTGGTGCTCTTCGTCGCAAGGTCAGTCTGAAGCCGCCGTACGCGCTGCTGTACGCAATTCGCCCTTGCAGGCTGCAGCACGCATGCCACCCCACTGCATGCCGAGTGCACGGCAAGTTCCAGACCATGCCCCCACCATGCAATAGCTGCTTCGGCCCCCTTTCGGTCCTATAGCCGTCTGAAGGCTTATCCGCCCGCGCTGCAAGAAGCGGACACACGGAATAATAGTGTATTATCGGAGCAGGACCGATTGTTGTTTCAAAGTGGTGCCCAATCGGTCCGCTACCAGGAAGTGTTTTGTGGGGTGAGACTAGATTAGCTTGAAGCTCGATCCGTTGGTGTGGCTGACGGTGTCTGAGCAATCGTGGTAGGGTTGTACATGAATCGTGTCCACGGAACCGCGTCACTGACAGTGCAGAGGCTGGCACTGGCGGTAGTGACGGACACTGTGCGAGTAATGTGCTTGAGCTTTGATAGTGAACCATAGGTCTGTGCAAAACCACCAGATCGAATGTGCGCAGCGGATCGTAAATGTACGTGGATGAAACGGGGAGCCCGATGAGTGACGCAAGGGCCCGGATGCCTCCCCATGGCGCGAAATGTGAGAATTAGAAGAAACAGGCGGTTGGACATGTTCTGAAACAACTTGCGGGGTGCCTCGACAGCAGAAGTGGTCGCTGAATTATCAGCCAGTCCTCTTTTCAAATTCGCAAGATACCAAGAATTCGAATTCGAATTCGAAGTCTCCAGCTGTACGTAATGCCAATCATCGCTTGACTTCAGCTTGGGAAGGAGCTTTCGGACAAGCGCAGGTGTCTTTAAACGTACATCGTGTTCTCCCGACCACACCTGAAAATAGTCAGCCACGCAACGTGGAAGGGATGGCATCTCCAATACATGCTAGTTGAATGTTCTGTGTATTCATTCAATGCGAGAAAGGACTCGTGATGCTTCGTTGCGATTTAGGGTGCGATGGTGGATGCGTGTTTATAAATAGGAGGGATTAGTTTGAGGTCGTTGAAGGCCCTGAACGCCGTGTGGTCATACCTGTCGCTTTCCAGCTTGTACACCCTGATATGTCTTCGTATAGAACGCCCCAGACGTTCAATGGAAATTTTTCTACAAGGGATGAGTGCGCAGTGTCCTTCAACGGAGGATATACCTCCCTGGCAACTCTAAAGGTGTAGGTATAGCGGTCGCTGTTTGGAATTGCTGCAGCCTGGAATAGAAATTGGGCCTAGATACCCGTGGAGAAGAGCAATGCTATTGAACGCGAGGAACTCGAGAAACTCAAAGAAGGCGCAGTGACATTCTTGGGCAGCCCCTTCGTACACGGGTGATAATGAGAAATGGGAAGCCACCGGTGGCATGTTTGCCGAACAATACAAGGACGCAGATGAAAAAGAGGATGGATTGTGGTTTTTATTTAAACCATGGACGCGAACCACTTCGAGAAGATGTTCAACAAGTAAGATGATTTTCTACTTGTTGATGCAAACTCTGAAGTTGGTGTCTCGTTAAATAACAAACAAAATTGACTGCGACTGCCGGCCAACAGTCATGAGTGGATTCTGGGGCCGTTGAAAAACAGAACAAGGATGACAGGAGGACGGATTCCATCTGGGGGATGACCCAATAAAAGGCGATTGACAGTCAAGACAAGTTCTATCTGAGTACTGTCCACGTGGATTTGAAATTTATATCAACTTGTGCTCTTGTCTATCCATGGACTTCCCAATTGACAGATGATTGGGATTAGGTAGGCTGAAAGTTGACAGACCAAGGAGGATGGTAGAAGTAAGTACGTGACTGAACTAGCAAAAATAGCAGCACGAAGCCTTCAGTATGAGATCATTGAGAACAGTCTTGTCCAAAGACCGATCCTTTTCTTTGGCTGTGTACGGATGTTCGATCGACATGGTCGCGTCCAACTTCTGCTGGAACTTGTTGAGAAAGTTGATGTTGCGTTGCGATGACGCAGCCATATCCAAAGATAAGACAATGCGGCAGGAATGCCACGTGACAGAGTGCCACCAATGGATGCGCGGATGCCACAGGTACGCGCTTTGTCATGGACCGAGGAATTGGCGATTCTGCTTCGCGTCGTACGGGCCGATGAATGCACAACATCGAAGTGACGATCAGAACAAACCGATTGCTATGAGAGTCCCTAGCATCGTGCTTGCCTCGCGTGTTGTGCAGATCATCGCTGATCACATCATTGATAGTCGACATCACGATAGAGGTGTTGAGGGGATCGGTTGGCATGCGAACAGCGAGGTCCGTTGGTGTGGTTGACCGTTCCAAAACCTGACCCGATGAGCCCAACGCGCTGGTGGTGAAATGATTCTCAGTACGTGTCAGTCATGCTGTTGCTGCACGCATCCATCCTTGACCTCGGTCCTTGCCCTCATAGCATTTTGAGGCACCCAGGAGGTCAGATGAAAGTGTCACAGCCCATGGCCCGTTTATAATCTCTGCACCATGTACACCCCCGCCCCACCAGAACCCACGCTGTTGAAACATCGAGTTGAGCGCGATGACGACGGCTACGTAGGCTGTGACCCGCAACGGCGGGAGATCGTCCACGGCTACGGGATGTATTTTTGTTGATAGTTTGTTGATGATCTGTTATTTACTACGGGGAACCTGGCCGGGCACGAGATCGCGGATGAGTGCCTCGCAAGCGTTCAGTTTGCACGAGCTACACGCCAACAGTCATCTAGGAGTAGTGGCCGTGCTGAGTCAAATGTTATTCCCGACATTTGAAGTTGAAGATGGTGACTTGATGGGCTGATGGGCTGATGCGAACGCGTGTCCCAGCCTCCCAGCCCCCCTTGACCGCCACCGCCATCGCCTGACAGCCAGCCACTCACATCCGATAAGCTGATTTCCCTAGGACGCCTTTGTTTCAATGGCTGCATCTCAGTGCGCCTACCTTCTCCACCGACTCACGAGACACGCGTGAGCGTATTCTTCGGGCCTTTCTCGTGCGCATTTCTGTTTGCCAACTCGCGCCCAGCACGACTTTGGTCGCGCATCTGAAAATAAGGGTGCATCGCCAAAATCACCCTTGCCCCGCGTGTCAATCCCGCCGCTAGACCCTGTCCCGCATCGTCGATCGCTGCCAGCCTAAGTGGGACACCCCTGCAAACACATCGAGGCATCGATTTTGAGCATCGAGATGCCTTTCTACAAAGCCCATACCCTTACTACGGGGAGAAGGGAGAGACGGGGTGTGGCTGTCGACTTTCGAAACACAGGGCTGCGCTCAGAGGGACTATGTGCGCCGGAAGTGGCGAGCAATAACTCTTTGTCTACTGGCACCGCCGCACGTAGGAACTGATGAAGTGAGACGAGACAAAACCTTGGTCATTGTTGGTACCTGACCGCATGCGCGCGTTGCACATGCGAGCCCAACATGCTTCCGATGCGCTCACGCGCCGCAAAGGACAGAGCAGATTTGCGGCCCATGAGCGCTCGCCGTCTACAAGAGGCCGCCAGGGCAAAAATTCTGTTTGAGAGTCTCCGAGCATCGTCGGAGGCTTTCAAGATCGACCATTCGTGGCCGTTGCGGAAGCGCTAGGCCCACATAGCGGATGTCAAGACACTGGCACGGCTTTGGCGGTTGCCGAGGCATACGAGGCATGAAGCATGAGGCATACACGTTTTCAGGACGAGGAATATTGTTTGGTGGTAAATCATGAATGGGGGTATCATTGTTCTGTATCTGAAATCGGCGTAATCGCGCAAAAGAACCCGCTCTGCGCTAATCGCTCCTGCGAGCTCACAACTTCATCCGTTATGGGCTTTCCCGCCTTTCCCGTGCCATTGCAGCTGCAGGCATGACAGCCCTGCATCATGCTCCAATGACAAGCTTCCCGTCCTGTCCGCTGGTTCAATGGAACATCGGGCGCGTAGCGGCATTATTCCGATCGCGAACAGTGATAGCTCATCTCGGTGGTGGCATCCTGTTGCATAGGGCTTGTTTGGTGAAGGAGATAATTAAAACGTCTGTGACGGTCGAGTAGTTTTGTGTAAATCTCGTGATGTGCTTTGGTTCGTTGGTTGGACAGACAAGGACCTTCATCCTGCGCAATAGCCCGTCATCCTCGCGCAGTGGGTGCAGTAGTAGAGATTCGTGCCAAACTGGACCATGCTGCCGCCGGATTCGCGTCGGCAGCGACTGCAACAGAGCGTCGAGGGGCTTGTAGAACCTGAGCTGGAGCTCGTAGTTGAGCTGGCAGGAGACGAGGCACCGTGCTGGATTGGTCGCGCTGCAGGCCTATTGGCGGCAGATGTCTGCAACTGGAGCAGAGAGGAGTTGTCTGTGGATGCCATGTGGTGTTCTGGAGATAGTTGTCGAGAAGCAAGTAGCGGGTGGTAAGGATCCGGAATGATATCCGGCGAATACGCCTGCAGAGGCGTAGTGCCGGGGGTCTCGATAGAGAAATGCGTCGAAGTGACAGGTAGTGAGAAGTAGCAGAGAGCTTGTGAGAGTGTAGAGTGGGTGGTGCCTGTATTGGTGTCGTCCCTCATGGTATAGGTTGTGTTGATATTGGCGACAACGGAGGGAAGTTGTCACCTGTGATAAAGTGGTGAGATGAACGGTCGTGGCGCGGGCAGGCGTCTAGTATATACACATTGGCACGCGGGTGCATCGATCGAAAATTTGGCACCCAGTCAGCATTGAAGATCCGACAGGGTATCGGGATTGGCCTCACCAGTCCGGCGTGCTGGTATGCGGCGAGTGACTCCACAGTTCGCGGCGATGGCCAGGCTCTTTCGTAGACCGCGCTACTGTATCAGTTTACCCAGCCCTGGGAGGCCCGCCCAATCTACGCTCGCGGCGCTATTTCCGGGACACTGGGGCAGAGCAAGTGCCGCCTGCTTACACACAAGCCCAGCCTGTATTTCCGGTAATTTATCGCAAACGGAGCTCATCACGTTGCCTGTCTCCTTCGCAGGCTGAAAACAAAAGGTGGCGGAGCTGTTAGGTAAGAAACGAAAGTTACCGATCTCTAGATGCACCAGACACTAGCGGCACGGCAGTACTCGGCAGACACATACATCGAGATCTCTACAACTGCATCAAAGATCCAAATTCGCATCGACATCTACAATTCTGCATTGAGCGCCCGCATCCGCTGTCTTGGAGCAACAATTTCACGAGTGCTTGTCTCCCGCGGAACGTTCGTTTCGGGCAGCGCTACCGTACTCCTCGTCGTCCTCCTATACAATGCCCAGCGCCACGCACTAGCCCCAAGGCTTCAACCCCTGCTGCTTGCGCAACTGTCTGCGGGACGCGCTGCAGGGACGCGCATCAGGTAAAGACAGTCGGATCCTCGTACTCGCGCATGAGCAACCCACTGGTGCGCCGATTTTAACGTCGAATCTGCTCTAAATCTACAGCCCCAGCCCCAAGCACTCCACGTACACCGGACGCCTTCCGGTGCTACGTTTTGACGTGTAGACCAGCATCGGTAACAACGTTTACCTTCTCCTCCACAAGTCAACGCGGAAACCCACGGACTCTGAAATGTTTCGGCGGCCCGCACCGGAAGAGTCTAGACTTGGTCTGTGCAACCATTCATGTAGATAAGTGACCTGGCAACGCTTCTCATTCCGTGCAGCCTAGGCGTTGGGAATAATTCGAAACATGGAAGGAGCTTCGCGCCGCTTAGTTGGTACATACACTGTTGCCTGCCCCGCCTCAAAACACAGTGAACCGCTGCATTAGCGTCTCCCGCTGAATCCTCATCCTCGGCTTCATTGCATCAGACCACGTTTGTCCAGGCTCATGCATCTCTGCGGCATTCGGTGTCCTTGACATCCTCGCTTTGTTGGACGCGTGGTCGCCACCATAATTAGATTAGACTGGGATCCCTCGAGTCCATGCCTTTTGTTGCTTCCGTATGTTCCGACGTTCGATATTCCTACGTATGGAGCCATGGGGACGTGTTGGTGATACCATAGGTATCGGCATTCTTTCCCGTTTATAGGGGATGTCCCAGGGAGCCTCTAGCTATAGCAACGGTGTAAACTGCCGAACAGCACGATCCGGGGTTAAGCTACGAACGGCGTCAGGGTCCAAGCCACTATGGATGGGAAGATGCAGCCAGACAACGTCCAGGCTTCAGCCTCATGCGACGGACAGCAAAAGTCTGTCCGCGGAGTCCGCTGGGTTCGAGTTCTCGCGACTCTTCTTGCAAGACCTGTATCATCGCTCGCAGCTGTTGGGTCGATCCAATTTCGCCCCTCCGTCGTCCACCAGTGTCAACAAAGTTTCGCGATAATTGCCACCACCTCAGCAAGGTATATCATTTTGAACACTCCACCTCCCGGCCCCTGTGCAGTGCTACTCACGAGACCGCATTCTTGCCGCGGGCTCCAGATACTTGTATTTAGCGTCCAACAACTACGCTATCCCCTCCCGTCGGCCAATGGTAAATCCTCCGTACCAAAGGTATCGTGCGGGGAAAATAGCCTCTTCTCTAACTACCCTCCAGTTGGGGCATGGCCAGGTGGGTATGCCCGCATTTTGAATCATTTACTTAGAAGAACCACGGACCGAAAGAGTACGCCACTGGAACGTAGTTGGTGGAGTGTCTCTTGGCTACAGTGGCCCCTTGCGGCCATCTTTTCTTTGTTACAAACCGCTTCGAACCGCCATTTCTTAAACTACGATGACATGTTGACTAAGTCTTCCCTTCGACGCACGATCTTACACTATGCGAAATGCATTGAGACATATGAAGTATTGGCTCGTACGGTCTCCCACCGCACCACGATTTGCGTAAGCGAGTAAGAGAACCATGCCTGCATGTATTGTTTGCCTAGCTTCACCCCGGATCCAAAAGGCGGCATGCTATGCCATGCATGGTTCTGTGGCATGGTGTGGTTCCACAATATTTCACAATCCCACCGAGACCTAGATGCACACAAGCGAATAGCAGGCCCAACGTCACGCTATATCAGAATAGAGACATTATGAGACCTTTCTTGGATGAGCAGATTCCTTGAAACGTGTGGGTATATGTTCTATGAAAGCTGGAGCATCGTAAGAATCTGACAACGCACACCCGCTGCGCCGTGGCTTCCTGCTACGATCTTGGCGGACCGCCCAGAAGCGACGTCAAAGAGGGCAGTGCCTTAGTTCTTTCGACGGTTGCTCAGCGCTTTGGATGGGGACGGCCAGGCTGGGCAAGTAGTCGTTCATTCGCATAGCCGATCGACACTTACCCACCCTCAACGGGAGACGGTAATTTCTTCAAGATCAAATACGACATCCCTTGGTAAATTGGTCTTTGCAGCAGCCATGAGGCTGGCATGCAAGTCTTGGACCTCACTGTTGTGATGTGCAAAATAGTCACAGGTCTTCTCGATCGCTCCCTCCTCTTTCCTCTCTACCCCAAAGATGTTTGCCAGCCGCCTGGCAGGGCTTGACCAGGGTGAAATGTGTGCGCTGCGTTCGTCACCAGAGGCTCACGTGTGAACAAAATACGTCCAGTTCGCAACAACCCGGCAGAGGCGGCGGGGCTAGTTAGCGTGGGAAGCGGTTTCGTCATCTGTCCACTTTGATCGGCCTTCTACTGCTCGTCACGCGAACTGTTGCGCTGTTGTGCGCGTGCCTGTGAAGGCCCCTATAAAAGACATGCCCGCACGTACAGCGACTGGTATGCATACGTGGGATGTATATGCGTCGAGATCAGCGCGCGTACGGCGGCTTTCGCAATGTTAGGCGGCAGTGTGGTGCAGACAGGGCTGCATAGCTGGCCCATAGCGGGCACCGTGGGCGCCAGCGCCACGATCCGACCCTCACTTTACAAATGCTGTCATAGCGGCCCTGTACCGTATACCGGTTGTCCGCTCTGTGTTCGTTTCCTCATCAGCCCACGGATACGTTGCGAGTCCATTTCCACGACCCTATCGCAAGGCTAACAACGCGCGACTGCACAAACAAACGACCCCACTACTTTGCCCTGCCCCTCCACCGCCCGCTCCACCCCACCATCAACTCACATTATCACCGTGCGCACAATGGGAAAACCGCCGAATCTATACGCCTTCCAGGGCATCGACGAGCTTGCGCCGAGCCTCCGCACATACGTCCTCGACGCGCAGAATGCCGCGATAAGCCGCCATGGAGTCTTCCGCGTCGCCGTCTCCGGCGGCTCGCTGCCCAAGGTTCTGGGCCAAGCGCTTCTGAAGGAGACCAACGGTGACGGCAAGGTCCAGTTCGACAAGTGGGAGATTTTCTACGCCGATGAGCGGCTCGTCCCTCTCGACCACGAAGACAGCAATCACCGACTGGTCAAGGCGGAAATTCTGGATAAGATCCCCGCCGAGCTCGGCGAGCCTAAGGTCTTCCCAATCGATGTGAAGTACCTTGACGATGCGCAGGAACTCGCAGATCAGTATGAGCAGACCCTTGTCAGCGTCTTTGCGGCGCGAGACAGCGTGCGACTACCTATGTTCGACCTGCTGTTGTTGGGATGTGGACCCGATGGCCACACCTGCAGCCTTTTCCCTGGCTCTCCGCTTCTGCGCGAAACCGAGGCGTGGATTCTTAAGATCGAGGACTCGCCAAAGCCCCCGCCGAAACGCATCACGCTCTCGCTGCCGGTCGTGACGCACGGCATCAAGATCGCCTTTGTCGCTACTGGCGGAGGAAAGAAGGAAATCATGAAGGACATATTCGACAAGGACGATGGACGGGAATTGCCTTGCGGGCTGGTCAACGCGCAAGCGCAGGAAAGAGTCAGCTGGTTTGTCGACTATCCGGCCATCGAAGGGGTTTCTTTCCCCGCCCGCCGGGGCAGTCTCTAGTGGAGGCCTGCCTAGGCGAAGCGAGAGAGCCCGAGTTGAAATGATGGCAAGCGAAGGAAGGTCTTAGTCTTCGATTGCTAGCTATGCTTGACGTCAAGCAATTTGGTGTGGTGCTGGACGTTCACTCGGAATACGTCACCCTGCAAGCACCTAGCACAGCACTCTTTCCGCTTGGTAAAGGCGGGATAGAATTTCAATCACCATAGAATACCATCTATTAAGTCTTTCAAGCTCAGTAGCTGCAGCACTCTCCGAGTGGTGAACACCCGCTTAGTCAGCTAAGATAAGATAAGATCGCATTGACAACCGTTTCGTTTGTTTTGACCCTCGAACGGGCCGAGGAGCTCTACAACTCTGCAGCCACAATGCCTATACCGACACCTAGCTCTACGGCGAAGCCCCGCAGCCTGCTCAGTAGACACAAAAGCACCAATGCCCGGTCGGAAGTACTTACATTTTGCGCACAGGACTCTGCTCTTCGTGCTAACACCTTGACAGCGTCCCGGACAACCGACTTTGGACGCCAGCCGGGCGCTCACACGATCAGACTCTCAGAACACGGCCCTGGGAGAAGCAAATGGTGAAACTCCGAGCCGACGGAGCTTCTTACCCCAGCGAGGTTTGCCAAGAGCTGTTCCGAGAGCGAAAGGCGTAACTGAAGCCGAACCTGCTCAAGATGCCACAGGCTCCAACGCCACAGCGAATGGCGTAACGGCACAGCAAGCGAACGCAGGAGACGCAAAGCAGACTCGGCCTAGGCCGCGATCACTGTACCAAACACGAGCTTCCCAGCAAGACACTGTTGTCTCACATTCATCACGTCCCACGGATGCGAATAGGCTGCCAGTTTCAGCAGGGCTGAGCCGAACGCAGTCCCTTAAGCGACCCAGCGTTGCATCGCAAGCCATGCCACCACCGAGCCGACCACTCCACAGTCGTACGCAGTCGACGAGCACGCCGATTGGCGCTCGCAAGGAGACGGGAGAAGCTGATAATCCCGCACCCCGCGTGGAAAGACCGAAATCGTTAGCGATGGTGTCGGGTCACACTAGGTCCTTGAGCAACGCTCCTACAGAGACTGCTCCTGGTATCAGCCGAGCCTCTGCTCGCCAAGATGGGTTGACGCGCTCCGCTAGCACCAGAGCTAAGCTTGGGCAACCACATGGTCGCGCAACAGCCAGCACATCCAGGCAACCCGAAGATCCTGTTCAGGCGAAAGAACCGCGTGAAGCTCTGAACCAAGAGCCCAGGAAGCTTGTGCGTCCTGCCTTTTCAACTTTACAACAACATTTTACTCCTAGGAAAACTGGCAAAGCACCCACTTCTACCTTCATCCATGCTCCGGAACCTGTGAATCATGTTCTTCCCCCAGAGATTGTCGCTCTTCAGAGTGAACTGCTACAACTACATTTGTTACATGCACCATCAGCCTTGTCCATGAGACAGTGGGAAGTGAGCGCTCAAAAGGCCTTGCGGTCAAAGTTCGACGAGGTTGCAAGCCTAAATCAGATCATGCAGGAAAAGGAACGTTTTGGTCAGGAGCAGAAGAACGTTCTCGCTCTTCGTGAATGGAACGGATCCAATGCTATTTCTGGCCTCGCTGCCCACATCCAAGCATTGTCCGCCCCTTTACACGAGCTACCATCACTTTTAGATCCTGGAGGTCGCTTCTTCTATCTCGTGGAAGCTTTCAGCAAGTGGTTGTCCCGCGCGGATCAAGTTTGGTCTGACCGTGATGGCTCTGGCGGACACGGAAGCGCAATGCAATCTCTTGCAGGATTAGGAGATACTTGGAAGGAAGAGCATGCAGCCATGATGCGCAAACTGACGGCTTTCTCTCGGCACCTAGACGGCCTACCGCCAACTGTACCGGGATCGAGCATTGCATATATCGTAACCAGGTGTCAGGCTCTAATCGAAGGGCTGTTGAGCGAGCTACAGGTCATGCAGGCAACGGAAGCTGATGCCGTATCCAGAGAGGAGCATTGGGTGGAGCAACGGCTGCGAACAATCGCTCAGGACGTTGACGTAGACTCGGAGACTGACGAGGAGGCGTGGCGGTTGTACTGAGACTACTGTACAGTCTTGCATACGATAATCGAGAGGCTGCAACTGCTTGGCGCGACTTGTACCCGGCCGATCTCGGCCGAACACACTTCCAAATCCGGGGGGCATTTTCGAAACCTACAGGAGCATTGTGGATTGGTAAAGGGCGAGTCTAGCAGTCGATGAATCGCACATGATTGGTCTAGCCTTGGCCTAGCTGCTGCCGTGCACAAGTCTACAGGCGCGCACGTTTTATGGCATATCCGGGGAACCCGTAAATGTACACTATGGCAATGGTATGGTTGTAAAGGGGAATCATTTCCTTCCAACCCGGGGCAAAGTGGCTCTATACATCCAGAAGCTACATCTTGGGAGCCTGGAGCGGCCGTCATCGAACCTGTTTCACATTTCGTATTCCATGTTACACAACAGCGACGGCTGATCGGCAATTTCCCGAGGTCTGCAAAGCAATGCTCGACGTGGATGGGTAGAAGCACGGAGAGCGCCGCCGCCGCCGCCGCCTCCCGCAAAAGCCCCGCCGTTATTGCAACACGTTGGCATGCTCGCAAGAAGCATCGTTCTGACATCAGACCACTCAGTCGTGCCTTCCTTCCGCCGCAGGGTGATGTTTAGTAATGTATACTAGTCGGATGTAGGTTAGCGAAATCTGACAAAGCCTCGTCGTCAGCAGAGACTCCCTTTAGAAGTTTAGACGACAATTATCGGTGGAATCGTGGGCCGCTGCTGTGCGTATGCACCACTCTACATTCATTTTCTCCTTGCAAAGACGCCTCCTCTGACCATGGTACCGCTCAGGCCCAACATTCGCAACCCTGCACAGAACAGACACTGTGACCGTCCTTGACGACTGGCCCCCAATCGGTTGCCATCTTGCCGAGAACATTGCACCTACTATATCATTGACGGTCGAGCTCCGGCCCTGGAAATAACTTGCGACTGCGGCCGCAGGTTCGCTCTTTGGAGGGCGCTTTAAGTTACAACACTCTCACCATAGTCTCGGCGCACCCACCGCAACTGCCCGAGATATCTCACGCACAGGTCGCATACGTGATACTTCCACTGAGCCACTCACAATGCCAGCGACTGCGTGCGTAGCCCTACTCCATGCTCGTATTCGTGCCTGACTCCTACAGGCTCGAATAAGCATCGTTGCCAAGCGTCGAAAGTGCATCTCGGTCGGCCTCTACACCATTCCCGGTCGACTTACTAATCCCCTAGCATTGCAGTGATCACTACGCTTCGGCCATGGCATCCTGACTTGAAAGTAATTGCTGATCTGACCCGGAGTCCGCTGCAACAACCGAATGGCGCATCCTAGAAGTTGCTTTCATTCTCGACGGGCCACTCCTACTCATGGACTCGGGGAAAGGAAGGAAGAGGCCATGGGAAACGGAAGACCCAGTCGACACACACACCAAGCGCCGGGCCTCTTCCGCTTTGGCTACGTACGAGCGGCCCCCGCTCCCGCAACATGCCGGCCACTATCTTCATGACAGCAAGACCCTAAACCAACGAAGGCTACCTCCGCTGTACACTCCAACATCCAGCACTGCAGAACCGCTCACAAATTCGATTCGATCCTTCATTTCTCCGCGTCGCGCCTCCGAATCCAGATCTAGCTCTCAACCCCTCTTCGACCCATCCCAGCAGCTTGTCGCAGGGCAATGGCTAATAGGCGCTCAAGGTAGGTTCAACTATCCATTCACATTTCTACTGGTCTGCTTTTCGCGCGCTTACCGCTGCGTCCATGTGTGGTGACACTTGGCGCATGCCGTCGTTCGTCCACCCAAAGTCAAATACCTGTGCACCACCTAAATCGGAGATCGTATTCATAGCTCAGAGCTGATTACAGATTGCACAGAGTCGTGTCTCCGGGCGCTTGAACGGAATCTGTCACCACAGCTCATTGGTAGCGCGTACCGGTCACGATTCGGCACTGAACACGCGACCCGTGCGGCAGGGGACGTAGCCTGCTGTTCATCCGGCTGCAAGGGCCAAGAGTGCGTCCACGCCCGTGCCTTGCTGAACAAACTTGCCGCCGAACTACTATCCCTTGACTCTGGAGTCGGTTTACTGTTGCAAAAAGATCATCATCTATCAGCAGAAGTAGGTTTGCCTTCCGTATCTCGTCAGAACCCAATCTGTGTTGCCACGGTCGCTATAAGTCTTGTCTCGTCGCTAACCTCGAGACATCAGTCACCAAACCCTGAGGAAGTTCCTATAAAGGAGGTGCTTCGGTGGGCGCTCAACACTGTGTCATGGGCTAACTCGAAGCTACGGAATCATATACACGATTCCTATCCACGCAGTCTTAACCAGAGCGCATCTCAGCCTGATACAACGCCAAACATGAGGAGAGGCTTCAACCACCCAGAGACGCGCGAGGAGCAGTCTCCGCCCGCTAGACCCTACGCACCTTCCTACCATAGTTTCAACGCATTAGGAAATCCGGTCGTACCGACTGAAACTGGTCGAAGTAACCCTTACGGCAACGAAATGCCGCCAATGGGTAGCTCTCCGCACTACACGGCATCCTCGTCAGGTTCTGTGTTCATGTCACCGCACCCGAACTCACCAATGCAAGCCCCTCAGCCTACGCGATCGACAGTATTACCATCTCCGTCATCGATGCATTTCCCAGGCGGTGTCAGTCTCCCTCCTGTCTCGCCACCGACAGCAGCTACCACACAAACCTCGGCGCATTCGGTCCTTCTACAAGAATTGCAGCATCAAGTCAGCGTCAAAACAATAGCGCTTCAAACACTCCAGCGAGAATACGACAGCTTGTTGCAGAAGCTAGAGCGACAGCGCACTAAATGTGCAACGCTGGAAAAGAAGTTCGAAGTCAGTGACGTGGAGATCAACAGTCTGACGGATGAGAAAGAGAAACTACAAGCGCAGGTCGCAGCAATGGAATATCAGGTTGAAGAGCTGCAGGAAAGCAAGGATGAAAGTCGGCGGCAGCTCATTGCAAATGGATCACAGTACATGCGAATTATGGAGATGGCGAATCGTCTCCAGACCCAGAGTGCCGATGACAAAAGACGTTGGGATGCGGAGAAGTCAGAACTACAGCAGCGGATCAAAGTCCTGGAAGAGGCAATGGTGACTGGCACCAATTCGGAGCACCCGAGCCACAGTACCCCTCCGTCTATTGTTCTTGCGCATACTCCTGGCAGCACGAGCTCATCATCGGCAGAAACGATCAACGTTCTGAGGACCGAGATCGGCCGACTACGCATACGGACACAGAGTCTTGAAACAGCATTGCATACAATGAAAGAGGAGGGCCGTTCTATACAGGAAGCTGCAAAGAAGTTGCTGGAGTCCAGTTGCAAGATAGAGCAGGCCACCCAAGATGCGCTAGAGTGAGCTATCCGGAAATTCTTTACGAGGACAACTTAGTTGGCTTTGTGATACTCCTTAGTACGGTAGCAGGCATCGCGGCAGATACGATACACCTTGGACGTTGCTATGTTCTCGAGCCATTACGTTGTTATGTTTTCGGGCCATTGGTCAACAATTACCAACAACCCTTGCCACCGCCGTAGAACCACACCAACTCCCATGGCCCGCACAGGCCATCGTCAGTCATTTCAGCCGCATTCATAAGCTGAATCACGGCTTCTAACTATAGCCAACACTAGGCATACCCCTCTTCCGCACATAAAATATTGTTATTGAGGGGATGCATCATATCATCATGCTTCTGATGTGGCCATCGGGTCAGGGCACGCTCCGCAAGCTTGCCTGCAGACATGGCTAGACAAGATCTGACAAATATGATGCCCAAACAGCGGCCTGTTCCAAGACCACTCATGGGATTCGTGTGCTGCGGACTAAGAGAGCGCCACTATGTCCACCATCCCCAGCTCCGGGCAGTCAAACGGCAACAACATCGGCTCGATTGGAGCAGCATGCCGAATCCTGGGCTAGCCATCGCCTCACCGATGGTCGACTCGCTAGCAATCCTCAAACGCTCGCTGCCGACCACCCTTCCGTCGACCCGAACTCTCGACCTCTCATCGGCTTATGAGAAATCTCAATAACATACAGACGTCTCTCTCGTTCTACCTATGTAAGCTTTCTACCCCGAAAAATTAGCCACTCTACACTACGCTACCTCCAAGTACACCACTTATCTCGGACGTACCTCTGATGCTGTTCCTACACTCCACGCCCTTATGCCAGACATGCGATGGCGAGTGGTGATCCCTGCGTGATCAGTAAGCCTGGGCCACGCACCGCCGTGGCACATACCGATGCTGATCGGACAATTTGGTTGCTCGTATATCATGTCGTATCAAATCCTATCCTATCCTATCGTCTCCAGACCCTGGTGGTGTATCGCGTTCATACATGCCATATAGATAGCATCAATGCACGGCGTATGAGTCTGCATGTGCGAGCTTCTGGCCGCGGCGAGAGCGTAAATGCGCGAATGAAAACTATTACACACGGCTTCCGGAAAGGGGTGCGGCGTGCCATCAGTAAGCAGGTTAGGTTTCGCATGGCGGCAGGGAGGCATGTAGGACTCAGGGGCGGCGATGCTGATACGAGTGCTGGATGCGAGATATTGCTTCTTGCGAGCGAGAGGGCATTGCATGTGCATGAGGGCGCTTGAGGCACCAGAAATGGTACCCTGGTCGATGAGCTGCGCCCTTGACTGCGTACACTCGCGTCTTAGCTTCGGGTAGCATCGCGCCCGATGCATGAGTACCTTGCCGTGCTGTACTATCCTCAATACGAGGGAGATCCGACTCCACAGTGAAGGACAGGGCAAGCCAGGGCAGGGGCGAGCGACTAGGTCGTTATTTCCTGTCCTGCACTGTCCTATTCTGCCGCGCGGCTTCCCCCGTTCTCCTCGACCCTCCACACCGCAGTCTCGCTCTCTCTCCCTTTACCTCCAGTTACGCCACCAAGACAGTCACGAAAATCTCCGTTCACATCTACTGATCTCTGCTATCCCTTACTCGCTCTCCATTACTACCGCAGTCGCCCGCCTCGGCCTTTCGCCGTCTCACACGTTGGCCAGCGTAAACCCAGCCACTCGGCAGCGCTCCCTATTCTGTACTGCCTGCACAGTGCAGTGCTGGTAGAATATCACGCGTGGTACACTCTTCGACCGGCGGTCGTCAGCTGCAGCATCAGCATCGGCGTTAGCTGCGCGGCTGGTTGGTAGTCAGGGCGGAAATATGAGCTTCGCTGGAGGGGGCAGCATCTCGCTGGATGATGCGTCGACTGCGCAGGGTTGTAGATCTGCAAACGGGGATATGGTACCATGACTGGGGGGTGGACTTTTACGTGAGACGAGAGTTTTGGGTCACAGACTGACGGGTCTCTTCCTCAGAAGTCCCATGACCCAACTCCAGCAACACATACACAGCGACAGGAATAGAGACAGCAGAGTTTCCAAGAAGAGGACTCCGTCTGGGGATTTCGATATTGGGTCATGGAGGGCCTTCGAGAGGAAAGCATGCACTCTATGCATTTTGGCTGACTGTGCGTGAACAGTGGGTTCGCTATCCACATTGTTCGCTAGCGAGTGTTAGCAGCGCAGCACAGCACAGCAGTATATGAGAAAAGACCGACCCGGAAGCTTTGAAAGCCAGCGAGCCACTGTCCGTGGTACCTGCAGCTTTGCTAGCCAACTGATATGCTGCAGTGTCATCTGCTCGTACCGATCACGAATACCACGCAGCCGCCACGGCGCCGAAGATTTGACGCCCAAGTACAAATACTGGATGGTTGGCACGGCACACTTTTAGCAGCTAATGGGGTGCCAGGCTACCAATGACAGACTTCGGCGACTCTTCGTGCACAGTCCGTCGACTAGACTGCTTGACTACACGTCTGCCAGACGCAGACCGTTAGCTGATGGGGCATGTGGCCCAAGAAGTTCAGCGCTGTTCGCGTTGGGGAAGTGATTTGGGGTTAGAGAAGGCTGGGACGTGGTTTTGTCGCGTGTGCTGTGGGCATAAGCTTCATCTGATGGTAGACGACTGCGCGTCAAGAGAGCACTGTGTCCTGGGTTTTACCTCACTGTGTTATACAGCTTGTCGTGTCAGGCCTCAGAAAGGCCTCTTCACACTACCCCTATTGACATCGATGGCTCACATGCCCAGTGCAGTCAACATCCAATAACATATTCATTATTATCGGTACATATACGTAGCAAACATAGCATCGTCACATCCCTCATCTCCACGGGTATCATCTCATCTCACCTCGTCTCCCTGTCCCTATCCACCCTCACCTGCCTCCCCTTATACACATCCCCCGCCGCGACAACAACTCCGACTGCCAACAGCAACCCATTGAAACCCGCCATCATGTAGAACGGCGCGCCCGGCCCGCGGGAATCAAACAGCGCGCCGCCTGCCTTGGTCAGCAGCAGAATCCCAAAGCCCCCGAGCAGACTGTACGTCCCTGCGATCGCGCCTTTGAGATGCGTATGCGACGCCGGGCCCGATGAGGACGCGGGCCGCGAGTAATTTGTGCCCAGCAGCGGGGCGTCTTCGGACGAGGGCGTGAGTGTCGGGCTGCGCGGGGGCGTGGCGCCGGCCGAAGGGTGGCCGTTGGAAGGGAGGATCTCGTCGGACAGTGGTGCATGGGACGCGCTGTCGTCGGCGTTGATGCCGCGGCCGAGAAGCGCGAGGGAGCACACTATCGCGCCGATCTGGCTGATGCCGAGGAGCGCAACGATGGCGAAGATGCCGCCAGACCCATCCTTGCTCTTAGGATCCGGGCTCGCGAGGGAGCCGAACGCGGAGTAGCCTGCGATGCCTGCGGCAGCTGCAAGCATCAGGGGTAGGTTATGTTTCCTGTAGCGGCCGGAGAGGTAGCCGAAGAGCGGGGCGGAGAGGAGCGCGATGAGCTGGCTGATGCCGGTCAGCATGGCTGCGAGTTTGTAGGCCTGTGGACACGAGTTCTTGATGTCGGCAGGATCGGCGGGGTCTGTGGCGCGGCATTGTCCTGTGCGGAGGAAGTAGGTGTTTGTGAAGAGGGGGATGAACAGACTGATGGCAACGGAGGAGGCGCGGGCTACGAAGCCGCCGACGTAGCCTAGTCCGATGGTCGGGGATTGGTAGCCCAGGCGGATGCTTTCCAGGAACAGGCGCGGGAAAGAGAGGATGCGCTGGCGCGACGGGGTGGGATCGGAGAACTTGTGCTCGGGTGTGTGGTAGAGACGCTTCCAGCTCTTGTCCTCCTCCCCAGGGAGATGGCGTAGTCCAAAGAAGCATCCGAGTGCGACGACGATGGCAATGGATCCAACCACGTAGAAGGCATCAGCAACCGCAGCGGCTGGTTCGGCGCCTCCGCGTCCAAAGCGTGTAGGCAGCGGCAGGAATATGAGTAGGGCCACTAGCGCACCACATCCCGTAAACATGCCCACCAGTCCTGCAAGCTGCGACGTAGAAGCGGCTGTATCCTTCTTTATAATTGTATCATCATCGCGTGGCGGGGATCGTGACTGGAAGCGCGCAGGCGTAATCGTCAATTCGGACGAGATGGAAGGAGCCAATGCATGCGATGCTCCATTGACGCGTCTCCGAGGCGTCCGTGGATCTTGCACGATCTGCACGACAGTCATGGTAGGCAGAATTGCAGTGACCATAGTAGCACTATCACCCATTATCAGCATGCGTCTCCACCGAGCGTGCCACATGTCCACTCACGTCGCAGTGGCCCCCAAGCTGAACAGTAACCGCGCGAGCAACAGCTGTGGATAAACGTTTTTCGCCGCCATGAAGACCCACAGGCTCACACCGACAATCGCATACCCCATGACGGCGACGCTGCGCACGCCTACGCGGTCGCTCAGCAGCCCCCAGGCCGGGCACGCAACCAGCGCCACCAGCTCGTCCGCGAAGCCCAACGTGCCCACTGCGTCGCCAACATTGTGCGCCTGCCCGATGCGCTGCGTGATGACGAAGGAAATCGAACTGTTGAGGAAGACGAGGAACGAGATGGAGAACAGCGCGACGCCGAGCAGGTACGTTGCGACCTGGATGCGCGTCGCGGTGAAGCCCAGCATGTTGGAGTCAGGAGCACGGGATCTTGGAATGCAAGCGAAGCACTGCTCTAGCGAGCGTGCCAGTGTTGATATGGTCAGTGGGGGAGCATCAGAGCTGTGTTGTCGTCCGAAGTTGGTGTTCAGCAACGTCACCGGTTGGCAATGCGAGTTTAGGTACGCCTGGCTGTCGATCGAGAAGTCACGTGTTTTCGGCAGTGCAACCTTAAAAGGCTTTTTGTGCATTCTGTACGCGTACGCTACATGCAGCCACATCTTGATATGTCGGGCTCTTTTGTTAGTGTATTCTCATGTCATATTCATGTGTAGACAACGACCAAACAAAAAGGATGTCCTCAGGCCTACCAAGCATCGTCTACCTTCAAACCTTTCCCCACCCACAAGGCTTCCCCTTCCCTTGGTCCTCGCCCCAGAACTCTCGACTCTCCTTGTATTCTCCCTTCTCGCATCCCTCTTGGAACAATTTCCTCACTCTGTCAGCGCGCTCCCCATCACGCGCTCGCAGCTCAAACTTGAACGGCAGCGGTTTCGCGATCAACAAAGTGCTAAAGTCAAGCGTAGGATCAGTATGGGCAGGGTCAAACTCCGCAAGCTCTTTCCCCTTGTCAATCCTCTTCTCTTCTCCCTCGTCGCGACCGACAGGGAAGGCTCCAGGGTATGTGTACTTCGATAAAAGTACATCTTCCATAGTACAAGACTCGAACTTCTCGATCCCAGTATCGAGCTCTTCTTGGGATATGGAAGCATGTTCATTCATGCCAATCGAGTGGCTCGAGACATTTGCTGCAGCAGGCATATGTTCCTTGGACATGTCAAACATCCACGCCATCGACCCAATTCCTATCAACAGGTCCTCGTCGGCGACAGTCTGGCCCTGGCATAGTCTTCTGCCATATCCAAATTGGGAGCAATTGATAATTGTAGGAAACTGGGTAAGCGGCTCCTGGTAGGTTGGCCAGCCAGGCTCGACCCAGCGCAGCGGATTGAAAGCCTCTGGGTCTGGGAACATGGAAGGGTCACGAGCGATGGCCCTTTTGATGTTGTTAGCAGCCTTCGTTCGTGATTAGACCAGTAGATACTCACCACTCGAGTGGATGCATCACGCTACCCTTCGGTATGTGGTAGCCATTGTATTCGTCATCTTGTGTGAGCTCATGGGGAATGCCAGTCGGGACTGGGGGGCGCCAGCGCAGGCACTCTCGGATGACAGCGCGCAAGAAGGGAAGATTAGGCCGGTCCTCTGCAACAGGAAGACGTTCTCCGCACACCCGATCCAGTTCCTCGTGGAGCATTGGTAGATACTGCGGGTAGAAGCACATGGCCAGGCAAAACGTCTGCATTGGCGCAGCAATGGTCAGCGCTCCCGCAATGCCGTGCATACCGACAGCATATGCCCCCTCCAACTCATCCTTGAAGCCCCATTTGCTGCGCCTGTCAAGGAAGATCTTCATCCACGATTGAGGTGCCTTCTCCTCCCGAGCATCCTTCTCCACTTCACCCTGCATGATCTGGAAGAAGAAGCGCTCAGTCCGGGCGCGTCTTCGCTCCCAGGCTTTTGCGGGGGAAAGCCAGTCGGGCAGGGCCATTAAGAAGGGGAGCTTGTTGGCAAAAGACCCAGTGGGAGAGACTCCGAGAAGCAATTCGCGTGCACGCTGCTTGAGTTCATCGCTCGCTTCGCTGCGTCCCCAAGCCAGGCGACAGGTGACGCGGGCAACGAAGGACTCTAACGTATGGTTGTAGCGGTCTGGCTCTTCTAGTAGCTCAACCAGCATGCGCTTTGCCTCAATCTCGGGATATCGATGGAAAAGCGCTTCTTCTGACTCGCGCATGATAACGTTCGCAAACTTCCTTTGTCGCGTCCATCCATCTGAGAGTTTTCAGTGTGAGCTACTTATGTCATCTCCGTAGTCGACTCACCATTCTTACTGAGCAGTGGCAAATATTGAGCGCTCGTTCTATTATCATCGATCAGACCAGGAATATGCGGCCTGTCGGAATATATGGATCCTTTCTTTGCTAAAAGATCTTTCGCGATCTGGTCCGAGGAGATCCATACGTGATTGGTGCCAGCTAAATGGACCTGGTAAATAGGGCCATATTCTTTGCCCCATTCGGCGAACTTGATGAATCCGTTTTTCTCGGGTACATCAGGAACAGATCCAATGAACGGGTATCCTGCAGACGAGTCAATGTCTGTGAGAGCCCAAGCAAAGATCAGGCACGTGCAGGGAACCATACCTTTCGGTCCAGGCAGCTTCTTGAGTGCCGACGGTGTTTTATTACAATGAACTGCTTTAATGATCTTCCAGGCCAGATATGAAACAAATGAAAGGGCCAAGAGAATGAAAGTGAATGGAGCCATCAGAAAGACGCTTCGAGTGGGAAAGGGAAAACTAGAGATAGGAGGACCCTCAAGGACTTCTGCTGAATCGGAGAACTAAAAAAAAAAAGGGGAAAATCCTGCACAAAGGAGGAGGGTGCATCATATAGGACTAAGAAGGCCCATATCGGATGCCGAATGCAAGCAAGTTCCCAACACACGTAGGAACTGGATGAAACGGTACTATGAATCAATAGTGAGTGGACCGTGTCATGGGCTGGTATACGATGCCAATGCTGGCGTTGTGGGTTCCGATATTGGTCCGGCAGGGTTGAGCTGTGACAGTGTTCGGTTGGCTCGTTCATGATGAACTGTTGCCTTGCGGGCGATCGGCCTCCACCATAGCTTTGTGTTAGGTTCGTGGGTTACGTTCACGTTCAGCCCTCATGTTCAACTGGCAAAGATCTACCAATGCATTTACAAAGGTTCCAATCTCGCGATCAGTACTCAACAAGACGGACGGCTTCAAGAAAGCGAAGTGTGGGTTTTGCAAGGAGCCCAGGGTAAGGCTCTTTTCAAAAACCGAAAGCTAGTGGCATTGGAGGGAGAAACCTTTTAGAAACGTCAAGTTTCAAGCGTTTGAGAATCCTTTGCTAACAACTTGGTAGTTGCTGTCCAACCCGTCGACAGAATCTCTATGGCTGAGGGGGAATTGAGAGCTCTTCTATGGCCATCTCGAAGAGAACAGCTGGTGGCACTGTGAAGTCGTGCTCAGCGACTGTGGACTCCAGGATGCGGTGTTAGCTATAGCTAGTAGTGGTTTTGGAGTACGAAAGACGCCCCATCGATGTCTCGATGTTGCTAGAAAGGAGTTGAGCTATCCCTCCTATCGGGTTAGCGCTGCCGAGATCGAGGCGTGCTCCGCCGATCATTTCGTTTGAAACCATGCGCCATCAATTGGAGAATACGTGCGGGGAGCCGAGAACGACAAATTGGACATCTGCAGGCGACAATCGCTATGTAGAAGAGCTTTCGCTGTTCAATGATTGTGTCGAAGGCATACCGAGGGTAGCCAACACAGCTTCCAAGATCTGTTACAGGACAGCAAGCGATATCTGCCAACCGTACGCTTTCCCGCGCGACGCCCTCCGAACCGAACAAGCCCCCGATAGAAGCTAGAATTAGTAGCGTTGCTACCCCGAGGAACACGAATGCTGCTTAACGCCAAAGTTTGTGAGCCTCCACAGCGCTTAGTGCGGCTCCGATGGAAATCCGATTATGCTGTTCACCAAGGTCGAATCTGGTTCTAAGCGTCTGCTATGACGCCAATCCCACATTGCACTGTTGATCCTCTCGTGAAACCGACCGACGTCTTCCTCGCGGGTATTATGTTCGTCAACGGGCCGTTCCTGCGTGGTGTCATGCGATAGGGCAGGTTCCTGGAGCTAGTGACCTCATGCGCCATAACGCTACAGTGGATGTGCGAGGGCGGTATATGCGGCGTCAGGATCTTCCGAGTTGCGTATGACGATCATTCATACATTCATGGGATAGTGCTATTGAGAGCAAGCCTTATTCAGATGTATCACACACTGGACAATAAGAAAAAATTGATAGTCAACCTGTCATTCGCACTGGCCTAATTTCCTGCCATACTAGAGGGTGAAAACCGAAAGACTTCAAGAGGACTGACCAGTTCACAGTCAGAGCATCAGACATTGGCCACGACGAACACTGTGGGGACCAAGTCAAGCAAATTATTTTGCGATCCTGAAACTTGCAAGTGTCAACCTGGCAGTGCTCGTAACACTTCACCGGGCGTACAGTCCCTGAAGCACAAGTCGTTATGAAACCAACACCACCAATCGTTTATACAAGATTCAAACTTCTTGTCACACTTCTCGCACGGGTTGTTTGGCGGTATATCTGGGTGCTGGGCGGCAGGGCTGCGCTCCTCCACAGTGCGCCTTTCCTGAGCTTCCGTCTGTTTGGCGCAATCTCGCTGAGAATCGACCTGCAGGGCATTCTTGTGGCTACATTCGGTCCAGCCACAGCCTTTGTAACACTAGAGAACTGATATTAATATGGAAGTCGATCGTGAGGGTATAGAAAACGAACTCACATCCTGGTAGTCGCATGCCTCAATTCGGCAATTCAGTTGGCACGCGCCCGGCGAATCATTGCACTAAGAATGCTGTTAGGGCACGATATCTCTGACTCGGCGAGAAGGTCTGACGTGGTTCATGCAATCAAGGTAGACCCTATCGCATTTGTCGCAGCGGTCTGGCTTCTCTGGGGGTACCGTCTGGGCTATGGGTGCGCGACGCTCTACTCCATATCCGTGCTCAACCCCCTCGGCCCCCGCTTGCTGTAAGGGCGCTGAAAACGAAGTCAGTATGCTTCAAGATAGGCACTACGAGTTTGACTAGTGGTGTACTTACTGGCCCACGCAACCGCGGCCAGAAGCGCGAAGAGAATGAAAGAGAGGTTCATGTTCCTAAAAATGGGAAAAAGAAGCCAGTTGAGTCTGATGTTGGTGGTGATGTCGAGCAAAGGAGTCGAGTGCTGGCGGTGTACAAGCGTGTATATATTGCCTTGCAAACGCTCCGCTCCTGCGAGCAAACCGCCGCGGGGTTACAGTTGAAGCCAAGTGAAGGGGAACGGAGACCCTCCGAATCCAGTACGCGCCGAGGATCTGAGATTTTTCTTCTGGGTTGCTCTCTCTACCTCCACTGACGGGTGCAAGTTTCCGCCGCACTTGTACTCGTTGCTCACAGGAACGTACTAGAAATTCGAGATCCGGATTAGGTTGGGATATTTTCATCGATGAACGATAATGGGTATGAGCGATGTGGAATTGTATGAATACACTTTAGGCCGGCCTGGTGGTGACGGAAGTCGAACGTCTACTTGCATGTTTATGGAGCACACAAACTCTTCAATCTGCGGCAATCACCAACATACGCCAAGAGAATTCACAGCAGACGAGACGAAAAAATGTTGTCATTTCGCTCGTGTCATTAGATGGTGGTCGTTCAAATCGTCAGGAGACAAACTAGCTTGACAGCCTGGTGCATACCATGGAACGCTCCTTCTCGATCATGCAGGTTTACCACATTCCACACCCCCAACAAAATCCGTAATATCATTTTAATTCCACATAATATCCACCATGTATAAGAGCTGTTGCCTTCGCCTTCGCGTGACATCGCGACAGATGGGTTTCCACAATGATTTACCGGGTAACACTTGAAGTGTTTGACCTGCTACCCAGGCTCCACAATACGCCCGCCGCCTACCTCATCCGAATCCCAACATATCCCAAAACATTGCTGCCTCCTGCCAATCCATACCTATGGCCACCAGCATCCAGTGGAAAGCCAAACTGAGTGCCTTGGTCACCCAGTACCTCGAAGAGCGCCGCAGCAGCCCGACCGCATCTTCCACCAAACTCCATTTTGGCTCCGAAACAAACCGCTAGCCCAACTCATGCTCACAGATAGTCCTTACAAGATAATCCCAAACTGTCTTCCCACTTCCCAGCATCAGCGAGCGCGGACCATACTAGCGCACAGGGAGCGCTGCTCCGACCTCCCGAGCGGGACAATGGGCACGAACAAGGAGTCCCTCACAACTATTCGCTTCCCGGGAATGGAGCACGATGTCTTCATTGAGGTTGGGGCGTTGGTTTGGGCAGGCGAAAAGTACGTCCACGTGAACTCCTGTGGGCTCACAGCGCCGCAAAAAAGAGAGTCGTCCAGGGAGATTGATGGAGCAAGTGGAACGCTGGGGCCGGCAATGTGGGCAACCTTTGAGAGTGGGAAGACGGAGCTTGTGCTTGAGGAGGCGCGTCCAGCCCCGCTTCAGGCTAAAGAGGTGGTCGGAGAGGCCACGCCGATGGTGATGGAGATGTTGCAAGTTGGAGCGCCGTTACAAGAGCAAGCAATGGAGCTCACTGCTCATCCAAAAAGACTCATCGTCCGGGAAAAGAAGCTACATGAGTTTTCAGAGCTCAAACGCCGCGACGAAGCAGTAGAGCAAGAAGGAGGAGGTCCACAGATAAAAGTGAAGGCAATGAAGAAACTGTCTAAAGCTTTAGAGGCGCAACAAAGGATGACGGGGGAACACCAGAAAAGCCAGCCAGGAAACTGGCAGCTGGTACGGGAGCTTCACGACGCACATCCGGAAGAATGTCAGCTCGACCTATGTCCTGTGTGCCGGGAGGGAGCGAGGCCGAATCATACACACCAAGCGGTACGGCTGACTAAAGCAGCGATCGAGAGCTTATCGCGGGTCAGGTCGTTTACCGATAGTTTTGAAACGGAAGCCGAGTCTGAGTCAACCACTGAGTCTTCCATGTTGGAAACGCCTCCATGGAAAGACTCAAGTCAAGCAAAGCAGAGGGATCCGGATCCGGCTGCCTGCTCAGGCCTTCAGTGGGGCCACTCCAGACTTCACTCATCCTCGCCAGCCGCGAAGGCTGCAGTCTCGGACCACAAAGATCGGCGCAGAACACCATTCTCGACCTAAGCTGCACTCTAGGCTCAGAGGAAATTTTTGGCAGCTCATAGCGAAGAATTACCAGCTTTGTGTACACTCAGGGCACACCATTGCGGCATCGCTACAGTTCTCGTGCCTAACAGCGGATTTGCTTGTTTCCGTGCACATGCACAAAGCACCAAAGCGTCTCCTCCTAACCAAGCCAAAGATTAGGCTCGACGGCTTTTTCTTTGCGCTGCGGTCTAGTATTTTGACAACAAGCCCAAAGATTGATCGACTTTTCCCGCAGTGGAAGTCTCAAGCTTCTGGCTTCAACGCGTGCCTGGCTCGATTGCACCCCAGATGACTTGCGCAGAGAGATCTCAGCCAACGCCGGCCACGTAGGATTATAGCCCTGGCTACTCACCGCTCCGTACGCCTCTCCCACCCTATAACTATGATCTTCATATCACTAGACTCGGACCTCTGCGGGTGCCTCGGGGAGAGAAGTCGCTGGCGCGGAGTTGCGGTCGAATGGGGGCATGCATAAGGGGCCGAATTCGAATCCGGCATCTCCTGCGCCGGGTCTGACCATCAATTGCGAAGTGAGCTCCAGAGTGACACAGGAGCACATCCTGTAGATACATTGTAGAGTATTCGGTTATCGAATGACGGACTGTATGACAATTTGCGTGAGCTATGAAGGACTAGGCAGCGGTACACCCCGGTCACGCAGATGGTTCCCGTCCTACAGCGGCACCGAAGCGCCCGCGTTATTGCCTCAGGCACGACGTGTCTGGAAAAACGGAAGAGTACAAGAGGAATGGGTGACGTTGAAGATCATCACATTCGGACTACAACATATACACTCCCGCACCGTAGGAATACATAAGCCCAGTTGACCCTGTACCCGATAGTCATAATGTGTAGGGCCTTTCGCAGCGCGGGACGAAACCACAGTAGCAGCGAGCGTGTGACTCAGATCGCAAGGCCGGAATTATACAGTCACACACCGTCGAATTTTCAAGCCGCCGCAGCCGCGGGATACTTCCTCAACTGCAAATTTGTCAGCAAACTGCCATGGAAAAAACTGGCGGAGAACTCACGTCCAAACTGATAGCCTTGCTGCTCATCTTCGCCTGGTCCCTCATGATTCCAACTAGCGTCTCGCTCTCCTGGAACAGCCCAGCCTTGTGGCTAATGACGATGAACTGCATGCCCGGCCTCGCATGGCTGGTCACATACTTGGCCACGCGCGAGACGTTCACGTTATCCAGCGCAGCATCGACTTCATCGAGCACAAAGAACGGACTAGGTTGATACGAGTGAATAGCGAATAAGAGCGCTAAAGCAGCAATGGTACGCTCGCCTCCGGACAGGTGCTCCATATCGCGGTAACGCTTGAGTGGCGGCATAGCGTTGTACTTGATGCCCGCAAGGTACGGCTCCGAGCTGTCCTCTAGATCGAGGTAGGCCTGACCGCCCAGAGGGAATTGCGAGCTACTCGTGAGTTCCCGGTAGACGGGTTTGATGTTTTCGCGGATATGCTGGTAGGCCTTCATGAACAGCTCCATGCGCTCGTCCTTGACTGCTTCGAAGGCCGCCTTGGCATTCTCGGCCTTTCTCTTCGCTGTCTTGAAGTCATCGTCGATCTGGGTCATTTTCTCTCTCGCAGCAGCCAGCTTTTCCGTCGCTTTCATGTTGGGATTCGCTTTGTTGATCTCTACGTCGAGTGATGCGATCCGGTCTGTGAGTTGGTCTTCGGCCTTCTTGAGAGCGGCTGCTGCTTCAGCTTGGATTTTGTCGTCATCGTTATCCTCCTGCACGGGGTTAGCAGATGCAGGCATGTACAGCGATGTGTGGCATACTTTTGCAAGAATATCATCGATCTCTTCTCGAAGCTCGTCGTCCAGCTTCTCGAAGTCGGGCTCGACACCGTAGTCGTCGATCTCAGCCTGTGTCTCGTCTGGTTCGTCAACATCCATTGCATCCTCGTCCTGTTGACGCACGGCATCTGTCATGGGTAGCGAGTTCAGTGGCACTGAATCTGACGTGAGTGGTATCTTGATTTCTTCGAGACGGCATTTCTTCAGCAGGCTGTAGCGTTCCGAGGCCCTGTTCTTGATCTCTATTTCCTGTTGCTGGACATCCGCCTGGATGTGCCTGACCTTCTCGTTTCGCTTATCCAGTTTATTGCGGGCATCTTTCACGGCTTGAGTCTTCTCGGCCTTGTCTTTCTCTAGCGCGGCTACCTTCTCTTGAAGCGTCTCCAATTCGGCTTGAAGCTCATCGATGGAATTCTGCAGCTCCTCACGCTGAGCGTTGAGCGTCTCGAGCGCAGTCTGATCCCTATCGAGCTTGGTCTGTGCCGCCTCTATCCGCGAATCAATGCTCCCAATTTCTCGCAGGATGTTGTTGCGCACGAAGTCGAGCGATGTGCGCTGTTTCCTGAACTCAAGACGCTTCTGAGATGCCTCCTGTTGGGCCGAGCCTTGTTGGGAATCATATTCGCGAATGTTGGCGTAACCGAGTCGCTGACAGAAAGCTGCAAACACGGCATCTTCGACTTGATGAACGGCATCTGCTTTCTCCTTCAGGTGCTCCTCCCTGTCCTGTAGTCGCTGCGTTACATCGTTGAGCTTTGGTTGCTCTTGCCTCAAGATGTTCTTGTCGTGGGTGAGCTCCTTTTGTTTGCTGCTGATGTTGCGCTCGATTGTCTTGATCTCGTCTTCCAGACGGCGCGTCTGATCGTCTAGATCGTTGAGCTCTACCTGCAGCTCATCTATATCTCTGTCGAAGGCATCGGCTCTGGCAACATTGGCAAGCTTGGACTGGATCTTCTGCACATTCTGCCTCAGTGCCTCGAGTTCCGCGTCGCCAAATTGCTGTTTCTGGTTCGAACCTTGCATGGTACCACCAGTCATAGTGTTACCCTTGGAGATGACGGAACCATCCAAAGTCACTGCCTTGACGCCAATCTTGCGCTCGAAACACATGTGCTGGGCAAGTTTGAGATTGTCGCAAATGACACTGTCACCGCATGCAGATGAGATGGCCCGCTCGAGGTGAGGTGGGTAGTCGATGCAGTCAATGCCTAGACGCATGCCCTCATGCATACCCTTTAGGTTCTGATTCGCCGACTGCACAGTCAACGAGTCGAGGGGCAGGAAGCTCATCTGGCCAAGCTTTCCCTCCTTCAAAAACTGAACGCAGTCCCTGGCAGTTTTATCCGTGTCTACGAGCACGGCATCCATATGCCAGCCAAGCAGCGTACCAATGGCAGTCTCGTACTTCTTCTGCTTGGGTTTGATCAGGTCTTTGTAGCGTCCATACACGCTTGCGCCAAACGTGCGCTTCATCTTGGAAACGTGTTCACGCATGGCCCGTTCTCTGTTGGTCTCGTGGCGACCCATCTCGGCGGATCCAAGCTCGCGAAGGACTTTGGTAAGCTCTTGATTCAGCTCATCAGACTGAGCCTTGTTGCGGTTTCGGTCAGACTCAAGCTTGTTAAGATCTTGACGCTTCGTGGCACGCGTGGTCTTCTTTTCTTTCAAGGTGGTCTTCAATTCGCTTTGCCGTTCTTGGAGCTGAGCGATCTCCTGTTCGAACCTTTCCACGGTCGCCCGGAGGCCATCTATCTTCTGCTGAAGATTACGAGCATGTTCCCGCTCCGTGCCAATCTCGCGCTCAAGCCTGCTGACCTCGGCCTGGTCGGCGTAGGTCTGCTTGCTGACCTGGCTTCGGAGTCGGTTGTATTCTTGCTCGTCCTCGGGCGAAAGCTCTTGGCCCGGTTGTCCGGCGGCGGCCCTGCGCTGTGCTTCCCACTGCTTTTCGGCCTTGTCAAGCTGCGAGAGGTTCTTGTCGAACCGGCCGAGGTCCTGCTGTTTGGCGTCTCGTTCCTTGGTCAAGGAAGCGATCCTGGCTTCCAACTTCTTCAGCTCTTGTTCGGTAAGGCGTATCTTTTCTTCAATGGGGACCAGGTCGTTCTGAGCGTCCTCAATTTCTTTGGTTTTGGCGTTCACGTCGTTGTTGGTCTTTGCAATGTTCCGCTTGACCTTGGCTTCCTCCTTGGTAGCATCCTGCAGTCTGTCATGGTATTTCTGGACACCGCGTCGGTGCTCCTTGAGCTCTTCCGCATGGCGCGAGATGTTGTCGCGGGCTTTTTCGATGGCCTGCTGGTGGTGGTACAACTTCCACATGATGTGCGTCACTGCGGCATCGTCGCGTTCGGCAACCTTCCTCTCGTAGGCCTTGGCTTCGGCCTCGAGCGTCGTGTACTCCTTGATCTCGGCATTGATGTGACGTTTTGACTGGAGAAACTGCGAGTTGTCCTCTGCGGCGGCGTCCGACTCGGCCTTGAGCCTTTCGTAGTCGGCTTTCTTCTCCAGACTGCCCGAGATCTGCTCAAGCATGTAGGTGATGTCCTTGGGAGGCTTTTTGGCGACTTCCTCCACCTCGCCCTGGGGGATGAGGAAAGCACGAGCCTTGACCAAGATACTCTGCTCTTCCAAAGCCTCGTTGTAGGCTCGTGCTGTGACGACGCGTCCGTTTATGCGGTACTCGCTCTGGCCGGCGGTGGTGATGGTGCGGCGCCAGCGGTGAATGTTGTCGGCATCGTCTTCGAAGACGGCTTCGACCCAGGCAGTCTTGGGGTCGCCCTGCTGCGAGTCGCCGTCTTCCTGTGCCTCGCCGTCTTGGTCGCCGTTCTGGTCGCCGTGGGCCTCGTCGACGGCGGTCTTGCTCGTGCTGATGATGCGGCCGCGGTACACGAGCTCCCGCAGCTCGCGCGAGCGCAACGAGGCCGACTTGATGCCAAGCACAAACGAGATGGCGTCCATGCTGTTGGACTTGCCGGAGCCATTGGGGCCGATGATGGAGGTGAAGTACGAGTCGCCAAAGGGCAGCACGTGTTTGCCGCGATACGTCTTGAAATCTACAGCACGCGGGTCAACACGGCGACTGGGCGGGGGCGCGGGCGCGGGCGCGGGCGCGTCACTTACTGTACAGCTCGAGGCGCACGAGCTTACCCATGGCTGCGGTGGGCGTGCGCGCGGTCGGGCGCTGCTGGCGGGCTGGTGGTTATGCAGACGTGCGCGCGCGGGTGCTGAGCGCAGCATCAAGCGCGTCGCGTTGGCTGCGCGAGACGCCCAATGGCCCGCCGTAGGCCGTAGCGGCGCATGGGCCGCCCACGCCTGCTCGGTGACGTCTGCGGGCTCGCACCAAGGCACCACAACACACAAGGCCACCGAGCACATCGACACAGTCGCCGCCTTCCCAGGCTGCCTGCCGCAACACAGTCACGCATCTCGCGCGGACGGTCCTGTGACCCTGGCCCGCCTCCCGTCACGCACGTCGCCGCCGTTCTGATGACACCGTGGACGGCCGCTCAACTCCCAATCACTGCCCGCCGTTGAACCACGCATCCGCTTCTGCAGACGACAAACAACGCCCGCTCGCCGCACTCGTCTGGCCCGCTGCCCCCCAAAGCACCCCAGCGGCCATCGCCACCGACGCAGGGTCTGTCTGCATACGTATAACCCCACACTGTACGTGCGTTCCGCTCCCGTTGTCGCTCTTCTGCCCTCGATATCCCTATGCGCATCCCGCACACCATGCATCCGCGCGCGCCCCTCAACTAACCACCATGGCTGTAGGCTCTCCGCCGCGCCCCCTCAAGAGGCCCTCTCTCCACCGCCGGACCCCCTCAAGTCTGGGCTCTCTGGGTTCTGTGCCTGAAGACGACCTGCCCATCATGACGGACCGCAACCCCGCCGTCGACGCCAGGTTCCGATCGGAGCCAGAGCTGAATGCATCCGGGAATTCTGGAACGCCGCTGCCTGGTGACAGCACCCATGCTGGCTCTGCGCTGCTCGGCAGCAATGCCAGCACGGCGCCGCTGCCGACGCCTGGCCTGTCGCGCTCCAACTCCTTCAGCTCTGCGTACGACTCAGATGCCGAGGACGCTTCCTTTTTCCCGCCCGTAGAGCGGCTGACCATGTTCGACTTCATCGAGAACCTTGCTCTGACAGAACGCATGGAAAAGTTGCAGAAGTCTGTTTCGCACCAGACGAAACGGCTGAGGGAAACTGCCAAAACACGCACGCAAAGCACAAGGGACCGCGCCATCGAAGAATGGCGCCGCCGTGTGCCCAACGAGACCGAGCAGCTGGACAAGTACAAGAAACGCATGCGCCAGTCTGTCGAGCGCCTGAACCAGCAGTGGGCGTCTAATACCGCCGTTACTGCGAGAGAAAAGGCCTCATTCATTGCCGCCGTCATGAACATCTTCGTCTCGGGATACCTCGTAGGCGGCCGTCCTGAATGGTTCCCTCTCTGGTACACGGTCCAGCTACTGTACTTCATGCCTCTCCGATACTATACCTACCACAAGAAAGGCTATCACTACTTCCTCGCCGACTTGTGCTACTTTGTCAACGCACTGCTGGTCTTGAGTCTCTGGGTGTTCCCTCAGTCGAAACGCCTCTTTATTAGCACATACTGTCTCGCGTTCGGAAACAATGCCGTGGCTATCATCATGTGGCGGAATTCCTTGGTCTTCCACTCCATGGACAAGGTTGTCAGTCTGTTCATTCACATCATGCCATGTGCCACGCTCCACTGCGTGGTCCATTTGCTATCTCCCGATTACCAACGCCAAGCGTATCCCGCAGTGTGGGCTATTCGAAATGCCGCTCCACACTCGCCACATCGCTACGGTCTTCCCCAGATGATGCTCTGGGCAACCCTTCCCTATGCCATCTGGCAACTCTGCTACCATTTTGGCATCACAGTCCGCCGTCGCGAGAAGATCGCCGCCGGCCGGCCAACATCGTTCACCTGGCTTCGCAAATCCTACGCAAAGAACTTCCTCGGTCGCTTCGTCCTTTCACTCCCGGACTCTCTTCAGGAGCCCGCCTTCATGCTGATTCAATACACCTATGCCGTCCTCACCATGGTGCCCTGTCCGCTCTGGTTCTGGTCACGCTGGGCCTCGGGTGGCTTCCTGACCGTCGTGTTTGTCTGGAGCACCTACAACGGCGCAAACTACTACATCGAGGTGTACAGCAAGCGGTTCCAGAAAGAGCTTGAGCAGCTCAAGAAGGACGTCGCCAAGTGGCAGAATTCTCCGCTCACGCCCATGCCGCAGCCAAATGCTGAGCAGATGAAGGAGTTCCCGCTGCTGGATGGCAGTGCGAATGCATCAGGCGCAAAGGCTGGTGGAGAAGACGGCGAGGCGCGTGAGAGGAAGCAGGGGTCTTTGAATGTTCCTGAATCGTCATCCTAATCAAGAGTGCGTTACGTAGGCGTGTCTTCCTGCATTGCATGGGTTTACTGTTTCGAGGCTGGTGTTCGCCATTTGCGCTATGCTTTATTCTAAGTCTGCTTCTGTACTTGCTGGGATTTACGCGCGTTGTGGATTGCCTTTACATCTGCTGGGATTTGATGGATTTCTTCCTCGCTTGGTTTCCTAACGTCTCTGTAGATTGGCTGCAACGATATACCCCCTTTCCTTGAGCTTGTATCAAATGTCATTGGGACGAGGATGTCTACCCCACGCAACTATTCCCAATGCGATTTCTACTGCATAGCGCACAATTCTTCATACACTGCATTTTTCGACTATGAGTGGTTGTGTCACATCACAATCAATTCAACCAAGTATTTACATTACAAGGACATGCAATCCACCACCTCCCTGCTTGGCAAGGCTCCCCCCTATCACACCCTCGACCTACGTCTAGCACTTGAACACTGACGGGCCGGGCGCAGTGTACTTGTTTGCTGTTAGCTTGGTCCAAGAGCACTTCAGAGGAACGTACAGTTTTCTGGCCGTTGTACAGGTTGTACAGAATTCCCGGGTCAGACGCCTTGTACGCGCCGGGCAGGCTCACGCTCGACGGCGTCTTGCTGGCAGACCCGCCTTGGATGTTGATCTGCGCGCACTCCTGTTGCCACGCCGTCAGCATACGCCCTCGCTTTCTTCTCCTGCAGGCCCCAGGGCCAAACAAGAAGAGCGATCAGGGGGTTGGCTCACCATGTAGAACTGCGCACCGCCAGAGGACGACGCGCCGTGCAAAGCGATCAGCTCGCCGCGGAGGAGGTACTGTCCTGGTGCAATGCACTGCGGGATGGTGATGGTCTGCACGCCGCCGTTGGCAATCAGACGGTCGACGCCCCACTTGCCCGAGGAATCGAGCCCGTCTTCGGCGATCTTGAACCAGCCCGCTGCATCGCCGTCAGTCACTTCCTCTTCATCGTTCCCAGGAGGAGATCAACGTACATCCAGGACCAGCATCGCTCTTCGCATCCGACACCTTCTTCAAGTACGCCATGACCGGCCCCTTGTGGCTCGCATCGATGACGTCGTTGGAGCCCGACGTGAGGGTGTGGCGCCAGGTGAGCTTTGCGGTCGACCCGGCTTGGATGTTGATGACGGTGTTGGTGCTTTGGGGTGTGCCGTTGGGGGCGCCGTTGCAGGCGATGGAGCTGGACGATACGTCCTGAACGGGCTGGTGGTCGTTAGCATGGTCTGGATCCCGCAAGCGGCAGGAGGTGAGAGGTAGGGAGACGTACACCGTCGTAGGAGACTACGCGGACGCCATCGCCAATCGCGCCGTTGTTCAGCGAGACGAAGATGGTGTGCGCCGAGGCAGACGATGCCGCAGCAGCGAGCGCGAGGGACGCGGAGAGTTTCATGTTCGTTCGTTGCTCGAGGGTCCTGCGTCTACATGTTGCCATGTTCCCGCTGCGCTGCCTTTATACAACCCACCACCGGGTGATCCACAGCGCCGCCACATCCCGGCTCCCAAACCGTACACCCCCAAGCCAAATACACGCCCACGCCAACCTCACGCGAAGCCTCCCGACCCCAGCCCGCGAAAGCTTTTCGTCGTATCCACCAACCGAACCTCCACCAGAAATGATTCCGCCCAGGCCCCCAAGCCCGCGCGACTCTTTTCGCAGCGGAGCCGCCGGTCCGTCCAAGTTCGCAGTTCACAACGTTAAATTAAGCAATATGGAAACCCCACAGAATCTTCTTTGAGCGCTAAGCGAAGGGTGCTGTAGCCAATGCTAGCGTCAGAGATAGATTGCCCGTGAAAAGAACACCACGAGAGCCTGGGGTAAATTGCCTTTGGCGCGCCAACGTGACCCGGGTTGTAGCACGAGGCTTGCGATTGCCGAGCGACGTCAGAGTGCGCCGAGGACGACCATGGTTGAATCACACGGGATGCGGATAGGAGAGCCGTGGGAGGGAGGGAAAGGGGAGAGATATCATTGAAAGAAGCAATATCTCTATGGACTGGAAAAGTGTCCTAGCCAAGCTGGTGGATGGTGACGTCCTTGTGCAGCTGCCTACACTCGTTCTGGGAGCATTGGTGACCGAATCGGGTCCTATATACATCTAGCTGCCGACTACAATGGAGCATTAGCATCGATGCCGATCCTCGAAGATCAGCTGCCTTGCCTTGCGGGGAGCGATAACCTGGCTCCTGGTTCCGTGTGCCGCAGTCCCGAGAGCAGGATCCAGATGTAACGAAAAGGAAGAAGGCGCAACCGTAGTAGCGAGATGTTTCAGTCGAGTCCAGAGAAGCCCAGGATGCCATGGGTCTGCTGTTGTTTCCCGCCCTTGCCCTTCCTCCTCTTCTTGCGCTTTTGCGAAGGGCGTTCATCATCGCTGCTGTCTTCCATCTCTTCATCGCTGTCCTCATCGTCGCTAGCACGCGAGTGCTTGTCCCCCGCGACACCGTTCCCGGCCTCCTCCTCTTCCTCCTCGCTTTCCTCCTCCTGCCCATACACGCTTGCCTCGCCCCATACCTTGACCATTCTGCCGCCTCCACTGTACATCCTGCCCGTAGAATCGAAGCCAAGACCGACCACAGCCTCCTTCTCCAGCTCATCATGCGATAGTTCGGCAATGACCTGGTTCGATCCGATCTTGACGAAGCGCAAGGCACCGTTGCCCAAGCCCGTGGCTACTATTTTGCCGCTAGGCCCAACGCCCTGGGGTAGGAGGACCATAGAGTCTATGCTCTCCCCTCCGCCGGGGGACCTATCAACGGTGATGCGTTCGTCCTGATCGTCCCACACTCCCCGTTCCCAGAGAGTCAGGACGCCGTTACCGCCTCCGACAACAACCTTCTCACCGACACTTGAGCCCTTCTTGGAGAGGCCTGTGACCATGACCGAGCACAGCAGCTCCTCTTCTTGATCCTCGCTCCGTACCATGACTCCCCGCCGCAGATCTGTGACGGCCAGTGTGGTGCCTCCCGTGCTGACCCATTGCTTGCTGAAGCCGCTGGTGCTCGCGGCGCTCGGTGGCAGCGGAGTAAGAGACGAGATGTAGTCGTCGTGTGGATGATGTGTCTGTTCGGGCTTGGGGTTGGCTTGCGGACCGAGCGCGCGAAGGTCATAGAGATGGAGCGCTGAGGAGTCGGTCCCGAGTAGGAGGGTCTGCGGTGAGAGCGCGTGGACGAGCGATGGCGCGTCAATCGCATTTGAGCTACTGCACAGCGTTAGCAGGCATTACAAATACGATTCAACATGGTTGACATACGGGTCGAGCGGGACAGCAATCTTCGCGACAACCTTACCCGTTGTCGCATCTGCTGCCTTTACGATTCCATCTGTGCCAGCCGAGTACAATTGCGAGCCATCGACAGCGAACGCCAGCGCTCGACAGCTTCCCTTGTGTCGCCGCGTCTTCCAGGCTGTTTCAATGTGCCCAAAGCCGTTTTCTGAAGCAAGCGTCTCGTCGCCGTCTTCGCTTGCGCCTGCGGGCAGGCGATATGTCTGCACATGGCCCGAAGAAAGGCCAACAGACACAATTGGCTCCTCCGGATGAACCACCTGCGTGAACAGGTCGTGGTCAAGCGGGATGGCGCAGATGTTCTGGAACATGACGTGTGGTGTTGTGCGATGTGGTCCAGGAGCCTCTGCAACTTTTTTGTGGAGTACAAAGTAAACGCGCCCACGCGGGCGCCCGCAGGTCTGGTCACGTGTCGCGCCTACCCCAACGTAGAACCCCCTCACACTTCTCCGCATACAAGGTCACACGAACCCAGCTGTACGTCCATCTCCCCCATTTCAACAGAGTCCCATATGGTTTGGAGATCCGCCCAAGGCCCTTGCGATACGCGATTTCAGCGTCCCACTCGATCCAGAGCACAAAGTAGAAATCATTCGTCCACCGCGTCAACGGACGGGAGAAGTGCTTCGACCGCGTGCAGCCGGCGCTCACCCGTATAAAATCTGCTTCAAATGTTTCGGGGCAGGGTTCCGAGGGATTGAGTAGCCCCATGCGAGTATCTCCGGAAGCTCGAACAAAATTCCGCCTAGCACAAAGTTATGCTGGTCTCGCGGAAAGGTGAACCTGAAGTCATCCAAGGAGAGAAGTTTCCCACACCACGGCCCAACCAGCTTGATGAGTTGGTTACATGTGGGACATTCGCAATTGTCTTCCAAAATTTCGTACCGTGTTATAGTGAACTCTTTTGACTCAGACTCTTGGTGAGTTGTCTAACTTGTTCTATCCATAATCCGCGCAATCAGTGTGCAGAACTCGCATGACTTCGATCTACTTGCGTCTCTCATCAATTAGCTGGTAAGTGATTTTTTCAATTGTGCGGTTCTCAGAGATCGTGTTCTAACAGAGACAGTGCGTTGAGACTGCGATCATGGCTTCATATCTGGAAGAGATGCTAGGATTACACGAGGCTGAGTCGGCGGGGTCTTGTATGTGAGATAGGCGAGTCAATCAAATGCAGAGAGTCGCTTAGCTGAAGCAGTGAAGCAGTGCTGCCAAATGCAGTATTGATCTAAAATCATATCCGATGCTTCAGATATTGCAGTACAATCCTAGACTTACAGATACTTTAGACATGTTTGCCAAGCCCCTCAGTAATAATGTCCCTTCTTCAACCCAATCATCCCCTGCCTGAAACCGTCCTTCTCCATCTGCTCCATCACATTTTCCAAGTTCTTCCTCTCCATGCTACCGACGCCACCGGACAGCCTCGGATCCGCATCTGGTAGAATATTGCTGGTGACCGCCGTCGCCGTCGCGTTCGCGCGCGCCCCATTCCCGTTCCCGTCGGAGAAACACTTCAGGCTCATGAATGTGGGCATGTTCGAGGCCTGCCCGGGGAACCGAAGCGTCTTGACCTGGGTGCCCGTGCAGGTGGCTTTTTCGAAGAGGACGCAGAAGCCGTCTTCGTCGGGGCCGATGGAGCGCGCTGAGTTGTTGCCTGTGCCCGCGATGTGGCATCGATTATTTGGTGCAGTCCAGGCGCAGTCGCCGCGGAAGTTGTCGCTGGTACAGATGTAGACGGCGCCTGGGAGGCCGCGTTTCCGGAACCGATGCGTGTGGCTTGCTGGTGGCGTGCGCGGGTTCTCCTGAAAGTTCCGGGGAGGAAGGCTCTGAACATCGTGGTTGAAACGCGACGTGGGAAGTGCGACAATGATGGGGAGGACGCAGAAGAGGTACAGTGCAATGGACGGAAAGATGGAGAAATGGACCATTGTTTTGATCGGGCAAAGGCGTGATTTAGAAATTAAATGTGTGTATAAACAAGTATTTGTCAGGCCGTTGACCTCAAAGAAACGGACACCGGCCGTGTATATGAAGGGAAATTGAACGAGTGATTGTATGGCCTCTGGAAGGTGCCAGTGTACGAGCACGCCGGGCACAGCGTTCACTTGGTCGGACCAGGAGATATAGTAGATTGTCGAAAGGTGACGTCGCAAGGGCGAAGAGGGAGACCGGCTTCGACTTCGACCTCGTCTTCTGCAAGGGGCATCTGCCAGAGATGAATGTTATTCGTTTCCAGCCCCATAGCGACCAGAAAGTGGTCAAGACTGTTTGCGCGCCGACATGTTGTCAATGTTCCAAAGGAGGGTCCGGAAAGGGCGCAAGGAAAGTTGCGAGCGCGACCATTGTTATGGAAAGTGCAAGTGTGCTAGGGTGAGTCTTCGTGAAACACGATTGCGATGCGTGCGACCGCAGGAGTCGCACCCAAGAACCAATGGGTGTGGGGCGCTCACGACACCTGCGGACTCAGGTTTCCAACCGACAAGACCAGCTAGGATCGGCCGTTGTATCGCGCGTACTTCGTCAGGCTTAGATTGTCGTGTTTGCAGACAGTCGTAAGTGGTGACGCGGTGGTGCGCAAAGGACAGAGGACCGGCCACAACTGCTTGGATCGACAGGTACGCGACGACTGACGGCATAAAGTCCGATGTTGCGCAGCCAGGGCGCCGGTGCAACACGCATGATAAGTTTGGCCGAAAGACATGCCAGAAGTCTGCCTCATCGGGTAATGACAACGATTGCAAGCGCTCTGTACTGCATGGGATCAGCCAGTTCCAAGGATTGTTCCTGGGCACATGGAGCCAACCGTCAGCCTCGACAGCATGCGGCAAGACGATTGATACTTGCGAGGAGCAATAGTCGGAGCACTGCCTTTTGAAATACAAACAAAGTCGCATTGAAGCTCAAGTACGCCGAGCAAGCTTTCCAGACTGGGAGGCTCTGGTGCTGAGAGAGATTATCGGTGTCTGAAAGAAGGCATCGGAGGGCGGAGGCGGTCCCGCATGTCAAATGTCGCAGATGTGTTCGTGTCCCAGAAACCGGGATGAGGCCGACGTTCACGTCAAACTTCAATGCGTTTGACGCTATGCGCGAATTCCTGGGGTTAACGATGCGTTTCTCAGGGCGAAATATGAACATGTCGCCTTAACACATGGATCAACAACGGGACGAGTACGTTCTACATAAGAAGGGGGTTATATGAGGGACATCCCAGTTCCTACATGGCAACCTGGTAGGGAAGGTCGGACCCAGCGCTAGACAGCATGACGGCCTCGGTGAGCTTCCCACAGGTTCGTGCTCGGTGTCCGAGTACTGAGCGCTGGCGATTGGCAGGAAGAGACAGTTCGTCGGTTCCAACATGCTTGAATGATTCGGAAGACCGACCTGGCGATCTGCTACACCGCGACCAGATATAAAAAGCGCGAGGGGAACGATGCAACTCTCGCTCGCAGACTGAAGTCATCGCAGGCCCGTGCGTCTAGTGCAGGCCCGGTTATCGGCGGCGCTCACAGAAGATATCCAGAGTGCGGTCCAACACGTCACGGAGCCATGTCGGCCATGTCCTAATGTTGCAGATAGCAAGGCAGCTGTGCCCGCGTAGACTCACCACAATCGTCCGCTCGCACCACAGCTTTCCCGTCATGGCGAAACGCGACTATGCGGTAAGCTGCGCGAACTCTGCGTCGGGCGCATCTGACTTCCGCAGGCTGCCGTTGGGGCGCTCAACACGCTGCAGTCCAACTTCTCCATCGTAGACGCGATACGGAAGTCGGGCAAGGGCATGAACAAGCAGGCCATCCCGGAGATGATTGAGTGGTGCCGCAAGATTGGATACGAGGTGTGCGGCTCCCGTCCCTCGATGCTCCAGACCAGTCACTGAGCATTGCTGCAGCCTTCCAATTTCGACCGACTAAAAGCTATACACATCGCTGGGACCAAGGGCAAGGGCTCTACGAGTGCCTTTGTTTCCTCCATCCTCGCTCAGTACATTCAACCGTCCTCCGCGTCGCCCGCAAGCCCCACCAAGATCGGACTATACACCTCTCCACACCTCCGCTCCGTTCGCGAGCGCATACAGATAGACAACGAGTCTATATCGGAAGAGCTGTTCACCAAATATTTCTTCGAGGTATGGGACCGGCTAGAAGCGGCAGCAGACGCGGAGAATACCCCGGAAGGCACACCGACGAAGCCAGTGTACTTTCGCTACCTGACCCTCACGGCGCTGCATGCCTACCTGGAGGAGGGCGTCGACTCGGCAGTCATCGAATGCGGCATTGGCGGCGAGTACGACAGCACCAACATCCTGCTCAAGCCCACCGTCACTGCGGTGACGAGCCTGGGAATCGACCACACGGCTATGCTAGGCTCGACGCTGCCCGAGATCGCATGGCATAAGGCGGGCATATTCAAGCCTGGAAGCGTAGCGTTTTCCGCCCCGCAGAAAGAGGAGGCTATCACAGTGTTGCAGGAGCGCGCAAAAGAGAGAGATACTGAGCTACATGTCATCGATGTCCACCCTGACCTCGCCAGCAACAAGATCAAGCTCGGCCTCTCCGCTTCCTTCCAGAAGATCAACGCGTCCGTCGCCATCGCCGTAGCAGCCGCCCACCTCCGCGCCCTAGGCCACACATCCATCCCTGATCCCACGTCCACGCCGCACATAGAGCTACCTGCCGAGTTCATTAAGGGGCTGGAAGACGTCCGGTGGCCAGGGCGTTGCGAAGTCCGCCGCGAGAAGAACGTCGCTTGGCACATTGACGGCGGGCACACTCTCGAAAGCATCGAGGTCACGGGACAATGGTTCGCCGAGCAGATGGCGGCCGCGAACGCTGCTCCAGGGTCCGCAAAGGCCGCGCCGCGCATCATGATCTTCAACCAGCAGACGCGTGACGCGAACGCCCTAGCAAAGGCCCTGTACAAGGCGCTGCAGACCGGCATCACAGCCGATGCGACGTCGCCTTTCACGCACGTCATCTTCACGACCAATCAGACGTTCAGCGAAGGCTACAAGCCTGATCTTGTCTCCATCAACACAAACCAGCAGGACGTGGATAGCCTGGCTGTGCAGAAGGCGCTGGCCAAGACGTGGTCCGAGATCGACAGCACGGCCGATGTGAAGGTGCTGAAGACAATCGAGGAGGCTGTGACGACTGCGCGGGGCATCGCGGGTGACTGGGCAAGAGAGGCCGGCGCAGAGGCGGAGGTCATGGTGCTTATCACCGGAAGTCTGCATTTGGTGGGAGGGGCGCTCGAGATGCTGGAGACGCATCCGGCGAAGTGAGAAGCCAGGATGGCGATGCAAAGGGCCCAAGAACCTGCAGTAGGAAAAAGTCGCTAAAGCGCCCTTCCCCTGGTGCACCTAGTCAAGCCTGCTTTTAGTGAGAACGCGCAGTCATGCTTAACGCGCGACTGGTGCTCGATATCCAATTGGTATACACCGCGATCTGTTGCCTTAACGCAAATGGACCGATGTATCAAGACACCGTCACATCTTCATATGACAATCGTTGCACACTCTTCTTTTTTCGACTATGGAAACGCCTGTGATAGCTTCAGATGAGATTAGGGTTCATGGACCCAAACAAAAGAAAACCCCCCTTCTAGACAACTTCATACCCATGTTGCTTTACCCAACCAACACCTCTAACGTCTATACCACAGTGACCATCCTCTCCGCCACAGTGACCCAATGCCCATACCTCTTCAACTCGGGCGTCTCTCCCGCCTTCACCCACTCATGCTTATGCGCCCCGTTCCCAGCCTCCTCCCCACCCCACCCCATCTTCTCCAAATTCGTACCCGCCATCATCCCCTTCCACCCCGCCTCTCTCTCAACCCCTCTGCCGGGGCGTTCTTTATTCCCACAGTTATACCCATACCAGCCACAATCCTCCCACACACAATAACCCACCCGGCGGAACTCGTTGTCGGCGGCCCCGGTCGGGACGAGCACGATGGACCACACGGTGATAGGGTCGGTAGAGCGGTGCGTTCGCGTCATGACGGGTGGCTCCTGCCCGACGTGCCACTGTGCGACGGCGAGGAAGGTGAGTTGGGTGCTGGGCGGGATGACTTCGTCAGGGCGGAACGTGCCTCTCACGAGACGCCAGTTCTGCCCACCGCTGAAGCGGCTGGCCGCCGTATCTGGTGATGTGTCGGAGAAGACGAAGAAGTCGTGTGGATGGAAGGAGCGTCCGCGGTACGTAATCAGATGCTTTGCGCCGTCGGGCTTGCACGCTGTCATCAGGGGATTGGATTTTGCGGCCTCACGGTTCGCGAACGGATAGATGGCATCTATGTAGCCGGTGCGGAGGTGCCCACTGAGTTTGAGGGAGCCGGTTTTGGCGGAGGGCGTGCCGGCGACGCGGACGGTGAGGATGTCGCACATGCGGTGAAGGTTCAGCATGTCGAAGACGGGATAGACGACGGGGACGGTGACGCTGACCCAAGACCAGGAGGGTGCGATGGCGTTTTCGTGGCGGACGCGCGGGTTGTGCTCGAGGGAGAAGGCGTCGGGGACATCGCCAGAGAACTCGTTCTCGTGCGCAATGCTCCAGAGGAGACCGAGCCAGAGGTCCTGCTCCCAGATCCCGGCGTAGTACTTCTTCTTAGTGTGACGGCTTAGCGCTTGGGCGATGCCTTCGATGGCGACGAGGCGGTCAGAGACTTTGGTCATGCCGCGGTGCGTGTAGTCCATTACTGTGGACATCCAGTATTGGAGCTGGTACCGTGCTGCGTTCTCTGTGCTGGCGATGTCTGGTATAGAGAAGAACTCCTCATTGTTGAAGATGCCAGCTCGCAGGACTTTTGAGTGTCCGATGTGCCGACTAATTCCGCCGAGGGGAGTTCTTTCGCTGCCATGGGAGGTGTTGCATTCCCAGCGAATTTGAGGTCCGTCGAATATAAGCATGCGGGGGGACAATAGCTGCTCTTGGAGCACCCAGCTTCTACCGTACAGCGGCGGTGCTACTGTGGAATGCTCGGTGCGCCCGTAGGAGGTGAAGATCAAGCTCCGAGGTGGCGTCGGATCACCTTTGCTTTCCGAAACTGGTGACGATGGAAGTTCAACGAGAAATGGGAACTGGATCAATCCGTCTCTTGCCTGAAAGCAACCTACATCTCCTCCAGACGTAGGCGCAGCAGCGATCTTCAAGGTTGCGTTGCGGTACACGTCGCACATGGTGGCGGCTTCGGCTTCCCAGTCGCTCTTGTCGTCCTGGATGATGCAAAGTGAATCGATCCATATATATCTATAGCCCAGCTTTCGCACGACGTGTACTGCTTCTTGGAAGGTCTTGGACAGCAACTTCGGATCAATGCGATTTTTGTGCTCTTGGAGGTTCTTGACCAATGTTCGTATAATTTGAACTCGACCCCAGCAATGGCTAAGGGATACGTAACGTCTGTCATCGCCCGCGTGAACAGCTTCTTTTGTTTCGATGAGGCGAATAGTGTCGTTGGCGACGTCGATCAGCCTTGTCGGCAGCCATGAATTCGCGCCGCTGTTGCTTTCATGTCGGCATTTGTCGTGGGTATCTAAGCAAGTCTTCAGCCAGTACCCTGCGAGCTCAAGGCTGGCGTCAGACCCCGTGCTGTCGTTGGCTAGTTGTGCAGTACGATTCAGAGTTGCACCTAATTCCTCTGTAACAGTTTAGACATAATAGGACACCACAAGCAGGATACACTACCCACCATCTTTAACGAAGCCATCGCACACAGCTAGCATGCGCCTAGGTAGCCGTCCAATCTTGCCTCCGGCTGCGTTGAACGTAACAAAAAGGGAAGGGAAGGTAACGTTCTTCGCATCAATCTCTAGCACTATGTCTAATTCTTCATCGTCGTTCGAAAGTAGATCTCTGAGTTCCCACTGTGTAGGCGAAGATAGGATGGAGCGACAGATGGGGCACAGTTGGTCCGATGTGATTCGCAGCTCGCGCAGGCTATGATGCAGGACCTCTTCATGATGTGCCCAGGCAACGTTGTTGTTTTCGCTCTGATCTGCAGATGCGGAAATCTTAGAAGCGGAAAAAAATGCTTCCAAGAAAGCTTGACATTTGTCGCAGAACATGCTGGGCTGGGCAGGGTGAAAGAATGGAGGGACTAGCGCTTGACTATAAAGCTTATCTAGCTATTCGTGGGGTTAGCGTATCTGCCTCTTGGGGCCAGAATGGCGTGTCCGGACAAAGGTCAATCTCCTGCACAGATTGGCATCTGCAGGTAAGACAAGCGTGGTTGGTCGATGCTTTGTCGCGATCGTCATTGAAGCCCGTGGCTGCGCCCGCCTACGCCTTCTTCTTATCAATCACCGCGTTTCGCTCTCCTGTGAGCGCATCTTTCGACTGGACATCGCGAATGATTATGCCCAATATTCCAGTATTGACGACAAAGAACAGAATGCCAGAAGCCCACAACCCGGGTACGAAGGTCGAGTGACCGTTGAACTCGAGTTGGAAACCCTGTTGCAGCCAGAATACCTTCGATTGGTTAGCTTGTCAGTCGACCACTTGTATCGAGAACGGACCTGGCCGAGCACCCAGAGAATGAGCGCCGATACACCCACTGAGCGAGTCCGCAGTAACGTCGACTCGGGAAGATAATAGGGCAGGAACATCATATACCAGAGGAAGTACTGAGAGGTTATTAGTGTGTGCAAGATGATTCCACGCGAGAGACATACCTGGCTTGTGCACACTTTGTTGAAGGCCACAAATGCGAACGTTTGGGCGAGCATAGTCGAAGGTAGGTCTTTCTTGCTCAGAAACAAGGGAATCAACACTGCACTTAACAGGAGTTGTGGCAGAAACGCTAGGCGTTCAAGCTCTAGTGATGGTTGAGTACTGGTGTTTACATCGGTTTTTGGAGAAGAGTTAAGATAAAGCAAGGTATTGTATGGCGAAAAGTTGTGGCGATGATCAATCCTGATCAGGTGGTAGAAGTAGCTGTGATCAAGGAAAGGCCAGCCGTATCTTGCTCTCGTCAGAATCGCACTGTCAAAGGTGAATACAGGAACTTACGCGAGATACATGACCACATTGAGGCCCATGAATGTAACGAGGCTGCACGCAGTCAAAGCCAGCCTTTGTGGGTTCAGAAAAGAGATCGTCTGATTTGTAAAGGAGACAGGTTCGGGCGACGTGCTGGATTTCCGCCCGTGGATCCGGTCGTTGTCCAGCCACCAAATGATAGATGCACCATATATAAATGGGTATATCTTGAAATGAACTGCAAAGCCGAGGAGAAAGCCAGAAAGTGCAATGCGCTTCGCCAGCACAGCCCAAAGGAGAGCAGTCACGAAGACACCAAGAAGACCTTCGGAACTACCACGTGTACTGATGGTGGCAACCATAGGATTTAGAAGCCATATGCTGGCATATCTCAATGCTCTTTCTTGGGACATGTTGTGGTAAGCGCGCAGGATACGGAACATCATCCATCCAGTGATGATGTCGCCTACTGCGAACAGAATTTTCCCGAATGAGAACCAGAAGCCCGGCCAGGTCGTGGGGTATATAAGCCACGCGAGCAGTGGGGTGTATCTGTAGGTATCGCGATGATAAGGGGACTGGCCTTGGGCGATGAAGCGTGCTGCATCGGTGAAGACAAAGTAATCAATGTCCGTGTATTTCATGGGCGAATATGTGTCTTGGAAAAGCCCGTACACCAGGAAGATAGCTCTTAGAAGGATGGCGGTGGAAAACACGCCGCGTGAACTACCAAAGAAAGCCGAGAGCGCCATGGTCAAGCAGACAATTGGAGCTGAAAGTACAGAAGTAGAATCATCAGTCAAATTCAACGCTGAAGCACGAGGACATGGGCGTGGCCGTAACCGGAAGTTGATGGAAAGGGATGTGATGATAGGAAGCCGCACTGGGCGATGCAGGGACGTGTGCTACCGAGCAGCCTAGCCGTATCGAGACTCGCACCTTCCCACTAGCCACTGAGTGTTTGCTTGACGGATACTTCACTGCGCAGCCTGCAACCATGGGACCTAAACGCTCAAGAGACGGAGCTATGAAAGAAGAGAAGTTCGAACAGCCCGGGCAGGCGCCATTGCCGTTCATGGAGATGTTCGAGGGATTCCGAGCAGAGCTGGACGAGCACCACGACCGACGCGAAAGAATCATCAAAGCGTCGCGCGACATCACCGCCGCAAGCAAGAAGATGTAGGTTGATTTGATGTATGATGTTGCGGACTCTTACTGACTTTTACCGTAGCATCTTCACTCTACAAAGGTTAGAATCAGTAATGGATCTCTGATACTGTCATCGCTTACTCGGTCAGGGTTCGGACGCTTGGTCAATCAGTCCCTCCGTTCGTTGTCAAAGGCAACGCACAATACTGGGAGATTATCGAAAAGCAGTATCAGCACATTGCTGCCGATGTCCAGGGCCTGAATGCTTTCCGCTACCCTCAAATCACAGGCGGCAACCAGGAGTTCATGGAAGCACTGAGCTTCCACCATTACCTGGAGACGCAAACGCTTATCTCGTATGATGACGCCAAAGCCCGCGTAGCTTCTATGAGCGGCGACACTGGAGCAGTACTGCTGACTCCGGAGGACTACATCCTCGGCATCTTCGACATGGTGGGCGAGCTGATGCGCTTCTCGATCACAGCCATGGCCACCAACGGCAAACTGCCAGCAGGCAAGCCCAAGAAGGAAGTCCGGTCCGCCAAGAAGGAGGAATCCGAGGACCAGGGCGCAGACAAAATGGATGTTGACGAGCAGACGCCAGCAGCAACGCCGGCCGAAGAACCGCGCAATGTCCTTTCGGACCTCCGAGCATTGCGACTACAGCTCGAGATCTTCGAGCCGGGAGGCGGAAAGTTTGGAGCGGACGTGAAGAAAAAGGCGGATGTCATGAGGGAATGCGTGGACAAGGTCGAAAAGGCGCTGTATCAGCTCACGGTGCGTGGCACTGAGCGGCCAAAGGGCTGGGTGCCCGACGTGAGAGAGGAGAGGCGGCCTGAGCTGGAAAGCTACTAGACCCTACGACTGCTGTGGCAGCTGCGCTGGGAACGACTCGATAGTGTAGCTTGTGTTTGATGAGAGCGGCATTGGTAAATGAATCACATGATGCAGCTGCTGCGCCACGGTGATGTGGCGCTGCTGTGGGCCGTTCCTGTTCCCGCGACTGCCCACAGTGCGGAGATGACGACTGAGGAGTACCTCCATTCCCCACGGCCACATCCACCTGCACGAGTGACTCGCATCGCTCGCCCGCGCCATGACCCCGACACCCGCCTTCGCTCAGACACTGCGCAGTTGTTGCGCAGGCAGCACGCTCGCACCCTGAGAGCGCCGCGACCCTCGCAGACAATTGTCCTGGCGCCCAACAAACGCCCTTTGCACCACTTGCACCCGCCATTCTTACAAGATCCACTAGACGCCCACACTCTTACTGCGCACTCACCGCGCACTCGCCGCGCACCCCCCAGCATTCGCTACAACCCCCGCCGCCGCGACCATGCGGCGCAACACATTCCCGCCGCGGCCTCGGCCTGACGAGAGCCGCCTGCGCGCCGCGCCCGAGCCGCCCACGCGCAAGGTCTTCAACTGCATCGTCGACGACACGGCGTTGATCGCAGGCGCCAAGAAGAGCACCCGCGACGGCATCCGCAAATGGATCACGCAGGACGCCATACGCCTCTTCGTGCCCCTCCATAGCCAGTCTCCCCATTCGTTGTCGCCGCCCACACTAACATGACGCACAGCCCTCACCCAGCTCAACCACCTCAAGACCGGACCAGAACGCTACAATTCCGACGCCCGCGACGCCCTGAAGTGGCTCGACGACGTCACCTCTTCGCCCGCTATCGGCGACCGCATCGTGCTTGAGGGCGTGGACGAGGCATACACCACATGGGCCGAGGTGGAGCACTTCATGCTGCCGGAGACACTTCTGTCGATGGATTCCAGCGGCTCAGAAGACGAGGACGAAGATGACGAGTACCACGAGGACCTAGAAAGCTCCTTCAACGCCCTCGACATCTCGGACGGCACTTCCATGAGCAGTGTGGACCAGTCCCCAAAGTCCACCCGCACCACAGAGCCTGACTTTGCCGTTCCGACTGGCGGACTCGTTGATGCGAAGACGATGGTCACCAGCAACGCTGCGCCTGTCGTGGAATCGCCCGCCCGCACTGCGCGCAACAGTATCGAGCTCCCCCGGGGGCAGAAGCCACCCAAGAACAGCTTTCCGCATAGCCTCCGTCCACTCTTCAACCACATTCTGTGGCGCATTCACCAAGAGACCAACCCCGATGCTGCTCTGGACAACTTCATTCTCCTTACAAACGATACAGTCAAGCAGGGCATTGCTCAGAAGTTCGGTATTCGAGCCAAGCGCTTGGAACAACTCCGCGATGCCGTCATGCGCGAGGACCGAGAGTTCAAGAATCATCTGACTGTCTACAAGAAGGAGACTGAAGAGCATGCGCTGAAGAAAGAATCCGAATTGGAGCCCAAAGTAGCCCAGCGTCCCAAGTCCAGCCACTCTTCCATCACCAAGTCGGCCGTCGACTCGGATGAGGATGACTGTGTGCTCATCAAGAATGCGCCCCGCGGCCCAGCGAGCAGCACTAGCCAACGGCTGTTCGACCCGAACGATTTTGGACGGGCGACTCAGCCACAATCTCCCCGGGGTGGTCGCGGCCACCCCGTGCTTCGTGGCCGTGGTGGATCTATTCGAGGCCGAGGAGCATTTGCGGGCCGCGGCCGTGGTGGAGCTTATGTTCCACCTGCCCCTTCATTCCAATCACCACCAGCTCCCCGTCATGATCCCAATCGACCCATCGACCCCGACTCATTCACACGCCCTGCAACCCGTGGTAGCCCTATACGCGGCGGGCGCAGGACGCTCTGGGAGCCGAATTGAAGGCGTGCAGGTCTCAGCGGTATGATGCTGTGCCGCATATGTCTACACGCCCTTTACTTGCCCTTCCAGATGAGGCTCTTTCAAAGAGCTCAGCACATACACGGAAACCGGAAAGAGAAGCGCAGCTCTCCTACCAGCTCGTTGCCGGATCAAAACCGCAAGGATCAGAACCTTCGGCCTACAGGCTGCATGCGGAAAATCCCCAGCGTACCGCAACACTGAGGTTGCGGAATGAACTATCTCTTTTCTTTGGTCCAGGGCCTTCTTTGACAGCACCGACTACGGCGGACGTCTACTGAAAATACGGAACGTGGCTACCGGAGGTCGATGTCTACAAGAGTCCCCGTTCGATGCATAAAACGACCGATTCTGTCATTTGCGCGAGGCGACTACGAGGCACTTCACTATGGAAATGTCTTGAGATTGTACTTTGTTTGGTTGTTGATCTTTGACGTTTTTCTCATCCTTCGTTTCGGGCTTTACACTTGATTGATGCGCTTGATGGTTTATTTTACGTATTGGGATGCGAGTACATGGTGGTGACAACACGTGTATGTCAGCACATACACAGTGATACCACGTGTACGAAGTAGCTGCAATACGAGCTGTTTTCTGGACTTGTTCTTCCGGGTGCCCAATGCAGGGAAAATGTGCGAGAATGGCGCTGGTAACTCAGATCTGACAGCCAGAGTATGGTATTCCGCTACAATGAGGTGGTACGTGTACGGAACAGTGCTGATAAGACAGATTCTTAAGCCAGCCTAAACATATTCATAACAACTAGAGGTGCTATGTGTGTATACTAGCTACACCGATCCGCAGACGAGCTGCAAGATTAGGGTGACCGATACCCTCTCGGTGACGCCGACAAACTACCGCACAACCACCAGCGACCAAGACTCGCACCCGAATCACAACACCACACTCGCCCACGCGGCATCCACCCCACGGCTTCCACTCGCTCGGAAACACTCAGCCGCACTTGGCCGTCTGGTGTACCTCGTGTCCATATCGAGACACCATGATCTCGAACGAAGCCGCGGAGTGCATCCCCTTGGTCAAAGATACCAAACATAGCTATCGCGGACCGAGATCCAGGTCCTGGCTTGCGGCCCGCTCTTGCATACAGCTGAAGGACGGTGTCTAAGCCTGATTGTCGACGTGGACCTGGTCTCGACTCCATTTGACGTGCTGGGGCGTCAAGAGCCGAATCTGCAAGCCATGGGGGAAGCCCGGGACATGCATGGCGCATCGCCAGCCTCGACGTACACTTCGCCGCAGGCAGGCATTCTTGGCGAACCCTCGCTCAAAGAGGACAAAGACTTGGGCACCACCGCGTGAATCGGACCCGTCCCAGTTCGATTTCTCAAACTTGATCCAGGATACCATGGCTGGCCGGAAGCTCGCCCATGCATGTGCATGCATGCATGCGAAGTGCGCGCAGATAAGCAGTCCCAGCAGGCGGCTACAGCGACCCGCTTCTGGGTATTGAGTGCCTCTTTGGGGCGAGCGGTCTGTGCGGCGGTTGCCTTTTGGGACGGGCTCGGGAGGACGTGGCGCGCCGGCGGGAGGGGGGCCTGGGTCAGTCTGGAGCTGGTATGTGCCGTGGACCATGCACGGGCTGGGGGTGATCGGGTTCGGGTTACGGGATGCACGTAGGGAGTGGTCGTCGTCTGAGTGCTGGTCTGGTCTAGTTCCTGGGCTCGTGGCACGGCTCGAGACGTGATTGTGGGATGGGTAGTCACTGGACTGTGCGAATGTAGAAAGAAGGTTTGTTTGAATTATGTATCTTTCCCCGAGAGCCCAAAATTCCTCGTGAAGTCCCACTGTGTAGCTCGTATTATGTACCATATCTATTCTACCCTTCGTGAAATCGGCCGTAATGATATCCTGTGAACCGGAAACGTCCCCCATCGCTCCTCTCCCACTACCTCAGAACAGACCCAACGCGAACTGCCGTCTCATTAGCCAGAATCCCGTGAAATACGAAAGGGTTACTCACCGGCAGCAGCGCATGGCACCCAACCTGGTTCGCAAGCGGCACAATAGCCGCGAAATCGCTAATGGTCCAGCCGCGGGGCGCAAAGCATGCACAGTAAATCATGCCGCCGATGACGGGCACCAGGAAGAGATACATCCACTTGAAGTCGCGCACGATGCGGTCGAGGCCCACGCGGAAGCCAGACTCGGTGAGCTCCTTGGCGGTAGTAGTCCATTCGATGCGCACGCTGAAGAAGTGGCAGAAAATGGCCTTGCAGAGGTGGAAGGAGATGCCTCCAAAGAAGAGCAGGAAGAAGCTGTGGGGTGTTAGATTAGCTAATAACCAGGGGTGAATTGGGTGGAAGGTGTGCTTACGGCATCCATTTCATGGTCTCGACGAGCGACCAGAAGAAAGTCTTTTGACCGAGGCGGTGGCGCAACATGGCGTATGCGAGGGGTGAGAGGACGTTGAACACGGCGGCCATGCCGACGAAAATCTTCCAGCTGGTGATGTAAAACTGGTCGACCTCGTCGGTGAACCAGCCCACGACGCAGTAGTTGGCCAGTGAGAGCGGGATGGCAGATGCGATGGCGTAGTAGGTTCCGATGTATGCGAGGATTGTCATTTTTGACGTGACTTTGATCGGGCTCCAAAGGAACTTCCAGAAGAGTGGGGTGATAGGTCCGCGGGTTGGCCACCTGACAATGGGATTGAATACAAGTTCGTTGCCTGTGATGTAGAGTCAGTGGGCGACTATCAAGCAGAAATGATGTCTTGTAACTCACAGCCATAAGCGTACTTCTCCCACCGAGCAAGTTCATCGTATACCGTGAGTGAAACGCCTTCTTTGAACCCGCCGTTGTGGTAGGTCGCTAGGCGTACAACAAACTTGTTAATCTGCAACCGGAGACTGACATCGAAATCTTCCGAGACATGATGCTCAGACCAGAACTTGGTCATGCCATCTTCCTCGAATGCAATGCTTTGGATGGCTTTCCATCGGATGAATGTGTTGTGTCCAACGAAGGGGGCGCAATCACCATTTCCGACAGCGTATTGAATCGAGGTGTACACAAGATCAGTGAAGTAAGTGATGCCGTTTTCAAAAACGTTGTTGACGACCTGCATGATGCCACTGGCGTGCTGGATGAGAGCAACTTCCGGGCTTTCATGCATCTCCAGGGCGCCATACAGCAGACAGTCCTCTGGCACACGCGTGTCAGAATCGACAATTAAGATGATCTCACCAATTCGGATGTTGCCTGCAGCCCAGGTTCGACCCTCGTCTTTCTCGAGCATGGCATTCATAGCTCGCTCGTATAGCTCGTCTTCGTCTTCCACCGTGAGATCATCAGAGGAGCAGCCGCGCTCCTGGGCTCGCTCTTCCAGAAGCCGAAGTGTTTCGTCTTCCACGCGCAGCGAAAAGTCAAGGCAGTAGTTCATGTTCGATGCCTTCTTGAAGTGGCCTGCGCGAATGAAAACCTCCTCAGTGTCTGGTCCTTTCTCGGTGTCGTCGTCCTTCTTCTTTGAGAACCAGCCGCTCTTCTCTTTCGTGTGTTCATGGTGCTTCGGACGAGCCACCCAGCCAATGTTATTCAGCTCGTAGAATGCTTTGCGTGCCTCTTGCATCTCTGGCGAGACACATCGCATACCATCCTCATTGACGAAGATTGAAGCCGTGCCTCCGCAAGACTCGTAATACCGTACAGCTGCGAGGAGAGAAGTCACTGTAGGAATGACCACACCTTTCAGGCCTTCCTTGTACACAGGCATTTGAATAGTGACATGTGGAAGTTCGTAATCCTGGTGGCGCATCCGCTTTGGCTTGACCCCTGCAATTTCGTCAGTTGCGGTCGAGTCCAGCGTGCCGCGATCCTAGCCAAAAGAAATCCACCCCCAACGTACCGGAGTAATACAGACTATTTCCCTGCAGGGCTGAAAGAGGGCCGAAAAGCTGACCCAAAGAACCGCCAATAACGATGAAGAAGAACTACCGGCGCATTAGTCGTGTCCTCAAAGATCGGCAGTTCGTGGGCCGGAACTGGCAGAAAGAGGCGAACTCGTGTTGCGCGACGAGCCAGCCAGCCACCAAGCTGAGCAGTGCGCCAGCGCACAACGGTAAACGGCCGGTAAGAAAAGATTGGCACGACCTACCAGTGAGAACGAAGCAAACAGTGGGATAGTCGCAACCTTGTTTCAACGTCAGTTACATGGGCAACTGTTCATTGCGCTGTCTACATACCAGCGCAAAGCGGATCATGCCTCCATCGAGCCGGTACTCGGTCAGCAACTGAGATTCGGTCAGATTTGTGTGTCCTCCAATTTTGCGGGGGACGTCTAACCTTTGCGACACAAGCCATTTCTACGACAATGACCAAAACCTTTATGTGTTAGTACTGGAAGCAAATGCTCGGGCGTCAACACATTACCATGGCGATACCAATAGTCACAGCATGCACTAGAAGGAATGGTCTATCGGGCAACTCAGCCTCTTTGTTTGGGTCGTATGCTTGATCTCCCAGCTCTTCCACCTCAAGAGCCCTGTCGATGGCGCCAATCTTCTCGCTCATCTCCGAAGGAATGCCTCCTGTCAAAGGCGCGGAAATGGGGAACAAAGAAGTTCGCGCACCTCCACCAAGAGAGCCTGCTGGTGGTGAAGGCATCGACTGCGGAGTTCGCTGGAGCAGAGGAGTCGGATTGTGCGATGGGATATGCGATCCCCAGACAAACCCAAGGAGTCGCGTCTCGACATCAGTCCCGTGAGCGACTAATTATGATCAGCTTTCGTAATTCGAGATGACTTCTAGCTCTTAGGCCGCTACTTACGAATCCCCGGAACAGTGTCACCCCAGACCAACACCATCCGTTCTTGTCGACACAAACAAACATATGCATCTCTGGATATCGTGGACCTCCCAGTGGCGATATCATGCACCGAGTTTGCGATAGGAAGAACGAAACCTCTCGGGTCAAGCGAGAATTCAGTCTGGAAAGGTGTGACTTGCTGCATCAAGGCATGGGTGATCTCAGAAGACATTGTGAAAGCTACTGCGACACCGAGCCTTTCAACAGCACGCACAAGATCCGGATTGAGGAAGAGAGGCTCTCCGGTGTAGATCCCGTCGGACCGACGCAGTAGAACACCCAGATTCGACGCGCCGCCATCTACGATGCCGTACTCGTCTTCTGGAGGCTCCAGCCACTTTGCCTGGGAAGCTCGTCTATAGAGGAACTTGACCTGTACATGAACCAAGTCAGTGAGTTTTGATTGCAGTCTCCGGACTGTCCACTCACCATGACATCGTGCCTATCACCGCCATTGCTGCCTCGTGAAGCAATGCTGGAGCCGGCGCTGTCTCGAAACGTCAGGCCAGGCCGTATGTGTTTGGCGACAGCGGACTCCGTCGACGAGCTTTGTGACTCGCGGTCAGCGCGTCCTGAGGCCATTGCTAAAGCAGTGGAGAGAAGTGATGGCAGCTCCAAAAGGTGCAATGCGTTGTGTCTTACAACTCGTGTTGAAGTTAAGAAAGTTTTCTGGGATGGAATGCTGTCCTGACATACATGACAGGGTGCGGCATATGACCTTGTCGGTCGCTTAACGACTGCATCTGGAGGTCTGGGCTGGTATGCAGCGTGCATTGACCGGGCAAGGGCAACACGTTGAGCGGCAAGGCCAAGCGAACGCAAGCAATGAGATAGGAAGCTTCCGACTATTCAGACTTGGTTTGGCGACTGGCTGACCGGCCGTCAAGAACGTATGGCTCCACGGACGTACGCCTTCTAACGCCAATGTGAATTACTATGCAGTAGAACACCACTCACCCTTTGCCTTACAAAGGCATGATAGACGAAGTACAATCTGTCGACTCAAGCCGTGCAACATCGGGGCCAAAGTATGCTCGTGAATCTATTCTCTTTCTCCAATGCTAAGGCGGCAGGCGACCAAGGGAGTACCAAGCTGTAGCATGCCGAGACAAAGTATATTACCATACATCTTTCTTGTACCCGGTCGCGGGTTCTGAGACACGTTACTGTTCTGTTGTTTAGATTTTCCATCTAATCAGACTCAACAAGTGTAGGTATTCCACGTCTTGCATGGTCAATTTTAGCAGCTGACAGCTACCATTGCGGCACGCTGTACGATGCGATGCGTTACCGAGGTGGGCCCTTGTCGTTTGTCTCGAACAAGATCATGGACACTGACCAAAAATGGCTCAGCGCGAACGTGATGGAAGCAATGCCGCAGCTGAAAGGCGTAGAGTGTCCGAGCCATGGAAGAGCTACATGCACGGAGACACACAATTCCGGTTTTCTGCGTATACCGCTGTCGTAGGAACAGACTAACCAGCCGGGACGCTGAGCCGTACTGCTGAGTTTGGGCTCGAACGGTGACGTTGCTGGTCGGAACCAGTAGTCTTGCTCGTATCCCAAGCCGCACGATTCTAGAGCATGCAATCCCACCAGGAGCAAGTCCTCAGCCGAAACACAGGAAACAGCGTGTGGGTTGCACAACCCGGAGCAGAGTGGTGCTCGTATTGGTGGCTGCAGGATGCAGATGCAGAATCCCGGCGGCGGATGATAAGACCAGACTTTCAATAGAAGCCCGCGTTTAGGCAGACAATCTAAAACCTGGTCGCTCTGAGAACGCAAAAAAGGAGAATCGTGTGGCTGGCGGCACCACGGAACCGTAACGTCGGGACCGATCCCAGGCGCCATGGATACGAAGAGCAATGGATCCTCAGCCTCATATCCGGGAAAGGCAGAGCGAGTCCGAGGGAGTCCATTTTGAGAATGCGATGTCGAAGATGCACAGAAGAGTCGAATATAGCCGGCCACCACGCGAAGTGATGGCGCAAGCAACTGTGCCCCTGCCGCGCTCGACGTTGACGGCCGAGAAGGCTGAGTGGCATGTCAAGGACCTGCTGTCGACGGCACCGGCGCCGCATCAGCAGTGCTGTGGTGCACGGCAGACCGAGCGTCCACGAGCGCCCAGAGACGTTGAGCGGCAGACGGGTGTCGACACGGGTGATGCGTTGCCAACCCGCTGTGGCGCCACGCTAAGCGAGCCGTGATGATATCGCGCGAACGCAGCTTCCCTGCAGCTGCCTCGATGACTTCCTCTTTCGTCACATGCGTTATTAGACGGACGGGCTGTCCGCACAGCCGCTATCACAATCCCTCGCCAACATCAACCCCCAAGCGCCATCTGTGATCAAGGTGGATCCGAAATGGCCGCGACGGTGCTGAGCCATACTCAGGCCCCCACGCGCGGCACGCACAGCAGCTCTACACGCGACGCCGTGCGACCGGCAATCTTCCAGGCCTGGGCTCTCGGCGGCACCGGCCTTGTCACTGCAGCAGCATTATGGCTGTAGCTGGACGTCGTCTCCAATGGTTGGACGCAAGATCTAGGTCCTCCCGGAGACATGTGCACTTGAATATGTGATGCAGGCAGCCTGCCATTTCCACTATGATTAACGCCCCTCTCGCATGTACAATACTTGGATAAAGCCCCTTGCTCACACAGCAATCGGTACCTTCCAGGAATTCGCCGAACGACGGTGCCATAACCATGTCGAGCAGAACTTCCATCCACACACCAGCAATTCAATCCAACCCAGGGACAAACCCTTTCTCTACACCACTCAGACACAGCCGTGCTCCATCAGTCAGCGAGCACAGTGCGAGTGGACGGGCGACCTCCTATCTCCCGCCACCAGATGCGAATGGTGAGTACTACGACGTTGTCGACATTGTCGCTGATATCTCCAGGCTCGCAACAACCTTTAAGGAAGAGGTTCAAAAGCGCACGCCTAGTTCCAGGGGAGTACGATGAGAAGCCTTGGGCCCTTTCAAAACACCCAAAGCTGAAGTGGGAGCGGGCCATCTTCTACGGTAGCATCGGTCTGGGCGTCGCCATCGGCGCCTTCATCTGCTACCGAGCGTATGCCAGCGTGACAAACCACGAGGTTAGTCATGCAATCTTGGACACCAGCACTATTCAAAGCTGACCTATGTAGTATTGCATGGTGTTGGAAGATGACTTCCACAATATTAACAAAGACATTTGGAACTACGAGATCCAGAGAGGAGGGTTTGGCAGCGGCACTTTTGAGTGGACTACGAATGATCCAAAGAACATCTATACAGATGCCGATGGTCTTCACATTGTGCCCACTCTGACGACCGAGAGCACTGACATCACGCGAGACCAGCTCATCGACAACTATGTTCTTAATCTGACAGTACGTGCAAACCTCGGTGCTTACTCACCGAAGACAGAAACTAACCTCTCATATTCCAGACCGATGGTACATGCACAGCAAAGGGCATTGACAACTGTTCCATCCGGTCCAACAAGACGGCTGGAACTATCATCAACCCTGTTCGTAGCGCTCGTATCTCTACGAAGGGTAAAAAGACAATCAAGTTTGGTAAAGTCGAAGTTGTCGCCAAGATGCCCCAAGGAGACTGGCTTTGGCCAGCGATCTGGATGATGCCTGACAATGACACCTATGGCGAGTGGCCTCGTTCGGGTGAGATTGACATTGCTGAAAGTAGAGGCAACGCTGGGGACAATTACACCAGTGGTGGTAAGTTGTCAAGATTGCATACTGTGCATGGCTCGCGCTTATTGTGTGCCAATGTTAGGTCGAGATTCAATTATCAGCGCACTGCACTGGGGGCCCCTCCCAGAGGCTGATGGATTCTACAAAACGAGCGGCCAACACCAGGTCCGTCGGACCGACTATGCTTCTGCCTTTCACACATTTGGTGTGGAATGGAGCGAAGACTACCTCTTTACATACATTGATTCAAGGCTTTTGGTATGTACATGACCTTAGGCTGTCCATGTCCGCGTCATTATTCTGCCCTCACTTCCTAACGATCGCATAGCAAGTCTTCTTTCTCAAATTCAACAAGTTGATGTGGAACCGTGGAGGATTTAGTGAGAAACTCGTGAACAACTCGGCACTCTACAATCCCTGGGCCGCCACCGGAAAAAGTAACACGCCTTTTGACCAGCCGTTCTACCTCATCTTGAACGTCGCTGTTGGCGGGACGAACGGGTTCTTTCCCGAAGGCGTAGGAAACAAGCCTTGGGGCAACCAGTCACCCACAGTAAGCCGGCTCAGCTACATCACTGTTGTAGCAACACTTACTGACTTATCAGGCACCCAAAGAGTTCTTCGATGGCATCACTAATTGGATTCCGACTTGGGGTGAGGGTGACAAGCGAGGGATGACCGTCAAATCTGTCAAGATGTGGAGTCAAGGCGCTTGCTAGCGGGCCAGCGCTCCCATTCCAACGGTTGTGCTTGCGTGTTTCGCGGGGTTCAAGGGTTCTCAGACTCTGTATACGGCCTCTCCACACTGTAACATCTTCTTGGATTAATTGGTAATACTTAGGCTAGATTCAATGATCTACAATACACTGAAAGCCTCTTTGCACATATTTGTTTGTGAAGCAGTGCAAAACCCAAAACCATGCACGGGAATCGAGCGATCGGCCACCAGGGCGGCCACTAGGGCCGTGCCGACAATTCACTAGCGTGGCGCACTGACGCCGCGCTTGATACGACATGGGACGGCTCGCTGTCACGTCGAGGCCCTCAGTCTCGCCTCATGCAAGCAGAGTTCAGCCGCTAATCCCATCCCTGAGGCTTCACCGAAATCTCCATGGCGCCTATTCGCCCTATGCCGAACATGCCCTGCATTGTCAACACTCCCTCGTATCTGCATCTGCACATCATGCAGGATCACCATTGGACTCCTCCAGCTGCCATGCTCGTTCAGCCTATAGCCCATTAGACATCAGCCGAGCAGGAAGCCTTTTCATCGTGTTGGATCTCACGAGATCCGTAGTCTTCATGGCTTACTCCACAAGGAGCGGCAGCTCGCCCGCCAATGGCTCGCCACTGTTTGACAAGCTTACGGACTCACAAAACTGATAGCCCATCCCGCACGCGTGCTTCGCGAAGCGAACAGTGTGGCTCGATCGGCCACGAGAGCGCAAGTCTTCAGCTGGTATCCGGTGCCATTCATCGGTCGCTCTCGCGCGGACTTGTGTAAGAAGCTATATTCCGCGCTCTGGAAGGAAATTCTGCTGTCGCCGCTGTTTTCTTCACCATTTGACAGTCGTTCCACCTAGAAATAAACATGGCCTCTGCGAGCTTCCGGCGTGGCTCTCCAGCCTTATTGCTTTCCTATGTATGAAACTCACAACGAGCAACTATCAATTTTAGAAAGCTAACAATTTCATGACAGGCTTGTCTGTCGCTTTCACAGTCCTTGGTAGTACCGACCTCTCCCCTGGCCAATTGGGACTACATAGGATGCTATACGTGCGCTACCTCGCCTAGAATGACCCCGAACCTAACGACTTACTCCACGCAGAGACATCGTCGGAGCACGATCTTTGAACGATGCTAGCACATCAAGCAACACCATGACCAACACAAACTGTGTAAACTTTTGTGCAAAAGGTGGATATGATTACGCAGGCACGGAGTACTCTCAAGAATGCTATTGTGGGCGGCAATTGAGCATCTCGTCAGATCGCACTGCAGATGGAGACTGTAACTTTGGCTGCAGCGGTCTGTATCAATGCCATCGACGGTATGATGTATACTGAGAATTACAGGTAATTTGAAAGAAGCCTGCGGAGGATCCAATCGACTGACAATATTCAACAATACCGCTGCTGGACAAGGGCCACCTTACACTAACCCCGGAGTGAAAGGTTACCGTAGCCTTGGCTGCTATGTGTACGTGCTGTTGATCCTCATTCGTGTCTATCACATAAATGTGTCCACATGTGGCGAATTGCGGACGTGGGCTCTTCGCAACCCTCAACTTCCACGTGTCTTGCTTTGCCCATATAATATAGATCGTGCTAATTGAACATGGCAGTGACAATATGGGGGGAAGGACGCTCGACACAGAGGTTTCGGGTACTTTTCCTGGTGGCTACCAAAATAGCACAGTTGCCAATTGTGTAGCTGCTTGTTCCAGTCGCAATTACATGTATGCGGGTCTGGAATACTATGGAGAGTGCTGTAAGACTCGTCTTCATCATTTTAAACTATCTTCATTACTAATGACTGGTTGTTTTAAGGGTGTGGTAATCTTCTACGCAATGAGGCAGCGTTAGCAGCAGACCAAACAACTTGCAATACGGTAGGTACCCTATTTCGGCCCTTGATATGTCTTCGAAATTTCCTCAAGTCACTCTTCACAATAAGTCGGCTCAAGCGCATGCTAATTCTAGAAGCTTTGCAACGGCAACAGTACCGAATACTGCGGCGGGCCAGACAGACTGAATCTGTACACAAACTCGCCTCCGCCAAACTCCAGCTCCGCCATCTCAATGTCGACCGTATCAATTTCTTCAGTGGCATCATCTCTCGCAACATCTCCAACGACTCAAACAGTGGTGCAAAGCTCGAATCCGAACAGTTCAGCTATATCTTCCACATCGCCCACGTCTACTATATCAACAAATTCTTCCGCACCAATTACTTCTGGAACGACGTCGTCAAGCACAACGGCATCTATAAGTTCATCGGATTCTACCGCAACAACGTCAGATTCTGTATTGAATACAACTTCAACAACATCACCAGTAACATTTACAAGTTCTGCGCCTACGGTGACTGGTGTTCCTACGCCTCTACCTAGTGGTTGGAACTACAAGGGATGTTGGATCGACAATGCCAACGGCCGGGTCTTTGCCAATCAACTGCCTGATGCCAACGATATGACCGTTGAGAGGTGTATTGGAAACTGTACAGCTAATGGATTTGGAGTGGCCGGTATTGAATATGCTTCCCAATGCTTCTGCGGGAATTATCTTATGAACGGCGCCGCCATGTCCCCCCAATTACAATGCAGCATGCCTTGTGCTGGGAATGCTGAAGAGTTCTGTGGAGCCGGTGACAGACTGAGCGTGTACTCCAACAGCACTGCTAATCTCACCGTGTACGCGGTTCCAAGTACACAGAAGACCGGGCTACCCAGCAATTGGGAGTACGTCGGTTGCCTCCGCGACGATGCTCCAGGCGGATTGAGGGCGCTTCCTTACCAACTTATTTTAAACAACAACACAGCAAATATTTGTATCAGTCAATGCTCCGCCTTTGGGTATGCTTACGGTGGTATGGAATATGGCAACGAGTGCTATGTAAGTTCTCACCCTAGCTTGCGTATTTCATAGTCTGACACAAAGCAGTGCGGAGACCTGGGAGATATCCAAACTGCAAGAGCTACTAGCGCTCCTGAATCGGATTGCTCGGTCACCTGCTCCGGCAACGCGACAACCCTCTGCGGAGGACCCCGTCGCCTTTCTCTATACAAATGGACTGGGCCAAATCTTGCGAATTGGAATTATGCGACAGGCGATGCTGCAGGAGCATACCAATTCCTGATTGGTGGTGTAGTTGTTCCTCTTGTCACTCAAGCTGCGCGAAACGGCAAGATTACTTTCCTCGAAAAGTCTGGAACAGGACCTCCGAACTCGACAGGCGCTTATGAACTGGATGTCGCCCAGCTCAACAACTTCACCGGCGCTTGGCGACCGATGCATGTCAAGACTGATATCTTCTGCTCGGCTTCTCTCACTTTGCCAGACAAAGCGGGTCGCCAGCTCAACGTCGGCGGATGGGCTCTGGATGCCACTTTTGGTGTTCGCCTTTACTGGCCAGATGGATCACCTGGTGTCTGGGGCCAGAACGACTGGCAGGAGAATGTGAAGGTGCTCAAAATGCAGAACGGTAGATGGTATCCAACGGCAATGGTGATGGCCAATGGTACTGTCCTGGTCGTTGGCGGCGAAGATGGATCGAACGGAAAACCCGTCCCCACATTGGAAATTCTACCAACGCAGGGGCCTGTGGTGTACGCCGCTTACCTGAATCGCACAGACCCTAATAACCTCTATCCCTACCTGGCGGTCCTACCCAGCGGTGGCATCTTTATACAGTATTATAACGAAGCCGCCATCCTCGACGAGGTTACTCTGCAGGTCAAGAAGCAGCTTCCAAATGTTCCCGCATCCGTGAATCGACCGGATGGTGGAAGGACGTACCCGAACGAGGGCACTGCTGTCTTGCTGCCCCAATATGCTCCATACACGGATCCTCTGAAGGTTCTGATCTGCGGCGGCTCAACGCCCTACCAAGGCTTTGCTCTCGACAACTGCGTGACCATCGCTCCCGATGTCCCGAACGCAAACTGGACACTCGAACGCATGGTAAGCCCACTTCCCTTTCCTTCCTTTCCCACCCCACCTCGACCCAATTAACACCAGCCAGCCCAGCAAGCGCGTACTCTCCTGCATGGCCGCGCTCCCTGACGGCACCTACCTCATTATAAACGGCGCACATCAAGGGCAAGCCGGCTTCGGCCTCGCCACAGACCCCAACCTCAACGCCGTCCTATACGAACCCACGCGCCCCCTCAACAACCGCTTTACCGTCCTCGCAAACACGACCGTCGCCCGCATGTACCACTCCGAAGCCATCCTCATGGACGACGGCCGCGTGCTCGTCTCCGGCTCCGACCCCGAGGACGACCGTTTCCCCCAGGAGTACCGCGTCGAGGTCTTCATCCCGCCGTACCTCATGGGTAATCCCGTGCAGCCTGTAGTCAGCATCGCCTCGTCGCAGTCCGACTGGGCGTACAACGAGTTCTACACGTTCACCGTGGACCAGCCTGTTGCGAAGGTATCGTTGCTTGGGGCGACGGGGTCGACGCATGGGAACAGCATGGGGCAGCGCACGATATTCCCGGCGTTTGTGTGCAGCGGGAACTCGTGCACGGTTACGGCGCCGCCAGACGCGCACACATGTCCACCAGGGTGGTTTCAGCTGTTTGCGCTGAATGCGCAGGGCGTGCCGAGTAAGGCTGTGTGGGTCAGGATTGGAGGGGATCCCGCACAACTGGGCAACTGGCCGCAGCAGGGAGGGTTCAAGCTGCCCGGAGTGTAATGGGCAGGTAGGCATTGAGGATGTAGGAGGCGGTTTACATGTAATGTCTCGTGCTTAATGTTTGGTATTTTGCAATGCTACGTAATGACAGTAATGAGTCTATGCTCCGTGTGCAAACAGTAGAGAGTGCACCATGACGCTGTCTCGCACCAAGTGTGAAGCTGGCACAATCCTCGAGCTCAGTCCCTTCCTTTCCCGCAATGGCTCCATCTCGCTTGCCCCAAAATCCAGAAGATAGTGAATAAACTTTTACTTGGTTCCCGACCTATGGCTGGTAGCCGCCAGCTGAAAGTCTCTACTACGATCTTTCCTAGCTCCGAGGAAATGCAACTTCTGCTGCTAGCTTCTCAAGCTCCGAGGAACTGAAGTCAATGACGACGTACATCCTCTATCTCGCGTTCTGATTGTTGGTGGTTGCAACAAGGCTGGGAACGTGGATAATGTGGCGCCCGCTAGAAAATAACATGCTCGTAATCGCGCTGTATTACCCTACGAGCACCGAGATCAACAGGAACCTGACGCCGTGTGGCTTGATCGATATTGTGTGCCATGTGGAGGGTAGATGAGATCGCGGATGGGTTTCCTGCCAGGCATCGGTAAGCCACCCAGCATCTGTTGGCGGCGGAGTGGCCGGCAGGTGGGGCAAGAGGCGGCATCGTATTTCTGCGAAGCGATGTTACCGCCGCGATCCATCGGCAGCACTTCTGAAAGATGCCGCATGGGCAGTCGTGCACTGAAATAGATGATCCACGCGCGGCTGCAGCTACCAGACCCCCGACGTTGTCTCCTTCTACGTTGAGTTGTGTAACATCGTTCTCGAACGCCCTAGCTCCACACTGTGCATGAGCGATACGAGCATCTCTCGCTGTGTGCATGCCAAGCGCCGTGGAGGTATCCCGGCCACTCTCGGCTTTTGCCTGCTTCTGCATCCCTCACTCAGGTCCTGCATGCGCTGGTGCTATGCAGATTCGATAGACCGCCAATATTCCAATACTTTCGTGCACGAGCTTTGTGTTTCGGCTGCAGTCGATGCCCAGAATGATGTGTTCGGAGGACTGGCCGTGATAAGGCAATGTCCCCAACATTATGGCGAGTGCAAGGTGCAGCATGCAATCTCGAGGCGTAGGCTTGATGAGCGGTAGCGGTGCAGGTAGCTGGCCGGGGTGCTAGTTCGGTATGCGGTTAAGACCAGGATCCCGGATTGGGTTGCGTGTGGGATTTTGTGCAACGATAAATGAATTGTTCTCGGTCCTCGTTGATATCGTGCAGAGCACCCACTCTGCTCGTCCGTTGTTGTCCTACGCACCTCCCTTTCCCCCCGTTGTTTGCATGCGACGTTGGCTGAGTTCTTCGCTCATTGTAGCTGTATCAACTCATGCGCGGGCGCAGTCCTCAAGGTTATCGGACCCCTACAGTCTATGACGATGAGCCATTTTGAGCACCGTAATGCCGCAGGCTAGGCGACTTGAGCTGCTCGGATGTCGTGTTCGTCTTGCCGACTGTTGTAGGCGCAAACAGCACTTCAAAATCCGGGTTGTAGATGCTACAGAGCTTAATCAGGTGTTGCCTGAGAGTGTCGTGTAGTCAAAAGTAAGCTTGAAAACAGTGGAGCGCACAATAGGCGTCGTTACACTTGTCATGGCCGGCAGTCGGTGGCGGGCGGGAGCTTTGCCGTGTGGGGATGATGCGCAAGCCCCCCACAAACGATTCTGACATCGTGAACTTCGCCTGTGCCCATCGCCTGTGCCTCACCCAATGATGACGATACTGGCCATGGTCGCTCGTGGTGTAGCTAGGCCGCTGACCGAAAAGCGCACATATGATATCCATAGAGGAGTTCCTGTGGTGACAGCGTGGAATGGAGCGACAACAGCATCATGAGGAGGGTGAAGCGAGCACGCTGGCTAGCCTTTTCGTTTGTCACCGGCGATCTAGGGAGCAGGAAAGATGGCACGATGGTAGGATGGCAAGAGCTAGCTCTCTAGGTCCCCTCTTCAGCTGCGTAGGCCACGCTCCGAGTCGGCGTTCCGTGACGCGATCTCGAACCATGTACGCTTGCTGGTTGAGTCTTCTCCTTTCAATACTCGAGTATGACGCAGCTTTATATTGCGACATGGTATGAAGGGCTGGTAAAGGACGAGGTCAACTTCTACGTTCTGCCTCTCACCTGCCGACTTCTACCCGCCCACCACTCCACAGACAGTGCTTCTGTCGACTCCGGAATATTCTGAGGTTATTCAGCGCCTCGAGAATATCCCCTGTAAAATCTTTCGAGGGTTTTGGCACAAGAATGATGGTGCCGTGGACACCGAAGCATCTGGGAGCGATTGCGCAGCCGCGCCTCGCCCACTCACACCATCCTCCCAAGCCCACCCCCGCCAACGTCTAAACAATCTTCCAGACATGCGCATTGTCGAGAGGTTGCGGCATGTCTTGTTGCGAGCTTGCTACCGATGCCTTTGCTAGAAACGACTGCTTGCTGATTCTCAGGTGATCTTTGCGATTCTCTCGCCGGGCGATTGTTGCGCTACGACCACCCCATAGCATGTCCTTTGAGATGCGGTCGAATACTTCTACGAGTGCCCTGACTCGCGAGACAGCTCTGGTGCCAGCCAACAGCTGTAGGACCGCCGCGGGAAAATTTGCCAAACGACCCACGCGATCGAAGCACGCATGCGCCAACGAGTGTGCTCTTTCCCTCGTCAAACCCAATCTGCAGCCTGTCGAAAAAATAGAGACTAAACCTCGAGAACAAATGCGCGAGGAGAGGACCCCGTGCGATAGCCCTCGAACACCCCCGAGCGACCGCAAGCCTACACGAGGCAGACCGCTAGACCCCTCCGCGGCCCGATTGCGCAGTGGCATCCCCACAGCGCCTGATGAGGAGACAGATCTTACGTCGGAATGCCAGCGACACTGGGGCGTTGAGCTCTTCGTCTGTGCAGCCGCTACACCCGGAGATCGTTACCATGTAACGTCCCAATGCCTCCTTGACAAAACTTGGTACGAGGGTAGAAAGAGTCGGAATGTTGGAAAGCGCAACCGCACCGCAAAGGCCCTGTAACAAGGTGCGACCGTCGAAGTTTGACTGGCGAGCTCTTGTATCCAAGTCTGCAGTTCGGACGCAGACGCAAATGTCGATTGCGATCTTCTAGGCAGCCTAAAAGACAAGCCAGCCAGTGCATCAAGCCACCAAATTGATCTAGCTACCGTGCGGCTTGGATGCGAGCATTCGGATACCAGCAAGAGCTTGTGCTAGGGAATGACTGAATTGGATTCAGCTGTGTGGCTTCTGATGCCTGCGGCTGTTCCTTGTTTGTCAATGCAGTCAACTGGATGGCAGTCTACGACCCACTGCGGCTCCATAACACAGAATTTTCCGTTACATGCACCAGGGTGGGTCTCCTGATACCACTGTTCAAACGCTTCGATTCGACCGGTTGTCCTCGAGGTCTCATTGAGGCATATTTTGACACCTTTGAGATGTTTCTGCAACCTCGGAGAATTGCACGACGACTCGTTCTCCATTCCCGCGATAGACATTGCGGAAAACCTCCAAAGCCCAGAGACTCAAGCGAAGTCTCCTCCCGCGGCGCCTTGGAGTTCGCGCCTGCAGCGAACGCCCGGATGACTTCTGGAAGCGTCCCTTGAGCCTGGATTACTATTCGTGTTTGCCTCTGCCCATTCTTTGGACGAAGAGACCTCGCAACCCGGCGCACGTCAATCAGCGCGGTTCACCAAGGTCTTGCTTTGAGTCAAAGGGGAGATCATTATGGATGCATCAAGCGAGGTCCCGAACCGAAAATCGATATTGGTCCAATATTGAGGCAGCATGTCATGGTCGACCTCTCCAAGAGCCCAAGCAACGCAACTGCTTATTAAAGCACGACCAGATCGACAACAGTACATCCTTGAAAAGAGCTCTCCTGATGTGCGCACACCTTTTGCCCTGGAATCGATTTTGCTAAGAATGTCCGCGGGACGCCCTGCTCTTACTTTACTAGCAAAGGTAATCTCCATCGCACATCCCATGCAGTCCATCTCTTTCTCAGATATACGCGTCAAGCCAGTATCCTTGCCAGGGAATATTCGCTTCTAGTGCAGCAAATGACTCTTGATTTGGTGCGGTCAGAACATACGGAATCCGTCTTCCATCCTTTCGCCTCCCGCCCTTTTTCGTCAAGCTCATTCGTGCGACAACGCATCTGCGCATGAGTGCGTCCGCGGCTTTAAATCTCCACTTGCCTTTAACGCTTCTTAATCTTCTGGCCAATGTCCGTGTCGCGGGTTATATGGCTGGGAAAGAAGAATGACCTCGTGCAGAGACGAGCTGGCCATCTTTGGCAACGCACAACAAGAGCGATCCTCCGCTCCCGTTAACACTCTCATCGAACGCCTTTAATCTCCCAAGCGGGTGCATCGCCATGTCGCACACTGCATGACCTGGCGATTGTCGGTGTGGATGGAGTTGGACGATGGTGATTGCAGACAGATTCCAGTCACACCTCAGATACTTGGATCACTGTAACGTGATGACCGCCGCAGCTTTGTTTGCAGGTCCTAGCACTTGATTAGCAGCTCCAAATCCTGGCGCGTCTGGCCATCGATTTTGTTTATCCCGCTGCATTCCATGCAGTTCAGACAAAGTGCATCGGACGCAGACTTAGCTTTGCTTTCTGTCGACAAAAATGGGCTTTCCATCGACTGCTTTGGCTACCAAGACCAGTTCTGATTTCGACAGCGAAAATTCTCGGAGAATTGTTGCATGTGCCAGTAAGTGCTTTCTTCATGTTGAGGGGAAGAGGGAAAAATTTCTCCGAGAACAGTCGCTGCGGAATCTAGTGACTTTATATCTTTTAGATGACCATCTGCGACTGTTGAGCTTTAAAGCCTTGGACTCTCGCTGTTGCGCTTCGTGAGCAACTTTTCGGCGCCAGGAAACCGCTTGAATGGATGGAGAAATCGTGCAGGTTGTGTGAGCACCTCCGCCTGAAGCTCATTGACGACGGACATGGACGCTTTCGCACGCTACTCCTTCCGCATGTTCCCCCGCACATAAAGTCTCATGTGTTCCGCAGAAATAGCGGAGGAATCAACGGTCCTGTAACTCAGGCTCTGACTGCTTCTGTTCTGGCAGAGGGGCCAGCACCGTTCGCGCTGCCGGTTCAATGCTGCTGGAGTAATCCGATGTGCTCCACTTCGGGTCTTTCTGCGCGAGAGTAAGAACCGGAACCATATTTCAGGAGGGGATGCCTCCGTAGGGCAAAAGAATGGAGCAGCTCCAGTTGCTGAAGAAGACGAGAAGCCGACCCGTGCGTTGAACGCAGTGCTGTAGGCACTCGCAGCTACAGCAGTCCAGGCAGAATAAGAGTCATTGCCTAAGGAAGCAGACGATCCTCCTAGAAAAGTCGTCATGGACTGCGTTGTTCTGGACACCTGAGCCAAGTCGCCGTTGGGGCAAGCAACGACACTGGGATCCGCAGACCGACCCATGGATGTTGGTGAGCCGTTCTCGCCAAGCCGTTGCTGAGAAAGGCAAAGCAGGATGTGCTCAAGCTCACCACGCTAGAGGTCAAAAGGGTGCCTAGAAAGCTAGCTCGAGCCCAGTTGGCACTTCAACGAAGTAGACCTCGACGATGCGCCAACTGTCAAGACTTTACAAATGGCGAAGACAAGTAAAGGATTCTTGTCCAAAGCCTTGTCCGTAGCCATGGGGCGCGAGCCTCTCTACTGTGGAATAGTTGGGCGTTCTCTGCCTAAGCGAACGAGCGATGCGATCATCAACGAGTCTTTACAAATGGTTGAGATAAGAGAATGAGATCTTGTGGTGATCCCAAGGCAATTCGGCATCGAGAATTCCCCATCGGCAGACTGTGGTCCAAGGCCTTCTTCAACACAATGCCACAAGTCCAGGCCCATGGCAGCCATCCATCGTACTTTTAGGCATTACCACCTCCAGTCGCCAGAGTCACCTGCGCCAGCGCCCTGAAATTGTTGGGCGTGTCCTGCCCCGACGAATGAGAGAGTGTAGCTCAGACTACGCTACTTGTCACGCGGAGCCGTGAAATTACCGGCGTTGAGGATATCAGCTATACTAGCGTTGTAGAAGGCCATATTGTGCCGCCTCTTCTGGACCAAATGACGAGTCTCTCTGAGGTTGCGAACGTATGGGGCTAGGCTGTGGTGACAAGACGCTCGCAAGCTCAAAGAGAATCAAGCGCGACAAATGACGAAGACAAGATGTTCAGTTCTTATCCACCCGTCTTAGTATTCGTGGCAAAGTCAAGATATCGCAGTTGGTAGACTTACCGTCTTATCAACGGAGCAGGCCGTCTTTGACGGCGTTAAAGTATTCGAGATAGCTCTGGCGAACCAATGGGCTCCTTCGACAGCCGCCTGATCTCGATGTATATGTAGACAACATCTTCATCATCATCATCAGACTCCAGCTTGATGGCCACTTGCGCATCGCTACCATTCTTGTCGGCCTCCGTGCGCGCTTGCCTCCTTTTACATAGCCGTCGGCTATATCAAGGCGGCTGTGGTTGTTCGAAGTGCGCTCCTCGCTCAACGTCGCGAATCCATGCGAAGACAGGACGTTCAAGCCTCCATCTCCTTGATGATGCGCTTTGGGAGGGCGGCCATGGAAGGCTCGCCCGAGCGCGATTGGTGGCTTCTACAGAACAGAAAGCAAAGCGAAAGACGAGCATCGTCTGATTGGTTGAAGCGTGGACGAAGTCGCGGATTGGACCAAATAGGGCCAGAGCAGCCTCGATGTCGTGCATACCCTTGAGACCGTTTGAGGTGAACACGATGGGCAGACCGTCCACAACAGGATCCCCGGACCGGAAATGATGCCGTCTTATACCGGACCGCAAGAAGTGAGTTTCCGAAGACCCAGAGAGCGGGTTATTGTGGGACTTGGCCAAGCCATCGCAATGCATTCATGACAACTCCGGACCTATTCATTTTCCCCCAGATCGCCGTTCAAAGAAAGTCGCTCAGTAGGCTTTGTGCTCCGCAACTCAGAACTATTTCGGTTCTGGTAGGGCCAGCAACCCGCCCTCAAGAAGTGGCATTTGAAATCTGCAGATGTGTCCGCGTTCGCTGTTGAGCTTGAACATCTCACAGCAGACATATCGGACGAGACTGGCCAGATCGTTGATGCGCATACTGGCTTGGCAACATCCTCCCAGTTATCCACTGCTCAGCATACTCTTTCTTCACTGCCCTTGAGGCAGTGTGGTTGCAGCAGACGAACCTAAAAGAGGCCTGGTAACCGGGTGAGCCTTGGGCGTGCTGCAGCACATGTGCCCACAACGGCTTCCTCACGCGCGGTCTCGTTCAGCTTCGCCCTCCGCTAGTGGTAACTTGGTTGAACTTGGTTGAACTTGCAGGACGCCACTGCGAACGCAGGGCGAGTGCCCCTTCAACTTGAAAACGTGACTGAGTTTCACTTCCAAGCTCAACCGTCCCGCTCGTTCTGAGCATCCGCCCAGTCTTACAGGAACCCGGTCTTGTTTCCAAGGAAGTTAAGTAGACCGTGAGAAGTATTGCCTCGTAGCGGGTGGTGTGCTAAGTCGCACAACATTGCCGGCGTACATGAAGGATGAAATGTGCTGCGGCTCTGGTACGTTTCCGGAAACACCGGGAACACCAAGAGTGGTGTCTATCGACCATTAACATGCATTCCCAACTCTACAGTTCGGAAGGCCCTCAAACCATGCTTCTGTATCCGCACGATGTCCACACCCCAGGTTCTTATCAAAGACTGAATGGTCATTACGGTATCATGAAGAAGCACTGAGGTCCTGGAAATGATCGAACGCGACCGTGCGTGCTGAGTCGTTGTGCGAGACAGCTCAATGTTGGGATAACACTTTGTCCATGGAAACGACATTACCAGACCCGGGTGGATGCGCATAACCTGTCTGGCGGCCTGACCTGCGGGAAGCCTATAAAGACCCAGCTCTTGCATGAAGTGGTATCGTAAACCCTCTCTTCAAAAGAGTCAACGTGAACCGCTCTATTTTGGTCAAGCCGAAGCTCTTGCTCGAAGTGCCGCAAGATATCGACTGGCACATAACTAGGACAGTTGCGACGCCGGGTTCGGGCTTGTCATCCAGTTGCTGGAGCTTGGCCAGAATATCTCAGAACACAAGTAGATGTGCTATGTGGACATGAGCTTCCTCGCTTTCCACTCCCAAAGCTTGCCTGGACCTTTGTATCGTTAAGAAGCCTTGGGACAATTTCCAGATGCTAAAGGACGCGAAGAAGGGACCTTTTTGTCTCTCAAACTCATCGTCGCCGGTATGGGTGTACCTACCAGGACGTACCCCGAGTGAGATTCGACCACGGGCGCTCTAGTAGTCTCGATACCAGAGTCGGTATTCTTGTTATCGATGATGTGCCATGGGCAGTTGTCACAGCTTCCGGATTGGAGAATTCTCAAATATCGACAGGAGCCTAAAGCCAGCAACGCGGTGATCTCGAGCTTGCGAATGTCAGTATCAAAGTTGGAGTTGCGGTTTTGGATGTCAGTATCGAGGTTGAAGGCCCTCGTACTTGATCTTGGGAAGCCCCTGCGCTTGTGTTTCCTGAGCTTCTCTCGTCCATATGCGGCTCCGAATCGTCAGGTGACTGCGGTGCTGGTACCGCATTATCATCCCTAGTCTTGCGCTCGTGACCTCAAGTGCCATGAGCTGCTTGTGGATGTCAGTATCGAGGTTGAAGTACTGGTGGTACCGGCCACGCATTGATGGTTCTTGCGTGGTGGTATATTGTAGGTGCAGTGGAACACCGCGCTGACAGCCATTGGAGGAACCAATCTCGTCGTCATATCTTCGCAGAGCTGGTCGAGACCAACAAATGGCTCTTTTGTTGCAAGAAGGCTCGGCTTGGAGGGATGGTGTCAAAAAGCCGATCGAAAATGGGCGTGAACATGTTTTTGGTTGTCTCTTCTAGATAGAGTCGACCTTGTCGTTAACCCACCGCGCCCCACAGCCAAGGGGGTAATGCCCCGATTATGGATTTCCCAAAAGGCTTCCATTCGACCTCTCAAGTTTCGGACTTGATCGATTACGGCTTGATGAGAGTCCAGAGTAGCTTCGCATCGCACCTACGGTTTCTTCGCCGCTGCGACCTGTACCTCCTGGTGGCCAGTGTTCACCTGCCGTATGGTGAGGCGCAGGCCTTTCACGTCGACGATCGTCAGGTCACCCACACGAACTTCCAAGCCCGTGTTCTCGTACAGACAGAGAACTGGATTGGGAACACCTGAAATAAACCACATCAATGTGTCCGCCCCTTAGGTTGGCACGAGTCAGTCCTGGATCGCGGGCGGAAGCGGGTATGCCACATGGGCAACCCACTCTGAAGCGCTCGTCATGAAGCACGTGTTGATGGCAGCGTTCTCTCCGCTGGGAGATAGCTTGGCCCGGAAAAGGACACCAAAGGCGCCATTGCCAACGATTGTGCACTGCATAGGCGTTCCCGGATTCATATGGATGTCCAGTATCGAGGACGAAGCATCGGCATCCATGAGACAGTTTCAATCACCACTTCGCTCGGTGGGAACTGCTCCCAGGAGTTGTAGCGTTTCAAATCGGATTTGAAGTTTCGATTGGCCTCAGTCGCTACTCTTCCTCGCGGAGGGTTCCCGGCGCGACGTACATTGATGAGGTGTGAACAGGAGAATACCTCGAGCTTGTGGAGTAACACGATCCGACCGGCGAATTTCCGTACTCGAGGTGGCGTACCCATGGACAGTTCCAGTCACTACCTTCCTCGTAGGGATCCTCTTATACGCGGTGTGTCGACACGAAAATAGCATAGTGGCTAGGAACGAATGGTGGCGATTCTTCTGGCTTTTTGCGGTACGTACCGGATCCCTCTGGTTTTTCGGGGTTTTCAGGTGGTAGGCATCGAGCCTCGTTGTCTGATGTACCGAACTTCGCAGCGCACGCGACACACGCCGGAGGCCTGGTACTCTCTACAAGATTTTTTCAGCTGATGGAGCTTTTGTATGAGCGTGTTCGGAGGGGCTAACTTGCGCTGTCGTCTTCGAAGGATATGGAGCTGGAGCCCCAGGGCCCGGTTTGACACGTGCAACCACTTTCGACGCCAGTTGAGGCCGCCGCCACCGCCGGCGGCGTAGGTCTTTCCAGAGACCTGTATGTCAGCATCGGCCGTGCTTGTTGCAATAGCACGAGGCCGAGCTTGGTTGATGGTTGTCAGGGAAGTTGTCGGAGTCCTGTGGGTCGCCACCACGGCCGGCCTCAGCAAGCTTGCGGCGACGCTCGACCTTGGGTCCGTTATGCACATTAGCGACATTTCAAACGCACCAAAAATCGCCATTGTAGCGAAAGCAGTTGCAACGGCTATTTGCGCGTTGCGCTCCAAGGCTCGCCCGGTCGTTGGCATCGTGCCTTCATGGATCTCATTCGTACCTTGCTTGAGCCAGCGCAATTCGACAACACGGTCATGGAGCGAATCGCTTTTAATTCCACCCCTAGGGTGCTGCGATAGGGGGTGCCCTTACTGTGAGGCTGTGAGGCCCTGCAGATGCCCGTTTCTCTGCCGCATGTCTGCAATCGCCGTCAGCACTCCGCTCTCGGGGTACGCATGAGTTGCAGCTTACCTTACCACCAATAATGGCTAGGACGAGTGCTCGAGATCGCAGCATGCTCGTTGTGGTGGTGGCGGCCGACCGCCTTGGTGGTGGGGTGGGGGTCAGGAGAGAGAACGTGGCGAGTTGAGCCAAAGCTGCGAAAGGACCACACGCCCGCAATTGTCGCCAGCACGCTATACTCAGGGTGTCCTCTTGCTGAACCTACCATGCCTACACGAGATTGCCGGGACGAGTATTCGTGGTGGTAACATGCTCCTCCTCATCGCGGGATAGGGTGTGGTTGAGGACAGAGGGCGGGGAATTGAGCAGGAGACGCTCGAAGAACAACGCGCTCGTCTTTCACCTGCCACCAATATTGGCGCACAGCACAGAAGGTTCCAAAAAATGGGCTCAGATTTTGTTCACCGAGAGCTCTGACGCTGCTAGCATGTCCGTTTTTGGCGAGAGGTGCCTCTGCACGTATCTGCACGAGCATATGTTCGCTCGACTCGGGTGGGAGCCACCGGCTTGCAGTATGTGGAAGACCACGGAGAGTTGCTAGTCCCTACCAGGCATGAAGTGACCTCCCGTGAACCTAGGCAGGTCTTTTATTCCCTCAGCGGAGGCTGAGCCTGCAATTCGTGGCCATGCAAGACGTGCAATACTCCTTGTAGTAAACACCACGAGGAACAAAATCGCTTTTGAGACGCTTTTGACCCTGGTCTAAGGACTGATAGTCCTTCAACCATGAAGGAGAGGCGCAATTGCCTTTCCCAGGATTAGATGTGAGCCGCTGACTTCGCTGCGTCAACGGGATTTTGCGTAAAAGGGTCTACCGCCATGACTATCAGATGCGTCCATGACCGCATCCCCGCCCTACAGTTGCGCGAGACTCATCGTGTGCATGCTGCATGGGGAGCAGCTCTAGCATGAGGCCTTTCTCACTCCTGCCTCGTCAACAAACGACCGAGCCTCCACACTGCCGCCATGTAAACAAGTGAAGGCACCCACGGCCCTGCCCCTCCCTCCAGGATATTTTAACTACCACAAACAACAAACTTCAACCATTTTGCAACTATATAGATCGTTCAGTTGAGGTTTACGCCATCAATAAAAGGTTCCGCTATGCGACTTAGCCCAGTGGTATCGAGCACCACAGACCCCATTGAGGGTCCAAAAGCTCACAGACGAGGTACGTCAGTTCGATTCTCTTACAAATTTACACACATTTCGACAAAAGTAAACTCGTACACGCCTCGGGTTTCTCAAGGGCATTGTGCTCCCTTGTTCTTTTGCCAATTTTTGGCAACACGTGCCATAGGTAAGTTTCCATATTTTGAAGGAATTTTTTCGCAGAGAAAGACCTGACTTTAGCTATCTGCCTTTCTACCCAAGGGTGCCAGAGGCCTCATTAGCATTTTGACCAGGGCTGCGGTCCCTTTTGCATTCATTGCACTTTTTAGCTGGCAGATACGGTAAATCGCGGTACAAGCTGCATCTCACCTCAATATTGACCCAGATCTGTGAATCTTCTCTGGATGCGCTTCTTTTAAGACCTCTAATGGAACAGCGAACAAAAAAAAAGAACAGGGCGCACTAGCTCCTTCGGCGCGTGCATGACTTAGAAAGAAAGCTGCAACCAACTTGAAGAAATGACAAACGGACTGATGCCGTCGAGATCGACGTGCATCAGTGCTAGCGCTCTCAATGCCTTGAATGACATGCCTGGGGCTGAAACGAACCCCTCGGAGCGTAGAGCGGCCCCCCGAGAGACCTTGCGTAGGTTGACGGCATCATAGAATGTAGGCGTTTGGCCCAAATCTAGGCATAGGCACGTGACATCATTCTTTCAATGTATTGAGCCCCGAAGAGCAATGTTCAACAACATACGTCTATACCAGGGTTAATATCATTCGTCCAATCACCTGCAGTCTCAAGCGATTGGGTCAAGATTTAAAAATGGTATACGAAAGTGACATTCCGATTTCGTACTTCAAGAACGGTCAAATTCTTGTGATCTCAAGACCAAAATTACTATACATGGCTGAAATCCTTCTAGTGCAAGGGGCAGCTCAATACCTCTAGACCATACTCATCGGCGCGATGTGGTCCACTACTATCCGTCTTACACATTCCTCACCTTTTGAATCTTCCCTTGTCTGTAAGAGGCGACCCCCACACGTTGAGCCTCGCACTGCTCCCCCGGTCTAGTGGCCGAATATCAACTTCCGACCTGTCTCTCTCCCTGTCTTCTCTCCAATCTTTCCATCGCTCACGCAGCGATCTGGATTTTTTTCTTGCATCCTCTGCGCGGTCTGCGGCGGTCATGGGAGGACACACTGCGTTGATGCTTGCTGCGATCTCCTCCGCTGATCGATCCTGTTGGTGTCTCGGCGGCGCATTACTTGCTTCTGTGATTGGAGGAGGTCTCTTACTTTCCCAGAATGGTGGTGGGAGAGTCTTGATGTAATCTTCATAGGACTCCTTGGGTGGTGACTTAGACTCCTTGCTATGCGCCTCTTTGGTGGATTCTGGGGACTTGTCTTCCAATTTCGACTTTGAAGTTGGTTCAGACTGTGCAATTTGTTCATGTGTCTGAGATTCTCCCGGATTGTCTGGGATTTTCGACATGTTGCTGTGATGTGGTGTAGGTTGGGAGCGCGTGAGATCGCCTTTAGGCTACACTATATATGCTGGATTATGTGGTACGCGGAAATCGGCACCCTGCACTGCCCCATCGGGCCGCCAAGGATTCAAGACCCTGACACTTTCGAGTACTGCGATTTGCGAGAACCTGACTATATTGGGGTAATACCTTGGCCAAGAAAACCAGCCGCTCGTATTCGCGAGATAAATTCATGAAGGTCAATAATTTGAGGGCACCCCCACGCAAGGTCCTTTCCAGACACATTAACATGAGCACTGGACGCGTTGATGAGTCATCATGATACCAAGGGTAGAGGGAACCAAATGATGACCCCCAGCCTGAAGGAGGTCACCGTTATTCCCAGGAAGTCAACGCACGCGCAATAGACGCTGAGAATTCTCCCGCACTGTTATAAGAAGACAAGAGTCGGGGCTTGAGAAAGACTTGAGATCCAGCGCCTGGAGCCTTCAGGTCGCTTTGAACTAGCACCAAGCTGGCGCGAATCACATTGGTGACACGCGATTTGGAAAGTCTAAGTCTTGAGGCGCGCGGCAGCAGCTACAAACAATGTAATTTGTGCGTAGACTTCTAACTAGCACTAAGCATCTACTTAGTATCTTTGTCGGTGGAGATTGATGATGTACTATATGCACTAGAACGGACAGGGAATGAAAGCGATAGAAAAATATGACGTTGAGGCTACAGCTCGTTTCAACCACGGTTTCTCTGTTCACACAATGTTGAAGCTCACCACGTCACTTCACCAGTGGTTCCTCCAGCCTAGGTGTGGCCTGTCGGCACTGTCCTGCTTTATCCGAGATTGAATGAGCACTTTTACCATCGAGACATCTGATGCTTTCGCCTGATATCATTGTCTGCAACAGACTCATATCAATGCGATCATCGCAACACGCGAAGATTCGCGGTGTGAGTGAGATTTCGATGTTGTGGGGTTCACTTACCTGAGCGGGGACTACGGCCTAGCTTCTGTATGGTCGGACTTCTATCCCCGGGAATTGCCCGCTTCCTCATCACGTATCCAGCTTCAGTTACAGTAGGCTGGAGCTACGAAGCGCTGTAATGAACTTCAAAGCTACGGCCGACTCGCACAGAGTCTGAATGTGTTGTTTGCTGTAGGGCGTCAACTCTCTACAGCCTACTTGCTCCCGCGCATTCCCTACGGACGCTGTGTCTCTTTCGTGGAAAACGTTCGTATACTGCTCTTACAGCTCCTCTAGGTAACCGATTGGTTTCTTCTTCATCAATTCCTTACCGTGCGATCGCTAGATTCTACTGTGAGAAGCGTGCGTGCGTCCTTCGTACTCAAGAAGCAAGCAACCTCATGGAACTATCTACTATCGAATCTCGTCACGATTCTGAAACGCTTTGGCCCCAGAAACCATTTCGATTCCACTGTTCCCTCAATGCTTAATTTCACTAGGACAGCAGAGCACACGATGGTCATGAACCCATCTATGACTGATGTTTCTAGAATCTGGACTGGTCGCTCGATTCTAATAGCTGCATCAACTCTCGAGTAGGAACCCGACATATTTATATGAGCCTAGCGCGCGCTTCGGATCACACAACGCGCACGCCTCTCAACAGCTGCACGTTCGCGTATATTACAAATGTGTTGATAATCACCGTAATGCAGATATTGAGTGAGCACAAATGTGCAAAGAAATAGTTTTGGTCCTCTACTTCTCCCACGCCCTCTCGTGCGTTGATTATATACTTAAGGTTGTGGGAAGAAGCGGCGCACCTGGGCAGTGGGCCAGGGTCGAGGCCAAGAACATCCTATTGCTAAAGCGGATCACTTTCAATCCTGCGCATTATGGACATGATCTGATGAAGGGTTGACCTTGGTCCTATGCTCAAAAATCTAAGCTCACAATCCTATGGGGCGGCAAGTTCGATGTGAAAATTGGCGGTCTCTCATTGGTGGAAAAAGTTCACGTGATGGCATACTCCACCAGAATTTCCTTTCCAAAATTGGCCGCCACCTCGATACGCCTGCTGACTGCATCTTGACCCGCACAGTTTGTACACGCGAAATGAGAATCCCTTGGCACTTCCACGCAGGTTCTTTGCCATTCTTACGTCCACGGCTTATGAGCTTCCAAGGCGCTGGCATCAAAAGGAGAGCTGTGTGACTGGATGGATAGGGCTGGCTCGTCAAGATCATCGAGACCTCGACTTTGAGTCAACGGATCTTGTATACTGTAAGACGGAGGTGCAGGACGTTCAATCGCCGGGTATCACCGCCGGAGGGCGGCCGTCCAGGTTTTCTGTGGGATGTTTCAGATCCAGCCACCGTCATCTGCGATCGCACTATTGGCATCTCGAACGTCGGAGTCCTAGACACATGCATCCAAGCGAATTCCACAGGCTTCGGGCGAGAGAACGTGCAATCAAACGTTCCCCAAGCGAGCCCCCTGTGCGGGAACTAGCAGCCTTGACACTTACTTATCGGGCTATTATCTGGCCCTTGTCGGGGTCTTGACGCCCTAGAGAGCTCCTTGCGCGTGTCTAAGAGATGAAATGTGTGAGAAACGCTGGCCGAGCCCCTGGTTCCCGCAATCGCTAGTACCGAAATTGCTAGTTGAGGCACGGATCCGCCGTCTTGGTGGAGTAGCCGCCAACGTGGTACGGCGTAGTGGTACAGTATAAAGGAAGCTCACAGTATGTATCGCTAGACGACAAGCTTGAAGCTGACATTCGTTTTCACCCACGCTCTTTCGCACCCCGTCGCTCTTTTTGCTTTCTTGTTCATCTTTGGACTATCCATTCGCTTCATCTACCTCGTTTTTGAGCTCACACTTGTACGCATTCAGCAACAATGAAGACCACTACGTTCCTCGCTCTCGCCGCTGTCGGCAAGCTTGCCGCTGCCCACGCTACCTTCCAGGAGATGCTCGTCAATGGAAAGTCGCAAGGCTCCACTGGTGTCCGTGGCACCAGCAACCAGAACAACCCCATCTACTCCACTGCTGAAGAGCTTGCCTCCGACATGATCATCTGCAAGGGTGGTTCCAAGGTCACTGGCTCAGTCAGCGTTGCCAGCGGTGACAAGCTCACCCTTCAATGGTACGATATGCTCTAGTCCAAAATCGTTGCGTCCGAGACAAAGACACTTCGTATACACTAGTCCACTTCACTGACTCCAATCAGGCACCACAACAACCCTATGTCTTCTGGCGACGGTGACGAGCCCATTGCTTCGGTATGTTTATGAAGGAAAGGACGACCTCGGCTCAGCTAACTGTTCTTCAGTCTCACAAGGGACCCATCATTGTGTGGGTTGCGAAGGCCGAAACCGAGGGCAAGGGCAACGCCTGGGTCAAGATCCAGGAGTCCGGTCTCAGCGGCGGCACCTGGGCCGTCGACACCTTCCGCAGCAACGCTGGAAAGATTGACGTGACCGTCCCCGACCTCGCTGCCGGCGACTACCTCATCCGCTCTGAGATCATCGCTCTCCACGAGGCCGACCGCGCCGGAAAGGCCCAGTTCTACAACGGTTGCGGACAGATCAAGGTTACCTCCTCCGGTACCAAGTCCATCACCAGCGGTGTCAACATGCAGTCCGTCTACAAGACCGACGATGCTGGTGTCCTCTTCAACATCTACGGTGGCGCTACTACTTACAAGATCCCTGGCCCGGCTGTCAACGCTGGCTTCGGAGCTGGTGCTGCTTCCCCTACCAAGGCTGCCACCTCTGCTGCCGCCAAGCCTACCACCAAGGCTCCTACCTCCACCAAGGCCGTCGCGACCTCTGTTGCCGCTAAGCCCACCACCCTCGCCACCGTTGTGAAGACTACCTCTCCTGGATACGCCACTCCTACCAAGGAGGCTACTGGCTCCGTTGCCAAGTGGGGACAGTGCGGTGGAAAGGGATACACTGGCGCCACTGCCTGTGTCTCTGGCTCCACCTGCAAGGTGCAGAACCCCTACTACTCCCAGTGCTTGTAAACATCTTCGTGCCAGAGTAGTTCGAAGGAGGGATGTACCGTGTGCTGAATTCACCTCAGCGAACATGCCGAGACATGTTCACCAAACCCTATGTTCTAGTGTATATATTTAGTGTATAGTCATCAATGACGAGAGACTTCAAGACTTCTCGCATCGTCTCCGTTGCTGCGCGTGAGCTATTTTGCCATCGATTATAGCAACACACACGTTAAACATGCCTCCTCCTCGCCCATTTGGTCAAATACTCCCTTCCCGCCAACCTATATGTATCCTCCTCTACATAGCTTCCATTATACCCTCTCCCCTGCGCTTGGATCACCAAATTTAGCCCCTTCGACCCCTCACTGTATTTTGGCCATTTCGGCAACGCCTCGCCATTCGGATCGCCGCCGTTGACAAAGTGGATCCATTGCGCGCTCATCTGCTCGCTCAACGCCTTGTACTCTTCCCACGGCCCGACGAATTGCGGATTGCCAAAGATAAACGCTACTTCGCTAAAGTGCTGGACGCCCTTGTACGCGGGAGCTAGTCCGCCGATGTAGTCGGTGAAGGTAGCATTCGTACCGTTCACGAACGGCCTTGTATTGAAGCGGTAGACATAGGTGGGTGAGTACTTCGCGTAGTGGCGGGCGTCATCCAGGCGAGTAGCGTGGTAGAACACGTCGCCGATGATAGCGGCCGCACGCTTGTACTGGTATCCTTGCTCAGCGAAGCGCTCTTCTCCTGTATTCAGTGGGATGCCTTGTGCTGGGTCGTCCGGATATAATTCCATTATCTTGCGGACAACATCGGGGGGAAAGTCGTAGCCTGTGCTGCCGAGGAGGTAGTCATAGATGTCCTGATCAGTATTGAAGATCTTTGTTGGTGCATTGTCGGTCCCTTCGTCGCTGTTTGAGCCGTAGATATGAGGTATGTGCGCGAAGCGGCCGGAGTGAAGCAGCTCAGTGGGATAGTTCGGTATGATGTCGCCGTCCACCGTTGGGTAAAATCCTGGTCCGCCGACTTTGGATGAATCGAGGAAAGGAAAGATGGTCTCATAAGGGACAGTTCGGAGACAAGAAAGTGTATCAGGCCAGTCGGTGCAGTTTGTTTGCCGCACAATCTTGTCGTAGATTGGCTGATACCAGTCGGAGCCGTTGTACCACGCGGTCGCAGCAGATCCCGACTCTTGAATACTGCGATGGAAAAGCCCATCTGTTCGACCACCGTAGGAAATGACGAGTTGACCCACAGCAAACGATCCCGCCGACTCTCCCCAGATGGTAACACTATTCTTATCACCGCCAAAGCCTGAGATATTTTCAGAGATCCAGGCCAGTGCTTTTCGCATATCCCTCAAAGATAGATTCGTTTCGCCGCTTCCTTGGATCTCCCTGGAGTACAACATGCCCCAACCACCTTTCCTGTAGTTGATACTGGTCGCAATAATTGGCTTCCCAATCTCTACGGATCGCTGTACAAGCCACGTCAGGTTGTAGTTGGGCAGACCACTCGTTCCGACCTGGTATGAGCCACCATGGATCCATACGGCAACAGGCAGTGTTCTGTTCTCCGGTATTCCTGTCGGCCGAACCACGTTGATACTGAGGCAATCCTCGCCCATGCCGTATGCCGCATCAGCGTCCGGCTGGAAGTCAGGGCAAGCATTGCTGTATGTCTGGGCAAGGCGCGTCCCGTTCCATGTCTCGTTGAGCGCCTGCGGGGCTCTAAATCGATTCTCTCTTCCAGTGTCCTGGGCGTACGGAATCCCAAGGAATATGTCTTGACCGAATTGCGGCAAATGAAGGCCTTCATATGTTCCATTGGTGACCCTGACCGTTGGGCCAGCATAAGATACAGTGGCTAGTAACCAAACTGCAGCCGCCCGAAAGCTGCTATTTCTTCTAGAGACCGTCATTGCAGCGCGTGCATAGGTTGCTGCAGGTTGTGGTAGAGGAACCACCATTTGAGAAAGTATCGCATACTTATCCGGTAGCTGATGACAAACAAGAATCCGGCCCTGAACGTACCCGCACCAATATCAAACCCGAGGCAATCACTGCCCCAGGTGGTATGTCAACCTGCGTGCCTGCAGGTGCTACGCAACATCTATCCCAATAGGGAAGGTGATCGTTGGTATCGACATGGCCCCGCACTTCGGCGATATTGAACTAGTACATGTACCAACTTCACGAGGACGCATTCGCTCTTCAACACTAAATAGGTTTTCGATCTGATTTATCTTACACAGAGCCATAGCGATACTGTGGTGTAACGTGAGTTTCTGTTGCGCTTGGCGGCCACAACGAGACGATGAAAGAGCCAATGGAATGTTTCCTCGCCATGCAAAGATCGCGCATCTATTTTCCGACATTTGGTTTTTAAGTCAGATACAGAAGCGCTTGAAAGGCAGTTCATACTGGAACGGCATATCTTGCCTACAACTATATGGGACATCACTTCGCGGTTCATGTCAATGATCGAAGACCGCCCCACACAATTTCAAACACCTCCGCTGCTGACTTCGAATAGTCTGCGCGAAATGTGCATGCGGCTTCGCGGTGCTTTTGCAAATTGACAAAGTGAAAAGTTTCGATCTCGAGCATCTGAACATTTTCCTAGGCAGGGTCCGCTCCACATTGTACTTTTCGAAACATCTGAGTAAATCGATGCTCCCATCCGGTTTGGGTATCAAGAGAAGCATTGTAGGATATCAGGTACTTTTTTCAAGGCGTGGGAATGTGTCCTACATTTGGAATATGTCGTCTAACTCTTCAGGCGAAGGTTTACAAGGGCCTGTACAGTATTTCACGTGATTATTGAAGTGATGCGCCACAATGTAGAGCTGTATGAATTTGTCGCCGTCCAGTATCTTACGACCGCTCCGCAGTATGATGCATCGGAAGAGCACCACTTGAACTATCCAGGCGCGATCCCAGGAGAAAGTTGCGTAGATTCTGACCCACGAAGAAAGATTCCTGGTTGACTAAAATCTCAATTTGCTCAGTGTGATCGCCCCAAAGGTACGGGAGGGAGGTGTCGGGTTCGTCATCTTTCCTTACTATAGCTCAACTTTGAGCATACCATGCGCTCCGTCCCGCCGAGCCTGGACCTTGAGGGGTCGAATGGCAGATGGGGGTTGCAGTGAGTGGTTAGGAGGGAGTTGATGTGGCCTCATCTCCCTGTTGTTGAAGCCTCTCAAGGTTCGGTGCAGGGTGGTCTTTCGCTGATGGCGTTTCTTCGTGGGTTCGTGTCGAGCATTGCGGCGAGGCATGGTGCCGAATCGTTTTCGCGTACCAGCATACGAGTCTCACGGCCGATGGGGGTATAGTTTTTGGCATCTCTAGTTCCAGTCTGGAGAATGGCAATGCGGTGTAAATGCAGCCTTACAACGCCACCAATCTATGGCACATGCACCCAGCCGTCACCATGCATGGGTTGCACATGATGTGTGACTTACATTTACCGGACGGCGCAAGCGCAGTTGGACTAGAGAAAGAATACTATGCTTCCTACACCTACGTTCAACAGAACAGATGTGCCAACGATCCGGCACACCGATCTCTGTATTGGTTGATCTCAGATTTGTTCCCCCGAAGGAATGTAGAGAGCATATCTAGTAGTGATTTGAAGCCGAGCGATGCATGTCCTTCATTCACTACCGCTTCTATCAAGATTAGCAAGGCCTCCATCCACAAATAATAACCATCTTTCAGACTCATGAAATAACTATGCAGCATAGCCAAATACGGGGTATTATTGAAAAATCCAACACAACCAACAACGAATAGACCACCCTATCATACCGTACCGCACCGCACTACCTCAATCAAATATCTTCGAGAAGAACTTCTTCCGTTTCTACACCCAAAGGTCAGCATGCAGTCCTCGTTCAACTGCGAGCACTCCTACGTACCACGTTGATCGACGACGGCCTCGCCGCCGGCGGTGGAGGAGGTTCCAACATCATACCGGCCGGCAGACTCCCCGGCATCTCGACAGCCGTAGGATCCGGCGGCGGCGCGTAATGCGCGTACACTTGCGGCACATGCGGTACTTGGGGCACCTGCGGCGAGAGCGACGGGCTCGTCACATTCGGCTGCTGGGACAGCGGTGTGATTGGGCTCGGCGGGGAGAGCATGCCCGATGGCGTGGGCGAGGCGAAATGGGGTTGCTGACCCTGACCCTGAGCGGGAGGGGCATACGGCATGCCTGGCTGTGCTTGTGCGATCTCCGCCTGCCACTGCGCAAACACGTCGTTCATCTGGGCCATCCACTCTGGCGGCGCGCCCGTGAAGTTGTACTGCACGGTGCGGTTGCGGAAGGCGACAAAGTAGTGGTTGGGGTTGTAGGGGGAGATGGCGAGGTACTGCTCGCGTCAGCATCACACACACCCGTCACTCTCACAAGATTCACGGAAAGCAAACCAAAACTCACAGTCACACTCCTCGGCTCCGCCCCGCTCAAAATGCCATCCAGCCCCGCATACGCCCCATAAAACTTCCAGGAGTAATAGCCATCCGGCCACAGCACGAACCACGCCTCGTTCACACCCAGCGCAACGCAGCACGGCGTGTCGTACGCCTTTTGTATCTTGTCGCTGAGCTCGGAGGGGATGGCTGCCCAGACAGACCCTCTGCCTGGGGCGCTCGCGAAGTAGCTATACCCGGCGCCGAAGGTCACGTAGCAGGAGCGTGGGGCATTGGGGATGGTTTTGGTCCAGGCGGAGAGGGAGGGATAGTGTGTGTCGAAGAAGGTTTGGGAGTACACTGTGGGGTGGGGTTAGCATGGCGTTCTGTCTGGTTTGTTTCGTTTCGTTTCGTTTCGAGGTCGTTGGGTTTGGGTACGCGCTGCACATAGGGCTGAATGCTACCCAGGCTCACAGCGACCCCAAAGCCTGCCGCGCCAGACACACTCACAAATCTTCTCCTCTCCCGCCAGCACCTTGCACCCCACATACCACACCGGCTCCGGGCTCCCAGTCTGCGGAGGCGCAAGCGCGAGGCAAAACGGTTGCACGATGCGCCAGGCCGGGGCCATGGAACTGTTAAACAGCTGGCGCAGCGTCAGCGGGATGTTGTGACTGCCTATCTGTCAGCTCCCATCGCACCCGCATCAAACTTGACAAGCGCGCAACAAGACGCTGCGTTACGTACAACTTCCATGTCTTGGGACAGTCGAAGAAGAAGCTGTTGTTGGGCCCGAATATGAATGTTATCTCGGGCATGGCAGCATCTTGCGACGTGCCGTCGTGCGTCGATCGTGGGCTGCAGAGGCGGTGCGGTGCGAAGGCAGGAGGAAAGAAACGTCAGCCCCCCCAGCCAACTCACGGCACAGCTCCGCCGGTGAGGATCGGCACTGCCACCCACAGAGACGCGCGAGTCGAATCCGACGGATACGAGACAACGGGCCTCAGGCGCTGCAGCGGGATGTTGCGATGGCGGACACTGCGCCAATCGCTGCCGAGCGCCGCAAGCTGTGGCGCTGGGGCGCGGGGCGTGGGGACGAAGCGGGGGCCGAAAAATGTCTTGGGCATTGCGCGGACCAGTTCGGACATCAGATGAAATTTGACCTGGCTACTTCCTGCTTCGGTGCATCTGAGTGGATTAATCTCTTTACATTTGAGGCGAGATCCCTATCTCGAGGCGAGTGCATCTCTACCGTACATCCAAACCCCTCTTTAGCCATGGGTATAAACCAGATACTGCAGCAACATAATAACCCTCATATCTCATAAATCATATCCGTCCAGAACACCCAACTCCTACTCCGTGTGGTTAGTAAACCAGCCCCATACTCCACCCTCAGGCAACATTGTCTCCCACCCGCAAATTCTCACCACGGTGACCATGACTGCTCCCAGCACGCTCACTCCGCCAAGCACCTTCACAAGGACGAAGCCTCGCCTTCTGACTTCGTCGCTGAAATCGCACAAGCCTAGTGGATCTCTGGAATCAACGCTGCCGCTCCTGCTGTACATCGGGCTCCCGTGTCCAGGCAAAGATTCTTTGGTCACCCCACGTTTAACAACAGCCCAGTCTGCGCGGGGAGAGCCGCCGGGGGTTGCAACAATGTTTCCGCTTGCCACTTCCTCGCCCACACGTTCGAGTAGCCACTTGGCTCGTTCGTTGCGTTGGAGTTCCTCGAATCTATCCTTCTCGTTCCTCAGACTGCGCTGAAGATCGGTAGCCCACTTGGCAAGGCGAACTTCTGCAAGGCGCTGTTCGCCTTGTGCAGCGGTGCGGTATCGTGTAAGGGAGAATTCAGGTAGGTTGTCGAGGGTTTCGGGTAGGGTATGCGCAAGTGAAGGAGACGATGCCTGGAAAGGTGAATGAAGGTTGGAGGCATAATATGGTGAGCCTGCTGGAGGTAAGAGCACTCCTGAGGGTGACACTGGAGTGAATATAGAAGATGCTGCGGAGGCTGCGAAACGTCAGTTAAATAAAGAGGGAGATTGCAGGAGTCATTACTGTTCATAGCAGCGCTGTTGAGCCCGACAGAGGCACTGGTTGATGAACTGCCACGTCGCAGCGTCTGTTGTTGCAGGCTTTGCATGATGAAAGAGTCGCCCGGCAATTTGGTCCGCCGCCGCCACGCAAGAAACTTCTTCGCCGCAGAATGCCTCAACCATGTAATCGACTCGGGATCAAAGACTCGAGTTACGAGGGCGGCGAGTTCGGACGGAAGTAATGGCTGCACGTAGTCGGGTGACATGAGAAGAGACGCGTCCATGGTCTCTGAATCGGAGCCCAACGTCGATGAAACCGCATACGGGTGGGTTGGAATGGAGAAAGGAAACTCGTTGGGTTCTAATGCTGGCTTATCGTCAGATGACGCAGAAGAAGACTGTTCCAATGATAGCTCCTGAACGGCGAGCAACGCATCGTCGACTGCGTTGCCAAAAAAGAAAGGCTTTACTGATGACGTCTGTAGTCTCGCGAGTATAGAGGTTTTGATAGCGACGAGCTCGTGGGCGGAGAGTGTGTCACATTTGGCGATGACTGGGATCAGGTTGGTGAGTCCGGACAGTCGCTGCATGAACTCAATGTCTTCGGAGATGTCGGGACCTGATCAAACATTAGCAAATTGCTGTCAACTCGAGTGGAGAGTCTTACGGGGAGGAAGGAGATATAGAACCACGTCAACAGCAATGCCGCCGCTACCGCTGATTACACCAAAAAGGTCATTGTCCTCCATGCTCGAGACCGCAGTTGTCTGGTATAGTAGGCCCTCGACGTAGTCGATCACTCGGCCCATATCTTCAGCTCTGGAAGCATCTCCACTGTACCCAGGAGTGTCCACAAAGCAGATATTCCGCTCCAGTACTGCATCCGTTGTACTGCTCTTCCTTCGCCTCAAAACCCGCGATTCTTCGACATCGGTCCACCAAGGGGGATAGGATTTGGTGCTGGCATGAGTCTCGGTGATATGAGGTGTACCAGGACCCTCGGCCTTCCTCTTCCGCGACTTCGGCTTTGATGACGAGGATTGCGATAGGGAGTTTGATGGAGAAAGTGGATCGACGTGTACGATATCTTCGCATAGCTGGACGATGGACCGTATAAGCGATGTCTTTCCGATGCCTGCATGCGTGTCAGACGGATGTGCATCGAATCTACGGTGAAACAACCAGGACATGGCGTACCTGCCTGACCAGCAACAAGCACCTTCAGCTTGCCCATGGCCTTGCCCTTGGTGGTGAATGGTCTCCGTGAGGGCATCTGTATGCTCGGCATAACCAGCTGGGGAAAGCCGCTGAACTGGTCGACCGTCGTGGCGTTCTCAGCGTCATGGCCCGAACCTACCACCTCGCTCGTGGCCTCATTTGGCTCTGTCTCTTCGTCGGACAGCTTGACCGATTGCAGTGAGGCGGAGGTCGGGGTACTGGGTAGCGCTGAAGTGGGCATGGGCGACAGCGGGTTCGACTGGGAGTGGGTTGACCTGTCCCTCCTGTTCGTACGAGGCGGTGAAGTCTTGCAACTTTCGGATCGTGTGCCAGTTGCCCGTGAAGAGTCCCGTGAAGCTCGCATTATGTTGCGCTTGCATTGGGTGGCTTGCGCCCGTGCATGATCGCCTCTGCTATCTCCGGCCTGGGTCTCACTCCCAAAGGCGGCTTCAAGAGTATCTGCCAGGCTTTGTACTCCAAAGTTGCTTTCTTTCTGCCTCTTCACTGCGGCTGTGTTCCTCGAAGCTTGCATGGACTGCTCCATGTCGTCCTCGGTCCTCATAAAGAAGGTCGTTGGTACATGGCTCAACGGGCCGCCGCTTAAGCCCGAGGCATCGACGAAGCTCGATTTTCGCGATCGTGGGTTGCTTGAAAGCGGAGCATCGCCGCCGGGTAGCGGTCGCATGCTGAGGAGCTCTGGGCGTGGACCGAGCAGCCAGCAGTGTTGAGGGTCTAGAAGATGTGCTGAGCTCAGAGAGCGGTAGCCAGCCGCGGCGACCGGCGTGTACAAGTGGGCGACCCCCGCGCAACCCCGCTTGGGCCGTGCAGCTACAGGTAGAGAAAGCGGGTGCCGTGTTTCGTCGAGTATGAGGAACAAATACGTTTGCGAACTATCGGAGCATGTACCGTCGTCAATGCTGCCGCGGCGGAAGTCGCAGCGTGATGTCTACTTGCTTGGATACGGCCGCGCTCCGGCGTGCATGCAGCGACAGCACCGGAGCCATCTCACCCGGCGAATCGCATCACATCGTCAGCTAACCACCTGACACGTGGGCACCGGCACCTGCATTATAGTCATCAGGTGACGTTATCTGAGACCGTTCCACAAATCATCGAATGCAGTACGCATCATGAATACTGTTATACATGGCCACTATAGCGCGATGTCGCACCGCCCCCAGATCCTCTTGCCTACCTTGTTCTCAGGACCCTGTGCCTTCCACTCCCAGCCAAGGCGCCGTCTGCACCCAGAAACCTCCATCCACATAGCCCATACCCCGGTAAATGACACGCGACATCCCTTTGCTCCTATCCAGACCCCCGTAGATGCCTTTCCCGGAAAAAGAGGATATCAAAAAAGATTAACAGACGAAATGAAAACACGTGCTAAAAACACATTGCCGAACATGTACAGGGTACAGGGAATGCCAAGAAAGGAGACGCTATGCAAGGGGACGTAGGTGCCGTAGCTAAGGAAAAGCAGACGCCCATATTTTTGTCGAAACGAAGACGTGACTTTTGGACAAACGCTGAAGGGCGAATACAGTACACGTAATTAGAGCCGTCAGTCGTCATAAGATAGGCCATATCTGATAGTCCAGAGGTTCTGCCGGGGTAAGATGTGTGGAAGCGAAAGGTGGAAGAAGGTGGGCTCTCTAAGACTCCTGAGGAGCACCACCACGGCCACGAACAGAGCCGCCGCGACCGCCGCGTTGGAAGCCTCCGCGAGACTGGCCAGGGAAACCGCGGCCGCGACCACCGGGTCCACCTCGGAAGTTGGTATTGAAGCCCTGCTGGGGACGGAGTTTGCGCTCCTCCACCTTGATTTCCAGACCGTTCACGGTGTGAGGGTTGGCGTTGACAGCAGCCTGGAAGGCGGCAGCCGTCTTGAAATCAACAAATGCGCAGTTCTAAAAGAAAAGGATTAGCCAGTGCGATGAATGGGAACTTGCCTTCTTACCTTCTGGCGGCTGATGTCGAGGTGCTCGATCTCACCAAACTTGGTCAAAGCTGCTTTCAAGGCACCCTCCTCAACCTGGCTGTAGACGTTCTTGATGTAGGCGCGCCTCTGGTCAGCCTCCTGCGGTGCCTGAGCCTGCTGGCCACGCGATTGCTCTTTCTTCGTGCCAACGGATTGCCAGCCGGCAGCGTCGCCCTGGCTGTTGGTCGGCGAGGACTCACGGGCGGGAGCGGGAGTCTTCTCGGGCGCAGCCTGCGGGGCAGGGGTCGATGTCGTGGACTTGGCCTGGGATGGCGCCTGGGATGTTGCCGCAGCCGGCATGACCGGAGTAGCGACCTTGTGGGCGGACGCGGCAAGAGCAGCCCAGGACTTGGGGACTGCGGGCTTAGCCGGAGCAGCGGGAGCGGCAGCCTTGGGGGCAGGCGTGGGAGCAGGGTCCTTAGGCTTCTCTGGCTGAGCAACCTCCACTTCGACAGCTGCCTCGGGCTCCTTGCTGGGAGCTTCTTCGCTCGCAGACACAGCGGCAGCAGGGGCGTCCTCGGCCTCAGCAACCTCCTCGGCAGCTGGCGTACCGTTTGTGGCGGTAGCGGGAGCCTCCTGCGCTGGCTCCTCCTTGGCGGTCTCAAGCTTTTGGTCAACCTTGTTCAAATCCTCCTCGGTGGTCGCGATCTCGTCGCTCTGGTTCAGGCCAGCGTTCTCGGGTGCAGCAGCAGTAGGTGCAGGCTCCTGGACGCCGGCAGCGGGAGCAGAGGCGTCGTGCTGAATATCCTCCTCATCCTCCGGCTCCTCGGCGAGGTAGCGGAAGATGTCGTTCAGAACGAAATAGCCGTTGGTCTGCTCGGCGAGGACGAAGGTCTGCGCAAAGCGCTTGTGCGGGTGGCCCTTGTTTGAGATCTCACCAATGACTTGGATGACGATGTTGGCATCGGAGCCCTGGGAATCGACGTTCGTAACGCGGACCTTGGTGTCATGGAAGTCAAGATCCTTGATGCGGTCATTGATAGCCTGCCGTCACATGGTTAGCCGATGCGCAGCGATGCAGTCTAGGAGGAGTATACCTTCTGGCCCACGCAAACATTGACCTTGTCTTCCTCATTGCCAGAGACGAATTGCGAGCGCTTGTTGTAAAAGAGCTGTCCGCATATCAGTAAAGGCCATTGGCGTGCGTCCCTGTACACTCACATAGAGCTTGTCTGGGCTCCTGCTCAGGGTGGTGTAGTACTGCTCGACAAAGTACCAGCCAACCTCGTCCTTGGGGATCTCGGAGGCCGCTGTGTTGGAGCTCTGGGCGGGCTGGGAAGCAGATGCCGAGTATGAGGGGGCATTGTTGGCGTAGTTGCTGCCATCGTAGCCCTGCTGCGCGTAGCTGCCATTGACAGGGAGCTCGGCGGCGGTTGCCATCTTGAAGTCGGCGACGGTATGTATATAGTACAGCGAAAGCTTTCACGTGGGCGCGGTCGCGACCGTAGAGAGGCGAGTATCGATTGAGGCTCGGGAAGGGCGAAGGAAGAAGCTCTGGAGCTGCGCAAGCAGGCTCGTCAGCGATGCCAGAGAAGGGAGAGTATGGATGGACGTACTGCTGAGTCCCGCGAGAGGGGGGAGCGGAAGAGCAAGCGAGTGCGAGCTTCGGGCGGCGCACTAAGCGAATTATCCTACACTGCTGCAGGAAGAGAGTTAGGAGAGGTCTGTTTGCAATGTAGTAGAAACGCGATGAGGGGCGATGGGAAAGTGCGAGGGAGCGGAGTGCAAGCGGCAAGCTGTCTGTAAGGAAAGAGCCATGCGATCACAACCAAATCGAATTTCTCGTGGCCAGAGCGCGCCAAGGCCGTCTATCCCGGCTCCGTTTGCTCCCCCAGCGCGGGCCGCGGTCACTCGAGAGCTCGGAACTTCACTGGCTCGGATCAAACAATGTTCAGTCTAAATTTACAATTACTTCTACGCCGTAGCTAGCATTGGCCTTGGTTCGTGCTGCGGTTGCTGTGCGCATCTTCCGGTCCACGCGCTGTGGCCTCCTTACCCCTCACGACACGAGCTTGGGCTCGCCTATATCAACGGCCTTCACGCAAACTTTGGGCAATTGCGCTCTGGATACACCAATGTCGTTCGCACGTAGAATTCCACAATGCTCGGACTGAAGTATCGTTCCGCCATAACATGGGTTGCCCAGACTTTACACGCGCCAGTCCACCACCATTGTCATGACCTTTTCTCATAAACCAAGTACCAACGCCAATGTCGTTATGCAATCATGGATCCGGCCTCCATTCCCTATCCTCCACTTAAACTTGACCCTCACTCCTCATCCTCCTCTTGAAGTCGTCGCACCCTCTCTTCAGGATCCACGCCCCCGTATCTCTCCTTTTTAGCCACCCACATCTGCGCCCCATACCCAAGCGTCACAAGCCCCGAAAAGATGAAGAGCGGGATCATCGTATGCCGGGCGATTTGCTATTTCCATGTCAGCCAGGTCCGGATTGCGACCACTCGATGATTCCCATAGTTACTTACAAGCTCAACACATTGCATCTCCTTGGGCAGCACGTCCTGGATGGCGTAGTAGATGACTTTACACGCAGATTGTTCCCGTGTACAGGTGTACGAGTCGCGGCCAGGTTTGAACAATCCGTACGACCGGTCGGCCGTACCCTCCCAATCGCAACTTGTCTCCTCGATCTGCTTGGGGTGGACATTGACGAAGACCAACGCTGCTAAAGATACGATGAACGTAACAGTAGAAAGGGCGATTGCGGTAATCGACAACGCCTTTGAAGTATTCGCGGTGTCTCCGTTCTGCATTGAGCGTTAGTGGGAGCACAACAGCAACCATTATCCAAGGTGACATACCTTTCGAGAGCGCAACAATCTCGTCACTTCAAAACCCACACTGAGCAGGCCAACAATGAGGCAGATCGAAGCAGCAGCCCAAGCAGCCTGCTCGGTCGCATAGTCGTAGTCGAGGTTCACTTTCTTCTCCAAGAACTCCAGTGACGAGTTTGTTCCCTTCCAGACAGCATTCACGGGACCATACCACACGCCATACTCGCCTGCAGGGAAGTCCTTCGCGATGCGATTCGAGGCATCGACGCTCGTGGAAAGCACAGTAATGGACAGAGCGATCAGGAGGACGGAGGAGAAGATGGTTGCGGAGCGGACAATGAGGGCCGTGGGTGCCATTCTGAATGCAGTGCTTTCACAGTGCGAAGCGTTACAGGACGCGTGAAATAGTGGGTTGGAACGAGGTGCTGGATGCCCAAGATGCTGTCGATCCCAGCGTGCTTTATATCACATTGACCGCTCGGGCGAGTGTTACACGTTCTACATTTTCACGCATGCGCCAAGTGCTATAGGCAGTCATAGAAGTGTCATGATCCACCTCAACGGCCGTAAAAGCATCGCAGTGTACTGCCAGTCGACGACGTTTGTACACATGGTGACTGCCTACTGGAACCCTGTCTAACCCAATTGGGCACTTTGTTATCGACATCCCTACAGCAACCGACAGACCTGAGTACGTTTTGAAGGATGGACATCCACTTCCAAGTTTTGCTTTGCGAAGCGCGCGGAAAGGCACACACCACACATGGATCTCTTCCGAAAAGCACCATACGTAATAGTAGAGGCGAAGCGGTGGTGTATACCGAAATCACACATTTGCACAGAAGCGCATGAGTGCGTTGACCACGATGTTTTCGCAATGCGAAATTATCTCGGCATCGGGAATTGGATTTCCACTCTTTGCTTTCGTGCTTAATTCCTTTCCGCGATGAATCTGCCTTGATGTGTGCCGGGGGCTGTGCAAGATTGAAGAGTCTGGCAGATACGCGAACTGCCGCGAATCACGACTACGAACGCAGGATCTTAGACTGGTTGCATTCAGAGAAACCAATAGAGCAAACTGGATTTCCTATGAATGTGAGATGTTGGGGTAGCCCATTAGATCATGGTTTCACAACTGTATAGTATAGTAATTTCCTGCAGGATAAGATGGACTAGAAGGTCCAGGTTTTCGTGTGGGCTCCTGTGATCGAATACATATGTGAATTCTGAAGCCGTGAAAGACAGTGATTTTAAAAAATTGCATCGTCTAAGGGAAGAGATCAAGAGAAAAAAGGGCATTCAAGGTTCGCATGTCTCACATAGCTACCTTGAATGTTACCGGTGCACGTTTATGACAGTTCTCAAGTGCGAATGAAACAACTTTCTATTGAACTACATACAAACATGAAAATGACACGCACTAACAATCACTATCTCCACTATCTCCAGTCCCCACACTATCATCACGTTTCATAAGATCATTCCACTTTTTCGCCTCTGCCACCAGCCGCTCCGCCTCAGTCATTCTATTCTTCCTCGGCTGTGCCTCCTTCGCTGGTTGTTGGGCCGACTGCTTCCTCGCTACAGGTGCAGGCTTTTTCTTTGCCAGTTTGTTCAGCACCGGACGAGCGGGCTGGTCGGCTTCCGCACCATCATCCTCATACGAAGAATCAGTAGCCTCCTGCATAGCTTGTTTTCGCTTTTCAGCAGCCTTCTTCATTGCCTGTTGCCTCTTCGTCAATGTTGGCCTGGGCAGGGGGACCTCCTCCTCCTCCTCCTTATTTTCGAACAGATTCTCCCAATCTATACTCTCTATCTCCCGACCCTCCTCCCCCCCGTCATCCTCTCCATGATCGCTGACTTCTACCACTTTCTCCTTGATCCGGTCGCTCAGCTGTCCCGGACTCGGTGGCTGTGACAGCAACCCCTCAGGGATGTCGGACAAGCCTTCATCACCAACAGCAGGCGTATTCGGCGGCGCGGCCGATTTTCTTTTACGCCGCAAAGCCTCCGCAAGAGCGAGGCTCGACGAGGGACTGGGCGCGGGCGAGCGATCAGTGCTGGGCTCGCTGAATGCACTTGCACTCGAAGCATTTGAAGGCTTATGCTGTTGGCCCGGGGGAATGTGGTGCTTGCGTTTGCCTTTCTTCACGCTCATCAAGGAGTGAGCTTCGTCTATGGTGAGGCCTTCGTCCTCATAGTCCTCATCAGAAGCTTGAACGTCCTGCTGTTCAACTTCCACCGCATCGTCCCACAGGGGCATCTCCTCCGGCCACTCCTCCCAGCCATCCGCGGGAAAAGATGGAGGTGGGAGAGCAGGGCCATGCGCGGAGCCCTGAGATGATGTTGACTTATGAGAGCTCTTCCTCGAAGAATGAGGCGTGAGCGGCGAGACAGTCGGCGCTTTGGGCGAACTGTCGGGCTCTTCATTATCCGTCTTCTGTCTCTTGCGCCTAGGTGACCGAGGCTGTGCCTAGTTAGCAGACGCATCGTCACTAAAAGACTGGCAGATCAACTAACTTACACTCTCTTCTTCCTCGAGAACATAGTCATTATCATCACTACCATGATTGCTTTCGCTATAGGGCCCCTCGCCATCTTGGTCCCCGCGGTCATCGTGCCCGAAATCATCTTGCTCATCATAATCGTCTCCACCACCATCATCGTCGGGTGAAATTTCATCCTGTTCGTCTTCGTCAGTTTCCTCATTGCTATCATGCTCACTTTCCTCTTCTCCGTCCTCATCTACACTTCCAATCTTTACAACTTGCGCTGGTACTTCCCCACCAGCGCCTATCTTCCCTCCTTGCACCTGCCACACCGGCCGTGCATCTCCCCCAATATCATCACCATCCTCGACATCACTAAAACCACTGATACCAATCTCCTTGTCGCTAGGCCACCCCTCCCCATTATCTAGATACGTATACAGCCGCATACCCCGATTGCTTCCCATCATGGAATCCGACGAACTCTTCCGCCTCGGATCATGCGCATCGCGGTGCACGTTCCTGAGAGATGATGTATTATAGTCCACCTGTCGGCGCCCATTGGCATCCGTGATAATCGTCAGATTCGGCTTGTTCTTCTTCTTGATGCTAGATTTCGCTGGCGCCTTCGCCGCGGCGTTGTGGGAGTTCTGGCTGCTTTTTCGCGAGCAAGATCTAGTCGTCCAAGTTGAAAAAGTGGCGCTGGAGCCGGACGTGTTGGGGCCGGGAGGGTATGTGTCGAACGTTGAGCCCCGCGCGTAGATGCCCTGGGTGTGGGCGAGGTCGTTGTCGTTGTATGCTGTGCGCTGGCCCACCGTCGTTGGGGCGAATCTTACGCTGGACTTTCTCCTCGGGACTGCGACGTTGTCTTGCAATTCCGGTGGCGTCTGCGCGTATCGCCTGGCTGACTGAGGGTGTTGCTTTGCGTATCTCTTCCAGGCGTCTGTTTGGTAGGCTTCATTCCGGTGGCTCCACACGTGGTGAGCCTTGGTTGCGCCATCCATGGACTCCCAGTGGGTGCTGCAGAAGGGGCAGAGGATGGGCATGTGCACTTGGTGGTCGATCAGATGTTGTTCATACCTGGGTGAGGTTAATCGCAATCTTATGGATGAGATCAATTGTGTTCGGTTTGCTCGTACAGTCGAAACCTTTAGAGCGTAGAAACAACAGCGGTGAGCATACTTACTCAAAAAAAGGGACATCACCGATCTCCTCCAGACAAATCGCACAATGATCCGGCACCTGGTTCTGGAGTCTATACCGCTCTTGCATCATCGTCCACATGTGATTATCAAAAGGGTAGTCGGGTGCTCGATCCGCCATGATGTCAAGCGCGAGGTCTCTCGCTTCCTGAAGTTGCTCAGTCGCGGCGGGACTGGGCGCATTATAGAACTGCGATCCCTTCGACGAGACTGTGGACACCCAGGTGAAAACATCGCTGATTCTGCGGTGTAGAGAATGCGGAGTGTCTGGCGTGGTTGGTCTTGATGCGGGCGTGCCCCAGCTAGACGCCGGTCTTCCTGCTCTGGAGATGGGCGTGGCGTATTGCATCCTCGCATCCATGCCATGGTGGACAGGCGTTCTGGGGCGTTCCTCAGTTGTCCAATACGCGCCGTCGTTTCGAGTCCAGTCATCGCTGATGTAAATGGGAAGAATGGGATCGTCGGAGTTTGGATTCGAGCCTTCCACCCGGGCCATTTTCTCAGCTATGCTTATCATACTTGGGTCATGTTCCAACTGTACCGGTGGGTGTATCGGCAATTTACCGCTCGGCGGAAGCTGGTTTCTCAGCACGTGAGTCAAAGTGTGCCATGCATCCTTCCTTCCTTCATCTAGCCACTTATCGTGGTAAAACTTGAGGGTGTAATCAAGTCCAAAGCGGTACAAGTCTCGTTCCATGGCCCAGATTACGACGTCATAAGTAGTTGTATGTCTCAATTTTCTCGTTGATCGTAATCTGTTGGGACCAGCCGCCTTCTTGACACGAATAAGTCTTGAAGACCGGCAATGTGGCTTCCGTTCACTCTCAGAGTCGCGACCTGGATGCTGATCCTGATACTTCTCGTACTTTGTGTTTGACTTCGTAGGGTTCTTCAACGTAGGATTCATCGAGTCATCCTTGTCCACCCAAAAGAAAAAGCTTGGGACACTCTCGCCTTTTAAGCGGACATAGAACAAAGTCTTAATATCACGATCTGCAAACGTGTTCTCAGGGCCATTGTACCGGCCTTCAAAGTAAGAAGGAAGATACGCTGGAAGGTATACCAGTGTGGGGCGCCATTGGGAAGCCCTGTACACTTTCTTCGTAATCTTGCGTTGTTCTTTCTTTCTTATCGCCTGCAGCCTGTCGTCTCTTTTATGGACACCCGCTGTGTGGAACGGCTGGCGATCCATTCTACGTTTCTCCCTCGCCTCCCTAGACTTCCATTGCCGATAAACCTCTGCGAGATCTTCGTCTGGACGTGGTAGGTTGAAGTACATCCGTCCATTCCATGCTTGTACAATGGTGCGCTTGCTCCAGTGCTGGCCACTCTCAACAAAAGCACCTTCAAGTGGCCCAATCAACACACCATTGCGAGCAAAATCTTTGACTTTCTCTGAGAGTGCCGGTACCTGGTCCGGTTCAGTCTCTTTGTCCTTAGCATCGATCCCGGGCGTGTGCAGCATTTCATGGCCTTGCATAGTGACTACGTTCAGGGGTGTGTAAGGCAGCTGCCTGGGTTGAAGCTCTTCGTTCTGGGGCCAGGTCCGCGGTGTTTTCCAGTAGTCATTGGACGGGGGGTCGGCAAACGACCATTCAAAGATCCTAAGCCTATGTGGCGGGTAGGTAAGCGATTCGGATGAATGAGTGCTAGTCGTGTCGCTGGTATTGCTGTCCTCTTGTTGCAGATAGACCTGAGGAAGTTCCTGGATCGGCTCGTCCTCATCCTCATCCTCGTCGCTCACAATCTGACCCTCCTCCTTTTTCCGAAGCTTCTCCTCAAGCTTCCTCTGCTGTTCTGCTTGTCTTTTCTCCTCGGCTTCCTTTGCCTTGACTCTGGTGTTCTCTCTCAACTTCGCATTCCCCCTCTTCGCTTTTTGAGCTCTCCTTTCCAACTGCTCATCAGCATCGGCGAGGGTCCGGGCCAGGACATGCTTCTGGAGGTCCTTCACTTTTTGTTTCTTCGCCTTGAAATTTGCGAAAAATGGTATGTATGTCGGGTCTTCTTGAGCAGCAGAAAGCATCTCACCACGAGTCATGCTATCCCACTTAGTGTCAGTCAGGTGTTCATCCTTCATTTTGTGAACTCCACCACGCTTGTGCGGCTTGGCTTGCGGAGCCTTTCCGCGCTCTTCTCGCGCCGCTCTCGCATCTCCACCTTCCAATGTATATTCTTCTGGAAATTTGGCCCTTGGTTTTCCTCTGGCCATCTTGCGAGAGTTGAACCACAGAGGAGTGCTTGGCTAACGACACGGCCCACCTTTAGTCAAATGTAATGAAGCGGAATGAAGACGGAACAGCTGGGAGTATACGAGTTGTGGCGTTGTTGTCGATACAAAAGCTCACCCACTTTCTTTGTCTCACCTGGAATGGAAAGGAGCATGGCAGGTGGCGTTTTGACCAGCTCCCTTTGTCATACGCCTCTGCGAAGTTCAGTTGAAAGAGGGTTCAGGCAGCCATAACATTATGGAGACATGGAACAGGATGTGCAAGAAGATCAAATAATGATAGAATTCTCAACGTATGCTAGGGTATATTGCTGCAATGTATTAGACTCGTCACTGGAGAGTTTAGAAGCGCAAACAGACCTACTTACAATTCCGATTTCCCAGTGACCTCCGCCGTGGGCTTTGTTTGCACATCAAAGAAACCCTCGAGGTCCATCCACTCGGCTGCGAATGCGGTAACAAGCCTCGCCCAGTCTTCGACCGTGTCCATGTCGAGATGCTTGCCATCGTCCGTGATGTCATGCCAGACATGTGGGAATGGCGAAGGGATGATGTGAAGGACCTCAACCCCACGAGCGAGGAAGGGAAGGTGGTCGTCGGCAATGTAACCGCCGTAGAAGTCGCCGTTTTCTTTGGCGGCCTCGTTGAGGAACAAGGGCTCCTTTCGCTTATTCTTGTTCTTGCGCTTTGCGATCTTGAGAGGGTGGTTTGGCGACGATTTGAAGAGGCCAAGATCTCTGAGGCGGTGCTCGATTTGAGCCATGTGTTTGTAGGCCCAGTGCGTGGTCTTGTAGAACGAGGGCACGGTCGGGCCTCTGGAACCGAGCAGGTCAAGCAGCACGAAGAGGTCGATGGAGTCGAGCGGCGTCTTGTACGTGGATGCGGCGGGGTTGAACGTGTTCTCCCATTCTTCTGCAAGAGCGCTGGACTACGTGTCAGTGATTGCGTGTGCACATGGCAGAGACACGCCGTACCGTGAGCCGTACAGGCTGTCTGTGTCCGACCAGACCTTGAAAGCCTCCTCGCCGTCCAGCAGCAGTATCTGGACGCCCTTCTTGTCTTCGAGGTCGTCGGTGCCTTCAGCAGCCATGGCCGCCCACTTCTTGGTGAGGGCCTTGTCGACGGTGCGTGCGGCATGCAGCAGCATTGCGCAGGGCGCGGCGCTGTCAATGGCGCCGATGAAGCCCGCAGGCTCCAGCTTGCTATCGTAATGCGCAACCAGCGCCAGGCGCCCGACGTCGCCAACACCTGCATTGGGAGGGTCGCGTGTCGCTACAAGGTTCACGAACGGCACCGGCTGGCCCTTTGAGGTGGGCGTGGTCGACGACGAGTTCTGCAGCTCCAGGCGCCATTCGGGCAGCTCACCTCTGAAGAAGTCGACAAAGTGCTGCAGGACGGCCCTGCTGCCTTCGGTGCCCGACACCCGCGGTCGCAGTATCGGGGCGAGCAGGGCGCCTGTGTCGATGTCGAAGTCGGCACCCGGCCCAGGAAGGCCTCTGAGGGTCGCATCGCTAACGGCGCCGTACGCCAGGGCCGTGGGCAAAAGGCCCAGGAAGCCCACGAGCGCCACGAGCAGCTCCATTGCGGGCTGTGAATCTTCAGGTGGCGGTCGAGGAAAGGCGTGGAGCCGTGCTACCGCGCTGTCGGCATGTCTGGCACTCGACCCATAGTGGATTCGTGGTCTCATCTGGACAACACCAATGCACACGTGACGACGCGTCTGGACGCGTCAGAGCGTCGCGGCCGCGTCGAACGCGCGAGGAATGCATCTCGAGTCCAAGTACGGGACGCGCTCGCAAACGCACGTCGTGGTCGTGATTCGCATGCGGCGCAGGAACCCGTGCAAGAGCAGCTGCCAAGCCGCGAGAGTGGCAGCAACCACGCCGACGCCTGTTCTCGCATCAATGTGAAAAGCGGCGATGCAGCATCCGGTCAGCAGTCCGTACGTGGATAGCAACCTAGGTCACTCCAGGCTTAACTTCTGAGCACCCAGCTCGCCTTCACCCGGCCGTTAGGTAGACACGAGCGGGCCTCGGGACCTCGTCGCCGTCCGAGGACCTACTCACTGTTCCATCGCACCTAGATTCAGCATGAGACCATCGACTGCTAGCCGTAGCGCTGCCTTCGGGTGGGACCTCGCAGCCGGCTGCGAAAATTGCATCCAGGTCGCGCTTCTCCTCCAGCAACCGAACCACGGTTCCGGGCCATCCCCATCTTTCCGATTGCTGGGGAAGGTGGTCCACCCCCATCACTCCTACGTACTGTGCGCTACGCGGTGCACTTCGCTCCATACAATCGCAGACCACATGCACCTCCCCGCTTACCTAATCGCTCTACCGTTTACCGCCGTGAGCAATTCGGCGTGCAATGTATTTAGGCAGAATACAAAGACAGATCGACTAGTGGCCGCTCTCCACACCGCACGAGCTGCGGGGCGCACGGCATATGCATGTCTTGCTCCACGAATTCTCGGATCTCGTAGAGATTCAATCTCATGTGCAACCGGGCAATAATTAATTCCAAGACCTCCATCTCACTGATGTGGTCGAGGCCTCGCATTTCACGATAATTGCCGTCTTGATCTACAATCATACTCGCACAAGGCGTTGCGCCCACGAGATTCGAGCCCATAAAGTGGACTTTGTTCTTTGTACTCCGAGAGCTTGATGCTAGTCAAGCATCAGCCACCCGATGCTCGACAGTGGTCAGTTCCCATCCGACAAGGATAGGCTCGTCCCCAGTCCGCGGATCAAGCTTCGAGCCAGTCAGCTTGACTATCAGTTTAACCGCACATGCCCTTAGTGCGTCGAACCACTGACACACGACCCTTTGAGCCGTGTAAGTGGATGCTAATTAACCGTGTCCTTGCACTTGCAGATGGAACATGGGTCGTATATGATGATGCGTAGGTTTCGGAGAGCTTACGGGTAGGGTATATACATGAGCTCGCACCCTGCGATATCTTGCAGCAGTGAAAGTTCCCTCTCCCACCCCATTGTCGATTCGCATCAAGCCGGGATACCACTCTCAAAGAGAAGGCTTGCTGTTCAAGATGGCACCTGTCGGAGGCTCAGGCCATGACTTTGAGGCAGCCGCATTGGCTCGCCGCCAGGCGTTGCAAACACCCCCAGGCCCCATGGCCTTACTCAAGAACCTCAAAGTCTTCGGCATTGCATGTTTTGCTTGCTTGGGTGGTCTGTTGTACGGTTACAACCAGGGTGTTTTCTCCGGTGTTCTCGTCATGCACTCGTTCAAACAACGTAAGTCTTCGTCCATATGCATGCTCTACTTTTCGGGCTCACAGCTGATCAATTGCTATGCAGACATGGGAGACTACATCGAAGACCCTGTGGCTCTTACATACAACACGTCAAAGCAAGGCTGGCTTGTCTCTATCCTCGAATTGGGCGCTTGGTTTGGCACTATGTATTCCGGTTTCCTCGCGGAGATCTTGTCCCGAAAGTACGCCATCTTGGTCAATGTGACCATCTTCATCATCGGTGTCGTTATCCAAACCACTTCCGTTGTCGGCGGTCACGACTCCATCCTCGCTGGTCGATTCATCACTGGTATGGGTGTCGGATCTCTGTCCATGATTGTTCCCATGTACAACGCTGAGATTGGTGAGTTTCTGCTTAAGCTTAATCTAGACATCATTGCTAATCGTCGGCAGCTCCTCCAGAAGTTCGTGGTGCCCTCGTTGGTCTCCAGCAGCTTTCCATCACGCTCGGCATCATGGTCTCCTTCTGGATCGACTACGGCACGAACTTCATCGGCGGAACCGGTGCTGGGCAGAAAGAAGGCGCGTGGCTTCTTCCTCTCTGCCTGCAACTGGTTCCTGCGGTCCTCCTCGGCGCCGGCATGCTCTTCATGCCCTTCTCGCCTCGTTGGCTCGTTCATCACAACCGCGAAGCTGAGGCTCGACGCGTTCTTGCCCACCTGCGAGACCTGCCTGAAGACAACGACCTCATCGAACTGGAGTACGCAGAAATTAAGGCGCAGAGCTTGTTCGAGAAAAGGACGCTCCAGGAGAACTGGCCGCATCTACAGAATTTGACCGCTATGAACACCGCCAAGTTGCAATTTGTGGCTATCGGCAGCTTGTTCAAGAGCAAGCCCATGTTCAAGCGAGTCATCGTGGCGACGCTTACTATGTTCTTCCAACAGTAAGGCTCTCTTTGCTGGGGAGTGTACTCGTGCTGACTGACATTGCGTAGATGGACTGGTATCAACGCTGTGCTCTACTACGCCCCCGTAATCTTCGGCAAGCTCGGTCTTTCCAACAACTCCGTTTCGCTTCTTGCAACCGGTGTTGTGGGAATCGTCATGTTCATCGCGACCATCCCCGCCGTCATGTACGTTGACCGCTGGGGTCGAAAGCCTACCCTCATCATCGGCGCCCTCGGCATGGCCATCTGCCATTTCATCATTGTAAGCTTATGAACTCTGTCACATCATATATAATTCCCTATACTCATACAATCCAGGCCGCCATCACCGCCTCTTACCAGAAAGACTGGGAACACCATCAAGGCGCAGGATGGGCCGCCGTCGCCATGGTCTGGCTATTCGTCGTCCACTTCGGATACTCTTGGGGCCCTTGCGCCTGGATCGTCGTCGCCGAGATCTGGCCCATGTCCAACCGCCCATACGGTATTGCACTGGGTGCGAGCTCCAATTGGTAAGCCTGCCCTCACACAATCCAAAAACCTGGGACCGTAATTCTAACACATGAACTCAGGATGAACAACTTCATCGTCGGTCAAGTCACCCCCGACATGCTCAACACTATGACCTACGGCACCTACATCTTCTTCGGGATGCTGACCTTCCTCGGCGCGCTCTTCATCTACTTCATCGTGCCTGAGACCAAGGGACTTACCCTCGAGGAGATGGACATTCTCTTCGGCTCGGTCGGTGTGGCCGCGAAGGACAAGGAGCGGTGGGTCGAGGTGCACAATGAGGTCGGCATGGGCGACATCCTTGCACGCATGGGCGTAGCGCGCCCGAGCGAGCACCACCACTTGGACGAGAAGCTCGCGGATGAGAAGCCTGTCGTGGCGGAGTCGGAGAGGCATGAGTCGCAGTAAGTAAGTTGAAAGTAGTTTGGTGATGGGGTTCTGTTGGTGTGATATTTGTAAGGAGGGAGAGTGTCACGGGTTGTTGAGGTGTGCTGCATTCTGCGGTCCTTCGTTCAGGCATGCACTGTTAAGCGAGTAATCTATATATCGCTGCATCAATCTCGCGCAAAATCACTCCTTTAATCCCTGTTTCGGTGATGTTATACACGATTGGGCTTTCCATGTTCCATTTGGCAGAGTCCCACCATGTCGTACAGTCGCTTCCCTGGCTGCACGCAACGTCTGCGACGAAGGGGCATAACGCTTAACAATGTGTTACTTTCAGATAGTTAACGCAGAGGCAGTGCATACAAAACCCAGTACAGGGTGTTACCCTTCAGCTCAGCTTCTCTCACGGGACCTTCCACCGACCCACTCACTCGCGCGTTGCCTGGGACGTGCGCTCTTTCCTCCACAACCGCACAACCGCAAGCGAAAGGCACCTGGGCAACTTTCCGGGTACGTGTCCACCCAAACGCCGCCCTCATGTCTTCGCCTTTGTTCAACCCTTCCCGGTCAACACTGTGTTTCTGTTCTTCGAAAGAGCCCTCGCCACAAGATGGCCAGTGGTGCCCTGGATCCTAGCGCAGGAATTCTACCCGACCTGACTCTTGAAAGTATCGGTACAGACCTACCACGCCTTAGATGTTTACGAGACGCACTCTTCGACCTCGAACTCCGCTACAATCTTTGGACGGTAATTTAAGAAGCTTTGCAGGGTAGTTGATTCTCGTTGGGGGGGGGGGGGGGGGGGGAATAAACCATACTTCTAGAATCTCACTATGTGTCTGAGACCATGAAGGCCAACCTTACTCGGAGGACTGCCATAAGGGTGGTCTTTGCGTCTGTGCCCTCGACAAGCACCATGCTCCCAGGCCAAGAAAGATCCGAGTCGATCCCCGCACAGCCGACGCCTGGGCCTACACAGCCATTCAGGGCTGATAAGCAGATCTCACTCACGGATTTTGAATACACTGTCCGAACCTCGTTCGTAGCAGAACAGCTTATCTTACACGTTCCGTACACCCTGATCATACATTCCTCTCACACACGTCGCGACGTCTGCCTCCTAATCGCAGGCATCTGCACCCCCACATCCTTTTTCGCAGGAACAGCCTTCTTGCTCGCAATCCTCCTCGTTCTGTCTCCCCCTCCCTCTTTCCTGTCTCCTTTCGTCTCCGTCCTCGCCTTAATCCCCCTCGCAACCTCCTCCCACACCCCCGGCACCCCCGTCTTCATCGTGTACGCGACACCCTCCTTCACATAAAACTTGAACCGTCGCTCCTCGACAAATTCCCACGCTCGCTTGAACAGAGACTTCTCACGCTGGCGCTGCGCCCACGCCGCGCTCTTGGGCAGCTCGATGTTGGCGAAACGGAATTTGCGTGGTGGCAGGGCGCGCAGCTCGTGCGCATAGATGGTGGTGTGCTTGGGCATTGGGAAGATGCGGAGGGTTTGGAATGTGAGTTTTGTGGTGGCCGGGAGGTTGGCTGGGGAGGTTAGAGAATGTGGTCATTGTGAGGGAGGAGGAGAACAGTGAGGGGATATAGTTGCTAGGTTGGGCCTGTGTAATAGCGCTCAAGGGGTCACCTACCAGCGAAAGAGCGAAGGGCGGTCAGGGAGTGCCGCGCGTGAGGAGGGATGGGCCAGAGCTTGATGGAGGTTACGAATGGAGCGGTGATGAAGGAGAGAATTATAGAGGGAATCGTCGCAAGAGCCATGACTGTATATACTTAGCATGTGATCATGAAAATTAAAGGGTGACCGTAAGGGGTCCAAGGGATTGTTGATGACAGGCCCGACGAATTCGAACGAGGATAGAGCTGCAAGTAGGCAAGGAAGGCAGATTCAAGCTGTAGCGAGAGTTCCTCCAATTATTTGTTGCAGCACTGCTAGCCGCGAAGTCGCGAGTCCTCGAAGACCGCAGGGGATTCACAGGTGCACCGGGTGTGTCAAATAAAGAACACGTGACGTACCTCCGACTGTTTGGAATACACGAACGCTCTTATCGGGCTGGTTCTGGTTCAAGTACAGATGAGGCGCGAGCCACACAGTACATACGCCGAATTGGAACAATGCTATCGCCTTCCAAGTGCCAATGAAGGCCGTGCGGTTGGAGCCCGCTTCGTAGACGACAATCTGTTCAGCGTATTCTGCAACATCGTCAGCATCCTCCCAGATCCATTGAGATGACTCACATACTTTTGTCCTTTACATTCTGTGCGGCTGTAGATACTCTGCGCCGGGAGGCCTGCGTGATCTTGCGTAGCGCCGACAAGGGGGATCTTAGAGAAAAGTTACGGTGGCAGCTCTGGCAGATGGACGCAGCTAGCCGCGGCTGTTGGCGCGCCTGGCTGTACTGAGTCCATTGACGCGGTGCTTTGAAAGCTTGCGCGAATGGCTGGAAACGTGCATGCATCTCAATGGACCAATGGTCGTGATGTTAGAGAGCGTGAGTGAAGATGTTGACGCGGTGGCACGTGCGCACTAACCCACCTTCGTCCTAGCGGCACCAGCCTACTTCAGCGTAAGCGGAGCGACCGGCCACCCGGTGAACATGCGGAATACCTTTCGATTAGGATTTATAAGCAACAGCACGAGGAGATGGCCTTAAGGGTAGACGTCAATTTTAAAAGTCGAGCGAAATTTTGACTGCCAATACTGCCTCGGTACCACTTTCCTGCTGCAACCTGGCCCTAACACACGCGGAGTCCTCCCAGGAAACCACATCGCATCATCCAAAAGTGGAAAAGCTTTTGAGCCCCATTCTTATAACGAGGTCTTATACCTGCAAGAGCTTGCCGCATTACAAGTTTGAGACGTTCTCTAGTATCCTGCGGCATCCGAGCGCGATCGCGTCAGATTGAGGCAGTTTACTAGCCACTCGTATCCAAGCACCTTGCTGTCCAAGACCCCAACCCACCTTTCGGATATCGGTGCCAAAGCAGCAAGATGTTTGGTAATTGCGTGCTCTCGAATTTCCTCCCCTACCTGCTCCCCGCGCTTCTCCTACAGTCTCCCGTCTACGCCTCAGAACAGCAGCCATTTCAATTCGAAGCTATGTCTGCACCATCGTATACGTTACCACCTCTTCCGTACGCCTATGATGTCAGTCCATACTCTCATATGCGGATTTGAGGATGGCGGGGTAATGCTAATCCTGTGTAGGCGCTGGAGCCGCATATTTCCAAGCAGATCATGGAATTGCATCATGGCAAGCACCACCAAACTGTAAGCAAACCCTCCGACTGCAGTACTCGAGAAGACCGAACTTTATTCGTCCTATTTGTTACCTATCCTAGTGTAGCACGGTCTACTCCCGCCTTTTGACCTTGCGCTGGTGATGTTTTACCAGTCTAACATGTTTCGCTCAGTACATTACAAACCTCAACGCCGCATTGAAGACACAAGCTGAAGCTGTGCATACCTCCGATATCACCTCGCAGGTTGGCCTTCAAGCCGCTATCAAGTTCAACGCTGGCGGCCACATCAACCACTCGCTCTTCTGGCAGAACCTTGCCCCAGCCTCATCCGCTGAGGCTAAGACATCCGCCGCGCCGGAGTTGATCAAGCAGATTAACGCAATCTGGGGCGACGAACAAGCTTTCTATGATGCGTTTAAGACCACTCTGCTAGGCATCCAAGGCAGTGGCTGGGGATGGCTGGTCAAGGTCGAGACAGGCAAGGAGCAAAGGCTGACCATTGTGACCACGAAAGACCAGGATCCTGTGGTGGGGAAGGGTGAAGTACCAATCTTTGGTATTGACATGTGGGAGCATGCGTACTACTTGCAGGTACGTGTTAGTCCTCAGTCTGGGCATAACCGGTCAACGAACCACCCATATAGGGTAGCAGACTTTGATCGGGCTTGCGATCTGATGCTTCGCGCCCGAAAAATTGACTAATACGATGCAGTACCTGAACGGAAAACCGGCGTATGTAGAGAACATCTGGAAGGTGATCAATTGGAAGACTGCGGAGGAGCGTTTCTTGGGGACGCGTGCAGATGCCTTCAAGGTGCTGAGAGCATCTATTTGAGTAGTCAATGTAGCGGTGTTGCTCTGCAGCCAGGCTGGTGTTCGACAAAATGCAGTTCTACATCGCAGCATACTATACATAGTACTAGCGTTTGGCGCACGGACGGTGTACCATATAGGTGCTCAAACGTGCTCAAAGGACTCATAAGCACTCCCAGATTTCTCGTGGACATCTGCCGCTAAATTTATGATCAATGTTAAACCACACCGGATCTCTTTGCAAAGGTAACGATCCGACAGAGCCCTCAACGAACAATATACCTTTTGCTTAGTCATCTCGAATTGTACCACAAGAACAACATGTGTAACGGATCGTCGACACGAGTGAGCCAAGGCGGATCCATCGCAGTCCTTAGACCGTCAAGGGAAATACGAGAAGTATCACCAGTCCAACAGGACAGCGAAGTGCGGCTGCTGTTCTCGAACGGAAGCAGGACGCTCCTCGGCAGTGCTGGGACACATGTTGAGCTACAGGGATGGGACGCGACCAACAGCATATTCCAACGGAGATCGTGGGTGGTGATTCAGTCAGGCGCACCTCCAGCCTTCTAACTATCGACAATGAGCTAATTTGTGTAGTTCCGACGGTGATCTCAGTGCCGCTGAAACCCGCCCTGCCGTTCCTTTCTTTTCCTTCGATATCGGAAGCAGAGAGTCGTGTACTATGGAGTTGCCGGAGACGCTCAACCTGGGCGTTGGTGATACTGGGATCATCGGGCGGAGAGTCTCTGTGATGACGGGGTCAACAAGAGGGCCTCTGATCGTAGCAGAGGGCATCATTGGTTGGAATTGAGGAATGGTAGCGGGATTTCGTTTTGCAATTTCAGTTGCTTGGAGTTTGGTGGATCAGGCGATTTGATTTCCTCGTGGGAATTGAAGCCGTGGCGTTCGATCAGTTGTAACCGCGCTAATTTCAAAGCTCGCTTTCATGCATCACAGTTCTCGTTCATCGACGCTTGACTTGACTGGTGTGTGTGTGTGCGTGTATGCGTGTGTGTTCTTGCTGAGCTCAACACAATGATAGAACATCAGTTCCAGTACTGCATCGCTTCTTGTGGAAAAATTCAGGTACTCAAACTGTCGTCCAGCCGATGTCGCAAGACCACGCCTTGCACGACTTGCCATGTGGCGAAAGCACCCAATTAAATGCTATAGCGTGCATCGCCTTGAGGGGTAGTTCTCCAGGGAAAGACGTATCGCGTGATGGCATGCCTGCGACGATGCTGCATGAAGAACGATCATGTCGTGCTACGTGGGATCCCCTAGCGCACGGACCGGGCCTCCACTCTTCGCGACCTCAACACTCTACTCCCAACACGACGAACCTCGCCATCGCGCTCTTGGATCCAGCTGGTGCCTCTACCGCCGGAATGGACCGCGCAAAACATGCGAAAGACGCACCGCACATCAGATGGGGAACTAGGCGGGGGCATCAGAGTTGAAAAGCTCGCGCTCACCAGCCTATGCACCGCCTCTATAGTGACTGCGTGGTACGTAGACGGAGGCTGCTAACACGGACAGTTAGGGACGGCGATCGAGCAGCAGCAGGTCTTGTTTCTTCGTCCCCTCCCGAAGTACGCGCCGAAGCTCCCGCAGAAAACGCCCGAGTTGCAACCACACTCTTCGTATCTCCTCGGGCAGCCTGCCGTTGGTGACATCGATACTACCTCTGTGGTTCTAATGCGATATCGCAGTACGACTGTCCCTTTTGCCTACTTCTCGGTCGAGAATGCCGTGCCGCGCCTACTGCATGCGTATCGCCCTTATCACACGACCCATCTGGCTCTAAGATGCGAGAGCGAGAGGCGCTTGCCAGCCTGATGCTACCCAAGGATAGCTGAAGGAAGAGCAACACTGCCGGAAGAGGGTCGCACCGCGTGGAAATGAGGGCTCATACCCCACAAACTCTGTGGACAAAGAGACGGGACGACTGCTCGATACAGTATCATGGCTGTGGGGTAACAAGCGGGCGAGGCGCCAAAGCTCGCGCCAAAGTCTCAGACGACAGGCAATCGTTGCGCAAGCTCCACGGAGCTAAAAGCATCTGCCGGGAGATTGACCAGGTTAGCTCTCGGGCGTACCTGACAGCGAACTGATCCTATCGGGAAGTAGATGCAGTCCAGGTAGATCACGCACAAGGGGACCACCCCTGGACCACCGAGGCAGAACTTGTGGTGCCTAGCACAGCCTGACCTTCGCTTTGCGCCATGTCCAAGCATCCGTCTGCCAGCATATCCCCGTCTTGGTCAGGCAACTCTTTGCGCTCCTATCAGCATTCCACCTGCGCTTTAACCTAGCACGCAGAGGGTGAATCTACGACTGCTTTATCACGTCGCGATGCATCTGGGGCTTGAATGGGATTGACTGGATCAAACATGCCCAATGAGAAGCTTTGCCGGTGTCCTTCCTCTTTCGTCAACAGCTTGTCTTCCGGTATTCGCTTAGCGCCTTCCCATCTCCGCGCTTCGCCCTCTACTTCTTGTGTCTTCTCCCCTTCGCATTGCATATTTGGAAACTCGTTCAGTCAGATTCCTAATCGCTCTCGCGTTAATCTCGGATAGCCTGCTATCTGCCGACTTCCCGCTTTCCGGTCAGGCGTTTTCCGAGCATGACAGCTTCACATGCTGTTTGAATAAGGGTCATGTGGTTCACCCTAGTTGGAGATTACGTGGGGTCTGAAGGATCCCGCCAGATCTCCCCAGGGTCTTTGTAGGCAGTTTTGTGCTGTCCACTCTGTGCGTTGCAATATAGCTACCCTGGCTTATGTAGTATCACAAGCCCTTGGAGATGTGGTAGCGTGGCTTTCTCAGCTTCACCCACCATGTTCTGTTACATCCCACTCCTTATCTGTCCCTCGCGCTCCGGCGAGCCGTTGGCCGGATCATGACTGATACGCAATCGGTCAACCTTCTACGCGCTGCTTTCCAAGGGACAATGTAGATCATTGCTCATACATGACATGGAGGCATGCGCCTTCGGCGATGCGCCGAACGACGAAGCATGGGCCCAGGTACTCTTTTGTAAGGGTACGTGTCCCTACCGTGATCGCCACACCAGCACCGTCCTTAGCCCGGGGAGATGATGCTGGGCCAGACCGTCTGACCTGGTCAGAATCGTCCACCACCAGAGAAGCTGCTCAACTACCGTTCACCTCGACCACATGTCCGGATATTCAACGACGGTGAGAGTTATCCATAATAGATCAGCGACGTCCCAGGTCACTCGACAAGATGCTTTCTTATCGCCCTACAGCTGAGCGCATATCAACACATCTAGGTGAAGTCGCACAAATGCGGCTACTATCTGGGTAGTGCATCTTTCTGTATGTACAGTCTACTACTGGTTCGCTTCGTGGAGTTCCCTTTTACCCGCACCATTCCAGATCGATCCCTTTTTCCAGGGCTCGCGAACGGGTCGGCTATCATTGCATCTACGGATGTGGACCCCTGTGAGTCCTGCAAGTCAAGTCTCGCACTCTTCTGCCCACACGACTTCATGTCAGGCTCACCCCTTGATGCAGCCGTCAGACTGAAAGGTTCCATCTGCTTAGCAATGTGCTATCATGACCCTTGTCCAGTTGTCGCGCGGGTCTATCACGATGCAATGGCATCTGCAGTTCTTCCGCAGACTTCGCCGTTAGTACAGATTATTGGCCATCTACATAGAGAGAAACCATGAGTGGCTCGAGTTGAGGGTCGCTCGTCCAGGGACAGGGGCATATGGACTAGGTCATTTGCATGTATCTTTACCGGGTAAGCGCCCGGAACGCGGCTTTAAGAATGCCATGGCAGAGTATGGACAGCTTCCGAGGCGCAAACTTTCCGCTCGGACTACCTGTTTGCGTATTCTTCACTCGCAGTTGCTCTCTTTGGCTACCTGCATTACTACCTACCGTTGCATCGTGCATGTTTGGCCCCATCTATCATACGCTGACGATCTTGGCTTCGACAGTCTGTACAAGCCAGTGGAGAGAGGTAGCATTCACGGGTTGTCCTCCACGAGACCTACGCGTACGCTCTGTCTATAAAGAGGTCACATACCACCACACTTCAGAGATCAGTTCCCAACGCCCCCTCGCCCACCAGACCAACTTCACTGAGCATCCTCAGTTACTCAATCATGAAGCTCCGTACTCTTGTATCTCTTCTCCCATTGTTGGGTCTTTCCGATGCGCTCGCCTTGCCTCAGTCGCCTAAGAACGGAACCGATCTTTATGTTTCGTTCCAGGAACCGGAGGAGTCTGGTCAGCTTGTGAATCGAGCAGCGTCCGGCTACAGGAATGTTGCATACTTTGTCAATTGGGCAATATACGGACGAAACTACAACCCGCAAAACCTCCCAGCAAACCAACTCACTCACGTGCTCTACTCTTTTGCCAATGTCCGACCCGAGACAGGCGAGGTGTACCTCAGCGACACTTGGTCTGACACAGACAAGCACTACGACACCGATTCGTGGAACGATGTGGGAACTAACGTCTATGGTTGTGTGAAACAATTGTTCCTCCTCAAAAAGGCCAACCGCAAGCTTAAGGTGCTGCTGTCCATAGGTGGATGGACCTACTCATCCAACTTCGCACAGCCTGCCAGCACTGCCGCAGGCAGAAGTAAGTTCGCGAGCAGTGCCGTGCAGCTCGTCAAAGACCTCGGCTTCGACGGTCTCGACATTGACTGGGAGTACCCCTCTGATGCCACACAAGCTGCCAACATGGTCGCTCTCCTCGCTGAGGTCCGTTCGCAACTCAACGCCTACGCTACCCAGTACGCCAACGGCGCGCACATGCTTCTCACTGTTGCTTCACCCGCCGGCCCGGCCAACTATCAGAAGATGGACCTCGCGGGCATGGACAAGTACCTTGACTTCTGGAACTTGATGGCTTACGACTACGCCGGCTCTTGGGATACTACTTCCGGCCACCAGGCTAACTTCTACCCTTCAACAAGCAACCCTACCAGCACACCCTTCAACACCAAGCAAGCTATCGACTACTACACCTCTCACGGTGTTGCCGCATCCAAGATCACGCTCGGCATGCCGTTGTATGGTCGTGCATTCCAGAACACCGATGGCCCCGGCAAGCCCTACTCTGGTATCGGCCCCGGCACCTGGGAGGCTGGTGTGTACGATTACAAGGCACTTCCGCAGGCCGGCGCCTCCGTCGTCAATGATGCCAGCCTGGTAGCCAGCTACAGTTACGACTCTTCTTCGCGGACGATGATCTCGTACGATACACCGGCGATCATCCAGCAGAAGACTGGTCTCATCAAGTCTCTGGGTCTCGGCGGTGGTATGTGGTGGGAGAGCAGCTCGGACAAAACGGGCTCCGATTCATTGATCTCGACTGTAAGTTTGTCTCCCGTCGATAAGACGCGAGTTTGGGCTAACGAATAACAGTACGTCAACTCCGTCGGCGGTGTCAGCGCCCTCGATCAGAGCGCCAACGTCCTCACCTACTCGGGCTCCAAGTACGATAACCTCCGGTCCGGCTTTCCCAACAATTAGAGTTCTTCCAGGCTCGAGGAGTTGACCTTTAGCTCCATCGCATCTTGCGGTTTCGTTTGTCAGTATCTTGGGACTTCAGCATCCCGCATTTTTCACGGCCACTGTTCTGTGCTTCACGGCCGTTTCATGTCAACTTCTTTTTGCTTCGCTTCTTGTCGATACTTGACGAGGGTCCAGGGGCAGCAGTACCTTTGGAGGCTTGAGGTTTTCCATTCTTGTATCTACATTCGCTGCGCGGTACATCCTTTTCCTTAAGGGAGCATGCATGGAAATAGGAGGGGCTGGGAGATGGAAACCGGTGAGTGGATTACACTGAAGCACTCGCTATCACACTTCCCTAATGCATATTGATGACTGTTACGTTTGCCTTCTGCCGTGCACCTCTTGTGCGTGATTCGCTGTCGACATCTCGGAACACCCTCACACGGATTTGCGGCTGTGCTTAGGGTGCGACCCGTGGGGCCTTAATGCCGCTGCGCCGCGCTTGAAGATACTTGCGATACAGTCCAAGCGAGAGTTGGTCATGGCACATACAGCAGTGAGAGCGCGAGGATACCGATAGGTGAGTATGGGTGTGCGCCTGATCGAGGTTGTGTTGCATTAGCTTGCGTTTGCATGCACTAGTTTGCTTTAGCGCACATCGTCATGTGTGGGACAATGTCACTAGTTCGACTTTGAAGATTGGGCACAGTGCCTGACATAATTATAGGTCTGTAGCGCACTTAATCTTGCAACGACTCGCTTTATTATATGTCTATGGAACCTAGTACTCGCATTCATCATAAAGTACTGACACCCCTAGATAGGAGCTTCCTTCAACGTTCACGGTCCGTAATATTGAAACGAAGAAAGAATACATTTCAGGGACACATGGAAAGAGATTTTGAATTTGCACGTACACAGTAGTGTTGCGCAATTACTTTACCAAAAAGCAAACAGCGAAGAAGATGACAACCCGACGCGAACTGGTGACTTCCCTTTGAAACGTACTCTGGTATAAATGCCTGAAATGATCTGGCCATATTATATGGCACATCTTATGGGTCACTACTTGCGCCTGTACTGGTTGTTCAAGTAGCACTGTGAGACATTGAGACCGAATTGTACGCTGTCACCGAACGAGCGCACGACGGTGATATCGGCGCAGCCATCTATGTACAACTTCATTCCCGTTGACGCGTTTCATCACAGGAGTACTTTGAAATAGCGGTCACAATATACACCGATCGCAAGATATATAGATCACTGATTCTTTGAGACTCGTCTTCCTGTTCACTCCGCGCCGATCCTCTCCGACCTGAACCCCGTCGCTATGCCCTCCACCAAAGTTACTCTCCTGATGCTTGCCGCAATCGTCGCAGGTGCTGATCCATTTATGGTCACCAGCACCACTATTTTGCCCGCTTCTGTGGTCTCTTCCGATGCTGCCATCGTTCAAGCCCCGGCCTCTTCGAATACTTCATCCGTCCAGCCGACGACGGCTCCCTCAGCCAGTTCTGGAGCGACGTCGTCACAGAGTGCTACTATATCTGGTACTAAGGGCGCTGCAGCGCCTTCTAATGGTACGTTCACGATCCTAGGTCTGGTAGGACCTTCTAATGATTGCAGTCCCATTCGGCGCCGTCTTTGGTCTAGGCCTACCAGTCGTGCTCGGGATGCTCTGAGCTTATCGCATGAATAACAATAGAGGAGATAGGTCTATGTACCATGGCTGAGTTGGGGCGGTTGTAAGATTAAATAAAGTACATGTGTCATTTATCGGAGCTTCCATACATTCCTGTAGTCTGGACTGCATGGCCACTGTGAAGTCAAGACTATTGATTTCATCTCTCCGATCTGATCTCACGAATCTCCTGCAATGCACCAGCTCCATCACCATCCACTATAACGATGAGAAATTGCTGCGCAACTGCCTGCCAACACCTCAGGACCAGGAGCCCCAATTGCCTTTCCGTGCACCTCTCAAGTCATCAACATTGAGCAGGCCTATATTTTCCCGAACTAGCAATGCCCATATTTCATCTCTCAGTCCTCGAGGCCATCGAGGCGTCCCCCAATATCGAGGTACCAACCCTCTCTGCTGTGCGCTTTGGGTGTGTTTGCGTATTAACAGTACCTGTTCATCGTTGACCTTGCCGCGGAAGACCGACCCAATAGCATCGTGGAAATTCGCAGATGCGAGGTGAGAGTTGGACACGTTGTACCGAAATCTTGTTCCATCGTCAAACGGATGGTCTAGCTCGGCAAGCGGGGCATCGAGGAAGATATCTCGTACTTGGTTGTGTGAGGCAACAAGATCGAAGTCCGCCGCACCCGATGCGACAACCTACAAGCGCGGTACACGGTCAGTAAATTCCTCAAAACACAAAAAGATATCATGAGGCAGGATTGGTCGATCAAGCTTCAGCTCGTGACTGAGGTCTGACATCTTCAGAGAATCACTGTAGCTGGAACAACCACCTTGTATCCCAGTGGAACATACCGTAAGTGGGCGCTCAACACGATGTGTTCCGTTCCAATTGGTGAGCCAACCTCTCTCCCGCAACGGCTGCAGCTGCTCATATAATGCCGACCATGTCTCGTTCCCTGCAGTCTTGAAGTCCACCACTAGCGTCAAGCTCTGATGTGGAGCATTGTAAAAGACCCCCTTTGGATCTGCGGCTCTCCAATGTGTTGGATTCATCTCGTCCAAAAGATCCACAAGACGATTGATGTACATGCTTTTGAGGGTTCTACCTGGGTGTAGGGCGCTCTCTGTGTGGCCAACATAAAGCTCGTTGTTGCGATAGAAAACATCTGCTTCGACACTGATACAGCCCGAGCCTAAGGCCGCGAAGAGCGGAGTCCTTCTCCAGTAGTCATTGTGTGAGTGACACGGGATAGGAAGGACGTTCCCGAAGAATTCAATTGGGTACTTTGCAGGATTGTGCGCGGAGGAAGGACCTTCATCCCAGAATCGCGCGAAGAACGTATCGAATGGGTCCGTCGCCTTCCAACGGAAGAACGCGATTGTGATGCTGCATCAAGCCATTTGTTAATTTTTACGCGGAGTCTTGTTGGGTGGACTCACGTAGAGATAAAGATACCAAAGAAGATCAAGGTGGTGGCATATAACAGGTTGGCAATTCTCTTGGGGAATACTGCCGCACTCGGGTGGAAGATCTGTTTGGCCTACGATCGTTAGCCGATAGTCAGTTGAAACTAGACAAATTGGAGTACTTCGTGCTTCAATTTCTCCCAAATGCCTCTGAAGCAAGCCGGGGTCTTGTACGCTCGAGCGTCTGAATATGAAACGAGCAATCCATGATCTTCTCCATAATCCAACGTTGGTGAAATTGGCTCCTCTCTCAGGCTCTCAAGCTCGATCATGTGCGACATCCCGCAGAAGACCTGGGCTTTTGGATTGCAGTGCCACGTGCGGCATAAATAAACACTATGTACAAGTGGAGCACAGGATGATAACAGACTCAAGCTTCAAGGTGGCGAGCTAGGAAGGCTTGACGCGTCATCGTGGCAGTCCATTCGTCGTACCAGCCACACCGGAATGAGGGGAAAGGACGGTGTGGCGTTCTTCCATTCTAGCGTCCGTGGATTTACCCCCACAGCTGGGCCGCGGCTCCTGGTTCCAATCTGCGTCATTTACTTGGGACTATTAAGCGGCAGCTTAATTAGTCAGAAACGAGCGCATATTCCATAATGATGTAAATTTGCACTTTGCCCCGCGACTTGAAATCGAGCCCCTGGACCAAGCACAAGATACGATAGGGAAATGCAAGGGCAAGTACCAAGGCTGCTCAGAATTGCTTCTTTACGTCGCTCTCGTCTCCCTGTGCAACCACTCTTCAGGCTTCTGATGCAAGTCTTTGATCTTGTACGTGTTCTCGGTCAGTTTGACCGAGTAGAGAACGGCTGCAGTGAGCCTGTCAACATGAGCTTAGGTTTCAACGAATTGAACAGTGTTGCGACAGAGACACTTATTGACAACTATATATATTTTCTAGCTCCATTAAAAACTCTTCCGAAACGTGAAAACAAAACTTTCAACATGCCACCAGCATACAATCTGCACAGGATGTTTATGTGAATGGGTGATCGATCGTAGAGACGGCGAACAGTGCTCAGGCAGGATGTAGGGCTCCGTCACTCCATTTCTTATTCGGGTCGTCCTTGTCATAGTGGGATCCAGTGTTGAAACTGCCGTCGTGCCACGATTGTGGTTTCCCATGCTGTGATTCTTGTGCGGGTGCAGCATGATGTGCATTATAGCCATGGTTCGATGTTGAATCTGAATCACCTGTCGATGGCTCGACGCGCAGATTTTGCGAGGCCGTTGATTCGGGTTGCGGAACTCTTGAACCAGTGTCGTAACCATCTGCTCGAGTATCGCTTACAGATGGGGGTGTAGGTTTTGGCGTGGAGACCGGCCTCCAGTTGCAGGTTCCATCTTCTTCGTCCCAGCTAACAACATCTTCATTGACCCATTCCCAGTCAACCCCTTCTCCTGAACTATCTTCATCGTCTGTCCACCACCAGTCGCAGCCGCATTCGCACTGGTCTTCTTCTCCGTCATCTTGTTCGTTTCCAACTTCAGCTTCATATCCATCGCCATGCTCGTTAGCAACCCCAACCTGATAATCATCACCGGATTCGTCTCCATCGCCATGTACATGAACATACTCATCATTTATCTCCCAGTCATTTCGCGCATCTTCATCCCCCTCGTCGTCATACTCGTAATCACTCACGTCATCCCCATCGTCCCAGTACTGATGGTCGTTGTCATCCGGAAGCCCATCACCTCCTTCACCTGGGCCATTCCAGTCCCACCATGGGAGAGATGCTATCGGCGTGTATACTGGCCCGTCGGATACCCCTAGCCGTCCCGTCATGCCACCTCCAGGACTGCGCCCTGATGGCGTTACGAACGGACGCCTGGTAGTGCTTGGCAGCAATTGGATAGGTAACCGTGTATTGATCCCCGCGATGCTTGCAACCAAAGGTACATCTAGAGTTGGGAGACCATCGCCCATGATCGTTGAAGACTGAGGTATAACGCGAGTGACAGGTCTCACGCGTTGAGTACTGGCGGCCGCGCCACTGAAGATATTGAGGCCAGTAATACCGGATGGGGCAACGAGGAACGCTTGTGATGCTGTGAATGACTTCGCAGGTTGCAGAGACTCTGTCATCGTCTCACCTGCGTCGGCGATATTGATGCCAAGTATATCGAACAGGGCTGCGACGGATGGTGACGGTGCTGATATAGTTGAGCGAAAGGACATGGTGCGCGAAAAGAATAATGACTCGACAGGAGTACCCGATGGAGTTAGCTGAACCGTTGCAATTGGCGTGACTGGTGTGTGCAGCCTCGTCTCGACAGCATTCATCACGATGACTGAAGTCGAGGCTCTGTTCTGTGCAGGTTCTGGTATCAGCGGTGGGATCAAGCTAATGATTCCTGTCGACTTGGGTTGTGAGAATTGATCGGCTCTCGATATCGTCACAGAGCCACACAAGCCGTATTGTGGGTTACATCCACGGCTACAGTGGAGTTCATCATTACCGCACATGCCTCCAGCTCCGCAACAACTTCCGAAGGCACTGCCCTCACAGGTATAACCAAATGGGATTCCACACAAGCCATTCGGAGAAACACGTTTAGTATCTGTTGGAAATGGCAAATTAGGAGAAGGCGTTGAGGGGAGGACGATTCCTGGATTGCTCGTAAAGACTCCGTTGAGGCTGCTGGAAGTAGATGGAACACCTGATGATAGAGATCTTAGGGATAATAAGGCTTCCAAGATGTTGAGATTTTGCAGGGATACCACCGTGGTAACCCCCTCGGTCGGCTGTGACCTAAGAGATGCATCTATTGGTGTGCTCACCACTACTGCTTGCGTTGTCGAGTATGAAGCAGGCGAACCCGCCACGCCAATAGGTTCGATTGGGCCTAATGCAGCACTTGCCGCCTGTGGTATGGGTTGTGGTAAACCATCGGGCGCCCCCTTCGCCATTACACATAACCCACCACCAGCCTTGGATGGACCGATTGTGTTCTTTAAATTGCATGTGGCCGAAAGAGGGTTGTAGACAACAGCCGCACATAGCGATGTTGCGGTACAGCGTTGGAGGCATTGAGCGAACGTGACAAGTAGGGCTGTTCGGAGATCACCATACTGAAGGTTGATATCGCATTGAGCTCGATAGGATGTAGAGCTGTCGATGTAAGTTTGGCCTGCCGTGACTCCACAGCAACTCTCGGGCGTATATGGCAGAAATGCATTGCTCACAGATCCTCTTGTGCTTGCTGGTTTTTGTTCTACTGAAGGGATGATCTGTGAGAACGGAAGAGAGGAGAGTAAAGAAGGTGGGATAGGCTGAGTTTCCCCAGGCTGCAGATTGCTGCGGATCAACGAGCTTTCGCCGTTGCGTACAAAAGTTTCGTCGTTGCGTATAGAGTTGAGGATCACGGAGTCCATAGGGCTCGCCAAGTTCGGATCGTCACTCGAAAGGACGGTGCTGCCTTCGCGGAGGCCAACTAAGCTCGAGCTAAGAGGCTCTCTATATGTTGTTGGTTGAAGGATTTGCTCAGCGGACGTGGAGGGACCTACTATGATTGGTGGTGCGGTTCTGGTAGGGCGCGAAGATTGTGAAGCGCTTTGAATGTTGAGAATGGGGCGGATCGAGGACAAGGTGCTGGGACGCTGGGATGCTGGGCTGTCTGGAATGCGTATTGCGGCACAAATGCCATTCACCGTAGCTACGGCATTTCCTGTGGACTTCTGTAGAGCACATGCGCCCGTGCGCTCGTTCCAGCCTACACCAACGCACAGTGTGTTTGCTGCGCATAGATCGACGCAAGTTTGTAGATTTGAACCAGTGACTATTGGTTGCTTGTCGTCAATCCACTCGCTAATAGTCATCATGTTGCACGAAACTCGGAAATTGGTGCTGCGTTGCGAGACGAGACTCGTTAAAAGACCTCCATCGCCAATACCACAGCATTGCGCAGCGGCAGCCGATGGACGAGGAGATGCAAGCGCAGGAGTGCGACTTCCTGTTGGCTGAGGCGGCTGAGAGAATCCTGGTACACCGGACTGGCGGCTTGAAGCCCGGCTACCGAGTGGCTGCGATGGCTGAGGAACAACTGACATTATGGACAGTCTGTTTGAAGTACGAACACTGAGTGGTTGAGACGGCTGGGGAACGACGGGGGTGATAAGCGGCCGGCTCAAGGTGGGAATTCCAGTGAATTGAGATGGCTGAGGGATTACCGGTATTTGAGAAATACGGCCCGAAAGAGAGGGGACTGGAAATCCGTTTGCGGATAGGCTTGGCCTTGAGAGGAGAGAACTCGAACGTTGTATCAAAGAAGATGCGCTCACTGACGAGGTACTGATAGTTCTTGAAGAGGATGCAACCGCCAGAATTGTTAGAGGCTTCTGATTCGTTACTGTCGATTGACGGGCGATCACTGAGCTGACTTGTATTGCACTTGATGGAGTAGGCCGAATCGAGAAGATGGCCGGTGACGGGACGGGGGTGGATCTAATACCACCACTGCTCCTGGACGAAATAATGACTTTGGCAACGCTCGAGACTGGTAAGTTGGATATGCTGTTACCAGGACCTCTCGAGGTTGCGGCACCACTGGGTACAACCTGTGACAATGGGGTTCGCCTCGTCGTCGAAGGAGCCGCTTGTGTGTTACGTAATGGAGGCACAGAGAGAGCAGTTAACATACCAGGACCTGCGGTTGTTGATGTCGCATCAAGGACGTTGAAGATGCCAGGGATTAGGGGTGGGAGACCGAGTGAAGGGTTGGTGCCAAGGAGAGGTGCTTTCGACGTCACAGTCGCTCTTGATCGACATGATGGCCCAGGACAGAGCCCCTCTAGCAGACCCAACGATAGACCAACATCTATAAGCGGGCCGCTCGACGAGACCACGCGACCTGTAGATAGAGGCGAGATGACACGGGAACTCAGAATTGAGGCAGGCAAAGGAGTAACTCCGCGGCTAGTGATCAAACTTGGCGGCGGGGTCGATCCTGGTCGATTGAATGTCGTTGGTCTTGGTCCAACGAGCGTCGTTGGCGAAGACCGGTGGCAGGTAGGACATAGGCCGCCTAGTAAGTCCAAAGAAAGGTTAATATCAATGAGCGGGGTTCGAGAAGTAGTCTTGAAGCCGGTAGTAACAGCAGAGAGGCTGGCTGAACTGCGTAGAGATGGTAAGGGGGGAGCATTTGAGCTACGCAGGGATAGTAGTGGTGCAGGAACCGAGTTGCGCACAGATGGTAGGGGTATAAGAATTGAAGTGCGTGGAGATACCAAAGATGTGGCAATTGAGCTGCGCAGGGATGCTAGAGGTATAGGAATTGAGCTGCGCAAGGATGGAAGAAGTGTAGTTACTGAAGTGCGCAGAGGCGGTAGTGGTGCGAAGGTCGAACTGCGCGGGAATGGTAGGGGCGTGGAGACCGACACCTGGGACAACGGGCGGGTCGTGGGCGCCGCGCCTCTGAGAGTGCTTGTAGACCGACAATTTGGACCTTGGCAAAGACCGCCCAGTAAATCAGGGGATAGGTTCAGATCTATAAGTGGAGGTGGCGATGGTGATATCCGGGGCGTAGATGTCGACACACGTGATATTTGACCAGGTATGCCGGCAACCGATGTAGGACTCGGTATCGCTGCACCGCTGGGGGCAGTGCCTGTAGATCGACAGCTAGGACCTTGGCACAAACTCCCAAGCAGATCGAGAGAGAGGTTCAAGTCGATGAGTGGAGGTTGCGATGCTGTTCTGGTTGTAGACAAGCGCGGTATCAGACTAGACAATGCAGCGGCAGGGCTAGAAATCACCGCGACATTTGTACGACTTGAGGCTACTGCAGCATTCGTATAACTTGAGACTGGGACACCAAGCGTGGGACTTGAAACTGCCGCAACGTTCGTACGGCTTGACACCGCCACAACAGGAGTACGACTTGAGACTACGACTGTAGGCGTCGGGGTCGAGACTGGAGCAACTCGGGTGAGACTACTCAAGACTGATGCAACGTTTGTACGACTTGAGAATACGACTATAGGCGTCGGGGTCGAGACTGCAGCAACTCGGGTGAGACTACTCAAGACTGATGCAACGTTTGTACGACTTGAGACTACGACTATAGGCGTCGGGGTCGAGACTGGTGCAACGTTTGTACGACTCGAGACTGCAATAACAAATGTACGGCTTGAGGCTGCTACAGCGGGTGCAGAGCCTGACACAGCTGCAACTCGGGTGGGGCTGCTCGTAGGTCGACAACTTGGGCCTTGACAAAACCCTCCAAGAAGATCAAGAGAGAGACTCAAGTCGACGAGTGGAGGTGGCGCAGGCGCAGAGCTGAGAAGCTGCGACTGAGAACGTGATGTTGCTACGGAGTTCGGAACAGGTGTTGGCCCGGCGGGAGCTGGACTGGGCGTTGTCGCAACAGGTGATGAGACACTCCTTGACTGACAGTTCGGACCCTGACAGAGGCCGCCAAATAGATCGGGCGAGAGGTTTAGATCGATAAGTGGAGGGCGACTGGGTTGCGTATTAGGAGACGCGGTTGCGGATAACCGGCAGTTTGGCCCAGAGCACAGTCCTTCCAAACTCCCTAGTGAAAGTCCAATATCCAGAATCCCAGGTGCTCTGGACGGAGTACTGCTTGCGGGTCTACTTGCAATGCTCTCAGGAGTACTTGCGGTTGTTGAAAGACTTCGTGGTACTGTCTGTGGTACCACCGCAGTCTGTGGCGCAGCAGTTTGGCCTGCGCTCGAAGATCGACAGTTAGGTCCGCTGCACAGTCCTCCAAGTAGGCCCAATGAAAGGTTAACGTCAATTAGAGGCGGACGTGAGGCCGAACTTGGGTTGATAGGTGAACGAGAGATGCTCGTCACAGCTGCGGCGTTGGTGGTCACCGTTGCTCCGTTCGAGCTCGTCAAACGGCAAGAAGGCCCAGTGCAAAACCCTTCGAGTAATCCTAGAGATAACCCAAGGTCTGTAAGTGGAGGAACCTGGCCAGCACTTGATGTTGTACTTCTTGTGGTGAGAGGAGTTTGGCCCAGTCCTAGAAGCGAAAGCACTGGGTTTGAGTCTATAAGCGGTCTTGAGCTAGGACCTGACTGCGGAAAGGGTGGCGGTTGTGTATTACTTTGCACAAGAGAAATTTGACTCGCTCTTGGCAACGATACAATAGGCCCAAGATCGATAATAGGCCTTGAAGATGTCACAGATGACGATGTCGGCAATGACGCAGACGACCGACCGCCTCCTCCAAGGAAAGAGATGAACGATCCAATGTCAATAAAGGGGCTGGAGGTAAGTGGAGAGATTGCTGGACCCGTCTGCACGATAGATGTTATAGTACCTGGACTTGTTCTTGTGACGAAAGATGATCTGCAAGATGGTCCTTGGCAAAGGCTACTAAGCAAGTTCAAGCTTATATTGACGTCGATAAGTGGTGGATTCGCCCCGACTGTTGATGCTGGGCTCAGACTGCTGCTTGAAGCGCCTATGATAAGGCCAGTTGTTCGGGATGCCCCAGCATTGGAAGCTCGGCAAGACGGTCCTGGACATAGCCCTTCTAATAGACCCAGGCTCAGACTGATGTCCAAGAGAGGTGTCTGTGATGTTTTTTGTGGGCTACCAAGAGCAGAGACCAAGCTTTGCAGAACATTGACTGGGAGGGAAGAAGCAATCGGTCCCCCCGGTACCAAAGCTGAGACTAGCTGCCCAAGAGCGTCTCCCGATGTGAAAGTCGGTGCGGTCGACCGAATATCTGAGCTCCTTGACCCTGGTACCAGATTGGATAGTACCTCTCCAATCAAGTCTTTCGGCGTTGAAGCTGGAGGAGCGGGGCTTCTAGTGACAGGGGCTGGCGGCGGAGTAATCAAGGGACTGAGGCTACTACTTCTAGTGGGCAGACCGCATGAAGGACCTTGGCATAAGCCTTCCAGCAGTCCTAGACTCAAGCTGATGTCTATTAACGGAGACTGGGGTCTGCTCGAGACAATAGTAGGTAGAGACCGCGAGTTCTGCGCAGATATAGAATGAACATCTCCGCCAAGAAGAGACAGGAGAGGGTTCAAATCAACAATGGGTTGATTAGGCAATGTTGGGTTTGCCGCTGGCGTTGCTCCTGTCAGAGGCGACGCCCCGCTAAGTAGGGAGAGCAGCGGCCCAAGACCAATTAGCGGTTCTGTCGGGCGGATCGATGAAGCCGCAGGTAGAGAATGGCCTAGCCCAAGGGCAGAAAACAGAGGGTTGATGCCAATGATTTGGCTTGTGGGTAACAGGAGAGGTGGAGTGGGCAATGACGGCCTACCACTAATGATGGAGAGTGAAGGAATGTTATTGCCCCCCAGGTTTTGCGATCCAGTTGGTATTGGGCTCGAAACGCCCCCGAAAGAAGCCTGGGTAACACCGCTGACTTGCGGCAGCAGTGAATTTGCTAGCCTGGTCGAGGGAATTGGTAGTCCAGAAGGAATACTGTTGATGATGGAAAGCAGGGAATTCAAATCATTCAATGACCCTGGTGACGATACCAGCGTTGGTAGGACTGCAGTAGGATTGCCGTTGATGATTGACAAGGAAGGATTGGTTCCCAACAGCGGTCCAATTCGCGAGCTTGGCAGAGGACCAGGCGGTAGAAGGGTACCGCTAATAAGGGAGAGGATTGGAGGTAGGATGGTCAGTCCACTGGTAGGCAACGGCAGAGACAGCGCCGTGGGAAGGCCGCTAATAATGGAGAGGAAGGGGTTTAGCTCTATAAGCGGCCCAACCGCTGTTGTTGAACGGTCTTGTGTATTTCCGAGGCTTTGCAGCCCGACAAGCGAGAGGAAGGACACCAAGTTAGCTGGAACTGTGGCTGATGGAGCTGGCGTAGGTCGAGGTGTAATGCCTGAAGGACTTGCAGCTTGGGATCCAACAAGCAAGGAGTTCAGCGGATTGAGGTTTACAAGCGGTTGGTATGTGGAGGTGGGTAACGCTAGCATCTGAGATACAATCGAAGGGAATGGGATCAGAAGCGAGAGCACTGGATCAATGTTGACGAGTTGTTGATTTGATGTAGTTGGTAATGCCAGCAATCCGGATGCCAGTGAGGGTAGAGCGGGACCGAGAAGCGAAAGTAACGGGTTCAAATCAACAAGTGGCCTTTGCGACGTAGACGTTCCACTTGTGCCAGAAGACCGACCGCCATTAAGAAGCGAAAGTAGCGGGTTCAGATCAATTAGTGGCCCTCCCCCTGTGGTTGGGCTGGGGGGGAATCCAGAGGACGAGGGTAGGCTGCCCGCCGGAATGGAAAGCACCGGCTCGAGGGTTATGGGCGATCCGATTGTCGGTGACGAGAGGATCAAAGTTGGACGACTGATTAGTTGAGACAACAATGGGTCTAAGTTCACGATTGGCTCCACGGATCTTGTCTGGCTAAAGCTTGGCGTGGGAACTGAATTCCTGCTATTGCCGGACAGCAACGATGGCAGAGGATTGACGTTCACCGATGGCCCTAGGATGGAGGTTGGTAATGATCCGGGTAGGAGGGACAGCGCCGGACTGGGACTGGCTGAAGCTGGTAGCAAATCTGTGGGAAAGATCCTGCTGATAGCAGACAGTAATGGATTGAGATCCGACAGAGGCCGACTGGACAAGGCCACAGGTGGCGTAACAAGAGGAGCCGTGCCTAGTTCAGTGCTCGTCTGTGGCAAGAGAACCGAGGATCTTCCACTGACAAGGATTGAGGACAGCGGATTCAGATCTAAGGACGGTCTAACACTAGAGAGAAAGGGCGCTGTAGATAATCTGGAAGCTACATCGACTGGAATGGAATTGGCGGGTATGACGGGAGACGGAGATCCGAGTCCTAACAATGAGAACACAGGGTTGAGATTGATCAGTGACGGAATTGTGACCGTGGGTATACTCGGCAGTACTGTTAATCCTAGAGAAAGGTCGACGACCGATTGAGCGCCAGAGGCGCGAGTTAGAGGTGTCGGGAGCACAGTGGAAGGCCGATTGATGATAGTAACACAAGTGGTCAGCGTAGGTGCTGGTGTTTGACCGCCGAGTAATCCGTTGAGTAGACCGCCCACATTGAGTAACGGTTGCGGCACTGGCGCGCATGAAATGAAGACAGCGTTCGAAGGGCTTGTGATGATTGAAGTTTGGAGCGTGCGCGGACTGTTCAAGTCTGAAGACGACCCGAATACAGGGAGGATGCTGAAGACGTCACTAGGATTGAGAGGAGCTCTGTTGGTAGTCTGTGGGGTGGACTGTGGTGGTATGATGACACCACTTGCACGTGGACTGCCCCGGCTGGACGTTACAGATTGCAAGGCTTCTTCAGCTCCTGACAGCAATGAACCCAATGCATTAGAATTGCCCTCATCGATGGTAGCGGAAGACTCGGCGGCAGCTGTCGTAGTTGGTCTAGATCCGACACCAAGAGTGGAGAGCAAATTGTTCACCAGATTGGAAGAGGGAGCTCTAGAGGAGGAGACAGCTGCTACTTCACTCGGGGTCCTGGAGGTCGTCTGGGGTGCTGGTATGATATTGCCGAGGCCCGTCAAAAGGTCGCTAAGTCCTGCTGGGCTCGAGCTCAACGATATCGAAGGAGACGTCACCCCAAGCAAGGTACCAAGCCCGGAGAGGACCCCACCTAAAAAAGAGCTGCCAAGATCAAGTGGATTGGCTGGGGTTGGGAGAATCGAGCCCAACGATACCGTAGGTAACGCTACTCCAGGCAAGGTACCAAGCCCGGAAAAAGTCCCACCTAAAAAAGGAATAGATGGGGTGGTGCCCGCCTTGAGCGAAGGCGTCGGTTGTGCAGGTAGCGTTCCGATGTTAGATAGTAGTGCGCTGAGCAGTTCCGCTGGAATATTAGGTGGGCTGGGAAGGCCAGGAAGAGTGCGAGTCGGCTGAGCGGGTAAAGGTCCGACATTAGAGATTAAGGCACTGAGCAACTCCGCTGGAACATTGGGTGGAATGGGAAATCCAGGAAGACTTTGAGTTGGTGAAGAAAGTTGACTAGCCCCCAAGTTTGACAGCAGGTCGTCAATCAGATTTGGCGCACTGGTCGGTGGAGGAAGCAAACCGGAAGCTGCTGAGGTTGGTCGGCCAAGAATGTCCCCAAGATTTGAAGTCAGACCACCAAAAGGATCGACAGGAATGTTCGTTGGTACGTTTCCAGCACTTGCTGCCGCTTTCGTAGACCTGCTGAGTTGTGAAGCTAGACCTGAGAGCACTCCACTGACCAAGTCAACGCTGGGGGTCTGCCCTAGAGGCGGAAGACCAGTAAGTGAAGGAAGGATGGCTGCAATATTGGAAAGCGCACCGCTCAGCAGATCGGGTGCATTGCTCGCAAAGTCCAACGAAGACCTAGTAGGCGTAGACAGCAGGTCTCCACTAGCAAGGCTCGAGAAGAGACTGTCTAGGGCGTTGAAAGCACTCGTTATCTCCGGACGAACAGATCCAGTGACGATAGGTGTTCCCGTAAGAAGCCCAAGATCTGACAGTAAAGTGCTCAGGAAATCAGTTTGACTAATGGAAGCAGTGGGAAGCGGTGGACTGCCACCGAGTTTAGACTGGAGGTCACTAAGAATGTCCGGGACAAATGTTGGAACCGCATTCGGTACACTCCCCAGAGCAGAATCAAGGTTTCCCAGAACATTAGAAGAGAGGCCAGGTGGCATTGTTAGGCTGTCGATTGCAGATAAGAGGTTCTGTGCAATATTAGTCGGTACACCTGTTAGGGTTGGCACGGCCCCGAGGAACGAGACCAAGCTGTTAATGATGTTGGGAGATAGGACTGTCGGACTGGGTAACGCGCCGATAACAGAGGAGATGCCCTGTAATACATCAGCCGGAAGACCTGTTGGCGTCGTTATTGTTCCGATAGCAGAAAACAAGCTTCCGACCACATTCTCCGGAAGAATTGTAGGGCCGGGTAGACTTCCAAGCCCCGACAACAGATTTTCAAGAGCATTGGGTGGGAGAGTGCTCGTTGATGAGAGGCCTGAAAGCTGAAGGGTAGAACCAGGGCCGCCTACACCGAGATTCGAAAGCAGAGTGCCAAGTACGTTGTCGGGCAAATTACTTGAGACTGGCGCAGCTTGTGTTAAAACAATGGAAGAAGCTGGTAATCGCAGAGAAGATGCAGCGTTCCCACCAATTCCAAGGTCGGAGAGAAGGTTACCAAGCAAGTCACCGCCGCCAGGAATAGGGGACAAAGAGGGCCTATTGCTGGGAGTGGGCCCGGTCGCTCTTGATGAAGCAGCACCACCAAGTCCAATAGCACTGAGTAAGCCGCCAACCAAATTCCCGGCACTGGGTGCAGTATCAGGCCTCGGTGACGAAGTAGAAGTGACATATGATACTGCAAGCGTGGACTGCAGACGGCATGACGGCCCTGGACATAGCCCTTCCAATAGCCCCAAGCTCAAGTCCAGATTAATCAAGGGAGGGGCCCCTGTTGCAGAGCAAGTAGGACACAAGCCTTCAAGTAGGCCCAAGTTCACGCTGGCATCTATCAGAGGAGGCTGATTTGACCTTCTTGACGTGATAAAGGTCGTAGGTGGTTGTGTCAAGGTAGCCCTCACCGTGGCTGGGGCAGGCTCGGAGCGGCATGACGGGCCTGAACACAAACCCTCCAGGACACCCAAGGATAGACCCAAATCTATGAGAGGAGCACTCTGAGTTGCTGTACGACATGAGGGCCCTGGACATAATCCTTCGAGTAAACCCAAAGATATACTCGCGTCGATCAACGGAGCAGGTATTTGCGTAGTCTGCGGTTGTCTCGTGCCAGTAGAGCCCGCATTCCCGAGACTGATGTTGGATGATAAAGCGCCAACTGGGTTCCCTGGCAATGTTGGAGGAGCAGGAACGATGTTAGAAGCAAGCGCACCTAGTCCAAGGTCCGAAGGAAGCTGACCAACTGGCAAAGAAGGTATCGATATGGGTATGTTTATGATAGGAGGCAGCGCAGAAGATTCGAGCCCAGTTGCTTCTGGCAGAGATAGCGGAAGAACAGGCGTGAGAACAGGTGAAATCGTAGGGCGTATTGTTTGTAAGAAGGAATTTTGGGTAGGTATGAGTGCTGGTACTGATATGGCACTGAGTCCTGACAGGGCGTTGTCTAATAAGCTACTGGCAATGTTGGACGGCAATCCCGTCAATGACTCTGGGGCTGCTGTTGGCGAAGTGACACCTGCAAATACATTTGAAACTAGGTTGTCGATCAGGGCAAATGATGCCCCTGAGTTGGCCAGTCCGGAAATGAAGCCGGCGACCACGCTGTCAACAGCATTGATGCGGGTCGTGATAGGTCGCACTGTCGTGGCCTGGACAAGGCCAGACTCAAGTCCAGAGATAAGTCCGCCTATAAGATCTGAACGTCGGGTCGAGCTTCCTGATGGAGTATTGGTTTCTGTAGATGGGCCGCCGGATCCTAGGCCGTTCATTATGCCATCTACGATTTCGTCCACGATATCTGCACTCCTCGTAGCAGTAGGTGACTGTGATCCAGTGGCGACGGGAGAGCGGCGGGTAGTTCTTGTGAGACCAGATAAGAGGTTGTCGACAAGGTCGCCAGGGAGGCCCGGTAGCGAAAGCGACGGTTGAGGCACCGAAGGTAGCGCGATCGACGGAACCGCAACTGGAGGGAGCACGACTGAAGGGAACACGACTGAAGGGAGCGCAACAGAAGGGAGCGCAACAGAAGGGAGCGCAACAGAAGGGAGCGCAACAGAAGGGAGCGCAACAGAAGGGAGCGCAACAGAAGGGAGCGCAACTGAAACGGAAGGCACCAGTGCCCCCAAGTCCGAAGGCAGGCCTCCAACCACATCACTGACAATATCTTCAACGCCTGACAACGCAGGGAAGGAGACGGACGGCGTTGGCAAGGATGTACCATCAGGACCAAGGTTCGATATCAGCCCGCCAAGAATGTCACTTGGATGCGCAGGCGTGACGGATGAAATCAGGTTGTGAACGTTCGAAAATAGAGCTGTAGGTATAGCCAACCCTGAGATCAGGTTGCTGACAAGGCCATCCACGGCAGTGAGACTGATAGTGGGAAGTGACAAGGACAAAACTGGGCTTCCGAGGTCTGAGACAACGTCGTCCACAACGCTCTCCAGAACATTCGTTGCGGAGGGCAACCCAGTGGGTAAGCCGATAGCTGGTAGTGAGAGACCCGAAAGAACATTGCTGACGATAGATTCGATCTCGGGAAGCTGGGTAGCAAGCGCGGGAATCTGTGTGAGGGGATGGACAAGGCTTGAGACCAGCTCGTCCACAATGCTTCCAAGAGCGGTCGATGGAGGGATCCCAGGCACTGCAGTCGGTAAGCCAATAGCTGCCAGTGAGAGATCTGAAAGAGCATTGCTGACGATAGACTCGATTGGCGGAATTTGGGTCGCAAGCGCAGGAATTTGAGACAGCGGATTCACAAGGCCGGACGCCAGCTCGCCAACAAGGCTCCCGATAGCATCTCCTGCTGTTATGCTTGGCTGGGGTATCGAGACAGCAAAAGAGGGTGCATGTATATCCGACAGTAGCCCGTCGACAACGCCGGGAACGTTGATACTGGAAAGAACATCGATGGAAGGTGATTGCGGTACAACTGAGTTGTCAAGGATGTCGCTGACAAGATTACCGATGACTCCTGGCTTGGAGAAGTCAGGAGGCGCCAAGGTCGTCGGGATAGCCACATTCGTAAATAGGTCACTGACCAAATTGTTGAGGATTCCGGTATTGCTAGGACTAGCAGAAGCAGCCGTCAACGTGGGTCTCGACAGCGAGCTCAATCTTCCGTTAGAAAATAGCCCGTTCAATAGGTTATCAACTGGGCCAGAATTTGGACTGCTAGAAACTGGAGCTGCCGAGCCTCGTGAAGAAGCACCTGCCAATATGCTGGAAAGCAGTCCGGGAAGCAAGCTGGCCTCTGGGGAAGGCAGACCGGTCAATTGGGGTAGCGAGATGTCCGTAGGAAGAGATAGACCGGATGGTAGTTCCACAGCAGAGAGTATCCCGCTTACTAACCCTTCAACAATGCCAGGATTCGCGATGCTAGGCAAGGGGACTAGAGTTGCCACCGTCGGTGAGCCGATATTAATGTTCGACAGCAGGTCAGATAACACAACGTCAATGTTGGGAGCGGAAATTGGAAACTGTGGAGGTACCGGGACCCCGGTAGCAAGTGTCAAAGGTGGAAATAGCTGCGATCCAGACAGTACTCCTCCAAGGTCTCCAATATTGCCAAGGTTGGTAACGCTCGGTAGAAGAACAGATGGGATAATCGTGGGCAAGACTCCTTCTGTTGCCAGATTCGATACCAGTCCTCCTACAGCACCAGGGATGAGAGTGGAAGGCAGAATGCCTGGGATCTGACTGAAGATGTCATTTGGTAGTGCGGTTGCTGGAGGGATCAAACCGGAAAATAGGCCCCCGATAACATCACCGCGGCCGCCAGCAGAACTTGAGGCAGAAGCAGCTCCAGAGATAATCGGAGGCAGTTGACTTGGCGCACCAAGGCCAAGACCGGAGGCCAAATCAGATAGGATCACTCCTGGAGCTAGGTTCGATGCCAGATTTCCCAAGAGGCTGTCTGCAGCACCGGGCCGATTATCACTGGCGATGGTGTTTCCTGGGGATGGCAAAAGGGTCGGAATGGCGATTTCAGAGCCGAACCCGACTATTCCAGACAATAAACTGTTGACGACGTCAGGCGGAACAGATGCAGGGAACTTCACTGCTACGCTAGATAAGAGGCCCTCAACAATGGGGGATGGCAACAAAGTCGGAAGTACAATGCCTGAGCCCAGGCCAGCAAGGCCTGACAATATGCTGTTGAACACCGCAGGTGCAGCAGATGCTGGCAGATTCGCTACCACGCCAGATAGCAGGCTCCCCGCGACGTTAGAGGGCAACAAAGTTGGAAGTACGATGCCAGATCCAAGATTGCCTACTCCTGCCAAGACACTATTGAGCACACCTGGCGGAATCGGCGTTTGCAAGCCGGCGGCTACACCTGAAAGCAGGTTCTCAATCTCATTCGGTGCAAGGGATCGACTTGGGGCAATACCAGATTCTATGTTGCCTAATTCAGACAACTCACTAGCAATAACGTCGATTGGAGCGATAGTTGGTGAAGGCAGACCCGCGCCCAGCCCGAGACTGCCCAGACCGGACAGCAAGTCTCCAATGACATTAGGGGGAGCAGAAACGGGTAGAGGGGGCCCACTCGCCAATGCTGAAAGTAGATTCTGGGCAGACTCAGGAGCCTGAGGAAGGCCACTCGCCAAACCTGAAAGTAGATTCTGGATAAGATTGGGAGCTTGAGTTGTCGACGGCGGCCTCACTGTGTTGACTATCGTGAGTAGGCTGGATCCTGGCCCTGCAAGATTGGAAAGTACATCTCCAATGTTCGGTTGCGAAATCGTCGGCAAACCATTTAGGATCCCTGATGGAGGTTGCAGGCCGCTCAAGATGCCCCCGATCACATCCGGACCTGTTGGAGTCGGTATGGGCACCTGCGACTCTGAGGGCAAAGGCAAAATAGACGGAGATCCAACTTCGGACAGGATGCCGCCTATAGCACTCTCAACATTCAAAAGTGACTGGCTAGCAAGGCTAGAGATGATTCCTTCGACCAAGCTTCCAAGGGCGATGGACGGCAATGCCGTCGGTAACAATTTGGGCACGGTCGAAACTGCCACAGAAGGGATGATTGGATTGCTCAAGTCAGACAGCAAGCCGCCAACAAGGCTTTCTAATCCGGCAGAGATAGACGGCAACGCCTCGGGTAGCACGTTCGACACGATAGGGGGGACGATCGGGCTCTGTAGCGCCGAAAACAGCCCGCTAACAAAGCCGTCGACCAAGTTTCCAGGAATTTGAGTTGGCAAGCCTGTGGCAAGCGGGTTTGGCCCGTTCGAGTTATCAGGGAATGGGACTGCCGCGGTCGGCAGGCCAGAGAACAAGCCACTGACAACGTTGCCTATCAAGTTAGAAACCGGTGCTGTGGGCAGCAATCCCGGTACGCTGGTCAGAGTTGGAATACCTGGGTTCAGTATTCCAGATATGACTCCACCGACAATGCTTTCCACAGCGTCGGGTTGTGAAAGGGAGGGCAGCAACCCCTGAATGTCGGTCAAAGACAAAGGCTTTGGATTTGCGATCCCAGATATAACGCCACCTATAACGCTTTCCGCGAGGTCCGGTTGCAAAGATGTGGGCAGTATTCCAGGTACGTTCGTCAAAGGAGAGACAGCCGGATTCACCACTTCAGAGAGAATCCCCCCTACAGCACTTTCCAAGATATTAGGCACTGAGCCCGTGGGGAATGACCCAGGAAGATTTGGAAGGGCCGAAACAGCTGGAATTACCACTTCCGAAAGAACCCCTCCGACAACGCTTTCTAAGCCAGTGGGTACGGAGCCCGTGGGGAGTAATCCAGGAACCCTTGTTGGGGGCGAGATGGCGGGATTGATGATTCCAGAAACCAGGCCACCGGCATCGTTCAGAACGCTGGGTAGCGCACCACTTAGGCCTGACAGTAAACCGCTCAAGAGATCCGGTGCGCTTGCTGCTGGCGGCGGGGTCTGAAGCGAGATGGCGGGTAGTGACAGAAGGTCGGATGTTGGGAACTTTGTCAACGGCGAAAAAAGGTCGGAAACCAGACCACCAATAACTCCGTCCACGATGTTTGGATTCGGGAGAGAAGCACTTAGCCCTGCTGGGGCAGCCGTAGGTATGGCGAGGGCCCCAGAAAGCCCAAGGCCAGTTGGAATACCAAGTATGTTGCTTGATAGCGGGGGCACAGAAACTGCTAGGGAAAGTGGTGTTAGAGACATGTGGATGTTCAAACCCGATGCCAATCCATTGATTATTTCACCGACAGCATTTGACACAGAGGACGTGGCTTTTGGAGCGGACGAGAGAGCGGTAGGAACATCGCCAAGACCCAAGTTCGAAAGCAGACCACCAAGAGGTGAGGAAATTCCGTCCAGCAGACCCGGGGCATTGTTTGCAGGTGTTGCAGTCGATGCTGGTGCATTTGCAGAGGGCACTGCGAAACTCACGGAAGGTAAGCCTAAACCGGGAATTGACACTGCCGGAAGACCTATGGGCGGTAGTTGTAGTGATATTGCCGGGAAGTTCACACTTGGAAGGTTGAGCAAGGGAGATTGGGTTTGGACAAGCAGAGTAGTCGGCACAGGCGCAACCGGACTACCGAATAAGGGGACACCTGGTGAGAGCGGTTGCGGCTCGATAAGCGGTGGAGTGGGCAAACCTAGACCGGGTAACCCTACAGAGGGAACTTGTAGTGATGGAAGTGGAATATCCAGCGAAGGCAACTGAAGCGATGGGAGCACAACTAGCGGTAAGCTTGGGAGGGCCAGACTTGGAAGCACTGCAGACGGAGCCTGGAGGGATGGAAGCTGAATAAGCGGCGTACTCGGCAAATCCAAGCTCGGAATAGCTATGGAAAGAGACTCCAGCGATGGAAGCTGGATCGGCGACAACGTGGGCAAGCCTAGACTTGGCACCGCTATGGACGGAAGCTGAATAAGGGGCGCAGTCGGCAATGTTTGAGTTGAAGCCCCTGGAGGTGGAGGTTGCAAGGCAGAAAGTAGGGGCAGCGGCTGACTGGGAAACGCTAGGCTTGGGATGCCGATAGACGGAAGTTGAAGTGAAAGCGGGATATTGATAAGTGGTGTAGCAGGTAGGCTCGGGATACCAACTGATGGAAGGGGTATGTTTATCAGCGTGGTAGGGAATGTCTGGCTTGAGGCCGCTGGAGAAGGAAGCTGTGTTGGCGCAGGTAGGTCTAAGCTAGGAAAGCCCACCGTCGGTAGACTCAGGGGCGGAAGCTGCAGCGAGGGGAGGTTCACAGATGGCAGGCCTATGGATGGCAGACTTATAGGTGGAATCCCCACGGATGGCAGAGCTATAGACGGCAGATCTATAGATGGTAGACCCACAGACGGCAGGCCTATGGATGGCAGACTTATAGGTGGGATCCCCACGGACGG